AGTGACTCGAGCACGGACGAGAGCGCCGAAGCTTNTGCAGCGACTTTCCGTAAGCGCAACGAGAAGGGTAGCGCGGCCAGTTCATCAAAGTGGCCGAGGGGCAAAGTCATGAACGGCGTATCCTTCCCAAGGGATGATAGTGTTAAGAGTGCTAAGCCCCCTACCAACGGCGCTTGCTTCATTTGCGATAGTCCTTACCACTATGCCAGAGACTGTAGTCACTACGGAAAGTGGGATGGTCTCCGTAACGCCAATTTGATAGACGTAGATTTAGATCACGAACTGGAGGCCGCTCACGACAGAGAGTACTTAGCTATGATTGTTGAAACACAGGCTGAGGCCTCTTCTTCCGCTTATATCGCTGGACTGAGTAAGACCTCGAAGGAAGCGTTCTGCATGAGCGCTGAACTTACTGGAGCAAAAGCGTTACACGCCAAGAAAACATTCATGACGGATAACCGAAACGTTCGTCGACGAATGGCAAATGAGTCCAAAGGCAAGGAAAAGGCTGATTCCCCAACTGAAGAAACAATTGTTAAACAGCTATCGAGAGCTAAGCGTCGCCTAAGGGATAGCGCTAAACCCCCTCTCTATACGGATGACCCTGGTGAAATCTTTGTGGCGCCCAAGGGTCGCTCCTTTCCCGAAGGATTAGGCTCCCTAGGCACGCGAGCTCTTCATGCTCGAGCCTTCATCGCCTCAACAAAGGGAGAAGTCGTGCAAGCTTGTTTAGACTCAGGCGCTGATATCACGCTGATGTCTGAGGACTTTTGGTCTTCCATCCCTGGGCTTCCTAAGCCTAAAGATGGATTGCGAATGCGACTCTACCATCTTACGGGGTCTGCTAAAGTGTTAGGTTACATACGAACCACGCTGTTTATGCCCACGGAGACAGGAACATTCGTCAGTTTTGATCTAGAAGCTTACGTGGTCCGCAACATGCGAGTTCCATTGCTACTAGGCGAAGACTTCCAAACGACGTACGAATTAGGCGTGACCCGGTACGCTACGGGTCATTGCGATGTACACGTCGGGCGGACGGGACGAATAATCAAGGCATCTTCAGCCCAGCGAGTAGACCTTGGATTCGAAATCAGACAGGCGCATACGACGCAGTCGTTTGTCCGAGCCAAGGCCGCTCGGCGAGCCAAATGGTTGAAACCCGTTCAGGGGGACCCTCCAGTTCTTGCAGACGAGGACGCCATTATTCAACCCCACTCCGTTAAGAACATTCGAGTATCGGCTCCCTTCGCTGGACGCGACGATTGGTTGGTAGAAAAAGTTATCATCGGCTTAGAGGATGGAGACATTCTAGCAGCCCCAACTACGTGGATCACGGCCTCTGCACCTATATTACCTATCGCTAACCCCAGCGCTTCTCCCAGGATTGTTAGGAAGGGAGATCTGGTCGGGCATTTATTGGACCCAAGTAGTGCCTTAGACAATCCCTCCGAAGAGAGCACGCTAGCGCGCTACGTCGCGTCGGCTGATGCCTTACGGAAAGTTATCACTGGGTCTCTAAAAGCACAGGACTTAGCGGAGGCTAAACCAACGTTCAACGGTCCTGATGATAAACTGGATCAGGATGATGCGTGGGGCCCTAAAACCACGGCGGTGCCGGAGGACCCAGTACAGGGCGACATTCTGGATGCCGTAAACCTAGGTCCTGACGTTCCAAAGGAATTCCAGAAACCGTTAGCGGACATTCTGCGTAAGAATGTCGCGGCTTTTGGTATCAACGGTCGTTTAGGAAAGGTTGCGGCTAAAGTTCCTATTCCCCTCAAGGAAGGATCCACTCCTGTTTCTGTCCCTATGTACGCTGCTTCCCCAGCAAAACGCAAGGTAATCGATAAGCAAATGAAAGCCTGGTTCGAATCGGACGTCATCGAACCCTCCGTCAGTCCCTGGGGTTTCCCAGTCGTCGTGGTTTATCGCAACGGCAAGGCTCGCCTGGCGGTAGATTACCGTAAGCTGAACGCACAAACCATATCGGATGAATTCCCTATCCCCCGCCAGACGGAGATCGTTCAGGCTTTGTCAGGCGCTCAAGTTCTTTTGACTTTTGATGCGCTAGCCGGATTCACTCAGCTGGAAATGGCTGATGAGGATAAAGAAAAGACGGCTTTCCGGTGTCATTTGGGTCTTTGGCAATTCAAGAGGATGCCTTTCGGGCTCCATAACGGCCCGTCAATATTCCAGCGTTTGATGCAGGGAGTGTTATCGCCTTACCTCTGGTTATTCGCGCTGGTGTACATCGATGACATTGTCGTGTACTCAAAGTCTTGGGAGGAGCATCTAGTTCATCTCGACACCGTCTTGAGCGCTATCGCCACCGCAGGCATCACTCTTTCCCCTCCAAAATGCTTCATTGGCTTTTCTTCCATTCTTTTATTAGGGCAAAAGGTTTCGCGACTAGGCTTGTCGACGCATCAGGAGAAGGTCCAGGCAATAGTGGACCTAGCTCGTCCGAACTCGGTGTCCGACTTGCAGAAGTTCCTGGGCATGGTCGTTTATTTTTCTACATATATCCCCTTCTATTCTTTCATAGCTAAACCTCTATTTGAGCTCCTGAAAAAGGGCTCACGATGGGAGTGGCGAGCGGAACACGAGCTGGCTTTTCAGCAAGCGAAAGAGGCGCTATCCAGCGCCCCCGTTCTAGGTCACCCCATACAGGGTTGTCCCTACCGTCTGTACACGGATGCTTCGGATGTCGCGCTGGGCGCGAGCTTACAGCAGGTACAGCCTATCCAGGTTGGTGATCTGAAGGGCATGCCTACATACGACAAGCTTGCGAAGGCGTGGTCCGACAGCAAGCCTGTTCCACATCTGTTTCCCATTCTGTCCAAAGACATTGTCGAGAAGCCAACCGATGACTCCTGGGGCCCGTCTCTTGATGAGACTGTGGTGCATGTGGAGCGCGTTATCGCTTATTGGAGTCGGACTTTTAAGGCGGCGGAACATAACTACAGCGCTACCGAGAGGGAAGCGTTGGGCGCCAAGGAGGCGTTGGTGAAATTCCAACCCTTCATTGAAGGGGAAACGGTCATACTCATCACGGACCACGCTGCCCTCCAATGGGCTCGTGTGTACGAGAACGCCAACAGGAGATTAGCGGTGTGGGGGGCGGTGTTTGCAGCGTACCCGGGACTCCGTATAGTTCACAGAGCGGGACGAGTTCACTCTAACGTGGATCCCCTGTCTAGACTCCCAAGAGTACCACCGCATAGCTCCCCTGTTGTCGATGACATCACGGCCATAGCACCCGATGAAGCCAAGCAAGACAGGGCCCAAGCCGTGGAGGACCGTATCCATCGCGCCAATGCGCCTCGGGCGGCGTTCACCGTGTCCTATTGGGAGGACATAGTAGAGCGCCGAGCGAATGCCACACACTACGAACCGTCAGAAGCCCTTGCCCAAAGGGAAGCAGATCGATTGGCAGCCGCAGAAGCAAGGTCCCGCAGAGCTAAAAAGTGTAGTAACTTCCCAGATGAAGAACCAGAAACAGGAATTACATCGGCAGTGAACGAGTCTCCCATTACGTCGGCAGTGAACGAGTCTCCTGCCACTATGGAGTCTAATCCTACAGAAACGACTGATGAGAACTTTCCTACCACTACGCCTGGGCCCATTGAAGATGAGCTGCCCTTTCCCCTCGATGATCATTGGACATACCCGATCGGAGTAAAGCCTAGTTCCGCAGAGTTCGACGACGAATGGCTGAACAAACCCCACCTCCTCGTCGCTATGAAGCCATCGGTAATCACTGCGTTCTCCCAGGGCTACCCGCAGGACAAGTACTTTGCTCCCAAATACGTAGAGGACATTCCAAACCCGAAAACCGTCCTTACCCCTTCCCATTTCCGCAAAAGCAAAAATGGTTTACTCTATTTCATAGACGCGGATTGGTCCGCCAGACTCTGCGTTCCAGAATCCAAGATCCACTTCGTTCTGAAATGGATTCACGATTCTCCCTTCGAGAGCGCACACGCTGGACCGCGTCGATTCTTATCTAGACTACGAGAACTATTCTTCTGGCCTACCATGCATAAAGATGTAATGGACTATACGAAGTCTTGCGATATCTGTCAGAAAATCAAGATCGATAGGCATGCCCAATCAGGTAGCCTTCGACCATCGCACATCCCAGCAAGACCGTTTTCCACAGTTTCGCTTGATCTTATAACGGGTCTACCACCGTCCGGCGAAGAAGGTTACACCGCCATCTTCGCCGTAATCGACAAGTTAACCAAGTTCGCTATCTTCTTACCCGTTCACGAGACTATGAGCCAAGAACAGTTCGCGGAGTTATTCGTGGAAAGAGTAGCCAACGTCTATGGACTACCTGAGCGCATAATAGCCGATCGCGATAAGCGTTGGTCAACTGCGTTCTGGAAATACGTGGTTGCGAATTACGGCAGTGTCATGGCCCTATCTTCCTCACATCACCCCCAGACGGATGGGCAGACGGAGATCCTTAACGCTGTTATAGAACAAATGCTGAGGGCATACGTCGCTTCGGACCACACCTCTTGGGCTAAATGGCTCAGTGTATTAAATTATTCCTACAATAGTTCGACGCACTCTTCCACGGGTTATACGCCGCAGTTCTTGCTAATGGGATACAAAGCTCGCACTTCAACCGTCGGAGTGACACCTGAGGGCGACCCCGTCTTCAGGCCATTCATTGCTAGCCAGTCAGCGGAGGAATTCATAGGCGAATTAGAGTTCCACCGCGCCCTCGCCAGAGATGCGTTAACACTGGCGCAAGAAAGACAAGCGACGGCATACAACAAGGGCAGACGACCAGCGGAGACACTCCTTAAAGGAGACTTAGTCCTGGTTAACCCACACACTCTAAAGCTTGTTGACGTCAAAGGCACCGGCAGGAAGCTAGTGCAGAGGACGATTGGACCCTTTGAAGTCTTGGAGCAAGTGAACCCTCAAGTGTACCGCTTGAAACTTCCCCCCAATTACCCGATGCACCCTGTATTCAACATTGAACACCTCAAAAAGTACCATTCTTCGCCAGAACGGTTCGGGGAAAGGGATTCACTACCTAGCACTAGAGAGCTAATCCCTCACCCCGAATATGAAGTGGAATCTATTGTCGGCCATCGCCTAACTACACAGAAGCGAGGCAACCGTCGAATGTACCTAGTGCATTGGAAGGGTCACGAGCCAGTCGACGATACCTGGGTGTCAGAGTACGATCTGTGTAATGCTCCTGAGCTCACGAGGGCATATATACGAGCTCATAATCTTTGAAGCTTGAAGTCTCAGACGCCACCCATCATTTGTGCTTGTTTGGTGATTGATCGATGGATAATGATTTTCAACCTTCGTCTTCGTCCTGTTTCTACTCCATCACCTTCTATCATCGCGCGGTCCCCACTGCGTTGAACTTATTATTGTATCTCTTTATCATCTTTTATTATCGCGCGGTACCCACTGCGTTGAACTAATCTTTGTAACTCTCGCGCGGCTTGATCTGCGTTGAACACTACCCTCACTTTCTTTTAAGAAAAACTTCACTATACCTTACTTACCTTACCACTATGCACACCTACTCCTCGAGTTATCGCCCTGCCCCTGACTCCCGAGTAACGTCCACAAGGAGGTCCAGCGCAACCGGCTACCTAGCGAAGCCATGCGTTGACTCCCGGATGATAGCTCGTTTGCCGACGTTCGAGATCCAATCCCATCGTATCGTGCAGATAGGAGAAGACGCTTGGGAGTTGTGGTCTCCAAACTCCAAACAGCTCCCTTTCTTACCCGGCTTGCTTGAGGATCATTTTCAAATCGACTTAGCTGGCCGTCGCTCTGACCGACGAAGCGATGGACACTTGGGAAGGTTCGACGCTTGCGTGTCACCGCAGTATCCCACAGGGCACCCATGCTGGGCCCCCTATGTTCGACAGGCTCCTCCTTCAACAACGGGGTACCCGGAGTTCGCTTGCATCCTGGACGTCACAGACCAGCGTAGCTCCGTCCGCCCACAGTACATCAACGAGCTGCTACAACGGAATGACCATCTAGACGCCCGCATTAATGAACTTAGGGCCAACAGCAGTCGTAACCCCTCTATATCTTTAGAGGATGTATGGCGACGCTACAGTCCCACCTTCAGCAGAGACGACATCAACAGCCTTCATTCCATACGCTCCTTCGACAAAGCTCTGGACGACATATCTCAGCTACAAAGGAAGTTCAAATTGAAGGCAGCATGGATAGATTGGGTAGCGCAGCAGCAAGCCACCACATCTTGGTCCTGATCGTCGAATAGGGCCCCTGACATGGCAGACGAGTTCTACATGGGTGTTTGGATCAATGGCGAATATGAGGACAACATTGACTCGTTCTTGGCGCACCGTATCCCTTGCTTCATATCCCATAAGCTGAGGGGAGACGAGTTAGACCGCCTGTTCGATGCGGGGTACGGGCGGAGAGACACTACGTTCGTTCAGGGCACCCCCATCGAAAAATTGAGTCACCCCCACAATCGAGTTGAAGCATTCCTACGTAAGCAGCAGGTGATAATCATGGAATCCGACAACGATGACAATATAGCAACCAAAGAACCCTCTGACCCGCCGGAATCCCTAGCTGCTTCATTCTCGCTGATCCACAGAGAATGGTCGAGAGGGGGTCCGGCTCCTATCGCGTATATCGCAAGCCCTCCGGCAGGCCAAACTGTTCAGCCAGCCTCAACCTCGACTTCCTCCCCTTTCTCGGACCTCGACTTTTCCAACTGTGGGGCCGAACCTCTTGACATGGTGGAGATCGATCCGCGTCGAGTAGCTTGGATCCGTCCCCCCCCCGTTATGCGTCCCATAGGAGGGAAATGGGCAAAGTGGGCAGAGAAAAACGTGGACGGAGAATTATTCGTGGCCAAAGTGGGAAAGTCTTATAGAGACTTTGATGGAGTATCCTATTTCGACCGCTCGTGTAACCGTGAGGTCATCTTGCTGAGCGCTGCGCAAATACTCCCCGGGGCTGTCTCAAAGCCTGAAGTCTTTGGACTCCCCTGTCCTAGATATTTGCATTTCGTCGAAACCCCCCAGAACAAAGCGCTGCGCCCCGCCAAGGCTTCCGCCTGGCTGTACCTGACCAAAGACCTGATCCCCACAGATGTAGGGCTACGAGCGGGGCACCCAGAAGCGGAAGATCTACCGCTCAAGGACGAATTCAGAGCGGAACCTTCAAATCGACCACCGTCACCGCCACCTAGTCCAGGCAATCCCCCAGGCAATCCACTCCCTCCACTGCCATTGATGACTGATCCTTTCAATTCACCAGAACACATGGGCGTTCCTGACAGTGAGCGCCCCATCTCTCCAGTGGACTCCCTGATGGGAGCTCCACCAGAGGTGGACTGGGAACTGGATTCAGACGAACCTATGGGACCTCAGATCCCGGCTAGGTCCCTCGAGGATTTCGAGATGGAAGCTGTGGATTTGGGAGATGTTCCCTCGCCCCCTCGAAGTCCAGCGTCACAGTCGCCGATTCAACCGTTCAGTGAGACGTTGGCTAGTCCGCCGCGTCCCATGGCAACCCCGATACCCCTCCGCCACCAGTCTATTATGAGTCCTCCAGCTCCCCCCTCTGCTCCTGAGCCCTCGCGTCAGAGCCCTCCTCGTCGTAGTAGTCGTAAACATGCTCGCCAGCGTTCCCCCTCCCCTCCTCCGAGACGGAGAGGCGATAGCTATCGCCCGAGACCTCCCTCATATTCGAGAGGAATCAACCGTTCCAACCCGTGGTCGACCACTGCCGCTACAAATATGTGGCCTGTCCCTAGCGATCTTCAGAACCCTTGGGCTCAAACGTCGGGAACCAATGCGTGGTCAGCTCCCAACACCTTCTCTGCAGGGCCGACTCCTCCTCCCTGGGGGGCATCTCCAGGATACATGCCCTGGGGTACCAACCCAACGACCATGGCTCCTTGGTCGGTCCACTACCCAGGGTACTATCCCTCAGAGCATGTTCATATGCCAAGCTGGCCACCTTTCGGATTCCCACCAGTGCCGGCTCACAGCTGTCCTTCATGCCACAACTGCGCCTCATGCGGTCGCCCCTCTGTACAAGCTAGTGACGATAATCTTCGCGAGCCCCCTCCCGACACGGTTGCGCCATCGTTGCTGGGTCGCTTACGTTCACCATCGGGTGGGGGTCCCTCTCAAGCCCCCTCCATCACGCCGCCGATACCATCCCTCTCTTTGGCACAACGTTTGCGGAACCCTGCCACCTTAGCCGATCGTTTGCAACCGCCTACTTCATTGACTCAGCGAATACAACCGCCCTCTGATTTCGTCCAAGGGTCCTCCTCCCAACCTCTACAGAGCTCTTTACCCTTTTTACCAGCCGTGGCATCCACTGGCCGCGCACACCGTAGTCGCAGAGCAGGCCGAGCACAAAAGGAGGAAGACGATAGGCGAGCAAAAGAAGGCAAACCACCATCAGGCAAAGGGAAACGGAGGGATCGGAGGTAAGAGAACAAGGCGTAATACGAGTCTGCGCACAGGGGGGCATTGTGATACGGAGTTGAGGATACGCGCAGGCACATCTCGTAGTTATATCGTTCGTACATTCTTGATGACCATTAGACATAATACCATCACCATCTTGCTAACAAGCTTGCGTGATACGTGTCCTGTGTCCACTGCTGGTAAGACCAAAGGGCGAGCTCCCTACATAATGCTCCCTCCTCCACAGGATACGAGAGCCCTCCTCTGGGTTAACGAGGGTCCGCCTAGGACTTCTAGGCAACCCTAGGAGACGAGCGCGACCACAACAGTCGTGTTCTCTCCTATTACTTCTATTCATCATTCTACACTACAACATTCTACTATGGTACTACGAGACTTCCCTCGCACGAAGTCCCCGCACGCACTGAGGCTTCACACCTAATCTGTTGCTTTAACCACCTAGCTATAGCACCCTTGTATCTTTGATTGGATAATCTCTCCATATTACAGTGTCTTTCACTGCCGTTTGCACAGCATGAATCATAATTTCGTGTTTGCTTCTGTTGTACCTGTTACCCTCAGGGTTTTTTGTCACTGCAAATTGAACATCTGCAGGTCAGCAAATTCACGAGGAGAACGGGATTCTTCTTCATGCCAGATGATTATGTATCCAGAGACTTGAGTTGTCATGGGCAAGGGCTAGAGTGAGGTCGGACACTGGTTCACTCAAGATCCCTAAGAAAAACTCATCTGTTCTGGGCCAATGTGTGACAAAAAAACCCTGAGGACAACAGAAGCAAACACGAAATTTACGATTCATGTGTGCAAACGGCAGTGAAAGACACTGTATGCTCTCCCCCCTACCTTGGCCGGTCAAAGACTCATCTCATCGTTTTGTCTGTGATGGAGAAAAGCGGAAATATGTTGGATTAGACCCAGGAGACCCTGTCCTAAATTTTGTGGCAAGAGGTTTTGTGGAAGGGTTCAAACTAAAAAAGGTGCCTACTGAGGGTGCCGAGTTGGCAGTCTATACTCACTAAATTATTTTTTTTCGACACAAAAACTCTACAAAACATAAGAACGATTTCAGTTGCCCATGTCCTTGGCCAATTGCTCAGCCTTGTCCTTCAAGTCTTCAATTGTCCCGGCCTGGCAAGATATAAATCCCAACGCATCAGCTGGCAACAAAATACCACGCACCGCGTAGAATGCAGGTTCGGGAAGCGAATCGTAGTGGCTGGTACCCTGGGTGGACGCTTGGGCAATGTCCCCCATTAATCGTAGTTTTTCGAGTTCAAACTGTTGCTGATGCTGGTCGGCGTCTGCCCTCGCCCTCGCCAACTCCAGCTCGGACTCTGCCTTCGCCCTTGCCAACTCCAGCTCAATCTCCAACTGGCGCGTCGTTTCCTTGGCCAGTCTCGCCTCTGCCTGAGTCTTTTTGGCGTCAATGAGCGCCGCGCGCTGCACCAATGTCTTGTTGATAATGTTCATTTTCGCTATGGTGAGGGCCTCGACCGTCTCCTCACAGGTCATGGGTGGCGGCGTATTCCTAAAAAGTTGATTGTATGCGTCATCCATGAAAGTTGTATGCGCCATTTATCAAAATGTAAAGCTTACTCCTTATCCATTGTTGAGGCCTTTCGTTTGTTGCTCGCTTTTGTGGCCTTCTTTGCAGTAGTAGCGAGGGGAGATCCATCCTCGGAGACGCGACACTTTTTCTTGGGCCTACAGTTGCAAGGAGAAGTCGGCGTCGCTTGGTCGCCGCCACCGCCGTCCTCTTCATCTTGAGGGAGGGTGGCAGGGAGTGGCATGGTGGTCGTAGAAGAAGATACTTGTCAAAGAGGTATAGCTATTTATAAGATTGAAAAGGACCTACCACTCCGAAATAAGAACGTGACCTCTCCCACTTCGATCAACTACACCTGTGGAGAGAAAAATATCAGCAAGTTGAAACCAGGTTGAAGTGAAAGCGAACCATTCCCGCGCTTCAACCAACAAAGTCCCAGGCTTGAGTCTCCAAACGGTTGCGCCAGAACAGTGCCCTCGAATAGATAACTCACCAATAGACATTCGATGATGGTGCTGGCAATGGTGGTAAGTTACTTACTGTCTGAGAAAGCAAAAGTATACGGTAGAGGCATATTCAGTGCACTGCAATCGCATGCTCTACTTCCAAGTACGCACGCGGGTGGAACAGATTTCTAGCTATAGCGCCTTACATCTTTGCTTGGAGAATCTCGCGAGTTGGCAGTCTATACTCACTATATTAACTTTTTCTCGACAGAAAAACTCTACAAAACATAAGTACGATTTTAGTTGCCCATGTCCTTGGCCAATTGCTCAGCCTTGGCCTTGACGTCTTCAATTGTCCCGGCCTGGCAAAAGGTAAATCCCAACGCATCAGCTGGCAACGGAATAATACGCACCATGTAGAATGCAGACTCGGGAAGCGAATCGTGTTGTCCAGAGAGAATCTCCTTGAATGAGCGAACGGTGTCCTTTAGCGGCACAAGCTTGCCCTCGTAACCAGTGAAGACCTGTGCGACTTGGAAGGGTTGGGACATGAAACGCTGAATCTTACGAGCACGCTCGACCTGGACACTTGTCAGCACACATGAACGCAATTAACGCAAGTTTGCTCACAGTCAGCTTATCTTCTTCAGACAACTCGTCCATTCCAAGAATAGCAATGATATCCTGGAGGGACTTGTAGTCCTGGAGGATCTTCTGGACAGCAGTCGCAACATCGTAATGCTCTTGTCCAACCTGGTTGAATAGATGAGGAAATCAGTTTGCAAGAGAGAAATGACTGCGCACAATACGGGGGTCCAACATACGGGATTTTGAGTCAAGAGGATCGACAGCGGGGTAGATACCAAGTTCGGCAATACCACGAGACAACACAGTGGTGGCGTCCAAATGAGCAAAGGTAGTGGCGGGGGCGGGATCGGTCAAATCATCAGCGGGCACGTAGACAGCTTGCACCGAGGTAATGGAACCCTTCTTGGTAGTTGTAATACGCTCTTGCCTGTATGAAAGTAACATTCATTTCCGTTTCCGCCAATGCATGTGAAGTGACTCACATGCCACCCATATCAGTCGAGAGGGTGGGTTGGTAACCGACAGCAGAGGGAATACGACCCAAAAGGGCAGACACTTCAGAACCAGCTTGGGTGAAACGGAAAATGTTGTCGATGAAAAGCAACACATCTTGACCCTCTTCATCACGGAAGTATTCCGCGATTGTCAGACCAGTGAGAGCGACACGAGCACGGGCACCGGGGGGCTCGTTCATCTGACCGAAGACGAGAGCGACCTTGGAGTCACCTTCGAGGTTGATGACACCGGTCTCAATCATTTCGTGGTACAGATCGTTACCCTCACGAGTACGTTCTCCGACACCTGGTACGAGAGATTGAGAATGATGAAAAAAGGAATGGCATCAAGCAGACAAACCGCAGAAGATGGAGAAACCACCATGGGCCTTGGCAACGTTGTTGATGAGTTCCTGAATCAACACAGTCTTTCCTACACCGGCACCTCCAAACAGACCAATCTTTCCACCACGAGCATAAGGAGCGAGGAGATCAACGACCTTGATACCAGTTTCCAAAACCTCAGCAGTCGTCGACTGGTCGACGAAGGGGGGAGGGTCAGCGTGAATGGGGCAGAGTTTGACGCCCTTGATAGGGCCACGCTCATCAATGGGTTCTCCAATGACGTTCATGATACGTCCGAGCGTAGCCGTGCCAACTGGAACCATGATGGGGGAGCCGGTATCAACCACTTTTGTTCCACGGACGAGACCCTCGGTACCATCCATGGCAATAGTGCGGACAGAATTTTCACCCAAATGAGAGGCTACCTCGAGGACGAGGCGACCGCCGCTAAAGTTTTGAACCTCAAGAGCGTTAAGGATCGGCGGGAGGTTGTCCGTCTCAAACTGGACATCGACAACGGCACCAATGACGGTTTTTACGGAACCAACGGCACCCTTGGCTTCAGTTGCGTAAGTGCGGGAGGCTGAAGAAAACGTCAGAAAAAAAAAACTATGAAAGCGAAAAGGGGGGGGGGGGGGTAAAAGTTACCAAGGGGAGACGCTGAGGCATGAGGACGAGATGTAGTCGAGCGGGAAGGGGTGCTGGCAGGAATGGCGACCCGTTGGATGAGAGCGGACGAAGAGAAGAACGCGTTTGTTTTGTTGGCGTTCTTCAACGCTCTCTTCGAGAGGCGGGCGACAACACCGCGGGTGGTGAGCATTATAAGGAACAGGACGAGGACTAACTGAGGAGGAGGTGTAAGGAAGAAAGAAATGGTCACACCAGCACACCATAGAAATTAAAGTTCACACACTCCCGGCCTCCTCCGTGTCATATCACATGATGTCACCAACACTTGTCACGGCCAAAAACTCCTATCCAAATTCGGCCTCGCCGAATTTGTCACTCGTAGAATAAACACTCATTAGCAGCTCACTCCTTTCCACAGTGAATCTTCGCCATCATGGAGAGGTTACCCACGTTGTGGTGTTTTGCCCGGGAAACTGGTGGTGGCCCACCATTTCAAGTCAACATTCACGAAGCGATGACTGTGAGTCAGCTGAAGCAGACCATCAAGACCGAAATGGCTCCTTTATTCGATATGGTAACGTATAACAACCTTGTCCTTTACAAGGTGCGAATCCAAGGCTAGCATATAATTGCCTAACACCTGTATAGGTTATGACACTAATCCCTCTGTTACCAGATGACCTCGATCACCGCATCACAGCACTTGAAAAACAGTATGGGTTTGGACCTCTGGTTCTGTCCAAGTTGTCCCAGTTTAATGATTCAGTAAAAACACACTTCAACCTTGGTGAATTAGATGATGACACCCTGCATATAATCGTACAAAAACCGGATGGTGAGTTCAAGTATCGTGTCACAACTCATCATTGGTTTAGTGATCTTTCCACCCTCCACTTTCCAGATGAGCCTCCCCAGAAGCGGAGGAAAATAGCTGGTGATAAATCCTTAACACCCGACGGTATGTGCCATCTCCAACTGCCTTCATCAGTGCTTAAATTCGTTCTTTTGTAGATTCCCCTCGCATGGGTCTGGTCGAGACAAAGCAGGCTTTGGAAGATGCCTGCGCACCCTTCACTCAGTACATCAAGCATCTTGCAGATGGAAGGCTCGATGGACACTTCACGTCAAAGTGCCGATCCGGGAAGTTTTGTGTACCCGGTTTCACGATGACCACCGATCCCAACCTTCTCATTCATAATATGGGTGTTTCTGTGGACCAGCAGAAGATACGGGAACTATTTTGTAATAACACAGTGTATGTGGACCACAGCCCCCACTGTCTGCAGTCCATAATGTTTTTATCTTTGCAGCCACCTCTTCAACACGTCGGGGTCAGGCAAAACCCGCCTTCTCCTTGATGGCCTTTGCCACTGCTGGGGCATTTATTTTACCTGTCGAGCAGAGTTTCCATCGGGTGGCTCCAAAGACTTGAGAGATGCATCCAACACCCTTCCAAAATTTCAGTCTTGGGGAGGAGCAGGTGATGTAAGGGCGAAGGCTGCAAAACGCGCCTTATCGATGTTGGTGTGTAGCCGCATCTTCTTATTCAAGAAATTCGTGGAAGCTCTTCCGGAGGGCATAACTGCCGTAGCAGCCCGAAAGCGCTGGACCTTTTTACAAGTGGTACCACCACTTATCAGTTATCTGGATCTCTTCGTTCTGCTCTTCCGCAGCCTCCGCCACGGTGATGAATTTGAGATGAATACATATGTTGAAACAACTCTCACAGAGATCACAAGCAACCATCCACACCTTTTTCAAGACGATCTTGGTAGCCTGAGTAACTTTAAGCTTTGGGCAGTTTTGGACGAAGCTCAAGCAGCTTCCACCATGCACCAAGGCATCTTTCCATCAACATCAGATCCGTCGACTCTCAAACACTCGTTTCTACACGAGGCACACCTTTACCTCATGAATTCCGACCTTTTTTCGGGTATTGTGCTTTCAGGGACTGGTTTGTCTGTTGAAGCGGTCAATGAGGCCATCAGGTCATCCTACGCCAAGGAGATGCCAAGCATAGGGCTATCTAAGGTATTTACGGATACTGGATCTTTCATGGACGCAGACATTCACAAAAAATATATCCTCGGCTACCTCGATATGGACTTGAACAATTACTCTCACCAGCGACTCTTGGAAAGAATGGTATACTGGTTGAGGGGGCGGTATGTGTTTTTCGAATCATTCAAGTGTCGAACTAAGCATAATATCGTAGTTATCGCCCAACTGCTGGTCTTATCTCCATCTTTTTGTCCGAGGACAATCTTCCACGCCATCGCATCCTCTCGGCATACATACATCAGCTGACAAAGTTTACACCCATTGATGCCGTCGAACTTGAGGAACAGGAGGACCATATACCTCCTAAGATTCACATGCAAATCAAAAAACTGATTAAAATTGGATCTCTTGAGCCGATCTTCGAAGATGTGAATAGTCAGTATATGGCTGCTTATGATCAATACTGGATAAGCTTATATCAGGTTCTAGGCAATTCTCTAGTTCAAACACTGGTCCACATTGTCCGGCGCTGGATGATGGCGGGCGAGCTGTCTCACATCACGCGTGATGATGAGATACATAAGTTAATTGACCTAGGTGTTGGCCAGCTGAGAACATTGGAAGGGACTCGGAAAGATAACATTTCACAGAATTTTTCAGTGTACATCGGCGAACCACTCATAATCCTCTACCTAAGCACACGCTTTCAAGAACAGGGATGGACAACACGGTGGGAATGTTTTTCTCACGCCATTCTTAGTGCTCCCAGCAGACCAGCCATCGGCTTTCTCTTTGAGGAGGTGATTATGTACCTCCTCATGGATGTCTTTGGTGGCAAGTCCATTCCTCTAGAAAAGGTCTTTCATTTCCCCGAAGGGTCACCCTTGGGTGGAAGAAATGTTGAACTGGTTGCAGGAAGGCAAGTTGGACTTGACAGCATGTCAGTGGCAAAGACTTCGTGGCTCACGGGGAGTTCCGATGGCTTTGGGTTCAAAGCGAAATCAACTGCTGATGCTCTTGCCTTCCTGCGTGACCCAAAGGGCAAACCATTTTTGTTCCCAGACAATTACATGGGACCCGATTTACTTTGCCTTCTTCGGGACACAGAGAGCGAGGAGTTAATGGTACTTTTGGTTCAGGCCAAGGTGCAAAAGCAACTAGACACCAAGACCTGGATGAAAGCCCTGGAATCTATCAATCCCGAATACTTTTATACTTATGTGGTTTGTGTCAAGACACACACTCTTTGTTGCCGACACTGATCCCTGAATTTAGAACAAAGACAGTGGGAAACGGGTTCAGCATGGATCTATTGCTTACGAAGACCTCCTCGATAATTTGAATCTTCTCTTTACCAGTATCACTGGGACAGATGAATTCCGACTAGCTGTCGAAGGCATGCGTAGTCGCCTGCGCAGCGCGAGGCAGCCTTCAGGTACACGGAAGACACCAAAATTCTTGCGGGTCGTTGCATCGCCTGATGACAAACATGGAAACCGTCTGGATTCACAGAGACAGGGCGACGTCGCTACATTGAAGTGGGATGCGGTCGTGGAATACATTGGTAGGGGTGCAGCAAATCAAATCAAGGAGGGAACACTCTCAATACATTTGTAAATATCAAGGCCTGTTGACGACGCGAAGTGCATATGTGGTTTACGCAGACATGAACCGTAACTGCTTTGAAGAGAACATTTTTGAGGTGCCAGCATACTGAAAATCGACGAGTTTCCGTGGGTGGCCTCGCTAGTAATTTTATTTAAGCAACTGCTCGTTAAATTCTCTTCCTATCAACATTCGTCGAATCTCTTGCGTCCCTGCCCCAACTGTGTACAATCGAGAATCTCTGACGATCCGACCCATCGGGTAGTCTGCAAGCCAGTAATTTCAGCGATAGCGATAATTCATTTCTCACCATCTCTTACCGTTGATGTAGCCGTTTCCACCGAGGCACTGCATTCCCTCCAGTGCAACCTCGACAGCCTTCTCTGTCGAGTGCAAGATCGCTCCTGCACAATCCTGTTGTAATTTCATTATTATTATTAGGTGTGCATGCTCGAGCTTTTGAAGCTCACTTTTCGGCTGACTTTTCCCTGGTCACAAGCTTTTGCAACGGCGTACACGTAAGATCTGCTGGCGTTCAGTTTGGTATACATGTCTGCGATTTTAGCTTTTGGTTTCGCAAATTAGTGAACGCCCAGGACTTCAAACACTTCTGTACTCACCTTGCATTAGTTGGAAAGTCCCAACCGGTTTATCGAATTGTTTCCGGTCATGGACGTACTCCACAGCATAATCAAAGGCCGCTTGCATCAATCTGGGGCCTTGTTAACTTCCCAGGCCGGTGCAAGTGAAGCCAGTCATACCCAAGTGGCCCACCACTGAGCACAATTCGCTCTAGATCTAACCCAGACATGAGAACACCGGCTCCTTGGTCTACTTTACCTAGAATGTTGGCTAATTTGTTGCTGATCAGTAATGACACCCAACGTCATATATGCACATGAAACTCACAATCAGGTACAACACAGCTATCAAAGACCAGCTCGCATGTGTCGCTTCCTCTCATACCGAACTTGTCCAGCTTCGGGCTTGTCGAAAATCCATCGAAAATATTTTCAACAATAAACGCGGTAATACCTTTCGACCCCTTTTCGGGCGACGTCTTTGCATATACCACAAGGGTAGATGCAACAGGCCCGTTGGTGATCCTATCCAAGTTCAAAGCATAGACCACGGGCTTCCGTGTAGATGAAGAGCGTACCAGAACTTGTTGCCGGTCAAGCTCCATCCACCAGCTACTTTCTTAGCTTTCAGCTTCATGCTGACGACATCGCTTCCACTTCCAGTTTCACTCATGGCCAAGCTCCCAACCTTCACCCCATTTACTAGATCCGGCAGGTATTTGGCTTTTTGCTCCTCTGTTCCGTGGCGATGAATTTGGTTGACGCATAGATTCGAGTGAGCACCATAAGAAAGAGCCACAGATCCCGAAGCTGTTGACAAGGCTTCCATGGCCAAGGTGTGGTAGAAATATCCAAGGCCAAGACCATTATATTCCGGCGCGACTGTTACACCAAGAAGACCCATTGAACCCAATTTCTCCCAAAGGTCCTGGAACAGGCCATGAGTGAAGGACGCGTATGAGGAGAAGTAAACATACTGGTGGAAATGTATTCATCTTGTCAATCTCTGAGGCACGGGGTGCAACCTCCTTCTCAGCAAATTCTATTACTGCAGTCCTGAACTAGTAGGAATTAAATACGAACATAATGTCAACAGTTGGCTTGTACACACCAAGCTTTCGTCGTTGGTGAGACCCGCAACATCCGCATTATAGTATGAAGCATGACGCACTTGGAGAAGAGTACAGCGCGGCCTGACAGAAGGAGTTCGCTGTGTGGTACGCGCCAGTCGCGCCAAAGTCCTTAAAGAAGACATTGTGATGGCAGATGGTGTGACGCGGCCATCCTCTTGTCTCCATTTGCAAATAACTTCTGCGTTTGACTATCATGGATTTCGTACGTTCTTCATTGTTTTTGCTTTCAACGATCCCTAATGTCGTCAAGTTCGGCGACCCCAATGGACCCGGTGGTTTGCTCGCACAGTTTGCAGGGTAAGAGCTTCTGTGCCACCCACCGACGCCCTTTAACCCACCTACAGCGGTTTTCCAGTTCCCCGTGCAGGAAGACCAAACCCTCGAGCGTATGACGAGTATTTGAAGGCATACAGCATGGCCATGCTTCCCAGGAGGGAAAGAGAGAACGTGTCGTACGGCGGCAAGAGTACGTTTCCATCCTTTACAACATCTACGTCCCTCCAACTCAACCATTGCGCCAGTAATAATGCCTCAATCTGCACTTGCTAGCCTCACTAATCTGGATCTTGAGTCACCATGGATGTTTCAGCTCCGCAATCCCACCAATCCAGCTGCATCCACACACGCAGGCGTCCTCGAGTTCATCGCCGAAGAAGGCGTTGTTCATCTGCCATATTGGATGATGAAGACACTGCGACTCAACGAAGGCGATCCCATTCGAATCACCGGCACCGATCTGCCAAAGGGTAAACTGGTCAAGCTCCAAGCACAATCTGTGCACTTTCTTGAAATTTCAGATCCTAAAGCTGTGTACGCATCATACTCTTTTCTTTTCTTTTTACTCGTCTTTATCAAATATTTAAAGCCTCGAGCAAGCATTACGAAATTTCTCGGCCCTCACACAGGGCGACATTATCGAAATCTCGTATAATTCGATTGTCTTTGGTCTCCTTGTCATGGAAACCAGGCCTGGAGGCGAAGGAATCAGTGTTCTCGACACTGATCTAGAGGTCGATTTTGCCGCACCAGTTGGTTACGTAGAGCCTGAACGACCAAAACCCGCTGCTCCTTCAACTATGGCATCGAAACTCAAAATTGATCTTAATTCCCACTCGCCAGGGTCTTCACGACCTGGATCCTCCCTGAGTGGTGGCTTTGCGGGAACGAGCACTGGTGCAACGACTGTCAGTAAAGGCGGAGATCAGTGGGAAAGTTTCAAGGGCAAAGGGGAGACATTGGGAGGGAGAAAGACCAAAGGCAAGGGGATTACTCACCGCCAGGCGGAAAAAGTCCCAGAAGGTAGCAAAATCATCCGCACAGAGTCAGCTTTCGTCTTTTCCAATCTTGCAATGTTCTTATCAGATCCCCCTCCTCTAGCAACCATCGCATTGTTTCTAACAATACGTTGGATTCAGACGTGAAAGTTCCAGCCGCCCTCAACCTTCCATTTGGCCAACTGTTTTTTGGCTTTAACGTCACCGCATACACACCGCCGGAATCTTCAGCTTCAAGTCCTTCGGAGATAGATCAGGTTCGTCAATTAATTGTAATATGGCCATTTCGACCTTGATATCTTCTCTAGCCTCCCCCGGCGTTTGCTGGCTCAGGCAATGTTTTAAGTGGACGCTCAAGGCCCTCACAATCACAACCATCCTCCAATTCATTTGCTTCCCGCTCTACTCCGCGACAAACTGGACCTGTTGGGGCTGGAGGTGCTTCGATCCCTCGATTTCCTCAACGAAATTCACAGCAACAAAAAGGGAAGGCGAAGGAAAGGAGCCCATCGCCAGACTGGGGAGTAGATGATGACGATGTCATTATGATTGATAGCGACTGAAACGATATCTAGAAACCTCTGTACGACTTGTGTATCATCACCATAGACATGGACAATGGGTGTCATTCTATCATTGCGCTGTGTGATGGAATGCACGTCAGTGTCAGGTATTCCTAAGTCTCCAATGTTCAAATTTGTAGACAGCACGCCGATAGAAAGAGTTAAAGCATGACAACCCCGATACCCTTTCCTGGCGCAACGTCTCCTTCAGCCTTCATACCCGCCAGCGGGGCAGTCCTCCAGTTATATAGATAGAAATTCAAAAATCCATCACCAACCCCGAACTGAGAGGGCTTCTGTTAGTTACGAAGATAAAGGTCACAAAGAGACGAACCTTCAAGTCCTGCAAAATTGGGACATTGTCCATCAATGTCAAAGCATTGAATACATCGAACTTTGCTTCATTCGCCACGACGAGTGCATCACCAATGACGGCAAGGAGGCGCTTTTTTATAATAGCATCTCCTGCCTCTCCCAACTCCGAGGTGGCGTCTGTCGCATAGTAGAAGAGGTATGCAGCTTCAAGAAGAGGATGCTTGGTGTTATTGATGATTGTCGAAGGGAGAGAGTAGAAAGAGAAGAAATCCGTGATTTTGTGTGCCTCTGGATTCTGAGCATTCCTTAATATTGGCTTCCCAGACGTCTAGCATGAAAAGTGCTCACTTCAACAACATATGTCCATGTTACTTGACCCTCTCTTCTCCCAATACCACCGTCACCCACCTCACCTCGCCCCATTCCACTCATAAATTGATGCCTTGCTTCGTCTACACTGAAGAGGGGCACCATGTCAAACCGCTTCATATACCGGGCGAACAGTTCTGCAACCTGGTGAACATCTCTTTCCTCCATCTCCCTCAAACCAACAAGAGATGTCGAGGAAGGGAGCTTATTGACGCGGATCATCCGAGCAAGTGTCATGTTTCTTGGAACATGGCAGAATCGAGTTTCAACCAGTTTTGGGATGTTCAGGGATCGATGGTAGTACCGACATACAGAAACAGGTGTTGGCAAGACGACGCCAGCAGTGTAGATGGCCTGGAATATACCCTTGAGATGGCATTGTCGCGTTACCTCCTTTATTAAAACAGGAGCCAGACGTTTGGACCGTAGCTTTTTATGGACGCAAAGATAATTGATCTCGCTGACAAGGATAATTCTAGAGGAGGGGTCAACAAAAAGAAAAACGAAGAAAGATATCAGACCCACCTCCCGCGTACCCGTAACGTCATCGGGACACCTGAGATAAATGCCACCAACTTCTTGTTCGAAGATACGCGCACACCGATATGCCATTCCTTGTAGTAACCTGGAGGCTTTAGGGCCCTGTGCGTTACTGTTTTGTAACGCGCACCTTCAAGACGAGATGGTGAAGGACGCACCATGCGAGGAAATCGGCGCTGTACTGGAATCTAAATGCTGCAAAGTCGTCCTCTACATAATTGAGGGATAGCAAATCGTAAACTTCTTTGTTCTACATGCGAGGATGGGTAAGAAACAAGCCAGTTTGAAGTGATTTTCAAGAAAAACCTGTTTTGGATCGTTGATGTCCAAAGTGGACCACTCAAAATCTTTGGGTAACGGATAGGGCTCTTGGCGGACTTCCTCACGCGACGTTGAGGGCTCGATGTATCCATCGTCGAGCGGTGGCCCCTCCCCTGATCAGTCATTTTTTTTATAGCTATCCAAGTCAAATGGTGGATTTACCGAGCTGAGGTACTGGCTGCGTTGCCCAGAACTGCAGAGAGAAGAACAATAAGCAGGAGTTTTATAGAATTGCGAAGTTGAATACTTTGTGTTCACCCATGTCCTTCCGATTTAGCCCTCCAAGACCAGCCTTTCCCTTGACCACATCCATAATCTTAATTTGCTCCAAAGCTTGCCTCACAGTTTCTGCGTTTGCTGCCTCAGATCCCACTGACCCCTCCGCCTTGACCTTATCCAACACCTGATCGACAAGTTCTTGGGGGATATCATTTCGTCCACGGAGAGCATTGAGTGCGCTGGAAACCTTGGATTTCTTCTTCTTCTTCTTCTTCTGTGAGGTAGATGGTGCTGCAGCCTCTTCAGGGTCGACTACATCTTCACGTCCAGAATCGGAGCCGATGTCGTGAAGATCCTCGATGTCGGGAGTCGCGTCGACAATGTCTTCGACCTTTGCCTTTTGCTTTTGGGACATGGACGTTGCAGTGACAATGATTATCTAATCAACCGCTCAGTACATTCTTCCATCTCACACCACCGACATCACTCAGCACCCTCTCCACCTCAATCTGCTCCAAGTTTAACAGTAATCGTCGCTCCCCTTCTGCCTTTCTCCACGCATCTTCAACCACAACAGCCCGCGACGCAACCAACGAGTCAAGAACCATTGTCAGCTCACTGGCTGTCGGCTTCCGTGGTGGATCGTCTTCTGACGTCAGAACGTTCATATATATTACGTGCTGATGTTGTACCTGCAAGTTGAAAGGTATCATCAGAGCATGCAGTTCGTGGCTGACAGGCTACTTCACCTCTCCCCATTTTATCTCTTCGACTCCCTCGCGCTTGACACATTTGACTAGCGAGGCAAGCATCATTCGTTCGTGAAAACTGCAATCACGGAGATATGCAGCCGTAGGGCTATTCTGCATTACTGCAACAACTTCGTTGACTTGCTCCCCTTTTGCGGTTGTTTTTGTAACGCGCGCGAGTTCCACCACTCGCCTGTAATGACATCCATAATTATTCGACGTTATGCAACGAAGTGAAAGACACGAACCTGCAAATGTCCAATACCCTTCTGGCATCTCCAGTTATTCGACTGACTTTCATGGCCGCTAACTTGATGGCATCGCGCGAGATAACGTCACGCGTCTCTTCTGGCCCAGTCGTACCTTCTTTTGCAGACGCCAATCGCGCCTGGACAATCTGCTCAAGCTGAGGCGTCGTATAAGGCTGGAAATTAATCCGGACCATGCCTTTTTCTCCGTCAAGCGATCTCGACTCGGAAAAAGATCGACTCACCGAGTCGGCTGCGAACCCGGCCAGTCATGACTCTCTCTGGTAGGTCCATCGTATTAGCAACAGCGATGACGATGAGTTTACTGCCAACTAATGTTGGCCAGTTGAAAAAGTTATACACCACATCTTGCTTAGCCGTTACTAGTTGATCCAGCTCATCCATGAGCACGACGCTAGCAAGCAGATCAGCCTTGACTTTAATAGTAAGGATATTTCTTACCATGCGTGGCCACCCGGCCCACGAGCTCGGCCGGTAAAATGGTGCATGAGCGCCTTTAGGCTCTCTTTTGGACCAATTCGTAGATGCCCTTCTGTTTCGACATCGTGGCCAGACACAGCTTCCCACAGCAAACTGTATGCAACTGGGGGCTCAGGAATCTTGAGCCCGTTGATTTCAACGTAGGTAAATGGATTGGTTTCCTATACACATGTTAAGGTTTCGTAAGTAGTAAAAATAAAGGAGTCCACACACATTAGCTTTCGCCATCCTCTTAAGTTCACGAATGACTGTGTGTACTGTGGCCGTCTTTCCAGTTCCCGGCACCCCAGAAATGTCTAAAGGACGGACTCAGCAGAAGAAAAAATGCGGTCTAGAGGAACTTACAAACACAACCTCCACTTCCTTCCTCCAGCAACTCACCAACGCACCTCAGCACTTTACTGTACTCTTCTTCGCGACAAGGAAGAGCATCTGGCCTGCTTCCCACGTGTAGGACATGCATAGCCCGGATCCATGGGTCGCGGGGAAGGTGTGATAGATCTGTCTTGAAATCCAATTTTTGCGGACGAACAGGGAATGATGCTCCTTGACGTTTACGTGGCGAGGCTGAGCCTTTGCTCAGTCTGGAGCGGTGTTGTAGCGCAGCTTTGGAATGAGGTGTCGGCTGGACCAAAGTTCGGCGTTGTTTTCGCGGAGTACGCGGGTTAGTGGTTCGTTTGCGCTTCCGGGTCTTGGATGGGGTGGTGGGCTCAGCAAAATCGTTCTCTGAGTCTTCACCGGTATCCTGCCCTGACATTTCATCAACATCCTCAGCTTCAAACTCGTCGTCCTCGTCGGCTTCTTCGGCTTCATCTTCAGGCTCGAACCCATCTTGACTATCTTCGTCTTCCTTCGATCGCACCGCCGTTTCATCATTAATCAGTTTGGATTTTTTCTGTGGGCGTGTAGCCGGCTTTGAAGTTCCGCTTTTTGGCAGACGAGCGTTCACATTCCAGACGACACCATCCCCATATTTTAGCTTGTCAGATGGTGATTTCGCAATTTGAAGAGCATGTTGTTGATGTTTTTCCCAGTCAAGGTCGAAGAATAGTCCTCGATAGGAGTCGACTGCGAGATGGCAATTAAAATCGGCGTCGGTGTCGACTCCCACAGGCTCAATGCCACTCCGTCTCGTGACGCCACGCTTGCTTGTTGTAGCAGGCAATGCCGCCTTCTTCTTTCCCTTGCTAACGGAGCTGGAGGGTGGATCGTTCTTGACACTGCAGTGTGAAATGATAACTTCCGGGACGAGAACCTCGCTAGAGTCAAGAGTGTAATATATCTCATTCTGTGAACATCATAGTCAATATAGAAAAGCTTGACAAAACTACTCAGCGAACCTCTTTGTGCTCCCTCTTTGCGCGTATGCTGGGCATTTCAGTTGGCCGCAGGAACCAGTGCACCCTCAACCTGAACTTGCTGGAATCGAGCTCCGCCTCTCCGTCATTTTCTCCCTTGGACCTAGTATACCACATAGACACAATAACAGCAACACTGGGCGGCTTCCGTTTCCTGTAGAACGTGTCCGTCTCAATAGTTACGGTGTCCCCAACTCGAAAAGTCTCCTGGCCACTGCTGCTAGTCCGTTTTTCTCCCCTGTATTGCCGAGCCTTCTGACTTCTCATGCAAAACGCGCTATAAAAGACAGTTTCTATAGACCCTTGATCCGTATTTTCCTCTAGCTCTTCTTGCTCGTCCTGAAGAAGGTCTAGCGCTGGAATTGTTGGCCTCGTGTGGATTGGCTCGCCCTCCCATGAACAGTTGAGATGGCCGGTCACATTATGTTTCCTAGAAGGTGTTGCTAATGGTTGGAACCGCTTTGAGCGACGCGTTGGAGTTTGAGGGGGAGGAGGGGTCATCGCGTCTCTGTTCAAGGATATTGCTGCCAGTGGACAGTCAAACCCTTTGTCACGTACGTGATGTGACTGACGCGTCAATATTAAAAATATATTATGTAGATTAATTACTAGTAAGAGCGTGGTACTGGTCCTGGACGCAACGAAAGGAACAATTTCCAAGTATGATCTTGAAAGACTACGGGTCGCAAACCTACGAACATTCGGTGACCTCCTAAAACATCCACACGTCTGAACCCACTTTTCATGGCCACTGAGTATAGTTCATACGAGTCTGTAGCTCTTTGGTGTGCCGCATACTGAACGCTTGCTTCGTTTCCAGGAACGGATTTAAGACGCTCTATTTCCTGGGGTTTCAACGGCTCTTGCAGATATGTGTAAATGGCGTGTAAAACATCAAAGAGGGAGATGTCGGAATTTCGGACCATTATGGGTCCCCATATAGTCATCCATGAGGCGAGAACAGGATGATCTGAAGTGATGTAAAGTTCGCTGGCCTTTGGTCGGACGGCCTTGGCTTTGAGATCAACGGGAAGAAGCAAATGCCGTCCTGAATAGATCCGTGCCAACTCTGGAGGGTGTATAACATCCCACAAGAGGGTGGGTATTGAGGGATCAAGCGGATTAGGCGTGAGGTGAGGATGCAGGTGCAAGGGCACTGAGATTCCGAGAGGTTCTGGTGGAAAAGTCCCCGGTTCCCATGCTGGGGGTAAGGGTGTTGAAGCAACAACAGGGGTGAAGTAAAGTCGCGGTTGTCGAGGCCATAGCTGTGTATGTGCATTGGCGGCAGGAGTGGAGGCCGGCAAGGGATGATCAAGGACCCACGTCGACAGGCACACGGGTTGACACCCGAACAAAGGAGGATTATGGAAAGCTTGACCACTTGCTGGAGGAAGACGAACGGGGTGCCCTACGCTGGTGATTCAACTTTTTGAGGGACGAGACACTGAGGAAAGAACTCACTGAAGATGCTACCAGAATGGCCAAACCGAAAATTCATATCTGGTACGCGGGGCATGGCGGCAGGAGAGAATGGGACCAACAGTGACTAGTGACTCGCAATCGCTGGGTTAAGGTCCTTCGGGAAGCCGGAGGGCAGGCAGGCAGGTGCCAGGCAGGCTGATTTGACCGCGATAGGAAAATTATCTGACGATTTGGATATTTGCACGAGGCTTTATAGAAAAGATATACAAAAGCCGTTGATACGACATAAAAGCCATTGAGGGGATACAAAAGCCATCGAGACGGACATCGCGACGAGAGACAGCAGGACAAGGGTAAAGAGACAACACTGTCAACAGCCTGGAGACAAGGTTGACTGACGTGTGCACGTGATCTAGATCTATGTATGCACGTGAGTTGCACTGCTTAGTCGAGTTACGGTCGTTGTTCACTGCAACTTCAAGGTATTAGCGTAGAGATGCGTTTGCTCTCTGCCATCCTCTCCGTTCTTCTACCCATCTGTCTGGCAACACCAGAAAAACGGACATACGGTACTCACAACTACTACGTCCTCGAACACATCTCATCGTCCGCTTCTGTATCGCTCTTTGATGTTGCCCAGGCACTCGGCGTCGAGGTCGTAGAGCAAGCGGGGGAGCTTCAACACCACTGGATAGTACGGAAAGAAAAGAGTCAGGCGGAATTTGTTGGCAGAGGTGAAATCTCCGACCCCGTCATTCAAGCTTACCAGGACCTCCATGCTCGAGCAAACTCACCACTATCTCTTCGCTCGGAAGAGTTCAATCATGCACGGAGGATCATTTCATCTGTAAATTATCTATCCCGTCAAACTCTTCGCCGCCGGGTTAAGCGTGCACCACCTCCCCTCTCACCTCCTTCACCTTCATCATCTAGGGGTATAGCTGAGCGACTGGGTATCCAAGACCCAATGTTTTCCCGGCAATGGCATCTAGTCAACGATGATTTCCCAGAACATATGATGAATGTAACACCTGTTTGGGACATGGGCTTTACCGGCAAGGGCGTCATTGCATCTCTGGTCGACGACGGTTTAGATTATGAGAGTGAAGATTTGGCTGCTAATTTTGTGCGCAAACCATTTTCTTTTGCCGTACAAAAAAACTGAATTTACTTCAGGATGCTGACGACTCTTACGACTTCAATGATCATGAAGCCCTGCCAACACCAAAAAACTTTGACGACCACCATGGCACACGATGTGCCGGCCAAGTAGCAGCTGGAAAAAATAATGTTTGCGGCATTGGCATAGCCTATGAGTCCAAGGTTGCGGGAGTCCGTATTCTTTCCGGCCCCATCACCGACATTGATGAAGCGGCTGCTCTCAATTATGGGTTCCAAAATGTTTCCATTTACAGCTGCAGTTGGGGCCCTCCAGACAATGGACGGTCGATGGAAGGTCCTGGATATCTCATTAACAAAGCTGTTGTTAACGGCATTAACAACGGACGAGGTGGAAAGGGCTCTATCTTTGTATTTGCCAGTGGCAATGGTGCTGCACACGGGGATCAATGCAACTTCGACGGCTACACTAATAGTATCTATTCGGTGACGGTCTCGGCAGTTGACTACAAGGGCCTTCATCCGTACTACTCAGAGCCATGTGCCGCAAATATGATCGTCGCGTACAGCTCAGGTGGTGGGAAACACATCGTGAGTCAACTTTGCCGTTATTTTCCTCGCGATTCGACCAAATCCTTAGGTTACAACTGACAAAGGAAAAAATTCATGTGCAACGACCCATGGAGGAACCTCTGCGGCGGCTCCTAATGCTGTCGGAGTTTTTGCCCTCGCATTACAAGCTCGGTTCGTCGTGGTCTTCTTCTTTGATTCCGTAGCCTGATTGTTGAAGTGCTATAGACCTGATCTTACTTGGCGTGACGTGCAGCATCTCTGCGTAGAAACCGCTCGGATGATCAACGACGACGACCCAGACTGGGAACGGACCGCGGCAGGCCGCCTCTACAGCTACAAGTATGGCTTTGGCGTTTTGGACGCATCTAGATATGTTCGAGCAGCGCAGTCCTGGAAACTCGTTAAGCCGCAGTCCTGGTTCCTTAGCAAGACCATACAACTTGCAGAAGGAACCATGGATGCATCGAATACATTTACGGGGGGCCAGGTCATCGGTAAAGGAGGTATAAAAAGCACACTCACAGTCTCAACGCAAATGTTGATCGACAACAACTTTGAGTCGCTTGAACACATCAATATCAGAGTATGGATCAGTCACTCGAAACGCGGCGACGTCGAAGTGGAAGTTGTGAGCCCCCATGGTGTCAAGAGTGTCTTGGCTAGCACACGTCAAGGGGATCAAGCCGACACTGGTTACCCAGGTTGGACCTTTATGAGCGTCAAACATTGGTAAAGATCCGTCACGTTTATATCTGTGCTCGCTAACCACGGCGTGAACGTAGGGGTGAAGATTCTGTGGGTGATTGGATCATCAAAGTGTCAGACCAAGAAACGGAAGAACACAATGGCACCTTCCACGGTTGGAATATGATATTCTGGGGCTCGACAATAGACCCTTCGAAGGCGCAGAAATTCGAGGTTCCTTTAGTCGATAATATTCTCCCTCCCATTGAGTCGACGCCTCGGCCAACCATTCCCAGCGCAACCACATCTATACAACACACAAAGCCCACCTCTCTCTTACCCGGCGATCACGGCACCGCTGAGGGTGAGAACACAAAACCCGCCTTTTCGTCCATCAAAGAGGACGTTGCTGCTCCTACCAGTTCACCTACTTCCATCTCCTCCACTCCCGATGAAGGGTGGTTTTCCGACATGTCAAGTCTTGTCACCGGCCAAAAGTGGGTCTTTGCAGCGCTTGGGGCAGTTGCCCTCTTTGGCGTTGGTGCTGGTGCATTCTTCTGGAGACGCCGCATGGTGAAATCAAGATCGCAGTATAGTGCTTTGGCCGGCGGGGATGACATGTCGATGAGTGCCGTAGGAGGACACCAGATGACTGCCGCAACTGGCGGTCCACGTACGACGCGGGAATTGTACGATGCGTTTGGAGAAGTGTCAGATGACGACGACGATGAGCTAACAACACTTCGACCACCTCATGCTCGTACAACTGCCGGTCTCGGCTTCCATTCAGGTTTCCTTGATGACGATGACCCTTCTACCGCTGCAGGCCTAACGCCGAAATACCGCGACCAACAAGAGCAGCCAGGAGAGCCAAGTTCCACAAACCGCGCTCCCAGCCCAAATGGCAGCGGGGGAAGCTGGGAACATGCCTCATGACCTCATAACTGGAACGAGATATACCTGTAGACGATTGTATTTATTACCATTATCAAATAATTGCTTCGAGGGGACTATCTATCTTCAGGGCACATTCTCTCCAAGAAATGTTTTCACAGCAATTCTACGATAGCAAAAAATTCTACAACATGTACAAAAATCGCAAGTGCAATTTATTCAAGCCGTGGTACGCGTACGAGAAGTCCGACCCCGGTTCATTATAGACGCAGCAGAATCACTGCCGCTGGGGTGCGCCAACAAGGTATCTTCCGAGAGCAGTCCTGTCTCCTCTTCTGTCAGCCTGCTGTGCGTCAATATGTGACGCCGTGAACGCGGTCGGTATATGAACGACTGCATGACGATCGTGACATCGAACATCAACGTCCCAGCACTTCCCAGAAGGTACCTAAATCAGCGATTAAATAACCGTCGCCCTAAATGAATGAATGACTGTTCTCTTACGGAATGCTCTCTCGTAAAAACGCGGTTGACTCTGGGGGTGGTAAGAAAGTCTTGGGTGAGAAAAGAATAGATGCTACATAGAAAGTATTGCCGAGGAACGCAAAGACAAATAGATACATTGAAAGTCCCTGCGTCAAGTGTTAGGAAACAAACACGTAAATGATCGTTGTCAAGTCTGACCTCCACTGATTTCCTGACAAACTAGATCAAGTGGTTAGAACTGAGGGGAGAATGAGACGACAAGTTCATACATTTTTCCAAATTTGAGGTAATCGTGAGGTAAGGTAGAGCGTCGTGCACATCCAAGCGAAAATGCGACCGAGCACACGTTCAGGAGAAGGCGCTCCAGGGTAAGGCTCGTTGTGAGGTGCCTCGTCCAAGAAAGGAATCGAAAGCAAGTCAACAGCAGAGTCAGATGTTTCGTAAACATGGGTAGGTATTGAGGGTGAGTCTGAAATTCCTGTTATAGAGACAGCCTTTGGGATACTATCCCTTGGAGAGATGACCCGACCAATCTTGGTGGTGGAAACCCAAGGCACGCCAGGTTTGCTTCCTGCAAGTGTGAAAATGCCAAAGAGAGACCAAACACCAAGGAAAATCACGGTAGCACCTTTGCGGCTAGCTCGTGAGCTTCGACGCTGAGAAGTAGTCGGCGTTGACTCCTCCTCCTGATTATCGGCCTCCAAGTCACGCTCCATTGACCTCCCACGGCTTAACGAATCAGTTTCAGAGAGAAATTGTAGAACAGCAGGCGATGCCGCCGTAGGCAATCCTGCGTGTTGCTGGCCGGGGACGCCTTGCCTCTCGATACTCCATGACACGCGTTTCCGCCCAATATTCCACCCACCCTCTGAATGAAAGCTATCCGCCATGGCGGCAAAAGCGTCCTCGTCGTCCTCCTCATTGACTGGCGCTCGAGTAAGACTGGAAGCGCCCTCATGTGAACTTTCCGTGCCATAATGGGTGTGTCGCGTGGATACCCGCTTTCGGTCTGCATGGTGATCCTGCTGGGCAGCAAGAGCTGCGGCGGCCGCTACATTTGCAGCGACGGCTGATAAAGTGCGATAGCGTGAAGTACCTCTGTCAAGGGACATACGTCGGAGCGCGGCTGGAGAAGCCGTTGCGCGAAGATGGGACAGTGAGGGTTGAGTGAGTTTCGGGGGACGCGCATAGTAGAAATATTGTGCTACAAGGGTACAATCCACGAAGACGAAGTAGGTCGCCAGCCATGTCTGTGCGATAGGGAAGGTAAACAAGAAAACAGAACGAAGAGATAAAGGCCCACTTGAAATGGAAGCTGGTGGGTCAAGATGCATCCGACAAGGTTGGAAATATCGCCTGGTGGTTTGTGTTACTGGAAGACGAGCAAGAGGAGAGACGGGTATGACCTAATAGCCAATTGGCGAGAAAGGGCAAGGCAAGGCCCTCACACGACTGCCGACGGATGTTCTCCAAAACCTGCCTGAGCAGCGTTGGTAGATGAATACCTGGGATTAATACAGAGGTACTCACGGAAACTGAGCACCCAGCCAACAAGCAATGGAAACGTAGCCCATCACGTCGCTCAGCGTAAACGGGTCCGCCATCGACAACGGTAGAGGGCGGAAACAAACAAAAAGATATATAATTTGATGGAAAATAATATTACATATGGCACTTCTCAACTCGGATCTACGTGGACTGTCGCTTATCTCTCAGGGAAAGGTCCGCGACATTTATTCAACGTCGTCGACAAACCATCTCCTCTTCGTCGCAACAGATAGGATATCCGCCTACGATGTCATCCTCCGCAATGTCTGTTCAATATGCAAACTTCATCCAATCTACTCACATTAGATAAGGGCATCCCAGAGAAAGGCAAACTCCTTACCAATATCTCACTCTTTTGGTTTAAAAAACTCGCCCATATCATCCCAAACCACTTTGTAACTGCCGATATTGACGAGATGCCCGAAGAGGTCCGTCAATATAAGGACCAACTCGACGGAAGGGCGATGCTAGTCAAAAAAGCTGAAGTTATTCCACTAGAGGCAATCGTCAGAGGATACCTTGCCGGCACGTCTATTCAAACACCCATCGCAAACATATCTGGTTGACCTTGCTGCCTCTAGGCTCTGCGTGGTCAGAATACAAGAAATCCGGAACCGTACATGGAATTCCTCTTCCGGAGGGCCTTGTCGAAGGCCAAAAGCTGCCTCAGCCTCTTTTTACTCCTTCGACGAAAGCCGAGCAAGGCAGTCATGACGAGAACATCTCTCCCGAGCAAGGTACGTTCTATTCCAAGTTGGCTTCCCCCACTGACATTGTAATGCAGCTGCAAACCTAATTGGACAGGAACTGTACGATAAGGTATCTGAAGCGTCGCTAAAGCTCTACACAACTGCAGCAGATTATGCCTATTCTCGAGGCGTTATCTTGGCAGACACAAAATTCGAATTTGGGCTTGTACCGTCCTCGACGGGAACATCCAAAACACTCATCCTGATCGACGAACTTTTGACACCAGACTCTTCTCGCTACTGGCCATTGTCAGGGTATACCCCGGGAGGGGCACAGCCCAGCTTTGACAAGCAATACTTGCGAGACTGGTTGGTGAGCACAGGGTTCAAGAAAGGATTGGAGAGTGGACCGGAGGGCAAGGAAGGTCAAGGATGGATTATTGAAGAGAGCGTGGTCAACGGGACACGAGAGCGATATAAAGAGGCAGTTGATCTATTGACAAAAGAGTGAACACGCTTGACCAAATAACAACTAATGTATGTAACAACCAAGTAACAACCATTACAATGGCCTCTCTAGCAGGCAAGAAACGCGCCGCAACCCACAACCGCGAACCATCTACATCCTCAAAGCACACCTCCAAGAAAACGCGTTTCGTGGAACCATCGGATGACCCAACCGCTTTCGCTGAACAAGTCGACTCGGCGCTGGAAAACACATCACGGAAAGGCAAGGTTAAGAACGAGGGTTACGAGTCTGACTCGAGTGATGATGGCGAGGGCGTCGTGTTCAGTCGAAGGAAAGATGCAGGGGCTGGTGACGACGACGATGACGACATGTTTGCCGCTGCAGAGAAGGAGGAGTCGACCACGGAGAACGAGACACTGAAGAAAAAGAAGGATCAGTATATGAGGCTTGGTGATATCGAGGGTCAGGAGTTTGGGGGAGAATCTGGATCGGAGAGTTCGGATGATGTTGAGGACGAGGACGATGCAGAGCGGCGGAAGAAGGCTGGTATGGGCTTTGAGCTCTCCTCATTCAACATGCGGGAAGAGATGGAGGAAGGGAAATTCACAGAAGACGGCAGCTACGTGAAGTCATTCGATCCACACGGCGTGCATGATCGTTGGATGGAGGGATTGGACGATCGCGAGATCAAGCTTGCTCGGCGCAGGAAACGGGAGCAGGAAAAGAAGCAGCGAGAAAAGATGGAAGCGGAAGAGAGGGAGCTCGAACAAAGTGGAGGCAAAAATACTCTGGAAATGCAACTACTCCCTTTGCTCAAGAAAGGGGAAACCGTCCTCGACGCGTTGCAGCGCCTCGGAAGACGGAAAAAATCAACGCACAGCGCCAAGGGAGCCATCTCGGACGCAAAACCTCAAGATGCTCCCACTGACATTGAACGCATCACCCATCTCGCCTCAACCCTCATGTCATTGGGGGATACAGACATCTACTCGAAATCCTATGAAGAACTAGTTCGCGGTGTCCGCTCATCAGGATCTCTTGATCCTTCATGGGAACCTCCTTCCGCAGATGTGAAATACGAATACAAATGGGATATCCCAGGATCGGGGTCGGATACTTTTGGACCATTTGGTGAGGAGGAGTTGAAGGCTTGGTACAAAGCTTCATACTTTGGTCCGTCTGGGGAAAAGGTCAAGGTTCGTCAAGCAGGAGGCGAATGGGGAGACTGGGACAATGTTGTTCAATGATCGTCTTTTTTCTTGTTTTATGTAAATCTACACATCTATCTGTCCATTTGTAATTGAAAATCCAGCAAGCTCAGTGGCTGATGTATTGAAACACGAAAGAAACTTCAGGCAACCCGACTTCTGCACGAAGAAGATCGTCATGATTATTCTTGAGCTCCGCATTGGTGAAGTGGTTCCATCTGCACTTGGAGTTAGACATTGAATAGCTTGAAATCAGATCACTGACGTGCTGGCATCCCCGTACAGCAGCGCAGGAGCTTTGACTATTTGTTTGCCATCTTTGCATCGTTTGCACTTGAACGTCTCATGTGTTTCGCACAGGGTATTTTCATTGAAAGTGAAGAGTTGCCGAAGGGCATCAATTGAAAAGTGGCGCTCTGCGTCCTCTTTTTCATCCACTACGGCAGATGAGAGGGCCTGTTTATTGGCTTGCCGTTGGAATATCTTCTCTTCTATAGTCCCCGTCGAGATAAATCGATAAACAAAGCCTGAGCGACTCTTTGATGAACAGACAGTCATCGAGTAATAACTGTGACGACGTACATTCCTTTTTCTGGCCATCCCTCCACACACGAGCTAGCGCCTGTTGATCAGCAGCAGGATTCCAGTCTAAACAAATTTGTTATCAAAATATTTGCAGTTACAGAGTTATCCACGCACCAGGATCAAATAGTATTAACCGGTTCGCGCCAATCAAGTTGATACCACACCCGCCAGCTTTGCTACTGAGCAAGAAGATGAACTCTTTCCCGTCGGGGTCGTTAAATTGGTCAACAAGTTTTTGTCGTTTGACGATTGTCATTGACCCGTCCAGCCTGAAGAATCCATATCTAGTAATGTGGATCAACAGGCAACGTAAAGCTGAACACATCGAAAGGAGTATGTTTACTTCTTGCTTCTGCAAAGCTTTTCGAAAAGGTCGAGGGTTTGGGTATAATTACTGATCAAGACGATTTTATCTGTCGTTTGCGTCTTGATCTGATGCAAAAACCTTTGGCGATGTGAGATTATTATTCAAGGAAATCATAAAAGCCCACCTCTCAAGTACCAAAAACTTGCCACCCCAATCGCATCGAACCGTTTGCTTGCCACCCTTCCCTCGACTCCTTGCAGCAGTGCTGCTGAATCCTTCGGGAATCAAGTGGTCACATCCTTTAAGATCATCAGGAAGGTCGAGTAGTTCAGGGTGGTTACAGAGTTTCTTGAGAATATTAATCGCTTTGAGGGGCTGGGAGGTCGTGCCACGCAGAAGAGCCTTGATCTCAGGAGACACGATAAAGAGACGATATAGGGAAAGTTGGAACTCTGATAGACCGCAGAAGACAACCTGCTCGTACTTGACAGGGACTAAATACTAAATGAGGACCGCAAGGATTCGAGAAGGTAAGAAGAACATACGGTATTTTGACAAGAGATCATTGGTCCTGCGAATGATGAACTTCGTGACCAAATTGCCAAGCTCTTTGAGTTTTTTCTCACTTTCCGCTTTGACACCATCACTTGCCAACGAATCTCGGCCACGAATGATGGCATTTTCAAAGTTTTTGCGGAAGTCGTTCTTGGACCCAAGAAAATTTGGGTTGGCAAAGTTCAGTAACGAAAAATATTCTGACAGATCATTCTGTAAAAGAGGGCCCCGATGAACAACTGCTTTCAAATTCAAGAATCTTAGACCAACCTGGATTGGAGTGCCTGTTAGAATAACGCGACGATTGACATCTAATCCGTTGAGCGCTTGGAAAGTCAAGGACTCTGTAGCAGACGCGTGAGATTCTGTACTTTAACGTTTAGACTCTACTCACCCGAATTCTTTAGTCTATGACCTTCATCACAGAGAAGAAGTCCAATCTTGCAATGTGCAAGGTGGACAGTAAGTGTACGAAGTGTCTCGTATGAGACTATCATCACTGTCGTTTCGTGTTCCAGTTGGTATCCGTATAGAGTTGGACACATCTGCGTACCTGGTTGCGTTACATTCCGCCCACGGGCTGCTACCCACCTCCCAACCCTCTCAAGCAATTCGGCTTTCCCTCCTTTGCCGTCGATGGCCAAGGGCGTAACCGCATCTTTTCCCAACCACTTCACTGGGTGCAAGTTAGTCCGCTCAAATTGTAGGAATCAGAGACTTTACCAAGTTCATTTGCCCAATTCTTGACCAAGCTTGAGGGACATGCAATAATGCATTTCTCAATTGATGGCTTCCCGGGATGTGGTGATTGTTTCAACAAAGTCCAGAGCAGCGCAATGCATTGCAAGGTTTTTCCAAGCCCCATCTCGTCGGCCATAATGCACCCATATTGATTCTCAACTAGCATGCCGGTTGTGCATTTGTAGAGGAACTATTTGGAATGAGTACGCGTCACCATAATCGAAACGAGACCGCACCTTGACGCCTTCGACCTGATGTGGCCGAAGAACTTTTGTCAAAAGAGGGTCAATGACCACTGGAACCTTTTTATCTTTGGGCTTCTTATCCTTTCCTTCGCCGAGCAAATCTTCCAAGCGCTTGTGGGGGTTGTACATTCCGGCAGTTTTTTCTATTGCCTCCATCGCAGCTTTCTCTTTCGCTTCCCCCTCGAGCCTTTCCTTTCTCTCTTCGTCCGTTTCTCGATCGTCGGTAGTCGGGTCATATAAAACGATGGCATGGTCTTCCATGGGATCGTGCAGCGGTCTTGGGATGATTTTTGCCTGAGGTCGAACGCCGAGGGACGCATTGGATGGCGTAAGCGGTACCACCGTTCCATCTTTGCTTCTCATCGAAGGCATAGAGAACCTACGCGTCATCTGGTCGAAGGGTTTGGGCTTGTAGATAGGAAACTTGGGGATGGCAGCCAAGAGCTCCTCCTCATTGTGATATATGCCGTCCTTGTCTGTTTTCTTCTTCTTCCTTGAACCTGCGTCATTTTCGGAATCAGATAAGCTCGCTTCCTGCCCCTTATACGAGACACGCTTCCGTTTTCTTTGTGGTTGAACGCGCTCAAGTATTGCGATGGTGGGTGGTTTGAACGGCTGATTGACTCGAGTAGTTTCATGGAATCTATCAAGAACTTTTCCGTCACTGGTGGTGGGGACGCGACGAAGCATAGGTCATGGGCGTAAAATCTTAAACAAGAGGGAAGGTGACAAGGAGAACCAAAGTTAGGCACGCTTCCGAAACGCGGTGTAATGCATCACACGTGACCGTAATGATTCCTAATGCTATGTTACGTAATACTATGTACAAATTACCAAGTCAGATTAAGAAGTTTCCTGAAAGTACTGCGACCACCGCTTTTCATCGGCATTTGAAGCAGCGTCAGCGTAACCAGAGTAATTCTCGACAAACACCTGTGAAACCAATGTTTTCCCAGGAAGTTTAGGTGGGATATTGAGTTTTTGGCAAACTTGATTGTTGCTGGAAGAGCAAAATGCTAAAAGTTGTGCACCTGCCAGAGCTACGAACTGGGTGGAGAAAGAATGGAGAAAAAAAGTTAAATCCATTCTGCCAAAGAAATTTGTGAAAACATACAACATCTCCAACCTCCAAGCGAGCCGCAAATCGTTCAAAATGCCGTTTGGTTTCGTCGGCGACGTTTTCAAGAACAACAACCTGCGCCGATGGACCACCAGTGCGCATGGTATCAAGCAAGGACAGACATCGCTCTACTTTGTAAAATTTTCCAGGAACATTAGGACCCTTACTTCCAACAGCAAAAAGGGACGTGTTGGGAGGCGAGATGTCTACCAAGAGGACAGGGATTGATATCGATGAATCGAGGTTGATCAAGAAAGGTGGAGATTTAGACCTGTTAAAACCCATTACGCAAAGTCACGTTTAAACCAAGCTTGGCTTACGAATCAGTTTGAGAACCAGAGGCTTGACCTTGAGAAAGGGAATCCGAACCTAAACCACTAGAACGCAGGTCAAAATTATGCACGTGGGGGACGACGCAAACTAACAGGGGACCAAATATTGTCGACTTTTTCCAGTTAGGATTAATAACTCCTTGGTCGGCAATGAACGAACTGGAAGGAAACAGTTTGTCCTTGACCAAGTTAAGGCTGTAAAGGGCGGTGAGACCCCAGTACAGGTCCATTTGATCTCACTTACTTGTTTCTTATGACAGACTGTTGCAAATTGTCAGGTGGTAACGTTGACTGTGCTGCTGACGGAGGTGCCTGCTCAGTGGTGTCCATCTCTTCATAGTCGGGAAGTGTTTCCGCAGCATCCGGATCGAGACCGGCAAGTTTCAACAACTCTTCTCCCGATGGTGTGACCATGTTTCCCGGTATTTCAGGTAGGGGAGAGTCATGTATTTCCGTCTCATGAGTGTCCTGTGTGATATCTTGGCTGCCATTCTCTCCCTCAACACTTTTGTGGAGTGCACCTTTCGTGGTTTTGTTGAAACTTTTGTCGAGGGTTAAGGCGTTCGATTTGCTAATGAAACCAGAAGAAGATCGGCCGGGTCCAGGTTTTGAACGCGATCGACCACGTTCCTCCGCGGTGACCAAAGAGGCCGACTTTTTTTCTAGCACACGCATCTTGGCGGGAATTGCTCCATCTATCGTGGAAAGATTGGGATCGTCCATCATCTTCACGAGAGGCATTTCCACACGCATCCGATGCGATGGTAGTTTGGAAGTAAAGGAAGGTGAGTGAACCGAATCATCGAGTCGTTCAGAATTGTGGGGATTCCGAGAAGTGGAACACTGAAAATCCGATACGGCGTTGTCTCTTCTGATGCCACCCTCCGTTTCTTCGTCAGAATCAGGAATGACCTCAATAGAGGGCGATCGATGGGGTCTCTTATTTTTCCTGTACGATGCAGATGGTGTCATCGCCACCTTTAAGGTTTGGGGCTTCCCATTCAAGTTGGTCGGCAAAGGCTTTCTTGTAGGAATGGTGGGAGAAGCAACAGATTCAAGGGTTCTTTCAAAAAGGTCCTCGTGTTCACGAGGGCGTTTAGCTGGATAATCGTCCCCTCCCTTCTTGTCAAAGCTGCTGCGTCGTCGCTTCGTAGAGATCTTGTTTTCAACTTGATTAGAACCCTCTGGCCTGGACGGCGTTGGGCCTGCTGCTGGGGATAGTGAAGATGGATTCACGACAGACTTCCGCTTGATTTTTCGGCCTGTTGCAAATCAATTGTCATGCCGAATCCAAGAGTATAACATGGTACATACGTGGAGGACCGAGGGGCAGGAATAAATCACCTTCTTTGAAAAGGCTCAAGTTGTTGATATCGCGTCCACCCGAGTCGGCACGTTCCCAAAACTTTTGAACAATATCCTCAGAACCCACGAATGATTCCGTTGGCTCCCACCTTTGACATATATCAGTCTGTGTAGAGTTGCAAATTTCCCCGTACTCACGTATCATGTTCTGGACTATAGCCTTTCCACTGCAAGTATGAATGTTAACGCGTCAAAATATCTCCGAGCTGCTGGGAGCTTACTCTGACGCAGTATTTCTGGGAAAGAGCTGACGTTCAGGACTGTTTGGATTCTCATTTAGACGACTTACCCAAACCAATTTCTGACCCTTGCCTTTCTTCTTGGTTACTTTGGCTTGCGTAATAGACTCTACAAGCTGTGAGCTTCGAGTAAATGTGACGAAATTGGTGTTCTCACCGACTTCGTACTCATTATCGTCGTTCATGATGAAAGCTGCTGGCACGAGGAGACTCTTGTGAGGCGCTTACATAATTACAGAGCCAGGCCTTACGTAATGTCTAATGTATGAATTCAATTCCTTCGTGATGTCATGGCCAGTGTCCACAAACAAAATGTCTAGCTTGTGTCTGGTTTTCCTCTTGCTGCCATAAAAAATGGCCGAGAAACCCTCCGTGGAGCATAGAGAGACGGATCCTCAGCCCAGCGTGATCACTGCTCCTCCAGCTCAAATCCCGCCATCCCAACCCCCACCTGCCTATGACAATCCCGTAGAAGTAATCCAGCCTGTTTCTGCTGCTGCAAAAGGAGAGCAGTATCAACAAGAACGTCCGTATTTTTTTTTCCATTTTTTTTTTCAAACTTCGACCCTATTTTTTATCTTAGTCCTCGCCCGGTGTGCAGCTGGCCAACACGACTACAGTACGAGGTTCGGTCCATGTGGAATCATCACTGCGATCGTCAGTGCTTGCGATTTTCCTCGTGTTTAACAGGTCCTCACCGCAAACATAGTTCTGTTTCCCCATAGGTCTAATATGCTTATTGTGTGTACCCCACTCTCGCCATATCTTACCACCTTGACCGTGCCCATTATAGCATGGACAGCGAACGAAGATGTAGGCGTTGCGGGACTGTGTTCCAACCATGATTGCTGCACGTTGGATGATTTTATTTCGGTATGTACATATAGTTAACTAAGAGAGTCAAATGTATAGCAAGCTTAACAAGATAAGTACATTATAAGTTCAAGAATAATGAAAAAAATGCAGTCAGAGCAAGATAACACTTAGATTTAAAGATCCTGCGATTCCTCCGATTCTCCAGGCCACACGGGCAAAGGCAGGTATCGAGAAGCAATCAAACAATCCTTCACCCAGTTCCAATGTACTGTGGTGGCATCCGACAATTCAGGAGAGTAGTGGGAAGCCTCCCGGATAATGACAAAATCATAAGCCGAGACTCCACTAGTGGCATGCTGGATGTCAGTAACAGCCTCGACATATTCAGCACCCATTGCAAGGATGATACGCGCCACCGCGTTGATCGCTTCCTGCCCCTTCTCGTCTACACCGGGCAACTGAATAAATATGACCGTCACGCATGGAAGCCTGATGGAAGACTGTTGAGACATACCCGTTTACCCCTGGGTTGAGGAATCATCTCAGGTCCAACACACAGTACCGACTTCTCTGCAAACAGCTTGCAAGGAACGGCGTTCGACATTATCTGTTTCAGTTGATGGATGCTGTTCCCCCAGTCAAAGTCAATTTGCTGCGAAGCACGTGCGCCCAACGCCTCCGAATAACCCTGTGGTAGCAAAAACGACGTCCAGTTCTCCATAAGCTTGTCGCCAAGCTAGTGTGATGTTAATTTAAGAAAAAGTGATGAATAGTTGAAAATCCCAGCATGCCCGTACCTTGTCAAGCCATTCGGTGGACACACATGGTATTCCCAAAGCCAGAGCTATCAGGAACTTGGGCTTCTGGTTTGCGTCGTCAGCAACAAGTAAAAGGCGGTGGAGGCCCACTCCATTCCATTTAACATCAGACTTAGTGATGGACCATCGATTTCCGGATTTTGAGTGACTGCCTTCCATGCGGATGATGGTCGAGACGTCATCGATTACTTTTCCACCATTGGTCCTAATTATATTCATAACCCTTTCCTTCTCCTTCTCCCAATGCCCACCCCCACGCAAAGTGACAATCAGTCCAGTGCCGCTGAGTATCTTGGAAGATGTCGAACTGGCAATTGACGATGTTTTAGACGGGGTCGGACTTGGTTTTCCTTTGAAAGAGTGGACAGCGGTGATAATGTTTCCAGCTGAAAGCGTTCGATCCTTCCATGCATGCAAGACGGTTTTATGAGCGAGCCTAAGATCCTTAATGTTGAAGTCTTCCGGGCCATCGATCTCGAGAGTGACAACACCCTCTGATTGATCAAGACTTATAACCTTATAAGCATGTGGAAGGTTGGCGACAATGACATCGTCTCCAATGTGAAGGTCGCACCGCCGCATCTGGTCGAGGTTTAAATCGGCCGTGGTATTGTCGTCAAATTTGACTTCATATCGCATATCATTTCGTAGACGATTGACGTATCCGGGATAGTAATAGCCGTCTTGTTTCCATAAAGCAAAAACGCGAGTTGCATCTTCGGGCCGACTGTTGGTAGAAATCGCTGGCTTGAGGCGCTTTGTGTATCGAGTGGATGGCGTTGCGGCTGACTTCGCGGTAGATTTTGAACTGTTCCTCGTTGCAATAGATCTACTCGGCTGGGCGGCGCGCTTACGTTTCCGCGACGATGATTCGGCCACCGGTTGGTCGACTTCCATGTACTCTGCTTCACTAGCAGACTCGTCTTCACTTCCCTTCTGTTCGTTCGACATCAGGAGCTCGTCATCTGACTCAATCTTCTCGGCATGTTGTTTGCTAAGCGTCCGGCCTCGTTGAGTCGTGATCGTTGACCGCAAGTTGCGAGCTGATTTAGGCGGAGCGATAGCCTTTTTGTTTTGATCGCTTAGTTTCGGAGCAACCGTGGGTCGAGGCTGTCGGTCGGTAAGCGCGGCCTTTTGCACAGGTTGTTCGGCAACTGATGATGGAATTTCCGTAATTCCTATAGATCTGCGTGGAATGGTTTTGATGGGGCTAGGTACAGCAACAAGCTTCTGTCCTTGATCTCGACTGAGCTTGCTTCGAACTTGTCGCTGATTTCTTCCTAACGATGAAGCTTCATGTGCATCCTGATCTGAGATCAACAACGCACTCATAGGGAAGACGTAAAGCTGTCACAGACCTTTGTTTTTGGGGGCAAGCCATTGACATGGAGAACAGGTTTGTTTTGTTTGAGCGGCATAGTTCTCTTCGAGGTGCTTGCAATCCTTGCTGCAAGAGGCACGTCATCATCATCATCACTACCGCTGTTCTCCTCCTCCTCCGCCGTGTTTCCGAGCTTTTGGGGCTCAGAATCATCCGTCATTTCCGTGAGCTCCCCCTCATCATCAATCAACAATGTATTAAGGGCCGTTGCGTTCTGAAGATCCTTCGACTCAGCAGGTTCTTGCTTGGAAGTGCTAGCATTCTTCCCGCCGTGGCCGCCTTGACGGCTCAAAGCCGCAACGTGAGAGTCAGAGCGAAGAGGTTCTGAATCAGGAATGACATCCAGAAAATCTATATCCTTTGCCGGATGAGATGAAACATTGTTTGAGGTAGATGGAGACCTCAATGAATTTATATCACGGACTGAACGTGCAAGACCAACGTGGTGAGGGGAAGGTCCTGTGCCTTGGTCTTCGAAGGATGGTTGCGTTTCCTGGATTGCAGGACTTGTGACGGATGGTCGCGTTTGTTGCTGGCGGCTCGGAACGGATGGCTGTGTCTCTTGCCATCCACCTCCAGTGGCGATTGGTTGCCCAATTGGGGACGGCTGCAGCTGCTGCCCTTGGTGTAGGAAAGGGTGTCCAACTTGATGTACATTCTGCTCCGCAAATTCAGGCGGTGGCACAGACGGTTGTTTCTGATATTTCTGATATCGATAATGGATCAGCGGATTTACCATGCTTAACAAACCTCGACGTCCAGTGGAAGTGGTTGCCTGTGAAGTCGAAGCAGGGTTATGAAAATTCGATCCAGCCTTAGTGCTATCAGAGGCTGCAGGTAGAATCCAAGGATTTCCAGGGTCCTCCATCTCAACACCCGCTGGCTGGGTAGATGGCTGGGTAGCTGGTTGGGTGGCCTGAAGTTCGGAAATCTCTTCAGAGGGATCAGACTCCCCTTTGAGCAATCTTACAAAGCTGGAGGAGTGCTCGCTACTTTCGTATCCACTCCCTTCGCTGTCATGATCCACATCCATGGCTTCCGTGCGGCTGAGTGCAAAGTCATTGTAGCGATTGGCAGACTGTGTTTCTTCGAACTTATCGGAGACAACTTGAGAGCGTTCGTCTTGTGATTGTGAATCTCCATCTTGTGACGGGGTTGAGGCAACAAGGACGTTGCCCTCCGGGACGGCTGAGCGACGTGTCCCATCCTTAGAGACGGAGTGAGAACGCGTCGACTTGAAGCCGACACAGACGGCATTTACCTTCCCCTTGACGGAGGGATGCGTGCGTCCTAATTCGGACAGGGGAATTTCGAATTGCTTTGATGTAGCCACGAACCTCTCCTCCGGGTCCGGAGAGGGTTCACAGGCAAAGGAATCTTGAGAGCAACCTTGGACTTTGGAATGAGCAGTCAATACAGCTTTAGCCTGCTTGTGTGTCGCGATTGATGTCTTTCCACGAGAAGACGATTGTAAAGTGGAAGTTGAAGCCTGCTTTTCGTTGACGTGCTTGGACTACAATGCAGATGGTGGTCAATAAAGTTAATCGTGGCACATACGTCGATCTTGCCTTGTTGTGAGATGACAAGTTACTTTTGTGGCTTACGCTATTCGACCCATCCTTAACAAACCCTGAGAGCAACGTTGCCTTCGATGCCGCTGCGCCTTTGTTGGATTTTTTTCTCAAGTTTTCCTGCCGCAATTGTTGGTCGTCATCGCACTGTTGACTTTGGGTCTGGGTATTCGCCAAACCGTGATAATGATAGCGAGGAAGAGAGCTTAGGCTTCGCGACGGGGAGATGTCTTTGAGGTGGTCGTCAGGCACGCGTTGATATTTACGGTCTTGTCCATTAGCCTCGTTGGCAGTCCAATTTGTGTCATCCTCTGTGATTAGATCCTGCAGTACCAAGCTGGCTTGTGAGCTTTCTGGGTCACTGGTGGAGAGTTCAGAATACGTGCATGGAGCATTCAGAGCAACATACATAGCCTCATCAAACGCGTCCATTAAACTTGACTACTGACGCGCCGGATACCGTGGAAAGCGAGTAGTGGGGCTGACAAGAAAAAACACGCCAACAAAGCGCGCCGCTTGAGCTCGAAGTGGGCCAAATCAACCTGTGGTAGTTGGTGGTAAGTGGTCGTTGGTGGCAAGGTTAGAGCTGGCACAGACTGCTCTAAAATTATGTAACATTGGAAATTGAATGGGAACGCTCACGTGATCTACACATTCAATACACCTACCACGATAACGCAGGACGTGAATCCCACTCTCTTCAAACACTCTCGCTTTTATTCAACACCTATTTCTCAGAAATGGCTGCTCAGCGTTTCCGCCGCGCGCCTCAAAATCCATCGCTCAAAACGCCTAGGCCCATCTTGTACCAAGAACCCTCTGGTAGGCATTTGTCTCGTAGATATGAGTCCTCAATGCGGCGCGAGGGAGATATTCGCAAATCGAACGCCGATATCCAGGACTTTCAGGATTCCACCTTTATTTCGCACTCGGCTCTCATTCCTGGCCAGCAACTAAAAGGAACTCCAGATGAAGGGCCCTCATCTGAGTCGCCAGTCCCGGCTTTCTTCCCCGATACTAGTGGCCACTCAACTGAAGGTTTTGGGCCTCTAAGCAGACCAACTGAGAACGTCCTGCCTTCTAGCTTACTCTCTCATTTTCAAGCCACATCTCATTCCAGTGTGCCGTCTCCAACGTTCTCTCCTCTTCCGCCCTTGTTATCTGTGATTTCCAGCTCATCCATGTCTGCCATGGATTCAAGTGTATCTATCCCAAGTCCACCGACGGAGGACCTCCCTACTGCCAACGCGCTGGACACATCGACTCCACATAGGGCCCTTTTACAAAATAAACTGGCAACGCCAGTCATCATTCTGCTAGCTGTCGCCACAGGCTGTCTTTTTCTTGGTGCTTGCATCATCACCAAAAGCTGTACGGCTCGTAGTCGTCGGAGAAGGTTGAAGCCATTACTCCCCGTATTGGAAAAAGCATACCCTGACGAGGACGATTTCGAATGCAAGGGGTCGTCCATCTTTGGCGGGAAAGAGCAGTTTTCACCGGCGCCCGGAAGGACCAGTACGGAGTGGTCATGGGTCCAGTACCCGATCCCAAGCTCACAGCCTTCGGCACAGGCTACCATCCACGATGCTCGGAACCAAGGGAACTATGAACAAGCTTTTACTAATTCTGTGCCCCGTGATCCTGCCGCCCAATACCCCTTCAGCAGCACTGGTTGTACACATCAATTCCCAACCGATCCAGAGCCAATGGCACAAGAAAGTCAGCATGCAGTCACTCGTTCTACCGAGAGCGAACCTATGGTCACCGTCGCGAAGCATTCCGCTCAAACACCTGTGGGCACTGGTGGACTTCCCCTCGACGCTGCTGTGCAAGGACCTGTATCAACCACGGACAGTCAAGACGTTATCGAACGCATGCGCCGAAGTAACAGTCAAAATCATGAACAAAAGCGTCGAAGTTCTGGTGTCGGCTCAATCATTGCTTATGATGGCGCTGACGTATCCTCGCCTATTTTTGAGGCAACTTTTCAACCTCTCGCAACTCCCGTGCTAAGCGCGATGCCTGTTGTAGCACAGGAAGGCCGTGCAAGAGTACAATCCTCCTACTTTGTAAACCGCCCGTTCACTCGTTTCTCCGTACTTCCCGAAACATACGCAATCGGCACAGCGACAAAGGTCAATCTTACTCATGCCCACGCCCATTCAATTGAAAATGAGGTGAACCTGACAACCCAGATGTCGGATGACCAACGAGAACGCCAGACCGAAGCACTCACACATGCCTTGGGCTTACCTTCCCCAAGATGTGAATATGTGGTCTGCTCCCCGCAACCTTCGTTATACCCCGATGATTCGACGCCGCACACTAGAGACTCCTCGGGTCCAAGCTCAGGTAGCATCGTGACAATGGAGTCGGGTTCTAGTCTTTTGGGGTCGAGCAACCAATCATTTGACACTTTGGAAAAACTCTCAGGTGTTCTGGAGAATGAAGGCACGCGCAAGACCAAAAGGTTGAAGAAAAAGACTGGTCGCCGTGATAGTGACAAGCCTCCACGGGTCCCTTCACCCCCGCCCCTTCCCTCCTTGACACAGATGGGCCTTGAACACGCGAACCCGGAAGCCTATTCAAACTATAGAAGCCCAACGTACAGCATATATGGGTTGTACGACGGCGAGCGGAAGAGTGGAATAGGTTATTGATCGTCAACTATATTTTAGTTCTTGCACGTGTATTTCACCATGTATTTTTAACATTGATCGCGACATATGGCAGTGGGTGCGCAGCAACGGGAATCAACGACGAAAACGTCTACAACGCGACGACGACGGCATTATAAATTGATATAAACCTCGCCCAGCCTTGCCCTCGTTTGCAAACCCTCGGGAGGCCCTTTATTTTTCGTGTTCGTTGACGCTACTCACGAGTAACGCTCGAGTCCATTATTTTTCACCCACGCCCACTCCGCCAATCCCATGTCCAACACCCATCCCATCCAACTCAGCATTAATCTAAATGACCCCGACGACAATAAAGACCTTGAAGGTGGGCAAATAACCAATGCGAACACGTCGCCCTCCCTCGGGGGCATACCTCTGAAATACATATCGTCAGTCGCTTCTCCAATGCCAGTTGGCGCGCTCACAACTTTGTTACAGCCTGGTGACATTGGCGTTGCAAAACTCTGCTTTGACAATCGTAATGCACTATTCTCGTGTGTCGACCCCCGCGAACCAAAGATATTCAGCCGCTACAGCAGTGCTCCTGAACGAAATCCTGAAAGGGTTGATTTCACTTGTGATAGCTTTCCTTCGATTGGATTCCTCGCACGACACGATGCCGGTGTCTTATTCCGCCCTTCAGCGAGCTCCCCCGAGCTCTCGGATATTTTTGGGTCGCGTTCAAAGGTTGTGGAGGGATATTTTGAGTCCTGATTGTTGGAAGTTGTCAATACCAGCCATTCTATATGGTAAGTGGACCCTTAGACTGCTACCCCATCCATACTTATCCTTGATTCAATAGTCATACAAAATAACCTTCAATATGTTGCGGCATCCAATCTGGATGCTGCGACCTTTCAAGTGACGTACCAAATGAAAATCCTAACCACAGCCGCCTTCTCCGTCCTTCTCCTGCACAAGAAGCTGTCGCCGAACCAATGGCTGTCACTTTTATTTCTCGCAATTGGTGTCGGCGTTGTGCAGATTCAGTCAGGGAATGCGAAAGTGCCGGCTGCCACTGGTGTGCATTCGATGAACCCTCTCAAAGGCCTTATGGCAGTAACCGCTGCTTGTTTCACATCTGGCCTTGCTGGCGTTTACTTTGAGATGGTGCTCAAAAACTCCCAAGCGGATCTTTGGGTCCGTAACGTCCAATTGTCATTATTCTCGCTCCTTCCCGCCCTCGCCCCCGTAATCTTCGTTCAGCGAACTGAGGCATCATTGGCTGGAGAAAGTCTTTTTACTGTCCTATTTCGCAATTTTGGAGCGTGGGCTTGGTTAACCGTTGGCATCCAAGTATTTGGTGGTTTGGTGACCGCGTTGGTTATCAAGTATTCAGACAACATCTTGAAAGGGTTTGCTACCAGCCTCAGCATTGTGATTTCATTTCTCGCGTCGGTCGCTCTCTTCAATTTCCAGATAACATTCACATTCGTCCTCGGTTCTGCAATCGTCTTGATCGCGACATGGTTATATAACCAACAACCAACACGCGTTAGCATGGTTATGCTGAAGGAGCCGCTCCATTGGAGTTGGGGTAGAAGCGAAAAGCTGAAAACTGAGCCGTCGTTGCGTTCTCCGTCACAGCCATCTCAGTTTCTGGGCTTGACGGCTGTTTCATCGACTACCTCGTTGTCCTCTCTCTCCTCCACTCCAACATCTATCTCCGATTCTGAAGCAATGACTTTTATTAGATGACTATAATAGGCCCTTATAGCAACCTTTCTACAATATTCGCTCAATTATCATCTTGATTACCATAATACTTATATTGCGTACAGTGCAGGATGGCTGCTCTACCTTCAGCGTTACATGAAAATTCGTCTTCATTTGAGTACAAAAACACAAAGGAATGTAGGTACGGTTTCCTAGTCCAGATCCACCTATAAAAAGAAGTAAAACAAGATGGTATTTTCTACTTGCCGTATCGGGCTTCAAGGCCTTGTTTTATGGCTGAAAATTCCGTTAGCCATGCCATATGAAACGAGGAAGCGACCAAATACCATCGCAGGTCTCCTTCGCGTCCCCGAACAACATCTTCGTTCCAGCCATATAGAACATTGGATTTGGCACGTCAGCTGCAAGGGGTGTTAGCCAAATGGATATCTCAAAGCAAAATCCACCCACCGTAACCACTGGCTAATCCCCTCTTCATGACGATGACTTGTTTGCTCTTCCAAGCTTGCAAGACGGGCATTCCCTAAATCAAATCGGATGAAAAGCAATGAACGACTGTGTGTGACTACATACCGCAATAGCGGAACCTGGCTCGAGAGCAATGGGATTCACTGTGTCGTTGGCACCGATGACGAGAGTGAGGTCGGTATCCTTGAAATCTTCGTTGATTTCATCCATTTCAAAAACAACTGGAAAAGGGGCTTGTTAGCGAACAAAAGTGGATATCGATCGGGGGCTGACTATCATAGGGTACAGAAGCTTCTGCAAGCAGTACATTACATTGTCCGGGCATACGACCAGCTACAGGGTGAATCGCAAACTGCTATCTTATCAGTGGATTGCCTCTTGTGAGTAGGGTCTCCACTCACCCGAACATTCACCCCTTTAGCACGAAGCAAAGCCGTTATTTCTGATATTGCATATTGCGCCTTGGCGACAGCCATTCCATAGCCCACCACCTAAGAAGTATGCTTCGAGCGTGCCAAGGCCGACAGTGGCGAAGTTGCTTACCAGTATAACACTGTCTGCATTCGCCAAAGCCTCAACCGTATCATCCACGGTCGTTCGAGTGATGGTGCCCTCAATCTTCTGGGTTTCAGTGGGGGCCGTGGGGGTAATACCGCCAAATAGCACATTTGTTAGAGATCGGTTCATCGCAATACACTACTTGAAAGTTAGAACCCAAGGGAGGATTGGCATGAATTCATACCATGATGTACGAGAGAATAGAGCCGCTGACGCCAATCAACGACCCTACCGAAACAAGCAAAGGGTTATCCAGCATAAACCCTGTAAAATATTAGCAAATTGGCGGCGTAGCTTGTCGTCAGTGGTTCTCAGTACCTTCTGCGACAAGAGCAAACCCCCTTTTGCAATGAGGGTCGGTGAAGATTGTCATATTGGGAATGAACAAAAGCTCACGAATAGGCGTTGAGTACTGTGATGACCACAGCTGTGCATCCTCCGTGAGACAGGCGAAAAAAATGGAAGATAAAACACCACTGACGCATGTCGGCACCACCTATAGCAGCGGTGGTAGTAAACCCCTTCAAGAAACTTAGAATTGTGCTGGCACCAAGGAAAGAAGCTGCGATCAAAGGGGTTGTTGGAGCCATGGACATGAACCCTGCCATGGTCAGAGCATTTGCACCCAGAAGAGACGCATTGATCAGGTGCTTCCCTGGAAGGACAAGGGGCTTGGTTGTCATTCGTGCGGCCAGCTTCAAAAAGGCAACAATAGAGCCAGTGAACGTAATCCCACCTGTTCGAAAAGCTAAGTTTGAGTGAAGAAAGTTGGGAAAAGGAAAGAAATGCGTAAAGACCGATGACAACACCCAAATAAGCCGTTACGAGGTGTAAATTGGAGAGGTGAGCCGGATCTTGGAGCACGCTTCCAATGCTGGTCAACACTGCTGATAAACCCACAATTGAATGAAGCAGCGCAACGGTCTGGGGTAACTCAGTAGCAGTGACGCGTCTACCAATAATAGAACCGATGAGTCCTCCAATCGCTGCCACCCCAGCAAACTGGGCTACAACTTCCGGAGAAAACCCTACTGCCCCCAACGAAGCTAGGACTCCAGAGCCCACTCCAAGAATGCCAAGTGCATTGCCTTGCCTGGCTGTTGTTTGCGAACCCAAACCAGAAAGTGAAGCAATGCACAAAACACTGCTTGTCAAATATCCAGCTTGAACAAGGCCTGCCATTCCAGTGCTCGCAGCTGCCAGAAATCCTCCAGTGAATACGACTGCTGGAGCAGCATACAACCACGAGTATTCTGGCGGGTCTGTCGGACCTATAGAGTGCCATTTTCATTAGTAAAACATCGCAGCTCGTAAAGAACAGACGTACGTTTAAACATATCCAACATCCTTTTTGTTATGATGAACCCCCCTGCAACGTTGACGCTTGCTAAAAGAACTGCCGCGGCACCTAATGCCTGAGGAATTGTGCCTGGGAGGTATCCTCCGCCCATAACAAACATTCCAGCAACACCGACCTTAAAATGACAAGGTAAGGTCCAGCAACTTCCTAGTCACAACAGCGGCATACCAGACCGGAAATTGCATTCGTAACCGACATAAGGGGCGAGTGGAGAGCAGGAGCGACACCCCAAACCACTCTACCAAATAGGATGAGAACTAGAAACGCGGAAAGAAAACGAGAGAAAAATCACCTATATCCAACCAAACCTGCCAGGCCAAACGTAAAGAAGCTGTCCATAAATGCTGTACCCGTCGCTTTACCTAGGGCGAGCACTCCGCCCATGCCCGCCGTAACCACAGCCACCTCCCGAGATGCTTTCTGCCATGGTGTGATAGCAGTTGTTTTCGCTGTATCTTCTACGGCAGTGGGCGGGGAAGCAACCGGAGGAGGCATTGCACGGGGAACTGGTGGCAGTATGCTGCCGTTGTGGACAACGAGTGAACCTCGAACAACTTCGTCATCGAGATCGACAGCAAAATTGCCTTCACCACCGAGAGAGAGCAGAAACTTAGTGATGTTGTTAGAGTATAAAGTAGACGACTGTGTTGGCAATCTCGATGGAAGATCGGTGTAACCTTGGATTTCATCAGCTCAACAGCGAAAACATCGTCGACGGCCAAATTCTGACCAATAATAGTTACACCCGATTGAACGTTGAGCTCTCCTGGTCGTGTGGCCTCACAATTTCCGCCAGCCTCTGCGGCGAGGTCTACGATTACCGACCCTTGCTTCATCGCGGCCACCATTTCAGCAGTGATCAGTTTAGGCGCAGGTTGTCCAGGAATTAAGGCCTGTGCGGGACCTCAAAAGACGAAAATCGATTCGGAAAATTTCTCTATGCTTACCGTGGTAATAACTATATCCACATCCTTGCACTGCTCCATAAAGAGTTCCATCTCTGCTGCAATAAACTCCTTGGACATAACTTTCGCGTAGCCACCAGCACCTCCGCCATCTTCTTGAATGATAACCTCAAGAAATTCAGCGCCGAGTGACTGGACCTGTTCTCGAGCTGCTGCTCTAGTGTCAAACCCACGAACAATCGCTCCCAATCGCCTCGCCTTTCGATAGAGGTTTCAATGATAGTAACTCGCCGACGGGGTCACACTCACCGTCGCAATGGCGCTCAGCCCTGCTACACCAGCACCAATGACCAAAACTTTGCAAGGTGGAATCTACGTCGACTATCAGTTGACTTCCGCATTGTTTCCAACGATGCAGCTTACTTTCCTTTCAGACGAAATTCGCATGAGATGTGAAACAAGGAAGAGAAAATAAAATATACCCAGCTGCCGTTACTTGGCCGGTCAAAAACCTGCCAAAATGATTAGATGCTTCTAGAACCGCCTTATATCCAGCGATGTTGGCCATAGAGCTCAATGCGTCAAAGACCTGAGCACGAGAAATTCTGGGTATCATATCCATCTAGTCGCACACAAAATTAGGCTTTTAACATGTCCAAGTACCGTCACATACCGCAAAAGCATCAACTTTGCCTGTAGCAAGGGTATCCACAATTGACTTGTTTTGGGCTGGGTAGAGGAAGGAAATTATCGTGCTGCCTTCTTTCAAAGCTTCGACCTCCTGTCCGAGAAGTGGAGGCCGAACTTTGAGCATGATGTCGGATGACCTAAACACCTCGTCTTTCGAGACCAGAGTCGCGCCAGCAGCTGCATATTGTTCGTCCAGAAACTGAGCTTCCACCCCAGCGTTGCGCTCCACTAAAACCTTCATAAATCCTTTCTTGCGAAGAAGAGCCGCATTCTGAGGTGTGAGGGAGACTCGCCGTTCATTGGGGAAGATCTCCCGCGGAACACCGACCGTTAACGATGAGTAGGGGGTGCTTGGTTTCGCTTCGATTTTCGCGGTATGTTCGTTCAGAGACTGGTTGGTAACATGGAAGGACCGGCAAGCTGTATCGGGTAAGAGGTCAAACCACAAGGTATTTGAGTATGTGCAATGCTCCTGACCTAATAGCTTTCCAGTTCTAAAGGTAGTCAAGGACGCTAGTCGATGGCACTTGGCTACCACGTCAACCGTCTGTGGTCGACATACCACCATTTTGCGTGGTAGGCGGCAGTGACTTGCAAATACCACCCTATAGACAACTGATCCTGACCTAAGCGGGGCAAGAGGTAAGAACTGGTCAGAGTTGACTCAGGACCGCAACTGTCACTATTTAAACAATTACAATATCTTCCATTGTCCCACAAGTATGTGAATACTACATATTCATAGCAGGTCGATGTGGCCCCGTTCTGTTCCTAACGCGGAAGACATGAATGTCCAAAGAACAACTTCGCGGAGTCAAGTCGTTCGAATTCACAAATGATTCCAGCTGTTCATGAGCCCATCTGGCACCTTATATGTTACAGCAGGCCGAAAAGCAACGACACCTTTACCAATAGAGTAATTCTCCGTATCTTTGATCACGCATTGATTATTCCTATACGCTGCGAGTTGTTCCCCAATCAGGAGATCGGGGTCTCTGCAGGTGGTTCCAAGGTAAGTGACGTTGCGTGAGCGCTTATTGAACATCGTTCTGCTACGCACCAACGTAGCGCGTGGCGTGCATGCCGACGTGAGGTAATGATTTGGCTAACATGATTCACAAGATACTTAATGAGCAAAGGCTCGTGTAAGAAGAAGAGGGAGCACCATTCACGATTTGAAATTGCCCCGATATACTAGCGCGATTCCTCGATCAGCGGATCGGCCCCTTTTATGTGCAGCGCCTGCCTGCCGACCGAATTACTTGCAGGTAACTTTCTGAATTTCCAAGGGCTGTCAACCGGCGACGCGCACAACCGGAATTGACTTCATTAAGAGAGAGACGCCAAACCCTTTTTAATTTAAACCTGGGCGAAGGGTGGACGCGGGTATATACGGAATGTGTTTGATAGGGAGTGGGAGGATACATCTCTGTAACAACAATAAGTGGCGGTATTATGTACTAGAATAACATTGAAGATACCGCGTCGTCCCCTCCATCCGTCGCGCCAAGCAAGGTTGGTCCGGATCCAAGAAGTACATAGTGGGGGAGATAAAATAAGCAATAAGGGGAGTGTGCAATGTTTAGTGTGAGAACCGTGATAAGAGGAGAAAAAAATGAGTGTGTGGCGGTGGAGATGATGTGAATTTTGGTACAATCATCGTTCGATCGTGAGTGATGGGTGGTATACAAGATGTCGTTCCGGAAAGAGGAGAAAACTAGGGCGTGGAGTAACGTGCAGACCGAAGCGAATGTAGGGCGTGAGTACAGACAACGAAAATCTGATCAAATTCAAGATGAGCTGCTTGAGGAGGAACCAAAAAAAAAAACCCCACCAGAGCGGGGACATAATCACGAATCACGGCGAGGACTTCACCACCACCATCCGCGCCGGTTTCGGGAAGCTTTCCCAGAATGCTGCAATTCTGCCTGTGCTTAACAATGGCTTTTTTTGCTTCACAGGCATGGGAAAGTACCCGACACTTTGATTTGGGTCAGGAACGTGGAAGTGCCGAGCTCGCGCAGACGCGTCGAGCTCCAACCCTAACAATGCAAGTTGATCGGTGGGATCATCGAACATCAGGCTCTTGCCCTCATCCTGCAGGATGTTCGTCAGCCCGACAGGCACGGGGCTATTGAGGAAAAGACGCACAACTGCTGGTTGATGATGTTGATGGTGGTGATTGTTCGTTTTGTCCATGGGAGGGACTCTGAAAGACAGGGCCGCTTCGTCATCCTCATGGCACGTCTTACACTCGTCCGAGTCAGATTCATCAGACGAGTTGAAGGTAATGTCAACTGGTGTTCGAGTCCGCGATTCGCGCACGTCTTTCATCTTGAATTTCAAGGAGGAGTCGAGGCTCCATGACGGAGTTGGAGTGGAACTACGGTCAGGATGCCTGGAGACCCGAACCGCATCTTCCCAGCAAGCCTCAGTAAAGGCTTCTATAGGACTATGAAGAAGCATGTCATCGAGGCCGTCTAGACATGTGTAATCAAAACCGATGTCCAGAGTTGTGGGATCAAAACACGTCGAGAGTAGCGAGGCCGCGTCTTCCCCGTTTACCACGGGCCGAGAGATGTCGGTGGGCACGGATTGGATGCAAGGGGAATACATCTGGGCGTTGATAAGTGCAGACCACGATAAAATCTCAGCGGAGCAAGGATCACTGTCTAGGGTTAATGAGCTGGGCTTATGTCGTAGCTGGGGCAAAGTTAGCGTCGTTGACCATGAGGCATAGCGCCGTGAACAGATAGATGCTTACCGTCGTTGGGGCTGGTTGCTGTTTCCGGTGACCACCGTTACTCCTGCTGCTACTCCTGCTCATCGTAGCATGGTTGAAGCCCATCGATAGGCGCGCACCCGAAAAGTGCACAATGTCCTCTGGAAGCCAATATTCGTGCGTTTGAAGGTGTGTAGAAGTGACCATGGTCCCCTTCCGACACCGCTGCAAGGAGAGTGGCGCTGGGGGGGAAGGCAGGACAGAATTGTTTGAGCGGCTGACCCTTTTTGTAGGTCATAGTGCCAAACGGCAATTGTCCCGAAAAAACTTGACATCGTGGAGGGAGTTTAGTCCTGTTTTGCACATAGTGACATACGCCGTTATCGTGTTCTTGGCACGTGCTGCCTCGCAACTCTGATTTACTATTAGGCTCATCGTCTCAATGGGCAATTACATAGCAATCGCCCACCTCTACGGCGTAATCGTGCTCGGCTAGATATCTAGCTACGTGTGGGGGTGCTGGGGGAATATAAAAATTGGAATTGTTGTAAGTTTTGCCCTAGGCGGCCTCGGCGAAGTGGTTACCAGACGGCAGAACCAAATGTGTCCAGAATCGCAAGTGCACGCTCAATGCCATATTTTGTGAGAAGGATTATGTATTGGCATGACCGCGTGCACATCACAAAAGGGTTTCCTCATACGATCTCGAGACGCTCGATGACTTCCCTCTCCCACTTCGTCCACCCTTCTTCATCGACCTCACAAGAACCAGCAGAGGCAGCCTCGATTACTTCCCAAGGGACACATGTTCTATCCTCTTCTTCCTCTGGTTTTTCAAGAACGAAACGTCCTTGGCGAGAACGTGTCAAAGTGACGACATGACCGGCAGAGCCGATGGCATGTGCAAGATCGTGGACAATAGAGCGCACGTATGTTCCCCCCGAAACTTTCATCTTCAACACGAAGGCAATAGGAACTTTGTCGTCCACATCTGATTCAGGTTCGTCTTGAAGAGATACAGGTTCGTTGGCACCTTCCAAGGCTGTCTGCATCGCCTTTTTTTCTGCTTCAGAGAACGATTTCTCTGGCCAACGGAACGTATGGTCCTGGCCTTTCCATTCAACGAGTTCCAATGAATGAACTGTGACTTTCCGAGGTTCGATGGGCCTAGGAAGGGGTAACCCTTTACGTGCGTACTCGTACAATGGTCTACCGTCCATCTTCAGAGCAGAAAATCTTGAAAAATTGATTTAGTTCGCTTATGTAGAAATCGGGAAAGATACATACATCGGAGGAACTTGTGATATTTCTCCTATAAACTTGGGAAGAGCGGCTTCCACTTGTTCCCGTGTTACATGGTGCCAAGGCGCAAGACGGACCCTCGAGCCTTTGCTATCGTAAGAGTCGGTCTCGCAACCGAGTAGACATGTTGTGCGGTATTCCTTTTCTAAAGTTTAAGAAACGAAGACGACTGGCTCAACAACATCGCTACCTTGGTACAGTTTAGGAAGTCGCTAAGCTTTTTCGTGCCTTTGCCGACACCAACCACTACCAAAAAAAGTATTCATGAGGGCATCAGTGAAACGGCTTCAGACTGACCTAAAACACCATCTGCGAGGGGATCGAGTGTTCCCCCTTGTCCAATTTTCACGGCATCTCGAGAGCGCTTGTCTTTCCTTTTACTGGCCTTGTTGTTTTTGGCTGCCTCCAGCTTTTCTGCCTCCACGAACAACTTGGACCTACCGATCAGCTGCTGAAGATCATGAATCACGGACATACTCGTTGGGCCCGATGGTTTGATAATGCCAAAGAGACCAGATACAGGCAGAGCAGGCAGAGATATCTTTGGCATGGTTGTTGGTGGTTAAGAGGGTTCGGTTCAGATCACGTGTGTGAACTGATCTTGAAGTTGAACTGGTTCTGAATCACGCATCCTGCTCTATCATGATCAAAAATACGCGCAAGTAACACTTTGCCATTTATCTGATGCCAATCTTGTCCATCTCCCTTCGAGGCGCTCATGAATATCTCCGCCTGGACACGGATAAAGTTACAAAGCGGTTCTCTCGCGTATGAGAGACGGTTGGGAGTCACAGAGCTTGGCTTCTACTGGGATACTGTTTTCGAAAGGACGGCAGACACTATTCAGCATGTTGAACTCGAAATTCTACAAACCGATCGGATGGACTTGATCGATCCAATAAATGTAGAAAATACCTGGTTGACTCTGAAGCAACAATTTCCTCTCCTTGGTACTCGGCTTGAGGAGCGCGAAGAAGGAAAAGAGGTATTTTTCGTGGTCGATCAGGCGCGACTTGTCCGCTCTAGACCGGAAGAAATAGAGTACTGGACTATTTCTTCAGGCGAACAGGCGCAAGCAATTGTTGACAAAGTCGTAAATGAGCAAAGCCTTTCAAACAACCTCCCCGCCAAGGTTCTTTTCCTCCCTCGAATTGACCAGCCAAACACCTTTCATTTAATTTTCATCATCGCCCATTGCATCACAGATGGAACTGCTAATACCACCATAATAAGAACTTTCCTCGATTATCTTTGTTCCGCTTCCTCTCGCAACACGACATGGCCTCTAGAACAACGTCTAGCGTTGTCAGTAGCATCGGAGGAAGTTGATCCCAACCGCCATTTGAGTCCTGCGAAAAAAAGGTGGCGACGGGCAATTGGACATACCATAGCCGCCATCAGGTCGTCGAAGATATCGGTGCGCAGATGTTTTTACTGTGTTGAGCAGTTTCTAAAAAAAGTTCTTGCAGGGCGGTCACACTCTGCCTCGCAAGGTGTCTCCAGTAACACGGTACACACCAGCCCGCTCCAGTCGAATCGCATGTTCGTTTTCGAAAGAGCTGTCTCATTCAATCCTTCAAACCTGCCGCCAAAATCACATAACATTTGGAAATGTATATCCGGTAATTGCGCAGGTAGCCCTTACGAGGGTCTTGTGTAGGCGTTATATCCGAGGAGAGATCAGCGAAATGGAGTGGCAGTTCAGAAGGAGGCAGCCGATGGTAACCGGTGGGCCCCTTAGCTTAAGGCTATTCCTTGATCAAGAGTGGTTCAAGCAAGGAGGAGCAAGTAACGTTTCTCTGGCAATCAGCTTCTTTGACTACACCCTTCCATTCATGCCGTTGGGTTCAGCCTCGAGTATTTCTCCAGGCAGTGCTCTCCCTGCTTTCCACCAACTTCTGTCACCTCAGAGATTTTTGTTGCGCTGCTATTCAATCAAGAGACAGGCTGCTAATCTTATCAAACACCCTCTTTTCTTAGAAATGGCTGGAGCCCGTATGCCACAGAGAGCAGAATCGTTGAGGAACTTCGGTTCCCAATGGAGACGGGACAGAGCTGCCCCACAGGACCTGGATGACGGGGTTATATCTGCTGTTGAACAAGCTTCCATAGGTCCTGTTTGGACCCACGGGGGATCAAGTTTCGGAAACGTGAATGATAACGTTTTGCTTTTTAAAACGAGCCTAGCTGACCTAGTCACCTTGCACAGGCTGATCTTCTTGTTCCACGCGAATACCCCACGACCGCTGAACCCTCGGCAGCGCATCTCATCCGTATTCGAACATCCACCAATCTGTTGCGATGTCGACCAACAGAATTATACCTTGGAGCAACAACAATCCGGCAACAGCTCCATTTGCATGTCTTTTCTGATAGCAATGTTTATGATCAAGAAACGGTCAAGGAATGGTTAGAGGAGGTCAAAGATGCAACCACGTTATACCTTGGTTAGGACGGTTAAGGATACAAGGCATGCTATTTTCGCTGTACTAGACGGAAAGAATTGATCGAGTTGTGTTACAATTTAAAGTCCAGACGAAGTCCACAGCCCTCCACATATGCATCGTGATACCCACATATTTTCCCAAGTACGCCAGCTGAAAGAGATTTTATCTTGAGACAACGACTTGCTCCCTAGGTTGGATTTCCCACTACACCTCAAGCAGGAGACAGAAGAGGTATGGATGCTCAGCGCGCCCTTGGTGACGACGTCTTTGTCTTTCCCCTTGCGCTGGTTATGCACCGACAAGCGGGCAATTCCATCAACTAGGTCAAGTGGATTGATGAAGAGGGTTGATTTGTTTAATATTGAGGATTGCGTCAGCATCTGTACCGCTTCCGCTAGTTGAGGGTGCATTGTCATGGGGGGCTGGAGTGAGGCGAGAGCTTTCCGACAAACTCGACCTATTCATAACTTTGGTGATGTCAAGGCAAACGGAAAAGTGAGCTCGTACTGTCATGGGTTTTCGATTTTTGTACAATTTCCTCTATCACTGGATAAAGGGCTTCGAAGTCTACGCCAGAGCAATCGACCAAGTCGACGAGGACATCTCTAGCAATACGAGAGTTTTCTCCTCCAGCAGACAAGGAGCCGAGATAAGTTCGAAAACGTTTCAAGTGTTGAAGGATGGTGAAGAGGTTCCGTGTGGCGTAAGGATGGGCGAGGTTCAAAAGAATTGGGGGATAAGTTTGATTCGTTGCTGGGAGATCGTTGTTTACGCCCATCTGATGATAAAGACTTTTGCTTACGGGAATTTGAGGCACCTCCACCATCCTCATGGATAGGATTGGAATACAAGACGCACTCCTTCATTAACTTCTCAAAAAACTCAACAACCCATCTACATAGACCGATTAGCTCCCAAACAGCGTCTATGATTTGACTGAGCCGTAAATCAAGAGGAAGAAGAGTAGGCGCACCAAGGCCGTATGTCTCCCCTTCTCTACAATCTTCGAAGGCAATATTACATGCGGCGATTGAACACATGTCGTGTGCAGCCTGCCATCGAGCATTGAGAGTGTTTCTTTCATCGTCATTTTGGAGGGTGATTGCTCTTAACCTGAATATCATCAGATTGAGAGGGCGACATGTTCATAAAGTTTCTGACCTATATATCTCTGTGGCGGCACCCAAAATATCCCAAGTCGTAGAGCGCGGCGAAACGCTACTCCCGTCCAGAACCTCCAAGGCATGATTCAAAACGTCGACTACTTCATCGATGGGCAAAATCTGGAGGGACAGCATGTGTACTATGTCGTCAACGGTTCTTCTGCCAATAATTGCTGACGCCAGATCGAGCCCAAGAGAAAACTGTTGATTTTCTATATCGGACGTTAAAGTCAAAGACAGTCAAGTGAATACAATCAAGGCACAGACCAGAGGTAAGACCATTCGTTGATCGACATTTTGGAAGAGGATGTATTGCAATTTGGGAATGCCATAGCGAAGAAGATAGCGTACATAGCAGCCTGCAGTTGGGAGATATGGTGACCGACAAGGGTACTAGACACTGAGATAGGCGGATAAAAAATACCACAAATGATGAGACACACCTTCCCTGCCAACTTGCTCTGGGGGTGATCGAATGGGTACCTGTTCCCAGTCTTCACTCTCAGTCAGATCGAGACTACGACGAATTCGTCAGTAGAAACCATATAATGATGCTATTACGAACATATTTAAAACCTTGATGGTCCCCACTGCAGTTTGCTTACTCCCTTTCCTCGTTCCAGAACAATCCAGAACAGCAGCAAAAATTGACCATTGGTTGACTGTGGTATGCGGTTGTACCAATGCCAAGACTCCTTGCTTGAAGGAGCGAGCGCATTCGCGTGAGCAGGCCTGAGAAGAACGATGGTAAACATAGGTTTAATGAGCCTATTCATTGGCTAACCCATGAATGATCCATGCCTGCAGAAAGAGGCCGACGATTCAACGAGAACAGTACGAGTTGCGATGTCGGTGTGGTTGTGACTAAATTAAAAAATGAGACGAGAGCGGTTTAGGAAGAGGAAATGCTCACAATCCTCAAAGTCTAAATACGTCGCAATAAGATAAAGCTTACCCTTCTCCTCAGCACCTTCAGGTGGAGCTGAGACAAAAGTGAGGCCGGAGAGTTTACCGTCCGATTGATCAGGCGACGAGAGAGGATGTGTGGCGAGAGCTGATATCAGGAGACTTTTAGAGTTGAGAATTTCGAACGAAAGAAGTGACTTCACCCACCCAAGGTCGTCCCGTTGAATTCAATTTGTACTTCACAAAGCTCAATTGAGGATTCTTCTCCCCAAGTCTCCCAGTCGTTGCATAAATCTGCGTTAGGATGTTGTGTTGACTCAGCCTGAACGTCATGGCCCATGGTTTCAGCTTGAGAAGGTAGAGCTGAACGCGAGGGGATACAATGGGAATGCATGGCAATCAAAATTGAAGATTCATTGTAACTGAGGCCTACAGCGGCGTCAACACATAGTCGCGATGCCTTAGATCCTTCTGACCGCTCAGTGTTGCTGGGCTGATTCTCCATTGCGATACCAGGATATTTGAGTGAACATTTTATAAATGTGATGGAAGGGGCGTAGAGACGAAGATAGCAAAGCTGAACTTGGTAGTCTTGCGTAACCAGAAGGAGGCAATGGTGTGTAATAGGTGTTTTAGGGCCTAGAGGTGGCATACGGATCGGCAAACCTGAAGGACCTGGTATCCACTGAACTGAGTGAGCCACACACCGCGATTGATCGTCAAGATAATAACTCACATCTCGTTGTTTTGAAAGCCATCTTCCAGCTACTACACCTCCTCCGTTTGGAAAGCTCCAGCACCCCTTGATTTGCCAATCGTCGATACGTGCAGCCCTGATCCATAAACAACCAGTTCCGTCACCGTCTTGACGCGGAAAGTATGCAAAAAGCCAGTCATCACCTGGCGAAGCTAAGATGACACTAGGTGGATCGTATGACAGGGGAGAATCTAGGATTGGGGAAGGAGATGGTAGAATAAATTGTTTTGAAGACGAAATATGACGTGCAATGACCAGCGGCTGGCTTGCATGTGCAGTGAAGATAACCGAAGAATGGGACCACTGAATGGGTCTGCGACTCTCTTTAGAAAACACCTGAGCATAGTCAGTGAGAAACCCACCGTTTTGGTTCGACAAAAGGGTAAAAATCCCACCACCCAGCACGCCAGTGAGTTTGTTCCTTCACCTTGCCTTTGGGAGGTACTGATAACATGATTTTGAATGTTGTTGCGTGCAAGTTGCGCGTTACGTTGATTCTCAACACCCCTGCATAAATGTTGTACCCGCGTCAAGCGAGTAAAGAGCTCAACGAAATACCGACCGACGTCTTGATTCAAAGCTATGCTGACCGAATCCTCGTCCTCGTTACTCAGATGGGCAAAGTTGGAAACTTGGTGCCGCTATCTCACATTTTGATAACCACAATTGTAACTCATCCACCAAAGATCCAGGCATCTATACCCGACACCGTTCCATTGCTTCCACCACCACCTTCACAGCCTTCAGATCCTAACCGACTGTTACTCCCGCCCCCACCCGCGGCCATCCAGCTGACCTATTTACTTGGAGGTTCTTCATCAGAGCATATGCAAACGTTGCACTCTTTATATGCTGCACAGATCGCCACCATTATCTGGACTCACGAGTCACAAACCGCCCTCGAGCCCTCTCGCCGAAGTATCGTGGTTGGTGTGGCTCTGTGCGGACGAGATAGTGATGCAGACGCGGATAAAAGAGAGAGGGCGGTCTTTGAGGGAGTTATGTCGATGCTTCAAGAGTTGTTGCTCAGCACATAGTCACCCTCATATCAAGTCCAAAGAATGTCGCGTAGCTGACGTAGCGCTAGCAAGCCATATCGAAAGGACTGGCTAATAGCTCGTAGACTATGACTTTGAGTTGGAGGAAGAAGCTTCGGACCAAACCATATCCTCCATAGACTGCAATTTCTTTCGCCGTTCCCCTCGGTATCTTGCGTATTTTTGTTCAAGAAGCACCATGAGCCTTTCGTCAGACGCCATGTTGTTTCTGGGGTGGGTCTCGTACAGGTAATAAGCGAGGACGCCTGTGAAGACACCAAGCAACGGATCAAGACCTCTGCTAATTATTGAGCAGGGGAAATGAGTGACTATAACTGCAACCAACCTAGAGAGCAAAACGGGAGGCATGGTCTGCAATGCTTGGGTTGAGCCCGTCGTCGTCCGTTGGCTTCGGGACGGGTTGCCTTGGAATTGCCCAAGTTTGAGCCGATTGATCGGCTGCAAGCAACAGTGCTTCAGGGCAAGAAATTTATAAAATCCTCGCTGGCAGCCCTCAGATCCAATCAGATCCCATTTTTCTTCATGTCCACTGCTGCGCTAGACAGACAGATTCGCCCTATTTATGGTAGGCACTAGCAGTGTGCTGTTGAAATTCTTATACTGACTCCAACTCCAGATGCCCTAGATACGGGTTCCAACAAATCTGCAATCGTTGCTTGCAATAAGCTTCTTAAAAAGCATCCCAAAAACGAGCTGGTCAAGGCACGCTCCATAAACTTTCTCGACATACATATGTCATATTCATCTGGGTTCGTTATGTCAGGCTTTGAAGGCACTTGCCCTTGTTCGATCGCAAAAAGTAGAAGAGTCGCTAGTTCTCTGCGATGAAGTTCTAGAAGAAAAACCCACAAGTGATGCTGTACTGACAGCGATGATGCACGTCCTGCGTGGGCTAGGCAGGCGTATGTTCCGACCTTCGTCATCCAACGACCTGTTGAAAATAAATATATCAAGATAATGACATGGTGACCATGTTCGAAGAAGCGTACAAGCAACAACCCACAAACGAGGAGCTCGGTGTGCAAACCTTTTTCGCAAATGTCCGTGCAAACCACTGGAAGTCAGCACAACAGGCATGTGGCTTCGACCCGGCATAGTCTCTCCTGCTGCCTGTTAAATAGCCTTTTTCTTTTATAGATCGCGACACGTATGCACAAGCAGTTTCAGGAGGACCGATATCTGTATTGGAGTGTTATTAGTTCCGTTCTTCAGGTTGGTTCATTTCAGCTACTTTTAGTATCTAGCTGAAATCGAAACAGGCGAAAGATGCTTCAACACCAAAAACGATGCGCACAATCCTTTACAAACTCGCACACAGAATGATCACCTCGTCTCCAACACCTCCCTACCTCAACGCAGATCGGTTCCATCTTCATCTTTCAATTCTCAGTGAATTGGAGCTTTTCGACGAAGCTCGTAAATTGCTCGACAGCGAAGTTGGCAGAAATATATGTGCCACTAGTCTGTCGTGTAACGAAGTACGCCGGGAACTTTGGAAACGACAGGGACTGGTGCGGGAAGAAGGAGAGCGCGCCGAGAAGCTTATTAAGGAGAAGGGGTGAATGAGTTTTTTCGTACCTTTTTGCTTTCTTACCGATTGCTTTATTATCAGGGATCGCAATTGGCTCGAATTTCTGGCCGTTCTCGATGCCACGTTTGATTGCCTTGTCATTTCTCCAACGGACGTGGCTCCGACGACACTGGAAGATGCTAAAAAGGAGTGTGCAACGAGAGTACAAGAGACGCGTGTGCTTTTTACGCGGGTGGCAGAGGAGGACGGTTCCAAGGATCGTTCCGGCCTTCTGGCTTTGTTGGAACTGGAAAAACGGGCCAGAGATCATGGTGTGTCTGAAGGTATGTGTGAAGTATACGAATCACTGTGCCAATACAGAGTATATGTATGTCAGAACCTACTCGTTTGGTTGACCTCATGGAGAGATACTTCAACGAGATTGGCGATAAAGTATGCTGCTTCGAAGATCTAAAGCCCTACACTTTATTGGGAAGCGATGAACACTGCAGATGGATCGCTTTCTTAGAGCGCGTGCCCTCTATGTTTGTAAGTTTAACCCTGCCAATTAAATTCCTTGCCATTGACCACCTCCATAAGTCGTCGATTGACGGTCTTCGCAGGTTCATCAATGCATACAAGTTCCTACGACATTCCCTCACGTCCTCAGAAATAACGGCGGACACGGAATCTGCTCGCGTAGCTCTTTATGCGAAGAAATATATGGAAGCACTGCCATTGGGATCTGACCTGCCTACTACAGAGCTTCAACCCGCGGATGATTTGGTGCTACTGGCAGGGAACACGTTTATCAGTCTTTGGAAGCTGACAGAGGATGATAACAATCTGTTCAAAGCCGCTTCACTTCTTGAATTTGCGTTGACGAAGAGCAAACAGTCCTTCTTGGTTCGATTAATGCTGATTCGAGTATACCGCCTACTTGGTCATTATCACAACCTCTTCTAGTAGCTGGCTTTGCTAATATGTTCCTTAGGTGCCCCAAGCCTAGCACTGGAGCATTATCGTGCCATGCACGTTAAGCAAGTCCAACACGATACGTTGTCGCATCTGATTCTCTCACGAGCATCCACCTTTTCCCTTGCTGCCATGGGTGATCTCACACTGGCGACCGAGTGCTTGGAATCAACGCAAATATACCTAAGCAATTCCCAAGAGGTTGTATGAGCATATTTGTCCAGGAACACGTGTCTTATAAATTGCATCCAGACAGGCGACTTCGTGGTCCGAGCATTTACAGGAGAAAAGTACTCACAGGTCTGTGCCGTACTTGAAGTTATTTCGAGTTATCTCATTTTCTTCTAGATACCACAATTTATACTCTTTGAGGATCGGCTCGAAAACTCTCTACAACGTGACACGGTAAAAGTGGAACACCTCCGCATGCGACTTACCCATGAACCGATAACTTCTGATATAATCGACATGGAGTTGATTGAACTTAAGTTCATCTTTGACAGAAGTAAGTGGTTCAATAGAACACCAGAACGTGCGTACTTAAATCCTTTCAGCACATCACGATAACCGCGATTTCGATATACTCCCGAGCTACCAACCTCGAATATCTCCAAACCTCAATGAACTAACGTTGCTTCTAGGCAGGCCTGAAGGGGTAAGATGACTAAGTTTCGCGGAGGCAGCTGGTATTCAACTTTCCTTTCCAGCATGGTTGGCTCTCCACGTTCCTCCAAGTTTATATTCGGGCGTTTCAACAAAGCAGTGACTTGGATGACACCGTGGAAGAGAAGTTGTTAATTGGCGATCGACCAAAACAAACCGCCGACTATGATCGGCATCTGTCACTTCGAGAGCGTCTCTGCGAGCAAAACGAGGAATATTTGAAAACTGTGACACTGGCTTCCTTTGCAGATCGATGGGTACTAATGTAACTCTTTGGCTTAGCTGACATCGGATGAGCTGGCATTTGTTCACTACGCAAGGGCTCTTGCAGACTGGCTTGAGCCCTACCATGACTATACCCGCCCTCCTCCGGCCGCGGTATTGGCCGAGGCTGCGAAACAAACAGAGCTTAAGACGGGACATCCATTGAAAGGTATTGATATCCCGCCCAACGGCGCATCTCACGGGCAGAAGAAAGACGAGGAACCTCCCGCGGTTCGGGACCCCCCTGAGCTTGTGGTTAAGCATTTTGAGAGTACGTTGCCGGCGTCGACATAGAAAGGCACGCTATCGTACTAAAATCATCTTAAGAACTGAAAATGCGATTCGAGGAGGTTCAAAGCAAATCTCCTGTTGATGTTCTACATGTTGCCACCCTTGCGCAAGAGGTAAAGCCGTGTTTAGGCTTCAAGGTTGACGAAGGATAATGATGTTTTCGACAGGCCTATTTGCTCTTTATTATTGAGAGCCTTCGTTTCAAACCTGCATCTGTCGTCAAGGTCAACAAGCTCGGTGGTGTGAGTTCCAAGTTTGATGACTCGTTCCTGATTCTCACTCCAATGGCTGTAGCTCGTGTCAAGCTTTAAATGTATCCGCACTGGGGCTATTTCCGTCCTTAAAGAAATATCTTCGGAGTTGATCAAAAGGGCCGACTTTGAAGGAACATCGGAAGGCCCCAAGTGCTTCATTGGCCTTGAAGAGGTGAGGACATGGTTGTTGATTGTTTTGTTTTTTGTTCATAGAGTTTTTAGCTGGATCCTGATTTTGTTCTTGGGTTATCCAAGAAAGTGATTGATGCGCGTAAAAAAGTGTTTGAAGGAGTTGGAAAAGGGCTGGGGCGAATTACTGCAACATATGCATCTTAAGCTTACAGGCGTGTCTGTGACATCTCAGGGTTAAATTAGACGTGATATCGCGTCACGCGTTTTATGTGACAGTTGCTTGCCTTTCTTTTCAATGAGCCAATGTGCATTTCTCTTCTACTCAGTCCCACATATGTGCTCATATTTTACCAGTCAACGATAACAGCGGAGGCTACTATGGCGGAGGCGGATATCTGCAAGGCGGCTCACCTTTCAGCGCAAGTGGCAGCCCGGGGGGCGCGCGAGTAAGTGACAACTCTCCATTGCAATCCACCGAGCTCACAATCAACTAGAGAACTGAAGTTTCTCACTCATTGCGGCCCTTGACAATAGCCCAATTAAACAAAGCGACCCAGGCTCATACGGACGCAGAATGGCAGGTGGATGGCATGGAAATAGGTCAGGTACGCGATTGTGGCTGCAAAGCGTCGACAATCTATACGATAACGATAATAGGTAACAATCGTTGGCCATGTATCTTCAATTCAAGCTCAAACTACAAATTGTGTCTACGTAATCGACGACGGGACAGGACGTATAGAAGCACGTCATTGGGTGGACTCCAACAGCGAGGAAGACACTGAAAAATGGGGCGGAATTGAGTCAGTTTTCTTTCCTCGCCTTCCCTTTCAATCGATTAACGAAGTCAGGGAGAAAACGTATGTCCGAGTAACGGGAGGGTTAAAGACATTTGGCAGCAAGCGTTACATCAATACAACTCATGTCCGACCTTCAAAAGACCCTCACGAAGTGTACTTTCACATCCTAGAGGCCATTACTGTTACTTTGACCCTCGAACGCGGACCAGTGAGTCGTTCCTCTGCCACTATGATAGATCGCCATGACATCGACTTAGCCGCCTGGTCCTGGACAAACGCCACAAGCGAGAGGCGCAGATTCAACGATGGCAAACTATACAAACCTATCCGCCCCTATCGGTGACGAATACTCTCATCGTCCGAAATTGGAACAGGATATCTGTCGATTTATCGCTGAACAACCCGCTAATGATGCGGGAATTCATGTTGCGGCCATTGCCCGAGCCGTTGGCGGAGGTGGTGATGCGCATAGGATTAGGTATGTAACCGTTATTCTTTCAACGAAAGGCTTGCTAAGGTATCTTTTTTCAGCGATGCTCTTGACAAGTTGATGGACGATGGACTGGTATTCACCACGATTGATGACTCCCACTTCAATCTGTCTCGTTGATCATGTACTACTACGTATCTTCATTATTGTACGCACTGTGTTGGGATGAGTACAAAAATTGTTCAGTCTTCTCACATGACCATATTCATGTTATCATGCCAAATAGTGACTCGGACGACGACGGCCTTGACTACCTCGAGTTTGATGGTGAGGATGACGGCGACGGCGACGGCGAAGGCGAAGGCGAGCCAGAGGAAGAAATACCTGATGCCTTGGTAGCGGATGACGTGACTGAAGACGGAGATGTTTGTCTATTCCATCCCTACGACTCAAATCAAGCTCAATGACCATCTCAGGAATCCCAGTCTGAAGACTCTGAAGATGTGTCCGACGAAGACGATGAGGACGAGGACGATGACGACCAGGGGCCACCGTCGTCTGCCGTTCCGATGGACGTCGAGCCCGCTGAGATTCCTGTAGGTGAATCGACGACGAGCAGCGGCATGTCGGAGAGCAGATCTCTCCAGCCTGAGATAGGTCGCGTCGTTCGCCATTCTGTTTCTTCGGGATGTACTCATCCCATAATCAGAGCCTCCACCCCTTCGGAAACGTTCTTTGTCACCGGCACAGTTGCGCAAGAATGCCCTTGTTGGTAGCAGTAGTTTCCCACCCCGGTCGTACACCATTGAAGCGATATGCGCACTCCCGCATCCTGTTCCAACTCACGCACTTGCTTCGTCTCTTTGCATGACCCACCTTCTGACGGGTTCAGACGACGGTTACATAAGAGACTACGATATTTTCTCTGCAGTGAATAGCAAGAATTTCCTTACCGCACCTCAACGCCATCATGCCAATGTCGTTGAAGGACTTATGAAGTCTGGGCAGCTCCGGTTCTGGTGGGAGAATCCTGCCATGTCCGATGCATCGAGGAGACTCAGCGGGGCAAACACATTCGAAGAAGAGCCTACTTTATCTCCCGTTTACAGCCTCGCCATGCACTCCGACGCCCTCTGGACTCTCGCAGGCACCAACGTAGGCGCCCCAATCTCTTAGGTATAATTGGAGTAACTCTTAATACTGACAGGCAGGGCATATAAATCTATTTACTATCAGGCACGATCCTGGTAAACTTTGCTACGTTATGAATGGACACCGTGGGCCCGTCTCCTCGCTTGCAATGGATTATCAAGAAAAGGGATTTTTCAGTGCTGGTTGGGATGGCGAAGCGATTGTGGGTTTACTTTGTTCAAACTAATGTCAGAGTTAACCAAGCATTGCAGCAATGGGATCTAAATATTGGACAGGTGGTGCGAAACTTCACTGCTCACGGAGCTCAGCTTGCAGCAATCGCAGTCCGACCTATAGCCTCAGGTTATACATCCGTTAATCCCCCTGTTATTACAACTGGCTCGGATAGTACTGCAGGTCCTTCCCAACTTCCGCCTTCGTCATCTGCCGACACAAAGTCCGACGTTGACATGGGGGAATCAAGTTTAGCAGACGCCCAACGACCTCCTGTAGACTCTGATGCAAAATCGGATATTTCTTTCGACCCTCTGTTCGATGACGAACCAGAAACTGAAATCCCTAAACCAGAATTTAAACTCGCCATGCCTACCGGAGTAGAGCAACAACCTCCACCCTCTCGCCTGGTACCAAGCACTATCCCCCCTCCCAAGAACGCCCCTCCATTGCTGGATCCCCCAACATATACGACTTACTCTCCCGATCTTTTATTGACGGCGTCCATAGATGGCCAAGTCATTATATGGGACAGAAGAGTGCACTCTCCTGGGACAGGAGTTGGAAGACTATGGATGAGCGACAAAACGCCACCATGGTGTCTTTCTGTGGGTACATCCTTCACTGCTGTACATTTGGTGTAACGACCCTGCTCAGGCGTGTTGGTCCGCAGACGGTGGTCAAATTTATGCTGGTAGGCGCAACGGGACCGTTGATGTGTGGGATGTTCGACTTTTGGGACGCTCTGGGCCTTCCAACACACCTCGACTGCTGAAAACGCTTAGAAATCCATCGAGTTCCGGAGTTGTTTCCTGTGTGGTAGCATTTCCAGATTGCCGGCACCTCGCGTGGTAAAGTCTCTTTTCTTTAATTTATCGTGTTTCAAGAATAACATGCCAGTGAAGTGCATCAATTGACAATTTGCGCCTTTGGAATGTTGCCGAAAGTGGTGAGCCCGATTCGAGTGGCCGTCCCAGGAGTGGTGTGCCGTTCAAGATCATTCCTGGTCATCATGGTGGGTATATATCACAGATGCGTAAGTTCAGTCAGTTTCGATCGCTACCCATCTCAAAACAAGTCATAGTCGTCGACCCTGCTGCAAAGTTCTTGGTCAGTGCAAGCAGTAATCGTGGATGGCATGGTGACTCCACCAGAACGGTCTTTGTTCACGACATCAAACACATACGTTAGGTGACTATCGTCACGCTGAATGTTCAAGTAGTGGCGAATCGGTCCCAGGAGCCCAAATATAACAGCCTTTTAAAGACCAACGTTGACTGTCCATATTAATAAATACTTGAAAATTTTTGGGAGATCATGCCACTTGTTTACAGCCGTTTTCATAACGATAGGCCAAAAGTTCAAAATTACAGATACAGTCGGACTTCAAATTCTGACTATGTCCACGAAAATCAGCATATATTTCAGGGATGACGAGCACGATAGATCTACAGTTATACTAAATAGAGTCATCATCCGACAACTTACACGTACAATTTTAGACTCCGCCTGTACATGTATTTGGTCGAGATTAGGCCTATCGTTATGAAAACGGCTGTAAAGAAAAAAAGTGGTCTACATATTCCAGATTGTGGGCAAAAAGACTGGCTCCGAAAAGATGTTCAAGGGCATTTTTTACTAGTGCGAACCAAGTACTTTGTAGACAACTGTAGACAACCGATCGCTGGTGTTACAAAACATTTACTGGGCTCCAACTTCAAAATAACGCCAGTTCGAGTGGATGTCGATGACGAGACCATCTCCTGGAAGCCCCACTGAACCAGAATCGAGAAGCTTTTTTTGTGATGAAATTAGTGTCACAAATGTCTAGTATACAAGGGAACTGAATACATTACAACCTAAGCAGGCCCAGAAGATGAGTGAGGTTACCATCCCGGCTGACTCGGCCAATGTCCAGCAGAACTTTGAGGAAGTATTGGGGGACGAGGGGCGTTCAGGTTGGGTGGTAAACTTGCATGCTGACCAGGAAAGTTCGGTGGGCGATGTGAAGGTGTTTGATATCCATAAGACGCGTGGGGAGGTATGCCATAGGCCGTGGGAGGAATCGGGGGACCTCCATATGGCGTTTGCCCTCCATAGGGATTTGGAGTTCGGCCGACTTGTCGAACTGACATACGACCCGGAGTAGCGCCGCCTGGAGGCCTCGCTGGTGTACGCATACCGGCACCAAATGGGGTTTTTCCTCCAGCCGCCGCAAGATTTTGCGACTCGTGCAAATGTCTAGTCAAAGGAGTTAGATTCTGTGTGGGGGTCTTTATCCTGAAAAGAAGCTCACCGAACTTTGAAAGCGTCGCAAAGCTCTGGCACCCCAACAGCTGCCGCGTCAAACAGGTAATATGCTTCAGGTGCAACACGGACAGGCTGCAACGAACGTCAACTCTCCACTAATGATAGAAGTCAAGAAAACCTTACCCAAGTTTGAACAGGTGATGATTTATTGGCCAAAAAGCAAAGGTTGAAATGTCCTGGCCGCTTTCGATTGAGCGTGAAGCCGTACATGCTCTTGGCTGGGTTAGCTGCCAAGAAGTTCTTCAAGAACAGATCTAATGAATGTTAGTTGGGTATTACACGGTCAAGGGGAATAGGGACGGACGAAGTTCATCTTCCGACCCATGCTTGAATTTCTCATGAGCCATGAGTTCTTCTACTCGACGAGCCATCGCTTGTATGTGGTTGACGATCAATTCATCCAGATCAGCATAGGTGTGATTGCTGTCTACAACAAGTTGACCGGCAACAGTCTGACCAGTTGGGTCAGCGTTGAGTTCAGTAGCATCTGCAATCACGTAAGTAGGGGTAGGCAAGACCCTGAAAACTCGTTACCAATATGCTGATATAGTTTATCATCTACTTTCCAGGTAACGGCGAGATGATCAATTCCTTTTGAAGACGGTCGAATAACCACATCCCCGCGCTGCTGCTTTTCTAGGTATGCTTCTGCCTGAGCAGTGTTGAAGTTATGGAAATTCGGATGCTTAACGACCCGTCGAGTACGGTCCGTTTCGGCTCTCTTCTTCCGCGCCAGCATATCTTTATCCTTCTCGCAACGAACGCCGTCCCACATGGGATCAATCTTCACGCGTCGATATTGCTCGTCTCCCTTTGAAAGCTCTTCCTGCCTCGATGACAATTCAACGAAAAACGAGTCTTGCTCCATGTCGAATTTACGTTCAACGATCACTCCAGGTATGGTCTGGCCCTTCTTTACTAGATTGTCTGGGAGGTCACCAGAATCAGAAAGATACTGGGTGGCGATGACACCTTCAATTCCAGAGTCCAAGCGAACATTGATGAAACTCTTCGTCAGGCGCTGGACTTGAGTCGTCACGATCAGACCAACTTCCAATGTTCGAGGAGTCTCGCCACTGAGCATTGTCAAGATCTCCCAGTCAGATGGAAGAACAAATTTGTTTCGTTGCTCCGCGAACGGCCGCAGGAGTTCGTCACGAATCACGTTCAGAGTGTGGCGTTTCTGGTCGTGGTTTGCCTCATACAAACTGATCGCAAACTCATCTAGATTAAGTTCCGAGAGCTTTCGCTCGTTGTCCGGGTCTGTCATAATGAGGTTCACTACGTGCGAGGGATGCTCGTCGTGAATATCTTCCTCGTCGAGCTCAAGGGCGTCAGTGGCCATTTTACGGGCCAATTCGTAGTCCTCTGGGTGAATTCGCGTGTCGTCCAAGGGATCTGGCGCAGTTTCTCCATCATGTCGATGCTTGGTTGGTTTGGGATCATGCTCTTGAGCAATGCGCAAAAAGCCCGCAGCGTTAAGGAAGATCTTTGTGGTTAAAAGACCCCCTTCAATAAATTGATCGCGGTTGACGAGATTCCCGCCCTGTGCGGGGTGAGAAATTAAAGCGATACATAGCTAAGGACACGAACCAGTGATCCTATCTTTTTTATCAAGACTTGAGCTTTTCTTGGTCCGAGGCCACATACGAAGGGAAGAAGATTCTGATAATACGCATCAGCGACAGCGCGATTGATATCAACTCCAGTCTTATTTGTCACATCAACAAGGACGCGTTCGAAGGCGGAAAGCAGTTTTTCCTTGGGCACCTGATTTGATCTCAGTACAGCAACGCGTCATCGACTTTGGGAAAGAACGTACCAAATGCTGATCGTCCTCTGATAACGTAATTGCAGTGATATCTGACCCCAATGCTGCAAATTCATTCAAAGGACTTTGAGTGTAACGCGCCAATCCGACGCAATATTTCGCTGTAGGCGATAATGCACCGAATTCATCAGCAGCGCGTCTGCTGTGCTGATAAATTCGCGCGACATCATCGAAGACATATATGACTGGAATGTCAAAAACCTGTTCGTTGGCCGATGGATTGCCCCAGCCAGTTTCTCCTTGACTTGGCCCGGTTCCGTGAAGAGTCGTCTTGACAAGGCGGGTTAGCTTCATTGTTGACATACTGAAACCCCCCATAACAACCAGATCAGGTTTCCGTCGTTTGACAAAGTCGAGAAACTCGTCGATCATTTCCGTGTCATGAAGGTTGTCGATCTTTGTATATTCCCTCATGCGGCCCGCTTCGTCCATGAAAACGAGAGTTATGGCGTCTTTATGAGGATCACCCTTCCCCCACGATATAGCTAAGACGGAACAGGCTATTTCTCCGTCCTTCAGCTCCCGGACAAGATACGGAGCAACATCAACACGCTGGTTGTTTTCAGTATAGCAAAATAAATTTGACAGCGGCTACTCACAGCTCGGAGACGATTGCTGCACTGCGCAGCAAGATAATCCTCGACCTCTTCTCTGAGATACTCACGAGTCCATTTGATTCCAGCTGGAATGAGATGGAGTTCCATCACCTCTTGCACAACGCGAGAGCGTTCAACGTTCCAAGATTTTGCTGAATCACTGAAATTATCAGAAGCAAAGGCCTCATTGAGTCGTCGCTCAAAAGACGATATCGCAGCGTTTGGGATAGATATGGAAACATTGACAAGGTGCTCCGCTTCGGCAGCTAATATGAGTAAAAATTGTGCTGAATCCTGCATATCTTTTATGCTTTTGCGGTGGAGGTACTTGAAGTTCTAAAGTAGCGATGAGATGAGTTGGGTGAACACTTTTGCGGCAGAGACCTACGTAGTATGGGTGATTATCGTCGATCTTAGTGATACCGCGTTCTGTGGGTTCCACGGAGATCTGTGCCTCTTCCTTGAAAATTTTGCGAATTTGGCTCCTGAGCAGGGGATCTTTACCAATTTCTGTGGAGAGGATCATCCGCGCGCGGACAAGAATATCTTCGGGTGCTTGAGCCTTTGAAGGATCTGGATCAGCGAATTGCTCCGCGAAGACGATAGGATTGAGCTCTTGGTCTTCAACGAAGTGAACGTGATGAGAAGCCATAAAATTCAGGACAACATGATGAGGTTCGATTCCGAAGCCCTGATTTCGTAAGTACGAGTTTGACATGAGAGAAAAAAATCCTAGTACCTGAGCCAATTTGGACACGATGCTCCTCTTGACAACTTCGTAGGCGGAAATTCGACTAGGCATTTTGCGTTTCTTGGTGGTATCCGGCTCATCGTCATCATGAAACCGGAATTCAACGGCAGAACTCAGTTTCTTGTCCTTATATTTCATTGCCAACCACTCAGTTGCGTCGGTAACAACCTCGACGCCGTCGATCTGGGGTTGTATCTCCTCCTCATAGTAGTCGTCCTTCACTTGAAGCCGTTCATACGAAGCCGACAGAGCTCTACGGCGCTCTACAAGAGATCTGTATTTCTGGCCAAGAGAATGGATGCGCCAGAGTTCGTTCAAGCTGAGAAGTTCGAAGCGAGTCCGCATTTCACTTGCATCGAAATGGCAGATATAGTCTCGCTTGTGGACCCAGATGTACGGAACCTCGTATTCTTCAACAAATAGGTAACGTAGTGCAAAAGTGACAGCCATAACGAGAGCACCCTTGAGATTTTTGTGTTGACCATCAGGGCTGAAGAAGTCCTGTTGCTTTCGGAGAGACAAGCGTTGTGTGACCCACATCGCAGCTCCACCAAGATCAGCTTCTGTGAGCTGCACATGGAGAGACAGGGTAGATGATTGAGATAGGGAAGAGGTTGCCAACTGCATACGTTCTGGGATATCTTGGGCACGGATGAGGTCATCATCATCAGTGAGCATTCTCTTGCGAATCTCGGACGGTTCAAAGACCTGTGGTTTTTCATGAACATGGCACGCCTGAAAGATAGTAAATGAACGCACATCTTGATACTTCATTTCTGGTTTCAGCTGTTCTTCGTCGTATTCAATTTCATCATCGCCCCCTAATGCCCAGTCATATTCATGACCATCTCCGAACACGTCATGTATTTCATCCCAAGCACTGTGTACACATTAGCAAAGAATACTTTGAGATGTTGTAGAAAGATTCAAACATACTTTGCATCGATGCCAGCGAGTTCTGGACGAGCCCCTAGAGCCCTCTTACGCCTCTCTAGCTCTTGCCTTTTCTCTCGCCTCCTCTCTTCACGTGCGTTTTCGTTCATCCCCCCACCGGCCTCCTCTTCATCACTATATTCAATGAAATCGTCCATGTCCATATCAGCGTCCTCCTCCTCCTCATCGCCTCGACGCTCGTCATCCCATATTCTTTGAATGTCTGGAACCCGAGGCAAATTTTCGTCATGATCTAAGTCGTCGTCCGAAGACTCAACCACAGCTTTACGTTTGGAAGAGGACGCCGCGGGCGATTCAGAGTCGCGACCACGACGGAGGCGAGTTAGACGGCGGTTATTCTTGAAGGAGGCGCCTGTATTCTCTTCAAGGAGCTCAAGGTCGTCATCTTCCAGGACTTCTTCGTCTTCGTCACCTAAGCATTACTATGTTAGAATGTAAAGAATATAACCACACAAATGACATACGTTGACGGTGATGTTTCTTTCGCCGTTTACGTCGCTTTCGACGCTCCATTTCGGCTTCTTCCTCTTCGTCCTCGTCTTCGCTGACAATAAATCCCTCCCTTACTTTTTTCGCCTCTTCCTCGTCATCCTCACCCTCTTCCGAGCTATCGTCGGACACGCCGGGCATCACAACATCCTCTTCTTCTTCGTTCTCAGAGCCTTGCATGGGGTCCTCCACCGGTGCAGACTGTACTTGAGAGGGGAGGTGGCTGGAACCGGGAGACGACATGATGTCGCGCAAAAGTGAAGAATATTAATCAAGAAACGTTCAACGCAAACTCAGTTGTTTACATAATTTAATGCCTACACATTCAATTCTCACAAAATTCTGTTCAAGATAGCCTGAAAGATGACTGAAAATTACGACGGTTAGATTCTGTTTTATTCTGCTGGATATAACAATAATTCAAGTTCCTTTCAAGATCATGTCGCTTTCATGCGCCTCGCTCTCTTAGAGGCGGCCAAGTGCATCCCAACGCCGACAGCGTTCTGTGTAGGCTGTGTGATCACTACTCGTCCACCTCAAAGCACTTCATCAGTCATTATTTCCACTGGGCATTCTAGAGAGCTCTTCGGAAACACACATGCCGAAGCCAATGCCCTCTCCAAGGCTCATACCCTCTCTGTTGATCAACTCCGAGCTCTCTTTCCGACGCTAGATCCGTCAGAGCTCGATATTAATACAATCCTATCCCAGTCAGATGTTTACACCACACTTGAACCTTGTTCCATCAGGACTTCAGGATTGGCTCCGTGTGTAGCTGCACTCATAGGAGCCAAGGTGCGGCGGTGCTTCATCGGAGTCGCTGAACCTCTTGACTTCGTTGAATGTGAAGGGGCGCGTAAGCTAAAGGAAGCTGGGGTAGAGGTTGTGTGGCTTGGTGGGTTAGAAGAAGAATGCCTTGCAGCTGCCCGACGCGGCCATACTTGAGAAGAAATTTGAACTTAGAAACGTAGCATTTACAAATTGAGTATATTTCCCACGATAACTTGCTTCAGCCATGCGCATTGAAAAGTGTTATTTTTGCTCAACGAATGTGTATCCAGGACATGGTATTTCTTTGCCCATTGCTCATGTTCTTTCAACTTTTCATTCGCATCTAGGTTCCGCGTTTGTCAGAAACGATGCCAAAGTCTTCAGATTCTGCACATCCAAGTCAGCCTGCTCTTGATTCGCTTCCATACTTACTCATCTTTCTCTTCCAGATGTCATAAGAACTTCAAGTGAGAATATTGCCCTGTTTAGTGACTGCCTCCTATATCTTCGCTTTTAGAATGAAGCGAAATCCCCGCAAAGTACGATGGACGAAAGCGTTTAGAAAAGCTGCAGGCAAGGAGATGACCATTGTGAGTTGAATCACTACACATGGTTGACTGTTAAACCCTCGCTTTAGGATTCAACAATCGACTTTGAAAAGCGGAGGAACGTACCTGTGCGGTATGATCGTGAACTGGTTCAGACAACGGTCAAGGCAATGAAACGGGTGGGAGAAATCAAAGCACGCAGAGAGCGGGCATTCTACAAAAATAGGTGCTACCACGTTGTACTCCTAACATATGTACCCTCTGCTCACATTATTTTCAGAATGGCGGCGAGCAGAGAAAAACAGAGGGCACATCGCAAAAAGATGTTGGAACAAGCGAAGTCCTCCGTCACACTTCACGAGCCGCTGGCGGTCGAGGAGGCGGAATCAATCAATGAGAGCAAAAAGATCAAGCTTACCGTCAACTCTAAGCACAAGAGTGCTCTGGTCCCAGGCGAGGGTCGATCAATGGGAATGGATATTGATTAAGGTTCGCCACAGAATCTTCCGAGATTTACGAGTCCCATGTATAAGTACTACACTTACTCTGCGTGCCAACGGCCAGTGCTTGCGATACAAGTACAAATGTGTGTGCATAGATTTCAATAACGCTGAGACATTATCGGTTCTTATATTTGGCATCGTTCTCATGACGAACGTTGGGATCGAGAGCGTTGTGCAGTCCCAAGAGTGTCTTGCTAACTGCTTCGCTCGCCCCAATCATTGGTTTCAGAACAGCGATGGGTACAGCACGGATGACAGAACGGACAGGCCCCTGCGTAGTGATCGGTTAGATACGGTGTAAAATCTTCTCCACGGAACTTACCTCATTGCCTGAACGCTCATACACCTCCATTGGAACAGCAAGAATGGTTTGAGCAGCGGAACTAAAGTGCCTTTGCAAACTCTCATACGCTGACTGCATCCCTTCTTTCAGATCTCCCGGTTGTTGAGCATATCTGGAAATGAGATCTGTGGATTCTTCCTCCTCGTCTGTGTAAAATCCACCAGTACTCTCGTCTCCTGCAGGCATTTGAAGGGTTTCCGCAGTGATAGTGTGGTCAAATTGCCCTCCGAGTACACCTTCTGCTTGCTCCAGAATGACTTGCGTTCCTGTTGCTAGTCGGGCACCCATTTTGATGGCTTCGATCGCTGTGGACTTTACAAATGCAGTGGCACCTTTCTGAACCCCGCGTACAATCCTTCCATCCTTCTTGTATTGTGCAATGGGTAACAAGACAAGGTCTGCGACCCCCGAACCAACGTTAACCATTGAACGAATCGGCGCTACTCCAGAGATAACGTCGACGAGTTGTGTAGCTTTCACGTCGGGAGTCCAAAGATCGTTTAACATCTCAAACAATCTTGGCCATCCGGTTACCTAGAAACAGTTGAGAATCATATATCTTCGCTTTACTTCGACCAACGTACCCCAGCCAATGTAATATGACGAAGTGTCATCTCTGCCCCATCGAAATGGAAGAAGTTCATCAGTTCGATTATTCTTCCATCACGTAGTGCGCGATAATCAACGCGACGAGGCTTGTAATCTAACTTCAGGTCGATGGGAAATATCTCAGCCAGTTCTAACACCAAAAATAAATGTCAAATAAAAATAGAAACTTATTCGCTCACGAATGTAAGTGTCTCCTTGACTGGGAGGAGTAGCACCAATGTCAACATCCGGGCTTTTGAAACTAAAGAATTTCTTGAGAAAATCGACAGCATCTTGATCAACATATAGCCGCAGTGGCAATATTTTCGCCTAGCCAACTATCGATGGATAGGAATCCACATTGAAACAGGGCAGTTACTTACTCGTAGTCGAACTTCTTCGGATGGGTGATTTGGAACGGGTCGAACAGTGCTAACTTCGATTCGGACCATGTTCGACTCTGTCTCCCTGATGTTTCCACGAGAATCTGAGCGCAGATCTGTCAAAAATTTCTTCCACGTAGAGGTCTTGATGTGGTCAAGAATTTCCAAATCTTTGACAACCACTAAAGTTCTAGACACCAAAGGTTCATCTGGCCGGTACTGGTCAATTTCTGCGTTCAAGCCCGACATGCGGAATTCCATGCTTGGTGCTTTGGAACGCGTCAATCGTTTCCCTCGTATACGCGCCATACCACTATGTGGTTTACTTGTGGATGGTTTGAGGGACTGCCAAGAACTTTGACTGATCGTCTCGATATCGTCTCTCAACTCTTCGTCAATTGCATCAAGCAGCGCCTGCGGTTCCAATCCATCGACGTCCTGTTCTAAGCCGATGTATACCGAGTTAAACAGGAGAGAACTCGCTTCATCGAGGCTTGGATCTTGTGTTTGCCCACTGGCTACGAGTTGCCGAATTTTGGCCAATCGTTTCCGCATGTCTTTGATTTCTTCCTCGATCGTCCTACGTGTCTTGATCCAATCATAACCATCGTAGAGAAGCAAGGTCAGGTCGGCGTTAGACACTTGAACGTGTAAGGTGGAACGACTAAGGTCCCTAATGATTCAAAGTGAGCGAGGGTGTTACGGCACGACGATTGAATACCGCACTTCTGAGAGCCCAAAGATTTATCAGGCGGAAGAGTATCAAAATACTCTTCAACAACAGTGATGCCTTCAGTTTGGAATACCTTGATGGTCTCACCACCAATCTTCGACACCATATGGGTGTCGAAGCCATCGCTTGCAAGATAGCTTGCGTCCGTTTCCCTCACGTCAAACTCATCCAAATCATCGTCGCGAAGTTCACGTAGGCCCGCCGCCGTTCCGAATGATTCGTCAAGATAATCCAGGTTGGTGGGTAGGTCGTCATTAATCATGTCTGGAGCGGGGCCAATTTCGGGGACTTTAAACGCAACATCAAATACAGACGCTGAGAAGACAATCAGACGCTGTTGTGATGATTAAGCAGTTCAAATACCTGAGAGAGTGGTTTCATTCGCTGAATCCCTGGAAACCACGGTGGGTTGTTGCTCGGATCTACGTACGAAGGTTAATGTGGTTGTTTCAAAATTTCGAGAGGGTTGCGTACAACTCCTCAGTCACGCGTTCAAACGAAGACGCCAAGTCACTAGCAAAAGCCGTTACAGCTGCTAGAGTATCCGCACAAGAATGCACCCGAAGCCTGATGCGCTTTACGTGCACCTATCGTACGCCTTGAACAACACACGCAGAGGAAATGCATGTGGCTTACCTGCTTTCCGTAGGGTACAACGATAGACTCAATGTACTGCAAATCCATGTCAGCGATTTCAGCGAGCAGCGCGTAACCAGCCGCCTGAAAATCTCTGTTAGACTTTCAATTAGATTTCAAAGCCAAACGGCCCACCTTCCAGTATCCAACACCTTTCAAAGAGTTGATATTGTCTCTTGCATGCGTCATATCGGCATCGATGGCCAAAAATGCAAGTTCTGAAATGACAACTTGAAACGACATCTCTGGAGAGTCTCCCACGACATTCGTCAAGAAATCCAATTCCCCGATATACGCGGTGAGGGCGCCAAGATGGTTGGGAGCAAATAGTCGTATGGAACCATCTAATATTCTGACAGATACGGTTGTTCGCTCACTTGGAATGACACTTTCAAATGTCTGACGAATCGATCAGAGTTGAAAGACGTAGCTTTAGCCTTTACTTACCCCTGGTGGAGATTTGGCAAATAAGCCGAGATCTGTTACCCAGGTAATGTCGGGATAAAAATCATAGGTAAATCCGCAAACAGTCGCTTTCACCCTGGTTTCTTTGATTGTTGTCTCCGGAACAACCAAAGATATCAATCGGAGTTTGACAAGCGGCCTGGGAGAAGTGGACTGCAACAAAAGATTAGATGCCGTCATTCTGGCCAGTTTTGGACAACTGACTAGACTGCGAGGAGAAGTCAGGCAAAGAAGTGTTTGGAAACCCTCCGACGGTTGCCCATTTTTGACAGCAATGTCCATGATGCCTACCGTCAAGACAGTCTTCTGCTGAGAATTAGGATATCAGACAAAAACTCCATTGATAGGAATGAGACAAGTTACTTCGCCCTCCGGCTCGAATTCGATTAAGGCATCCAAATCTGAAAGAGTTACGTCAAATGGCCGTACAACTACGGCATTATCTGCTGTTCGTGGTAGTCTTATTCTGACGAATGCTAGCTTTCAACACTTGAGCAGAGAACGCAACAACGGGATCAGGACCTTACATTCAGTTATCGTCAATTTGACTACCGTCTCTGCCTTCGCTTCCCCGACAGCCGAGCTCAGTCCACTGGTGCTCCCACTTCTCGATTTGGCAAAGAACCGACTTCCAATCAATCCCGTTTCTTCAGCGCCCATTTTAGCACTGCTTGAAGATGCATTAAGCGCAGAGTCTATAAGCTGTGTTGTATTATCTGCCCAATACTGGAGAGCATCCAGTTGACTTTTGGAGATATCAACGAAAAGGGAGGGAAGGTCAAAGCTGAGAGCGACGATAGAAGCATTGCTGGTCGAGGGGATATTGGCTGACCGAGTCACCTTCAGACAAGGGAGTAAAGGGGACAGTCTCTTGTCAGAACCAATGGAAGACGTATTGGCTTCCGCTTCTGTAGAGTCTTTGTATCGCAAGGGCCCCAGGGAGAGAAATGAAGAGGTAGTTCCCTCATGAACGAGGGAGCAAGCAATCATGATCCTCCCAAACTCTGCCCTCATCTGAAGCTGTCCGTCTACAGGTGAAGACTGGGGCGATGTAGGATGGAAGGTGGAGAACCTCGCCTTAGCCCTCACGTTCTCTGGAGCATTATTGATCGCTAAGTCATGTATATTAACTACAAGAACGCCTGTTCGATTGGATCGACTTGATGGAGAGGGGGAACGGATTGAGAGTCGAATCACTGGGAAGTGAATGGAAATACGTTGACTGACAATGGCTTCCTTGAGTAGTACACTCTTCAATAAAAACCATCTTCAAAAAAAGAGAAAAAAATCACATACAGATCCAAGCAACGGCGGTTGAGTGTGTGTAAACTTGCCCTTGGTCTGGTCTCTTTCCAAGTAATCATCGCCATGAGGTGTACAAGGGGGTGTGCATTGCCCAGCTTCGTCGTCGCACATGCTGTCTGGAGTTTCTTGTTTAGGATGGAGAACTTGTTTGAAAAAAGCTAGGGAGCCATGTAAAGTCTTCTCAAGATCCACGCATATCTGAACAGGGGCTATATTGACATTCAGTTCAAGCGTATGGGTGCCGTAACGTTTGTCCTTTTGATGTGCTACAACCCGCTTGCTCAAAGCCGATATCTCGACAGCATGCGACAACGAAGGCAACGGAGGGTCATCATGCTCCAGGTTCTGTTTACGCATTCGAATCGAAGATGATGGCTCGTGTAAAGATGTCGCACGATTGAACTGTGGACGACTTCGCCAAAAACCAAGCTTCGTCCCATACTTCTGACATCTTTCATCCATCCAGTCCAAAATTTCAAATGTGGGAAGTTGCGGATAGTCGCTGGGCTTGGTTTCGCCTGGATGATGATGAGTCGTGGGGTACTGAGAGTTTAAGTGAGGGTCCGTAAAAAACAGGGGAAACGGAGAGATCTCATCACGACCAGGAGTCTGATAAGGAAATGCAAATATCGCAAGATCTCCTGCGGCCATGGCCACCGTGGTTATTACTTCAGAGCTTGGAAAGTCCTTGTGGTTTGAATCTAGTTCATTATGGGAAGAAGATAACGAGCCTGACAGAGTGTCCAGGTGTATTCGTACGTATCCGTGATGGAGTCGTGGAGGCACCACTGGGCTTTCGAAATAGTGCAGCAGTGGTTCCGCATCTTCAGCTGTCGGGCTAGTCCTTGGCAATTCAGGAAGCAGGAGAATAAACACGCCCCGAATGTGTAATGATGAAAGGAGCTTCGACGTCGGTGTGGCAGGTGCGCTCTCAAATAAAAGTGGGCGCGAGGGTGTCAACTCCTTGTGAGAAGTTTGTGATGATGATGAAAAATAATCTGCCAAATTGACGAAACCTCGTATTTGCCATGGCCGGATCGCGCAAGCTATGACACTTGCTGTGATTGAAAGTTTTATTTCGTCATCAGAAGGTAAGGTGGGAGAGGGACCTTGCGTGTCGTGAGCTTCTGGAACATCAGTCTGGAGTGGAGAAGGTGTCAAAAGTTGTATCTGAATAGGCGATGAGCCAAACGACAATAGTGTTTCAGAGGGACCCCAGTCATCCAGCACAACATACGGTTTTCCGTGGTCATCTGGGGTTGCGTTCCCCTCCCTTGATTCCGCCAGTCCTCTAAGGCTGAGAGCGCTCTCGTAAATACTACTCGCAACAGATGCCGACGGAGAGCGGGGTGGAAGGAATGCAAGGGATTGCGACATGGCAAATTGCGTTTCTTCATCCAAAGACGACGTTGATGAGCTGGGTGAAACTGGTTGTCGAATTTCGTCGTAGGGAGTATGGGTAGATGAGGGTGGAGTAGGGAGGAAAGGGCGGGCAGCTACAGTGAAGCCCTCAATAATCAAGGAACGCGTTTCTCCTTCAGATGTGTCTGATCTTTTCGCATTCGTTTGATATCGAATCTGAGCAACAGACATCGTGACATTTATATTTCCAGGATGGACAATCGTTATCATGATGTCTTCAGCATCAAATTCAAATTTGGCAAGTAATCTCTCGACGAGAGTCGCAAAGATAGGAATGCCCGCGGGCTCAACATCTGTATGACGCACATCATCCTCGGTTGTGGTTAAGAAAGGATCAAGACTTCCAGGAACGCTCTGTTCATCATCATATTTCAGTTGTTCGGAATGCAATGACTGCCAAAGTGTGGCCTCCTCTCGTGGTGTCAATTCTTCATGAACAAAAGATTCAGCCATTGAGGCCATAGATTCGGCAGGGTCAACAGGCTGGGATTGATGGTGGGTTGAAGCTAGGACGTGAAAGGTGAGATGGAGAGATGTCAATGTGAGGCCTAGTGTAGCAGACAAAGGATTGGGCCAAGGAATACGCGCGACAACAGAGGATATGGTTCCATCGTGAAGCGTTATGGAAAGGTCGGACAGATAAGCATTAACAGCCTTGAGAGGGTAAGCAAAGAAACAATCGCCACAATTAACATGAAAGTGATCAGTACCTCAGCATCCAGTTCAAGGTCGTTGACTTGAACATACCCGGATCCAATTTGAGCATCAACCTGGCTAGAATCGAGCTGGCCAGGTTTAAAGAGATGCCCAAACAGCTTTTTGAGCAAGAAGGAGATAAATCTGCCTTGGACGCTAGACGGTACGGCGAAATTGAGGGATGGAAGCCGAGGTAGCCATGAGGGGATCCAAGTCATTGATGATACGTCGATGCGGGAAACTGAAAGAGGATCTCGTATACAGGTATGTATACTACCAATCCTCGTTTATGAGTTCATTGAAGTCAGCAACGTCGGATTGATTCAGGTTCGAATACAATTTGAATTCTTGTCAGAGAGTCGATCTGGAGTGGATTGAGAGTGGACCAAGTACAGGTAAATTCACGTGACATAAGTGGTATAAGTACATTGTGACTGTCAATCCTTAAAAGTCAAGCAGAGTCCAAGCGGTGCAACTCTGCATGCATTCAGACCACACGCTGGACTTCGTCAAGAAAATCCGCTACATGGCTCGCGATGAATTCATGAACTTGGCTTGATGGGTGTATATGATCGACCCAAACAGATCCGCCCCACTTTCGAATATCCTTTTTCTCAAACCCATTGACTTCCGGATCATCCAGGAAGGTTTCAAACGCACGAAACGAGGAGAATAGAAGAACTGTGGCATCATCGTGGGCGTCGGAAAACTTCTTTGCTCCAACTCGTAGTGATGTATTCCAATTGTCAAACGATGCGGAATTTTGTCGATGCTCGGGGACTTTGTGTGACGGTCGTTTGGCGCATCAGGAGAGAAAGATAAAGAGAGAGAAAAATTGCGTACCCGCTGGACTTCGGTGGATTGGTGGGACATCGATGAATAAGAAATTCCGAGCGCCTGCCTCGTAGAGTTCATCTTGGAGTTTAAAAAGGGTCTCCAAAGTCGATTGATGTTGAGAGGAATATCTACCCCGCAATTAACGACAGGTAATAAGACAATGAGAGGAGGAAAGCTTACGCGCAGTCGTTGATCCCCACCCACGTTACTTAAAAAACATATCAGCTCTGGAACAGAGTTTCCCCTTGACACCCACCAAACAGAGAGTTATTGGCTGCCCACGGTGCCCAGCTTGGTTTTTGGCCCACTTTCTTCAGGAACTGTTCTTGAATTTGACGACGAACACCTGCGATCGTATCGCCTCCTCGAGCATAATCATAAACTAAGAGAGGCGAATCGGTATATCCTGCGACCTCTTGACCCTCTTCTGCGTTTGGATCGTAGCGGGGTGGGGGGCAGAATTTTGTGATTAGATGGCCCACCCAATTGGGAAGATCAGGCTCATTCCAGGTCAAGCCCGGGTATGGTACGCCAAGTGGATTTGATGCCGTTGGGTGATCTGCCTCGTTGCCTTCGTAGCCCACAGAACTGTAGGAATCACCGCTATTCACAAGATGTGTACGATGAGTTGAATGCGAAAGTTGAGAAATGTGAAATCGTGGACAGACAAAATGATAAGGTTCTCGACGCCACTAAAACCAGGCCAGCTAGGAGCAACCCGAAAGATCGTCGACATGATAGTGAGCACGAGAAGTTCAAACAATAATATCTACAATTGATGGCACTTCGAAGGACTTGATTCAGATCAAGGCTCGATAGCGTGTGACGCCGCGTGACCAATAGGTGAACAACGAAAACTCTCGAAAACTTCGAGCAAAGGATGTCGTCGCCTTTATTGAATGAAGTTTCGTAACTAGTGACGAGTTATAGATCAGTACATAGTAGATGCTTCAAACATTGCGTCCTCAGACTTACCTGATCAACCGATGTGCATCTATCTTCAAAATGTGGACACCCAACCGTAGGTCGTTCAACGGCTACGGAGCAGACAAATTACAGTCCAGCAGGGGCTCCTTGCACAATTATCCATTATGTCTCAGCCACGCTGGCTGCAAACCTTCAAAAAAAGCACGACCGACGGAAAGGAATTCTCCTTACCTAGCGCGGCAAAGTCTGAAGCGTAACTTACGAAAGGAGGTTTGTCGCAAATTCGATGTAGCTTGGTAAGTATGCCATGGGGGGTCAAACGAAGCATTGGTCGATTAATTACTGATCATTGTGTTCGTGCCGTTATTCCATGCAATCGGCATACGTAGAGATAGCGCACATTCAGCTCAACATCAAGTTGTCTTGAAGACAATCTTTCAGAGAAATTTGGCGCTGTTGAAGCCGGCGATTGGATGGTATGTAGTGGGAAGCTATGAATATGAGGGTTCGTCATTATTTACATCTTATCTTGAGATTGCGAGTGTGAATTCATACGTGTACAACTGGTGTCCAATGTAACTTGACCTCAACCATCATGGTTTTGGCCGACCTGGGACGTAGGCTCAACGCTGCTCTCTCCTCACTCAACAAAGCCCCCATTGTTGACGAGAAGGTCTGTTCTAGAATTAGTGCTTTGGTTTACACAAGTGAACCAAGCATCCTTAGGTTCTTGATGCGACGCTGAAAGAAATCACCGCCGCGCTGCTCGAATCCGATGTCAACGTCAAATTCGTTGCGTCCCTCCGGCAGAAAGTCAAAGCGAAAGTCAAAGCAACGATAGAGAGTGCGGCTGCCGACAAATCAAAGGAAACGAATAGGAAGAACCTGATTCAAAAGGTGCCAATATACGTCGTTATATTTCATAAACACTAACAATGTTAGGCTGTATTCGATGAATTGGTTGCACTTGTCGATCCAGGCGTAGAGCCATACAAACCCAAGAAGGGGCAGCCAAATGTAATAATGGCCGTTGGGCTCCAGGTCAGTTGGCATCAATCCTTTTTGCCGCCTACCAACAACTTTTTTTCAGGGGAATGGGAAAACTACGACCTGCACAAAGCTCGCGGTTCACTATCAAAAGAGGGGATTCAAATCTGCCATTGTTTGTGCGGATACTTTCCGTGCTGGAGCCTTTGACCAGACGCGACAATCGGCCACCAAGGCTAAAGTTGCATACTTTGGATCGTATACAGAAACAGACCCTGTGTCGATTGCAGCTCAAGGTGTGGCGAAATTCAAGAAAGAGAGGTTCGATGTGATCATTGTCGACACGTCTGGAAGGCATAAGCAAGAGTCAGAATTGTTCGAGGAGATGGTGCAGATTGGGGAGGCTGTCAAGCCAGACATGACAGTGTTGATTTTGGACGCGAGTATCGGCCAGGCTGCCGAGGCACAAAGTCGCGCTTTCAAGGAGAGTGCTAACTTTGGTGCGATCATCGTAACTAAGATGGACGGGCACGCGAAGGGAGGAGGGGCTATATCAGCGTACGTCGACTACCAAATGGTCACCGCGGCATTTGATTGAGATTGGTTACAGAGTCGCAGCTACGAAGACACCGATTATCTTTCTTGGCGTGGGGGAGCATTTACACGACTTGGATCGATTTTCTCCTCAACCGTTCATCTCAAAATTGCTTGGACTTGGCGATATGCAAGGCCTCATGGAACACATGCAGGATTTGGCGACACAAAATCCGGACAAGCAAAAGGAAATGGCAAAGAAACTTGAAGAAGGAAAGCTAAGTATTCGAGACTGGCGAGAGCAAATATCTAATGTGATGAATATGTAAGGCAGTCAATTCCCGACAACACCGTTCTAACACGCATTTTATCTCAAGGGGCCCAATAAGTAAAATCGCGTCCATGATACCGGGGCTCCCTCAAGATATGCTGCAAGGTTCGGACGAAGAAGGATCACTTCGCATGAAACGCATGATTTACATTACGGACAGCATGACGGCTGGCGAGCTGGACTCGGACGGGGCACCTTTCATGGAGGTGGGAAAGGATGGCAAGCCTGTAGGACTAACATGGCGGGTGACTCGGGTTGCAAAAGGGAGTGGAACGAGTGTAAGGGAAGTGGAGGAACTTTTGTGCCAGTACCGAATGATGGCGACTATGGCGAAGCAAGCAGGGGGAAAGAATGGGTGGCTGCAAGCTATGCAAAAAATGCAATCTGCAGCAGGGGGTAAGGGTCGAGGCGCGGGTGGTATGCCGACACCAGCTCAGATTCAGGCTATGCAAGTAAGCTGCGAATCCATGATTTTAACCCTGAATATCTGAACTGATGCTTTTACGTAGCGTTCAATGCCGCCTGGGATGTTGCAACAGATGCAACGTCAGATGCGGAGCGGTGGCGGGATGCAAGAGATGATGAAGGCCATGATGCAGGGACAGGGTGGGGATCAGCTTGACATGGAAGAGATGCAGAGTGAGTTGGTTCACGTTAGGGCCTCCAGGTCTTGACTCTAACTAATATGGTGCAGGGATGATGGCATCGATGGGCAATGGGTTGGGTGGACTTGGTGGATTGGGAGGACTTGGAGGCGGCGGGATGCCAGGGATGGCGGATATGTTCAAGATGATGGGCATGGGAGGAGCTCGATGAAATTGTATCGTACACTGGTGGAACACATACGCTATATCTGCGTAAAACACATTTTGTTTAGTTACTCACGCCGCCGCTCACTCTTCCAACGCTTCTTCTGTTTGGATGCTGAAGCCTTGTTCCCAAAGATGAAGGAAGACGTGTGCTTATCTGCGCCAGTTGTCTTGGAGAGGACAGCTGGTCCGTTGAAGACAAGCTATAGTGAAACATAGTGAGCGTCGAATCAGTTATGTGAGACGAAAGAAGACATGCAGCCCATAAACCCCAAAGCCCGATTACAATGTCGACAAGGAAAAAAAGGGTTACAAGAGGACTAGTTGCTCTCGAATTCCAGGCAAAAAAGGCGGAGATGATGGCGGCGGCGGATAGGGGCACTAGCAGGGGTTGATTGGGGTTGAACTCAGCTGGTAAAGGTGGTGGAGTGGATGATGGAATCTGTGTCATAGGTGAGAGCAAACGAAACTAGGAAGGTGAATACATGCATTGACAACAAGGGTAATGGCGATGGCGATGAAAAAGATGGCCAGGTGTTGGGCAAGGAAGGTTTCGAGGTTGGTGGAGAAGGAGCAGAGGGCGAAACAGACTGCTAGAACTATCAAGAGGGCTGCTGCGGTGGACGACCAGTAGGCGAGGACGTTGAGGTTGGTGTTGGGGAGGTCGTTGTTGGGAACATTGTCGGAAACGTCGTCGGGAGTGGTACGAACGGTGTCGTCCTTGGTGGGATGCATAGGAAATGATGATGATGTCATGGTTCCAATTTGTAAGATGGACTTTACTGTCGTTGGTGACGATGACTCGGAATACTTCCGCAATCTCCATGGTCGCACCCTCAACGCTCTCAACACAAACTACCTCATCCCCGTCGACGATGACCAGGTCAAGGCAAGTTATTCTTCGTCTTTTATATTTCTCCTTGCTCTAATCCTGCCCAGCAGCGCTCAGAACTCCATCACCGTATGATTCAGTTTGTGTTCGATGGTCGAAACTATGTCGGACCCGTCAAAGAGGTCCTCCAGTTTGGCCAGCAACGCAAAAGTGTGTTTTCTACCAACACTGCACACATATCCTCACTGTCTCTTAGTTCTCGACCTAGGCACAGGCGGCGGTTTCTGGTATTTGTTGCGCTTTTCGCTTAGACGCCTCCTCTTATACCTAACAGGCCAATCGACATGGCGGACGAGTTCCCCAGAGCAGAGGTCATTGGCGTCGACCTTGCCCCCATTCAACCCAGGTATACAGCCTTTCCTCCCCCTTCTTCCTTGCGCCTCACACCCCTTCTAGAACAGTCCCCCCAAACTGCACGTAAGCCACGCGTCCGCTTCCTTGTTCGCTTCCGTTATTAACCCACCTATCTGCCCATCTGCAGGTTTGAGCTGTGTGACCTTGATCAGTGGCATATTCCCTATCCAGACAATCATTTTGATTTCATACACGCCCGCTCAATTCACATTGGTGTGCGTCCTGTCAAACTTCCTCCTGGTTTGCCTGATGTATTTTTACAACGCCCCCAGATTCGCAATTATCCTCGCTTCTTGCACGAAATCGCTCGTCTTTTGCGTCCAGGCGGGCTCGTACTTCTCATTGAGCCGGACCTCAACCCAGCACCCTCACCTACCTCCTCGGACCGGCTGGGGCCCGTCTCCATGCACGGCTGGTCTACCCTTTGGGAGACTTATCGTACGTGCCTGCGACGTCAAGGCATTGATATCACCGTTCCCCAGCGGCTCTCAGACCTTCTTGCGGCTACTGGCGCCTACGAAAATATTGTCGTTCGTGACGGCAACATTCCTGTGGGATTTTGGCCTCAAGGTAAAGTTCCATCGAATACGTCAATCATGCCTTTGATTGTCCATCTTTATCAGACCCTCACTTACTTACTGTTGGGCAACTTCAATGGATGGACTATGAACTTTTTTTGCCCGCCCTCAGTCCTCTTTTCCTCTCGAACAATCTACCCATTCCGACTGTTGACCGAATCATCAAAGAAGCCCAGCAAGATCTCTACTTCCCTTCCGACTCGCTTTCGACGCATCTTCACATCGTGTACGCTACCAAGTGCTTTTAACCCGCATCACCTTTGCAGCTGTATCTATACTATTTATACCAGCCTTACATTCATACCCATATCACGCTCATGGTAAAATAGACAAAGTTGTATGTATTTTGAACACGCGAGAGCATTCTTATGTGTATCACGAATCAGAGTGGCGACTCTGGGCAGATTCTTTGGAGCAAATCGAGTCCGTTCGCCTTCACAAAATTGCCCCTTAAAAACTTTGACCTGGAAATAAGCAAGAAACAAATTTGAGACTGATGACGAACAAGGCATCAGCAGGGACTTTGAAGCTCCAACCATACGCGTCACGAGCACGCGGCAATTAAGCTCTTCTTATTGAAGAACATCAGGTGCTCTACGGGTCGTATGGGAAAGCCAGGACAGAGCTAAGCAAGTAGAAACTGCCTGGCGAGAACGTTCCAGCCTTTGATACCTTCACGACCTGCGAGCTTCTTAGTCTCTCCCGAACGTTCATGGGAGACGTTGCCCGTCTCCAGCTCATCGTCCCTGTGACAAATGGAGCTGCGGAGCGAGTGATGGATGCTGCGGACGGAGAAATGAACGCCTCGGGAGCAGGGGAACAGAGTCAGAAGACGTTCGTCTCCAGACAACGGTCTTTCAAGCTCCGCTGGATATCTGGATGTCATGTCCATTGAGGTACAGATACAAGTCATGAAAAAGTTTGTATCAAATTACAAGGATCGTCAACCCCGCGTGAAGTATGCTTTGGCCCCGTGGCTAGCAAGCTCCGTTTTGGCCTATGTGCGACGTTAGAAGAAGCCAAAGCGTCCGGATGTAACCACCCACCTTCTGCATAGTATGACCCGCGGCGGTGTGGTGCATATAAATCTGTGGCGTCGATCAATATTATGTCTGGCTGATTGAGCCAGAACCACCTACTTCGCGATAATAATACGCGTTTCCAAGTCCTTGAATGAACCAGCCGACAGTAGCTATTGTGCCGAGAATAGCGGCTACCCAAAGGTGATTTGAGAACATCCGAATGGTCTGGATTAGACCAGCTGAACCGGTGCTGTGAAATAGATTGCAGTGAGCGACTACTTCTGCCTCGGAGTTGATTGCTTTATAAAGAATATTACACACCCTGGAATGCCGATGATCCTGTGTGGCAAAGATAAGGTCCTGTCAGGAGGTGAATCGCAGAAATGACGTGCTTACATGTAGAGACTGAAAAGAAGATGAAATCCGCCAAAGAAGAAGTAAAAGTCTATAAGTGCACGGGGGCGGTTAGGTTGCGATGCGGGGGAAACCCGGACATCTTACAGTAGTATAATGCTTGCTCCTGCGTTATCGCAGTCGGTCAAGCTGAAGCTCTCAAGGAACGACCGGACTTGCCTTCATGTAGCCGTTATATATAGGCCTACAGGCCAATTTAAGACTGTACCATAGAACAGAAGGCCTTGGACGCACCGGTACCAGAGAAGAAACGATGCAATGGTAATGGTAAACACATAGCTGAGGGTTGAGTTAGAATATTCCTTCAATTCAAAATGAAAGTACTCACCCCAAACTTGCACCCAGATCACTACCACCACCTGAGGAACCTGATGTCAGGACGAAAATACATGCAACCATGTTGATGATTAAGGTTGCCACAAGAACGAGCCATAGTTGATACAGCCTTGTAATCAACGGCCGCGAGGCCTCGGGTATTTCATCTTGAATAGAATGGAAAATCAAGGGGAAGACTGGAATGGACAGGACAGATATGGATAGGAACGACAAACAGGCTCATTAGAAGATGACTGACATGGTGGAAAATTGTTTCTTCCGTGCTGACGAATGTGATCAGCCTTTTTGTTCAAATCAGACTCTCTGCGCTCGAGGTCTGCTTCTCGTCGTCGAATTTCTTCCAACCGTGTCTGTTCTTGATTTGGAACGGGGTCGTCAAATGGGTTAGTGTCGAGAGAATGAGAGGAAGCAAAAGGGTTTTGATGATAGTCGGCTGGTGTAGTACGTTAGCGATGGAAGATATTCAAAAAAAAAGGACGGACTCATGATGTGTCGTTGCGGTTAACGGTGACCTTGCACAGGTTGTTGAACGAATATTGACGGGAGATGCCGGTGTTTGGCTAACGTTGCAAAGGATAAAATCTATTTATAATTCTTGTCCTTCAACCTTTCTTCTTAAGTATTGAGATTCCTGGTTTGCTTCTCTCTCGTCCTTCTTTATAACCCAACGCCTTCACGCTTATTCCACTCGCTCACAATGTTCAAATTCATAGCCCTTGCAGCCCTCGCAGCATCGTCTGTTTCTGCTCTCGTTGTTCCTCGTTCAACTCCTCCTGCTGGTTATAATACAGGTCTCCTCGAGGTATGTATTACGCTCGCCAATGATTCATCTTTTTGATTGCTGCTATAGCCATACGATACCTACCATACCCGCTACATGGCGCTCCAGTGCAACGTAAAGCACAATACTGCCTTCTTCGACTCTTGCTGCCATCCCCTCCTTGTGAGCAGCTCCGCTTATAGTTTACTCGTCTTCTTTATTTCACCTGCTCTAGGCCAACGAGAGTCTGGCAACACGTCCGGCACAGTGCAATCCGTCTGCTACCCCATCAACCGCAGCAGCAGCTTCGGCGGCTTCCCCTTCCGCTGATCCCGTGGATGATGATGAAGACGAGTACTGCGATGATGGTGATGACGAACCCCCCAGCTCTTCCTCCGCTCCCATCGCCCCCGCTGCAACGACACCCCTTGTACCTACCACGACCGCTGTCAATACCCCCGAACCCACGACCACAAAGCCTGCGTCTGCAGCCACTCAAGCTCCCGCTTCCGGCGTCAACACTGGTGGATTGTACGTCTCCTAGCATCTGATTTCCGCTCATTTTCTTATACTTTGTCAGCGCTACTTTCTTCTACCAGAATGGTGTCGCGGGGGCATGTGGCACCGTGCACAGCGACAATGACATGATCGCTGCCATTGGTTGGTTTTTTCCCCCTCTTTTCCGCACAGCATTCGGCGTTAATTGTGACCTTCCACGATAGATGGTGACAGGTACGGAAACCTCTCGGCCCAATCACCCCTCTGCGGCAAACAGGTCAAACTGACTAATGCCAATAATGGAAAGGTATTTGTATATCTTCTTGGACCCAATCATCCATGGCCTCACGTTTTGAATCAGAGCATTACTGTGACCATTGCTGATGCTTGCCCAACCTGCAAGAACAGTAATTCCATTGATCTTTCCGAAGGAGCTTTCAAGCAAATAGCCACCCTCGATGAAGGCATGGTCCCCAGTAAGTCTCTTTGAACTTTTTGATTGAGCATGAGCTTATCTATCATTGTAACCTCTAGTTACTTGGTCATTCGTCTAAATGGCTGCCGCCCCATTATCTTCACTCCGTCCTTTTTCTTTTCTTTTTGGGTATTTTGGATGTGGTGAGGCCAGTCCCGCCACAAGCTCTGGACGAGCACATTTATACGAACGGCGTGAGAGTATCTCTCCAGATACGAGCCTAACGACCCAGGTTGGCGTAAAGCCTCCTATACGATTTATTCTCTCGATCGGCCCGTTCCCTTCATTAGCATTGAACTGCCAGTCTTAACTTGAAGTTAGCTTTACTTGTTTTCCCATTTTGCTATGGTGCCAGCATCATAATGACCATGTATCGCTCGCTAGACGAATAGAAACGATTTTCTGATGAACAATGTTTGCGTGACGAGTCACTCATTCTAGTCACCGACGGACACAAAATTCAATGGCACCGTTGCAGAAGATACTCGTCCTTGGTGGAAATGGTTTCATAGGTACGCCAATCCGTTCTACTTAAAGCCATTGTTAACCATTTTCTTCAGGCTCTGCCGTGTGCAGGTTCGCATTGGCGAAAGGAATGCAGGTCACCAGCGTTAGCTCGTCAGGAAAACCATATCGCACACCAAAGGGCCATGCGCCCGACTGGACGTCCAAGGTGTTGCCGAAACTTTTATACGTCTGCATTCTTTCTGATGACCCTCCCCTCATAGGTGGATTGGCAAAAGGGAGACGCACTCCATCCAGAAACCTTTGCGCATCTGTTTCCGGAGGTTGACGGCGTCGTACATACGCTTGGAACGCTGATTGAAGACGGGCGGTACAAGCAGGCTCTCAAGAATGGCGACTTCCTGTCAGTCATGCAAAGCGTCTGCCAGTCAGGATTTTCGGACGGCAATCCGCTCAAACGTCAAACGGGTGGAGAACAGAACAGGGGAAGTTATGAGGTTATGAATCGCGATACCGGTGAGTGCTACACAGTACGTATCAGTCGTTTTTGTTCAGAAATTCGTTAGCGTTGCGTGTTTGCGAAGCGTTTATTGCCTCTCCCCCTTCTGAAGCGTCCAAGATCAATATACCCAGGCCATTCGTTTACATTTCCGCAGAAGACATCTTCCGTCCTGTGATTTCTGAAAGGTACATCACGACGAAACGGGAGGCGGAACGAAGAATCGAGATCATGATGCAAGCCAACCCTCTCTACCGAGGAGTGTACATCCGTCCTAGTGAGTTTTTGCTTCTGTCCTCGTGATATCCGCTCCCGACCATTTTATCAAGGCCTGGTCTATCACCCTCATCATCGACCATGGACGACACCCGCCGCAGCGCTTCTCGACCTCTCGGCCGTGGTCCACGAAAATATGCCTCGAGGTCTCCCCACGCCGTCAAGCTTTATCCGATCTCTCGGGTCTGCCTTTCCACAGACGGGGTCTGACGGAACTCGGACATCGCCGCTGGGGTCTATTGCAAATGCACTTACTACGCGTCCTATTCACGTTGACACGGTCGCAGAAGCCGTTTGCGCTGCATTGGACCCGTCCAGAGGTGTACGTGGGGTAATTGGGGTAAGTGCTATGCGTGAGCTTCTGGGATGGACAGAAACGAGGAGAGAAGGCGGTGGTGCTCCAGTGGGACTCCATAATTCATGAGATGTATCAGTAGACACTCGAATAATTCACAAGCTTGAGTTGAGGCTTAGGAGAGCGGGATTCAACGGACTTCCGTGCTTGCATACTCATGGCCTTGATTCTATCCTCGATTTTATCCTTTGATTACTTATACCTGCAATTCTATCCTCGATTCTATACTTACCCCCTTTCTTGATTCTGCACCTTCTTTAGCGCCGACGCTGCCAAAAAAAAAAAAGTCGCCGCGAGCTGAGTAATTTTGACATATTATAGGGGTCCCTGAGTCAGGCATACACTGGTTCTTCATTTCCTCGAATGCAGGCCCTTCGCGTTCGTGGGCATCCCATTGCTAGAATCCGAACACAGAATGCCTGCTCATCCGACTCTGGCAGCCGTTCAATAACCACCTCGGCTCCCCTCCGCCGTGCGCTCCCATTCTCTCTCACGACCCACAATGTCCAACGAGACGATCGCGACGATCGCTTCATGCGAATGCTCATGTTCGGCAAGCCAGGAGCAGGCAAGGGCACGTTAACAGCTCGACTCGTTGAGAAATACGATGTTATGAGTCTGTCTACTGGTGACCTGCTTCGTCAACATATTGCCGAAGGCACCGACGTCGGCAAAGAGGCGGAAGACATCATGGCGCGGGGCAAGTTGCTGCCAGATGACGTCGTCTTGAAGGTAGTTGCTTCAAAGTTGGACCGCATACAACCCAAAGTATAATATGCCCTTCTCTTGCAATCTTTGGAGCTGACTCAATAACCCTAGCATTGGATTCTAGACGGTTTCCCCCGCACTCTTGGCCAGGGAAAACTCTTAGATGTACATCTAAAGTAAGGCTCCCCCCATTTGTTTGTGGGCTTAATCCTAATTCGACGTCGTAGAAAACAAAATATACCCATAACGCTTGTGGTCAATTTAGATGTACCAGACGATGTTATCTTGAGCCGGATATCTGATCGCTGGATACATCTTCCTTCAGGACGTGTTTATAACATGTCGTACAATCGACCCAGAGTCGAGGGGTATGACGATGTAACAGGAGAGCCGTTAACGAAACGTCCTGACGATAATCCGGTATGCCGTGCTTCTTAACCCCCTGTTAGCAACCACTCACCTCTGCTTATCTTAGGAAATATTCTCTCGTCGTCTCGCCGCATTTTATGCTTCTACATCGCCACTGCTCTCGTATTTCTCAACCTCCGCCAGTTCAGCTGCACATTCTCCATTTGATCGCCATCAACACCCGCATCAACTGTCCTTCCATCGCCCGCACAAATTGGCAGTCAAATCTCTCTCTGGACATACGTCGGACGAAATTTGGCCCCAACTAGATCAGCTCGTCCGCAATATGTTCCCTGGGCTGAAAACGAGAGCAGAGACCAAAGCATCGAAGAGACGACATAGTCTCAGCGATGCAGTTGTAGCGGAAGACCTTCAGGCGAGCGGTAGCTTCAAATAGAAGTACTTTGGAGAGCGAGACACTAACAATCTCACGTCCCTTTATGATACCTGATAGGATTTTCTTCTTGACATCTTTCTTCCATACATGTACGATAAGTTGTGATTGGGATATGTAACAGTTTCTCAACGTAAACCATACCTGTAATTATCTTCGTTAAAAACAAACAGGACGTCAAAATGAAGAATACCCACATTTTTACGACATACAAGCCCTCTGGCAGACCTTCCTGGACTTTCTCTTTTACAAGTTTTAGTCCAGCTTGTTTAAATATATCTTTCCAAGCCAGGTCCGATCTACGGAATGATGAGATACGGAATCGAGGGACAGGAAATACAAACCTAGTTAAACTTGAATCCTGCTCGTCGAATATGGATTCACCCGTGCCATCTTCACGATCCTGACATATGTTTTCCTTCACTACGATGAGACCCTTTCCAGCTTTGCCTCTTAAAGCGTCATGGCTGCGTCGGAAGAACGCGACTAAATCACGATCATTCAAATGACCCAGGCACCACTGACACCAGATAACGTCAAAGCCAGCCCCAATCTCGTCCGCGGGACGGGGAGGCTGATAACCCACGCGATCCAAGAACTTGACACGATGAGGGGCTAGAGGATCGAACTCTTGCAAAGTTCCCTGTAGGATGGTAACGCTCTTCGTCTGATCCGCGATTCCAGGCCAGGACGGATGACCTCGGGGCAGGTCAGAGTTGATAGTGCTCGAGCGCGCACGAGCGAGGGCTTCTTGAACAAACGGATCTACCGGTTCAAGAAGAACGACGTCAGAAACAAGATAGAGGAGGACGTCCGCGGTGACACGACCGATACCAGCCCCGACGTCCAGAGCTCGTGTCCTTGTGGGAGGATTGGAAGAAGTGAGAGAACGACGTGAGGATGGAACAGTTGATAGATCGGGATACAGGTCGAGTAGGAAGAGCCTTGAGCCCAACGAATCTATCCTCGGAAGGGACTTTAGAGGCTAGATGAACACATTGGAACGAACGATGATAAAAATTCCTTTACCCCTAATCCATAACCACCTAGAACTCCATCATTACTTGCGGGTTGCGTAGTCCAATACTCGATGCCATCAACAACGTCGGGGTCACTGTTCACGGTCATCGTTGAGAGAAAGATTTATTCCAGTGATCGCGTGATCCAAACAAGCATCAACAACGCGTCCATGAACTCTTCCAATATTGACGATATCTGGGACGAACCCGTGGCACACCAAGATGAAGTTGAAGCCCCTACGCGCTCCAAGCGCCCTCTCTTTCTAGTAGAATCGGACGATGACGACGACGACCAGGCACCACGTCGCGTAGCCCGCAAACCACCTCCACAGCAAGATATCGACATCGATGCCCTCTTTCAAGATGTGGATGAGGAGGAGTTTACATCATTACCCCCTGCTCTGGACATCGAAGCGGTTCGCCGCAGAGCGGAAGCCCGTCACAAACAAGCAGCGCCATCCCTAACACCACACGAGATTCTCCCTAGCAGCTCCCCACCTCATGACACTGGAGATCGAAGGGAGGAGCAGGGGAAAACCAAAGGAAAAGATAAAGAAGGAGACCAAAAGAAGGAGCGACGCAGACCGGCGCAACTCAACGAAGGCAGATTGCTGGGTCCGAGCGGCTTTCCTCAACTCATTAAGGATGTGAAGAATTTTAGAATCGAGGGGAAGGGACATGAAGTGCATGGGTTTCCTCTTTATATTTATCAGTTCTTGGCTAACTAAAAAATATCAGGCTACAGACCTTAATCGCCTCCTTCAGGTTTATCAGTTTTGGACCCACAGCTTGTACCCCAAGACACCGTTTAGGGATACCGTGGAACGTGTCGAGAAACTATGCCATTCAAGGCGTATGAACGTGAGTGGTTTCAAAGGCCAGAATTCTTTGATAATCTTTGTTTCGTAAGGTGTCTCTGTCTGTCTGGCGCGACGAAGCCCATGGCATTACAAAGGCAAGGGCGAATACTGAAGACGACATGGACGACGACGATGTAACAAGGAAGGCACCACCATCGGAAGACGAACTTCATCCTGGACAACCCGCATCCCCCATCTTTTCACAAACCTCTTCTCCAATGCCATCCCGACCTCCATCATCAGCATCCGAGTATGATCTGCATGATGATGATATTGAAGCTCTCATTCGAGAAGAGTCAGCTCTTTCCCGAGAGAAGCCCCCTGCACCGATGGAGGATGACGAAGAATCGTTTTGGAGCACTGTCGACGATTATCAACCACCAAGACTTAGTCAGCCTGCCCCTCAAGCAACTCCCATGGACGAGGACCACGACATGTGGGATCTTGTTCGGGAAATCGAAATGAATACTTCTACATCGCAAGATGAGGCCTCGTCAATACCGAAGGCGTCAACAACAGAAGAAGATTGGGATGGTAGTATATATGTATAGCGAGTATCATTCTCTCTTCGTGTAACAGCAACCGGGGGGTAGATAATTTAAGTTGGCTTTGGCAAATAATTCAATATTCAAATATTCTGGTAGATGAGGGTGTTGGTTCCTCCACTACGAGTCTTGGGGAGCCCAGAGAATGCAACGACCGCTCGCATTTCCACTCGCGGCTCTTTCGACAATGCTGGGATGCGAACACGTCACCGCTTGAACGGCAGAAATACTGAAGGGCAACGATTCAATTAGCAGCAGCAAGGAGATTTATAAAAATAAGCCACACCGCGTTGGGTCTGCAAGTCGTGCCAAGAGATCACCCTATGAAAATAGGTGAGAATTAAATGCGCTGCGACAATCTCACGGAAAGTTGCTTACCTTGCAAGAGTATATATCCAGTGCATGATTCATGTTAGCGATCTATAGGTGGTTTAGCTGAGAGGAGATGACTGGGAGGAACTAACGCTTACTGTAAAGTGGGGATAAACTTCAGGATTCTGTGTCCACTGGGCTCGCAGGATTGTAAGCCATTTACCCTGATAGAACAATTTCAGAAATTCAATTTGGAGCCAACAGGTAGAAAGCTGACCGTTTGACAATTGTGTTTAATGCGGCTGAAGGGTTTCAAGTTTGGGAATAGATCGGGTGAGCTAAAGAGATTCGATTCGAGGTCCCACACTGTGCGAACACTTTAGGTATGTGTGCTTCACCAAAACACCCCCAGTGCTTACATCTGATTGTGTCGTCATAACTCGTGCTAACAATTTGGCGGCCTCTTGGATCCCAGTAAGCGGAGCTCGCTGATTTATCATGGCGCCATTCTCCCCGCAAACACCCTTCACCCTGCTTAGATTCCAAGAATTTGGAAACCACTTCTGTGTCAAATTCCAGGGTGGAGGTAGTCACGCCATCGTCAGAACTCCTTGTAAAATTAGTCCCAGATTTCATGCCCTGCAACTTTCGAACATCCCAGATTCTAAAGCATTACTCAATCGAATGTCAGAACTCGAAGAAAAACAAAACTTACTTGAGTAGGCGGCTGTTACTGGCCGTGAGAACAAAATGATTTCGCGTGGGGTTGATGCTAATGCAACCAATCTTCTGCTCAGACAAAACATACCGTCTCCGCTTGGAGCTCTTTTCGCGTAGGTCCAAATGAGTTGCACCGCCTGCGCCATCTGAGACCCACATTTCATTTCCGGTGGATGTTAAATCGATGCTGCATATAAGTTCGCCATTGCTCGACGCGAAGATCTCCTCCGAAACACCTGTCGTAAAGGACAAGTGTCGAATAGTGCAGTCGTAGGAACTTGTGTAAACCTTGATAAGAGTGTAAACCCGCCATTTCATTGGAAAGAATTGAGCGTACGCTGTGGGTATTGGTCGGATCCAACTTGATACTCGATATTGACGACTTTGATGATGCAGGCCAGTGCAACTGTAATCTCCAGTACTTCCCTCCCTCATTTTCGACAAGGGAAATATCTCCATCTTCATCGACTTCATCACCTTGCGCTCTGGCATCCCATATTCCCAATTGACCGTGCTTATCTGATTCAATAATTATTAGGGCAATGTTTACAATGAAGCACAATATAACAAACCTCCAAAAAAAATGAGATCTTTTGTAACTTCCGGGTGATACGCAGCACAATAGATTCTGTCTTGAGTTACTTTGGCACGAGAGACAACCTTCATGCCTTGCAATCTCTCTTTCAAGTCCTTTACAGCGGCAGCCTCTTGGGTGCCGTCAAACAAGAACGCATCAGGATCAGCAAGGTGCCGTGACCCTGATGATTGAGCAACGCTTTCCAGCGCCTCCGACAGCGTAGATGCGTCTTCTGGTCCATTTTCAGTAAGAGATATGAGATCAAGCTTCTGATGCCGTGGCTTTTTTGCTATTCGCGCTTGTTCTTCTGCTGCTAACCTCTCCTCCTCCTCAGCACGTTGCTCTTGCTAGATAAATATATTAACCACTATATATGAAAAATCAATGATAAACACACCTCACGCTTTTGTCTTTTGGACGGACTTTCATCTGGATCAAAGGTATCCTTCCTTAAACGCGCCGACTGACGCCGTGGAGCTTCAGGCTCCTGTCGTTCACGCTTTACTCTTTTGGCAGGTTGAACGGGCTTTGCTGTGGACTTCGCCGCGCCCTTGTGCTTAGGAACGTCTAAATTCTCAACGGCTTGTTTGAGCTCAAGTTGTTCAAGAAGGGCGCGGTTCCTTGCGATATTCGCCTCGCGCTCAATCTCGCTGTTGATAAAATCATCAGTAAGTTGCAATCTCTGCAGTAACATGGACATACTATTGCGATAATTTGACCATTTTGCTGGAGAATAAATAGGTGAGCTATGAGATGAGGTGACTTCAACTTAGGCTTGACGTGACTACGTCACAGAGCACGTGAATGTTACAGACGTTCCAATAGCCAGTTAAATGTACAACAGCAATGAGCATATTCCAGAGCAAAGAAGAGTACTAATGATGGTAATAAGTTGAGAGGTATAATGGCAGCGTAACTGGTATTCAGAGAGAGAGGAACCTCAGGATACTTCCAAAACCGAGGTCTCCAGCACACGAAACATCGTAGGGTCCTTTGAGTCCTCCGACCACCCAACCACTTCTCGCCAGTTGGCCGCGTTGGCCTCCTTCTCCCCCGCGCCAGAAAAGAGTCCAAGGTCATCGTCGCTAAGTCCACGGAAGATTAGAAATATCCGAGTGAAAACGCATGGATCAGCTGAGACAGTGATGTCAATGGCAGCCGCAATTTTGCTTGGCGATAGGAATCTATAGGCGATATTTTTGTGCGCTGAGAAGGCTGACATGTTGTTGCTTTATAAATTCAATTGAGCATCAAAACCAGGTCAGTTTGTGATTGCACATACTTTACAAAGGCGGTTCGAGCGTGCAGAGACATTCCTAGTTGGTCCAATACCATCATTAGGTGTGGAATAAAGTCGCGAAAGGACATTGCAAAGCCGTTTCTAGGAGCTATGTAGTCATTTGGGTCGACCATTGTGGGGTCTGGACTATTAATACGGTGAGTTATAACCAGACCAATAGGAGGATTGGAAAATGGCTTACACTGCCTCGTAGTACAACGCAGTTGATACCAGCTCGCTTTCGAAGTGCTCCAGTGCCCCACCAGGATGGACACGCAAGAAATATTTGACCTTGTTCTCACCTACACCTTCTGCAGGTGGCCAGGTAATACCTAGCTTCCACAGCGGAGAAAATGAGAGCACCACATCGCAATACTGCATGGCCGGTGATAGTATAGTCAAATGACATTTTGCTGTAGTGGGCTTGGCAGCAACAGCGAGTTTGGTCATTACTCGTGAGTCAAACATAAATTCGGGCGTGTATTCTTCATTGGGAGGCAGGCGCGTGCCGCTGAACTCCATCTTGTGCGTATCACCCTGGTGAACAATATCAAGCTTTCCCCAGAACATACCATCCACCGTCGTCCCATCCTCCATGCGGGCCATGTCAAGTTCGTCAGAGTTTACCATAACGTCGAGTGCGACATGTTGACCTGGCGTCAATTCCAGATTGAATGTAGCGGGCATTTCAAGAACAGGCGGCGGACTGTGAAATGTTCTCAAGACGTGGAGGGCGCGATGTGTGAAGAATAGCTTACGGAGGTGGGCTACATATTTCGAAAGTGAAATGAGATAGGTGAACATTTCTTCATCTTGAACTTTACTCACGGTGGGTCATCTGGAGGTGGAGGAGCGTCACTGACGATCTCGACACGAAGCCCTTGTACACCCATGACTGCAATTTGATACGAGTCTTCGCCTGTAAGCTATGAATGTATATTCAAAGAACCGTCTGGGTTCATATAAGAACCAGAACCTACGTAGATGTAGGGACCAGCTACCAGTCGCTTCAAACACACGTAAGCAACTGGGATCGTATGAAAACTTTTTTGCAAGCTTACTGCAGCATGAAGTGAGGCATACTCGACTGGAACACGCAAACTGAAAACTGCCTCTGGCGGTGGCTTTGTCCAATCTCGGGCGACGGCATCGAGTTCCTAATAAACATTAGTCATGGTTAGAGGTATGTCAGTAAATGCCAGACGCACTGCATAACTATTAGGGAGCTGTTTTCAAGGGTCTGGAGATGAATTTGAGCCACATAAGAGGAATATATGCGCACCATACGGATAGTCTCCATGTCGCCATAGGCAAGGGTGAGTAGACGCTGCCGTGCGAGAGCCATCTGGGCTTGCTTGTCGCGCATATCGGTTTCCTTGTTCTTTGGCTTGAACTTGCCCCAAAAGGACTGGGAAGGAAGACTTGCGCTTGTGGATCTATCAAGGAGGGCAATCACCAGGAAAGATGAGACGTACGTCGGAGAAAAGAAAAGGAGACAGCGCCTACGCTGGAGAGAGAAGCATGATGGTGAAAGAGAAATCTTATAGCTCAAGAGGCATAATCTCGGAGAGGGACACGATGAAGACACGAGGCGATTGAGGCGATGTCATAGTACTATCGTGGACAATCTATATTTATATCTGTTTAAATAAATGAATTTTTAACCATCATCCACCTTGATGCTTTTTCTCAAGCTCACCCCGGCTCACCCCCTCGTCGTCCTGCTTCCTAAAAGGGCTTTGGCCTCCACCGCTTATTCATGGCAAAGCAAATCTGTTGCCCGGTTGAGGCAGGAAGCAAAAGCTCGTGGCTTATCCGTGTACGTCCGGAACCCTTCCGTACTATCACCAACACCAACCTTGTTGATAGAAAAGGCAATAAAGCAATGCTCACTCCGAGGCTGGAACGACTCGATACCATTCACGCGGGTGGAGCTCGGAATATATCAAATCAACCAAGTGTTGCACCAGGAAGACCACAATCGCCTCAACCACTGACTTTCAACAAAGCCGAAGAGACTTTCTTATATACTCTGCTGCCTGATATATCTCAGCCTGATGCTGAACTCCCAATCCAAATTGTGCGTGTTATTCCATCGTCATTGCTGAAATGAAGCAACCTCCACTGGTTATCACGCCATACCGCTTCTCCTTCCTGCGTTACGGTGCCTTATAATTATTCGTTTCAGCCTTACGTTCCGGACTTCTGGGATTCGTCACCCCCTGTGGCTAACGGGACTGACCAAGAAACGTTACTGCCCAAGCTTCTGGTTGTTGCTGGTGACACTCATCCAGGAGGTGGACCCTCACACAATCTCCTCGATATCGAAAACACTCCTGAGGGTTTTAGTCTTTTCAATGGTAAAGTAGTGAAACCAGGACAGGGAGGGAGTGGGCTTTTGGATGATATTGTGGAGGACGTCGGGCTACCACCAGTCAAAGATATGAAAAAGTCCTTCCAAGAGTTATTTTCGTAGTCTTATTTTATTTACAGTAAATAAATATTACTCAAAAAAATCAGCACTCCTACTTTCGCTAATGAACCCAACCAGACAGGCTGTCCGTAGGCTACGGACGTCTGCCCGACGATGCGACCGCGTTGCGCCTCCTCACCCTATTTCTCACATACGTCCCATCATCTATGACGATTCAATAGCGGCGTCAACACCCACCAGCCTACGCCATCCTTATTCCTTATCAGAGTTCAATACTGCCTCTCTGGACAACCTTGGGGATTACGAATTTCAATACAAGCTACAACGACAGTACCTAGACGCTTTCCACCATAACTTTTGGCTAGACGTGTGTATTTCACGATCGACGTTTTCGCTGAAGAGCTCACACACAAGTTGACAGAGTAATTCTCGCTTCAATGCTGGAAAAGCGGCTATCCTCGATAGTCTTCCCCCATCTGCGACGCCTCGTGATGGAGAAATTGCCTTGTCAGAATTCTACAAACAATGGCTTATACAAGAGGCCCAGCGTACAGATAGGTATACAAGGGAGTGGCGAAGTCGAAACATACGCCTCATCTTCCTAGCGGTCCGTCTCAAATACCAGAAAATGTGGAGCAGGTTTTCCAGCATTGGAAGAAAATAGATGATATGAGTTCTAAACATTATAAACGTCCTCACCGCCCTCCTTGCTCACTCGGCTGTCGACCCTTGCCATACCTTATCATGTACGGCTAGCTCATACACCCGATGGTATACATCTTCCAGGTCCAAATCCCCAAGCCTATCACACTCCGTAGTGTAGTCCCGGACGATTGCGTCCACTTGCTCCTCTGAAATACCAGGCCACCGAGAGGCGACCTCCGCAGTTGATGGAATTACCAATGCGAAATTTGGTTCAGTCACGAAACCGTTCGGTTGGTTTCTACTCGGAAGGATCAAATGAAGCGTTGCGTATAAAGCGGTATTCTGGAAGCGTTCCTTCAATTCAGCATCAGATATGTTGGCAGTTCTTCGAATGTTATCCCAGCTTTTATTGCTGGTCAGCCGCGAAATCAAGGATCGGCTTGGATAGGGCTTACTCGTCATGCAAGAAGATTCGCCTCCAAATAGTGCGGAAAGCAGACAATTTTCGAGCTTCAGGTAAATTCTGTGACAGTCCAGTTGAGCAATTATAAAGTCGTTCAAGGTAACACCACATTTACATCGACGCGAGCCAAAAGATGCAGAGCCGTAGCATAGTCTTCGACACTTGTTGTGTTATCTTTGAGAGTCAAGAGGTCGACGATATCCTCAACCGACAGGGCCCTGCCTTGTAAAAGCTGCCTCAGCAGGTCTTTGAAAACCTGCGTAAGATGAATCAACCGATTGAATCATCAAAAAAAAAATGCTACATTTGCCAAGGCATTTTGGTCTATGAGAGGGGAAGCCTTCGCTTTGGTAATGTGTTCGATTTGATTCTCCAGAGAGTGCCGGCCGCGAAGCCCTTCAATCGCTGTTCGGAAGTCCTGCAACAAGGTTTCATGCACGCCGATGAAATCGAGGTCATCATGAAAGGCTTGGAGAGAGTCAGATTCGGATATCGAGAGTGGGAAGGTGTATCACCGTCGAGAACAGACTGGTCAGCAGAGACACTTGTTTCATGGAGTTGCGCTAGGTGTGATAGCTTCCCAACACTGAGCATCAACTGGGCAAGATGTAAAGGTTCAGCGATTAGAAAACGCAGAGCAAAATATGTTCACATGTTTCACTTCGAGGTTGCTGGCCTTGGAAGCTTCCTCGAGAAGGTCCGCCGCTGCCCGCCCGTAGTGCTCTTTCCCAATGTTGTAGATCCATGAGATTGCCGGGTTGGGTTCTTCAGAGAAAAATCGCTCCAGATATCCGGTCTGCAGGGCAGAGGATTGATTAAACATGACACGGAGCTCGCCTGAATGATGTTTGTGTCAGCAGTTCGGTTGATTTCAGGAAGAGGCGAACCATGTTGGATATACCACCGATAAAGCTGACTCGCAAAATCATATTTGAATCGATCAACGTATGACTGGATCCGGTCGAGATTCGGATTTTCTGTCGGTGGGTATGCAACATCTTTGTGACACAGTGCAACGAGAGAGGTAAAATCGTGATATTTTTCTGCAAGCTGGAATGCGGTATCCTGATGTCCGAATCGACCTGGCATGTAAAATTCAGTCTAGTTGGGAGTTGCAAACCTCTTTAGAAACTGACGTAATGTTTCAAGGACTTCTGGCCGCAAAAGCGCAAATCTATGTTCCAGCTCGTCCTTATCGCGCCCGACACCGGGCTCAGCCGCAGCAATGGGGCTATTTGTAGAGTAGGTTGATACTCCATAAAATGTTTGGAAGACATGCCTGTACCTACCTTGACAACCAGTCCAATCTTTCTTTGATACACTCAAAAAGAAGAGCCGCAAGCTCGGGAAGCTGTGATTGTTGTAGCTTGCCTTGGCTTGACGAATCAAAGTATCTAGATTCCACAGCCTTGGTGGTGGCGTCGAACAATGCCAGCACAGTGTCAACGACTGCAGGTCGACTAGTCCATGGGAAAATCATGGGAAGATCAATGCCATACACCTTGAGGTTATATGCGCGATAATCGAACGCTGATCTCAACACCGTCTGTAGGCGAATCAAAGGAGTTTCTCAGAATGGCTGGAGATAACGTACCACAAGGATACTATTAGCTTCTGCCAACAGCTGTGATACATCACGTCCCGCCTGCTTCGACGATAGAGTGACAATATCTAATATTTTCTTGAGGAGACTTCCCACATCGCTCACGCGAAGACGGAAAAAGGCCCTCATAACGTCTTCGTGTGGACCATCTGCCACATCCGCCATATATGCATGAACGCAGTCGTTCAAAACGCTGTGCTTAGGCAGAGCTCTGTGACCAGTCATCAAAACAGGAAAGATGAGAGGCTGAGGGAGACGAACGCGAGAAGTTCATTATATTGCAGCCATAACTGATGAGATGCATACAACTTTTCAGCGTCCATCGCCAACTTTTGGCGACTCCGTTGCGACATCTGTTGATAACGTGAGCTACACACCAAGATACAGCAACACTGAAACTTGCTTTGACGAGAACTGAATTATCATTGATAAACCCAATAAGCCAACTTAAACGGTCTTTCCGGCTCGTTAGTTGAGCACTCAAGTCATGATTGTTCCTCACGACTTCCGGATCTTGACAATGCAAATCAGTCGAGGTCAATGCAAATAACCAAAAAGGTCAAACCTGAACGAAGTACGGCCTTGCTAAGTTGTTCGGCACCTCGCATCAAACTCTCTTCGTCTACTTCGGGGGGAAAACTGAAATGTAAAGGATTCTGGAAAGGATGAGCTGAAATCAAAAGAAAAAACTATGAAGTCACCTCAGGAGACGGGCCATACAGTATTGCCTGCATCATGATCGACTTGATCAGATTGGTTCGGCCAGTTCTGGCGGCACATTCAATGAAGGGGACAATTCTCATATTGTATTACTCACTCGGGGTTGAAAGCAAGAATCTTTTCCATGTTCAAGTGGACTTTCATCAATGTGGTGGCAGTCAAAACCAATAATGTATTATCTGTCCGGCTTACGCCTACGCCCAGCGTCCTGTCAATGGTTGATTTCAACTCCAACCTATCTTGATATTCGGATTCTAGAAGCGACTGATCTGAATCATAGATAACAATAATGTGTTTAGGACAAACCTCGAGCGCATAGAGCAACCGCGTCGCCAAATTGTACGCCAATCAAAGAACCTGCGAAAAGTACCTGTATTCGAGGGTGTGCCGGCACCGAAGATGTCGACGTCTGTACATGAAAACGAACATTAGAAATGAAATATTGTAGTCGGAAATCTACTGACGCTTTGGTATGGCACAGTTTTTATTGCCGCAATTTCGAACGATTTGCCCTCAAAAGCCAGGTGAGCGAGAGCATACAAGCGCCGAACGCTTACGCCACCCTCCTTTCCACAGTACGATAGAAGAACAGCAACCATTCCAGCACTGCATGAAAAAGAGGGTAAATACGATTAAAAAATGCTTTCTGGGACGACGTAACTCTTCCACGGCCAAGTCCAAAAGCTCGATACTCCATTGCAACCACTCTCCAGGCTCTTGCCGGATACCTAAGGACTCTTGAACCGCAGATTGAAGAGAATCTGCTATTCCCAAATCCAATTTTTTCTCTTCCCAGCCATCAGTCTTTATGACCCATTTTTGAACCCTCTCTTCAGTGAGTACCCATAGATCCCTCTCCCCCGTTGATGACTGAAGGCCAAGTGAAATTGAGCGAATATATGACTTGAGATCCATCATAGAAGGGGTGACAGTGAGAAAAGATGGAAGAAGACTTGAAAACGACCGAGAGCCGGGTTGGGTGAAAACCTTTGAAGTCAAATGGCATTTGCCGCCAGTTGATGTAATCATCAAGCGATAGAGATTGCCTAGACTCGTCGCCACAATAAAAGTTTGAGGCTGCATGCATAAGTTAGGTGATAATAGCTGATAGAGACAGAGGCGAAGCGCGCACATCGGATCGGACAAGAGCCGTTACATGGTCATCCTCGTCCACAAAATCAAGCGAGGAGCTGTCATAACGATCGCCTCCAGCCAAGCCGATACTAATACTATTCCAGAAACGAATTCGACCTGTAGAAGAGACGAGGATCAGACCTGGTTCCCGAGACGATCCGTGGGGAACAAGGGCATGGAAAGGTGAATTGCAACGATCTAGAGGTAAGTTCTGGTGCATGCCCTGAGGGCAAGCGAATATGTAGCATGTAGGAGTCCCTTTGATGGCCTTGCACAACGGTTAAAAAGGCAAATGGAAATCAATAACAATGACATACCTGAGCGTGTTGCCAGACAAAGCATGTCTGGGCGGATGCCACCAAAGTAAATCCCGTCGTGGTGTCAATTTCGCCAGTGTACGGTGTTTTGCAAAAATCTATCGCGTCGTTTTGCTGTTTGAGACGCGTCCCAACCTAAGGCCAAAAGCGAAACGCGCACCTGCATTCCTCAAAACTTGTTTCATCTCCACAGGTAGATTGGCATAAAATGACGCGGAGAGCTCTTCAGTTTTCGCGTATATAGTTTCTCCAGTGGATGGTAGTCCTGAATCTGGTAGGACTTCATCAACATCCATTGCAGAACGAAACAACTCGTTTTCGGTGAGGTTTGAATTTTCCACGGAGGGGCTTTCCAGCCTACCAATAGTCGGGTTCCTTCGGGTAGGTGATCTAGCCCGTATTCGGGTCGAGCGACGAGGCGCCGGGGAAGGAGAGAATGTTGCCATTGGGAGCGTGCAGCAGCAGTTGCTTGCCGCTGAGCGCTACAGAATGACCTTCACAAGCCCTTGGCAAATAAGCAGGCACAAATAGTATGCGTCAGGCTCAATACTTGAAGGATGAAAGTTCTATCAGCTACTACACTACATTGCTTTCTATGTATCATCTCAATACTCGAACTCTTCAGATATCAGCGCCACATAACCTCTGCCATCCCGATCTTGACCATGCGGGTTTATCTGGTTGGAGACAACCTCTCGCACAAGAGCATTAAGAGAGGTCGGGCCACAACCTAAGAAATATGAACTTGGTATGATTGTGAAGAAAAAAAGGAGCTTACAAGCAACCAAAACAGGTCCACACGCCTCCTGGACCTCGTAGCTCAATATCCTGTCGAGCTTCGGCTTTCCAGGTCGGACGTTCTCTGCGACAACGGAAACAGCTCGAGCCTCTTCTTGCCCTAAGCGAACTCCAATGTGACTTTCTGTATGTATAGATGACCTGTCCGAAGGTGGTGGAAGCTGCGGTGAGAGCTGCGAAGCGACAGATGCTCTGTTATCGCTGATGTCCGAGGGCAACAAAAGTTGGGGCGGGAAATGTAGATTCGGATCGGCGGTACTAGAAGGATAGCACGGCTGCGAAGGGGGAGCCCAGTTTGAAGATGTAGAGGGCGACAGAAATGGGTCACTTTGGTGAAAGTCTTGTGACCGCCGATCAGAAACAAAAACATCAAAGTCAACACCTGAACGAAGTCGCTGGCTGTCTGAAGACAAATACGCTTGCGGTGAGGACGAGTCATCCGATCCTATGCGGTCAACATTAAGAGACATTCTCTTGGATGTCGAGGCCACCGGTCCAGAATTTGAAAGCTTTCTCGAAATGGCTCTTCGTATCTTTCCTTCTTTCCTGATATGCTGGTTCAATGAGCTTTCACCTGGTATTTCGAACTCGTGATCCCCTTCATAGTTTGTCAAGTTCACGAGGTCGTGTGTTCCCACGTCATCTCCTTGATTGAGGTATGTCGCACTGTTAGCGGGCTGAATGGAGTCTACACTTTCTATAGGGGAGGTTAACAGCGCCTCCCCATAAGAGTGGCGGGAAAACTGCGGAGAAGGGGGAGGTACGGTGCTTTCAAGTGAAAGAGGCTCAGATGGCAAGCGTGTCGAGGGTCCATGCGCCGCTTGAGCTTTGGTGACAAAGACGTTGACCTCCAATTCCGATCCTGGTAGCAATGCCATACAGCGTTTGATAGCGGAAGCGCACCATTGAATATGGCCTGTAAAAACGGAGGTTAATTATGCATTACTGGACGTGCTGCGATAATCACCAAATTCGCGAACCAACCAGACAAACCGGACACGTTGTGTCTTAAATTTGTTATCAAGCCGTCGGTGACTTCGTTCTAAATCACGTCCAGAGATGGAGCGACACAGATGTTCCAAGACAGACATTCCAAAGCTAACTCCAGAGCCACCAACTACAATAACCACGGTAGAATATGACCCCCATGCTGCCCGAACAGAACTTCCAAAGGGACCCTCAATGTTCATTTTCATTAAAAGACCATATGAGGGTAAGAACGTTTGAGGGGGTGGCGATTCCGTAGGTATAAATGTCCGTCCGCGAATGCAATGGTATGCAACCGTGTCCCATAAATCTTTCGTCCAGCCATTTTTAGCACGTACGAGAAAGACGATGACAGTCAAGCGTTCCTCTGAGGACGGCTGTTGGAATATTGAGCAGGTAGTAAACGGATGCGTTGTGAATTTGGAAACAGAAGGAATATTAATCAAAAAGTGTTGTCCAGGCGCCCACTTTATTTGAGTCACACTGGCATATGTTAAGCGAATGGTGGCACCAGCGAGGAGTTCTGCATGCGCATAACCGGGTGGTGGGCAGAACGGTGTCGGAAGGATAGTCATTTCGCGACGTGTAAACGGAAAGGGTGCTGGAGGGTATGTGTAGGGTTCGACCCTATCCACAGACAAGAGACGTAGGTGCCAATCTTTACGCCAACAGACGCATCTTCTGTAAAAACCGTTGAGAAGAAGATATCGACCTAAGCGCCAGACTCGTTCGGTGATCCAAAGTCCTAGAGTACCCAAGGCCCACCACCAAATCTGTGGATGGTGGAGAGCGCACGTAATTAACATCAAGGGAACGAGTAGTACGTGGATAGCATAGAAAGCTTCATAGTGAGACTTGCGTAAAGCCTTTGCGGCAAGTGCTAGGATGGAGGTCAGCAATACGTACGCCTGAGAGTCAAAGTCAAAATCAGTAGAAGGGGGAGCAAGAGGGGGAGTAAACGATACGCACCAACCAGCCGTATATAAACCTTTCATATCGCCAGGCATATGCGTAGGCAGATTCTCCTCCCAATCCAATGCAATCCCGAGACAATTGAACACTCCACGATGCAACATGCAAAGTCGTCATAAGCCATATAAACCGGGCTGTCCAGCGGTGAAAAACTCCAAGTTTGTCGAAGTGTAGCTGAGTTGCAAAGGGCCAAGAGAAGGGAGCAAACGGCGAGGACTTGAGAGCAAACACGACGCAAAGGGGGAGAAGGGCGAATGAAAGAATGCCTGCCCTCCCAGCAGAAGTCCACCAAGATTTTGCGATCAATTTATCTGGAGGCTTGGGGGAGTGGAATACAGGCGGGGATTGATTTGCTGAGTTGGTATCTTTACGCCAAGAAGACAAAACAATATAATCAGGTCCTACTAGGGCGAGAGATGCAACGCCAGTAAACAAAGCGACGATACCGAGTATGCATCCATTAGAAGGAAAGAATGCAGGACGCGCGGGAGTGTCTGGTCGTTTGGTCGATAGAAACTTGTACGGCCGACGCCTCGACTTTCGCATAGCCCAACGATTCCAGATCGCGCCAAAAACGCCAAAGCGTCGTCTTGATATATGGAGGATGGAAATTACGAGGAATACCAGCGTGACGAGCACCCACAAGATGTAGGCGTAAAGTTGAGACTCATTGCTCATAGTGTGAGCAGCAACATAGTCAGAGAAGCTATGATAAACTGGATTGAAAAGCTGCATGGGACAGGAGATGTGGTACAATTCAAGATTTGGCGGCAGGACTTAGAGACAACCAGCGTAAAAGGTGGATATCGTGGCGAGACATTTCTGTGGCAGGCCCAAGCAGGCACGCAGCTAACGATCACTCTAAGGCAAGAGGAGGAGAAGATACTCTTGGCACACTGCCCAGGGCTTACCCTTGGCATTCAATGTATACTTTCTTCACTTCATGTAGACAACGACCCTACGCAAAAGTAAATATCCTGACAGTGGAAGTGAATCCAACCAACCTCTTCCTCGACCCTAGCAAGGTTTGGCGAGGAAAGCAGTCTCTCTCAGAGCATACCAAGTCACAAGCCTAACTTCGCTAGTGGCAGTAATGAGACTAGAGGAAGAGCTCTCTAATCAGACGGTTCAGACCTAGTATCCAAGTCGCGCGCAGGAGCAAATTGCAATGGGAGGAAGACTCCGAAAAGGGGCGTTATGTAAGCGGTTGTTCTACAAAGGAAATGCAACAATTTCTATATATATTTCGTTGACATTTTATCGGGTATTTCTATCCTCTATCATTTCCAGATGTTCATGTTCATCCCCATCCGTAGCAACTGCTTCCCACCCGTCTTCAGCAGGTGAGCGCCTTCGAGCCCATGCGACGCACCGCTCAATGAGAGCTAAATCGTAAGTGATGAGCTAACTCGACCTGGCGGACGGTCACCTGATGACTCACAGGCTGCATGGGTGCTTTCGTCACATTGTTGCGTGAGATAATACACAGGGATACCAGCAAGGATGAAACCTGCGAAGGCCACTTGAGAGGCGAGCCTTGATTAGAAAGGACAAAGCTCACCCAGTACTGCAATGGCTTCGACTGGTGCTGCAATGATAGGCATGCACAGTAAGAAAAGGGCTACCTAAACTGCGAATTAATGACTTGAGAAAGGGCTGGAACAAGACTGTGTACAGCGCAAAATGTCAGTGGTGTAAGAATCCACGTTTTGTACGGTCTGCATGTCGTCCAATCAGATTACTTTATCGAAGGTCCTCACAAATACACAATACCTTTCAAGCGTAGGCTCCTTTACCCGCAAGATTACGAGCCCCAAAACCTAGCTCGAACGTCAAATGAAAGACCTTTCGATTATTCCAGTGCTCACCGTTAGAAAGTAGAACGCCCAAGAGGCAACGACAGAGAAATTGATCAGCGACCTGAAGCCACCGCCAATCAATATAAAGCAAATTGTAATCCCAGCTTGGAGAAGGGACGCGTTTAAAGGCGTCTTCCGCGTCGAGTGTAAGCGGCCAAATATTGCGGGAAGATACCGTTCACGGCCAGCAGCGTACACTAGGCGGGAAGATGTGAAGAACGAGCCTACGTAGGTAGATTAGCTACATATAAGTTGTTTTAGAAAACATCGTACCATTGAGGGCTCCGAAGCACGAGACTGCCACCATCACGGCGAACAGTGTGCCGCCAACATGACCAAACAGGGTTCTACCGAAATCCATTGCTACAGTGTTGCTAACACCAACCACGTCCTACCGTTCGTTAAGTGAGAGAAGAAGTACGCCGACGTGGAAGAATCAACGAACCTTGTCTAAAACCACGAAGTACGATAGATTCGCGAGCAGAAAAAGTAGCTTGTTAATGCGTCAGCGTCGTTGACAATGCTTAATGTAATAGTTCCTTACTGTGACAATCAACATACTTGAGTGAATGGCGCGGGGAATATTCTTTTCAGGGTGGTGAATTTCACCACCAACGTAATTAGCCTGATCCCAACCATCGAATGCCCACAGTCCAGAATAAAGAGCCAACGAATATGCAGAAGGGCTCGTCGATGAATTTTCAAACCAGGGCTGGCGTAGAGATGGAGAGGCTTTTCCGCGAGCAAGTTGAACGACACCAAGAACAGTCACAAGGATCTAAGAAAGATATTCCCGTCAAGCCGTGATTTCATTCTTGAGAGACATACCAGCGCGGTGACCTAAACGGAAAAAAATATAAGATAAACGGAATATAACACGCGACCTGGCACTTGCCTTGATTGTGGTGAAAACCACAGCAACTCGAGTCCCCAACTTTTGAGTTGCGACACAAAGAACTGTGACTAGGATGACTGCACCAGTCGCGGTAAGTTTGATAGCCCATTGAGGAATGCCATCCGCTGACACCTCAGCGCTGATATTCCAAAAAATCCGATTGAGATACTCGGCAAAAATGAGGCTGATTACCGCATTTCCACCTGTAAAAAAGTCAACGACCAAGAGAACTCGAATATTAGAAAGCTCACCTGGCTTTAAAGCGATTATTGCTGTCCAAGCAAACAGGTAGGAAACGAGGGGCCCATACGCATATGCAAGATAAGCCTGAGCGCCACCATTTTGCGGAATGGCTGAGCCAAGTTCCGCAAAACTGCTCGCCCCTGTCCACGCAAGCAACCCGGAAGCGAGCCAGACCAACAAACTAGCGCCAGCGCTGTGGGTATTTGCGACAACAACTCCTGGAGAGGAGCTTTTGTGAATGTGATGGTCCGAAATCTGCAGACGTCCACGAAAACGTACAATATTCCAGATCCTATCTGCAAAACGCTAAATTTTCAGAGAAGCATATCGCAAATTCTTGTCATAACCGACCTGGAGGCCCACAATTAGGGCAATTCCTGTGACGAGAGACTATTAGTCAATTGGCTCGCGCGACGTATGAAAACAATTCATGTACGCGCCGTTCACCAAACCTATATTCTTCTCCCCTGAATCGCCGTGCACCGTCCCAGGATCCGTCACGCTTGCGCTAAGAGGCAACTTAACAATATTGATGAACTGAGAAAACTGTGAGCAACATGTGGGTCTTACTAGATCGTGTTGATAGTCAAAACCCGACACCGAATACGAACGGGAGCTGCAGGAGATCTAAAGGGGACATAAAGCAAAGGGGAAAGGTAACCATACCGTCCGTACGCTCCTGGGCGTGATGGCCCCGCCTCGTTGGAAACTTCAAGAGCTCGCAAGGACTCTGAATCTTCGGAATCATGGGAGTGACGAGACAATGGCGGAGAGTCCGGGTATCTTTGAGTTAGTGGAGATTTGAGGATGACATATTCGTCTCTTGACATGCCTTGCTGTTGAATGGTGGCAGTTAAACGGTATAGCGTGCCAAAAATAACCGACCCAAACAATGGCCAACTAAGATTCAGAAAGAAATACATGATAGTGGCCGCCTAGCACGCATAAATTATCGGTTAAATACTGTCTAACAACACTTGCGCGATCACAGAATGTATGTCCGTACAGCGACTGTTACAAGCGTCCATACACTGGTTATTTAAATTGTTAGTGGTCTTTGCTAAAGTTCCCTGATAGGATTTACTCACCGCAAGGACGTCACCAGTATTCATATTTCCCGTCTGCCAGATGCTTGATACTGTCGACAAAGCAGGCATGCAGGATAGTACGAGGGTTCCTCTTGATTCTTGCGATTCCCTCAAAGATGGATCCAACCAGATATCTTCCCCCACCGCTGCCTGAAAATTTTGTGAACAACCTCAAGAGGGTACACAAAATCCAAAATGTCAAACCGCTGAACAAGAAGCCACAAGCCCAAAGATCTCAATTCCGGCGTCTGTTAGAGCAGTGCTGGCCACGATGACACCCGCGGCAACGCAACCTTCAATGCCATCCGACTCAACAATGGTTATAAAAATATCAATGACCGACTTTGGGAGCACGTCCAAGCGCACAGATGAGCTGATGGCTTGGTGTATTGCCATTGCGATGGACCTATCCTCCGCATCCTAAAAAAAAAAGGTGTTGTCGGCTACAACCACTAGATTTGAGCGTAGGATATACACGCATAGGTGCTCGGCGACGATCGCATGAAAAAGGTGCGAATTTGACATCCACATTCAAGCGTCCTTTTTCGTTGAAAGCGACGTTTTTTGCCTGTCGAGGGCCAAAGCTAAGAAAAATTGCACATCAACGCTTGGTTAGGCTGCACAATGGAGACAACGGACACGGCACAGGCGATCTTTGTATTTTGGGTTTCTATGTAGGCAGAACCGGTGGCTTGGTTGATTAATCCTGGCTGGAGGACTGAAGGGGATTGAGAGGTGGAAACTACATAGTGGACTCGTAAAATGACATACAGATGGGTCTGATATCAACAGAAGCCCTATTCCTCCTGGGCATTCCAACGTTCCATGTGGGGGTTTCTTCGTCTTCAAAGATTGGAGGGTTGCTTTCCTCAGGTCCATTGATTCTCCTTCGGTCAAACCCAGATTGCATGACAGCTTCAACTTGAAATAATTTTGAAACTCAGATATCTGCAACCCATGCTTGGCTTGGACGACTATGGCAGCGACCACAGCGACGGCGAGTCGCCTGTAGACGTCGCTGTTCCTCCACCACCAAAACGGGCTCCCAAAAAGCTCGCAATTAAACTCCCAACGTTGTCAACCTTGCCTTCAAAAGATCAAGATGAGATACCAGAGGAGAGACCTACAAAAAGGCCACGACTAGGCGCTGGTTCCTCTTCTCTACTTTCAATGTTGCCCGTTCCGAAGAAGGGTACCCCGAATACTCTGCCACAACGCGTATTAGGCGGTGGGACTGGCCCCGGACTCGTTTTCAACACTGGGCGCTCGACGCAGAGGGAAACGGATGAGTCGACAGTGGAACCTGACTTCAAAGATGTTAACACGTCCCCACCAACAAGTAATGTCTCCGAGAGCGAATCATCACGTCCTTCTTTGTTACCACCTTCTCTACTCAAACGCAAGGCAAACATCTCTCTCGACTCAACTCAAGCTCGCTCTGTTTCGAGTGCTTCGTCAACACCACCTGTTGATTTCTTTTCACTCGGTACGTTTGACTGTCTTGTCTGAAAGGGACGCTGAGTGAAACGAGTTCAATAGGTAGCACATCAAGTTCCAACGCGACTTCTGCGTATGCTAAACCTACTCTGCCTAAATTCTCGGCTGCTCCCTCCTTACCTACGTTTGAACCGCCGGAGCCTACTCCCACGGACCCTTATCCGGGATACTACCAACTTCCTTCAGGTGCATGGGCAGCGTATGAACCAGAATACTATGCCAAAATTTCCACAAAGTGGCAAAATGAATACGATGCACATGTTCGCGCCCTCGAAAAAGGTACTGTTAGGGGTTTCGAGGGCCTACAAAATGCTGCCGTGGAAGAAATCGATGCGTTGAAAGAAATGGAAAAGGCCAAGAAAGAGATAAAGGAAAGGGAGGATAGGAAGGCAATAACAAAGGGTGCTGGCGAAGAAGTTGCCGCTGCGCCAAGGATGAATATCAATGTTTGTTTTCTTTTCGTTCAGTAAATGTTTGTTCTAATCACAGATGCGCTGTTTTAGGCAAGCAAGACGAGTGGAATTGCAAGATCAAGGCATCAACTTTCCACACTTTTGAGGGAGGCGTATGAGAATAGGGAGGCCTTGGAAGAGAAAATCGCCGAGGGTAGACGAAACCGCAAGGAGGCGGGAAACAAGTATGGTATGTACTTATGCGACATCATTATCTGCACGTCTCTTCACCTTGGCTTTAGGTTTCTAATGGTCCAAGCCTGTTCTTCATGCGGGTCTCTGTCAAAGCACATTCACCAGGCCCGTCATTCCCACCACGCCATCTTCATCGACACACCACAGCTTAGCGACGGATTCGCTGGTCCAGACTCCGTTGATGGTCAAATTCCGGTGAACGAAGAGAGGATTCGTAGCACGGTATTCGAACGTCTGTATCCGAACCTTGGGGTGGTTAAAGACAACTGTTTCCAAGAGCATCAGTGCGGTCAATGGCCCATGCACCAACCGTTCTACTTTTCTCTTCAGTTGCGCTTTTGGAGAGGTGGAAAGCAACACGTACCGGGATACTTTTCCACCCTCAGTGTGTAATCCTTATCAAGATGAATATGATGTGCATTAAACGTCAGTGCCGAAAACCGGAACAATGTGACGGGAGTCGGTCTGTACTGAAACGAAAAGTCTACGGAAGCAGGAACATTTGCGACTATCACAAGAGGATCAGATGGTAGACACGCGCAAAGACGACGACCTCTTGCCTGCTCGTGGGGTTCTATCACCTTTTTCGGCAGATATTGGAAAATATACGTGATCTCTTTCTTCAGTGATGGATGGCTTTGCAGCGCCCTCAACGGAAAGTGCAATAGTTTGAGTGACAAACACTTTTGGGTTCGCCTTATCAAATCCCTTCTTCTCAACCGAGGTAATCGTAGACGTCGCCGTTGCCTTCCGTCCAATTACGAGAGGGTTATTTTCTTCCCATTTAATCCTGCCACCTGCCCACATTCTTCTTAAAAATGGTGCAGGAGGTGAAGCGTCCTCGTCTGTTCCGTCTGCCCGTAGAAGCGACTCAGGTCGACGTGCATGGAAGAACGCGAGATGATGGCCGTATGGTAGGTCCGCTGAGATGCGTGGGGTTTCGAACGGCTTCCTGGTACCATCCCGTGTGGGCAATGTGATAAACAAATCAGACAGGTGGTCAGGATGAAGGCTGGCTTCCAGCGAAAAGCGCTTTGGAGAAGCGGTCCAACGGTCAAAAGCTTTGATTTCCTCGACGTCGAGTGGGCTCCGTTGGGAGATATTGGAGATGAACCGCGCCGGTCCATGACCAGCTTTGCTTCGGGTGGTCCTCCCCAATGCTCGTGCCGACATGCTCAATGGTTGGAGCTAGAGCTCGACACTTAGATACGAAGTGCTATTACATAAGTTTCACCTCCTACACTATTGCTAAAATAAATTGGGACTCGTCAATCGAATTGGCCGCTTGCGGGATTTTGTGAAGCAAAGTCGACAGCATATTGACCATACATGCTTAAAAACCTTCCTAGACCCTGATGAACCTCGACTTGAAACTCCTCGAAAGGGAACGATTCTCCGTCAACTGACAAATTTCCCTTTGGCTTCAATGGTTTCACCCTGTACGCGTGTGCTTTCACGTATTTGATCTTTGGTGATGTGAGAAAATCAAGACTTTGAAAAAGAGCCATCCACATACACTGGATTTCCAATAATTCTCCCCTTCAGCGGCGCCGCTTATTGCCGCCAATATATCCATGCGCGGAGACTAGAAAAGTTGAGAATGAGAGCGTTGTAGACATGACTGAAGTCCACGACGACTGACCAGTGGCATAACCGACACATCTATGAGTCCGTCATTCGGCAATGACACCGGGAAGGCCATAAAATCTCTGATCCAGGTGTCAGCGTATTTGTCTTGAACAATCGACAGACATACCTCCCAACATATGGTCCTTTTCCTGCGTAGACATATATGAGGGGCTCGTTGAACGACGTCCACCCATCGGCGTCGTCAGGGAGGTAATTAAGTGGTGGAAGGGCACTCCTCTCGGGCATCTTTGTTATTGAATTACTTGGCAGAGAGCCAGAGATGTTGTCCTTTTCAAACTCCTTTCGACTAGTCACAAGATGTTCAGCCATCTTATGTTTATCTGTCTCAGCGACCTTGAAAGATAATTGAATGGGGCATGGCTTTAGCTGAGCGACTTAACCACCGAGATCGACGCAAGGAAGAATAAGAAAGAAGGCAAGGAGCAATTGAATAATAAAAATAACGTACTTCCTTTCAAAAGGCCGACCATAAAGCGTGTATCTCCCATCCAGCGAAGGTGTTCCGTTCCAAGGTCAAGATCCGCCATTAGACCTAGAGCTTGCGACATAAAGGATAGGCTACGCTTTCCCCCTTGCGTCATGGAAAACAAATCGACCTTCATGGGTCGACCTAATTAATGTGAGTACATGTCGTAGGACCGTCAAATAACAAACCTTTGATTACATTCAACGCTGCAAGTCCGACATCAAAGCCATCCTAGATAATGAGCATGCGCTCCGACATTTGGCAGAACATGAAAATCACCTTGATTCCCAACAAATTCAGAGACAGGCCATTGCCTGATCCAGCGGGTATAGGAGCGACAGGCGTAGACAACGCCTTGATAGGGTTTCCGTGATGAGAAAGTCCGTTGATCACTTCGTGGATCAAACCGTCACCAGAAACTGTGATGATAGCAGCATATTCAAGCGGTGATTCCTTCACAACTTCGTAGGCATGGCCCTGGTGGGTCGTATCTGACGAAACGCGTCAGAGGTGGAGGAGATAGGGAATAATGGCGTACAAATAACGTCCAGTCCACAACCTGCCGCGCGGAAAATGGGCTCAACAACCTTAACAAAGATTGAGACCGCCTTTTTCTGATGTTGGCGTGAGGCACAAGGTTGCAGAACGAAACATGTTCACTCACCGTGCCACCGTGGGGATTGACAAAAACTAGTAATCGACGTGAGCGTTCAACAGAAAGACCTTGGTGCAAGTGTGAGTGGTTATTTGCAGATAAATTGAGGGCGGAGGACCTTCGTAGCAAGCCTGCAAAACATTTTCTGCCCAACTCGCTGTTGTGGAAACGGCGTTTCCGTCCTCGACTTTGCCTTCAATGTTAACCAAAGGCGAGTGCTTTTTTCCCCCACGTTCTGCCAAATAGGCTACATTGAGAATTCTAGACTCGGGATCGAAATGAGCCTTGAGGACGTGTAAAAGCGGGACGTGTTGAAGATTCGACCCTATGAGTAGCAGAATACATTTAGGACAGTGAAGTAATCTGGTCAACGGTAGCGACTTCACCTTTGATCAACAAAGAATTTGCCGTAAGTGTGAGGGAAACTGGGCTTTGCGAGGACGGAACGCGCAAAGTAACAGTGAGCGGCGACTGTTCAGCGTCACCCATGTAAGTTGTGTCAAAGCGGCTGAACGCAACCAAAAACAAACAACCTTTGACGTCCTCTTCCCATTACGTTAAAAAATCGACGCTTGCACGCAGTATCATTCTGTGAAAAGCGCTGCAAACAGAGGAAATGTGTTCGCTACGGACTGGCAAGCATGAGCCCAAAATAAAAATCATATATTATTGGCAAGATGTCATCATCGTCTCATGTCCATGATATCGCAAAGTCGGGCTTTGGAACAGGAACCAACGAATTATACGACCGGTGAGCGTGACAATAATGCTCAGAGTACATAGTGCTTCGTTTGCTGATCTTATGCAAGTATCCGCCCGTCCTACCAAGCACCGGCATTGTCCTTCATTCGACGAGCCGTTGACGCATCGCACGCCTTGAATATCGTCGAGTGAGTTCCTTGCCTTCATGATGGTTTGATTTTTTTTCTTACCCCAGTCAAAGAATTGGTGCTGGAACTGGCATCTTTACTAGGGCGCTTTTGGCTCATCCTGAATGGGATTGCTCTATCAATGAGATTCGAGCCATAGAACCCAGTGAAGGCATGAGAAGCATATTCTTAAAGACGGTTAACGATGAACGTGTAAGCATAAACCAAGGGACTTTTGATGCTACGGGAATTGAGAGTGGATGGGCGGATCTCATAGTCGTCGCACAGGTATGTTGTACTCTAGTCCTTTAAGCCCTCGATGAACTAGGGACACTGACTAGGCCTTCCACTGGTGCCCCGACTATGGACTTGCAGCCGTCGAATTCGACCGTATCCTCAAACCAAAGGCTACGTTGGTTCTCATCTGGAATCTGGAGGACAGGCAAGCCGTCATTATACTTCGTAAAAAGTAATGGTATTTATCTTCTGTAGAGACCGGGCAGAGTGGGTAGCACAAGTCCGCGAGAGGATTGAACGCCATGAAGAAGGCACCCCTCAATTTCGTCTTGGTCTCTGGCGGCAGGTTTACAATGCAGCGTCTTACCGGAAGGCATTTCGGGCACCTCACGAGCAGACTTGGTCGTATAATCTAGAAGCAACGGTTGATACCGTTATGGACAGAGCATCTAGCAAAAGCTACATCGCAGTTTTGCCCCCGCATGTGAAGGCGGAGGTGCAGCAAGACCTTAGGCGAATATTGGAAGATGGGGAGAAGAAATGGGTTGACGAGCAGCTTGGCACCTTTGAATACCCATACGAAACATTGGTAGTCGTTGCACAGAAGCTCTAAGCCTCCGTCAACTTACTGAAATAAATAATAACCTCAACTAGACATTTCATTATAGGAAATCGTAATCGTAATTCGACTTGTCTTCTTCTAGTCTGTGACATCTTCCAACATTTTTCTAAAACTCCTTCCACTTCGTCTGAGATCTCCTCTTTTCTTCCTAGGTAAGACTAGGATGGCGAGCAGTCACTCAATCGAAGTTCCTGATGGTTTCACCTTACACACGGAGAACACATCTCACATCCTTCTGTCATCGAACGAGGCTTTCCTAAATCCAGTGCAAGAGTTCAATCGAGATATCAGTGTTGCTTGCATCAGGACATGGAGCGACGATCTGAATACAACCAAAGAAGAAAAATGGAAACGAAACCAGGAGAAACGATTACAACGTGGTTCGAAGAAGCGCTTCAAAGGTTTCCATCTAGCCGTTTCCTGTGTCGAATGTCTGATATTTACTGGAAAACGACGCGTAGGCGAAGACAGTGAACTCGTTGGTGGTTCAACAGAGCCTCCAGAGACGGATGTGGCTCCGGGAGGGCATCCTCGCGGGATAGAGGTGGCAAATATAGGGTCGACTGCTTGGTTGCACTGCTGACAGTATTCCTCCCTAATAGATTCAGTATCAACCTTACAAATTTACGTTGCTCGAAGCCCTGTCTGCTACTGGATTACGCTCCATTCGATATGCCAAAGAGCTCCCACACATTAAGTTCAAGGTGTTCTCTACATATATTGTCAGACGTGCCTAATATTCCCAGATATGTCATAGCCAATGACCTTTCACCGACCGCGGTTGCTGCTATGAACCGTAACATTACGATCAATGATCTTGTGGATACGACTGAAGGAGTGGGCGACCCGTCACAACCCCCCATAATAATTCCTGGAAAAGTCAGAATCAACGAAGGGGACGCATGGTATGATTTTCTACAAGGCGTTAGGCATATCCATCCCTCTCATTCTCCCACTTAGTTCATTGATGTATAATCACCGTGAAGAGAAGAACCGGGTGGATGTAGTCGATCTCGATCCGTACGGGACAGCGGCACCATTCATTGATGCTGCTGTACAATGCGTCAAGGATGAAGGTTAGTGGTTTTAACCAGAAACAAAGTGAAGACCTATGCTCTAATGTGAACAGGTTTGCTTTGTGTGACTTGCACAGATCTTTCTGTGTTGGCGACCACCAACTACCCCGAAAAATGGTACGAGTTCTTCATCGCTTAGACTGTCCGTCTGCTAAAATATTCATAGCTTTTCTAACTATGGAGGAGTGCCAGTAAAGGCTGAGTATTGTCATGAAGCTGCAAGTAGATATTTTGTTTTACCATCTCAAGTATCTCTCATCACTCTCTGCCTCAGGCTTTGCGACTGGTGCTTCATTCGCTTTCTACATCGGCTGCGAGATATGGGCGTTATATCACGCCTTTGTTGTCTTTGTCCATTGATTTTTATGTCCGCGTCTTTGTGCGAGTGGCGACGGCGCCACTCGAGGTCAAAAAGACTCTGACGTAGGTTTCCAGTTCAATATTTTGCTTTTTGTTGCTCACATTAGATTGAAAACTTTTCAGCAAGACTTCAACAATTTATGTCTGCTCATCTTGTCAATCCTTTCACGAACAGCCACTGGGAAAAGCAGTTGAGAAGAAGCATGAGACGACTGGGAACTCCAACTGGTCATTCAAAACCCAAGCAGGCCCGTCCGTTCCAGAGAAGTGTCCTGAGTGTGACTCCGTGTTGCACGTAAGCAAACTATCTTACCCACATGCTGTTCTCACATAAAACTAATAGGTTGCAGGACCAATGTGGTCAGGACCCTTGCATGATCCATCATTTATTGGCCGCATGCTGGATCATTTGGAAAGCAATCAGAGTAATTATGGAACGGCAGTCCGAATGAAAGGCATGTTGACAGTGGCGAAAGAGGTATACGACGCGTTGCTTGGGTGCCACATCAGCTTAAATATTCCTCAGGAACTTCCTACGCTATTTTACTTCACACCCGCCAAAGTTTCAAGTTTCTTCCATTGCAACACACCCTCTCTGGATGATGTTGCGTGGGTAGTGGACTGTTATATTGAGTTTCTCCTGCTTACTTATCTTTGCAATAGCTCCGCCCTTCTTCATGCAGGTCATCGCATCTCCCGATCGCATGCTTGTCCTGGATCTTTGAAGACAACCGCAACCCGTCATGATTTACATGATGTTTTCCGGTCATGGGTCAAGCTCCATCCCGTCAAACTGGAAAATATATCTGAAACATCACCTACTCGTCGATTGCTCGCGGTGGAACCAAAGTCATCGCCTCACTTTGCCCAGAGTTACACTCACTGACAGTATTTTTTTGCAGGTCCATCGCGAAATTCACCAGGCATCCGGACTCCGTAACGGCGTCTGGTAAGGTCAAACTTGTAAGGTATCAAGAAAATCCAACAAGCTATTGGGGGCCTGGTAAAAAATCTACTCACAACAAAATTGATCTCAAGAGGAAGCGAAAGGATGATGAAGGCGGAAGTTCTTCCTGAGCATTTGTTCAAAAGATCGGTATTAATGCACAAGCTTAAGACGGGTAAAAGTACAAATGGTATATCCGACTGTTGGTCTACAAGAACAATAAATTAGCTACAAAGATTGTGTGGCAAATGAGGATCATGCGGAAGCTGATCCTTTTGCAGGCTTTTGGACGACCCAAGCATGCTGCAGCAACTCAGCCGCCGATGGACGCGCCTCGTGATTGATTTCGAAAGAGCATTGCAAGAAGTTTTGGGCATCGGAAGAGATATCTGATGGGATCGTTGGCCGTGCCGATGAGCCAATCTGGTGAACAGCTTAGCACACAGATTAGAAGGTGGTACGTAGCACCTACCTTGAATATCGCTTGCATCTGCGTCAGCTGTGCCCAGGGATGTTCGCCAGTAAGCATTTCAACAACTAGGCAGCCTACACTCCAAATATCGGCCTTTCGTGTGTGCCCGGTCTGCTTTACTACTTCGGGTGCCATCCAGAAGACGGAACCTTGAAGAGAAGGACGGTGCAAGCGATTTCCAGTTAGTAAATCTGGGAAATCTTTAATTGAATGCGGTATAACATAGGGAACAGAACACTCACTGTCATCAACTTTTTTGGAGATTCCAAAATCAGAAATTTTGATACCCCCTTTATTATCGACGAGAATGTTTGCCCCTTTGATATCGCGATGTATGATGTCACGCTCGTGCAGGTAATCCAGGCCTTGCAAAATTTGGCCGACAAAGTTCCTGACCAAGGTTTCTTCAAAGGCTCCATAGCTCCGCAGTAGAGCAGTCACTGAACCTCCAGGAACATACTCGAGAAAAATGTTGAGATGTTCATCATCAATGGACGAATCTACAATAGGACGTTTTGGTCAATAAGGTTTTACGAGCTTGTCATGTCAACGAACATAGATATTGAACAATGTTGTCGTGTTGTAGGTTCTTCAGTAACTCTATCTCGCGTTCTAACGCGCTGAGCATGCTCTTCTTACGTTCTTGATTGGGTGCGGAACCTGTCGGGAGTTCGACTTGTTTCACGGCCATAAGGAGGCCATTCGAGGCGTCCATTCCCAAGTACACCTTGCCAAACGAACCCGCACCGATGAGTGCGCCTTTGATCCACTTGTTCGCTACAAACAAGTTTGTGAGACGTAAGAAAAAATCACGGCAAAATAATTACCCGTTCTGACAGGGATCGCGATTCTCAAATCATCTGGCTCAACATCGTCATTGAGGGTAGTCCCCTCCTCGCCCCCGTCTATCTCCTCATCTGAGAGGGTTTCGGTACCTTCACCCTCAATGTCATCTTCTGCGTCGACTTTGGTCCAGTCGTCTACGCCAGGGGTAGGGAGGTCCAGGGCTGTGCTGACTCTGCGACTCTCGACTTCTGCAGTAATCTCATCGACAGTCATTAAACTAGCCGTGTCTGATCGGTCACGTTTACTCCGTAATTCCGTCATATAACTCATCCGTTTTGAGGCGATGGATAAGGTTCGCGATTTAGGTCTGGATGATCCAGTGATACCTTGCAAAGATTCGGAGAAGGATTCACTTGGGAATGGAATGGGGGGCAAGAGTTGAGGAGTTGAGTCGATTCCGACTCCTTCACCGTCCTCATGAAGGTCGATTGACCGTCCATCTTCCGTCGATAATGACATTCTGGGTATACGTTCACCTGAATCGTCGGCAAGGTCGCCTTGGCCAGCCTTTTCCGGAACAGAGGGCGCCGTTGATGAGAAGGAGGACCGAGTTGGTGAGATCGAAGTTCTCCCATGTGAACTTTGAGTGCTGCTGCTGAGCCTTGAAGGTTGATGGAAAGATAAAGCACTGTCCCTCTCTGATAAGAGTGGACCAGATCTCAGGATGCTGTGTCTCGCGGTTCGTTCCAAAACTTTCTTTTCGGTGAAGGGGAAATATTCAGTAAGATGATTAGTAATAAGTTCACTGGGAGGTCGCTGCCCGAAGAAGTTTCGCAACTTCGAGGGCCTCTTGTTGTTCTGGATGGCGGGGCTCAGTCTCCCTAATGTGGGAGAAGGTGGATCAAGGGCTTTCTCTGGGTCATGAACCCCGAGGCCACTGAGAATGCTGATAGAGCTCGCTCGTTTGGTGCTCCTGCTCGTCTGATTAGGGGTTGAGGACCTTACTTGGCCAGGAGAGGGACTGGCGCTACGATCGTCTAAACGTCGTAACCGACGTAGGGTTAAACCGTGTTCGCGCGTCGGATGGTCAGGCGGAGCATGACATATAGAAAGAAGTTCGGCTTCAGTCAAAGGTTCTCCTGTAACGCCATATGAACGACGCATAAATACAGAACGTGAAAGAACAACTTACCAGGTCCATCCTCCTGACCCATATCTAGATATACGCCCCAGCCATCGACGCTTAAACCGCCATCCATGCGACTGTAATCCATGCTTCCATCCGTATCTGTACTTCTCGAACCACCTTTGCCGAATTTTTTCAAAACCTTTTCAAGGACTTCAATCCCACCTGAGCACGTGGCGACGTCAATTGTAAAGCTTAAACCATCATCAGGGAGGACGAATTTGACGAGTTTCCTCCGTAAGTCATCGAGACTATATGGGGCGTTGTGTGAAGTAGCACTTGAGTTGAAAGGGCCACGACCGACAGTATAGGCCTGGGCAGGAGGTGAAGGAGAACCTGACGAGTTGTGTTGCGACGAAAAAGCTTCCTCAATGGGTGAAAGGTTGTGTATCTGATGGCTCGTCGGTGGTAGTAAAGTTGCTTGAGCGGTGGCATATGGGTGGCTCGTAGCCGCGGTGGAAGGTCGAGAGGGGATTTTGCTCACGGGGCTACTACTATTGGGCGGGCTCAGTCCGACCGAACCATTTCTGCCGTGCGCCGTGCCGCTCGTGTTCGGCCGCAAACGTGTGGGAGGAAGGGGTGAGGTGGCGCGCCCAAGTGGAGGTTTCCCGCCTGGGTTGCCAGGGCGCGGGTCGGATGGAAGATGATGATTGTTCCTGCCACCAGATGGCGGCGTTAAATGGCCTTGGGCTACTGGGGGCGGGGGAAGCGGCTGGGAGGTATAAGGGGGTGCTTCAGCCTGGGTAGGGGTTGCCCATCCATTGGTAGAATTTAGCATACTGCGCCCAGGCCCACGAAGGGGAGGAAGGGGAGGCTGTCCACGAGGAGGAGGGGGAAGGGGAGGTAGATTGGGTCGCAGGGGTCCAGGAATAACAGTGTGGGCACTGTTTGGGGTATTTGCGGGTGGAACAGGGGGGGATTGGGTAGGGTGAGGTAGGGGACGAATTGTATGGCTTGGATTTGGTCTCGCAGAGTCCGGGGGTTGCTCACGAATAATGTCAGGAAGGTCACCTCTATCTGTGTTTGAACGAAGCTGAAGTGGCGCAGGTCTGCCAATTTCTCGACGAGGCGTTGGTCTTGCATCTGAAATAGAAGAAAGTTTTTCTGAAGGTAACTTCTCAATGTTGGGAGTGAGAGGGTTCATAATTGGGGTGGCATTTCGGACCAAGGCGCGTTGTCTGAGAACCTTGACTGCATTGAGAATCCTGAGTCTGTCTCCGATACTGGAAATGCCCATCTCCTTTAAGGCAACCTGGTCAAGCTCCAGCAATACGTCGCCTCTGATGTCGTTGTCCTTGAAAACCACTGCCTGATTTCCACAACTAATGTCGGTGAGCCAACGCGCAACGTGATGATCTGTCCATGTCTTCATGAAATCAGCGTAATTGACTCCTGGAGGAGGATCCATGAGATTGGTTTGAGAGTTGTAGCTCGTTGTCGCCAAAGACGGTTGTTGTCCACGGGTTTCATGGCTAAGATTCATAAAAGAACGAGCAACCATGGATTGTTGATTAGTGAAGTGTAATGTGGGCGAAGCAGGAGAGGAAGGTTTTGGAGGAGACTGTGAGAGATTATCCATGGAGAGAAAAGCGTTAGTAGCAATCATTGCCGAAGTCCAAGGTCAACCAGGTCAAAGCCAGCTGTCCGCCCAAGAAGGTTGTAAATTGGCCGTAGAGCTCGCCGGTCGTAGCAACAAGCAGGCTGCACAATGATTGCACAATGATCAATTTGCCGTTATTGTAGTAATGGTTTGGCTACAAGGCTGGTGGTCAACACACAAATGAAGATCAAAATTCACAAATAATGGTTTACTCGCTGGCAAGAAGGAATCTAAGTAGGAAGCATGGAATGTTACAGTGTCTTAGAGTGTCTTTCACTGCCGTTTGCACACATGAATCGTAAATTTCGTGTTTGCTTCTGTTGTCCTCAGGGTTTCTTTGTCACACATTGGCCCAGAACGGATGAGTTGATCTTAGGGATCTTGAGTGAACCAGCGTCCGACCTCACTCTAGCCCTTGACCATGGCAACTCAAGTCTCTGGATACATAACCATCTGGCATGAAGAAGAATTCCTTTCTCCTCGTCAAATTACTGACCTGCAGATGATCAATTTGCCGTGACAAAAAAACCTGAGGGTGACAGGTACAACAGAAGCAAACACGAAATTACGATTCACGCTGTGCAAACGGCAGTGAAAGACACTGTATGTATGAGCTATAGTCTGCTATAGTTTATTTCTACGAAGAGTCATGATCAAATTCCCATTGGACACTGGAAAGCAGGGACAGCGCTCATGGGTGCCTGTGCCGTGTGTAAATAAACAAGACAGCGCCCAGTCACAGCCCTTTAATCGATCACCAACGCAGAACACTCATTTCTAGCTCATTCCCCGTTCGTTCCTTCCTCTTTTCTTTGCCCCACCACCTGCATTCCTTCCACACCCTTCCACTCCTCATCTCTTATTGGCCTGGGTCTTTACGTTGAACATGCGGCTCAAGACCGCCCTTTGGGCGCTCCCACTGTTTGCCACGTTTGCCTCTTCGTCTCCCTATCGTGACGACCTCACCGACTACAACCTCAACGTCAACAAAAACGCCCAGGCGGTTACCGACTACGATTCAACTCGACCCAATACAACGTACACTCCGTCTCCCAAGAACTGGCGAGCTCTGCCTACCTACACCATCCTCCTGGACAAGTTCGCTGACGGGGATCCAACCAACAACGACTTTTTTGGCACTCAATTTGAATATGACTACCGGGAGACCCAACTTCGCTACGGCGGAGACCTCCAAGGCTTGGTGTCCAGGCTGGATTATTTGCAAGGAATGGGCATCAAACTTATTTTTATGTCCGGAACTCCCTTCCTGAACATGATTTGGCAAGCCGACAGTAAGTACCAGTTGTTGTCCATTCTTGAGGACGCCTTTAACGTCATTGCAGGTTACTCTCCTCTGGACTTCAGCGTGCTGGATCCCCACTGGGGGAATATAAACGATTGGCGGAGCGTCATTGACCAAATACACGCACGGGGGATGTATTTCATGGCTGATTTTACTGTTGGCACTATGGCAGACCTGATCGGCTTTGAGGGGTATGTCCGCTACACATCTCAACCTTTCTCCTTCACCTAACTACGTCTCCTCCACAGACATCTCAATACAAGTACACCTTTCAGTTTGAACGAGTATAACGTAGCGTGGAAAAACCCTTCTTACTTACCCTGGAATTTTTCCGAGTATGCCGATTTCAGTGTTGGTCTTTATTTACAAGCATACTTCTGTTGAATCACTCATTTAAATAACCACAGATTAACAACAAGCGCAATTCGTCATGCCAAATGCCGACCTTTTGGCAAGATGATGGAACCACGGTGGCAGTGGAAACAAACGGGTGTATGATGTCGGATTTTGATCAGTATGGTGACATGGAAGCCTTCGGTGTCCATCCTGATTGGCAGCGTCAATTATCCAAATTCGCCTCCGTGCAAGATCGACTTCGTGAGTGGAAGCCAGAGGTCATGGACAAAATCAAAGTGTTCTCTTGCATGGCTATCAAAGCGTTGGATATCGATGCCATTCGTGTCGATAAGGCTACTCAGGTCACAGTTGATGGACTCTCGTCGTGGGCATCCGCCACTAGGGCCTGTGCAAAGACGTTAGGCAAAACAAACTTTTTCATCCCTGGGGAGGTTACTGGTGGCGATACGTTTGGCTCTCTTTACCTGTGAGGATACTATTGCCATCTTCAAATTACCTGATCTCAATCCATTTGTTTGCAAAGGGGACGAGGTCGCACTCCGACTCAAAAACCACCTGGCTTTTTGGCTGCAGCGAACATTACATCAACTAGCAACTATTTTCTTCGAGATTCTAACCTTAATGGGTTGGATGGCGTCGCCTTCCATTATTCTATATATCGCTCCCTCTCGCGTTTCCTTGGGATGGACGGTAACTTGCAGGTCGCTTATGATATTGACGTCAACTTCGTTACAGCGTGGAATCAGATGTTTGTTGACAATGATTTCCTCAATCCATCTACGGGTCTGGTGGATCCAAAGCATATGTATGGGACAAGTAATTTTGATGTCTTTCGGTGGCCAAGTCTGGAAAACGGAACCCAGAGAAGCGTTTTAGCAACATTTATCACCACTCTTGTTATGCCAGGAATACCTCTGGTACCCGTTTGTTATTAGCCCATTGGGTTTTGCTGACTGTCATTTTTCAGCTCTACTATGGTGAGGAACAGGATTTCTACCTTTACGACAATGGTGCATCAAATTACCTTTATGGGTTAGTTGTATCCTAAGACTTCCTCAGTTCAGCTTTTGATGTCTCCTCCAGGCGTCAAGCGATGACGAGCAATCTAGCTTGGAAGCGACATGGCTGCTACACGCTTGGATCAGAGCAGTATTTCAACATGCCGCTTGATAAGGCATTAGTTGGTTGCAAGGATGATTGGAACGCCCTTGACCACTTTGATCCTACCGCTGACTCTCGCCGCATGTTTGCCCAGTTTTACTACTTCCGATCAGTCTATGGGGCTCTCCAGGATGGCTTCAACCTGGTTCAACGCGGAAATTGGACTTACTTTATTGAAAGGCCTGGATCGAATGGCACTGTTACAGAAATGGGTCTCTGGTCCGTCTCTCGATCGGTCCTCACCGGTTATCAAACTGTAGGGGGAACGTATCAAGATCAAGTTTGGATGTTGTACTCCAACGAGAATGCGACGAAGACTTACACTTATGACTGCAAAAACAGCCTCTGGATTTCATCACCATTTGTTTCAGGCACAAAAGTCCAGAACTTGTTTGCTCCCTACGAAACCTACACTCTCCAGGATTCTCTTTCGTCTTTCAATAACGATAGCAAAGCTCCATATTTTGGTTGTCTTCCGTCTGTCAGTTTAGATGGTTACGGATTCAAGGCGCTAGTTCCGGTTACCCAGTGGACATCACCTTTGCCTGCTCTCACAAAATTCACGCCTGGCCACGATTATCGCATCCTCGCCAATTCAACTGACGTCAACGCAACAACGATTGACATCTCGCTTGAATTCAACATCGCCATGGATTGTACCAGTGTTACCAACAGTCTTTCCCTCAACGTCTCATCTTCGGGCAAAGGCGGGACGCCTACTGTCACTGGCGTTCAATGTGGGGCTGTGCAAAATCCTGATCCTAGCAAAATTCAGGGTGGCAGTGTCTCTGCTTGGAAATGGTCGGCAACGTTGCAGAACGTCCCAGATGGGGTTCTCACAATTACTGTGAAAACCCCATCCGCGGCGACTGGTAACCTGACGACAAACGTAAGTCACTACTTTGACAAATTTCTGGTCATTCTAAGAAGTTTTTTTAGGCTGTAGATCATCTGCTTGTGAGAAAAGGAAGTTCAAACAACGTGGTAGTTTTCCCAGAAAATGACTACGATACGAGTGGTGCCTTGGCGTTTTCAAATGGACAGTATACCTATACTCACAAGGCGTATGGCGCGGATAAGTTCCGATATTCGTGGAACTTTGGCAAGAACTGGACGGTGTGGCAGAATTGGGAAGATACGACCACAATTAATTCTTCCGTTGTCGCCTCCGCCGGATCGTTTTGGCAAGGCGATCATATTATGGTTCAATGTGAGCAATACGATAATTATCTATACATCGTGATGCTAATGGACTGTAGATTGGAGTCAGGCCACCTTGTCGGTTGCTGCGGTCATCCACGCTGATTACGGCTACTCGGGCGCGCCAAGACGAGTGCCACAATTCTTAGTTCGGGGACCTTTCAATCAGTGGGGTTTTGATGGAGGCATCTCAAACCAAATGGTGAAAAACTCCGACGGAAAATGGGAATTAGAAATCATGGCTTCGTGGCCGACATACATGCAGCTGAACGTCTGGGGTTTCGATAATTATTATTACGGTGATTCGGATGGTGACGGTGTTCTCGATCGTCTCCCACCCAACTCAGTTGCGCCGAATTATTTGAACATATCCGCCCCACCAGCTCCCCATCTGGCATGGTCTCTCCTCGTGGACGACGCCACAATGACCTGGTCTTTGAAGCCTCGAGGACAAGCGTCTGTCGGAGCCATCATGTACGCCCTTCTTCTTGCTATTCCCCTCATTACCGGCACGCTCGCCGTTCTCGTTTTCATGTGGACGTTCTACGGCATCAAGCACAACCAGTACGGTGTGAAGGCGAAGAATCATACCAACTACTTCCCTATTCTAGGCGCATTTGGGAAATCAACTTCGGACTTGAAAGATTCGACTCCCATCTCCGAGAAGCTGTTCGGCCATAAGCACACCGCCGAGATCATTGGTTGGCCTGAGGATAAGAACAAACGGCGAAAGGTCCTGATTGCCACACTTGAGTACGAAGTCATTGACTGGAAAGTGAAAGTCAAAATTGGTGGTCTGGGTGTCATGTCCAGTCTCATGGGCAAGGCAATGACAGATGTTGACCTAATCTGGGTCGTCCCCAAGGTCAAAGACATTGAATACCCAGCAGGCGATCCCGCAGAACCCATCGAAGTCATCATATTTGGCGAGCCATATTTGATCGAGGTCGAGACCCACGTTCTGGACAATATCACATATGTCATACTTGACAGCCCAGTTTTCCGTGCTCAAACAAAGGCCGACCCTTACCCCGCTCGCATGGACGATCTTAGTTCCGCAATTTTCTACTCGACATGGAACCAAGCAATTGCAGCCACCATTCGCCGTAATCCAACAATTGATATCTACCACATCAATGATTATCACGGCGCGCTTGCTCCCCTTTATCTGCTCCCCAAGGTCATCCCCGCATGTCTCTCCCTGCACAACGCCGAATTCCAGGGCCTGTGGCCCCTCCGTACCAAGGAAGAAATGAAGGAAGTCTGTTCTGCTTTCAACATAAGTAAAGAACACTGCACGAAATACGTTCAATTCGGCAACACGTTCAATCTCCTGCATGCCGCTGCATCTTACATCAGCACACACCAGAAAAGTATCGGAGTAGCGGGTGTTTCGGACAAGTATGGAAAGCGCAGTTGGGCTCGATACCCCGCACTTTGGACTTTAAAACACGTCGATTCTCTTCCGAATCCTGACCCAAGTGATATAGCAGCACTCGATGAGAAACCTACAAAAGCTCTTGACGTCGAGATTGATCAGGTCGCTGAAGCCGCTCGTCCCGAGCTCAAACGACAAGCGCAAGAATGGGCAAACATTAAGCAGGACCCGAATTCGGATTTGTTCGTTTTTGTTGGGCGATGGTCAAAACAAAAGGGTGTCGATCTCATCGCTGATGTCATGCCGACACTGTGAGTCCTTTCGTAGTTTGTAAACTCTCTCATTGATCGTTTCATTAGGCTTGAGAAACGCCCAAGTATTCAACTGATCGCAGTTGGACCTGTCATTGATCTATATGGCCGTTTTGCTGCAGAGAAGCTTGCCAGACTGATGGAATTATACCCCGACCGGGTGTTCTCAAAGCCGGAGTTCACAGCGCTACCCCCATATCTCTTTAGTGGAGCGGACTTTGCGTTGATACCATCTCGAGATGAACCTTTTGGTCTTGTAGCTGTCGAATTCGGTAGGAAAGGTGCACTTGGTGTTGGCAGTCGCTTAGGAGGCTTGGGATTAATGCCTGGTTGGGTAGGTGTCATATCGTCGTTGAGAACATTTCTAACGCGTGATCATTCTTCTAGTGGTACCCAGTGGAATCAAGCGCAACAAACCATATGTTGTCTCAGCTTACGAAAACTGTCAAAATGGCCTTGAAGTCGACAGAAGAGGAGAGAGCCATTTTGCGCGCACGGTCTGCCCTTCAACGATTTCCAGTTGTTGAATGGCGGCAGCGTACGGAAGACTTCCACAAGCGTAGCATCAACACCAGCCGAAACATAGCTGGCGCGAATGCATGGCGTGAATCTGATTGTGATGGAGGTGGCGTTCGTCCAATGGCCGAAACAGATGATTGGGACCCCGTCACTCAAGCGTATCCCTCTCAACCTGATTGGGACAGTCGTAGTGTCAATGAAGGTCCCCATGCTGGGTCTCCAGGTCAGTGGAGCCAAGAGAGTTTCACTCCCGTAGGTGATCAACATACCCCACGTCTTCATCCAGAAAGTCAACGGAATTCTTACGCTACCGATAACGGCGACGATTACTTTACACAAAGAAGCCGAGCAAGCATGGCAAATAGCGCAGCTGACAGCCCTCAAGGCTATACCGACTTCCTTGAGCGAGCGAATAGAACAATTGGAAAGGATCAACGACATGTTCCCGATCCATTTGTTGATGGCGGACTGACTCCAAATCGTCCTTTCGGTGCACACTCGCGCGTCTCGTCTGTCGAGTCCATTTCGTCTATCGTCGATGAGAAGTCAAATTCGCCTCTCAACAAGGCCATCGCTTCTGTCAGCACCTTACTTTTTTCTCACTGCCTCTTCTTACCATACATTTTTTAGTTCACGGATGCTGATGGCGGTGTTGCGTCGGAATTCGTACAGAAGCTTCAGGGACTCAATGCAAAGAACTCGGAGCATGAGTTGTCCATTGAGAAATTTTTGGTCAAAAGCGAGGAAGCATTCTTTGGCAAAGTCCGGAAAGATAAATTGTCAAGTGCCGCGAGTGTGCGATCCTCCCAACGCGACTCTATATGGGGTACACCCTCACCATCACTCTATTCTCGCCCAGACTGTATGTGTCTGACCTCGTCTCTGCTCATGCAACTAATTAACTTTTTAACGATCCTAGCTCCAAACATGCAAGCATTCCCCTCTGATTACGATGGTCCCCTTCACCACGATGCTGGCCCGCCTGAGACCGTTCCAATGACTGGACTGCAGATCGCCTTGTCTAGGGAACTTGGAGGCTGGCCACTTTATACCATCATTATCGCCCTTGGCCAGGTTTGTCTTCACTATGTTATCGATCCTCCTACCTTGTCTGACCTCGGATAAATCAGATGCTGAGTGCGACTAGTTTCCAAATTACCCTCCTTACTGGTCGCAACTGGCAGGATAATCTTCAGCTTTATGTTTTGGGCGGAGTCTTCTTGGCAGCCTCTGCCGTCTGGTACCCTATGTTCAGACTCAAACCATCAGTTTACGTTCTCTCAGCCCCCTGGATCTTTTTCGGCCTTGCGTTCTTTATGATTGGCCTACCGTCCGTCCATGCCGCCCTAGCGCCAGCACACACGGCGCTATCAAATGCGGCCACTTGGTGCTATGCCGTTGCATCTGCCGCAGGTTTCCTGTTCTTTGGCCTCAATTTTGGTGAAGAAGCGGTGCGTTTTCATGTTTCAACCAATTATTAGGTCTCACATTGGATCAGGGTGCTGCTACGGAGGTTTGGACCCTCCGGGCGTGCATTGTTCAGGGTTCTCAACAGATCTGGGTCGCTGCGTTGTGGTATTGGGGCAATTCTCTAAATGGCCGACCTGATGGCTATATTCCTCCTTGGTATATTTGTGTCATTGTTTGGCCCCTGGCGCTCGTCAGCTTCGTGTTCGCATATCTCATGCTCTACGGATTGCCAGGTTATTCAGCCGATTTATGTGAAGTAATACACTCAACTGACACCCTTTTCCAGAGTACTACCGTCAAACTCCGCCCAAGGTTCCCCATTTCATTAGAACTCTCCTTCGCCGAAAATTGGTTCTATGGTTCTTGGCCTCTGAAATTCTGCGAGATTACTGGTTAAGTGGAGTGAGTATTGCATAACTATAGCCTCTAGGCCGCTGACCGATATGTGTTTAGCCATACGGTCGTAACTGGGGCTTCTTGTGGAGTGCCCCAATACCAAAGTGGCAAATTCTGCTGCTGGTCATCACTTTCTTTATCGGCGTGTGGGCTGCAATGTTGTTGGTACTTACGCACTTCAGCAAAACACATACATGGCTGTTGCCCGTCTTTGCTGTGGGTTTGGGAACTCCAAGATGGTGTCAAGTACGTCTCCTCCATATCGAACGAATGGTCAAATAACCCGTAATTTTAGATGCTTTGGGGAACATCTTCCTTGGCTTTATACATCCCATGGGCAGGTCACGCTGGGCCTTACCTCGGCCTCTCTCTATGGCTTTGGCTTGGTGTTCTCGATGCCATCCAGGGGGTAGGACTAGGAATGATTCTGCTCCAAGTAAGATCTAACTAACCACCACCTTTTCTCGTTACTCAATGAAAATCGCAGACACTGTCCCGACTTCACGTTTGTGCCACCTTGGCATTTTCCCAGATCATTGGTTCAGTTTGTGTGATGATCGCCCGAGCCACCGCCCCCAATCGTATTGGGCCTGGCTCTGTCTTCCCCGATGCAGCCAAATGGGATTTTTCTGAAGGTCTGAAAGGTAAGTTCATACCATTTTTGATCAACTTGCAACATTCCCACATGCGAATCCAGGGAGTCCCATGGCTCTTCCTCTCTTCTGGATTGCCCTTATCTGCCAAATTATCATTGTTCTGGGCTACTTCTGGTTCTACAGGAAAGAACAACTTGGTCAGTACACTACTTAACGCCCTATGATAATCAAACTGACCTTTCGATTCAGCACGCCCATGATCTCCTCTTGCTTCAGGCTGCGGACACTCTAGCTATCCTTGGACATTGTTACCCACTACGGACTTGGCATCACCTAGATAATAACATAGAATATGAGATAAATTATTGTACATATGGTTTTACAAACCCTGACACTCCTTGCCCTGAGTTTATTGCTGTGACGTGTTGGAAATGACTGTCACTTCAGGTTGCATACAAAAGCATGAAACTCTCATTTACCCTAACTAAATCAAAGCCTGCGCCTGTTGCGACTGCGTCTACCAAGCTACCGTCCCTCTTCGCCACCGAAGAGGAAGGAAACGATGATACACTTCAGTTACCCCACGTTGAGGCTTCAAAAGCCATAAGGAAGCGCATCGAAGCAGAGAAGAGAGTCGACAACACCGTTTACCAATATGATGAGGTTTGGGACAAGATGCAGGAGGCTAAGCAGAGACAGAAGGAAGCCAAAGAAGTGGACGCAACGCAACGCAAGGTAAGTGATCTTACATGCTGACCAGCGTATTACATTTCTAAGAGCTCAACAGCCAAAATATATTCACAGTTTACTTACATCTGCTGCTACTCGCAAGCTCGATTATCTCCGTGCGGAAGAGAAAATGATGCAATTGGAACGTGATACTGAAGGCGATGAATTCAAGGACAAGGAGTCGTTCGTCACTCAGGCCTATAAGGATCAGATGGCTGAGGTTCGCAGAGCAGAAGAGGAAGAAAATGCAAGGGAAGGTATGTACTATATGACGCTGTTTTCCTTGCCAGAAACTCAACGGGCATATCAGAACTGCGGAAAAAACAAGATGGTTCATCAACGGGAATGGCCCATTTTTACCGCAAACTTCTCGAGGAGTCAGAAAAAAATCATGACGCAACCGTTGCTGCAACTCAGAAACGTGTTATTGGCCCTCAAGGGCCCACTCCTAACTTGACAATAACTAAACCGGCGAATTTTACACCCACATCGGATGTAGAGCTCGCGAGACTCGCCAGAGAGCAAGGTAAAGAAGTAGAGCTTAATGACGACAACCAAATTGTTGATAAGCGGGACCTTTTGGCGGCTGGTCTCAACCTGTCATTGCCCAACACACGGCGACTTGGTTTGCAAAAGGCTCAGCAGAAGCCGGCGGATGCAGCACCGACTCATCGAGCAGTGGGAGTTGCGGCAACTCGGAGGGAAATTAATGAGCGTAGGGCCAGAGAGATCCAGCAACAGCTGGAAGCTGAGCGAGAACGGTCACAGAAGGAGCAGAGAGAGGCCGATGAAGAAGCGATACGGCGAATAGTCGCCAAGCGAAACACTGAAGTTGATGTGGAGAGCGCACGGGAACGATATCTTCAGAGGAAACAACGGAGAGTAGAAGAAGACGCAAGAGAGTCAAATGCCAATACTATGGATACCAATATGTCCTGATTACGTGAATAGGTTAAGTGTTTGACGATGTATCGTATATAATAGTCAATGTGAACAGGAACATGTAGAGTTGAGTCGGGAGTCTCCGATGGAAAGCACCATTCTATCAAACGCCCGAAGAACAGAGGATAAAGGTGGGCGATGCCGTGGGTCCTCGTGCAACATAGGCCGTATGAGCTGCATGAGTTCCGGAACATTGTAACCCGTCAGCTGAACAAAGAACCGCGATGGATCAGCGGTGAGAAATATCCTACGGGGCAGACTGACCTTGCAAGCACGCAAAACGAGGACACCCAGCGCCCAAATGTCGATCTTATATGGGTCACTGCACTCCCCACGTTCGCATTCAGGTGGTATCTCAGTTCCACGGTACCCTTGGACAAGAGGATCTAAAACGCCATCGAACCGCCGACTGAGTTCGTAATCGATGTAGGCGTAATGACCTTCGTAGTCTGTTAACAGATTTCGCAATGATATATCCAAATGTGCAATGTGATGCATATGCATAAACAGGGCATGCTAAAGAAAAAGTTTCAAGCACTACCAGCAACTTATGATTGTGAAGTGTTACCTCAATGCACTGCCTTAAAGAAGCAAGAAAAAGTCGAAGGCAGCATGGGCCAGAGTCAGGTATAAGCTGTGAAGACCATTCCTCCATCACGATGAAAGCGATCTGATCCTCGGGAACGCCAAAAAGATCAAGAACAGCTAAATAAAAGATATGTTTCATTGTATATCGCATTAACCGGATAACACTAACGTATTGTGTGGTTCATCGGATTTTGGTTGAGGGGAGGCTGCGAAAGTAGACGGATAACGTCGTACTCGCGACTATATATGTGGACAGCCTTTGCTACGAACTTTTTTTGGTCGCATACTCGAGTTCCTCGGAACAAGTTATCAGGCTAAGAAAAGTATGTGAGTAGCTGCGCTACACCCGAAGGTGACTTACCAAGCCCGCATCTGGGCACAGAGCGTCGTCGTCAATAAAACCTTTCTCGCCACGACATTCTGAGAAGGGCATCGGGTAGAAAAGGTGCGATGACACGGTCTCTTCTTTGGAGTGGCGTTGATAAAAAAGTTTCACGTCCCGGACGGTATCAAGCTGGAGTCCTCTAGACTTGAAGACACAGCTATATTTTTGCCAGTATGGAGTGACACGTCGGTTGACGTCGTCTTCGTCGAAAGAGGAGTCCGACGAAGCGGGAGAGGGTGGGACGTCGTAACTGAGATCAGCGGCAAAGATTGGGCCTGGCATACGGGAGAGAAAAAAGCAGGAACAGCAGCATCTAGTCTAACGTCGAGGTTATATAAACAGGAGTCGGTTTGGAAGAGAATGATCTTCCCGATAAAGCGAGTGGCCTAGAGACTTGAAAGTTGATGAGCATCGCTGTGGGACAAACGCACCTCGTTAGGACAACTTGCCCCGCCCATCGTGCGACTTGTTTCCCAGCTTTGGCCCATTGGATTTTTTGCACATTTGGAGCACATAGCCTATGGAGCAAGGCACCAAGTCAAAGAAAACCGTATTTGTAGGAGGTATCAGCGATGATATCGATGAAACTGCAATTTACCAAAGTTTCTCGACCTTTGGTGAGCTGCTTGGTCCACACCGCTGCCCACACTTACCCCGTCTTCGAATTACAGGAGAGATCGTGCAAGTCCAGCTTCCCTCTGCAGTCACAAATCAATCACAACAATCTCGTTCGTTATAATTTTATGGTGAATCAACCTCGCTTCCGCCTAACTTCACACAGAGGCTAAACATCGGGGATTCGCGTTTGTCACCTACGGCTCGTCCTCAGATGCCCAAGATGCAATCGACAACATGGACATGAACGAGTTGCATGGACGGGTCATAAAAGTAAACCTGGCAAGGCCAATGAAAGGCCAGCTAGAAGCATCTAGCAACAGAGCTAGTATGTGTCGTCGTCTCTTTCCCTTGACATTATTTTGACTATGTTCAGTTTGGGAGTCGGAAGAATGGTTACAGCAGCACGTTAAGCCTTTGGCTCAAAGCGGAGGTTCGTTTCGTGATTTGCCTTTCAATAACCTGGCTCACCGGTACCCAGGCGTTCAAGGTCGTAACGCACAACAAGGTGAACAAGAAGACACCCAAAATAAGAGTGACGAAGACATGGAAGAATAATGGATTATGTGCTTCCTTCAGCTATGTATAAGAACATGGCCTCATATCCAACCCCAATCGCTCGAATTCATCTCGATACGGGGGAGTGGAGGTATAGAAAGGCCGAAGTCCAGAAATATTGTAATAGTCCCTGTTGATAATGTCTCGGTGAAAATGTAACTTGGCTCACAAAAAAGGGCATGAGATACGTATTCAGAACTGCTTTGGGTTATGTATGTCAGACTCCTCAAACTGAGCGCGAGCGCGTTTGATATCTTCTTGCATAAACAACAGCTCCTCTAATCTCGCAAGTTTCTTTGCATCTGCAGGCCGCGACAGTGCTCTTCGAAGATCTTCAATGGACAGCCGAGCTTTTCGTGATGCCCCCCCAGCAGTCTGGCACTGGGGACTAATGTTAGCACAGAATACATAGACGAGGTGAGGAGAAACTGACAACATCAGTAATATACTCAATCAAAATTTCCTCCATTACGTTCACAGTATCGTTTGACGGGTTTCGGTCATCTCCAAATCCATACATAAGGTTTTTCACTAGTGAAGCAGGTTATGGGAGAGTTCTGATAAACCCAACTGTCTTGTCGCACATTCTTTGTTAAAAAGGCCTCTAAGATTGGATTGTTTCCTTGAACCACGACCTGTAAGACTTCCGATGCTAGACAATGTTACGTTTTCTCTGGGATAGTTGGAGGTGTATGTGGGAAGCGTGGTGGTGGCTCTGGGTGTCACTGGAGGAGGCGCCAGTGTTTGCGCAGCTACTTGGTTAGATGGTTGAGGAAGTCGTTGGATATGCGGAGCAGGCTGTGGAACGTAGCTGTATGGATAGGTTGGCCAACCGTATCCAGTCACGCCAGTAGCCTGATACGGGTATGCGCCTGGAGCTGGATGTCCATAAGCACCGTGAGGTGGAGCGTACGTGCCATATGGGTAAGTCGTGGTTGATGGAGGAGGATGGCTTCCAGCTGGAGGAGCGTAAGGAGAGAAGGACATGAATCAGTTCAAAGTTAGCACAATGCAGCGTCACAGTAAAGTCACATCTTATCTTATCTACGACTACTCTACATTTTCACCCTTTCTTGCCGACATTTCAAGATGCCTCGCACTTTCCATCAACGTCTTGATCTTTTCCCATTCAATTTCTATCAACTGTCGTTCGTCTAGCCATTCACATATTCCATCAGCATCTCCGAGGTCGTCTGGAGGCTGCTTGCCCCCCATGTAAGCGACTCGATAAAATCCCCTAGTCTGACTCGCTCCACGGAGTTCCTCAATCTCTCGACAAACGCATAGAAAGAGGGCGTTCTAGTTAGTGCGGTTTGTTAGTCTTATTCACCAGCACAACGCGTTGACACTAACCTCCCAGTGTGAAAACTCGTGGAAAATCCGTGTCCGCTTGGCGCAGAAGCGTCCCAAATGGAATTCCAGAGTCTCTTCACTTTCAGTATCCTTGTTGGAGAAGAACAGTCAGTGTCTCAGGAGCGTTCCAGTCCGAACTTACATCCTTATCGTTGAACCCTGATCTTTCACACGGGTTTCCGCTCAGTCTTCCTAGCAGCGTTGATGTCCTGCGGCCGAGGTGGCAAGCATCACAATATGGAACAGAAAATTCAAGAGGGACTATATCCAGGTTTGGGAATTTTTCTAGTGCCTTTTTGAAATCTGGTCTCCACACGGAGGAAGCGACTAAAGAGTCCCTCAAGCCTAAAATCTTTCGTCTGAGGACTTGCAGCGGCACGGAAAAATACTCTTCGTCTGGAATTGAAGTTCGTTTCAAAGCCTAAACCCGCGATAATAATAAGATATTCACCTCGCAACTGCTTGGCCATGAAAGAACGACGATCTTGCGGAGATTGTACAGCGATATGTACGAAAAACTGAAAAATCTTCTTGAACTGGTGAGAGAGATCTTGATGCGATTCCATGCTAAACTCAGTCGGCAACTGTGGCATGGCCATCCCGTCATCTTCAACGATGAAATCGGAAGAATTTTCGGAGTCAGACGAAAGTTGGCTCGGGCTGCCGTGGTCAATGTGGGGTTTGGCACCTGCGAATGGTCGCTCTTTGTCGCTCTCTTCTTCGTCATGAGAAGACGCTGATGGTGATACCTGTCCGCGTTTCCGCACTGAAACACAATTGTATGCAATGCTTGGCACCAGAGAAAGTAATCTTACATTGAAGCCTTTCGAGGTTACGCTGAAAAGCGGTTTTTTTGTCGCGGGCACGAAAACGATTTTCCACAATATCTAAAAAATCGGTTGAATTGTTATCTAAATAAATAAAGCATGAGAGTACACTTGTCATCGACCTCATCAAACCTTTCATCCTCATCCTCTTCTGCAGGACTCGTTTGTGCACGGCGTCCCTTTAAAAGTCGGCGTCGCTTGCTGGGCTTGTCGTCCTCACCAATATTGCCGCCGTTTCCTTCTTTAACTTCACGACGCCGACGAGACGAAGGCTTTGCAGACGAATTTGAGGCTGGATCTTGTCCTGAGTCATGTTCAGAATCGCTGTCGCTGACGACGCGGGACAGACGTTTGCGTCTGACTCCTCCAAAATTTAAATTATCCGCTGTTTCTGGATCGCTTCCCGTCGATACTTTGGCTTCAAACTTGAGAGCACCAATATCTTCGGAAGAAGAATCATCTGCGTTATTCTGTTTTCCAGGATCAGAACTTAGGGCTTGGGTGGACCTAGTGCGTTTCGGAGAGAGTGTGGTCAAGTTGATTAACGTGGTTTGCTTAAGACGGGCCGGTGTTTTCTTCTTCTTTGGAGGCATCAGAGACGGGTAAGAATTGGGTAAGAAATGGTGGAGACCGTAGTGATGGTCTGGTAAGAGTATCTACGTAATCATGATCAACGTCCACTTGTAATTATGTACCTTTCCAGCACCCTTGTCAATGGCAAGTTCGGACTCAACACGACGAAAACCCCCTTCACCCATAGATACCAGTTTTACCCGAGAATTCCAAGATGATCAATACGCATTGTTGGAGACAGATCCTCCCGTGTCGCGCCGAGGGCCAACTCTTCCGTCTTTCCGGCTCTCCTTGTCACCAAGCGCAGAAGTGCCTTCTAATATCTTGCCACCCCAAATTTCAAATTCTAATTCAAGAGCAAGAAGCGAATCCCGCAAGCTACTTTCCCATGTTCTAACTCAGTTGTCGAATCGCAGGAAACCTTCACCAATATCCCACGTCATTAGTAATGCAGGTCGTTCTGGGAGCGACAGCGGCTTAGATTTGCTAGTCGAAAGCCTCAAAGATGCTGTGAGGATCAAGAGTTTAGGACAAAATTCAGGTATTGATAGAGAATCTGCGCTTCAAGATGGCCTCGAGCATGACGCGGACAACATCTTTTCGACGGATGCCACCTTTGAACTAATGGTACAGCTCAAAGACGTGTTAATCATGTCTGTCTCGCAGGGCTGGCGCATATTTGACGAAAGGTAAACTTTTCCGCGGCATTTATCATTTTATAATTTATGTGTATTGTGTGATCCTTAGCTCTGTCTTGCAGGAGGTCACAAATGCTGCGGGTGAAAGAAGCTCTTCTCCATTCCGCAGGTCAAGAGCCAGCTTTCATGGTGGAAAACGTACCCGCTCTCCGGAGGCGATGCAAGTTCCTGAGTTACTATCCTTGTGCCTCTCAGTTTTGACTTCTGTCGTCGCGGAAGATTGCCGATACAAGATCATTTCTCCCCGGCCATCTCGTCCTCCGAACGCGTTGCAGGCTCTAACTATAAATGTCGCGCAGCTTCTTATTCACGCAAATCGCCACGATCCACGCGTTATTTCCCAGATCGGGTTTGCCGTGATTCCAACATTTTCGACCTTCCACCCAGAGTTGCATCCTCGTTTATTGTCTTTCTTTGAGGAAAATCTCATCAGGCCAGCCCTTCAGCACCTTAGGCAAATGCAGGGCGTTGAGGAAATTGATGCCACCCCGCTTGACCAAGGTGAGGGAACATCTAGCTCTCCGAGACTGAAATAAATAAAATATATCGCTAATAGAACCAAATTAATTATCCAGAGGATGTGGGTGCTTCGGTTGTGGCCATTCATGTTGACGGCGTCGAAGATGACGACGGGAGGGAGGCTTCTCGATTCAAACCTACTTTGAAAGTCCGATCTACCAGCGCCCCACACCAAGGCCTACATATGTACCATCTAGCTTCTCTAGTTTCTCCGCTTCTGGCGGCAATTTTGGAATGTGTTGACATTGAACACCCTTCCGAAAGCCACAGTGATCTGCCCTATCGCTTCTACAGGCTTCTCGACTTAATTTTGACCTTGAAGGTCGACGCGTACAACGATCTATTCCAAGTTGTGGCATATCACGATTCGAAGTCAAGAAAACTCGCTGTGACTTATCTGGCTATGCATTGGCCTAAAGCCACCGGGCATGCCACGATCAGTGGTCCCCTTTTCCTGGAACACAACGGGGTTCTCGGACAACCAGCGTGGACTCGCAAGCAGGCAGACGACCACCGATTTTTGCCATGGAAGTTTATTCACAGGGACGATTGGGTCAGCTTTGATGGTAGTTCTCAGCATGACTGTCGTTCATGCACCAAAGCCATCTACGGATTTGGGCTGTTATGTCCTTTCTGCATGTGTGCCGTTCATTTTGACTGTTATGACTATCCGGAGGGAAATCACCTCATCCAGTATGAGATGGAGACCGACTCCAACGTGCAACGAGTGGCCATGTATCGGTTTTCTACAAATTTTGAAGGAGGGGCTAACAACGCAGGTATTATCCATGAAAATCATCACGCTTTTAGGCAGGTCAACCTTTTCAATATTTGCCTTTGCTACGTCTGCCGGGATCCACTTTGGGGATGTGCGGCCCAAGGAATGAAGTGTGACACATGCTCGTTGTGTGTACATGCTACCTGTTTGTCCTCCACCATAGCGGAATGTGGTACGGCCAAAATCACCTCGAGGCATATGGTGATTGAATGGCAAACTTTGAGACGGACCTGTCTTGAATACTTTGCCGACATTTTTCTCACACAAGAAGGCTCAGAACTACTCGGCTATGAAGAAGTTTCCATTTCCTGTGGCGTTTTAGAAACTCAACTGCAAATTCTTACCAACGGAATCGCTTTAGGTTCCATTGTTGTTCTGCAGAATGGCAAGAATGTGGCTCATACCAAAAACTACAAAGTCGATGAATTTGAGTTGCATCGAGCGCTGAAAGTCTATATGGATCGTCTAGCTTCAAATAATCTGCCTTGCTCAGCGGCTACAAAGGAATACATAGAGGAAAACTCTTTGTTGTCGTCTAAACATTCAATAATGTTCGATCTTTCCAACCTTGTCTACATATCAACATCCTTGAAGGCACCTCTGTTAGCCACTCCGGATCCACCGTCATCAGACTTGCTGAATGTCGCTCAACTCGACCAACTTCCCGATTCCACGCACATAGACGCCCACCCTTACGAACTTTTACCTTTGTCGCATCTGCGAGAGGTTTTGGACACCGAGTTCAACGTACGCTCGATTGGGGCTGCAAAGCTTATCTTACGACATCTGGACCATCTTGCCTTCTTCGATCGGGTGGATCAGAGCCCTTATCCATTCGATAATTTTAGAACGGATCAGAATGTTGGATGTATATTTCCCTTACCCCTTGGGCTCGATTTATCAACGGATGTGGAAACTCTCGTTTCTGCAGTTGAGTCGTGTCTCGCCGATCTGGACCTGTCGGTGAACGAGTTCGCCCTCCTCCTTGTCGTACGCAAGCTGTGGCCCAACGGCTTGATGTCGGAGTACGGATTGAAGAGGGTCGGCAGAAGTGTCATTTACTGGGTATTAGCTGAGGTGGGGGAAGAGAAACTGACCTTATACCACGCGTACTGATGTTGGCATTAGGATGATAACCTGGCAACCGTGCTCAGGGACTTCGTAGCCAAAAAGGACGCTTTTCCTCGACTGAGATCAATAACATCGTGGCCTTTCTCGAAAAGTTTGCGCCCTGGAACAACATCTACTTCCAGCAATAGCGGCGATTATATCGCAGTTAGACGATTATTAACGACACAATACGTTCTTCCTTGGCTGCTTGCCTTGCACAATCAAGACGCTGACCTATATAAGGATCTTCTCTACGATACTTGCTACGAGTTTGCGGGAGGTGAAGGATTCGATCCGTATATACTCAGTCCTAACCTGGCAGATCAAGAACAGGTCAGAATGGTTATTCATTCTCACAATTTATTTGTACTGATGTTTGCATTGGGACAGTTGTTCAGGCAATCTGACAACACTTTCCGATCGATTCTCAGACTCTTTCATGCCTCTGTCATCTTCAGTGTGTTCGATGGTGTTATCCTCCGCTGGCTGGAATTTATCACGACTTCAAATTTGTATTCGAAGGTCGGCCTCTATTCGTCACTTTTACAATATTAGCTTGACGTGAAGCTCATTAGCCCATGTCTTCCCTGTCCCGGCTGTTATCCCATGAAGCCGGAACTGCACAACGATTGAGTAGCCTTATGGATCTAACATCCCCAACCGTTAACCAGCCTGGATCATCATCCGTCGACCCACTCCGCGTAATTGTCAACTTTGCCCATCAAACGCCACGAGGATTGTCCATCAGCCTTCGTTGGCTTCTTCTGTTCTCTCGTTCTGGAATTGACATACCGACCGCAATCTTCATGCAATTCTGCTCCCTCGTCACGGCTCAAGAACAATTGATCAACGTTCAGGTGTTGGTGCAAGCGGTCCTGTCCTCTGTTTGGTTGAGATCTCTAGGAAGGCAGGATATTCAACAAATTCTCGCCGCTTTGCATGCTCAGTTCTCACGTAACATCTTGGAATCCCTCAAGTCTGCAAAAGATATGCTACCAGCGTGGGACCTTCTATTATGATTAACTCCCTTTTTTACTAAACTCATTCCTTCAGGCTTTCTATTATCCGACAATCGCTTGCGTCTTGCTTGCTATTGTACGGTTGTGATAGAAATCACATTGTAACTCTTGGGATGATTTTAGTGGAGGAAATAAAGGAGTTTCCTTCGAGGTCAGTGGATCAACATCTGCATGTTTAACGCGAGTCCAATATAAAGTTTCAGGAGAAAACTGACTGTCCGAGGCTCTGACGTTGTGGATCCAATCAATGTCGAACCATCGCTGTTGATCGCCCTTGGAGTTTACGCGGAATCAGCTGTGGAGGAGGTCTTGTGTCTTACAGCCAAATTTTTGAACACTTTCCTAATGGATTCTCCCTTTTTGGAACCATATGAAGTTGATAATTTTATTCTTCGGAATGGAAAATTTCTTGCATCCTGGTATGTGTCAAGTCCTTCGCAAAGGTTTTCCTCAAACCGTGATTTAGCGCCTGGAAGTTCTACAACATCCAGCGACATGACGTAGCATCTATACGGACAAATTTCTTATTGCGTACACTTGTTGTCGACGCTGAGCTATTTCAAGATATCTTGTCGGGTGTTTTGTCACACAGCAATCACTGGGAGCAACGGTACGTGCCACCCTCGGGCTTTATTTTTGAAGATCAGACGATGGTAGCAAATACAGCCTTTTAGCTACAAATTGTCTGTTCCGTTTTGTGTCCGACGTTACCAGTCCAGTTTTTTGTGTCGAAGGGAGGCAGTGGAGGTCAACCGTTACTGACACATTTTACTGCTACTTTACTTCTCTGTGGGCGGATCCAAAAGTAGGTTTTTGTTCCTTTGAAAAGAGTTGCCCTTTGACATCTTTTGAAAGGAGGAGATTCGGTTATCCGTTCGGACTTGCTCAGCAACATTGCTTCCTGCTCACCTTCTTGCAATTTCTCAATGTTGGAATGAATCAATGTCAAAGGCTCCGATATCTGAGCGCCTGAGACTGGCTTCGTTTCTCCTGCGGCTTCACCCTCATTTTCCTGGTTGGAGAGGTCCGCAAATCGACATTCTACACTCTTACAGAGCTTGACCTAGATCTATCTAGTCTTATCGTGGGATGTCATCATCGAAACGCTTACAGAATACGACTCTGATGTAGGCAATGTCATTCATCTCGTCTCCGACCGTCAGTTGAGTTTAATTCATGTTCTGACTAGACCCCTGCGTCTAACATATATGTTTGGTCACAGTTTGATCCAGAAATGGCGCACCTTCGGGTCAGTCGATCTCCTTTGCAGAAAAGGTCTTCCATAACAACTGTTATACAGGTTGCCATCATCGTTCTGGGTTTACAGATGATCGCCGACGGGGTTGAAATCGACACGTTTTCTCTGCTAAAACTGAAAGTCGAACTCGTTCGGGTCATCGGGTTTACTGACATTTCAGTATTACCACTCGAAGACGCTCATTCGATTCGATTGCAATTTGGCGACGTCTCAGAGATCCCAGAGCTTGCTTTCCCCTGCATCGAAGGACTAGTATCTGTCCTCGACGCCACCCACCTACTCACTCTTCCCTCTTCGACCTTCGGCACCATCGGTGAACAGTCCAGGTTCCTTGTGGGGTCCATCTTTTTAGACGTATCTCTCAGCATCGTCGCAACAGCAAAGGACCTGACGGTTTTCCCAGTCTTGACGCTGAAAAGTCTTCTCGAATCTGTCTATATTATCATTCACAAGCATGATTTCGAAAGCAAACATTTAGGGCCTCAGCAGGCTATTTTGCGACGAGCTGTGTTACGAACTGTCGAAATGTTATCGAAAGACATTAGCTATGACGTTCGCCACGTCGCTCTCTCTGTGTGCCAGGCTTTCATCAAACAATGCCAGAATTTCATGGGATCTGTGGTCTAGTGAGTTATCATTCAATGTCTATTAGATACTCCCTGTGACGTTCTTCGCAGCACAATTTTCGAACACGTAACACAACTTGTCGACTCTCAGAGCATCCAAAATCAAGACGCTCTCGCTGCTCAGGGCAAGCTCCTCATCGGGACCACACTCCAGTCGTATGTGCCGGTTTTGATCATATTTTTTGGGCTCAACTATCGACAGCTTTTGCAATGACGGCCTGTTCATCAATCTTTTGAAGGTCAGTATGGCGCGACTGTTTCCACCTCAAATCAAAAATACTTCCTCCCCTTTAGCGCCCGCTGCCACACAAGTTCTTCGCAGTTCTTAAACAGATCTTTGAATCGTGGAGAACCGACCAAGCGTATGTCAATGAGAGCCTGGGCGAGGACTTACTACGTGACACCCTCAATCGAACTGTTGACGCCGACCCTGCTGGCTTCCAGATCCTTCTGAATAACCTTTTTTCTTACCTTGATATTGTTTACCGACCTCCGTCCAATATCGATGTTACATGTGAGCATTCATACTCTCTCACGGCTTTTTTATCAATGTTACCGTCGCAGTCATTGGGCAACACATCATACAGCTTGTTCGTCGTATGTGCGACGGATCGCTGGAAGAGGCGGACCCTTCCCCTCTCGTCAGTATTTTGGCTCTCCTTATTCAGAGTGAGCCGAGGCATTACAAGGTCGGATTAAATTCTGAAGGAATAAAACCACTCTTTTTTCACCACGACTTTACAGCAATTATTGCCTTCCATAAACATAGTTCTCAGGACCGCATTGAACAGGCTCTATGTGGACACTGCCTGCCTCGCCCTCTTGAGCCACGCCTCTGCATGCCATCATCATCCAGGTCTGGTCCAAGGTTCTACATCTTCAGTTGTTCCAGTCGTGAACGTTCTTTTCGAAATCCTCCTTGATGGTTTGCGGCTCAAGGCCAGAATTCTTCCTGTGACACTGAAATCTATCATCGGGGTGGGAGCACTCTTTGATATCAGCTGCCCGTTCCTGAGCATTTGCTTTTACAGAGCTTGACAAAACTAGAACACCCGGTCTTCCCGCCGTCGCCTGCTGAACAGCCCAAACTTTTTGCAAATCTAATTGATGGAGCCTGCCACTTCCTTGAACATCACCTGTGGCTTGACGAATATACGGAGAATGACTGCATGGTATCTGTCGATGTCGCAAGATTACTTTTGCAAGCCGCCAGCGAAGACCACAGCATCATGCAGAGGTTCTCTGGCCACGGCAGTGAGGTGAGCTGCGAAACCGTACGCCACACATACACGATTGAATATGTGTCTCTCGCGTCCAGAAGTATTCGCGACAAATTTTCGGTGTCCGTTCTTGGAGCATGCTCATCCTCGCAGTTTTACTTAACCCCAGAGATGACTGGCCAGCAATGTTGTTTTCGCAATTCAGCAGTTTCACCCAAGTTTATGTTCTGACCTTGCGGGTGTATCTGCAGTCTGGGTTTGGTTCCCCTGAATCCGCAACGACTGATATCAACCATGCATATGTTGCCATAAAGCTGTGGCTGATGCTCGCACAGCGAGTGTCTTCGTTCTCAGAGGACAGCGAGGTATCGATATTTAGGGTCTGGAATGAGCTATGGCCGCCTTTCGAAGATGTTTTTAGCGCACTCGAGATTGAGGCCCAAGCTAATTTATCAACGGTAGGAGCTCGATAGCCCTGAAAGACAACAACACGAGCTAACCCAGAGACAGACTTTAACAATGCTCACGTCCACCTCTATTGCTGAACTTGTGATTTATGCGTGCTCGCTGAAGGCATCGCTCACGCTGGAAGCTACAGCCCATCTTACAATACTGAATCGTCTCCGGGGTCTCAACCGTGGCGAAGGTTCATATGGCAAAGTGAGTCGGACTTCAGGGTATTCTAGTCATGCTTACAGTAATGCCATTCACTACAGGCCATTCGTGCGCTTCGAGGTACATCTGAGGGCCACTTGGAGGTCTCTCCGGACGTCCTTTTGCAACAATGCATAAAAGACATTGTCGCGACTGAGAAACTACGCGTTGTGGACGTGAAACGGGAACCTGGCAAACCAGGGGTTGAGCGGCGGAAAGACTTGCGATTCCAGTAGTCGTCGTAGACCATCCATTGCAGAATATATACGGAACAAGAAAGGAGGATTACTTTGTTTCACGCCGTTCGCAACCTTGCCTTCTGTGCTTTCTTCTTGTTTTCTTTGACTATTGTATAACCCACGAAAGCTCCAATGGCTGACAGACCAAGAACAAGGAGGACAGCAGGTAACCTGATAGCCCACTCCCTTGAAGGAAACCAATCGTGTATTTGGCTTGTTTTCGGGAAGAAAGGCTATGTTGTTCATTGAATGAGATGGCCACGGAGGAAGTGGAAAGGAGAATAGATACCAAAAGCAAGGCCCAGGCCGTATAGTAGGTGAAGACGGTGTAAGCTGCCAGCAACATGACCCCTCCAAGAGCTTTGTCGCTTGTACCCTGTTCGATATCAGGCGAATCTATTCAAGTGGAGGTCGCGATGCTCACCATTGTGTAGACACGGAGTTGGAAGCGTATGGTTATTTTAAGAAATTTGAGGACGTGAGCAAGAGGTTACATATACGTGACCAGGTTCAAATGGACGCCAGATTCTCATTTCTTAGATATCATGGATACCCATGCCTTCGCCTCACTGGCGCACATTCGCATTCTCCTACTTCCGGTGGGTACAATATCACAATCATCGTTTGACGACTATGCGGCAGAAATACGGAGCTTCGAAACTCTAAGGCTGGGCGATATTCCGTCAGACAGCAAAGATGAGAGAGGCACGTCCATTTCGTGATAACAACGCGCAATCTAATGGAACGTATCTAGCTCGGTTTATGCCCAGCCCAATGTCGACAGGATCCCTGCATCTGAGCTTCCCGTCGCACCCTCCTCCTCATTCGCATATGCCTTTATCGCTCTTGCGACCTTCACACTTCCCACTTGCTGTAATTGGAGTCGCGGCATGCTCTCAAACGGAAACGCTTTCTTCTACATTTTCTCAGTTTAATGCTTCCTTGCTCGATATCTTTCCCTCAGGCGCGATCTTTCCGCTTGCGAGAACTTGTTTTGTGTTTGAGGAAAGCGACGGGGATACAACGCTTGACCTCACCGAATGCCCGCCAGGTTTGGTCGTCCTACCCAGCATGATGGGGAATAAAAAACTTTACATTGGCACCTTGTTGGCGGATCTTTGCTCTCAAATACTGGGAGAAGTGGGAGTGCTGGTGAGTTACGCATTCAGGTGAAAGTTTCAACGCTCCAATTTTTCCCAGGTTCAAGCAATGGAAAGTCCTCTAGGAAATGAATATCTTAATGCCTCGTTAATGCCAATACTCCCCCCGCTCTCCGACATTCCTTCACCATTGGATAGGGGAGATTCTACAATTCAGCTTACTTCGCACAATAGTCAGCCCGAAATGTCGAGAGCAAGTTTCAATCTGACCGCTCCACCGCCGATGAAGCGCAATGTGTCGTCAGGTCCAGCCTTTCGCCAGTCAACCCTTGGAATCCAGGCACCCAAAAAACGTTTGAGCACGATTGGAACTAGCTCTTCTCATGGTAGACTTTACAAGGTGCTCGGTGATTTTTTTCTTTTGGCAGGTCGGATAGAAGACGCAACTATCTGGTGCGTAGAGCTTGTACATTTTATGCCCTTGTCTTGACACGAAGCCAGGTACATGGAAGCCATACAGCTTTTCAGAGGCTCGAATGATTCCGTGTGGCATGCAGCAACACTCGAAGGGATGGCAACGATTCTTATCATCGAGGCCTGGTCTGCTGGACATGGCTTAGTTGGTCTTTCCATGACTTGATTCGCCTGTTATCACACTCACTTCTGATTTTGGTAGCATGATTCCACAGTCCCTTCGAAGGAACCCTGGGTCGAAGTTTGCGAGAAATTGACTCAAGCAACAGCTCTGTATCACAAGTCGTCTACATCGGATGGGGAGCAGATCCACTCACTTTTGACATACCTGTTCTGCTCCTGTGTTCTTCGTCACTCATTCCTCCTTTACTCTGTCTGGTCAGCAAAGGGATGGGGTCCGCCCGCATTTACCGCAATGTTGCAACCTGGAACTCGACCATACTTTCCAGCTACGTTGTCAAGTATGCACCATGACGCCTGGGTCGATTTGGAGCGGTTAAGTTCTATCTCGGGAGTATCTCGCTCATCTATTTCAGCCACTCTTTCCCAACTGCATGGTCCATGGCTTCTACACTTGGGCCCCAGGGAACGGGTGTCCATTCTTGAGGCTATGGCTTCCATATACTCTTGTTTGGGGTATATGCGCAAGGAAGCATACATATTGCGTGAGGTTCTGGGTTGCCTTTTGGACCTCATGGTGTGCGGACGAGAGGAAGATGGGTTTTCAGACCCTTCGAGTGTCGCATCAAGTGCAGGTTTGGGCATCCAACCTATGTCTGGGGTTGGGGCTGGTTGGGGTAATGTTGGCGTCAGGCTTAGTGAAAGCGTGGATGGGAACGGCAGTATTCTGCGTCTCCTCGTATATGTTTGTCAGGTGCTGGGCATCGACCTCGAGGCCGTTCAAATGATCAACTCGGTTGACAGGGTGGCTTCTTTGGCTAATGACAAGGAATCGATTTTGAAGTATGAAGAAGAAATCATCGAAGGGTTTCAGGAGCCATACGGATGGCCTGAGCTGCAAGTGGGTGTTGTTAGAGAGGCTGTTGCAGTCGCAGAAGCACTACCTGGTGAGCAATGTCACGTATTCTTGCCTAGGAATGACAAGAACTCTCTCTCAGACTTTCCTTCCGTTGCGCAGTTTGCGCTCTCTTCCTTGAAAATTCTACAGTCTGTATTATCTCCCGGAGATCAGTTTCACCTTTATTCCACGTCTACGCGGGCATTGATAACGGCTTCCCGACGAGGAGACGCAAGATCTGTAGAATACTGGTCAGGACGACCTGTTATCAGTATCGAGCTTGCGCCGTATGTTTCTATGATGGCCTTCGCCAACAACCTGCTTACATCGCCTTGATGGATAGCCTGCCTTCTGTTCGTCTTCCCATCGAAAAGCCCTGGTCAGCGATACAACTCAAATTTGGCGATCCAACTCCACTTCTACAAGGTCGCGATCCCTTTTTGTACAACCCACGCAAGGCAATGGTGGACAAGGTAACTAGGTGATATAACCTCATTACTGGAATTTTAAGTCGTCTGAGAGCAGGAAAAATCACTAGTGGTGGAAAACGAACACCTGGACTTTCTGGTCTTGTTGCAAAACCCCTATATTTTCGACCTTGAATTAGAAAAGGTCTCTCTGAGGTATGTTCTCTCCTTTGCCAGAATGAATTCGGTTGCTGGACCCAATTTAGCACGTCCGGGGTGGAATTTGATTCGGAAAGCGTTCGTGTCGTCATTCCAGCGAATTCTGTCCATCAGGTAATATTGTCGGGCAAGGCGCTCCAATCTGGGGTTCTCACTATTCGTGGATGCATTGTTCAAGCCCTTGGCGGGGTTTCCAGAGAATACATTCTTCCCTTATACAGCAACGAAGAGGAGCAGAAGCATCTTCGCAAAAGAGGTCTCCAAGCGTGTGAGGCCGGTCGTGCTAAACATCCCGGTCTGGCATCGTTTGCGGGCGACAAGGAACGAAGGCTTAACGTTACACAAGGGATTATTGAGCAGTCTACTACACCATCCTTTCGGTTTTTGGAGTGCAAGGTTGTCCCGGAGCAACCCTTGCTGAGAATACGTAGGACGTCTGTGACTCATGGTGCACTGATGCTATACGACGGTGAAAGGTACTTATTTCTCGAATATGGGAAGTTACCGGTCGCTGACGGCTTTTCAATAGCTCTACGATTCGGCTAACAATCGATAACATTTCTTCTATTCCTGTCAACTTCTTGCGTCTCGCGTTTGAAGACTCTACGATAGCTCACGCGCAACAAATTCTTGCAGAAGGAAATCTCTCTGTTTATGATACCTACGAGACAGAGCATGATCTCATCAACAGACCTGTGTTCTCATGGACGTCTGATGAATCCAGACCCATCGCACCAAATCAGAACCTAACGCTTACTTTGTCGTGTTTTGGCAAAGTCGGGTGGTTCGTCACTGTGTTTCCACTTCTACGCGGGCTGACCAGCAAACTAGTACGCACGGGACGATACATATTTCATATGCCCACCTTGCCCATCAGACCTCGGCTCCTGAGGTTTTCTACCTTCGTCAAGTGTCTTATCCTCTGACGGTGACGGTTTACCACATGCTTGAATGTTGTAACATGGAAATTCTTCCCTTCCCGTCGTACGCAGGCACCGCCCATAAGACTTCTCATCCAAGGGAGGGTGTGACTAAAGAGCTTGTGGTAGATCAAAGTTCAGGCTGGTGTCTGTTCTCTATTGAAGTGCGGAATACATATGGATTGCCATTTGATGTCAAGTTTGAAAGGATACGAGATGGTGTGTGACTTATCAAAGCATATCAGAATTTCCACTCAATCTCTTGAAAAGGAGTAACAGTAACATCAATCTTTGCGACCATTCCCCCAGGATCTATGTCAAGGTATATATCATTCGTTTCATACAGGTGGATTCTATTGAGAATGTACAAGGCTTGCGATACCTCTCAACAAAATTGTGCTCAGTGAAGAACAACTTTCACGTCCAATACCTACCCTATCGGATAGGCAGTTCGTCGTCACAAAAACCAGCCTTTCTGAAGCAGAAGCTAGAACGCAGCGAGAGCTTTTCTGGTACCGAGAAGAACTATTTAAATCTGTATGTGGTCATTGGCAAGAGGTAGGTTCATCCGCAACAAGGTATTATCTCCTCCTTAACGTGTTAACAGACGGGAGGAGTAAGAACGGGGGAGCTTTCTCTTCGGGGTCAGCGATTGACTCTACCAATGCTCAAGGAGCTTCGCCTGGAAACGGTCGAAGTGACGGTGGGGTTAGCGATGTGCGAAGACGAAGGTTCTTCGCTTCAGCAGAGTGGTACAAAGTACTCCCTGAAATCGAGCGAATTCATTCATCTTTGCACACGTATTACAAATCTGTCAGGTGGGATGAGTCGTTTACTTCAGAGATTTTGCGTCTTCTAAACCGTTCTTGCTTTACGTTTCAGATTCGTCGCTGGTCTTCACGATGGATATTGAAGTAGACCCGTCAGATTGCGTCGTGTGTGAAGGTGCCCTCACTGATATAGCCGTTGGTCGCATGAGTGCCGGAGAATCTCGTGAGGTTGTAACGACGTTATGCTTTTTGGCTGTTGGCCGGTTTGAAGTCTCAACGCTGGTGCGACCTTTCACGACGCTTCCGATGGGGAGAGGACCAGCGAGAGCCCAGCTGACGGCCATTGTGCTGGACCATGACTAGACAACGTATTAATCTTAGACAAGTGTTATTGCAAGACACGATATGTAGTATGCATCAGTCGTAGTCAGAATCCTCCTGGCTAAAAGCCGCAGCGTAGGCCAAGATAGTGCCGTAAACAAGCCTAGGTTTCGTATGGGCAAGCGATGGATTCGAAATTGAAGATGACATACCCTCCTCCTGCGACCGACATCACACATGCTTTAGGGTCAATAACATTGGCATGGGCCAGCACCGTCGGGAGAGCGAAACCTGTAACGACGATCATCGAGGTGATGAACCGTCCAACATCAAGTGCACCTGAATCCCCATAATCTGCCGCAAATTCATCTGCGCCACAATGTGAAAACAACGCATTGGGCAAAGGCGCGAGAACGAAGGTCAAAGCTTGAAAGGAGAATAAGTCGGCTGGTTAGGAATGCCAGGGGTTGACCGTACCAACAAGTAGAGGTAGCCAGTTCTGCCACAGTGCGCAGGACAAAATAATTAATAAGAAGCCCAACGCGAGGACAAAGGATAGGAGAATAACAGCTGGAAATCGATGAGCTGGCGAGTACGATGAGAAATCCAGAATCTTTACTTCGTAGGCCTGCGGGCATCGTAATTGCTGGTGAGTTGAGCTAACGACAATATTATTACATAATCATACAGGTCATCGTGCTCGTCGTGAGTACCGGCTCGTGGATACATTTCTCTTTCGAGAGTCCATCAGTGTCCCCATTGTTCCAATATCATCGCCTGCTCCCTTTACTTCATTGCACTCGGGTGTTATTACCAAGGCAGGGACTTCCCAATTTTCCTCGCACTCATCATCCTCCACCAAGGCCTCCTTTGGGGGCACCAGCCGTTCTCTCCACGCTTTCAAGATGTCTTCCCTGTCCTTGGTCAATTCCCACTGATCAACGTAATTCCAAGTCCTTTTACGTGGCGTAGTCCCAGTAGGAATATCATCTTTGGTACCTTCTGCAGCAAGGGCGGAGCTTGCATGTTGAATAGAATTCAGATGGCGTTTTGTCGCATTATGGTAGGATCCGGATGTTCTTCCAAAATCGGACGTCTGCAAACCAAAATGAAGATATGTAACTCGCAAGTCGAAATACTACTGACCGTCGATGCGATTTGCTTTGAAAATAATTCCACATGCTGGGACGTAGACACAAGCCCTTCTCGTAGAATGGAGTGGTTCGTTTCAAGGTCAGTTTGCAAAGTGTCCATTGCCTCGAGCCTTGCTCGCTTAGTGTGAATTTGTTCTTCAAAGGCTGCTCGGTGAAAATTGAGCATCTTTATGGAACCTCTGCGTGAAAACGCACCATTTTTGCTTGAATTAATTGTCAGTAGGAGTTGACTGCGTGTCCAGGATGAATGGGATTCAATAGAGTCGTCCAAGGACCTCCCAAGATCCCCCAAGCCACTCTTCAAGGTATTTCTCATGCCTTGAGCTTGCTGGAGAAAGAGATGCGTCAGCACCTGTAAGATCTCCACAAGAGGGTTTTCACTTTGAAAGTACCATCCCTTAGTCGCTTCAGATCTTTGCCCGTCCTGTTAATAACAGATTCACTGCTGGCAACTCTGTTTTCCATGTCGCACCAGATCTCGTGCTGTTTTTCAAGCGCTAATTGATGTGACTCTCCGGCCTTCGCGTTTCCGGCTTGTACTTCTTCGATTGCGGTTCTCAAGAACACTTGCCTTTCATTCAAAAAGCCGCCCAGCAACCCTGATACCCGCTTCACCAACTCATCCTTGGCTTTTTCGGCATCCACTCGACCACGATCCAACAGTCGACTAAGCTCCTCATTCTGTTGTTTGAGGCGTGCAATTTCTTCAGATGCGGCGGTATTCGCCAAAATCTTGACCTCCGAGATAGCTTGACTGCCCTGAGTGATGTCGTTTGTCGCTTGTCGCAAGACGCCATCCATCAGAGTATGCAGAGCGTCGAGAGATGTTTCCATCGCTAATGCTTGACTATTGCCAGCAGCGAGGGTTTGACAACACATTTGCTCAAAGGTTGTTTTCAGCGTTTTGACGCGGCCAAGAAACTCGGATTCAAAGTTTTGGTGATTAAGTTGTAGATCACGGCACGCCTGGTCAGTTCCTTCCTTCTCGAGATTATTCTGAGACTGAATGAAATCCAAGAGTTCACGGGTGCGACGGAATTGGTCATCAATCTGTTCTGTATGGTCGAGCAATTTCTTGAGCTCCGATGAGCGAAATTGTTCCGTTTCGGATTGCATTTTGCTCATACTTTGCGAAAATGCTCGAGTAAAGTCGGCGAGAGCATTTGCAACATTGCCGACTGTTGATGTAATGATGCTTTCGTTACTCGTAACGATCTGCTTGTTTGTATTCAGAACGCTTGCCTTCCGATCTTTTTGGACGTTGGGTCAGTGGCACCGTGCAATACAAGCGACGCTCACTTACCGAGCTTCTCGAACAATCTTTGAACATCGGATAATCCCTGGGCAGTGGTTCGTTTCAACCCGGTCGCGACCTCATCAAGGACCACTTCGGTGGCTTGATATGTCTTTCTAACAATCTCCTCTTCTTCCAGCGCCCCTATCGCCGTCTCCAGTTTTCTTTCTCGATCAACCAGGGCGTCCTCTGTCTCCTTCAACTTTTCTTTGGTTTCCTTCAGCTCGTTATCTTTCTTCATGAGTAAGGCGATACTTTGTTCGAATTCTTCCCGTACGTTTCTCATCTGACTCTCCACAATTTGTACCTGCTTCTTTGCCTCGAGGATTTCTGCCTGCTTCAACTCTTGCTCAGCATTGAGCTGATTCCATGACTCCTCTGAAAAAAATATCCCGTGTTTTTCTCGCGCTGCCAGGAGATCAGCTTTGAGACGCTCAATCTCACTAACATACTCCTTTAGCAGGGAGTTTCTCGTCATACGCTGGTTGAGCTCTGGCTTGTTACGGATGGATTTAGCCCGCAGAGCGTAGTCAAGCGTAGACAGAGTTTCTTCGATGTTCGAGCGAGCAGGGGAAATGGTTGCGATAATACAGGTTTTGGTACGACCTCCGAGTGAGTCTTGAAGGAGGCGAGTTAGCTTCGATTCACTATAAGCAACATGAGTGATTCTCGTTTGTAAATTGAGCTGCATCTCACCGATATGGAACATGTTGGGCTTTATCCACAAGGGCATTGATAACTCTGCCAAGAGTTAACAGGCTTTGATTAATCATTCCGGCCTCACGGGCTCGTTTGTTCTCAGCCCCTGACCTCCCAATATTTTCTGACCCAGCCAAATCGACTAGGTGGAGCTTGCCAATTTTAAGCAAATCTTCCCCAAGAGTTGTGTCCTTCGTGTGCACTGTGATCGAGAAAACCGAATGTGATCGACTAGAATGGTCGTTGAAGTTGGTAGCTGCAATTTGGCGTCGTTCACTTCCTTTGGTCAAAAGGGCTAGTGCGTCTTTGGAGTTTTTTACAGGAATTTCTTCAAGACCCTGGATAAAGACACCGCGTTTGTTGGCATCATCAAATATTTTGAGTCCACTGTCTGGAACTTTGTCTTTAGCGGCCATCCCCATCGGTTGAATCGAGCCTATCGGGCCGCTCAGGTCGTTCGCGAGTAAGTCGCGAAGTTCTTCGTTGTATAGCTCCACATACGACACTTTCACACTATAATCTGAACGGGAGGAATCCAGTTGGTGAAAAAGCCGGAAAAGCACGCGAGGTATCATGCCAGCATTGGGGGAGGGGTTTCCCATTGGAGTAGAGGTTAGGTCTCCTTGCATTGTATACCTGTTTTAAATGTTACTCGCATTATTGCGACAGTATGAAGAAGGAATCAAAGTACGCACGTTTTGCCAGTTCCAGTCTGACCGTAGGCAAACAGCGTACAATTGTATCCCATCAACACTTGGTCAAGCATAGGACTGACAACATCATGATAAATCATCGCTTGGTCGGCTTCAGGACCAAAGACCAAGTCAAACGGATAGGTTCGCGACGGCGGTAAGGTTACGACGCCCAAACTGGACAGAGCGACAGACGCCTCTATGGATATCTCCTTGGATTTCGCAGCGTCTGAGCTGACAATGATGGGTGAATTTTCCTGAACCTCACGATCTGAACGACGTCGACATCGAATAACAACTTGGATATTGGCGGCTGCAGTGTCAGAGGCGCCTTGCTTGCTGGATGAGGCCGCAAGGCTGTTAGAACCGTCGTCAGTTGTGTGTGAAAGAGTAGTTTTGGACATGACGGAACGCGATCGCGGTGGCGGAGGTTGAGGAACGGCGCTGTTGTTGTTTAGCCTGGCACGAGAGGAGGCTGGGCGACGGGTAGCCATGTCGGAAAGACGATGTATGTGACAGTTAGTAGTTGTTAGTAGGCACTTGTGTCCACTTGGTTGAATCGACGCGTTGGTCACGTGGGCATGACCAACTTAGGATTGAATAAATAACAACAATATTTTTCATTCCATTCACAATGGGCAAACGAAAAAAGTCATCGAGAAAACCTGGGCCATCAAAACAAAAGGTCCCTCTTGGTGTGTTACAAAATCTTGCTGTCGAGGGCGTACTCATAACTATTTAGACACTGCGTTCACTTGTTTATTTTGCCACCACGATAAGTCTGTCACGGTCCGTCTCGACAGGAAAGAGGGTGTTGCCCAGTTGGTGTGTAGGGTGTGTGATCAGCGGTATCAAAGCAAAGTAAACCGTGCGTTCAGCTGCCTACAACATCGTTTGCTCTGCTCATCAATGTTCCCCAGATCTCACAGAACCCATTGACATCTACTCTGAGTGGATTGATGCGGCAGATGCAGCGCAGAGAGAAGAACGTGTATCTCGCCGTCCCGCTGCTTCTTCCAGCCGACCAGTCCCAGCCCCAGCTTCCGTGGATAGTGATGAAGACTAGTTTTTTTACCTGGAGCAACATATAGACATCGTGCAACTCTGTAATAATACTGTATCTCGTTTAGTATTGAAAATAACAAATTCCTAGTTTGTCGTGTGGCAACAATGCCAAACACCTCTCTCGCCTCACGCCGTCCGCCTGTCGCGAATCAGAGGACATTTGTCCGCCGACGTGTTAGGAGGTTGCATACCAACAATTTCTTCCCCAATTATCTCCCCGCACGATACAAAACGCTTTTATTCCGCTGGATCTCACAGTAATCGGCCATTATGGCAAGTTCCACCAATATAAAGGTTGTATGTCGGTGAGTTCCTACTTCTCTTATGTTGTAGGCAAGGCTTTTACATATTTAACCTCAGTTTTCGCCCCGTCAACGCGATCGAAGCGCGTGAAGGTGGCGAAATCGTCGTTTCCTTTGCCGACAACCTTCAGTCGGTGCAGATGAAGTCAGCCCAACTTGGGTCTGGACCCGAAAAGGATGGCTTTACGTTCGATAGGGTCTTTCCAATGGGAACAAAGCAGCACGAAGTATTTGACTATGGAGTCAAAGAGTATGTTCTGGCAGATTGTGTATGCCTATCAATCACTTAATCTATATTCTGCAGCATCGTCAAAGGTGGGCATTGGCGGCTGCCTGATTTCTAATTGGCTTCGTTACTATCAAGCAGAAATACTTATCTTCCATTGCAACAGACGTTTTAGACGGGTATAACGGTACAGTCTTCGCATACGGCCAAACTGGTAGTGGCAAGACCTTCACCATGATGGTATTTCTTTATTGCACATCTGCTAGGCGTTCGCTGACGTACAGCTTTGCTTTTTGTTAGGGAGCAGATATTGATTCAGATGAATTGAAGGGAATCATTCCTCGAATAACAGAACAAATATTCCATTCCATCGTAGAAAGCGATGCGCATCTTGAATATCTTGTCAAGGTGTCATATATGGAGATTTATCTAGAAAGGATCCGAGATTTACTTGCGCGTAAGCCTTCGAATTCTCCATTACGCAGAGCTCTTACTCTTGCACGTCTTTATTGCAGCCCAAAACGATAACCTACAAGTACATGAGGAAAAGTCTAAGGGTGTTTACGTGAAAAATCTTTCGGACTACTATGTTAGCAGTGCAAGAGAAGTTTACGAGATTATGCGGACGGGTGGAGCGGCAAGAGTTGTTACATCCACCAGTGCGTCATTGCCTTTATCGTCCACACATTTTAAAAGGCCTCTCACCCGTAATTCAAGACATGAATGCCGAATCCTCTCGCTCACATTCAATCTTTCTCATCACCATTCAGCAGCGGAATACGGAAACGGGGGCTCAAAAAACAGGAAATCTATATCTCGTCGATCTCGCTGGTTCGGAAAAGGTCGGGAAGACAGGAGCTTCTGGACAAACACTAGAGGAGGCGAAAAAGATTAACAAGTCACTCTCGGCCTTAGGAATGGTGATCAACGCATTGACCGATAGCAAGGCGAGTCAATGCTGGCATTGTATGTTCGTCCTCGCTTATCGCATCTCTAGGCTAAACATATACCGTACCGCGATTCTAAACTAACGCGCATTTTACAAGAATCTTTGGGAGGGAATTCTCGGACGACGCTGATCATCAATTGCTCACCATCTTCATACAACGAGGCGGAGACTCTATCGACCCTTCGCTTCGGTATCCGTGCCAAGTCTATCAAGAACACTGCACGCGTCAATGCTGAGTTATCTCCTCTGGAACTCAAAGGTTTGCTGCAGAAGGCTCAACTAGCCAATACATCGTACCAGAAATATATAGCAGCTCTGGAAGCAGAGCTGGCTATCTGGCGCACGGGCGGACATGTAGAGGAGGTTGAGTGGACCCTTCCAAACAGACCAGGATCTGTAACATCCACTGTAAAGAAGCCGCCCAATTCCACAGCCCCTTCGACGCCTTCGGCTTCCTCCCGCAGTATGACGCCTGTGAACCCTGTTATCGAAGGATTGAGAAGCGACTTAGAGAGTCGTCCTCAAACACCAACCGTCATAGGACTAGACAAGGACGAGCGGGATGATTTCCTCAAGAGAGAGAATGAACTCAGTGATGCACTCGCTGAGAGAGAGAGCTCTTTAGCAGCAGCTGACAAACTTGTCAAAGAACTGAAGGAAGAACTGGCATTCTTGAAAGAGCAAGAGGCGGCTGTCAACCAGGTCAGTCACTTCACAAACACCCTTCCTGAATGAGACTAGATCCCCCCATGTAGGAGAACAAATCTATGTCCAGTCAGCTGAATGAATTGAGGTTGCAAGTGGAAAGGTTAGACTACGATAACAAAGAGGGGGTCATCACTGTCGACATCCTCAAGGAGCAAAACCAAGATGCCAGAAGCGAATTGGAGGAGCTCAAGAGACAAATAGGCGAACTGAAGTCAGCCCAAAAGGATGCTTCTGCAGAGGACAAGGAGAAGCGCAAACAAGAGAAGATGGCGATGATGATGGCCAAGTTCGACACGGTTAGTAACATATTTACAAGTCTCTGTTCTAATGAGTTCATTGCGTGCGTTCTAGCAAGGCGCCTTCTCCGAGAAGGACGAACAATTACGCCAGATTCTGGCAAAACTGGATAATACAGACTCCCCTGAGTCGCTCTCCCAAGAAGATCTTATTTCGATTCGACGGCAACTCTCCGAGGGGCAGAGCTTGGTGAGGGAAACCGTTGACAGACTCCGGCAAAGCCAAGAGGTGAATGAGATGGTCACACGACGTCGCGACGAGCTGGAAGCTCGAGTATCGGGGCTCGAGGCAGAATATGAAGAACTTCTTGGTAACCTCTGTTTGACAATCCAAATTTCGATCTTGATCTCATTGTTGGAGCAGAGAAGACAATTCATGACGAAGAGACTAGCAATGTCGATGTCGCAGAACTGATGGCGGATCTCAAGGTTATGGTTCCACCTTCCATCCCACTATTTGCTAACCATCCTGTCAAGAACAAACTCGAGATCCAATATGCTGCCAAACGTGAGGCTCAGCTCAGCGAAGTGTCTGACCTCAAGCAACAACTTGAGTTACGGAGCAACGAGGTCCGAAGTTTGAATGCTTCCATCGACAGCTTGAAGAGCGTAAACGAGGAGTTGAAAGTAAGTCGCTTTACAGCTCACCAGTTCTCGACTTAAATTTTCCATAAAGCGAGCTTTCGCAGTAACATCCGTTGGCATTGAAGGTGGTAAGAACCTCGCAGAAAGTGCACAGGATCTCGAGCGGACTCGAAAGGCGATCAACGTCCAATTAGCGGAGTTTGACGGTGTGAAGAAGTCGCTTATGCACGATTTGCAAAATCGCTGCGAGAAGGTACGAAGTCCGCTTGGGTCTATTCCGAAGTATGTATCGGATAAACGTCTCTTGCTAGGTGGTAGAACTAGAGATTCAGTTGGACGAGATCAAGGAACAGTATAACAACGTGATCCGCAACAGTAACAGCAAAGCACAACAGAAGAAGATGGCCTTCTTGGAACGCAACCTAGAGCAGCTGACTTTGGTGCAAAAGCAGGTTCGTTACTGCTTTGTATATGAAGAGCGGTTTAGTGAATTCTTTTCCTCTAGCTGGTTGACCAAAATTCTACACTGAAAAAGGAGGCTGGAATTGCTGAGCGCAAATTGCTTGCTCGCAACGAGCGCATACAAAACTTGGAAGCCCTCCTTCAGGATGCTGACCGGCGGCTGTCAGTGCAAAATCAAAAATTTGAGGCGCAGCTTCAGGCCGTGAAGGAACGGTTAGATCAAGCACGAGGTGGGGGAAGTTATCTGCCAAAATTTTCCATCTGACAAGGTTTTTAGCTCAAAAAGCGGCATCTTCTCCTCTCAATTTCGGACGCATCGCGAAGCCACTTCGGGGCGGAGGGGGAGTTGCGGTTCCCCCCTCCAACCCTTCACCAAATGTCGGGGGCGCCATGGCAAATCCAGTCAACCGCTTGCAGAACGAAGAAGGGTGTGTATTCTTTTTTATCATTATTGGCAATCCTTTGCTGAATGCATGCCTTTATATAGAGCAGGTGAGTTCCCTAATCCTAACAACTTTAACCCCCCAAAACCCTAAACTTGAAATGCAGCGAAACGAGCATCCTGGTTTTTTAATTCACGATAGGTGCCTTATCATTCTTCTGGAAGTTATGGGGACCAAAGTATACCTACCCGAACCCCGTCATGGATCCCCTCCAGCCTCATGTCAAGCTTGTAATCCAAACATAAAGTGTAGACGGCAATGTATGCTGGCGGTCAAGGACTGGCGGAAGTGGGTGAATATTGAATACTTAGATAATGTGCTCGTCAGCCGACTCAGCATTGTGCATAGGGAGAAATTTAGGTTCCGTTTATGCTTCCGGGCAACAGCGAAGTCTCAACAATTCGAAAAAGGCAAGATCTTGGCTGATCTGGGCTGATCTTGAGGTTATACTTAGCTTCGATTGGCAAGATCTGCCGATCGACGTTCAAATCCCACGATATCTAAAGTGATATCCCCTCAACGAAATGGTCCACAAAGCACATCTTGTTCGTCTCCAAGCTCCTTGGCAGCCAGGGGAAATTCAGAGGAAAGGACTAGGTCCAAACTAGGTCGCACTGATATTTTGCGACTGCAAACAGCTGCAAACCCCTGTCTACTTATAGGTTAGTTCGGGGCGGCATATTGGCGGGGACCTGAACTTTCCCGATATGGACATACCCGGCAAGTGAGCTAATCCGCTTTTATCGTGTTGAAACATGCATGATATTTTACAAATACATTTCATATTGCCTCCGTGGATTTAATTCCGCGTCCCTCTCGTCTCCATTTCTGTTCAAGGCTGGTCAGTAAAGGGTCTCCTCGCATTTCTCTGCCTTTACATACTATCCACCCTCCTTTACTTGTTTGACGCGCTTTCGAACGCAAATTCGCGTAAGTCACGTCGTCAACTGTTTCTATCTTTCAATCCTCCAATTTCGTCTTAACTGCTGCTAGAGCCACTCACTCGTTGCCTGTGAGCACTCTCCTCTTCCTTTATGCTCACTTAACCTACTCATACTTAATTTTAGGTTGTTGCCGTACACTTTGAGAAAAAACTCTTTGCCTCATTGTCCGTCATACTACTAGCCTTGATAAATCTGACTTTCCATTGCTAATACTGTGATTCAGTAGGTTTTCTCGTCTTTCTCTCCCAAACTTTCTTTCTCATTGCGATTCTTTTACACCTGTAGCGCGTTGCGTGGGATTTCGTATATCTAATGTCTGGCAAAACGTCTCGCAACCCATCTGTGTCTTCGACAGCTTCTCCGGGACAATCTCCCCTCGGATCCCCAAGTCATGTTCGTGTCCTGACAAAAGTGTGCACTTCTTCTATTAACCCATCCACAGTCTCAATCACGAAGACGGTTGAATACTGGACCTGGAAACGCATCATATTCCACCAAGAAGGGTCTGAATAGTGTATGGCCGGTTGGTTATGCCAGCAAATAACGCTTCTGCTTAAAGACTAAATATTATACCTCAGGTTTGGGGAACTGCCAGTCCATCCCAGCCAAGAACCAATTCAGAAACGGTTTCCATTCCATCTTCTCCGATTGACATGAATTCGCGCTTTGGCTTGTCTGACAATTGGAAAGCTACTAGTAAGCCCCCGAACGCCTCATGGGAAAGCCACGAAGGCCCTAAAGACCGTGACTTTGTTAACACACCGGTGTGACCTGCCTTGAACTACTAAAAACTAGTCAACTTACGACGTTTCAAGAGTAAACCAACAGGAGAAATCCACGCAAGACGGCATGATTCTAGTACAACTCACAGGTTGGCGCTTCCGACGGCAAGTAGAAATGTGAGTATTTCAGTGCACATTATATTAATTCCATGACTCCTTATCGTTTTCGCTAGGGGCGCTCAGTCAATATGACATTTGGGCAGCTCTCCCCCCAGCACCTCAAAGCTACTCTGGGAGACCCCGCTGATGCTCAGCGGAAATCGCCTTCCCCAAATCGGCAGTTCGACTTGCCCATCTACCCCCCTCCGCCTAAAACAAGCCACCTACCGCTACCCAATTCTGACCCCATTCAGATTCTCCCCTCACCTATTGAAGCCCTCCCCTTGACTTTGCGCGGAATGGCTGCGGAAGAAGATCATACCGTGCAGACAACGCATCAATCTTCTGCACATATGCTTGGTCCCCCCCTCTTGCAACATCCTCGACCATCCTTCAACATTTCCTCTCAACCAGATTACAGCGGTTACTATGCTCCTCCGCCAGACCGTTATTCGGATTATTCTCTGAGGTATAATGCATATCGACCCATGCCAGAGCCTGCGATGTATTCTTTGTCTGCGATGCCTAATTCGATCCCTCCGTCCCCTTTGTACTCAAGAGCACCCCCCCAGCCCATTGGAAATGTTCATCCAGGGTTTACTATGACTTGTGGGGTATCCCAGCGACCCGCCTTCTATCCTCCACCACCCAATATGATGTTTCCTCCGCAAATGATGCTGCCCCCTGTTCTTGGAAGCTTAATGGCAATGGGGGTAAAAAGACAGGGTTCTCAGGTATAGATATTTACTTGAGCAGCTCCACGTTGTGCTAACAATTATTTTCAGCCATATGGCATCCACTCGTCGCCCATACACACCATCCCGTATGGACACCCAACACCTCCTCAAATACCATTTTTACCAGGAACCTCTAACCAGCCTTTCGGGCCACAGATACCGTTTAGGCCCGATATGCCTTCCCCTTCTTTCCCCTCCCCCCATCGTCTACGTTTTGGTCGTCGGTATCCTATACCTGAGTTAATTCCATCAAATCAAAGCCCTATTCTTGAAGAATTTCGCTGGAACAAAGCTCGAAAGTGGGATTTAAAAGTGTGGATAATTAAATTGTCGGGGAATTTTCTGCAGTTCATTGATTCCTTTCATTTTCAGAACATTTTTGGATATATCAATGAGTTTAGTGGTGATCAGCATGGTTCTCGATTCATCCAACAAAAACTAGAAACCGCGAGCCCTGAGGAACGACAGACTGTGTTTGACGAAGTCATGGCAGGAGATCCTCTGGCGCTTGTTCAGGATGTTTTTGGCAACTACGTTGGTTGTGTCGTTACATCGACGGGTTCTTTTTAACTTGATTTTTCCCCAGGTAATTCAGAAAATGATTGAATATGGCACATCCCTACAAAGGAGCATCCTCACAACCGTAATGGAAGGGAATATTTTCCGGCTCTCTCTACAGATGTACGGCTGTCGTGTAATTCAGAAGGCAAGTCAAATGTCTATATGCCACCTGCATCCGACAAAGCTTATCTTGAATTTAGGCAGTTGAGCACATTTCACTTGAACAGCAAAGTCTCATTGTTGCCGAACTTGAACCGCGTATTCTCGAATGCGTCAGGGATTCCAATGGAAATCATGTACGCACGCTCTCAAATGACTTTCAATTCGATGCAGTAAAAGACGTCCACCGCAGGTCGTACAAAGGCTGATTGAAAAAGTGCCCTCGGATCGATTGTCCTTTGTCGCGTCATTTCAGGGAAACGTTTATGACCTTTCCAGGCACCCTTATGGCTGTCGTGTGCTGCAAAGATGCCTCGAGCATCTCCCAGAGGAACAAACGAGGACCCTGGTGGACGAGCTCCATCAAAATGCTGTTGACCTGATGAAGGATCAGTTTGGAGTAAGTGACAACCTTTATCTTTGGTAGTTGAAAGCTGAGCGCGTCGCAAAGAACTATGTCATCCAGTTTCTTGTTGAACATGGTCAAGCCCGCGACAGAGCCCTGATCGTTTCAAATCTGCAGGGAAAGTTGTTGCCGATGTCTCGCCATAAGTTTGCATCCAACGTTTGTGAAAAGGCCCTCATTTGCGCAGATCCACAAACCCGTCGGGCTCTCATCGACGAAATGCTCGCAATCGCTCCAGAAACCATCACTCCGATCATGACAATGATGCAAGATCAATTTGCCAGTGAGCAGTTTTGACAATTTGTGGACAAGTTCTTACTTTGTGATAGACTATGTCCTTCAACGTGCACTTCTTGTTGCGGAAGGGGATCAGCGTGAAGAGTTGTTTAATACAGTTAGGCAACAACTGGTTAACACTAGAAGGGTTTCAGCTGTAGTCAGCAAGCACGTTGTCTCTAGTAAGTTGTACTCTTTCTTCCAGGTATTACCGTTAACATCCTTTCCAAGTTGAGCGCTTGCTGGAAAAACATTTAACGTCGAAAGCAGGGTCCAAGGAATAAAGCAAAAACTGGCCCTGGGCAAACCTCAACATGTTCCGTAGCGGTTCCGATGCCAGCCAAGCGGTGAAACCCTGTCCTTTGACGATTGACATATCCTCCTCCGGTGGTCACATATTTACCCTACGCCACGCTTAATCATATATGTAGATAAAATTATTCTCGATACCTAGTACACATACCTAACGTGCTCGATACTTTGTGGAATCTTTCATAGCTTTTCGAAATCTATACTCGCAATAGATATTTTGTAGACCTGAGCATAAGAGTGACGGTGACGTGGAGGATTCAGCAAAGGTGGCCAAATACCAACTTTGGAGGTATTTAGCAACCTGGGTTCTCACTGGTCATTGGATCCTCGTTTCCCCAGCTCAGCAAGCGACATTGAAGCGACACCTAGGCTACAACGTCGACGAGAGAAAATGAACGGTGTTGAAGCTGCTGCCTCACTTTTCGCGCCAGAAGAAACAACGGGTGATCCATTTGCAAGCTTGGGAACAAATCATTCCACAGACCCCTTCTCTCCAAATGGCCCTTCAGATTTCCTGCAGACAATATCAACCAAAGCTGACCGCTCGGACGGACAGCCTACTTCGCTGACGGAGGCTTTCCCCTCACAACCTCACGAGCATCCCCAGGGGTTCTATTCTTATCCTTCACAGCCAGGCGCCAGGGAATGGGATGAATTTGGCAAGCGCGGGTTCGGCTTGACGCAAGAAAGTAAGCCCATGTTACTTTCATTATTTTATTAGCAGGTCAGACCGTGACTTTTAGCAGAGTTGGGAGACGTAAGTCGTGCACCCGCTGAAGTTTCGCATAATTCGTACGCCCCCGCATCCTTGCAACAGTACTCGCAGCCAAGTTATAACGTTTCACCCCCTTCCCACCAATACCAACCTCAGCTTAATCTGCCGCTGTCTTCGGCGATTCCCAGTTATGGTTCGTATCCGACGGGACAACACGTATCGCAGGTTAATGCAACAGCAGCCCCACCACCAGCCGCAAGCTTGGAACAACCTCCACTGCAACTTTTGCCTTCTTTGAACGCTGGACATTCAACTACCAATCCTTATTCCGTTGGTTCCTATGTCTCACACGGCCGATTAACTGAGCTCCCACGACCCTTGCCGTCCTTGGCGCCACCACCACCACCACCACCAATTTCTTCCGCAATTAATCGTCCGAAGGTCTTAAATGCATATGATCCACCCTTTCCACCAGTCTCGTCCAACCGGCGAAATGGTCGTGCAGCCGTGAACCAAAAAACAGCAGGCGCATATAACACATACCATACGTTTAACCAGGAGTCGGAGGCGCAGGTTCGTACTTCATCAACGTACACAGGAGAGTACGGTGCATCTAGGACATTACCCCCTGTTCAAAACGCCATTCGAACCGAGACTACTCCCGTCTACAATCATAACCGCGTCGCAGAAGCTCAAGCTCCCCGTTGGGATCCTGTAAATCAGGCCGTCTCTGAAATAGGCTCACCGTTAGCTCCAGAAAACGAGCCACATGGTTACAGAATGTTCGATCAGACTCGCGCAGCTGCCCTACCCCATAAACCTGACACATATAGCACCGGCGAAAATGGATACTCAACAGGTTATCATCACAGTACTGCCACTCAGTCCGCTACAGTTCCCCTCGACCCTCATCGTGGAGAAACGCTTCCTGTGAATTCTGCGCATGAAGCAACGCTAGAGCGGGCTTCTTTGCACCTTCCGCAAGAGCAATCCACTCGCTCATACTCAATAAAGTCTGATAACAGCGTCTTTGATGATGATCCGGTGGTGCCTACGCAGTACGCCCACGAATTACATCATAACTTATCTGATGCACATTCACGTCCCGCTGTCGATGATCAAAGAATGGGTTTACCTTACCAGCCCTACTTCCCTGACGAAGGAATTTCGAAAGGGCCTATGCAAATCACCCATGATTCGTATATGCATCATTCTGAAGTCGTTGGATATAACTCGTTTTCTTCAAGTACGCAGAACCATGATGGCACAGTAGATCCGTACTCTCCCGATGCATTCCAACCCCCAATGGATTTCACTGAATCTTCATCCGCGCCCTCTCTCCATGATGCCCATGTTTCAAAAATCTCTTTGTCCTACGAAGGCCCTTCGGGTTTGAAAAGTAGCTCCCCGTCGAACAGCGCCCTGAATTCACTAGAGGATCCCTACGCCCCCACTCATTTCCAGGTACACCGGGAAACAGAATACGGTTTGTCCACTGATCCCAATTACACATCACCGACACAAGACAACCTTCGCAAACCAATGCTAACCACGACATATGGTCACCACCTACCACATGACGTCGCAGTTGCTCCGCCTTACACGCCTTATGCACCCTCTCCCTCGCTGATCGGCTCAAATGATCCACTAGCTCGTACAACTGCAAATATACCGATTGTCAGCTTCGGCTTTGGTGGTCGGCTAGTGACATGCTTCCACGGGGCAGACTCGCTCAACACAGGCTTCGATGTAGCACTCTCTGCACGCAATTCCACGTCATTAAAGATTCGTGGTCTCAAGAAATTTATCCCAGAGTCGGTTCTCGATTCCCCCGGCGGGTTATATCCAGGGCCGCTATTGTCTGATCCTGGTACTCCCACGACGAGTATTGTCAGAACCGGTATGTCGACGCAGACTAAGACGAAGAAGAGTCGCGTGATAAAATATCTCGATGGCCGAGGAAACGAAATCCATCAAGGAATCGGATACTTGACGGGCATGGAGAAGCGCAAGGCTGAGGGAAAACTTGTTCTCGTCAAATTATTGAAGGTCATGGTGGAACATGATGGTAAACTGGTTGGAACGTGAGTATTCAACCCACTGACTCTATTTGTTGACTCCCTGAGATTGGTTCCCCAATGCAGTACTCAGGGTGACACCGCCATTCGATCGGCTCTAGTCCCACGACTTGAGGGTAATCCACAAGGGGCGTCACTTGACGTGAATGGAATACCCAGCCAAAGCTACTCGTCACTAATGCCAGATGCTCATAGAGTGATTCCTGAATCTTCATCTCAGTCTAACGGTCCAATATCGACTTCGAATGAAACCATATCACCAACCCACAAAATTTCTGTCATAAATCGGATCGAAGACTTCCTTTTGCGTGGGGAAAGATATCAAGCATATCAGTACGCGTTAGACGAGAAGTTATGGCCCCACGCGATGATCATCGCCAGCAGCATCGATAAAGAGTCCTGGAAAGCCGTTGTCAATCAATTTTTGCGGGACGAGCTGGGAGACTCGAGGAATATTGACAGCCTTCCGTTTGCCAGCAGTCGAGAAAACTTGAGAGTCGCTTATAGCCTTTTTTCAGGCCAAGGAGCTGCCGCAGTACAAGAGTTAATATCAACGTCCGTCTCACATCGCTCAGGTTTACAACCTTCCGCAGCCTCCCTCCTCGCTCCTAACGTTTCTTCTACCTCAGCTGCTTCTTTCCCAGAGTCGCTGTCCAAATGGACGGAAACCGTCTCCATGATCCTTTCAAATCCTATGACAGTTGACAGTTCCGGGGCACTCACTGCCCTTGGGGATCTTTTGTTCTCAAATCAATGGACAGAAGCTGCCCATGTCTGGTATATAGTTATACAATGCCGATCAACGATAATTATACTCACTCTCGATCTAGTTATCTTCTATCACCGCAAACATCCCCCATAGGCGGAATTGGATCTCCCTCGACGCGAATCACACTTTTAGGGGGGAAGAACCCACTCACATATCCAAGTTTCACCAAAGACGCGGATCCATTTATACTTTCCGAAATTCTCGAATTCGCCCTTTCCCTTGTTCCTGTTACAAAAGGGCAAGAACCTTTCCATGGTTTGCCCCACCTCCAAGCATACCGATTTATCCAGGCGCTCTCTCTTGCCGAAATGGGGGACATGCAACTTGCGAATAGGTTTGTTTTTGTTTCATGGCGCCTGTTGTTTTGAGCGAATCTTATTACACTTAGGTACTGCGAGGCTATCACAACCTCGCTCGTCGGCGGATCACCGTACTATACCACAACTTTCTTGGAACAACTTCGAGGACTTTCGGAGCGTATCATGGGTGTATCTCATGCCGGCAAGTCCGCCTCGTGGATAGGAGGAAAATTAAGCAAACCCAGCCTCGATACCATTGGTGGTTGGCTTGAAGGCCGCTTCACTAAGCTTGTTACTGGCGAAGGAGACGCGTCATCAACTTCAGAACAAGAAACTACGAAAGCCGAAAGCCGCCCTTTTTCCGGCCCGTTCGCTCACTATAGCACTATCTCCTCCACGACTCCATCTGCGAGGTCATCACCACAGCCATCTCTTGTTGATGTCAACGTCCTTCCTCCACATAGAACCGCGTCAGCAATGGCGGCAGCATCACCATACATGCACCCTCCCATTGATCGCGCTTCCTCAGCAATGGATTATATGAGGCAGAGACCCTCTTTGGGACAGCATGCACCCGCCGCGAATGGGCTCCACTCCATCCCAACAGGCCCTGGCTTCAGAACCCATGTTCCAAACAATTGGTCTGCTTCTAGTCCTGATCTTCTAACCCCAAAGTCCCCAATCGATTCTGGTGAGAACGAAACACCTGCCGAAGAGCCATCATGGTGGGGGTCTGGATCAACGGCTCGCACGCCGACCGCGACCACATTTATGCAGGTTGAATCGTCAACCGCTCGGGTGAGTCCAGATGGCTTCATGTCTCTCATGGACAGTCAATCGTTAGCCTTCGGGCCTTTGCCACCTATAAATTCTCAAGGCCAACGAACCCAGAAGGTCCCAGACGAAGATGACGATCTTGGCCTTGGTAACTCAAAGAGAGCGACTGGTTACAACGACCGGTCTACCCCAGCCTCGGATTCTCCGGGAGTCGAAGAGCAAACGCAGACCAGTACGTCTAGCGAATCAACAAGTGGAAGGAATCAACCGACTTCCGTACCCTCAAATGCTCCTGCAACGAATGGTTCCTGGATAAGTCGTTGGTGGAAAGGAAGCGAATCGTCACCAGGGACGATCAAAGCTAGTCTTGGAGAAGAATCGGCATTTTACTACGACAAGGAGCAAAAACGTTGGGTCAACAAAAAAGTACGTCTTTCTCGGAGATGTCTCAAATGTTAATTAACGAATGCATCAATAGGCGAGCGGAGACGAAACACCGAAACCATCATTGCCTCCTCCCCCACCTTCTAGGGCCCAGACCGCCTCACCAGGGATGGGTAGCACCCGACATCCTATATCTGGTCCACCGACCCGTGCGGCGTCGGCAATTGACCTTAGTGCCTCCCCTCCGTCCAGAGGCCCCATACGCGTGCGGTCGAACTTGGCTCCTCCCGCCGAATCCGCGCCAAGTACACCCACTGGCTCAAGACCACCATCAGGAGGTCCCCCTATCGGAAGACCCACATCGCAAGCGTCGAAACGGAACATACGAAACCGTTACGTTGATGTTTTCCAACAAGGGAACGGAGGTTCTTAGAAGTCACTCTACTTTATATTTTTCTTTATTGTAGATATTGTTAACCAACACAAGGCAGAAGCTTGAGAAAGCCTACAAAAACAATTTAAATGGATAGCCTTTTGTAAACTGTCAGAAGCGAAATCGCAGATTGTAAGGCTAAGAACTGACCTCTATTTTTTACTCGGAAAAGAGAGAGCAAAACGGAGTATATAATCATGATGACTCCGGTCCACAGATAAACTTGAAGTCGTTGTCGTTGCGGCGATGATTGATATGGAACAATCATGATGAGCATGAGGAAGGAAAGGGCCAGGAGACCATCTAGCAATGTTAGTACGACTTGATAATGCAAAAAGAGGACAGGGGCGTACATATGAAGGCAACAACGTGAACCTCTTGCCCGAACTGGTTTTGGTAGCCAGCAGCGATCCAATTGCCGTCAGCGCCGCTGTAGGGGGAACTTCTGATCTGCGTGAACATGTAACCTGAGGTCATGACCAAGGAGACAAGGACGGTCCCAAGAGCCCAAGACCAACGATTGAGGAATACTGGGGATATCATCCTCAGAGTTATAGCAAAGCCTAATATTCCGATGGCGAAGGTGGCCCAGCGAGCCCAATCAATGGGCTCTTGGTATGGGATTGGAATTGGGGTGTGTTTTGAAAGATGTTCAGCGAGTGGACCAGGCTCAAAGCCACTGAAGAAAGTGTCAATAGAAGCGAGGTAGGTAGGAGAGAAGGGCACGTACTTGGAGAAATCATATTTGGAGGGTGATAGTTTACCATTAGCAGGTTTGCGAGGTCCTTCTGCTGGGGGATAGACAAAGACGACGGGTGCTGACGCAAGGCCGAGCTAGGGCCAAAAAAAGAATAAGGGATTTAAACAATGAAGAATGGACGTGTGTGCAGACCTTCTGGAAGACAGTTGGTCCGTCATCAAAGTCCAAGGACGCAAAGAAATGGTTGTCGCGATGTTCGGCAGAAACCTTTGACCAAACTTTTGCAACGGTATTCCAGGAGGGATCAAATTGCTGGCATGGATTACATTTGCGCCTCTTGTCGAGGGCGGTGAGTTGGATAGAGGCAGACCAAGTACGTTTTGGAGAAGTAAGGATATCGAAAGAGGTTGCGTCTAATTTAATGAGACCATTACCGGCTGCTGCGAGATTTTTGAGTTGTTGGTACTCTGAGTTTGCGAGACAGAGAGGGAGAAGAGCCAAGAGGGAGACAAGTAACCGCATTGTGAAAGAGTGAACGTACGTGTTACGAACTATTTATTTTATATTTTACGTCTCATGTCCTCTCATGCTCTCCTTCTCCGTCTCTTCCTCTCTCCCTCTTTCTTTTCAGTTCATGTTGCCCTTCGTTATCTACTTCTCTATGCAGATAATATCGGAATAACCTACTATCTCACACGCAGGCTGCGCGACCTCAATATTCATGATTTACATGACGTATGGGGCTTTATCTGGTACGCGGACAAGCGCTCTCTGTATATCTCCAATCCTCACTAACACCCACAAGCCACCTTCTCATCACTCATCCAACCAAATCACGGGCTCTTGAGTCTTTCGTTGTAGATATTGCCAAGCGATCTACCCACATAGCCTTAATCGTGCGTCAAATAACTCCCCTTCTGCATCTCAGCTTATTAATCGCGTCTGCAGACCTTATGGTTCCTCCAGGCAGCCCTACAAGATCTATCTTCTCGTCGTGACTCTCAGTCCTTTGTGATATGCCAGCGCGTCTTGCATAAGTGTCACGAAATCATTTTTAGTGATCCTCCGGCCCCTCGCCTTCTTTCGTCTTCGCCATACGCTAGCTTACATCTCCCAACATACGCACCCCGTCGCAAAATTAAACATCACGCGGAACCTGTCTTCGTTGGTATTGGTGTTATATTGGCGGGTGCACCAGGCATGCCACAATTGGTGAACTTTACTGGACAAGTTGTAATTGAGCAAGGACGAGCAGACGAGGAGGGCGATAACTTGCGAGGCGTCGAACCCCATGCTGACGAATTGGTCCCAAACACACCCGAGTCAATGGTGTCTTCAAACGATCCAGGCGACGATCAAGACGCAGTCGACAGGCCGCTTAGCTCAGAAGACACCCCATCCTCTGGCCCCTCATCTAGGATTGAAAATATGCCAAAACATCATAGATCGTTGACTCGCAGGCGTACAGTAGCTGGTGCCCAGACGGTACCAGCACTCCCTCTCCATTTGCGTACCATCCGGAGATCACGAGCATCTGAGGATCCTCTAGGACAACTTGATGTGGAGCTCAATGCAGTTCCTTATCAGTCTTCACCCTCTCTCCCGTCAGCCCGAACACCGTTACGCTCTGCGGCTTCAAATCCAGCAGATACCTTTTTAGAGCAATACGATCAACAATCCCAGTCCCAACTTTTACGAAGTCACTACTGTCTCTCAGAGGTCTGTGGGTTAAGTCAGCCTACTCGTACACATTGAATTGATTTAATTCAATAAGGTCCAATTTCTCCTGAGTCTGGAAAACATTTCCAATCGATTACTTGTCGTCCCTAGGCCAGCTCGTGTCAGCGCTCTTCGAGCGGAATTGACGGCCTTGAACCACAAGCTTCCAGCCGAGGTGAGACGCCCCAAATTGGCTGCATACTTTCCCCCAATCTCCCTCTCATTCAGGTTTGCATGCCGATGTGGTGTTCGTCCTCAGATACGCCGCATTCGCCCAATGGACGCCCCGAACCTCATCACCGAATTGTTCGAATACCACCCGGTGAAAGCGTGGTTTTGAATTCAGCAGAACGGGCACCCTACCTATTGTTGGTGGAAATCCTCACTGACGATCTAGATTTCGATCCTGGCAAGCGAAGTAACAAGGATGTGCTGAGAAAGATTGCTATAAAGGAAAGTGCGCGTAAAGGTACTGCATCTGACCTCGTCACCTTTGATCTCCTGCCCTCTTCAAGACACCCTCGGAAGTCGCGACTCCCCAAGGATGCCGATGTCGGACAGCTTGCGCATGAACGGGAAAAGCAATCTCCGCGTGTCGTGGTAGCCTCCGAGCCTAATGCATTGCCAGATATATGTGTTGATGAAGAAATTGACTTGGTTGAACAACTATACGGTGCTGATAAACCCCTTCGTTCTCGAACTGCTGACCTATCCGAATCCATCGTCTTGCCTCCAACTCCCAAGAACCGAGAGCTCGACATGGCGGCCTGGGCCCGGTCATCCCCAGTTCCTTCTCCGTATCTGGACGATTCATCATTTTCCAGTAGACGGGCTCCAACCTCCCGAGTATTCAACTTGACCCCTTCGCCTGGGCCGACATTGAATGTACAGGAATATAGTGGCATCAACGAGGAAACACATATACTTTCGCTCGACGACTACTCGGAACGCATGAGAACGGCCGCCATTATGCTGGCTCAACTCAACGCTAGTCTCCTTCGAGATCCAGTCCCAGTTGCAAATGGGTTACCCGCGGATGAACAACGTGAGAACCTAGCACGTTCTGTATAAATTTCTGAACAACTTTTTAGAACGCCGAATGCGAGGAAGCCCTCAGAATGGAGCTACTGAGCAGCCTTCGTACCGAATGAAGCTGCATTATGTGGAAGCCGCTGCTATTCGAGATCGCATAATGAAGGAGATGTTGTCTTTGGAGGAGGAAAGAATGGAGCGTATGCGAGAGACTGACGGAGGGATTATGATGCGGGGCGGTGACGTCAGCGGAAGCCTTAAATCTGTAGAGGATGAAGGGATTATTCGTCGCGAACTGAACAAGGTCGATCCGTCAGCCGTTGTTTTCAGTGAATCATGGGCAACCAAGAAGGTATGCATGTGCCTCGCCTATATCTATTGCACGATCACGGGCTTTGCTGTATAGAGTCGGATACGACATGCCTCTCCGTATGGCCATCTCGGTATTTTTTTCACATATGACGGGAACTTCGCATCTAAATGGAATTTGATAGCAAACTGGGACTGTGTCTCAGTCATTGTGAAGACTGGTGGTGATCTGCGTCAGGAGCAACTTGCGGTACAACTCATACGCGAATTTCAAGGGATTTGGGCAGAGGAAAAGTGTTCCTGTTGGGTTAAATAGTAAGCCTGCATTCGTTCTGTCTTTGCCATACTCATATCCTTTGAAGTTTTCGCATTGTGATTACAGGTAGTTCATCTGGTTTAGTAGAAACCATAACCGATGCTGTATCAATACACTCCATCAAGAAAGCGGAGTATGCTAAAAGGTTTGCTGAAGGAAGGCTTGGTCATGTAACATTATTCGATCACTTCAAATCGGTGAGTTCATGTACTCCCCACTCTGCAATTTTTTAACGGCGAACTGGAGACGTATGGCGACCCATCCTCAGCAAAATTTGCAAGAGCTCAACGGAACTTTGCGAAGTCTCTAGCAGGTGCCGTTTCCGAAGCAACACTCGTGACTGACACTGAGCATAAGGAGAAGGTTACTCCGTTGTCACCTTTCTTCTCCAGGTCAAGGATCGTCACAACGGAAACATCCTTTTGGACCGCGACGGGCATCTGATTCACATTGATTTTGGGTTTATCTTGAGTAATACCCCAGGAAATATGGGTTTTGAAGCTGCGCCATTCAAATTGCCTTCTGAATACGTCGAGGTGTTGGGAGGACTTGATGGTGTTGCATATCATGAATTTAAGCGACAATTCCGTGAGGGTTTTGAAGCTACTCGAAAGCACTGTGATCGAATCATTAGTATGTGCATGCTTCGCACAAGTGTATTTGCCACTTCTCATACGCCTACCCTCCAGCACTGGTCGAACTGATGCAGAAAGGCAAGCCACATCTCAACCAAAACCTACCTTGAACATTTATATTTTCCAGATTCGACATTACCTTGTTTCATAGCTTCCGGGGACCAAACAGCGAACCAGCTTCGTGACCGATTCCAACCCACGCTCACACATTCTTTAGTTGGAGAATACATTGATCGTTTGATTGACAGTTCTCTTGGGTCGCATTGGACACGACTATACGACTCGGTATGATCCAGTTTTCTTGCTCCCAATTGCATTTCTAAGCTTTCCGATCAGTACCAATACTATTCGCAGTCTATCCTCTGATCTGCCTCAGGATCGATGACGTTGGCCTAACAATAGTACTTAGATTACAACGTCCATAAATAAAGCTACCTCGCATCCGCCGAAATTATCCCGATTCTACGAGAACAACTTGTCATATCGATTCAAACACGAATACCACTCATAGTCTGTGGGCGAGTTCATCATCTGCCAGTTTTCCCATTGTAGGGGAGATGCCTACCAAAATTTTGTGCTGAATCACACCAACATTTCCCTTTTTTGTGGGCATCGCCTTGTGGACAGTGTTGGAATGGTTCGTGACGATAACCTAGAGATTTCCCTTTAATCGATTGACACAGTAAAAAAGAGAAACTTACCGATATCGTTGAAGAAATGCTGAAAAGATAAATCAGTATACAAAAAAGCATGTTAGGGGTATCATACAATTTGTTCCTTCTTGGCAAATAGAGCTGCCCCAATACTATGGACTGGGGCATCTCCCCAGCGCTGGGTAAATCGTTCCATTAGCAAATGTGATAGAGATGATTTTGTTTGTCATACTTCATAATAAAAACCACCTTGTTCATCTAGATGTTCGAAGAACTTTGAGTACGCTTCACCTCGCCAAAGGTCAAGGTCGCCGATTTCGAAATTGCTCCAAACTATATTTCTTCAGCTAAGAAAATCTCGCATCTTGTCCTATCCAAAATGGACGTACAGTGGCACCGATTGTAAGTCTCTCCTCCGTCATCCGAAAGGAAAGCCATTGCGTTGTCAGGCGATACTAAATTAGGGTATTTCTCTATGAAACCTGAAAAAGGAACACGGTAAGAGAGAACTCCGCGGAAGAAGTGAATTCCCACTTTTTACTGCGTTCCAGAGTGTGGGAATGGTTGCTTCATATTCGTAGAGAGACACGGTGAACCCTGCGTCCTACAGTTTAACGGCCAGGATCCAGAAGAAAGATGGCTATATACCATAGACTTTATTCTGATCTTGCATGATCAAGAACGGATCATAATCGAGATCACAAAAGAATTTGATGTCGGGCCTGTGAGGAAAAGAGAGGTAAATGCAAGCGTGGACCATATCGATATTCGAGTACATACTCCACTCTGTCGCGTTAGGACTCAGTCGAATTGCAGATATAGACAATGACGGGCTCACCTCCAGTAATATTTGTATGGCTTCAAAAGTTCGTGTTGATAGAAGAACTAATTTGAACGACATTCAGCATCTCGCAAAAAGGGAAACAGAAAATTTCTGACGCCGGAATTAAAGCGGCACATATTTCGGTATCTAAGTGCATCATAAGGAAAAGACGGCGAGGACGACGCAAGATAACATACGGAACGCTGCCTGAAACGGGGTGCAAGGATTAAAAGATGAAGGAAGGATGGGATTCTCACTCGCACCTCCGTAAATGACATTGTTTTTCACCATGTCGTTCCGGCTCTCTGTCGCTTTCGTCTCATTAACCCACGCAGGTTGATTCCAGTGGTCATTTGGGATGAGGCCAAATTGAACCTTAGAGTCTGTAATTTCAGACACACGACTAGAATAAAGTGAAGTTGTTAGCGGAGCGGCGGTAAAGTGAGATAGGGACAGACGTCTTGAAGTCGTCACTGAAAGGTTCGTCGTTGAGGAAAACATAAGGATAATGGAACTTTTTGTTAACTCTGTCCTCCATCTGCTTCATGCTACTTATAACACCATTGAGGTCGCCGTTTCGTGCTAGTCAGTTCTCAGTCGACTCGCATGAAAAGGAGATGTGGGCAACTGTACCGAGCATAACAATGGCAGCGTTGGCCTTGCGTCCTTGTGAACTTCCAGCATCTGGGTGAGCATAGTACTCCTCTGGTATAGGAATCTTGTAAGGTGGAATGCGGTTTTGGCTACCAGTTATATGGTCTTTGATGTTCGATATTGAGGTTGCTCTGCCGTAGGCTTCATGGGAGAAGCTTAGGATGTAGTGCAAGCTGATGATAATTGCGAGCGCAAGAAACAGGTAGCGCATATTCGTCATCATCTTGAAGACGACGGCGGTGAAGAAAGTGGTGTATCCAGCGGATATATGGTCGGGGAATATGGAAAGATGCGTTGTTCACTTTGCACTCCTTTAAATAAATGCTTACACATCAAAACTCCTAGTCAATTTCTAAGTCTACTAAAAGTACTGAGTACAGTCTATGTGTACAACGACTCATGTCGTCTTATACAAGAATTTGGAGCATAATCTATCCTCGCGCCGTTCAAAATAATGCTCGACAGGCATTGATCAACACGTACCAAAGTTATCACGTGGATCACACGAACATCGACCCCGAGACCAATCATCGCCTTGAGGACAATGTTGGAAAGGGTCGTGTCGATATCCGATGTCGCGGAAAAAGTGGACTTGATCTCGTCGAGCGAATAGAGATGCAGCAATACTATGCACGGGTGCATCGCCCCATCGCTATTTTTTTATTAGCAATTCTAACAAAAAAAGACAGATTGTTAGCCGACGGACCTCGTAGTAAAAACCACCTTTCGACTCTAGAAACGCAAAAAACTTTTGGTATGCTTCCCCTCTCCAAAAGTCCAAGTCTGCAATCTCAAAATTACTCCAATCTAGGAATGCACAGTTCAGATGAGAATGGAAAAAAATTGGCGAAGCTAACTTACAATGGCAGAGATTGTATGTGTCACCCCCGTTGTCTGACAGGAAATCCATTGAGTTTTGAGGACTTAGGAACTGGGGATTTTCTTTTATAAACTCTTTTTATTTTCCATCAATTTTAAAAATGGCGAAAATAAAAAAGCTCTTGATTTTTCACCTTTGACAGTCGCCCAAAGTGTAGGGATTGTTGCTTCCCACTCCACCAACGTTATCGTAAACCCTGTTGAATGGGATCATGAATTTGGACACACAGTAGAAAAGTCGACCTCACCATACACCTTGTTATTCTGTTCCATAAATTTGAAAGGATCGTAATGAACATCGCAAAAGAATTTGACATCAGGTCTGTTGAAGTTGTAAGTCCGACAAGTATATGGTACTTGAGCATGATGATACCGACTCGACCCTGCAAAACATGAGCAATGGTCGTGTATTAAAAATGCTTGACTTCCGCACCTCCAGTAGTAGCGATAGGGTCGCAAGAGTTCATGCTGGAAGAAGAACTATCAAGTCGGTTAGTACAACTGAAAAGCTATCACTGCAGGAGACCAACTCCAGAGTTGAAGCGACACATATTCCGGTATCTAGCAGAAAGAAAAAACAATGTTAAGAGTAGCCACTTCAGCAGGCGCTATTTACTGACGGTACACTTCCTGGGGAAAAAATCAAGTTAGACTCGCCCTTGCTAAACATCAAAATCTGATCTATGCACCTGCGTATATGATACCTTGAGCCATCATCTTCAAACGGCCGTTTCTAGCTTTTTCTTCGTCAACCCAGTCAGGTTGATACCAATGTTCTCTAGGTATTTGGCCAAAAGATATTGGGGCATCAGTAAGTACGGATACACGCCTGAATTTATTCGTTTACACAAGGTAGCAGCATGGGTTTGTCTACTCACTGTTTGAAATCGTCTGTGAATGGCTCCTCGTTGAGCAGCACCCACGGATATTTGTAGTGTCGATTAAAGCGGTCCTCCATTTGTCGTATACTAGATACGACACCTCCCAAATCATTGTTTCTACAAAGGAAGACGAAAGTAGCGTTGGCTCGTTGCCCAAACTCCGTCAAATTCGAATATGGGGTATGAGATGGATTGGTCGTAGTGACTTGGGACAGATTGGCGATAGTTTGTTCCAATCCGAGCCGTTGGGCTAGGTGTGACAAAGACGATACACGGCCGTAATCATAGAAAAAGACGCTCAAGGTATAGTGTAGGCTGATCTAGATAAAGTTTAGAAACGAGATGAGGAAGGCGAAAAAGAGCTACACACCACGGCGACGAGGATGAGGAGAAGGTAGCGACGGGCAGACATGAGAGATAAACGCAAGTTGAATCGAGACAAGATCGAATGGCCATGATGTACGGAGTAATTCTCCGAGGCCGCAGCGCTGTTGTGAAAAAGATGACGCGATGTAACGGATATCAGACAAGTGGAGTTTGAGACCGTTGCTAGCCGTTGCTATACGAAACACGCTTGAACTAGCCTATCGCGCGTCTGGACATTCTCTGGAAATGAAAAGGGTTCCAACAGTGTGGCCAAGAGAAAGTAGTAGCCATATGTATAGATGCCATAAATCAGTTTTACTATTTGTGTGTATATGTATTTGCTCTATTTTTTCACCACCCGTCACCTCGTCTTGTCTCGTCATCGTCATTCACCATGGCAGACGACCTCTTCAACCCACATCCTTCATCTCCTTCCGTAGCACCCTCCTACTTCAACCCTATATCCCCTTTTTTTAATGCTTATGATCGCTTTGCCCAATGGAGAGCAGACCTTGGTCTACCTCATCCTGGGACGGTCGAAAATCTCCAGAAGGAGGCCAAGGGTTTGTCTTCTCTTCACCTCCTCTTCTCTTTACTAAATAATTTTGCAATTCCAGCCACCCATCTCTCCAACTTCATCTTTGACGGAGCCCGCGCAGACTTGACAAAGAGCCTGTCAATGAACCCGCTTTTCCAAGTCACACACGCTTTCGCTCTTGGTTCTCAAACCCTCCCGTCATCGTATAATTTTGGAGCTATCTTTGCCAATCAAAGGGTATGTTGCCGAGTTGGGCCGAAACCAAAATGTCACTGACACTGCGTAGGTTTTCCTCCAAGGTGGCGTTGATCACGAAGGAAACGTAAACGCCCGGTTTAACCATGGATGGACACAAAACAACGTTACGAAGGCGCAGGCGCAGGTGAGATTGAAACTATTCTTTGTCTTGAGCCACTTCTGACATTCGTCGCAGTTTTCGCAACAAGCTGGCCACAATATGATTCAACTGGAACATGACTATCAAGGCCAGGACTTTAGTCTAAATGCTAAAGCAATCAATCCTTGGCCAGCCGACCTCACTGGCATCTACATGGGTAGCTATCTGCAATCCCTCACTAAAAATCTTGCTCTGGGTGTCGAAACCCTGTATCAGCGACCATCCCCCGAGGAAGCTGAACTCAGCACATCGTATCTCGCGAAATATACAAGCAACGATAAAAGTTGGATCGCGACTGCCCAAATGCAGACGGCTGGGATTATGCAAGCAACTTACTGGCACAAATTGAGTGAAAAGGTTGAGGTCGCTGCGGATTTGCAGGTCATTGCAGCTCCAGCTCGGCGAGACGCGATTGCCACCTTGGGCGCGAAGTACGACTTACGCCTAGCCACATTTCGAGCACAATTAGACTCGACAGGGAAGGTATCTGCCCTATTAGAACAGCGCTTTACTCCCAACTTCGCGTTCTTGGTGTCAGGGGAGATTGATCACTTCAAGGTGCGCATGTCAGATCATTATTTGAAGCAGATTCGAACTTTTGCACTAGAATGCGGCAAAGGTCGGTGTAGGTGTGATGATAGAAAGCTCTACCTTGACTCCTGAAGAGATGGGGATGGTACCTCCTTAATTACGCATAATTTATTAAATTACATACAACTTCGAGACTAGAGTTTGACATTGTTCCAATGTCAACAAAAACCTTGCTTATATTTCATGCAGAATAAAAAATGATAATCACTGTAGCACCCCTGTGGGCGCTTTGAAGCCAGCTATGGTGATTAAAAATGAGAGTAAGTTTGTGACCTTTTATTGGCTGCTCGTCGCCGAACCGCTTGCGCGGTTCACTCCTTGCAGCCATGAAATTACAAAAAGTGTGACCCACTACTTATGTAGTGGGGATCTAACATCTTTTGGTCAGTATTGTTACTAGTAAGTAGAATTGTATAAGTTGAAGACAGTAGATTGAGTAAGAAATCTCCTGGAAATCTCTGAACTGGGGATGACAAATTTTCGCTGTTGGGTTTGGCAGCGGTCTAGAGCGGTCTCTAACGCTTTGGCTGAAATAAAAAGTGATATATGACCTTGGGGGCCAGTACGTCGGATTTGCTTGGTTGGGTTTGGCAGCCAGTCTAGAGCGGTCTCTAACGCTTCGGCTGAAATAAAAGTGATATATGACCTTGGGGGGACAGTACGACGGCTTACATAATTATGACCGTGGAAGTAGACCTTGACAAGCAGGGTAACAGTCTAGAGCGGTCTCTAACGCTTCGGCTGAAATAAAAACGATATATGACCTTGGGGGCTAGTACGATGGATTTGCTTGGTTGGGTTTGGCAGCAGTCTAGAGCGGTCTCTAACGCTTCGGCTGAAATAAAAACGATATATGACCTTGGGGGACAGCACGACGGCTTACATAATTATGACCGTGGTAATAGACCTTGACAAGCAAGGTAATGTTTGGAGGTGTCTTGTGGAGGTGACCGAGGAGTCACTGAGTGATGTTGCTCTGCTCTCCCCTGCCATGGATCAATTAGAATCGCCACTTCTCGACCTTCAAAATATATCTTGCACCTTGGAGCAAGGGCAATCCTTGTTTCACGATGTAAACCTAACCCTGAACGAAGGTTAGTTGGCTGGTGTATACATTGAGTCTGCACCTCATCTTCTACATAGGCGATATTCTCGTCTTGCAGGGAAGAAGCGGTTCAGGAAAGTCAACGCTACTCAAATGCATTGCTCATCTCGTTCTCCACTCTGGCAGAACCTTATACCGCGGAAAGACTCCCCAAGAGCAAGGTAACGATGCATACCTCGTATGCATAAAACGATCTAGTCTGACCCCTTCGAAATAGGCATACCTCATTACAGGACTCGGGTCATGTATGTCCCTCAAAGGCCTTCTCTTTTACCAGGAACACCAACAAATTTCATACACTCCATCTTATCCTTGGGAACCCATCGGGCCCTTGCACGAAATAACGCCGAAGCTGAGGTGATAAGGCGCAGTTCCGAGCTAGCGCAAGGGTGGGGTTTGGATCCAAATCTATGGCAACGAGAGTGGTCTAATCTTAGTGGGGGCGAAGCACAAAGGATGCTACTTGTGATAGCTCTGTCACTCAATGCAGCCGAGATTCTCCTATTGGACGGTGAGTATCCTCTTCGATTGTCCGGGAACTTTGATTGATTTGGGGACTCCGCAGAACCAACCTCTGCGTTGGACCCAGAAACATCGCGTTTAGTAGAAAAGGCTCTGACGGACGAGATTGCTTCAAGGGGGACGTTGAAAGCGTTGGTGTGGATCACACATTCGGCTGAGCAGGGTAAAAGAGTTGGTACACGGTTCATCCAGCTCGCTGCCAGTGGATGCTGCGAGGAAGCGAGTTTAGTATAATTTATATGAGGATAGACTCGGAAAGGCAGTGGAGAAAATGGCGGAAGACATTGCTGGTCGGCAACAAAGGCAAAGTTGTCGAGCACCAGCTGAAAGATAGAAGCCTCGTGGTACAGATGGAAACTTCATATGAACTATCATTACCATCATTATAGGAGTTGCAGGCTACGGGAGACTGGATGGGAACGACCAAGTCAGTAAGCTATAAATTCGATCACTACATATTACCCGATCGACGCTTATAGTCGGTGACACAGCGACCGCTGACAATCGACTACTATAACAAGCTGTCTACTCTGAGCGCCAATTTTTCGCGTACACCAAGGGTACACCAACGATTCTTCGCCCTAAAGTTTGGATTCCTAGAGGCGGTTCTCCTCATCCATTGGTTGAGATGCTGTCTTAGTCAATAACACTGGTAACACGAGCGTCACAATGTCTGACTTTGCTCACTTTGCAACCGCTGCTCTGGAATGATGTCCCAAGTCCCAAGTTATCCTTTGGCGCTCTTGAAACTAATGAATGAGGGTGATGGATCCACCGGACAGCCACCTCTGGGGGCCTAGAATCGTCGGCGTACAATGTGCCTGCACATATAATACTGCAAGCTCTGATCACCCACGCGCCAGCCCCAAAAACTATCGCTAAAGAGTTCTTATTGGAACTTGGAAAGTGTGGGAATGTACTTGTAGCAAGGTTGGGTGTGTTGCTTCGTCGATTTTGATTTTCTAATCTGAACCCCTCTCTTGCTGGACGTGTTTTAAGCCGAGGAAGTGTATAACGAGGCTTCTACTTTGCCCGCAGATGAATGGGCAAATATTGTTCTTCAGGAACTCCAGGAGTCCGGTGGCGACCTTTTGAAAGTTACGCAGCTGGGGAGTCACTACTTGTCTCATCTGGTGATCGCATGTATGCGAGTCTTTTGCTGGGTACCCAGCTTGTGTTGACATTTTTTTCAAGTTCGAAATCCTGGTGGAAAACTGACACCTCAAGATAATTTTTACCCTCGTCCGAGTCACAGGTCCATTGAGCAGATTGAGGAATTGTTAGCAGATGCTAAAACGAGTCACTGGATCGGCTTTGAAGGATCTGGTAAGTCAGACCGTGTCGACTGGATACTAGGCTAAGGTCCGTTGTAGGCCATACTCCGCGACGGCGGCCACTGTCCACTCACGGGATATCCTTTCTTCCCTCCAGGTGCTGTGATACCCCGCTGTGCTCATATCATCCCGTTTTCTATCAACTCAAAGGTGCCTCTATCCATTGGATGAAGCTTTTCTTACTTATATATTTTCCTAGACACAAACACATGCTGCAATTGAAATGTTTACAGGCTGCGCGTTGGTCCTCAAAACCATACAAGATAATATAAACCATCCATGCAACACGCTGACTATGGAAATTAATGCTCACGATGCGATGAATAAGCACCTGGCCTGGGGAATTGAAGCAAACTCTTCTGGGAGTCAAGTGAGTTTTATTTGTTTTGGTTGCGATTTTGAATTCACGTATCGCCTAGTACAAGTATTACTATCGAGTTGTTCGACCGGATTGGGTGCCACCTACTGTACGGCTGCGGGACGGTGAAGAAATACATTTTGGGGTGGGCATTGGTGGTCATCTTCTTCCATCCCCCGACCTGAGGATCTGCAACCTCCACCTGGCAGTCTGTCGAGTGTCTTCTGACTGCGGAATTTCTGAAATTTTTGATCACGACGACGACGACGATACATTCCGAGTCCCTGTCTACTTCGGTGGTCCATTTGTATCTGATGATGTATTGATGCGCAGGCTTGAGGCATTAGTTTTTTAGTGCATACTGGCAATATACCCAGTTTCATCTGTAGAATCACATCAAAAACATGGACTTCATTCCTCTGGCTTTGTACTAGTAGTCGTCTCGAATATTTGCTATTTCATCTCAGTCATAAGATCACCCTGGTGCAAGTAATCATTTAACATTTGCGTGCACAACTCCTTTCGGCAAGATGTAGAATTTTAACTCTCCATTTTTGCCTGGTTATCCTATCTCGCAACCTGGTTAGTTCGACCTTTTACATTTGTCACCCCAGGAAATCTAATCCATTTGAGAGTGCACAGTGATGAATGCTTTTCCGGCGACGAGAAGAAGGCCTCAATCTTCCCAGATGTTTACAATTTCCGCTTGATGGGTCATAACTGCGACATCGTGGCGAATGGGATTGACACGAGGGTTGACGAACTAGAAAGGGCAATGAATAAAAAAATCATGGACTAAAATGACCAGGAGCTGACGATTTGATTATACTCGCTCATGACTTCAGCAGCAATGATTTCCCTGTCCTTCAATAGTTGCTGGTACGACCGTATCAAAAAGTTTAACTGTTATGTGTGCATAAGTAATATTAGAGGAATACGAACGAAACCAACTCACGAGCCCACTGAGCAAGCCCATGATGAGAAGCATTAGCATCCAGTTTGAAGACCCGGTCGCAATCCACAGCAAAGGATGCAGAGGAGAGTACAGGCTGAAAAGTTCCAGCTGCAGCTCCCCAGGAGTCCAGACTTCAAGCTGCTGTACGGGCTTTGTCTTTCCTTGTGGAGGGGCAGACGAAGAACGGGGTTTCATTCCAAGAAGGAACCGCCAAGATGATGAGAATGTATTCCAGGCAAGTAATAATAAACGTCTCCCCAATGAAAGCTGCACTTCAGACTCTCGACTAACTTGTCCGGCGACAAAGGTAGCGTGGGGCGACGATACAAGGTCAGAGCGAAGACGGAGATGGTAAATCTTTGTCCGCGTAAATAGATATACGGCGTTCATAGCCGAACCAAAGATACATAGAAAGATGACAGGAACAGTCTAAGGCATCATGTTAGGCAGGTCGATGTATCAGGAAAGAATAAAAACTAACCCAGTCAAACCACGAATAGCCCTCCCCTTCTCGGTACATGTCTTCCCAACCCAAATCCGAGTCTGGAATTCTGCGTACCTGGGATATTCGCACAAGTAAGTGGAACAGGTGCAGTACACCAGCACTCAGCCGAGCAGAGGTTTGAGGGGCGGGTAAGGGTACATTGTGAGGAAAGAGAGCTATTTCGAAAGCAATTGCAGAAGGAAGATTCATAATTCTGAAGTCATAAATCAAAAAATGAAAACAGACGAAAGGTAAAAGGTGCAAACCGTTCAAAGAGGCTTTTCTTGCGGATGACTGCTCTCCTTGGTGTTGCCGGAGTTCCAACACCTGAGTTACGCGACTTTTTCTGTAGCGGAGTGGCATATGGTGGAGGGGCTCTGGATCTCGCCGCTTCCCAGTCAAAAGGCACGGATGAAGATATGGAGGGTGTGGACGCTGGTGAACGATAGGCGGCATGTGTGAGACGGCTACGTGGCGTTGAAGGCTGAGAATTCAAATGAGGGGTATCTGGAGTTTTTGGAGAGGCGGACGCAGCATTATTTTGTTGTGCAAGGCGACGCAGCGCCATGAGGGTCTCTAGTAAGTACTAGTAGTAGACAGAAAGAATGACAACGGTCACCTGATTCTAACTGCACGTGTATTACACGTGGCTGTTGAACAATGAAAAGGGCAAAAAAAGGCATGTTCGGGGGAAATTGAACGGCGTCACCTTGTTTTTGAACTTCCATCTTCCCCTCTGTTATTTTGCGTCACCCAGCCAATTCCTCTTCGTCACGACTCGTCTCTCTCCCACCACGTCGATCCTACGTGCTCAAACTACAACATCCTTGTCGCCTAGTTCATCGATTAGCGGTCAGTGGGATTTCTTTTTTCCCCTCCCTTTACAAGCCTCATACCAGTTGTAGTCAGGATGGCCGGTGGACAACCTTCCTCATCTCACCATGGCGAGCGCCACCATCGAAGTGATCGCGAGCGCTCCCATCACCACAACAGGACTATCTCCTCAACAACTCTTCTATTAGTTCTCTCTCTCGTCCTCGCTGTCTTGGCCGTTATGTTATCTCTTCCCTCAAACAACTCCACCTCTAACTCCGAGGCATCATCATCTGGTGTTTTGGGCTATCTTACCCCCAAACGAACCCAAGCCCTCATTGCTCGGGAAAGCGCAGTGGCTGTCCGCGAGGCTGAAGTTGCTCGCCGTGAAGCCGAACTTTTGGCAGGCGCTCCTGGCGGTGTCGTTCCCTCGTCCACACCCATTCTTTGTCCGCCTTGTGCAGTAACGACGACCGTTGAAACAATTACCGGTCCAATTCAAACCATCATCAAAGAAATTGTAAAGGAAGATTCCCTCGCGCCGCCCGGCTGGACCGGTCCCCGTGCTGAGGAGATCCTCGAGCGCGAGCTTAAGATTGTTGAACGCGAAAGGGATATCAGCAAGCGTGAAGAAAATGTAAATCGCAGAGAGCATGATGCCTCCAGACGCGAGTCGTGGATCATGGAACAATTGATGTATGTTTGCTTTTTGTCCATGTTCTCATCATGTCACTAAGAAAATTGTAGTGCTCTTGGAAATGACAGCCCTCAGACGGTTGAAGAAGAGTATGTTTACGAACCAGCAGGAACAAAGCGAAAATCCAAGGTACCGCCGCCTTCCCCGCGCCGTTCTGAGCTTTGAGACGAAGGAGATTACGATACATGCCGCCTTTTTTTCATATCCCAGTCCGTATGAATCCCTTCATGCCCTTCACCGTACTCCTTCGTCTGGGATTGGGGACTTGTATTTTTCTTCTCGTCCCTGTCCTTTCGTGATCGGGTTCTGCTTAGTTGGACCGATCGCGACTTTCCCCTACCACGTGATCGTTCCTTGGAGCTATCTCATCGCTTCCTTACTCACTTTTACTGACATGTCGTGTTTTGCCTCCAGTATAAAGAACTTCCGCCTATTGTCGTTTCCGAGTACGATACCAAAACTGTGATTCAAACTCAAACTGTCACCCTTGTACCGCCTGCGAACACGCGCCTTGCCGCATTCCCGACCCCGGAAGCTGCTAGCTCATCTTCTACCCCTGCGAGTCCTCGCACAACTGCCGTCGAGATTTATACCGAGGAGGAGGATGGCCGTAAACCCAAGACTGTTGTCCGCGGGCCCCGGCGTCCTCCCACACGGTGGTTTGGTGGCTGGTAAACTGATCTATCGTTGGTGTTTGTAAAAACAATTTTTCTTGCCCTTCTCTTTCTACTCGTACTTACCACTTTCATCTTTATCTTTCTATTTACGTTACCTTGATGACACTGACTGCTGGAAGGATATACTTGCTCCGGAATGACTTTTGACGAATTCGATGCCAGTGTATACTTGAGAATATATATCTTGATCGTGTTTTTTTTTGTGCATTCGCCGAGATTTGCCGCCGGACCAAGTGAATTGATCTATGTAAGGGGAAAAAAAGGTTCCTCAGTGCCACCATGTTACCATCCCTCGTCACCCGTGTGTGGCCTAAGGTTAGAACTCCAAATGTTCACTTGTATTTCTCTAAGCGTTTTGTTTCCTTCAAACCTCTACAAATCCTCGGAAACAGCATTCCAACCGACGAAATCACCAACGTAACCCCTACAATCCTTTCGAAAGTACACCTTAAACTGCATACCCAACCTTCCCATCCTTTAGGTGTCCTACGATCTCTGATTGAATCCCATTACTCCAATTTTTCGCATTTTTCGTCCGTCTCTCCCTTCGTTTCGCCATACCAAAACTTCGATGAACTCTCCTTCCCCCCAGACCACCCTGGCCGTTCGCTAACTGACAACTACTATCTGAATAAGGAGTTGATGCTTCGCACACACACCTCTGCACACGAAGTGGAAATGTTCCGTCAAGGGGAGACCAGATGGCTGCTAACAGCGGATGTGTATCGTCGGGACGAGATTGATGCATCGCATTACCCAGTTTTCCATCAAGTTGAAGGTGCACGCATATTTGACGCCAATGCATCGGGAATGAAAGAAGTTGAAGAGGATAATGAGCGCCTTTCTCGACTCCTTGCGCGTTCAAATATTGTCATCGAGGATGTACCCCACCTGTCGCCGACCAACCCTGTGCAGCCGTCCCATGATCCTCAATTTGTGAAACTCGTTTCATTAAATCTAAAACTCTCCCTGAACAGCTTGATTCTCAAGTTGTTTGGAGGTTCGGCAAACAGCCCAAGCAACCCCCTCAGAGTGCGCTGGATCGAAGCGTATTTCCCCTTCACCAGCCCGAGCTTTGAAGTGGAGGTATTTTTCCAAGGCAAATGGCTGGAGATTCTTGGATCAGGAGTCATCCAGCAGGCGACGTTGGATGCTGCAGGTCAGTCTTTGCAGTTTGTTCCCCTTGACACTGCTCATCTATTGCTCCAGGCGTCTCAAACAAGATTGGCTGGGCGTTTGGTTTGGGCCTTGAACGAATAGCTATGGTTCTCTTTTCAATTCCAGATATTCGTTTGTTCTGGTCGACAGACGAACGCTTCCTCTCGCAATTCAAGAAAGGGGAAATCACCACTTTCCGACCGTATTCCAAATACCCACCGTGCATCAAGGATATCAGCTTTTGGAGTCCTCAAAACGAACGTTTCCGCGAAAACAATCTCTATGATCTCGTCCGGGACACTGCTGGTGACTTGGTGGAGGACGTCAAAATGGTGGGCAAGTTTTGCCCTGACCCTTGCTTCGTTAACCTCTTTTTTAGATCGACCAATTTACTCATCCAACAACAGGCAGAACCAGCATGTGCTATCGAATTATTTACCGCTCAATGGATAGGTGACTACTCCATCCTCTCAGTTGTCTATTAAACTAAGGTTACATCAGGTCTCTAACGAACGAAGAGATTAATCGTGTCCATGACCAATTTTCGTCACGGCTGAGCAGTCAATTTGACGTCGAGATACGGTGACGACCACTACTGAGTAAAATAAAAATATTCTAGAGTTGAGGTTCTTCGAATTAACGGTTACGTATATAATTTTGATCGAGCATTCTACCAACACTCCTCCTCCTCCAATATCCAGAAGATCCACAGAATATTCAGATTCGTTATGATGTGTCCTGTGCTACCCCAACCTGCGCGGCCCTCAAGACCCGGTCCTTGATAGTGTAGCCAGTCTTCTGGCAGTCGATGACGGTCCCTGGTTCTTTGCCGGGTATTGGGGCTTGATATAAGGCTTCATGTTGATTTGGGTCAAATTTGTCACCGGTTGGATCAAAAGGCTTGACATGGTATTTAAACAATGTCTGCAGAAGGAGGCGGTGCGTCATTTCTACGCCAGTGTGCAGCTCCCGAAGGTAGGCTTCATGTGATTTTGGGAGGGATTCTGGAGGCGGGGTGGTAGAAGTTTGTGATGACTCGTGTGTCGAGAGAGCAGTGGCGGGCACGGATTTCAGAGCAATTGCGAGGACGTCGACGGTTTCCAGCAAATCCGAAGCGAACCTCGTTATTGCAAAGTCGCGCGTTTGCTCCTTCTCTCGCGCAGCATTTCGTTGCAAATTCAGAAAATCTGCTTGAAGGTAACGAAGGCGGCCCTGACCAGCACATCAAAACCACGTAAACGAAAGCAAGACGGAAGATAATCATACCGTCAAATCCACAACCTCAGCGTCTTTGGCCTTTATCTTTTCTTCAAGGTCTGAAGTTGAACCCTTCTCTCCTTGTGGGTCCTTCGCCTTATCACCCTCCGAGGTGCTGGCAGTCCCTTCCGAGTAATGTCGTCTCGCCCCGGAGAAGCGGCAAGGGACCAATGGACGCGTAAGGATCCTAGACGACGACGGTGATGCCGCGCATGTCCTAAAAGCTCTAAAGGTTGACGTAGCGAAGTTCATGCTGGCACTGGAGGATGGTAGGACGAGGACGACGGCAAATGCAAGACGACGGAAGCCACATCATTTTTGCAGAAAATGTACCACCGTGGCAATAAGCTGACTAAGGTTCTGAAGGCAAACCCTGCAAAGTCCAAGAAATACGTGTACTCGAGTATATTATTCGCCTAGCAAGTATAATAATCACTCTAATCCTTTCTCCAAACTAATCGTCGCTCTCGGGCACTTTTATTGTATTTTTTACAGGAGCTTACGAGTTTGAGGAAACCTTTTCGTCTCCCAAAATGTTCTGTCAAAACTGATGTAAACAAGGGATATTGCAGATAAGCCGCCCATGCGTGGCTTGCGCGCTTCCACAATCTGGCCTCGCAACTTATCCCTTCATCGCCTGCGTACAATGACAACAGAGGCTCCATCTGCTGGAAATGTTATTGATGGGACAACCTTGGCAAGGTTCTTATATCTTCCTCCTTGGGTGATCCCTTGGCTTGACCTTATCTTCCTAGGTCAATTCGCGATGGCGTCGCGGCCCGCATTAAATCTGTGCAGTCCACATACCCTCGCTTTCAGCCCCAATTGGCTATACTACAAGCTGGAGAACGTCCTGACTCAACTGTTTACGTCCGTATGAAGGCCAAAGCTGCCAGTGAAGTCGGTATTCAGCTTCGACACGTTAAGGTCCCTCTCGAGTCCACTGCAGACGAGATCGTGGAGATCGTGCGCAAGTTGAACGAAGATGAACAAGTCAGCGGAATCCTTGTTCAGTTACCACTCGGCGACCACATTCAACCCGCAGACGTGCGATTGGTGACGGAGGCCGTAAGTCCTGAGAAGGATGTTGATGGGTAGGAGACTTATTTACTTTTATTCCCGCCCTCTTATGACTCGCCTCCGACGAGTAGATTCCATGCGTATAACATCGGCCACTTGTCGTCTCGCGCATCTGACCCACTTTTCGCCCCTTGCACCCCTGCGGCTGTTATCCGGCTGCTTGAGTCCACCGGTGTCGAAATATCTGGTTCAAACGCAGTTGTTCTTGGTCGTAGCGATATTGTAGGCAACCCTGTCTCTGCGCTTTTGAGACATCGGGATGCAACAGTCACTCAATGCCATACCCATACCAAGAATGTTGAAGAAATTGTATGTGTTTGCCGTTACCCTTTCCAGATGAGCCTAACGATTCCAAGGTGAAAACTGCCGATATCGTGGTGGCTGCTGTTGGTAAACCAGAGTTCGTAAAAGGGTCTTGGATCAAACCTGGCGCCGTCGTCATTGACGTTGGCATAAATTACATTCCTGGTATGCTCATTTTGACAATCTTGGGTATAATAAGCAAACCAATTTAAGATGCAACAAAGAAGTCTGGGAGCCGTTTGGTTGGGGATGTCGAATATGCCTCCGCTTCTACCGTTGCGTCCCATATCACACCAGTTCCGGGGGGTGTTGGACCGATGACAGTTGCCATGTTGATGGAAAATACTTTGCAATCTGCTACACGCCATTGGGAAGCTTCTAGATCTTTAAAAGTCAAACCATTGAAGCTAAACCTACTGGAAAATGTTCCCAGCGACATTGAAATTGCCATGGCTCAGACACCGAAGCCAGTTGTACATCTCTCTCGCGAAATCGGCTTGCTACCTGACGAGTTGGAAAGCTATGGAAAGTACAAAGCCAAAGTCGACCTTGGTGTTTTGAAACGCTTGGCGCACCGTAAAGATGGGAAATACATCGTTGTCTCTGGGTATGTTATAAGGCTTTCTAAATGGCTTCAGTCTAATTTAAAACAGTATAACGCCAACGCCACTGGGTGAGGGCAAATCTACGACTACTATCGGTTTGGCACAAGCCTTGGGGGCAGAACTTGGTCGCCCGGCATTTGCTTGCGTTCGCCAACCGAGTCAAGGACCCACATTTGGCATCAAAGGCGGGGCAGCTGGAGGCGGCTATAGTCAAGTGATTCCTATGGACGAAGTGAGGCGAATTTAGACTCAAGTTTCGCGCCATCTGACTTGGAACAGTTCAATTTGCACCTGACTGGAGACATTCATGCAATTACCGCCGCGAATAACCTCCTAGGTGGGAAACGATTTCGCTATGTACCTTCCTTTGATTAACGAATGATTCTCTACAGCCGCTGCCCTCGACGCACGCATATTCCATGAAGCGACTCAAAGCGATAAGGTATCGTCATAAACGCCAAGATGGGATTCTCTTTAACCTTTAAAAGGCCCTATATAGTCGTTTGGTGCCGACGAAGAAGGGAAAGCGTGAATTTGCACCCCTCATGTTGAAGCGCCTCCAGAAACTTGGAATCGACAAAACAAACCCGAACGATCTGACTCCTGAGGAAATTACCCGCTTCTCTCGACTGGACGTCGATTTAGACACGATAACCTGGAACCGAGTATTGGATACCAACGATCGCTTCCTGCGAAAAGTAACCATTGGCCGCAATTCGACCGAACAGGGCCACGAACGTGAAGCTGGATTTGATATTGCCGTAGCCAGCGAATGCATGGCCATCCTTGCTCTTTCAACTAGTTTGCAAGATATGAGGGAACGCCTTGGTACCATGGTAGTTGCGACGAGCAAACAAGGTGACGCCATCACAGCTGATGACCTTGGAGTGTCTGGGGCTTTAGCAGTTCTCCTCAAGGATGCCATCAAACCTAATCTGATGCAGACGCTTGAGGTAGGTATCTTATTTGCCTTTTCAAGTTCCATCTAACGACCCTCGCTTCCGCTAGGGTACTCCCGTCTTCGTACACGCTGGCCCCTTTGCCAATATTGCTCATGGAAACTCTTCTATCCTTGCTGATCTTGTGGCTTTGAAATTGGCCGGTACGGAGGAAGGGGATTCTGAAGATCGAGCTGGTTACGTCCTCACAGAGGCTGGATTCGGTGCTGACATGGGTCTGGAAAAGTTTTGCAATATTAAATGCCGTACTAGCGGCCTCAAGCCAGATGCAACGGTCATTGTTGCCACTACACGGGCCTTGAAAATGCACGGCGGGGGACCGGATGTGGTTCCAGGAAAACCTTTGCATGAAACTTATACAAAAGAGGATCTTGTAACATTGAAGGAAGGTTGCAAGAACCTCGCCAAGCACATCCAGAATTCGCGGAGATTTAATCTCAAGGTTATCGTTGCTATCAACCAGTTTTCGTAAGTATTGATGACTTTCCCTCAACGTGATGCCTAATCATGTTATGACTTCAGCTCTGATACCGCAGCTGAACTCGCACTCGTTCGTGAGGAAGCCCTTGCTAACGGTGCAAATGCTGCCGTTGTGAGCAACCATTGGGCGAAGGGTGGTGCTGGTGCACGGGCCCTCGCTGAAGCAGTTGTCGCGATTTGCGAAGGGCCATCCCGTTTCAGATTTCTCTATGATCTCGACTTTTCTATAGACGACAAAATAGAAATAATTGGAAGGCAGATTTATGGCGCTGACGGCATTGAGTTGAGCGACCTAGCACGCACCCAAATCGACACATACACCCGACAGGGTTATAGTCGTCTTCCCGGTATGTCACCCTTACATTATCGTTGGTCATTGTTTGATAATGAGTCGTTGCAGTTTGCATAGCGAAAACTCAATATTCGTTCTCGCATGACCCCAAGCTCAAAAACGTCCCGAAAGGTTCGTCATTCTCTCGAATATTTCCAACGTAACTTCACACAGCGCGGCACAGGCTTTACTCTCCCGATACGTGCCGTGCGGTTGTCTGCGGGCGCTGGGTTCTTGTATCCCATCTTGGGCGACATGCAAACTATGCCAGGTCTTGGGACACGTCCTGGTAGGATTACATTATCTCCTCTTGATTCTACAAATTAATGATTTTGTAGGATTTTGGGAAGTTGATCTTGACCCCGAATCGGGAAGAGTTGTTGGGTTGTTCTAAAGTGTTAGATCTGCAAGTGTCATATACCGGCATCAAATATGTGGAGATCTTGGTGTCATAATATAGAAAGTGCTCATCCACCAGAATCATAAGCTTGATTTGTTTAATCTTGCCCTTTTTGCGGAGTTGGGCGTTGACTTGAAATCTTTGGGTAATCACAACGGCGACGATGATCAAGGTCAACTAGAAATATGCTGGAACACAGGACTGGCAGAGTTACGTGCTCTTACAATGACGGTCAAGAATCAAAGGAGATGTATAATTCACTATTCAAGTAGCCATTCCTCTGGGGCTAACCCTCCACCATCTTGGTGCAACCGCATCGGCTATACAACACACAAACACATTCACGAAAGTGAAACGACACCAGCCTTAATTAGATCCAGAGGCAGCCTGCTACTTCCCGTCCGGCTTTGCTTGTTGCACGTTAAAAAAAAGTGGCCATTTCAAACCAACAAGTTTTCCACCCTGAGTACCTATAAAGTACGCCAATAGCTACCAATGGTATATACGTTACCACATAACTTGACGAGACGGTTTCCAAATATGTAAGCATATAAAAACGTACTTCAGAACTGGTGATTGAACACCTCCTCATCCGTTGTTGCAACAGGTTTGTTATCTTGTTCCCCCTCAGTCCCACGAGCACCGTAAAGAACGCCTTCTGGGTCTTCTGGAAACTCCGCTGCCTCTGTAGCACTACCACTAGATGTCGCAGACGATCTGCGTTTCTTCTTTTTCTTCTTCCGTGATTCTTCATCTGGAGAGGCTGAATATGCATCTCGAGTCCTTGCCCATCTATCTTTCTTTTCCTTCTTCTTTTTCCCTCCCTTAGCGGCGACCGGAACTTCTGCTACATCATCGAAATTGGCAGGGTAATGCCAGCGACCGGACGACGAGCCAGCGTTGTCTTTGTCGGGATTGTAGTAGTTTTCGTCTTCGGGCCGCCAAAGATCCCCATTTGGTTGTCGTCGTGGCTTGCCTCCCTGATCGACGGAGGAAAGGTCAATACTGGAATTTTGCTCTTGCCCTTCTTCGTAGGGCTGCCCCTCAAGCGTCGATCGTGGGAGGCGGTCATTATACCGCGATGCCCACTGTGATTTGCGTTCCTTGCGTTTGATCTCTGAGGTATCAACGAGTCCATATTTCTGGATCCACTTTGGAGTACGAGCGTGATTCTTGTTGTTCCGGATGTTCTGAATATAAAAATTGTGGACATGGCCTGAGTACTTAAGGTCAGATTGGCTGGCTGCTGGTTTAAGCGCGTAAGAGACAGACCAGGAATATAGCCGCAGATTGTTAGCAAAAGATTGAGCCAAAAGTCCGAACCGATTCCAAACCTTGCAGCCACGGCTAGGGATCTTAATTAAACCAAAGTGCATGGTATGTAGAGTATGTTACACACCTAAAGGAGGGAAGAGGGTCCCCAGGATAAAAAGGATAACAGCATAGCCGTGATGACGCCTTGGGGTGAGGTCAATCTTGGTAGGAACATAGCTGGACATCACTTCAGACGTCGATGGGCACGTTTAGGCCACAACTGCTTCGGAAATCCAGGGCGCCTTAGTGGTAGGTTGCAAGCGGCGGGATAGGAGTATGTTATAATAAAAATAATAAATAAAATAAAGTATCCTCTCAACCACTCCCATTTTGTTTTCATTCATCCTCCTTACGCCAACCTGCCATCATGGAGCATGGCGACCATGTTTTGAATCTGTCCGACGTGGTACACGATGATACTATAGGCGACGACGGAGATACAGACTTGAACTCCCGTCACCACCGCGGACGTTCCGCAGAGTTCGACCCAACCTCTTCCATGCTAGCTCCCTTGCATGACAGCTATCCAATCTCCGAACAATCCTCCCACCATATCTCACCCGCCGACACGTATTCAGTTGAGATGCTCGAACGTGAGATCGCAAGCCTTCTCAACCAGAATGCTTCAGCTGCGTCTGCAGCTCTTCTTAGTGCTGCTGCCCAACAACGCCAAGCTAACATGGAACTCGGAAGAGGAAGCAACGGGTGCATGGTCGACCAATCGGAGAACCATAATGTGGCTGGAATTGGTATTGGCCTTAGCGGGTTGGCTGCTGTGCTTCAGGCAGTTCAGGCACAGGCCGTCAGTGAACGTGGAAGCGAGCAGCAAAGCATTGCGGAGAAAGAACAAAGGACGACTAGGACGGCCCCAGCATTCCATTCTCTCACTGCTGGACAAACCCAAGAAGTTGATCGGAGAAAGAGAAGACGGGGTGAAGGGAAAGGCGGCTCAGAGGGTTCGGATTACCTTTTCTCAGATGGCGAGGACTCTAGTGATAGGGGCAATCTCGCTGAAGCCCAAGGCAGACATACGCCCCTGCCACACCGTCAAACCGAGCATCCAACAGTTGGGTCATCTATGGAGGAACTACCGCCTGTCACGGGTGAATTTTCCGATATCAGTGACATTCTAAATCACTTCACCTCCCAATTTGAGCCAGAGCGAGTACATGGTACAAGTAACGGCCTGTCGACGCCAGATGCATCCCCCGTCATCTCACATTCCCGCATTGTAGAATCGCAACTACAGGCACCATCGCCCCTACCTATTTTAGCCCCTTCAAATCGCCTTGGTGCACCCCAGCCTGTAGCCTCTACATCTTACACTCCTCAAGTGAGTGACATGACGAACAAGAAAGTCAAGAAGACCAAGGACAGAGAAAAGGGTCCTCTTCTCCATACTTGCGAACAAGAGCAGTGTCAGAAGTCTTTTACTCGTCGAAGCGACCTAGCTCGCCATATGCGCATCCATACAGGCGAAAGACCATTTTTATGCTCACACAATGGTTGTGGCAAGACCTTCATTCAGGTATGCCGTTTTTACATCCTTGATAGCAGATTTTCAAATATTCGCAGCGGTCAGCCTTGCATGTTCATTCACGTGTACACACGGGAGAGAAGCCTCACTGCTGCGAATATCCAGGTTGTGGCAAGACATTTGGTGACTCAAGTAGTCTTGCACGACATCGACGAACACATACAGGGAAACGACCGTACAAGTGCGAGGATCCATCTTGCGAGAAGACTTTCACCCGCAGAACAACTCTGACAACGCATATGCGAACACATGACCCCACCTGGGAGCCGGATCCTACCGTGTACGTTTCCGATTGAAGCGCAGTTGTTTCTCGTGCTCATGATCTTTGTAGGAAATACAATTTCAAAGGAAAAAAACGTAAAATCGGAGAGGACGAGGATGAGGATTTGGCGGAATCTGTGAGAACAATATCTGCCCTTTTCCAAGTAGGTGGACCGGGGGTCCTACCGCCACGCGATTCACACTCGGAGGAAACTCTGGAGGTACGCGTCGCTAGTATTAGTGCAGAGATCGCAGCAGCCATTGCCCAAGCCCAATCTCGAGTGTACGAAGATGAGGATGACGGAGAAGAGGAAGAAGATGGAGGCGAGGAATCGGGATCAGGTCAGGAAATGGGGGGTCACGAAATGATCGGACCCAACACCAGCGGGATTCGCGGTCTTGATGTGGGAGAGAAGGACGGTCAGGTTTTGACTCTAGGTGACGAAGACGACGATAGTGATGCATTTCCGATGCCTTTGCGAGTGCGCAAGCCCCGAGAACCAACAGTTGGGATGAAGAGGAAACGGTAGCTGCTTTTTTGTGTTCAATCATATAACATGACATGAAATTTTGGACGCATGATTGTCTTGTCCTTCTGATAAAACAAAACCCTGATCGGTGACCTTTTATCCTTCGCGCTCCTATGACCCACCAATCTCTGCCTAGCATCCATTTGGTTGACCACAGTCCACCAGCGGCACCTGACCATTTTAAACTTCGCCGCAACCAGTTCATAGACGGCTCGCCGGCTGGTCAATAATCCGTACCTGTAAGTATGTTATTTTCGCTGGTTGGTCCATTTTATTCCTTTCAGCCAACTCTGTACTTGGCGTTGTCTTGCAGGGCATTGCCTAATATTTACTCTTGTTGACAACATCTTCACAGCGCACTAGAGCACTCCTCCTTACCTTTCAATTGCCATGTCCCATCCACGTATCAAAGTACCGGGAAAATCATCTGATATACCCGAGGTATGTATCAGGAAACGTCTCTACATATCACTGTTAATTATCCTCAGCTAAATGATCACCAGCACAGACGACCTGTCAAGCGTTTGCGCCTTACAGTCGAATCTGAAGACGACGATGAAAACCGAGAAGAGCCTTCCAGAAACCATTCCTTGCCCTCAAGTTTAGATAGCCTTACGGATGACGAACAACCAGAGCCGTCAACGTCAAAGGCTGCAGTTCCCGCTCCACTCAAGAATGCCTCGAAGAAGGGAATGCAAGCCAAGACTAGTAAAGCGAGTGGGCCGCAAAGGAAGAAACCGCGGAAATTGGTCGTTACAGATCCAGAGTCGGAGGATTACGATGATTCTGTGCAACAGGCTTCAGAAGAGGACGACGAGCGCGAACCACTCATGGAGGACAAACGGCCGAAGGTTCTCAAAGGCGGCAAAGCTACGTCGAGAAAGGAAGCGGGAGCTCGAAAGGGGGTCAAGAGACTGCACAAAACTGAGTCATCGAATGTAGCCGAAGCCCAACCGCCCATAGCAAAGGGAGACGCGACAGTGCGGCCCGCTCCAAAACTTCCTGAGTTGCTGATCGACGTTGTGGGGGATGAATCACAAGGAGTGGATACCCCTCTAGCTACTGTGGATGATTCTGCTGTTTCAGCAGCCAAGAAACGGACGCGACTCCCAACCATCAAGAAGAACAAGGCTCCTACTTTGACTGCCCCTAGTACACCTTCTACACCAGCCATCGCGTCCAAGCTCGACTCCACCATTCCCGCGCTAAAAGTGGGAGAACCGAAGCAGGCCACTACGAGAAAGGCTGCCATTGCCGCTACAGACCTGGATCTAGCCAATCAATCTGTCTACAACGAACTTTTTAGAGTCTCTTGTTTCTCTGAGTTGTATATTGTCCTTTGCTCAAGCCATTCTTTTGTAGGGCGGCAATACTACCGGGGGAGGGGGCTCCAATCGACGGACGAAGGAAGAGGAGAGGCGGAAGGAACTTCATAAGATGAGGGAAGATGCAAGGAGCAAACGAGCTTTGGAAGCGGTGAGTTGACTGTGTTACCTGCGTGTCAAATGGATAAAATGACTGTATTTTAGACTGTAGCGTTCGATTTACAAGCTCAGCACGAGAAGATATCGCGGTTTGAAGATAAACTCAAAGCTGCGCATAGCTCGGCCCTATATCCCAATTTTCTGGCGGCGAAATGGAGGGAAGAGTATGAGCTGGAGCGAAGACGGAAAGAGAGGGCGCAAGAGGAATGGCTTGCCAGTTAATGTCTTGGGATAGCTTATAGGATGTTATGATAAATCTATATATTTTCTTTCAAAGTGTCTGCCACAGTCCGTCTCGATAGCTCTATTTGCTCAAAGCAAGTGGAGAACCATGTCTTTTTGCTTTTGGCATTTGTTCCCGGGCCATCTGAAAGGGATAAATTGCTCAGTCCTACTTCTATCTCTTGTTCAGCTTCGAGACTGATAACTAGTGGTCGAATCTCGGTTATCACTGTGTTGAACAACACCAGATGTTCGGTAACAGCCTCCTGGCTTTGAGGTGGGTACGTGGTGGAAATGAGTTCATCCGAGGCTGCAAGAAGCGCAGGTGAGGACAGGGCAAGTTTATCTAGCAGGGTGTTGGTGACGCTTTGGATGATTGGCGGGATCTTTGGAGGGGTCAGCAGCTTCTTTATCGTGCGCTGGTGTAGGAGGGTGGAGAGTTTGATGAGGGTCAACACCTTTGACCTGATTAGTACGTGGATGAGATATTTATATTAGCAACAAACCTTTTCTGTTCGTTGCAGCTCGAGAGGCGATAATTTAGCGTTGGAACCCAGTCCAAGATCATCCCAGCCGTCATCTAGATCTTCGGTATCATCTGATGGTTTACACATTTCTTGAATCTCGTCCAAGCCATCGACGAGGGAGTCGTGATCTCGTTGCCAAACTTTGCGAACGGCGTCGTAATTGTTATTCGAAAGAGCACGCTCTCTGTCAATAGCTTCATGTACGGCACCAGTCCTTAACATGTAGTCGCCTGCGGCTGATCCCTCGGATGAATCCAGAGTGGTATTGTGAATAGCGAGAAGAGATTGAACAAAGGATTTAATAGCAGCGATGATATTCTGCGCCGCAGATGCGATCTCTTTGAATAAAGCCTCGCCATAGCGTCGATGTATCATGCCGAGGCAATGGACGAGTCTGGAGATGTTATTGGAAGTGTCGGTCAAAGGCGCGATTGATGCTGTATATTCTGGCGACGCGGGGTTGAGAGTAAGGGCTACCTTTGTGGTGGATGCATGAAGGAGAGAGAGGATGGAAAGGAAATCCTTGTGGAGGACGGAGAAATTGTGTGAGGATGGTTCTGGGTTGACATCATCTGGCAAGACTGCCAGAGCAGCATCGCAATTGTTCAAGACCAAGTTTAAAGCAAAGATTGCTGGTTATTGTCAGTACATAATGCGATATTGAAGCAAGATGAAATATTTTACATTTTTGCTGTGATGAGCTTGACATCGTTTGAAGAGAACCGAATCACGTGTATTGCTTTTTTTTTCCGTTCTAAGTTCGGCATTGGTCGTTTTGTCTCTAGCAGCGATGCTTGGGCTGTTGCGCGTACGGTCCCCGATTCTAAAATCATTTCATTCCCTGTCCTTTCGTCATCCAGCACTACTTCAACAGCGTTCTCTTTCTCTTCTCATCGTTCAACAACGCCCAACCTTGATTCATCAACAATGTTCTTCGACGACACGCCTCCTCTCCCTCGGCTCCATCTTCTCACGTCCGAAGCCCACAGCGGCACCTACTCCTCTCGTCATCGCTCATATCACCCGTCTCGAAGCTGAAGCCAATGTCCATCCTCATGACGTCTCCAAGCAACTTTCATTATTTGAAGCTCTTTCAAACACGAAACTCAAGTCTTCATATGATTTAATCATCACTCGTTGGGAAAGGATGTGCGAATTTGTCCGTTGCATCCCTTTCTTTACTCCGCTCCGTACTCACACTACCCAGGATCCCTCATCCCCTCTGCTTCATTCAGCAGCCGCTTTCAAGTTTTATATAACATGTCTAGTGATTACCGGTCAACAACCTTCCATCAACCCTGCTGTTCGAAGAAGAGACAGCCTCCTCATCGCTCATCCACTCGCTACAACATCACCCACTTTGGCAGCACCTACATCGACGACGGAATTGGAAACACCTCCAACAAGTCAAGAAATTGCCCAGGCAGTACTTTCTGACCCACCTGTGAACTCCACCCCGTCCACAGAATCAACGCCGAATCTCGCCAAGTTGGCTGCCGGTGGTGAGGCTGCAAATTCGAGCCCTATCCAAGTCGCCATTGTAGAACGTATGAGCCACCTTAACAAGCATGCGCGTCCTGACAGCTTTATTTGAATGTAGGAAAAGGTGCTTGGATTCCTCGCTTGGTGCGATTCATAAGTCTGGTTCTCGTTAGCTCGTTCTGTGCGCTGCCATTTTATCTCTTTCAATTTACCAATTCTTATCCAAACCAAAAAGTCTTTTTGGTCATCTTGTCCGTCTTCTTTGAAAATAGCGGGTTCATGAAAGCGGGGCCGCGACAATCACAATTTGAACCTACAGAAGGAAAAACGGTCAAGTTTAGCGATGTTCATGGAGTCGACGAGGCCAAAGATGTAAAGATTGTTCTCTTTCCCTCTGAGACGCGTGAGGGACTAATGTGGACATTAGGAACTACAAGATGTCGTCGCTTTTCTCAAAGACCCTACAGCGTTTGCATCTCTCGGCGGAAAGTTACCAAAGGGTGTCCTGCTAACCGGGTGAGTATAAACCATTTCATTTGTTTTACATCCTCATCACACAAAAAAAGACCACCGGGAACCGGAAAGACTATGTTGGCTCGCGCTGTGGCTGGTGAGGCCGGAGTGCCATTTTTCTTTGCATCCGGGCAAGTTTTACCTCATCCCCGAAAGACCCATCTCCTCACTTTTCGGAATTTAGATCAGATTTCGAAGAAATGTTCGTCGGCGTTGGCGCTAAACGCGTCCGAGAGCTCTTCGCTGCTGCAAGGAAGAAGGAACCGGCCATCATTTTCATCGATGAACTAGACGCTGTCGGTGGCAAGCGCAGCAACCGCGATCAGCAGTACATGAAGCAAACACTTAATCAGCTACTTGTAGAGATGGACGGCTTCCAGCAAAACGAAGCCATCATCGTGATTGCCGCTACCAACTTCCCGGAAAGCCTTGATCAGTATGTTCGCTGCTCTTTTCAGATAGCACAAGTGTTTACTGGCGCCATCCAGGGCTCTCGTTCGCCCAGGTCGATTCGACAGGATCATTGCAGTTCCTTTGCCCGACGTGCGGGGTCGTGTGCAAATACTGCAACACCACATGCGCGGCGTCACGACTAGCAAGGGTATATTTTGACCTTTATCCAAAGACTTCGGTCGACTGATATCGCACCCAGATGTTGACCCAAAAATTCTTGCTCGTGGTACACCAGGTTTCTCAGGTGCTGACCTTCAGAACATGGTCAAGTGCGTTTTTGTCATACTGTTGGTGCTAGTTTTATCTTACATTGCACAACAGTCAGGCTGCCATCCAAGCTTCAAAGGAACGGGCAGGTGAAGTCTCACTGAAACATTTTGAATGGGCAAAGGTGTGGCCATGAGTATATGCACGACGCCTTCTCTTCATAATCATTATCAGGATCGTATTCTCATGGGAGCGGAACGAAAAAGCCAGTACATTGATCAAAAGGCTAAACTTGCGACTGCATACCATGAGGTATTGTATTTGCTGGCTTCGGTTGGTTATGACCGTTGACCGTTCCGCCTTGTATCTAGGGAGGACATGCTCTCGTCGCCTTGTACACCGATGGAGCAATGCCATTGCACAAGGTGACATGCGTACCCCGTGGACACGCCCTCGGTTATGTGAGCTAATACCTCTTTTGCTGAATCCCCTTTCTCACGACTCCATTGCCAGACTTCTTTGTTGCCAGAGAACGACCGTACCTCCGTCAGTCTCAAAGAGTATTTGGCCGGAATTGATGTTTCTATGGGTGGCCGTGTTGCTGAAGAATTGAGTACGTATCTTTGTTGATCAAGTTGATCAGTTTTCCTCAAGGATTTGTCTAGTTTATGGTTACGAGAATGTCACAAGTGGAGCAAGTTCGGACATCAAGAACGCGACTCGGACAGCCCAGTCAATGGTTAAAGTAAGGAAACTTAAGGCTTTCAGTCCGATTTTCGCTCAATGAAAATAGCATTGGGGCTTTTCAAAACTTGGACCGGTATTCTACGATGACAGGGACGACAACATCAGCCCACGTAGGAAAGAGGAGATCGAAGAGGAGATCACCACGTAGGTTTTACCAAAATATCATCTCGCATCTATCTCATTTACCTCATTGCTTTAGGATTGTCCGGGGTGGCGAGGCTCGAGCTACGGCTTTGCTGACTGCGAAACTCGACGAGCTTCATAGGGTCCGAACCATTACCTGACTGTCTTGGCATTGCGACTCATTAAATCGGTTTTCAGCTCGCGCATGCTCTCGTCGAGCACGAAACACTGGACTCGGATGAAGTCAGAAAGGTTATCAAGGGCGAGCCAATACGGACAATCACGGAAGTATTGGATGAAGAGATAGCAAATGCCCAGTCATAGCCCCGTGTTCCATAGCGTGCGCGAGGACTCGTCTCTCGGGCTCGCTATGCAGGCTGACGTAGAATGGGCAACTTGAATGCACGAGTGTATACCCATAGTCCGGAATCGTTGACCGGTTTTGCAGCCCACACGTCAACCACCACCACTCTTAGGAACTCAATTTAAAGAATTCGCTGTCGAGCTTAGAGGTTTGCGTATACTTATTCAAGTTTGGTAATTGTCTTCATGCACACACTAAATATATGGTGCACTTTCCTGGACACTTGAAGACAAAAAACTGTTGGTTTCTTTCAGCTAGTTTGTATACAGTCCTGGATTGCAGTGCGACCACTAACCAAAAAAATATGTATTATAGGTATGTACTTTTCCTCCCTATGGCATTATTCTAAACATCCAGATCGAAATCCATCAACATATGATCACTGATACCACCATCGCCATATTCATCTTCGCGCTGCTCAGCTTCCAAGGCTTTCTGCTTCGCCTGAGCCTTTTCAACGTCTTCAAGCGACCAGAGTGACACCCCGGTTGAATTTTCGTTTGGATTCTGAGATATCGTTCGCATGAAAAGTTTTGAAAGCGTCAAGGCCATGTCAGTTGAAAGATTAGAAGCCGTTTCTGTGATGTATTGATTGATCCATCGCGGAAGTTTAGCCCGTTTATCTGCCCGCGCGAAACGCTATCAAGCGCGATGAAATAACATTTTGAACACAGACTTGAAGACGGACCTTGTCTGCAAAAATCATCAAACCCCAGTCCGTTTTTCCTCTCAAAACGCGACCAACGCATTGCGCAGCATTTCTCATAGCATCAAATCCTAAAAACTCTGATTCACGTATTCGGTATGCATCTCGCAGGTATTCAAGTCGCGCTTTGAGAATGCGACTCTCCGTATATTGGTAAGGAACCCTAACAGACATGAGCTATATCCCCCACTAAATAATGCATGACCATACCCGAACATAATGACAGCTCGACCATAGTTATGATCAAAATCAATCCCTTCTGAGACTTTACCACGAGCAACAGACAAAAGTACGGCTCCTCGACCGTTGTCACATGCCTAGAGATCGATGAGTAGAGAGGTGGTAAAAGCGTAAATTACACACCCTCCGATAGTTCTCCAAGGCTATACTGGTCTCGTTTGCGTCGGGCGTTTCAACAAAGATAAGCTTGTTCTTCCACACCTCGTTGAGTATACCCTTCGCAAGAACGGTTAGCTGTTTCCGAAAACGGGTAAATGAACGAACCATATCATTCCAAGCAGCCACAATGGACTCCATATATAGGTAGCTCGGAAAAAAGGCCACTATCCCATCTGGAACTATTTTGCTGTACTCAATCAAGATACTTCCAAAGTTGCGAACGACGGCAGGATCGTTTCTAACTTCAAAGCGCGAACTGATTGCAACCTGGTCACTTCCACGCGTGATAACCTGCAGATCCAGGATAAATTCAGAACGAAGAAAAAGGCTGGTCACGCTCACGAGTGGCAAAAAAGCATTTCGGGTTAATGTCATTGGATACGTCTCCTGCACAACAGGGGTGAATTGCAACATCTTTGGATACATGTCCAAAGGTGACAAAGTTCCAGATGTGATCACAACGCTGCTAAAGCGCTCGAATACAGGCTTTATGGCGAGGGAAGGATCTAAGCAGCTAGCCTCATCCTTTAAAAAAAAGAAGGAACGGATAGAAAAAGACATACGTAAAGTGGAAAATCGGATTAGGGACCGTCGCGTTATCTGTTTCAAAAGGCTCCAATATAAGGAGGAAGCCTATGGCACAGCGTTATACTGTGGTCAAGCTATCGATGATTGTAGTAATACCTTTTTCGTAGGTCGAGACAAGAGTTGCGAAACTGGCCACTTTCTGGAGGCTAGCATACTCGTCCAAACGATTAAGCTCTAGTGTTCGAATGAGTGATTGCAACCGTTCCGCACAAAAGCTAATGAAATATTGGGCGTCAGGTGAGATACGCTGATGAAATCACAACCTACCGAAGAGGTCTCCTCTCTATATACGTAATGTCTTTCAGGTGCTGGAGGAATGACAATGGCGTTTCTGCGACAACATGAAGAACACGCATTCGCGTCTAGTTAAGTTGCATGATAAGTCGAGCTGGTTTCAAAAGAGATGTCGAACCTTCAGATATTCAACGAATCTTTTAAGGAAAGCAACGAAATGTTCTGCTTTTCGAATGTTGCCGGGGACAGCTTCATTAAGAAGGTCTTCTGGTAAAACTATAACGAAATGAGATGTGGGAGATGGAAACAGTTGGATAATCCTCACGAGGATTTCCCATAAAGGCATCACCGTCCTCGCCACCTGGCTCTTGAAGTCCTTCAACAAGCTTCGCATACTCATCTTGAAGTTTTGCAGCATCAGTGATCTTGATTCTATAATGATTTGTCAAAAAGCATTTTGTATTTTTGAAATCACACTTGCTCCTCAATCTTTTCTCCTAGTTTCACGACGCTCCGGGTCGCAGAGTCTAGCATAGGCCTCGTGAGGTCGATACTTAGAGACTCGATGCAAACATTGTCTGTAGACGACGTTTGCGAGTGAAAGGAACATAAATGGGGATAAATTACCGATGTTATGGGCCTCGTCGAATACAACAATTGCGTCCTTTGACATCTCCTTTGATACTTGCTCCGCAACTTTGGGGTCCAAGAGATAGTGGAATGAGTATATGATTACGTCTGCGAATGCCATCTAACAAACTATGAGTGTTGGAAAAGATTACTATTGGCAACAAAACACTTGCCATCCGGCGAACAGCAAAATAGGGACAGACTCCCTTGTCACGGCCATACTCTAGAATATCGGCCAGTGTCCAAATGCCCTGTGGTATGAGATTTCCTGGTTCTAATTTTCCAAGCTCCTTTTATGAAGTCAGCACTCAAACCATTAGCGTAAGAGGGGTATACCTCATGCCAGCTACAAAGTTCAACGGAATCAGGGTCTGCCCTTCCCTTCTCACACACAGCGGCATTTGTAAGATCTCGACACCTCGCATCCACAACCCGTCCCTTCTTCTCCTTGGATATCTGCAGAAAGAGTGAATTAACGACAGCCTTGAGTCACTAGAGAAGTTCAGACCTCGGGGTGTATACAAAGGTTCTTCCGACTCGTCAAACCCATGCCCATAAAGCTGCGTTCCTTCTCCTTCTCCTCTGGCGTCTCCGCATGAGATATTCGGTAGGCCATCAAACGTTTGAGTTCCGCCAACGCTTTCTCGATCTCCGGTACCGTTCGAGAACAATAAACAAGCTTTCTGCGTGTTGGATAAAACTGGAAGGGGGGTAACGCGTCAACTCAAAGAAAGAAAATGTCATACCTGTTGGTAGGACACGATTAATGACAGCAGCGAAACTGTTTTCCCTGTGCCCGACGGCATTTCCAGAACACAGTGACCCTACAAAAGCGTCAAAACGCGCGAAACGGAGAGGAAAAGAAACACGGTACTGTTGCATCGAGTGTTCTCTTGAGATCGCACATGTATGCATATTGCTCTGTCTAAACTTAGCGCGTGTTGAGTCGAGATGCGTGAGGGCTTACCAGGGTAAATACGGTCATAGGGAAATATTATCTGGGCTTGGGTGGGGGTTTGCTTATTCGCAAGGACGACGGAGACATACTGGAAGGTTGTCAATGAAGAACTTCATGTACGCACTGCGCTTGCTTGACGGGCAAAGGAGCTTGACCGTTATGAGGCGCGTTATGTCAAACAAGTCACATCAATGTATTCTAATGTAAGTAGGTCGTTACTCGTACAAGGTTCGAATGTAGGGCTAAGAGGAGTCCAATTAATGGGAATGAAAGCGAAATGAAAGCAAGGGAAAAGTGTCTTATGTTCGTATATGTGATTTCAACGTAAAGATCTTCAACTATCCGACCCAAATGCTTGTGATGCTTCCGAAATTGTGTCCTGAGCGTCCACTTGTCTGAAGATCAATGGGTCAGTTCTGTCACCGCAACTATGGTATAATGGTATTGATAGACGAACCCTACACCATTGATGCCGTAACCATCGTTTGGAGACACGCCGGTACCCGTCACGGTAGAAGAAACACCTGTCTCAGTCTGGGAAGATGATACCACAGTCCCATCTTGCTCTGTTAAGTCTCCTTGGGACCACTGGAATGATAGTTAGCCAGAGCAAGAAAGACTATATGTTCCTTGCTAACCTGGTATTGTACCATGCTTGACAGGCCCGCCAACAAACCGGCTAATGCATAACTTAACAAAGCTGAATCACTCAAGACAGAGATGAATACCATTGAGCCATTGAGAATAAGCGTCGTCTCTTTGGCCGTCAGAGACACCGATTGCCTGTTGATCTTGCCGAGTGGCTAACACGATATTTGTTAGAATTCCGTTTGCGTTTCTTATATGAAAGGCTCACATAGAGAAGAAGTGCTTTGGTCTGGGCCAACGGTGGTATTGAACGGGACAAAGAAGGGGAGGTTTGCTTGCGTGACCAGACCAAACCCTACGAGAGAAACAGGCTTTCCGGCGCTGTCGACGTATTAGTTAGGCGATGAAGAAATCCCAGGCTGGCTACGCACGCTAGTCCCGCTTCAGCATGACGCTTTATCCAGTCTATACCGGTTTGCACAGTATTATTGAAAGCTGGGAGATTCGGATCAACGGGTCCATACGAAACCTGGTCCGGAAAGAGCTGGAAGGAACCGAACCCGATCTCGGGTATGTTGAGGATGTCTTCGCTGTCAACGCCCTGTGACCCATCAAAGGCCGATCCGACGCCTACATCGTCTTGACGTCTCGTCGCTGCAAACATGCTAAGCGATTGTCAACGAGACAGATGGGAAAAACAAACGAGTAGCGACCCAACGTCCACGAACTTTAACACCTCCTGCTGGAGGGCTAGAACGTTTCTGCAAGTTCCTGGTCTTCTTCAGGGCCTCTGTGCGATCCTGCAATAGCCTTGCTTTCGTGAGAAACCTTGGGAGACCTCGTCGTCTCGTTCCGGGCGCGGATGAGACCTGCGGTGTAGGCGGAGTGGGAGTTGAGGGGAAAAGTTTTGGACAGTCGACGCAAAAGAATCCTTGGTTCCTTGATCAATCAAATAAGGTTCATTTGTTTTTAGAAATCGGTGAACCAAGCCTTACCCCGAAGACACGAGGTGGTTAGGATCTACCGATTTGACATGTTGGGCAATCGTAGAGTGCCAATTTGTGACAGTTGTGGTGGTGCATGTAGACGCTGCGGGAAGAGTTGAATTGCATCTGGCCCAATTTGTTAGGCAATCTGGCTTCGCCCGACTCAACACTTACCTTGGGTCATTAGCGATCTCCCTAGGACGGGAAGATGTCAATGACGTGAATCAGAAATGAAGGACAAAACGCTTACCAGGCAAAAATTGCAGGGCTGTTGACGTAGCGAGATACAATTTGAGTCGTGTAGTTTTTGAAAGCATTAATGAGGGTCTCGTTAACATAAAATTGGTCATGCTTTCGGGGGGCGTTAAACTCTCGAATATAAACATCCATGCCGCCTATGATGATCATTCGAATGTATCTTCGCGATAGGGAGTTGGAAGAAACGTGCCATAATCATTGCTCAATGTATTCCTTGGGAACTTGTTGTTGGTACCCTTTGTAACGTCGCGCCTTGTGAAACCGTCTGGGCCATCAACCAAGGGCAACGGGTTCCAATTATTCGTGAGTGCCATGTGAAGCAGTATGCCGTGCTTTTCAGCGAGTCGAACGACCGTATCCAGCTTTTGGAGGCCGTTCGGTCCCGTATTGACTGAGGTTGTGCCGTTGGCAACAAGCTGGAACCATGTCCCGTTCTGGGGAATAACATTAACATCTGCGATCACATAGACCTCACGTTAGCCAGAAGCGAAAGGATGATAGTAGACATGTACCATTGAACGCCCATGTTCTTACAACCTTGATGCCAACAGCGGCTATGCTCGCCAACGTGTTATCAATGTCTTCATCAGTGTTGAGAGCATGCAACCAATATGCATTCGTTCCGACGACCTTCAAGGCACTATATTGGCCGATAAGCTGAATCGCATGGATATCATGTCGATTGACTGACCTTCCGTTCACCACGAATTTTCCATTCTGAGTCGTGACAAATTGCGAAGGGACATTACTGGCACCACTCTGTCGCCGACTCCTCTTTGGCGTGGCCGCGGCAACGGACACCAGGAGGCCACCGAGTACTAATTGCCAGAGAACAGCAATGTACATGGGAGCCGAGGTAGGGTGGAAGGGCGCGTGGAAGACTGCAGAATCTAGACATATATAAGTAACGTCAACGGCCCTGTTTGAGCGCTTGCTTACATTTGTTGTTCTTTTGTTGTCGATCATCCCGCATCATTCAATACGCCAAGCGACCGCCGGCGTAGGGACGCCATGAGGAAGTGATAGTGATATTTTTGGCGTAGATGGGCACGGGCTGGCACGGCTTCATGTGATGGGAGGTTTCTCCTCTTGCTTGAAATTCAAGGCTCATTGAGATGGGGAGTCCAAGTATAAGTTGAGTACTGAGTATTGACAGTCTGGGTGACAGTGCCGTAAAGATGCAAGCCGTAAGAGGGGCGAGTGGCGCGACAGATTGGCGCTCCCGTGACAGCTCGTGACATGACTTCCATTTCCCGGGCCGGTGCAAGTTCAGTGGGCAGTCGCTATTGTCATGTTCAGACAACGATTTCTTGTCCATCGCCCGAAATTTCCTGTCTATCCCCTATTCACCAAAAAATATTCATTGCGTCCACATACTCCAGAACAACCCCCCGTCATTCAAGATCACTTCATATCTCACACTTTGTATGCTATCAATGTTGGCAGCCGCTTCGTCAAGTTCTCTTTCTTTGGTTTAATAGCCCTTGGTACAACCATCGCTGCTGCATTTGAAGGGGCTCACTTGTACGTTGAGCATGTTGGTATGGCTCCAGAATCCGACCCGGAAGTGAAAAAATGGGAATGGGATGAAAGCTGGTCAGGAGACTCAGCCGTGGGTGGTACCGATCCAGCTTTGGGAATCAGAGCCAGGCATACTGTACGTGCCGCGTGGATGGCGTATAACTGGGGTGTTGGATATAGTGCTGCAACGACAGGGACTGACGGGCCCTTTGTCAGTTCTGCCAAAGGCTTACCTGGCATCCACATTATTGACGCACAAATGCAAAGGACAGAGGACTTTCTTCGCAGTGCTATTCATGTTGCTGAGACCATGTCTTCTCCCCCTCTCCACCCGCTGACTTTCACAACGCTTCTTGCCCGTCACGCGGCCGTTCTTGAAAAGTTGGGAATTGGACATTTGGAGCAATCAAAACTGCAGTATGAGCGTGCTTGGCAAACCTTACCAACGCAACAACCTACTGCGGCTCGCATCGCAATGAAACTCGGGAACTTGAATGCCCGACTGGGCCAGGATACGTCCGCCGTAGATTGGTGGGCCAAAGCCATCAAATTGACTCAGGGAGAGTCGTCCGAGGTTGGGGTCGGTTCTTTGCAGGTACCTTCTAAGCCGCCTGCTTCACCTTTGTCCCAACGCATCCTTTTCTCTACGCTTGTTTCAATATCTGCGCACTATGCACAAAGAGGAAAGCTAAAGGATGCTGAAGCCTTAGAGGAGTCCGCTCTTGCATTACTTCGATCAATCCGACCTCCGGAATCATTCGCCTCAGCTTCTCCACCTCAAGCGTTGCACGCACTTTATCTCTTACAACAATCGTCCATGCTTTCCATTCATCTAGCAGAAGTTCTTCACGCTCGTCGCTATCCTGTCCGTTCTTCTGTCCAGTGGCTCATGTCTGCTGCTGAATCGTCTGAACGCGTTGCTCGTGCCCTCTCTGGTCTCCCTCTCTCCTCACCACCTGGCCCCATTTCAGAAATGCCTGTTCCAAACCCCAAAAAAGATCTGTTATTAGCTTGCTATAATACCCCACGTTCCGTGAACAAAGCCGCTGATGCTTTATTAAAGGACGCAAGGCGAACTGCAGCTGAATCGTGGAATCTACTCGGCGTTCTGCACGAGATGCAGGAGGGATCGGCATCCAAAGCTGCTTTTGAGTGTTTTGATCGTGCTGTCAATTGGGCCGGCGCGCCCATGGATAGCGGAAGCTCAAGGGAGGCTGCTGATGGCATTTTGCAGTCGGATTGGCATGTCTTTGTTAGCAATCTCGAGCGTGCAAAGACTGCTCGGGATCAACGGGGCAAGTAATTTTACTCCAGTGTTTTATGTACGTTGCAATTACAAGTTGCTTTGCGAGTTCCCTTGCTCGTGGGTTTTTTTATCTTACACCAGAGCTCGGCATGCGCCTATGGACGTCCGTGTCAGGTGCATGCATTATTGCATGATGCATCGTCCGCGTGGTCTCGCATCGTGCTGATAATGATTGACATCTTGAGAGATCTTGAGCGTCAACATATCTGCGCCAGGATTGGAACTCTTGCTCTTCTCACCAAATCCTGCCCCCACATCGACTTCGATTCCTCTTGTCAAGCACTAGAAATATGAGCGCCACTGTGACGCACACTGAAAGATTCTTTGCTGATCGCTCAGCACCTGTATGCAGCCTTGATGTTGGCAAGTCCTTTGCGCAGCTCAGGTTTCAGCAATCTTTTCAGTGTTCTTGGCCACGCTTATAATACTTCTGACCTTAAGCTCCGAGGAAAAGAAATACGCGCATTTCTTGTCGCAGGCGTCCTGGGCTGGTGCACGAATCATACAGGGTGAGGACGATCATTGATGGTGCACGATTTGGGACTTATCCCAGACTGGACTCAGGCCAATGGACACCCCAGGCGAAAGATCTTTACGATCTGATAATTCTTACCTTCAGCGATGATGCGAATGGTCTTGCCGATCTGGCAAAGCTTCAAACGGATGCTGCACTCTCCTCGACGGAATGGGAGGATTTGTTACAATATACATCTCAGGTATGTAACGTTACGCTTTCAAGGTTTCTATCTGTTGTTTACTGAACACTACAGGTGTTGAGCAACCTCGTCAATTTCAAAACCTTTGGTTTCACGAAGATAATTCCTCGTGTCTCCTCTGAGAAATTTGAGGCTGTCGTTTCTCACTCCGCGAACAGTACCAAGGCTTTACCCCTCTGGAACACTGTCAGTCGTCATTATCATGAAAATTCTGCGTTGCTCTCATCGTTTCACGTAGCTGAAAGCGCACATTTACGCTATCACCCCGGAACCCAGCCTCTTCATTGGCAAGCCAAATATCGGACATATTTCAAATTACTACCTTGGTGAGCCCATCGACGACGATGAAGTTGAATCCGTTCAGGCTGCTGCCGAGAAGTTGGGCGTTGACGTACTTAACACACGGTCCGTCAATCGTTAAGCAACTCATCAATGCCATGCTTAATGCTCAGTTACAGCGTCGTTAAGCACGGTTCTGGAGATTTTACGCTCTTGATAGCATCTGCCAATCCTCAGCCACCTGCTGTGCTTGAGATTGAACATCCAGCCAAGGCCGCACAACTCAAGATACAATACGGCGATTTCTCTGAGGAGCTTACTGCGGTTGTTAACTCACTGCGAGAGGTATGCTCATCACCAGCCTACACGCACCATCCCTGATCTGTCCCCTTGATTAGGCTAAGAAATATGCTGCCAATGAGAATCAGACGAACATGATCGAAGGCTATATTAAATCGTAAATTCACACTCTGTATATCATGGCCCCTCCCACATATATTCTCAGGTTCGAATCTGGCTCCATTCAAGATCACAAAGATGCTTCCAAATGGTGGGTGAAGGATGTTGGGCCTGTGGTGGAATCCTACATTGGGGTGAGCATTGAAACTGTGATTATCCCAATCTTCTAGTGATTATACACCCCACAGTTTATCGAAACGTATGTTGATCCATACGGCGGACGTGCGGAATGGGAAGGTTGTATTACTCTGGACATCTCAAAGAAGTTCACTCATGGCGCCGACAGGTTTTACTGCCATCGTCAACAAGGAGCTCAGTTCGAAATATGACGTGCTTGTGTCCAGTGCACCTGAACTCATCAAAGTTTTGCCTTGGGGTAAAGATTTTGAGGTTGACGTTTTCAGGAAGCCCGACTTCACCGCTTTGGAAATTGTATCCTTTGCAACTGGAGGTTCGCACAACGAAACTTTTGTTTGAATTGAAATGACTGACAGCCTCAAAGGCATCCCTGCTGGAATCAATGTAAGCAGGAGATAATATGTTCGTTCAACGCTGTTGGACGTTTCTTTTGCAGATCCCCGTTAGCTCCTCCCCTTATAGCGTTGCTTGTTTGTTAATGATTCTTGCATCAGAACTACTATGATGTCCGAGAGTCAACTGGTTTCAAGAATGTTTCCCTTGCCGTAAGGACGTTCTCTTCGAAATTATCAAGCATCTCGTGACATTTGAACAGAACATCCTGGCAGCCAAAGCCCCGAGTTCGTCATGAAACGTAACAAGCTACAAGTGATGACTTACTTGTCCTTCTTTAGACGAGGAGCTGACTTTCATCCATCCGGATGATGTTGAGCTCTACCACGCTTGGGACAGCAGGGCTTTCGAGTTGCAGGTTGCCAACCACGAACTACTCGGCCATGGTTCCGGCAAACTATTTGAAGAGTATGCGGACGGATCGAAAAATTTCGATCCCTCAAAGGTAGGTTTCTGTCTACTTGTGGTGTGTCTAGAGGTTGATGAGCGGTTTCGAAAGATTGTTGATCCGTTGACTGGCAAGTCAATGTCAGTGACAACCTCATAACCGATAAATCTGGCATGTTTCTGACGTTTCCCGATAGCACATCCTGGTACAAACCGGGCCAAACTCCAGGTTCTGTTCTGGGAGAAGTGTCCTCATCGATGGAAGAATGCCGCGCGGAGACGGTTGCCCTTTATTGTGAGTTGAATTCCGAATGGGGGCTTTGCGCTGATACGGGCGTCGCCTCGGATCGGCAGTGGTCAGCAATCTCGATATCCTCAAGATCTTCAGTGTGAGTGCTATGTTGCGACTTGTCTGTGCATTTACTGACGCGTTCCTTTGAAGTACACGGACAAACAAGAGATCGACGACATTCAATACATCACATTCTTGCTCATGGCGAGAGCTGGGCTGAGGGCTCTCGAGTTCTATGATCCTGCTAAGAAGAAGCATGGTCAAGCTCACATGCAAGCTCGGTATTAATTTTTTCTATTTCTCCAGTCCGACCATTTCATTTCATTCCACTCAATAGGCTAGGCATCACCCAGCATTTGATAGCAGGAGGTATTGCTCGACTTGAGGAGGTTAGGAATGCCGTGGGTGAGCTGGAGAATCTCTACGTCAAGGTATGCAGAGGGGTCACCGACGTATCTGTTCCGATTTTGACATTTCAATTATACTTAGGTCGATCGGCAGTCTGTTCTTGAGCGCGGAAAGGAGGTCGTCGGGAAGCTTTTGGTAGAGCTTCAAGTCCTTAAGAGCACGGCAGATGCTGCTGGAGCGCGGAGTTTCTATACCAAATTAACCAAACCGGATCCGGCTTGGGAGGGCGAAATTAGGGACCTCGTAATACGAAAAAAGCTGGTATGTTGGGAAACTCTCATACGAACGCCCATCAATTCTGACGTTTATTAAGCCCCGCAAAATCTTTGTCCAACCCAACACCGTTTTGGTTGATCAGGAGGTCCAATTGAAGGAATACCCACTTACGCCCGCAGGAGTCATTGAGAGCTTCATTGAGCGAGGTATTTGACCGAATTGAGGAGCCGCCGTGGTTATCGGTTTGGTCTGATGTGCTTTTCGAAGACTAGGGTGTGTATGTAATTGTAGATTAAATCCAGAATCATTGCAAACGGAAAACGTTAAACTAACAATGCGATGCGACCATGGGTAGGTTGAGTGACGACTCATATCGTCTCCTTGACAAGGGCAACAATAACTGTAACACTGGAATCAAATCAGCCCTATTTCTTGTCTTTGACTGTGAAATAACCTACTCATCTGGTTTCTGTGATTACATGAAGACATCCAGTAAGCAAAAGGCACAAGGAAGAAAATGGGGGGCTCAACGTACTCCGCCTCGGAAAAACATGCCTTGTCGAGCTGCGTCTCCTGGGTGTTTGGGTCAGCGATAGGATTGATCGAAAAGCTTCAACATACTCTCAAATGGGCTAACTCTGTCTTTGCTGTCCATACATAGACGCGCATAATGAACCATACGGTCTGCTATGGCTTGCACCCGTACGTCCTCGGACCCGCCAGCCCGGGAAGCGAGCAAGCATATAGTTGCCATGTCATCGGGGAATACATTATCCGATAGTCCGTCTGTCTGAAGCATTGAACCCGTCAGGGCTGGGAGAAGAGGCTGGTATCAGGGACATACATAGGCAACGATGATGTCGCCATCTCGTAATTTCACCTGGTGCGTGGATGCCTCGCTTGGGGAATCGACGCAAGCTCGAGGAAACCTGCGACCGGAATTGGCAGGAAGTTTTGTCAGCTGTCTATGATACCCTGTCAGCTCAGCAATTAAACGACGAGTACCAGAGGTGTTCACTTTGGACAATTGAAAAAGTGTGTTTGTGATGGTTGTCGGTATAACATATTTGAACCCCGAAATATCGTGAAACCACTATCGCCCAGACTATAAAGGGAATGGTCAAAGAGAGCAATCCACGAGGCTGCAAAAAACTTACTTTGCCGAGCGAAGTACTCCGGAAGAAGCATTTAGGCTAATAATGCACGCTGTACTTGAACCTGAGCAAAGAGTTAACGCTGGTTATATGTAGAATCTGAAGAAACGGATCCTTACCAGCCTGAACAAACCGCTCTCGAAGGACACCACCATACGCCAAATCCAGACATTCATATGGGGTCATCTCCCAGCCCTCTATCTGTTCGCGCTCCTCATAGTCCATGGTGGGGTCAATCTCGGGCTCTCCCGCCCAAGCATTTCTCGAATAACGGTGGGCGTGGTACATAAGAGCTTGGGAGAAGAGAGATGGGTCGACGCCGCTGTCCGTCCATCCGCCAACCCCATCCGCAACGCCAAATGAGACGCCCTTAACACGGACAAGAAAGGGTTAAGGACCCGGAGCACATCTTGAAAGGCGGGAAGGAGAACGCTTACTGACTGGCTCCGCATCTGTCAAAAAGGGACTTTGAGCAACAAGAAATAGAGATGACGCGCGCGCGCCCGCTCGCGCACCTGGATCATCTTATTCCTCTTGCGCGACGGGTGACGCGGGGAGGGAGGAGGAGGAATAGTGCCTACCTCTTGTATAAAAAAGAAGTCTTCGCCTGCGTCATTGTTATTATAAGCTGATTTTGGACGTGAAAGCATTTTATCCCGCCATGATCCAATGGGGGTATCCGGAGGAAAGGGAACCTTTCGTATTCGGTGGTCTTCAACTTTTCCTGCCCAGCTTGCGGCGATGTGAAAGGTATAGGGACGGGGAGCAAGAGTTGCGAGGGAGCGAAACCGATGGGTCTTGCGCAGTATTTGCCGGACTAGAGAGGGTTTGTAGTGATGGGTCAGTGTATGGAGAGTCCGCGTCATAGTGGGCGTTCAAGCCAAGTAGGTCCGAAAGAATCATTTGAACGCGGTTCATTACGCCACGTGATCATGCATTTTTTTCTCTCTATTTACGCTTAAACGGATTTCTACTTGGGTGTCTGGGTGGAGGTTGGTTTTGCTGCGGTACGGTGTTGACAGCCTCATGTGCGCGTTTTACCAAAAGTTCTCCCAGCTGTTGCCTCGCAGCCGCCGCTTTTCCTGCCCTCCGGTCGACAACAGCAATCTCTGGATGCCCACTCTCCTCTTTTTTCTTCTTTATCCGTATCATTTCCTTCTTCTGAATGCCTGACATAACCTTTGCAAGGTGCGACCATGCCAGCGGCTCGCGGTACAACATTAACTTTGCTTCACCGGGGTCCTTTGGAAGTTGACCTATACGACGTTGAGGGCGAGCGAAGAACGCATGAGCTGTAATTTGCCGAGCGTCCCTTTCTTCGTGCCGTTGAGTATCTCTATCGCGTTCCACGTCTAAATGTTCGTGAATGCTTTCATCTTCCACCTCCTCATTAAGGAAGAACTGATCGGGGTCGTATACAGGCGGGGACGACGACAGGTTGTCACGCTTTTTTGGTCTCTGACTGAAACTGCCCTGTTTGTTTCTAGAATAAAATCCAGCCTGTCTTTGTTCTTCCTCCGTGAAAAGTGTTGCTGTGTTTCCAATGATAATGTTTCTAGATTGAGAGCCCGTTTTCTTGCGAGGAATCACAGCAAAAGAATTCTGAGGCGCGACGGTGGAGACTTTGGTTTGGGGCTTGGCTAGGGGGTCATTAAAAGTTGTGATTTGGAGTGTGAAAGGGTTTTTTGAGGAGTGAAGGGTGGGTGAAAGTTTTTGGAGGGCAGAAAGAGCAGTGTAGAGTGAGGATGGGTGGTACAAAACCTGCTCATTCCCCTGGTTGAATTCAGGTGGAATAGAGGAGCACTTGGTACCTCTAAGGTCTAAAAAAAATAAGTTGGTGCGAGTTGGGGCATGATAGGTTTGGAACGAACCAATAACTGACAACAGAACAAACTTTGCAAGATGAGGGAAGACGTCGTTTGTGATGTTCTTGCAGTTTCTAAGACGCAAAATTCGCAAAGGCCATGGACCTCTGTGAGACAATTCCTCGGTTTGAAGGGTAGCTGCCAGAGTTCTGATGGCATAGGGGGTGAGAGAGGTGCTGGACGCGTCCAATGCGATGAGGGTATGAAGGGCACCAAGACGTGTTATTGTGACATCGGTTACCTGGGAACAACCGGGTAATTCAAGGATGGTAACGAGGGAAAAGAGGGATGTATTGGAAATGTGCTGGAGGAGGTTGAGATGGGGATTGTCGAATGGTAAATTGTAGACTGAAAGAGAGGTAGGCAGACCATTATAGATCTGTACGAGGGTGGCCCAGAGACGAGGGTCGAGGTATTTGTCTGGAATAGAAAAGTGGGAAGAACGGTAGTTGAGGCGGAGATTGAGGAGATGTGCTTGATCTGGTGAATTCGAGAGAAGGTGAAGACAATAATAGACAAGAGACGGAACCATGATAGATTATTTATTTATTTATTTAGTGTTGTCATGCGGTCACGTTCTTGACGGTCACATCATCTCCCTGTCCGAGTCTCCCACTCTCCCTCTCTCTAAGTATTCCTCATCGCTGGCGTCAACACTCTTTCCTCTGTTCTCTCATTTATCCCCTTTCTTTCTCTAATGTCTGCCCCCTCAGGCTTTCCACCACCTCAGGACACACGCAACAACCCCTTTGCACAACGCCCACCTCAAAATAATCCTTCCTTCCCCATTCATAATAATGGTCCCGCCTTCCCAAGACCGGGTCCCTCTTTCCCCATTGCTCGCCGAGACTATGATGCAGAGTCAGATATGAGCGACCATTACAACTCAATGAATTCTAGCACAACGCGACTTGCAGGTGCACCTGCATTCTATGATCAATCTAGTGGTAAGTCTCTTCCGCCGCGCCGCCTCTGCCGCTCTTTACAACTTTACTTTCAGGCGATACCGGCTCCGAGATATACGGTCGTCGATATGACCCCTCAGTCGACTCCCATGCCAGTATTCCAAGCATATCTCCTTATGCTGACCCTGGTCTCGGCTCCACTGAACATTATCCCGCTTGGTCTGCGGATCGTCAAATACCGATGTCAACCGAGGAAATTGAAGACATTTTTCTTGACCTCACTCAGAAGTTTGGTTTTCAGAGAGATTCAATGAGGAATATGGTATGTTTCCTCCGATTTCCGAGCTAATTTTATTCATATAAAAAAACACTCTTACCTTGCAGTTCGACTTCACGATGCATCTTCTTGATTCTCGCGCATCCCGTATGAGCCCAAATCAGGCTCTCATCACTCTTCATGCAGACTACATTGGCGGACAACATGCCAACTACCGCAAGTGGTACTTTGCTGCTCAGCTCAACCTCGATGATGCCGTCGGTCAATCACAGAATCCCGGTCTTCAACGTCTCAAGAGCGTCAAGGGCGGCGGAAAGCCTGCAGGCGCAAAGTCACTTGACAGTGCACTCAACCGCTGGCGAAATGCCATGAACAACATGAGCCAGTATGACCGTCTCCGTCAAATAGCCCTGTATCTCTTGTGCTGGGGAGAGGGGGGCAACGTTCGATTCGTCCCGGAGACTCTGTGCTTCATTTTCAAATGCGCGGACGACTATTACCGTAGTCCAGAGTGTCAAAACAGGGTCGAGCCAGTACCTGAGGGGCTTTACCTCAACACCGTCATCAAACCTCTTTACCGCTTCATGCGAGACCAGGGTTATGAAGTCGTTGATGGAAAGTTTGTGAGGAAGGAGAAGGATCACGCAGATATCATTGGCTATGATGATGTCAACCAACTGTTCTGGTATCCGGAAGGTCTCGCCAAGATTGTTCTCTCGGATAATGTGCGTCGAATCTTATCCTTTTACAATCACTTCCATTGAATATATCTTATCACAGACCCGTCTTGTTGATGTTCCACCTTCTCAACGCTTTATGAAGTTTAGCAAGATAGAGTGGAACCGTGTCTTTTTCAAGACCTATTTCGAGAAGCGCTCTACAGCCCATCTATTGGTCAACTTCAATCGTATCTGGATCCTACACGTCTCCGTTTTCTACTTTTACACAGCTTTCAACTCTCCGAAAGTCTACGCCCCTCGAACGAAAGCCACTCCTTCAGCTCCGATGACTTGGTCTGCCGTTGCTCTTGGAGGCGCCGTGTCCACTATCATCATGCTCCTTGCAACCATCGCCGAATTCTCATACATTCCTACCACTTGGAATAATGCCTCACATTTGACTACACGTTTCATTTTCCTCCTGGTCATTCTTGCACTAACGGCGGGACCGACCTTTTACATTGCTATGGTGGACGATCGACCCGCTCAGACTCAAATTCCTCTCATCATCGGCATCGTACAATTCTTCATCTCTGTCGTGGTCACCATTGCATTTGGACTCATTCCTTCTGGACGGATGTTTGGTGACCGCGTAGCAGGCAAGTCCCGCAAATATATGGCCTCCCAAACTTTCACGGCATCCTATCCTGCTTTGGCACGCAGTGCCCGCAGTGCCTCCATCTCTCTCTGGCTTCTCATTTTTGGGTGCAAGTTTGCCGAATCCTACTTCTTCTTGACGTCTTCGTTCAGTAGCCCCATTGCCGTCATGGCAAGGACGAAAGTTCAAGGTTGCAACGATAAACTATTCGGAAATGCCCTGTGCACAAACCAAGTGCCATTCACCCTTGCGATCATGTATGTGATGGATCTAGTGCTCTTCTTCCTGGATACATATTTGTGGTACATCATATGGATTGTCATCTTCAGCATCGGACGCTCGTTCTCACTCGGCTTGTCCATCTGGACGCCTTGGAAGGACATTTTCACCAGACTGCCAAAGAGAATTTACGCAAAATTGTTGGCGACGGCGGAGATGGAGGTTAAATACAAGCCCAAAGTGTTGGTTTCCCAGATCTGGAATGCCGTCATCATTTCCATGTATCGCGAGCATTTACTCTCTATTGATCATGTCCAGCGCCTCCTCTATCATCAAGTGGATGGTGCTGATGGCCGCCGAACCCTACGTGCTCCTCCCTTCTTCACCAATCAGAATGGTTTCAAGGGCAATTTCTTCCCACCGGGTGGCGAAGCTGAACGCCGTATTTCCTTCTTTGCGTCCTCGTTGACCACCGCCCTTCCTGAGCCCTTGCCCGTCGACGCCATGCCCACTTTCACGGTTCTCGTGCCACATTATTCGGAAAAGATTTTGTTGAGTCTTCGCGAAATCATTAGGGAGGAGGACCAAAATACCCGCGTTACACTGTTGGAGTATTTGAAACAGCTGCACCCTGTCGAGTGGGACAATTTTGTCAAAGATACCAAGATACTTGCAGAGGAAGGTGCTGACAGCACGACAAGCCAGGCAAATGAGAAGACTTCCAAGACCGACGATCTTCCGTTCTACTGCATCGGTTTCAAGACTTCCTCCCCTGAATACACTCTTCGCACGCGCATTTGGGCGTCTTTGCGCGCTCAGACCTTGTATCGCACAGTCTCCGGTATGATGAACTACTCCAAAGCGATTAAATTGCTCTACAGAGTTGAGAATCCGGACATCGTGCACAATTTTGGCGGGAACACTGAGCGGCTTGAGCGCGAACTTGAGCGCATGGCACGACGTAAATTCAAGTTTGCCATTTCTATGCAACGGTTCTCCAAATTCAACAAGGAGGAACAAGAGAATGCCGAATTCCTATTGAGGGCGTACCCCGATCTGCAGATTGCTTACCTCGATGAAGAGCCAGGTCCCAAGGGGGGTGAATCAAAACTTTTCTCTGCGCTGATTGATGGACACTCGGAAATTGACGAGAAAACTGGCAAGCGAAAGCCTAAATTCCGTGTTGAGCTTCCTGGAAATCCAATTCTTGGAGATGGCAAGTCTGACAACCAGAACCATGCGATGATCTTTTATCGTGGAGAATATTTGCAACTTATCGATGCTAATCAAGATAACTATTTGGAAGAATGTTTGAAGATTCGCAATATCCTTGGAGAGTTTGAAGAATTATCCATCTCGAGTCAGAGTCCGTATGCTCAGTGGGGTCACAAAGAGTTTTCCAAATCCCCTGTTGCCATCGTTGGTACCCGCGAGTACATCTTCTCGGAAAATATCGGTGTTCTTGGAGATATCGCTGCCGGCAAGGAACAAACATTCGGTACACTGACAGCGCGTGCCCTGGCTTGGATTGGTGGCAAGCTGCATTATGGCCATCCAGATTTCCTCAACGCTACTTTCATGAATACTCGTGGGGGTGTGTCCAAGGCGCAAAAGGGGTTGCATTTGAACGAGGATATTTTTGCGGGTATGAACGCATTTGGACGTGGAGGTCGAATCAAGCATTCGGAGTATTATCAATGCGGCAAAGGTCGCGATCTTGGGTTTGGGACGATCCTGAATTTTCAGACCAAGATTGGGACTGGAATGGGAGAGCAGATGCTAAGCCGAGAGTATTATTACCTCGGCACTCAACTACCTATCGACCGCTTCCTCACGTTTTACTATGGTCATCCTGGATTCCACATCAACAATATTCTTGTTATCAAGTCCATCCAGATTTTCATGGTAACCTGTGAGTCTTTTTATTTCAACCTTTCTCCACTTTTTTGAACGTTTTCTAGTGCTTTTCATCGGAACACTCAACAAGCAGCTGGCTATCTGTCGAGTAGATTCTCAAGGCAACGTGATCGGTGGGCAACCTGGGTGCTATAATCTCATTCCTGTGTTCGATTGGATCAGGCGTTGCATCGTCTCTATATTTTTGGTTTTCGGCATTGCGTTCTTGCCGCTGTTCTTGCAAGGTACTTGTTTTGATTCTCATCCTTTGAAGTGCCTTTCACTTAGTTGTTGAACCTAGAACTTGTAGAACGTGGTACCGGCAAAGCCCTGCTTCGATTAGGCAAACATTTCTTATCCCTGTCGCCCATATTCGAAGTGTTTTCGACTCAAATCTACTCGAATTCTATCCTAAGCAATCTTAGCTTTGGTGGTGCCCGATATATTGCGACAGGGCGTGGCTTTGCCACCACTCGTATTTCGTTCAGCATTCTCTATTCCCGCTTTGCTGGACCAAGCATCTACATGGGCATGAGAAATCTGCTTATTTTGCTTTACGCCACAATGTCAATCTGGATACCCCATCTGATTTACTTCTGGCTTTCGGTCTTGTCTCTATGCATTGCCCCCTTTTTGTTCAACCCCCATCAATTTTCATATGCCGACTTCATAATCGACTATCGCGAGTTCCTTCGGTGGATGTCGCGTGGCAACTCTCGGACGAAAGCAAGCAGCTGGTACGGGTATTGCCGTTTGTCGCGTACTATGATCACGGGCTACAAGAAGAAAAAGTTGGGACACCCTTCAGAGAAACTCTCTGGTGATGTTCCTCGAGCAAGCTGGAGATCGGTCATTTTTGTAGAAGTCCTGTGGCCCATCTGTAGCTCCATCATTTTCGTGGTGGCGTATATGTTTGTTAAATCGTTCCCGGACAAAGACGGAAACCAACATCCCAGTCCCCTCATTCGAATCGCCGTGATCGCCATCGGACCTGTCGTGTGGAACGCTGCAATTCTCATCTCCTTTTTTTTCATCTCCCTGTTCCTGGGGCCTATGATGGAATCTTGGGCAAAGTTCGGGTCAGTTATGGCCACTGTTGCTCACACCCTTTGCCTATTTGGATTGGTAGCGTTTTTCGAGTTCTTTGTACGTTTTTGATTTACACTATGGTGGGCTATTGCTGACATAGGGTGTCGTAGTGGTTCCTCGAGCTCTGGGACGCCTCGCACGCCGTCCTGGGTGTAATAGCGATCATTGCCGTCCAGCGTACTGTCCAAAAGATCCTTATCGCTGTCTTTTTGACCCGTGAGTTCAAACACGACGAAACGAATCGTGCATGGTGGACTGGCAAATGGTATGGTCGGGGATTGGGTAACTCCGCCATGTCACAACCTGCACGAGAGTTCATTGTTAAAATCGTCGAGATGTCGCTCTGGGGTTCAGATTTCCTACTTGGCCATGTCCTGCTGCTCATCTTGACACCGCCCATCCTGATACCGTATGCAAATAGCTTGCACTCAACCATGCTGTGTACGTCCCTCCACTCGTCCTCGCTTTCATATTGTTTAATTCATGAACAGTCTGGCTCCGACCTTCCAAACAAATACGAGCTCCACTCTTTTCCACGAAACAAAAGAGACAACGAAGATGGATCGTAAGTAAAGCCTCGTGTTCCCTCGCATGGTTATCTTATCGCCTAACCCTAGGTCATGAAATATACCATTGTTTACGTTGTCGTGATCGCCTTCCTCGCGGCGCTGATCGTTTTGCGTGAGTCCAATTGCGTTGTGCTTGACGAATATCAATTAATGACGATACCTGTAGCCGCTCTAATGCGGGATCGAATCACGTTTGATTGTTCCATCTGCAGGAATATATAACAATTTAACGCCTATCCACCCACTCGCATCACGGTGACTTATCAATAAATCCTCCCCAGGCCCAACGGTTAGGACGGTGATGTCTGTACATACCACCCATAACACTCCTTCGTCCCATGTATCATAATCAGCATTAGATATCAGCCTGTTGCCCGGCGTACATAATCAGGATAGAATACCCACCCGTACCAGCAGGATTCCTTCATACCCTAGGCAATGCTTTGATTTATTTAGGATCGACAAATGTAATTCCCTCAAAATTCCCTTTGAAAGCCATCAGCATCATGTGATTCATTTAAGGCTACCTCTTCCTTCTCTCTGTCTCTTTGACGCGTCGAATGGACTACTTTTCAAAATTTCTGAGAACGTCAGTCCAGCCGGCTGCCAAAATTTCCATAGATCATGCACAAGAGTTCCATAAATCCTGGAACTTTGTCAAGGTTATCGCCCCACTTTTGTTTCGTTGTCTGAGTTATTATTGAACAACGCCCCCAGAATACACTCCTTCAACCAGATGAACGCCAACTGACAAAGGGGATAAGCTCAACTGACGTGCCTTCACATCTACGTTCGATGGTGGATTCGCTTGTCTGGGAATCTACAAGAACAGAAGAGGGGTGTGTTCATCGTTCCGTCAGATCGCGAATGTGGACTCAGTCTGTGATAGAGGCACTGGTGCTTGCTTAGAATACCTCCTTAAGAACGGTACGTTGAGTTCCGCTTTTGTTCACGCCTGACTTACGGTTGTCTCAAGATGTTCTTGGGACGCTCGTTCGGCTCAGTGAAGCCGATCGTCCATCAGGCATCCAAGCAGAAGTTTTGCGCGCGGTACAGAATATGGTGGTACTGTTGGACGAGCAATTTCTGGTACATTCTGCAGTTCACAGGGCGGTGCTAAGGCTCCTCCGCAATTGCGTGGGGGACGACTTGCAAGAGCAATTAGATGGACGAAGCAAAGTTATGGGTGCTGCAGGCAACGCGGCTAAAAGCCAGCCCTCTGAACACGAGGAAGATTGTGCGTGAGGCTTTTATTCAGGACCGATGCCTGCCTCACTTCAATCCTTCAGTGGTCAACCTCCTCTGCATCTTGTGTAGCCGTATTCGGACATATCGCGAGCTTCTTATGATCTTCTTCCATGATAAACATTGGTATCGATCCGAGCCCTTGTTCTCTGTCGAGGAGGAAGAAGAGGAGGAAGAGGAAGAGGATATTGATGTTGCGGAAGAAGATAAGGTCGACGAGCCGTCGTCGCCATCTCGCTCTACCTCACCTAGCCCCTCTCAAGCCACCATAACTTCTATTCAAGCCCCCTCTTTGGCAAAGAAACCGGAATATGAATTCCTCTTGTTTAATTACCTTCTTCGTTTTGTCCATCGTGAAGGACAGATAGGGGAATTTGCTCGCGCAGGCCTAATTTTCCTAATGGATGTCGCCATGTCCTCGGGAGAGTCAGGAACTGGATCATCCAAAGATGAAAATTTACACTCTCCAGACACACCTATCTCTGACCCCGTTAACGACGCCGCTTTGGCACTTGCTGAGTATATCCTTGACGGCGATTTTTCCGAGGTTTTGGGTGCTGGTCTAGGCGCCGTATATTCTCTCCTCCCTTCGAAACTCGGCTTCTTCCCTCAAAAATCGTCGTCAGATCCAAGTAGCAACACAATGACGATTGGTAGCACTGGTATGGAGACTGAAGACGAGAACGAACAGCTCATGGCCTTGAAGGATAGAAATCGTGCAATGGGTATCGAAGATGCTCAGAACTCTGATTTCAAGTCACGACTAGATCATTTCCTAAAATTGCTGGAATTTCTCCAGGATGTTTTGAGGCGCAACGTCTCTCATGATAATGTCGATGCGTCGGCACTGGTCGGAACGGCCATCGTTCAGTCTATCTTAGACGCCGTCCGTCGTATATTCCTCGAAAATGTGTTATACCCCTCCATCTTGGAGTGCTCGGATGCGGATGGGAGCGCCGTCGCTGTCATGTCATATATCGAGATCATGATAAGGACCCTTCAACCAGGACCCCTATCCAGCCTACTTGTCAATTTTCTCATCAACGAAGACAATGATGAGCCCCGACACAGGCAGCGCCCACATGCAATGTTAAATTTGGGTTCTACTCCGCCTCAAACTGGGTCTTCGCATGATAAAAACGCGAAACTCAGAAGGCGGAAGAGTAGTGCAATGGTGCTATTAGAAATGGAAGCACCCGAGTCCAGAAAACCATCAGAATACTTTACCTCTATGGGCCGATTTACCCTCAGAGATCTTCTTCTTTCCAACCTGCGATCAAAATCTCAAGCAACAGCAACCTCCGCCCTACAACTTCTGCAATCAATGCTCGTTTATCATCCTGAGTTGACCGTCGCACGGCTTCTTCTCGTAATACCCGATCCAATGGCAACCGCTTTTCCTTGTCTTGTTTTGCTCAAGCAGCGTCGTGAATCAACGCATTTATTTGAGTCTGCTGAAGAGGATGATGAAGAATCATTTCGGTATCCTGGAGAAGAGAAAGAAGATGAGACCAGTTTTTCTTCTTCTACGAATGACTCAATGTTTTCTCAGCCTGATACAACCTACTCCACCCACGAGCGTGAAATGGGACTTTATCTCACTCTTATATCTCGCGTTGATTCATCGCACAAAAATGACGGCTTCAGTACGGGATACGACCACTATCTTCGGGACGCACTTATTTCAGTCCAAAGTCAGCCAGTATATTGGCTAGCGTGTCAGAACTCTGATGAAGCGGCGTCAACGCGGCCACTCAAGCATCGCTTAAACCCCAATGACCCCGTACTTTCTCGTCTTTTGGAGTCCATGAGGGCTTTCTTCTCGAACACTCCTGACTTCAACATCACCCTGACGGGGGTATTAGCTACTTTGGCGATTCATCCTTATCGTTCACTTGCTGGCTGGTTAACTGTTGCCCACGATGACACATCCTCCGATGTACAAAGCGCAGTTCAGGACGTAGAGGACGACGACGGAGATGACCGTTCCATTGACTTCCTCATCGAGGAAAAGCTGGCTAATGATACAATTTATCTGCCAGCTGCAAGTATGGATGACAGTTCTCGACCGGTTTTGTACACCATATTCCATGGTCTTATCAATCAACTTGAGCGATACCGACAACTAGTGGATGACTTTGACAAATTTTTACTCGAGAGACGGCAAGGGCTTCTCTTCTCGGAAAATTTGACGGATGCCCTCCATCTTTCGCTGGATATCGTTGACGAGTCAAAGCCGGTTCTACCCACGTCTGACATCACTCCAAAAGCGAAGCTCAAGCCCCCAAAGGCATCGGCCTCGTCCTTCGTATCATTCCTGACGCCAAAAAAAAGCAAAGCCGTCCGACCACCTCAGCCAGAGCCATCGACGCCTCAGAAAGCGCCCTCAAAGAATACACCAGCCAGTCCTTTCGGCGCACACTATCAGCAAACTGGGTCGATCAGCGTCGAGCCATTCATTGCCCCCGTCCCATATACAGCTCTATGGACCCCCTCTAAAGTGACCGCGTGGAAGTCGGTTGAAGAAGACGTCTTCGGGTCTGGCTGGGTCGAGAAGGAAACGGACGAGTGGGAAGCGGGCGAGAATGTGGATGACGGAAATAAGGCTGGGACGACAGTGCGGGTGACGTTGTCGCAACTCCTCGATAATGTCGTCATCTTGGAGGAAAGCATAAAAGAGCTTGTGGCCATTATTCATGCCCGACGGAGCCTGGGTATCGATCATCTTCGTTACCTTTGATACCCTCCTCTTCATCAATCGCAGGTTTAGAATTGTAAATTATACATCTAGCATTCAGTGGAATTACGAGTAAGAATACAAAAGGGGGTTTCATAGAAAAGTGCAGATTTAAAAAATCATCATTTCGCTTTCCTCCCCTTTCGCTTGATCCTCCCATTTGCTTCAGGGATATCGACCTTCCGCTTCCCACCAAAGAGTTTTGCTTGTAATTCCGCAAACTCCGCATCGTCGATCTCTGGAGGAGGTGGAACGCCACGCCGAGATTTTTTGTTTGGTGGCTCTCCATCATCAGCCGCGCTGTGCGCTCTCTTCTTCCCCTTTTCCCGGGATGTTGCTTTAGGTTCAGAATATTTCGCTGCTAGACTGTCGAAAAAGCCGTCCATATTCTTCTTATTCTTCTTCAAAATGAGGGCTTGAAGGGCGGATTCATCATTGTGTTCTGCATCCTCGCCCTGCCCCTTCCCCTTGCCTTTCTCTTTCGCCTTTTTGCGGTCCGTGGCTTTCCCACTCCCATAAAATTCATCCCAAACACCTAGCTCCTTCGCGAGCTTCTCCGCTTCCTTTGCTTCCCTCTCACCCTTCTTCATACGCGCCAATTTGGCCCTCTGATCCTTCACACCTGTCTCCCAAGCGGGCGTTGTTTTTAGTTCGCCTTGGGATATTAAGGAGGAAATGGTGATAGTGAGCCTATCCTCATCCTCGTAAGTCGAATGCGGAATGTAAGTCATTATATCTGCAATAGAGCCGTTCGTTTCAAGATAGGCCGATTTCAAGTCCTCAACTTCTTCTGTAGAGCCTGGCCACATTTCAGAGAGAGGAAACCGGCGGTAAGGACATAGGTACCGACCTTGGTACTCTTTCTTCATTTGGTCAAGTTTGCCGCGAGTGACACCGTCGAACAAATCTTGGAAGTACGTCTCCCACCCATCGTCACCTGAACCCAGTTCAAAACCCTCATTTGTCTCTCCAGTCCTATCGTAGCGTGTTTTTCTCTTTTCATCGCTAAGAACAGCGTAAGCAAAACCAATTTGCTGGAATTTGGTCGACGCGTCTGCCTTGGCCTGCTCAGCCGCTGTGGCATGTTTGTCTGGATGGTAGACAAGGGCGAGACGACGGTAAGCTTTCTTTATAGAATCTGGACTGGCATCTTCTTTCAAATTCAGGACAGCGTATAGGTCGACTGAGGATTCCCCTGGAAAGAACAGGGTTATTGGATCGTTGTTGTCCATGTTGGTGGTACTTAAGCACGAAGATGCATCGTGACCGTAACGCTATATCAACAGGATTCACGTGAGAGTCACTCAACGCGTCTAATTAAATTATTTAAATAAATATCCGGTTAGCAAATTCCTTTTCCACCACCTTTCCATACTCATCTAATCCACCCGTCCACAACGCGTACCACACAGACGCGAAGACAACTCCATAAGCACTCCCTGCCAACACCTGCGCCCATGTGTGGTGTCCAAGCCACACTCTTGACATCATGATCATTACTGCCCAGGGAAATATGATGAGAACTGGTACCACTCTTGAAGCAGAATTCAATGGAAGGGAATGGTGGACGGGGAGATAGGTCGCGGCCAAGAGTATGTAAGCCGCAAAGAAAGTTATTGTTGCTGAATGGGTGCTGGGCATTCTGCAATCAAGGCTGTAAGCCTCGACCCTATAACTCATGCGACTCCACGTTACCCGTAGGACTGCTTTGCCTTTCGACGCAGGACTGCTTCTGGCGGAGGTCGGGGTTGTCGGACGACCCTTTTCACGACCTTGACCGTAAGACTACAGAAGACAGCTCCGATGGAAAAGTAGGCGACGCCTGCCGATCTTGTGTAAAGAACGAAACAAGCAGTCATTCCTGTAACTATAATATTTGTCTGTACAAGTTGTGAGAGCACAAAATAGAGCTGAAAGTGTACTTACTCTGTCAAGGACGGTCATCCACATTTGTAATAGGATTGGCCATCCCATTCTCGACGATGTTGATGAAGGCACAGAGTAAATGAGTTGGATGGAAGATGACGGGGCCAGGGAGACACATCCAAACAACAATACAATTCCACACGCATGAAGATTGTCCAAATTTCCTTCATAAGGTAAAACGAGAGTACACTGGCCAATGACAACCAGCTAATAAAGATTACAACAATCTGTACCGTTAGTACTTACTAGGGCCGGTCCTTTTGGTATAGCATGTGGTAATAGAGTGCGTATTGCGGGGTACTCGCAGAAAGGAATATAAATCCAACCTAAATTCAACCAATAGATCTGAGGGTATTGTCCGAATCATTCAATGGATATCCGAGGGCCTAGTGGGGCCCCTGATTGGTATGCTTGATTCGAGCTGGCCTTTTCGCCGGCAAGTTTTGGCCGACTAGGGACAGCTGAAAAAGAAAGGAAGTTTAAATAGCATGGCGGAAAAAGACCAAAGCCTTACCATTGATTTTGGAAGCCTGCAGCCCTCGGTCAAAATCAGCGAAGCATCGAAGGCCCACAGCAAATGTCCCAATAAGTAAAATGAAGGCAACGATCGCTATGGGTTTCTCTAAGCAATCAGCTGTCATGTCAAAAGACGTAAACGCACTGAAAACAGTAAGAGTGGCTCGTGTCGTTTGGTACTGGGCTTGGGATGAAGGTTCATAAAATCGAACGAGTTTATATACTTCAATCGTGGTTGAGAAGGGACAGCTGTTTAACAAAACATTCACTCACAAACTTGGGTTTAAAGAGAGGACGAGTTAGCAGTATGACGAATGACATCGCATATGAACTCACAGTAGCTCGAAGCCGCCAACATCATCACCAACGAGATGGACATTATCCTAACGAAAGCGTCAGGTGAGCTACAAGGTCACATGTGATAGCCTCGTACCACTTCACTTCGCGCTGTACCGCCAAGCCACAAAGAATTAACAGGATAAGGACCACGGGAATCGCAGCGATTGTAACACCATATTCCGCCGAGTTGCGTTGAAGTACAACGATGAGAAGCTATCCATTGATTAATAGATCTTATGATGATGATATTGAAGTAAATAAATCACCTGCATGGTAACACCACTGAAAAAGAAGAAATCGAACTTGAGGAGGCAGATCATGATCTGGTACCATTGATACATTGCTAACCAGGCATGTTAGATATGATTTCCGAATGAAAGCGGCTGGAGTTCAGACGCACTCTTCATCTTGGGGTTGGCGCCTACAACATGGAAAATTGCCCAACTGCAAAAGTGAAGGAGTATGAGATCCGAAGAGGGAAAGAAAAGATGACTGTTCTGACCCAAACTCTGCGTATAGCTTCCTAACGAAGAAGATCATAAGGAACCAGGAGAGCCCAATGACGCAAGGTGCAACAATAAGGAAAGGTTGAATCTTGGCCCATAGCGTTCCAGAACCGCCACAGTCCTACTTTTCCATGACTTGCAGCCGATAAAAGTTAAAGGGTATCACGCACAGTGAAGCTTTCTTCTGAACCACAATCATCTCCAAGCGTAACGAGAGCTGATTTTGTTTGGTGAACCTGAAGGGCCGCAGAAACCACGAGTGCGAGATGAAAAACTACGGCAGCCCAATAAGCATATTTCCAAGCTCGATGTCTTCTACCACGCACTTAAAAGTCCTATCAGCTGGATGATATTGCGGAGGCGCAAGGCATCAAATGCCATGAAAAGTTCGAAGAGCCTGCGCAGTTGTTCATAACGTTATCGGGCCGAAGAGAAGGATGACACACTCTGCCAATGCAAAAAGGGCCAAGTAACATGGTAAGGTCTGCGTAAAACGTGAATTTTTGTCCCACGTCGTGACGAGGGAGACATGTACCGTATATTTCCCCTCATGTAAATCAACATGCTCATCAACCTAATGCTGCGGTGTAAACGTCCCGCTAGCAAGAAAATCAAAGGTATTGCAGACCTTATTGAAGGTAATTCCAACCATCACCAACACTACGATTGCCTCTATTGTGGATCATCATGTCAACAGTGAAGAACGTTGAAGCTAGGACGAGTTGGTACTGACGAATTGTTACTGAAAGGAATGACTGTCAGCAGGTCCAAACCGAAATTGTGATGCTCACCTGTCCCTATAAATGCCCGCTGCGCCTTTGTGGCGAGCAACGGTTCGACGGCCATGGTGAAGGGGAACGCAGAGATGGGAAAACAGAGTGAAGGATCAAGATGAATGCCAAGTATAGTAAGTCAATGATGTTGACCTGACACGTGACATGTATCTAAAATTGGACGTCCTCCTCGATACACCTCACCACAGCCTTTGCTGTGTGCAACTCTTCTTTCCAAAGCATTTCAATATTCTCGTACATCCATTTTCCCCAGTCAACCGTGCACTCAGAAGCCCTTCTTTTTACTTGAACAACTCCGGCCTCGGCCTCCCGGATTATTGCGTTGCAGATGCTTAACAGTGTAGCCTTCCACAACGCCTCATTTTGTTCTGAAATGATCTCCCGTTCCCCGAGCGTCGCCTTCCTCCATTCGTCGAGGACCTCATCTGAGTTCTCGGGAAGGTCGGAGTCAGCGCCCAGTTCTGACAGGACATGGTAAAGCCGAAGAGTCGTGATGAGGCGATACGATGGATGGGCCGGCGCTGGAGACGTATGTATGGACCAGTTTCTGTGAAATATGGTTAGTCATCATGCAGCAAATGGTCTGGTTTGACAGCACCCCCAATACCCTTCCGCTTCCAGCCAATCCTTCATCCACAGTCCAAGGTTGCCTTTTCCCTCGATCAACCACTCAATCGCTTGCCCGACGTCAACGTCGGCTTGAGCGGTTCCCTCAAGTAACTCGCGCTCTGTCGCCCGAGTGAGGAAACCATACTCCACAAAAAGTGTGCAGTTCGAATGTGACCCATATTTCAAAAATAACTCCTGGCCAGGCAACGCCCAGTTGTCTCCAGGCGAAAGAAAGGTAAGATCTTCCGTTCCTTTCTTACCTGGGGCCACGTTCGTGACGTTTTTGGGCGTCGACAAAGGCGTTGATTGCGTGGTGTGGTTTGCAAAATCCAATATAGGGCAGAGTGTCATGTTGTCGGGGTCAGACTGAGTTTTTTTGAGGCGGTGATATATGCACCGTGTGTTGACTGCGTCATATAGTAAGAGCTGATCTAGACCCCGAGGGAGAGCAGAGGTACGGACCGTTCAGCCATGCCCAGAGAAAGTTCCGTTGTAAGTCAACGTTTGAGACGGGCGCTTCTGCAGGGCGATACGACATCTTGGCTTGGACATGTGAATTTTCTTGCTGCATTCACGAATCAGCCTAGAGTAATAAATACGGTAAGTGGACGTGAGACGAACTAGGTATGCGGAAACTTTTTCCCAGTCAGCGTAAAAAGTTGTTGCAACTCGTTCAAGATCGCGGACGACACGAGGAGGGAGGAGGGCTAGTAGATGGGATTCAACCGAATTTTCATTACGCTCGACGCGTTCTTTCCACAACCAGGTCAAGGGGTGGGCATGAAAGCTGCTGGGGAGGACGGAGATATATGGACCAAAGAGGGGATCCGTGGAAGGGAGGTGATCAAGGGGGCGATAGAGAAGTAAATGTAGGGAGACGAGCTGTGTACCAGAGAGGACAGGCTTAGGTGGATAATGTGGTTGAAGAGTGTTGCAGTTGAGCAGGGCGGAGGCAGGCACGATGAAAATAGGGGTTGCGGGGGGAATGCGACGAACAGCGACAAGACCATAACCAGCGCCGGGAATTTCTCTGGGCTCGACTGGGAGTGTAGATGTCTCCATTCCATGGCCATCCAACCACGAGAGTAAACTTGGCCACAGCCTGGGCATTGGGAGGTCGCTCATCGCTGTCAGCTTTTGGCTTGCTCGAGCCGGCGCATCGTGGTCCCTTCCTTTCCTGGTCACTCCATCATCATGTCCATTTTCAACGCGTCCCGTCTCATAGGAAAAACAGTCCTTGTTACCGGTGCCAGTAGCGGCATTGGCGCCGTTGGTTTCTCCCCTCTGTCCTCCCCTTTCACTTACTCATTTTGTCTTCACAGGCGACGGCCATCTTATTCGCCAGAGTGCGCTCTTTTCATGTCACTCACAATCACAGCTCAAAATAGCTCCAGGGTGGCGCAAACGTCATCCTAGTCGCTCGGCGTGCAGACGCTCTATCTCGCGTCTCAGACGCCTGTCTCGCCGCCCATAAGGAATCTGGTCTTATTGACGGTGGGAAGTTCGCGACCGTGCAGTTGGATGTGTCCGATAGAACACAGGTTGCCGCGTTGTGGAGCAAGGTCCCCCAAGATCTTCGTGATGTTGATATCCTTGGTAGATCCTCAACTTCCTTATTATGCGCATATAACTTGACGCCTTCGCAACAGTAAACAATGCTGGATTCGTCTTGGGAGTTGAGCACGTTGGAGAGATCGCCGATGCAGACATAGACAGCATGTTTGCCACCAATGTCTTCGGCCTTATTTCTATGACCCAGCTCTTGGTCAAAGGTGCGCGAATTTTCGTGCTTTAACACTCATCTTTCATTGATCATGCGATCCAGATTTCAAAGCCAAAAAATCTGGTCATGTCATTAACCTTGGATCAATTGCAGGCATCGAGCCATACGCAGGAGGCAGCATCTATACAGCAACTAAACATGCCGTCAATGCCTTCACTGGCTCTTTGATGCGTGAACTTGTCAACACACCCATTCGAGTTACGGAAATTCAGCCAGGTAACACTTCATACCACTGTCCGTAAATATTCATCTGATGCCCATCAAGGCATGGTCGAGACTGAATTTTCTATCATCCGATATCGAGGTGATACTAGTGCAGCCAAGAAAGTTTATCAAGGCCTTCAACCCCGTGAGTGCCCCTTCTTTTACCAATGAACTTCTCTTCACACCCAAATTCAGTCACAGCAGAGGACATTGCCGAAGAGATTGTATGGGTAGCAGCACGCCCACCTCACGTTAATATTGCCTCGATGCTGGTCTTCCCGACCAACCAAGCCAGTGCTGGAATCAAGTATTCAGAGCCGAGCAAGTGAGGATTGTTCCGAAAGCACGACATGCAATAATATCCACCAAGTGTACATAGATAACCCACCCCTTACGTCTAGATATAGAATGCAACTGAAAAACGACAATGGGTGAATCTATTCGGGCTATGACTTTGTTTTTTTGCTCTTCGACCTTGTGTTCTTCACCACTACCACTTCCTCGACGGGCTCATCATCGTCATTGTCATAGACGAACTTCTTGACTGTGATGTTTTGCTGCACAAGGTCAGCGAGAGGCGAATCAGCGTTGGGTAGATTTCCTAGGGTGTCTAATCGCGCAGCCTAAGAAAAGCCGTCGCATCAACATCTGGTCCACAAGCTCAAGTAACAAGAAAAAGCGCCCACCTTAGCCGTCAATGCCAAACATCCCTTCACTGATCTATTCTCTTTGGAAGGCTGTCGGGTACCAAGCTTGACCTCGTCCAAAAATACAGTGGTATACAACCCTTGGTCCCATTTCACTCGCCGTTTCGGAAGGTCCAAGATGTTCTCCTCTCCCGATTCCTGAAGGAACAATCTATGTCGCCTCTCAACATCAGGGGTTTCATAATCCTCTTCATCTCCAGCACCCCGTCGGTGCCGAGCAAGCGGACTTCCCTGATATTGATCTTCCACAGAACTGGAATGTCCATCACTCTGACCTTCAATGTCACTCGAACCGATGAAATCCGACTCACTCCTCCGAGCTCGTCGGGCTGCTCGTTCCTTTCGCCCCTTTTCCTTTTCGTCCTGTTGTCGCTGTGAAATTGTCCGTACTTTGACGAGGGGACTCTCCGGCCTCACTCCCTCCCTTCTGATTACCTCTGTTTCCAACTTGGCGGCAAGATATACCTGGTTTCGGACAGTATTGGATGTCGTCAGAGCTTTCAAAGCTGTCGCGCTCATGCCTGCGAAGGCGTCATCTGATCGGGAAACGGTCCGACGGGAAACCTTCCGTCGTGGTTGGGTTGCCCCCGTGGTGCCGTCACTAACTATGCCAGTGTCAGATGTTGCTTGCAGGGTTCTGCGGAGGCGAGTTGTTCGCCGGACACCTTCTGACAGTGTCGCAGGTGGAAGCGGTCCAGCAGGCAAAGGTTCTGGTGATTGGCTACGTCGAGGATCTTGGTCTACTGCCGGTTCCTGTGGGGGTTCATCGATTATCTTTGGCATGGCATCTTCCTGAATATTGCCTTCAGGGGAGACCGAGGAATGTGATTCGGCCACTGTAGTGAAAAGGGAAGGGTCTGCTGGCGGCCGGCTCTCGCTGGAAGAAGAGGGTGGTTCTCGGTCAACAACCCGTCTGATCCTCAGCTCTCCAAAAGGTTCATTGTTGTCTGTAATGGACTTGGTCGGAGTGGTATTATATTTAGATGATACTCCACCGCGCGCGCTTGATGCGGGCGGATTTTTGGTAATAACAACTTGAGGAACCTTCCTTAACATTACCGTTCGTGGTTTGGTGGGAGAAGAACTTTCCGGTCCCCGTTTACGCTTGAGGATAGATGTCGTGTCCACAGGTTTGACATGAATTGTGGAGCTGACAGGTCGCTTCAGGAGATCGGGGCGACGGGGATCATTACCAGTCACTCTATCATTCATTGTTTGAACCTTTGACGTCTTCAAAATAGACACAGGAAAAGCAGACAAATAATTTATTAGACTTACCGTGCCAGGCTTTGAAAGATCAACAGTTCTCATAGGAGTGGGTATGACGGTCGCTTGTTGTACTCGAATTTTAGCTTCAGCTGGTCTGGCGTATGGCTTAACACCCATCCTTGGAATCCTGCTTGTGAGGTGCTTCAGCGCGGACTTGGGAGCAACTTGCTTCTCGGCTTCCTCTGGTTTAGACAGAGATACTGAAGGTACGAGAGGGAAGGGCAATTTGACAGCTTGAGTGGAAGGGGCACTGAGATTGGCGTTAGTGGCAGGTGCGACTTTCGCCGGACGGGAAGAGCCGACGACTATTCTCTGTTTATCACCCCGCCCAACGTCGTGTTGTGAAGAAGCCTTAGGCTCTTTCGATGAAGCACGGACCGGACTTCCCAAGCAAAATCCTGTTCGAACCTCAGACGTAGAAGCGACGGGAGAATCAACGATCAACACCCGTCTGGCGGGGGTTGAAACGCTGAAAAGAGGCGCCCGGGGCATTGCGTCGGCCTTGTAACCAAGAAGTGCTGCTTTCTGCGGTGATAAATGCCCTTGCGCAATCGCTTCTTCAACAGGAATCCTTCGAGCTGGGGTGTTGGTGGTATCGTTCGGGTCAGGAGCTTGCAGTCGAAACTTGGCCGGGGAGCTCGCTCTCACAGGGCTAGAAAATCGAACAGGGCTTATAAATCGGGAGGGTGTGCGTGGTGCTAGCGTGGTTTGAAAAGGAGCGAGGGTGGAGAATGATAGCATAACACGAGGGGCAGAGAATTCGGTATCAGTTCTGGACGATCCGTCGCTTGTCGAGGGTATTAGTTGCGTTAAAACGTTGGTAGAAGCGGGTGAAAGAGAGCCCAATTCACGGCTAAATGAAGTTCCTGCCTTCCCTGGGCTTCGACCCTCCCCTGCCACAACGCCTCCTACCTTTTGCGTAGGCAAAAGCATTTTTATATCCTCTTCACTCTGTGAATCCTCGACAATTTCCTCGGGTAACATAACGCTTGCCCTCTTTTTCCTTCTGGTACGGGCAGGTGATGGAACCGCAAGTTTAGGTAATGGTGCAAAAAGGGCGCATTCTGCGTTAGGTACGGCAGATGGCTGTGGCGTAACACTTTGGCGAGCTCGAGCTGAACGTCGCAAGGGAGTAGGCGTTTCATGGACGCCGGCATCGCGAGGTGGCATCAAGTTATTCATTCCAACGTTGCCTTCGGCGCCCTCGCAGGTGGGGTTGCAGGGACTGCGCATCAACGCGTCCTCTGCTATGACTTTATCAGAATCCACGAGTACTGGAGGAGGAATGCTCAGAGTAGCGCTCGGAATATCAAGGAGCGATACACCCGGTGAGCGAGAGAGTAAATCATCAACAGATGAGCTGATCGGCTCCGGTCGAAAAAGATCACGAGTAGTATTCACCTTTCCATGAGCAGGTGTGCCTGGAAAAGAGTCGAAAGAAAGTAGATCGTCTAGTTGTGTCCGCGACGGCTGTGGTTGATTTAAATCAGCCGAATTCAATGGAAAACTTCGAATTTCTGAAGAGGGACGTTCTTCGGAACGGGATGTAGAAAAGTCGGGATTGAGTTTCCTTGGAGCTGCTGAGGGACTGGGTGGTGGTGAGGGATTGTCAAGGGCTCGCGTTATTCTGTCAGCCAAGGCAGATGACGGTTCTGCACGGCCAGATGTAAGGATTTGGGTGGTAGTAAACAATGAAACGCACCATCCGGTAGAGGCGTCCCAGGACGAGGCGTTCCTGGACCCGAATCGCCTGACACGCCCTCGTCATCTGATTCATTCACAAGTTGCTCCTCTACGCGTTCCAGATCATCGGAATCTTCGGTAGAATACGCATCTTGAGGGTTTATTGAAGGCGGCCGTGGACTGGACAGCCTTGGGGAGCGTCGAAGTGGAGTGATTTGGGGTGGGGGAAATAATGAGACTTGCTCGGCAACAAATCTGCGCTCTGGGGATGACAAAGGGCCAAAATGTAATCTAGCCGATTCTCCATTAAATGCGTCGCTGTCAGAAGATGAAGAAAGAGCAGGTGAAGCGGTGCCGTTGTTAGTGTGGGCAAGGTGTATGTGCGTAAGATTTGATTGCAGGATAAATTCATCGGAGACGATGTCGCTGTCGATTCTGCTGTTGTCGCTGTCCATAGAAGAGAAGGTCAACGGCAAAGACGTCTGTTTAGCATGAGCACGACCACAGCAAGAGAAGGAGGAGGAAACCTTCGAGTTTAACAATCACAAACAATAGCTAACTAACTAAACACGACCATCACCTGACTTGGTGACTCCTGCGTGACTCTCTCGAAATTCATCACTGGCACTTTCTGTTATTTTCCGACTTGGTCAAGTTTTCTAGCGTCTGGGCTTGCTGTTCGATCTGCGTTTTCATTTGGCTTAGTAGCGTGCTTTGATCCAACTCTTCTCTGTTGCTTCCTTCGACTTTCCGAGTTGGGCTCAATGGAGCAAGGCGACGCCTCTTATACGATGTCCTCCCATGTCGGTAATCTGTCAACAAGCGATCGTCAAACTCGATGGGCCTGTACGTGCCACCGGAACGATTCATGCTCCTTCCTTTCTCCCTTGAATCTATCGAAGGGGACGTTGTCGATGCCTCGCTCCACCGTTTTCCCGACATACCAGGTTTGACCGCGGTAGAGTTGTGCAAGTTGGCTTCTTCCTGTTTGATAGACATCATCGCGACTTCAAGCCTTTCATCGATCGTCCGCGATACTTCTGTTTTGAACATGTCAATCACGTCTAGCCAGACGTTCCCGATTGCTTCGAAGCTCTCCTCGACATTTTGCTTCAACTGAGCTTGTTTTAGCAAAGAATCGGCCAGAGAAGACGAGATATTGGTTGGGGCCATGTTAGGTATCTGTGACAGAGCCGATGCGATATTATTATAAGTCTGGAAGTTGATCTCCTCCTTTCTCTGAGCTTCCTTCAGCTGATTGACTTCACTTGTGAGTCTGATGTTCAACGGAGTTAATACTGGACAAAGTGGACTTCTCAAGACGAACCTAGCCAGTTCTCGGAATAACTGAACGATGTGCACGATTCCTTGTTCTTCGGTTGACTCAACGCGTCGGTCGTTCTGACGTTTGTCATTGTCGAAAGGTCTCTCAGCGATCGGGGTCCTGACGTCCAGGCCAGTCAGGCGATCTTCCCCAGACGTGAGCGATGTGAGGGTTGGTCGTTGGGAAAATTCTTTGTGATTTTTATCCCGTCGAGACTCAGCTTTTTGATATTGATGATCAAGCTTCTGGCAGGGGATCTCAAAACAGCAACTTGTTACTCAAGGGAAGAACGCACCCCAATGTTACTTTTCAGCTTAGACTCGAAGAAAAAATCATGATCATCCCTTCCTCGCGAGAAAGCCCTTGTGGATTCCCTGGAAGGGCTAAAATCGTCTCTGACTCGCTTTGGTCCTTTTATGCGGTCGCGAGATGTGCTTCGTCTGTCGAACCGATGAGCACTCTTCTTGCTATTTGTGAGGCTGGCGTCACGAAAACCCGGCCGGTGCATGTTCACTCTGTCATTGATGGCACTGTCATCGACGTCTTTGCTACGTAAAAACAAATCCGTTTGCGAGACCAAGGGTGTTGGATGATACTTGGGGCGTGCTGCGGCGGAATTCAGAGGGTCGTACAAAGCTCTTTTCATGGATTTGGGGGTTTCGTACGACGCTAAAGAGGAGATGTTCGATTAAAATAAAACAAAGCAATCAAAGGCACCGACAGCCAGGCCAATTGGGATCGTCCGGGTGCAAAAACCTAAAGAATACTTTTCAATGGAAGGTCGAAGTGAAGGCGAGTATATGCGTACCGACAGCTCTTTCCTTGCTGGCATCTAGGGCTCAAAGGATGACCATTATCGTCAAAATACTACAGGATGCGTATCAGGTGCATATGATTTATGTTGCGCGGATGATGATCAGTACTTACTCGACAAGGGTGTTTCTTATGCATGGTGGTGGGCGAAGAAGACCGATGAAAACTGGATTAGAATCTACTGTAGATATATATTGTCCATATCAAGTATCCGAAACGACATCTTGGGAAGATGATCGAGGCCATCACGTGTCGCAATTCCCTCACCTGCTCACCTCAGCCCGCTTCGTTGCTCGGCCCAGAGTAAAATTTTGCCGGGCCCCAATGGGTATGTATAGCTCATAAATCTCATGGTACATGCTTAAAGGCTCTGCTTCCTCTTATCCTTGCCCGTCTGATGGGCGCTTTTCTCTCTACCCGCCTAGCTTCGGGTAGTAACGATACAACCGTTCGCTTCGCCTCAAAACCTGCTGTTCTCGCTGTTAAGAAAACCGAAGATCCAGATCAGGTTGAGCATTTGTCCCTTCGCGAGTTGCTAGAGACCAGATGTACAAGTCTTTTCACCGCCTTCTCTCCACCGTGGTGGTTACCAAAGTGCGCGCGTCTTACTCCATCACAGTTTATTCATCTGTCCTGAACTCTCTCTATTTAGCGGTCACTTGCAGACCATCTATTGCGTGACAGCTGACTTCTCTGGTGTGGATCGCATGCTGTATCGACGGTAAGATGCACCATCCCATGATTCCCATCCGATAGCACTCATTAAGTTCTACAGGCATCATCTTCGTTTAGCGGACGGGGGTACATTGTGGGTATAAATTTAACACTACAGATCTCCCTCGACCCAGTCTAATCTTTCCCAAGAGGAATTGATTTTGCACCCGTCGACGCGACTTCGGTTAAAGATGACGCTCCGATCATAGTGGTTCAGCATGGGCTCAGCGGGGGTCGTGATTCGATTAATGGAAGGGACAACAAGTTGCTGACCATGCCTCTCCTCCAGGCTCATATGAGGCATATGTGAGAGCCATTTTAAGCCGCGCTTGTGCTCCCGTCGAAAAAGGTGGGCTGGGTTATCGGGCTGTCGTCATCAACTTCAGGGGATGTAAGTTGTAAAAGCTGCCACGAATAGTGCCCATTCTTAAAATGTCACACAGGTGCTGGAGTGCCAATCACTAATCCCTTATTTTATTCTGCGGGTCACACAGACGACACCCGTAATGCATTGATGTACGTTTCAAATCGCTATCCTAAGGCCCGTCTTCTGGGGCTTGGATTCTCCCTCGGCGCCAATGTCATAACACGATATCTCGGCGAAGAGAGAGAAATGGCTCGCCTTCATTCAGCGTGTGCACTGGCTTGCGTAGGATCAAACATATCTTTCCTATTCCTTCTCTCAATAACATTTCATTCGTCTAGCCTTGGGATTTGCAGGCAAATAATCATGGGTACGTCCGCTCGCACTCTCTTGTACCTCGATGGTTCTCATCACCTTATTTAGTCTTCGAAACTCTTTCTTTGGAAAAAATATCTATTCCAGGGGTATGGGAGGGAATCTTCAAAAGCTTTTGAGCCGACACGCACAAGCTATGACAGCCGATCCCAGCCATCCGGTAGCCAAAGCAGCTATGGCGACACTTGCACTCAGGAACCCGACCTTGGATGAATTCGACCAATCTTTCACAAGGATCGCTGGCGGCCCCTCGCCCTCTTTTCCATTCCCAAATGCTGACGAATATTACTTCTGGGGATCGAGTCATAAAATAATCAAAGATATCACGGTTCCATTCCTTGCCATCAATGCCGCAGATGATCCTATCGTTAAGCATGTACCCAGCGATGGCGGCGGAAATGGGCTCATCGTGTTGGGTTTGACCAAAGGAGGAGGACATCTTGGCTGGTTCCAAGCAGGTCAAAATTCCGTCGATCGCTGGACGACACGCCCCGTGCTTGAGTGGTTGAAACTAGTTGGGGAGGAGCTGGTGATAGAACCCGTTGGCAAAGGACGTTCAATATACACAGATGAGGACGGATTTCTGAGGGAACGAGAAAGCGATCATTTGGGGTGTAAAGAAATAGATGGCGGCGGTGTGATCGATGGAAATGGTAGTGAGGGAGGAATATTACAAGGACTTTGAATTAGACGGCCACAGGGTAATACATAGAATCGGTTTATTCTAGAATGCTTAATCGCTATCACTGAATGTTACGGCTTCTTCGGGTTCCATTTCTTCTCTTGTGCGTTCATATTGAGAGATGTCCACAGAGACAGTTCCTTCCTCTAACAGTGTTTCGTCTTCTATACCCTTGTTGCGCTCAAACAATTGACGCCCTTCATATCTTCGATTTGAGAGGCAAGGATCGGACTCATCAAAACACTGTGCTCACCTGTCAATCTTGTTCCCAGCTTCTTCCATTCTTCACGTTCTTTGGGCGTCAATCCCCTTAGCTTGTCATCATCTTCTTGAGCCTTCTTCAAGGCCAATTCTTTGTCAAAGTTGGTTTTCCACACTTTGAAAGATTCAGGAGTGACAGGCGTTCCGCGAGTTCGAGCCTCCTCTGCCTAGAAACACGACTTCAGTATACAGATGTTACTGAAGGTAAAATCGACAATCCTCCAGAGCAATGCGTTCCTTCTCCTTCTCCTTCTCCACCCTCTCTAATTCGTCTGCCTTGGATTGAACAAGTTTAGACAGCTGTTCTCGAAGATGTGACACAAGAGTGAACGTCATTGCCATCCCAAGGTTTTCTTCTCCCTTGCACACACACGTTTGAGCGTCCGTGACTTTTTATTCCATGTTTGGGGGGTGCATACCACCGCTCTCAGGTCATTGATTAGACCTTGCACTTCATTTTCGTTAAAATTCGTTTCCTCGACTTGTAGGGATAGATTTGGCAACACATCTGGGTATCCGTCAGGGTACGACACACACAACGTTACTTTCACTTGATTTGCAGCCGTCAGATCGTCACTCGGGGGGTGGCAAATGTAATAAACGCACCAGCTTCAACCCCATCAGCTAGATCATCTGGTTCAGCTTCAATGCGTACGTCGCGTTCCGATACTCCTTCAAGGTGGTGGCAAAGCCTCAGTGTTTGGCTTCAAGATGGGTCTATGACACAAACTCTGGAGTTCGGTGGGATATATGGACTCTAAAACCTTGGGATGTTGTTATTATAATTTTTACACGGGAGGTGTAGTAAAATTACCTCTAGTTCTTCAAGCAAGACCTCCACAGACATGATCAAGAGCAGCCTGGTGAACACTCAATCTTATCGTTCTTTCCACGTGAGCTCAGCTTGGGTGACAGACCTCAGTGACTGTGACACAGACCTTACTTGGTAGTCTTTGGCAAGTTCTAATGGCTCTCAATGCTTGGTTGCGGCCGTTTTCGCACCTTTCGTCTTGTGCTTGCCGGCAGGCAACAAAGTTTCAAAACCAATCACTGTCGCGACCATCTATCTCACGGCTTTCACTTCCATCTGCCCTAGCCCCTCGAATACACGCCCGATTCATCACCCGACCTAGAGAGCACTACAACGATACGTTGCATAACAAAATGGATCAGACTATTCCTCCAAAACGAAGCGCTGAGGAGATTTGGCTGAGCCGGTCAACTCTTGCCCTGACGGAAGCCAAAAATCATCCACCTGCCAATGCCTATTCAGGTTCGTTTTGTTCACCACACGATGTTTGAGCTGCATTCTTAGCTATTTTTCAGGTCGTAGTGTAAAAATCAATGGTGGAAAGCTCGCCGAAGGATATCGTGTTCTCGATACTATTCTCGGACGGAACAAAGTCCGAGTCCAGTTGAGGCGGGCAGAAAGGCACGAGAAGAAAGGCGTAAAACGTCGACGACTCAGCAGTGAGCGGTGGAGGAAACGGTTCGCTCACGAAGTAAGTTGCTTCTCATTGACGTTTCGTTTCGTTTATATGTACTGTAATAGGTCAGGAAGAAGGTCGAGTTGGTGATAAAAATTCGAAACCGCGGAGCATGATGTCCTACCTTTTCCTCCTCTTTCATTTGTCTATTTTCAGCACGTATAGATGGAAACATAACAAACAATTGAAGCGTTGCAGGTCCCTCCTTAACTTTAAGCTAGAAAATGCATGAAGAAACGCGTATCCCGCATTGTTGCACTTCATCAACACGGGACCGGAATCCTGAGGTTTCAGAACCGGCTGGAGCACGCATGTGGGGCAGCAAGCAGCAGATTTGTGTGGCATATTAAACTGTCCCCTTTCTTTGATGGCCGGCCTGATCTTGGTGATTCAAGAATGACCTGGGCGTTGACTGATACTTTCTTCATTTTTTTTAGAGCGGCTCCCCCTATTAGGTTTCCTGCAGCCCGCGATATTTCAGACGAAAGAAATATTGAAGCAACGGATGGACACTCGTCGCTTTCAGCGGATAAAGGAGGTCCCGTAACCAATCTCGGCTCATTAAAGTGTTCAGGGCCCAAATTCTATTGCCTCACCACCGTAGGTGTCAGTAGTTTGAAGAACGAGGCCTGCCTGTTTGCATCCGCGCAGCGTTTGGACTTGCGATAGATAAATTCGCTAATCCTCTTGGGGAGGTTTAGAATCCCCTCAGGCTCTTCATTCGGAAGTCTCGAATCTCCCATTGAATCCCATAACATACGCCATGTGTCATAATGTACGAATTCTCGCGTTACCGACGTGTGCATCATTAACTTGTTCTTGCCCGTTTCCAGCTCATAGACGGTCGTTATCACACTGAATGCAGACACTTTTCTCCAATGGCGACCAATTTCAAAGACTGTCAGAAACCAAATTGTCTGTTCAGCAGATGGCACGCTCACCCCACAGGTTTGATAAACTACTTACTCCGACGAATCAAAGATGAACTTCTCCACAATTGACAGGGTGTCGATCTACACATTGCATCCGCCTGATGTCACCGCCTGTTCAAAACCCCATCAGGATGGTTCAAAAAATTTGCACCGAATGTTCGAAGATGGAGAGGGAAGGAAGGAGAGTGCACTGCTAGGCCCCGGTGCTGGCAAGAGCTTGATTCCAGATGTGATTGCGTATTTGAACTGCTACGACTATGCGCCTCAGTTATTCGCTGTGCATACCTAATTATGGGGAGATTTTTTTCTTCTACTGATGGTATTATTCTGGCGTTATTATACGGGTCTTATAATGACTTTCTACATAACAATTGCTTGTACTCGGGCAAGTACAATACATACGTTACAAGGTTGCTTGGTTACCATTGAAAATTACTCAGGACTTCGTGCGAAGAAGCAAGCGTACATACCACGCTTTTGTATTGTCCCTATCTTCTGCTCTTATAACCATGGCGCCAGCTAGTCTTCCAGGTAGATACGTTCATCATGTACATCGAGACACTAGAAACCCCCCCTGGCATCGTCAACCTACACGGTTACATTCAATATTGTCGCCTTCCCAGCTTGGGCTATGACCCTCTCGACACGTTCGTCCTTCCCTCTGGCCACAAGAACGCTAAGAACGGCCTGGCCGTCCGTCAGGAACGTTGGAGACGACTAGAAAATATACATCCCGTTCCCGAGGACTTACTGATGAGTTTGCGTTCTTCTTGTATGTCAAAATTTATTGTATCCCCTGTGCTAGTAGTGACGCCTACACTAGGGATCGCGTCTAATATCCCATCTGCGCCACTGAATGTGCATGAACCAGATCGTTTGACCGGAGAACGCCTTACTATCATAATCCCCCTCTCTGACACCTTCCCTTGGCACCTAGAGAAGAGTCCGACCGATATCATCAGGTACTCTTTTCTTTCAAGATATCCCAGTGTTGACTAACTCACGATAGGTTAGCCCAATGGATCGACAACTTGCCGTTGGCCACCGTGAAGCGTATCATGCATCTTTGCATACCTGAGACTCGCGGCTGGACCTTCAATAATCCTCAACACCGAAGTGAGGCTGATAGCGAAATTTTCCACTACTACCTTTGGTCTCCACGCAGGCCCACCAACTTAGCCGCGCAAGACCCAACTCGAGATGCTGATGGAGCAGCAGTGAAATCTCTTCTAATTGCTGTCCAACCACCCTGGATACTGTCCGAGTGCGATATGAAAGAGTTTGCGGCGTGCAAATCAGTAAATGCAACCCGATTTTGATATCAGGACTCACCTAATCAACTTTTGCAGTTTCCACCTTTTATGATGCCCGGTCACGCCTACTCAACTCCTCTGGTCAACAAGTATAAAATATGGGCCAAGGCATGTTTCTAGTTTACACATCATCAAGTTATTTACGATGAATCCCTAGCTATGGGACGCCTGTGTCCGCGAGAAGACGCACTGGTTCGTTGTAACTTCATACAACCAATGGGTCTTCGGCGCGTTCTCTCGAGGTAAATCACATTTCAACACCAACAACCTTGGCTAAGCAACCTAGGTTGGAGCGCGGCCTTTGTCACAGGGGTCATGAACTTCGATGCTGTCGGCCCTTCCGTAGTGGAGTCTCTAGCGTTTTGGATCGCTTCGGCAATGTATCTTCCAGGAGCCTTTCAGTGCCCAAAGGTGGGTACAGAGGTCGACGACGCCCAACTTGACATACCGTCAATCGCATACGATGTACTGGTTCACGGTTCCCAAGCAGTGCTCGCCCTTTGCCAAATATAGAGAATCTTACGATTTCTCCCATGTAGGTACCAGAACCAGTACAACACACACCAGCAGTCTCAGCGATTACTGCAGCAGACCTCTCACCCCCAGTAGAATCTGAAGCGGGTTGGGAAGGGAAAAGTATTGGTAAGCCCGCCCACCATCCATCTTAACCTGGATTTACAATTCGAGGGCAGAACCTGCTTCTTCTGCTGGAGTCTCCGATTGCATAGACGGCATCTCGGACGATGGTCTGCCTGATTATTGGAGACCTCAGGATGGCATAGCACGGGACAAAGGCGTGCCTGTCCATGTTCACGAATGGCTACATGACAGGGCACAAAATGTTGATCAAGTACTGAAGCCAGACCCACCTAACCTCTTCATACCACTTATATACCAACGAATTCCAGCTGCACCAGGTCTCTTTGGTGACTGGTTAATGTGAATAAATATATCCTAAAAATGTTTTTCGACGTCAACCTAAGAGCTCTCATTCTTGCGGCGGGGTAAGGTATTGGTTTCCGGAGTTTGCCCTCCATATGATGACAAAGGTGTCCTTTCAGGAGCTTCTTGAAGGTGTTGTTGGACGCTTGCATTGGTTTCTGGAAGATTAATTTGAGATACGGGGACAAAAAAGCGTGGTCGTGACAGTTGAGTGATTGGCGGAGGCACCTAATAAAGGGCCTCTATAAGCAAAAGACGCTGTTTGAAGGAAGTGTGACCCACGTCGACAATGAATGAGAGGTAGGGGTATGTAGAATTGACATCTTGGGCCTTGTAGAACTCAAGTAAGATGTTCAATGCCTCTGAGAAGTAGATGTTAGCGTCGGGAAAGTATAACACGACAAATTATAAACCTGAGATGCAGGACAGTTCACTTTCGCTAAAGGGGTGCCTTTCGACGGCCAAACGACTCGCATCGGGCGATGGCGGTTTGTAGGACGGTGGAGTGGGTAGATGCGAAGACGGGGCAGAGGCTGAAATACGCGCGTCCAATGAGAGCGAATGAGGGCCGTCGGAGATTCGTTGAGCAAGCACATAGCAGGCAGTTGCAATGATTTTTGGGGGGAATATTACACACATCGGAGTCCGATAACTACAGAAATTCAATGACCGAGGATAGTGGTATAAATGGGGGGACTTAACGAGTCATGTGCAAGACTCCAGGCATATTCCTGAACCTCAGAATCACTCTCACACGTTTCAAATAGCTCTACGAGTTCGGCGTGCGGACTCTCAATGACAAAATCGAAGCAAAGGGCCTCAAGGAGCACTTCTTCTGTTAATAGGATGGCTGCCTGACGCTGGTCAACTTCCTGTACGATGTTCAGCGGAGTGTAAATGGACATGAGCATCTATGCACACCGGGCTATCTACAGCAACTTTGGTGATGTCGCAGTTCAGAATTTTGGCCTCGTATATTCTGGCGACATCCCGGAGCTTACGACCGCATTCTTCAGTCTTTGTAGCTAGAAATATGCATGCTGCTGCGACATCCTGAATGACATGTTCAAATCGAAACGAATAAACGGATTGGGGGACAAGGATGCACCTGACGATGGAAATCTTCCATTGAAAATCGCATGTAAAAGCGGTGAAACCACGTCGCGGATGTGCACATTGCAGATGTCGGGCTGTCGGATCTAAGTAGGCTGGATCACGTAGAAAGTACATACAAGATACGAACAGTCCCAGAGAGGAGCCCAAACGAAAAAGAAACTCAATCCCCCTGGCCCTGTCATAGAGCTCCTTTTCGAGAGAGCAGGTGGAGGGAGTTGCTTGAAGAGCAGAGATGGGAAATAGCCATTGAGATATGTTACTCGTCATGGTCTTCGTTACTTTGAGGCAGACGTCACGTCACGTCACATCATCACAGCGTGTCAGTGTTACCTGCACATGCATCATGATGGTGAAGAGGTTCGCGGGTACAAATTTCTCCGATAAAGAACTCGGGTGTGGCAGCAAGGAATGAACCGACGAAGATCTTCCTTGGATTTATATCATTCAAGCTCGGAAACGCACCAGATGAGACCAGATGATCGCGCTGTCCTTCCGCGAAGGCGTAAGGTTCTCGGTCGTAGGATCAGAAGAAAACGTGGTCTCCCTAGGGTCACTATTTTTTCCCCATACAGGAACTTGCAGGAACACATCTACATATACTGACTTGATCAAGTGTCAGCCAATAATTGAATGGCACGCCTTTTCTTGTTCAAACATAACCTGAATCGGTATCTCATACTAAAATCCTTGTGCAATTGATTAGATCCCAACGGCTAAATACCATCTTTCCCCAGTTAACCCAAAGGACATGGTATATCCACCGCACCTTGAGTTTCGCTGTGGCCGTTGGGGATGGGGAGTCAAGCTTTTCTTGACGGATGTCTTGGTCCCCTTTTGGACACCATAGAAGAGCCCTGGAATGTTCCGGAATGCCATCCAGGTTGGACACGCATTTGCTCCAAATCCGCTTTCATTGGAGTTCCTAGTGACCACACCTTCGACGCATCGTCGGTTGGTTAAATTACAGGGCCACCTGCCACGAATCTCCTGACCGATCGTTCGGCATGTTTATACAAGCAACACCTCGCTGAAAGCTTCTAAAGGACACTCTGCGAGTCCCATTTCCCCCCCTCGTCATCACCATATGCAAGATAATCTTTAGGCAATTTAATAACGACAGCCGTATACTCGGATATTCCGTCTGAGCGTACTTCTTCTGTGGTACCAATTCATCACCGTCTCGCCGCCTCCACGCATCCTGGACATTTCTCGCCCAGAGTACGCTCTGTCTCAAGATCAGTTATCCAAAACGTTGAATACACAAGAATATAGCCGCCTACGATATTGCTCGGGGAACTGCCGACTAGCGATGCCAACCCCTTTGTCAGTGACAAATTCAACGGTCGACTCCGAAAACGTACTATTGCCAGCAGGAAGTGGAGCAGTTCGGTCCACAATTTTGTGGATGTGCTGCGCTGAATTTGCAATACCTATCCTCGCAATAGATCTATAATCGACGGGATAAACCTCGCGTTTTAGCCGGGGAGTCGGAGTCCATACCATCTGGTCTGCCTAGCAGGATAGTTGGTTTCAGCGAAGTGGCTCAACACAAAGGGCGAAAATTTACCATGTTATATTGGTGTCCACAGCTGTATACGTTCGTAACTCTTCAACGAGCGGTTAACAAAAATCTGACAAGGGAACGTAGGACATACTGGCGCCACTTGCACATTTTGCGAAAGTAAGGTCGATGAAGGTAATATGGACGAAAGATGGAGAGAGAGTTCTGGTCTTTGTAAACTCGAAAAAAATGTCCGCTTTATAGAGCCGTGGATCCACCCGGAAAGCAGTCAGTTGGTTTGCAACTGATTAAACTTGATCGGTCTGCTTCCTGACCTTAGGAACATATCAAGATGGAGAACATATGTTACCTGCGTGTTTTTTCAAAAAGGTACCGAAATTATGCAGAGAAAGGGAGTGGGTCCATCCGTAAATACAATGACGCTGACGCGATCTCCCCAGATTCTGGTCGGACATCCCTTCGGACTGTTAAAACGCTAAAATGCAAAACGCAAAGTTCATTCCGAAGAGAACGTATGATCTCATGCACCCTGGTTCAGTCAAGTATGTATCCACCACACCGTCTGAAATGGCCTTAGAGGCTGTTGTAAACTCGGCAGCCTCGTTCCATATTAACCTTTGGAATGTGGCTTTATGCCACCATCTGGCCAACCATTTCCTTCTCCGTACGTATCAGGCACTTTTGATTAAACATTGTCTGCGAAAGGGAGCTATAACGTGGTATTAATATCGGTCGCGTGTAAGTGCAGACGCCCACTGTTTCGTTCAATCCATCACGCTGTCGACCGACGCAGCGATGTCCAATAATTGATCAGTGGATTGCGGAGAGAGAGATAATCGGCTATCGCGAAATCCATCTTCTTGTTTTACAGTGCCTGATTTACTTCTACAAAGTCCACGTTTTTGTCTCCACAAAAAGTCTAGCCCGCGAACATTCCGACCAAATATTGACTGACACCCTCTGGCGTCAGACTTCCCACATCAGAGAAGACCAAAGAAATGAGGTCAGGCCTGTATAGTCATTGGTCGATAGACGTGGTAGATTGCATATTTGGCCACAAACCTGGTATAATCTACGTCAGGGTTATTTTGAGAAATTTGTTCTTGGGTTATTCTCAAAGGGGAGTCGGATTCTGGACGCGCGTGCCCTGAGTGTGTCGTCTCAATGGCGGAGAAATTCGCAGATTTGATGGTCGCGTTGCTGTCCGGAACGGAAGGCTCAGGTCGGGAAAGATTGGGAAAAGATAGAATTTTCGAATTGTGGCTGGGAAGATCGTATTGTGATAGCGGAAACAAACGATGGAATTTGTAGCTGTTGGGGGAGCGTACCAGTCAACTTTAATCGATGGAGCGAGTCAGACTGGGCAAACCTTTCCGCAAGGGCATAGAAAGGCTTGTTAGCGGCTCTTGCAATGATCGCAATCTGATTGCTCCCAACTGCATTTACGAGGCCGCCACTCTCAACAACAGCCTCCGAGCCAACGAGGACGAAATCAACTTTGTCCATGACGTAGGCCACGGCCGAATCCAGTATCACGGTGCTCGGAACACCAGCAGCACTCAGCCTTTCAGCTGTCTTAATTCTGTGACAAGTCAGTACCTTGACTCTCACGCATGTCGGAGCACAGACCCAAGACCACGGGGACGGGCTTCTGTGACAAAAACTGACAAGGGATCAAAATGACGATTTAACAGGGAAGAGGCCGCAATATAACTTACCTGAGATTCTTTTGTGCTGGTGGGCCAGGAGGAGCGTCTGCATGACAACCCTTGAGTACGAATGTGTCAAAATCTAAAAAGAAGCAAAGATTGTTAGGCTTCACGGCAGAGGAGCACGAGAACCGAAAAGACTTTCCACAGAACCGTCCTTGATAAATCCAAGAGCGAGCTGTGCAATTTTCCTTCTATAGGTTAATGCATCTGCAGTGTATTGTTGTCCTTGGCGAATGAGTTCTTTTTTGAGATCGTTGAAATTCTACATGAGAGAATATAATTTCTGGGAGAGAGCCGAAAACGATCGGAAAGCAACGCACGGCCGAGTCGTGAGGAAACAATGTGACGAAAGCAGTAAAAAGTTCACAACCTGCGTTCAGGCTGATTGGATTTGATGTTGTGGTTTTGAGAACTTGAGTGCCGTCATTGAGAGCCTTGACGAGCTCAAACATGGTTCCGGCTGCCCGGTCAATATAAAAGATGTTGAAAAACATGGATGGGAGAGACCTACCATCGGAGTTCTCGATGAGCTCCGTGAGGGCGAGGATCGCAGCAAGAGGGGGAGAGATCTGGAGAAGGTGAAATGAATGTGGACAGCAAATAATTTACATGGTATGCTACCTGTTCATCCTGCAGTATGCGTTGTAAGGCAGCAGATATATCAAAGGGTGTGTCCATTGAGGGTCTGTCGATCATTATTGTTGTAAGTAGAGATCGTCATGACGAAAACTGACCTGTGGTGGCTTAGTTCCGCTTTGGGAAGAGGATGGTCAAAGCAAAATAAATTCAAATCTGAATTAAATCTCGTTAGTACACAGTTCCATCGCGTTGTAGCATTTTGCGCTTGCTCTCAAGCCCAACGACGGCTACGGTGAAGAAAGAGAGATTGAGGTTAGAGAGATGGTATTGAAAATTTAGAAAATTGGGTGCTGGGATGATATTGTTCTCGCCGTGAATACACGTGTATTTTTGACCGACGCTGTTCCAATTAATATTTCTTCGCTGGCCGCCTCCAGTACAAAAGGACAACAACACTCAGTACCTAGTTATTTAGATGTCCTACCTCTCTTCCTGCCTCTAATCCTCCTCGTCGTTCCACTCGTTCTCGACACCCTCCGTCCTCAACGTACGTCCTTCACCGCCTTATTCACTTCCCACCTTACCTTCTGTTATAGGTCTTTTCTTTTTTCATTCCATTTTTCCGTCTCTACATCGACGACATGCAGCCTCGAGCAGAGGTAGTCTTCTCCAGCGACGTTGGTAACATGGACGAATGGGCCAGGCGAACCAAAATCCCCCTTACCACCGCAGAGGCCTTGGGGGCGACCTACGCTCGCGCCCAGCGCTGGTTCCAGACACTCAAATTGCAATTGATCCGCGAACACAACTGGGCGGACGCACCAACCCCTGACCAAAGAATGCTTGTTTCTCTCGAAACATCATCCATTTGGCGTTCTTCAGTCGGCCTTCCGGCTGGTCCCAAACTCAAGCTCCAACTCCCAGTGCACGCGAGCTCCTTCTTTTCTCCTGAGCGTCGCGTTCAATGGGAGATGGTCTTCCACAGTGATATTTTCGAGTCCGTCCGCAAGATATGCCCTCCCATCAACGATATTCTCAACCTTATCCAATGCCTACTCACCGGCGTTGTGACCCTTGTTTTCGAGGAGAACCTGCCCCAGGGCGTATACAAGACAACCCGCGGTCTTCCGCCGGTATCATGGATAAATGCCAATGAAGAAGCACTCACCGAAGTGTTTGGTGCTGTCCATTTCAGAGCTCTGCGAAAGGCTTGCAGCGATACTGCCGCCGCTTTCAAGCTTGAAATCCTACCACATTGACCCGCCCTTGCTCTCTTACCACCAAAAAGACCCTGTTTCTCATCCGCATTGCTATCTTGTATCGCTCTCCTCCTCCTCATCTCTTGAACTTACTTAGACTGTTCTAGTGCTTTCATATTTGCCACATATTCCTCACTGCATATAACTTAACACGTTCTCCTTTTTTCTTTTTTTCTTTTTTTATTGTTGCATCTAATGTTCTTCCATGTATCATCCATCGCAAAACTACATTCAGCTCACGATATAACTCTTACATACACAAATAGCATTGGCTTGATAAATTTGAAATGCTGTGACGACTAGCTAATTTGCAAGTTGCAACTCACCCTCACTCATGTCTTCTACCACTGCTTGCCAGAGCTCGTCGTGTCCCAACGGGAATCCACCGTCTCGCCTCGAATGCCCTACGTGCAACAAGTCCGTAATCCGCCGTCATTGCTTTCGCTGTTGTTTAACAATCCTCAGAATCGGTATCCGAGGTTCCTTTTACTGTGGTCAAGAATGCTTCAAAGCAGGATGTAGGCTCCACTTCTCACTTCTTAGTCCAACGTCGTCTAATAGAGCGCTCATGAAGGGGTGTGTGCATATGCTAAACGGCAACATCCCGCAGCACTGAACAGGCCCTCTAGAAACTTCACAAAATAATCCACAGTCTGGGAAAACCAGCAGCTACCAACACGGGTGCGCACACCCAACTTCATCCTCTTTCAGCCCTAACTTTCACATATTAGATGGTACATATAACCCATTCCCAAATTATAGCTTTACAGGTTCTGTGTATCCTGCATACCCACTCTCATCAACCCGCCAGGTGCCAGAACACATCCCACGTCCTGATTATGCTCCGGATGGTTAGTTATCCGATGGCCAATGGACTCAATTTTTGACTCTCTACAAGGAATACCCAAGTCGGAACGAAAGCTTGCAGGTCAACCTCCTCGTATTCTGAGTTTGGAGGAGCAGGAGAAAATGCGCACCGTTTGCCGAGTACGTGAACAGACCCCAATCGCATTTGATTGAGAATTGACGCTCCTTTTCCCCACAAGCTCGCAAGAGAGGTTCTCGACATTGCTGCATCCCATGTTCGACCAGGTATCACGACAGACGAAATCGACGAAGTTGTGCACAACGAGACGATCAAAAGGAATGCATATCCGTCGCCTCTGAATTATAGGAACTTTCCAAAATCCGTCTGCACGTTCGTTCCTTTCCTTCTTCAATTTTTTTTGCGTGAGATTCATCCCAAGATCAGTTCAGTAAACGAAGTTATCTGCCACGGCATCCCTGATAAGAGGAAGCTGCGAGATGGCGACATTGTCAATATCGGTGCGTCAATATTGCTTTGACTGCGTATTGCGATCTCACATCCGAGAAGATGTCACCCTCTATTATGAAGGTAGGCCTAGGCTATCGGCAATCATCATATGAAGAGTCTAAAATCATTTTGCCGCAGGTTATCATGGTGATCTGAATGAAACTTACCCGGTCGGCAACGTCGACGAGGAATCCCTGAAATTGATTCGCACAACCCGAGAGTGTCTTGATGAGGCCATCAAGTTGTGCAAGCCTGGAGCTTTGTTTAGAGACATAGGAAAAGCCATGTGAGTTCGCTCGTCTTAATTTTCCAAACTTCATTTCAATTGTTTCGTGTTCAGAGAGCCAATTGCCCGTGCGAACGGGTGTGCCGTTGTGCGAACCTACACTGGCCACGGCATTAACGACCTTTTCCACACTTCACCCAATATCCCCCATTATGCAAAAAACAAAGCTGTTGGCACCATGAAAGCTGGGATGGTACGAGGAACCATCGCGGTCTTTGACGTCGATCTGATTTTTCGTACATAGGTATTCACCATAGAACCCGTGAGTCGAGTCCTATGATGACATGAGCGCACCTGATACATCCAACACAGATGATTAATCTCGGTCACCTTTCGGGCGACGTTCACTGGCCAGACAACTGGACAGCCACGACTACTGATGGCAAACGCAGTGCGCAATTTGAGGACACGCTTTTGTGAGCCAGGAAGTTGTTCTCACGCATGCGCACACATCTAATAATCATTCCAGGGTCACTGAAACGGGAGTAGAGATCCTGACACGGTAAAAGCTACACAACCTAGTTCGCACATCGTACCTATGTTATGCTTGCTATCTTTCCACCCATCCACTAGTTATTGCATGGGGAACATCTCACATGTTTTTTTTAGGAATCTAAAAAATAGTATTGTAACATTTGTAACCTTCAAAGTCAACAAGACTAGGCCGAAAGAAACCACATGGGCAGCCCCTCCAGCTCGAGGTGGAGTTTGAGTTTGGCACGACTGCGTAAGACGAAAGTAACATATATTGTCTCAGCGTTACTTCCTAGTGAGGTGGATGACACAACAGAAATGTCCCTAATCACTTTTCTGTGCTTTTGCCCGCTGTATCTCTACGTTAATGTCATGCGTGGCATCGCTAAACTGCTCTTCGCGATCCAAAGCAGCAAGGCGCTTCACAGGAACGCCATCTGAGAGGCTTTCTCTCCGAGCTCGATGGGTAGAACGCGGGGTTGTTTCGGTTACAGGAACGGTTTGGCTGGTAGGGGGTTGGGGGGTGATACGGAGCCTCTGCAAATCTGCATACGAGTTCTGCCGACTTCGGCTTGTGTAGCTCGCGGAAAGCTGGTCGCTCGCCGCGCTGACTATGCCGGCCACGTTGTCATAGTCCCCAGTATCTTCGTCGTCCGTTTCATCAGGCGTCCCTACCCGGCTTACCTCGTCGCCTGAGAATCCACCCCAAGCACTAGTTCCCCGTTTAGCACTTTTAGTCCAACCAAAGAGACGTTCGTCGATCCATGTCATTGGGTGTGTTAACCCAAGTCCTTGAGCGTCTACCGCACCGGTGCTGCTTTTCCTCCTCCACAGACCCGAAGCACCACTTGATGGAGGAACGCTAGCAGATGGGACAAGTATTCTCGCCTAAAATGGTATCAGGGTTTGTGTACTGGTGTCAGAGTGGTACCTAACGAACCTCGTTAAAATCTTCATATATACGAGGGCCAAAATCGTTGATCAAGCTAGCAACTTCATTGGATAGCTGGACTCTCATGGTTTTGATCTTGTTGAGTGAACGCTGTTGCCCGGGTATCAAAGCTATGATGAGGGGAGGTAGTGATCTAAGAAAACAAGGTAATTTAGCTCAAGCATAGAGACGGGAGTTCGGAGTGCCAAAGACAGACTTAAGAACGTCCATTCCGGCTTCACCAAATTTAAGGGCGGCGTAGTTCATAAATGGTAGGGAAATGGTGACCAAAAAAGGGGTCCAGATTCTCCACTTGAGGGGGGCTTTTGCTCGTATGGCAACCATGGTGGCGAGTATTGCATAGAACGCATACAAAAGAGGTGTCACACCTAATGCAATCAGCACTTTCCAAGTGGCTAATACGTCTCGTCCAGCGATCTTCACGACAGAACCGGCGAGGGCCTCTGAAAAAGAAATCAATTTCAGCGATGCAATGAAAGTGCGGAGAAAGAACCTTTTTGCTTCCGACGAGAGATTATGGATGCAAGAATGAACATAGGTCCATTCAAGATGGTTCCAGGCAGAGCGAGAATTGTCCAAACGATGAGGAGCCCAATCCGATACGTCAGCAAGCCGAGAGTTTTCCAGCTAGCCTTTTGGGCTCGAGGAACCTTTTTGCGAGCTTCAGTTATTGGCAGGTTGTCACAACTGTCAGGTACTTGCTTGATGATCACGGAGACCCAAATTCCTTACAAGTCGGTTGTATTTGAGAACATCCTTTCGTAGATTTTGTACGCGAGGTTCGTCTTTGAAATGGACGTATCCTTCCAGGAGACGTCTATTCAATTCCACAACTTGGCCCAGAGTTAAATGCTGTCCTGGGGTTTTGTACAATCGACGAACTGCTTGGATGAGCTGAGATAACTCGTAAGCACACTAAACCTGGAATGCGGCTGTCTTACCATTAGAGTGTCGTAATCAGGTGCGCGGATTGTCACTGTCTTGAGGCCATCATATATGAGATCGAGGAACTTCGCAACGGCCTCTCTTTTCAGCGCGCCCCCTTTTTTGAACATTTCGACATATTCTGATGGAACATCCAAGGCAGTTCCAAACTCAACTACAGCTCTTGAACGAAAACGATGTGCGTGAAAGTATGAGAGCCCGACTGGAACTATCTTCACACGGACATTTGGATCATTTGCCATTGCGCCCAGCGCCATAATAGACACGCCAGCTTTGAGGGGCAGAAGGTCTGTTCGGTCGTGGCTGCCGCCTGAAGAACGCTCGACATGGCAATCAAAAGCATACAAATCTCCAAGGCTCACCTTCAGGAAAGATTCCAATACTTCCTCCCTTTGTTAGACACTGGTACACATGACGGTACATCTCCTGTTGGTCGACATATGGCAATTTCTTGTATTCCAAGCCATTGACGCCCTCGCGACGCATCTCAGAAAGTTTTTCTCTTATACGAGTTGTCCCCTTTCCGCTCTCTCCACCAAACTCCCGTTTGATTTTCATCTCTGTATCAGAAAGTACCTCGCTAACTTCAGCGACCGCCGAATTGACCGACTTGGGTAACATGATTTGAGTTCGGGGTGGGAATTCCGTCGTGAAGGATGTCCCTTCACCGAATACTAGACATGGGTCATCCGGAGAAAGCCAGACCCTGCCCTTCCCAGGTGTTGCCGAATCTGCTGCACGAGCGACCGGAACTGGTAGACAAGGGTTAAAGAGTCGCTGAACGGAAGCGAACGCCTACTGACTGCTATCCATCATGCGAATCAGAAAGCCAACGGCCTTTCTTTCCATGCTTTTTGCCGCAGCGAGAAACTGGACTTTCCTGTGCGTCTCGCGGTAGACCTCTAGGCTCAGAAGCAGGGGGTCCAGAAACTAAAGCGAAACTAAGTTGTAAGTCCTGATCAAATTTGGCGCAGGAAAATACCTGATTATTGTGAGGTGCGCCAACAAAGATAACAGGACCATCTCTAGGAATGTTGAAGGCACCCCTTGGCCGAACCTCTCTGAAGAAGATTTGTGTAATCGTTCTCCAGAAGAGCATAGCAGCATCGTAAGAAAGAGAGGCATCTGCACCATTGTGGCACAGCATGGTATAATATAAAAAGAGAGAAAGTTCAAAGTCTGCTGTGGGCGTTCCTTTAGAGCAATGCTGCAACGACCGAAATAAGCGAAAGCTGATGATGCCATTGATGCCAAAGGCTTGAAAATCAAATTGGTTCAAATGAATGCAAACAAATTTAATTCGGTGCCTTTTTATGTAAAGTAAGTATACAGACGATGAATATATTTTGAATGGAAATATCATTGCAAAAGGTAGGAGGGTGATACCAACCTCAACCGATGGAGGTTCCCGTGGGAGGCACGGAGGGTATCGACTGACCATATGACGATCCTGTGCTTGTCGTACTGGATCGATATCGGAAAATGTCATGTAGTCTTGAGAGCTTCTCTTGGTGGTCAGCAGATTCTGATGAGATTCGTGGAGGGGATCGTGGGCTCGTCGTTTCAGGGTTCAAGGCTGTTGTGTTGGTTGGTTCCGGATGGTTGAATTCAAGCTCTGTGGCCCAGTCTATCAGTTGGTGTTCTGTCTCTGTTTAAAAGGATGCAACACATACTAGAGAGGGTATCCGCGACAGCAACGTTTCGCTCTTGATCTTCTGCAGCTCTGCTAGCCAATGCTCTGTTGATATATTTCCTGAAAGCAGCGCCGGTTGACTCAAGCATTTTTTCGACCCGAGGTCTCTTGTGAGGGAATGCTTTGAGGAAATGATGAAGTTCTGTAATCCCCTCTTTGTGCAAGGCCCCAGTCGTCTCGCTGGATATATGCCCAATGATTACAAGCAGTTGCGCATCAGGGTCCGGCTCTTCGGCGTTAGGGGAACAATTTCCGTTGCCATTGAGAGATGATGAGCTGGGACTGGTTCCATGGCTTTGTGGATGACGGCCCGAGCGTACTGAAGATGCTGTCCCTTGAGGCGATATTGGTCTGTTCGACTCGGGGGACGGAGGTCTTGTACTATGTTCCGCTTCTTGGTGGCTGGGGACCTCGGTATTATTCTTCGGACTTGAATTTAGAATACGATAAACGTAAGGGTATACAATGGTGGCGGATGGATCCTCAAATGCAGCAGAGAGTAGTTCATAGACATCATCTCCGTAGTGAGCTACATCATGTCAGTGTGTGTTTGATGATAGCGATAAGCAAAGCTTACCAACAACGTGCTGGATGATAACCTTAATTGTTCTGAGTGGCATGTCGCCACAAGGAACTTTGTTCGTAGCCCTAGCGCGCCACTCATTAGGAGGAACCGACTGTAAGAAGTGTTCGATGGCGGGAAACAATTCAACCGGATCTAAAAGGGCTTCGCCGAGGTCTTGTGGGATGTTTCGAGCTAGCTTCCAAACACATTTCAAAACAAGTTCGGCGACTTTCGATTCCTTTGAATCCGGAGAGGTGCCATTGCTTGGAAACGGCTTCACGATTTGCAAAAGAAGGGCAAAGAGTGCCCTAACGTGGAGAGCATGAGAAAACAGTTTGAGAAAGTCACGAGGCAATAACCTCACCGAAATATGGACATTCTGCGGCCAGTGGCAAATAACCGCAAGATTATCATGTTGATAAATCGAGATAGATCCTTGATCTTCTTTACGTGGCTATCGTCGGTTTCAAGGAGACGCAGGGTTAACTCTTCCAGTAGTGAAGTGAGAATTTCAACTGTTAAGGACTCTGCCAAAAAGGCATGGTCACAAAAGTTGTTAAGAGTCTGGATTAAGTGCTTTGCTAATCGGAAGTTTTCGTCTGGTATGAGATCATCTGGACGATCGAATACATGTGCCATTTGTAGGGTTATTGTCTCGATCAACCCCTCCGTGTGTTCGGCGAGTTCACGATATGTGGGCGACGAGGGGCCAGCTTCTGGTCCGATGGCGAGAATTTTTTGGACTTTTTTGAGAGCATCCACGCTGCGAGTGGGATCACTACTCAGGATGCTGGATATTGTGATTGTGATATTATCTGCTGCCTCAGGGCGCGATGTAAACTCCCCTTGAAGAATATCAACGTCATTAGAGCCAGAAGGTTGAGATGAAGCTGTTTCGGGACTCGGCTGAGACTCCGGAGTGAAATTGTCTTCAGGCAACCGAGCCGCTTGGACTTGTGAGAAATTTGGGCGAGGCTTGCCCAGCCTTGAAGGCAACATACTTTTTGGCCGATTTTTACTTGTGGGTGACGGTGGCACAGCAGTGGGCGTATTAGCTGGCAGGCGAGTAGGGCGGGCGGGCGACTCTGCGCGGGGAATGGCTGACAGGGCAGGAGAGGCTGGACGTGTTGATAGAGCAGGAGATGCGGGGCGTGCTACCCGTGAGATAGCTGCAAGGGATGGGCTGTTTGGACGAGGAACACCGGCTGTCAGACGAGCAACTCCTGGAGCAGGAGCAGGAGCTTCTTGACGTTCATGAGAGCTAGGTCCAGGTACACGACGCAATCTTTCTTCGAGCTGTGTCTTATCTTTGGGAGACAGTGGACCAACCAAAGCCCACACCTTTTCCCCAACGAGGGAAAAAGCTTCACTGCGGTAGAAGATTTCAGTCAATTTGATTTGCAAAAACAAAAGAAGGATAATTTTCACCTGAGAGCATTCAAAGCTGATTTGCGAACCTGAGGGTCTTTATCGGAAAGCAGCGAGGCGATGAGGGGAAAAGCTTTCGTAGGCTCGCATGCAGCCATTCCAGACTTTTTCAGAATGCCTGCTATTTCATCAAGACTGCCCTGACGGGTTTTGGCCACTTTCGCCTTCAGCCCATGTTCCAGCAACAAAGCGAAAACCCGGCTATATGCATACACCTTGGGAAGGGAGCGCATTATCTGCTGCACACGGGACCGCACTTGTTCACGTGCGTCGCCAAGCTGATAAATATGTCAGAACTCAAATGAGCGGATGTGCACCAATGAATACCTTGAACACCATTGTTGGCACGAAACACAAGGCTTCTTGGTCCACCAATTGATAACCTATGCTGCGAAGGAAATCTAAGATAACTTCCACAACGTCCAAGCACTTAGAGATGAGATTGGGCTGTGGCTCATGTGCCTTGATGGAAACGTATTTTAAAGGGAGATCAATGTTAGCAAGGCATACTTGTTCGGTAATTTCGTCACCGGGAGAGACTCCGGAGAAGAATTCTGCAATGGTTGTCAACCCAGCAATATGATCGTTGACGGCATTATGATCATGGCTGAACAGCCTTGCAAGTAAGTCTTTCGAGGTGTGAGATTCCATTTGAGTTTGAAGAAGCTCTGCGAGATCTTTCCTAGTGGGGCCACCTTCGTTCACCCATTTATTCGCGTCTTTCGATAGCCTGGCCTTTTTCGCATCCAAATTAGCACCAGAAAAAGGAAGCGAAAGGCTCGGAGGCGCCAATTGAGTGCCTTGAGTCCGAGAGGTTGTGGGTACGCCCTGACGTTTGATACCCCCAGGAATGACTTTCGAGGCAGCGTCAGGGTTCTCTGCTCGAGAATCCGGTCGACTACTACCTTGCGGAAGTTTTCTGCGAACACCGACAGCTTTCGTCGTTGGTTTTGCCCCTGCTACATCAATGGGAGATTGGGGCGGTGAGCTATCCGATGTAGGCAGTGTAGTTGCAGTCGAAGTGGCGGGGGCTTTGACAATTGATGGCGCAGGGGTATCTATGGATGCAGCAGGTCTCATTGCTTGAATCAAAGGTATCGCGCTTGCACGGGATGCTGGTTTCATTGAGTTCGTTTGCTGCATGACAAAATCATAACCAGCACACCGGATGAGGATTGGTAAGAGTGCCTGAGCGCCCTTGCGAATATCACTGCTACGATCATCCAGGCAAGCGACGGCGAGGGGAGCCCAAGAGCGAATGTCAAGACTTGAAGACGGTTCGTGATTCCCATACCAATCAGCTATCCAATGAAACAAAGTTCCCTTTTGTAACGGGTTTGAAGTTTCCATAGCGGTTGTGAACCCTGTTACCATGGATTCCAGACCGTCACAAGCTGTCGCCATGCTTGTCAAAGTCTGCAATGCTGCGTTTCGTATCGGCGCCTTCTGATCCGCAAGGACGGTAGATACTGGAAGAGCAAAAAGACGAGAATGTTTTTCAAAGGGTTTCCCCATCCCAGTGGCTATACGGGAGACGATGTCGAGTGCTAACGTCTGTACGGCCTTATTTGTATCCGTGACTCGGGCTTTCAAGACTTGTCCGATATCGCCTAGTGGATCCGTTCATAAATATATGTCGAGTGAACAACATTACGCACCCATCCCAGATTTCAACCGTTTATTGCTGCCTTGATCGAGGATTGATTGCAAGGCCTCTAGTCCCTCCTTTTTGGTCTTCCAGGCGTCGCTCTTCGCATCAACCAAAATGGTGGTCCCCTTGAGCAAAGCATCAATCTCAACGCGGGGAAAGAGCTCATCCAAGGGGTCAATGTCGTTTGTCTTTGCCGATGCGGATGAAGTGGTAGCCATGTTCGCTAAATCAGCGGATGTTCGAGACGGTTCTGGAGCAGGAACGCCATCCACTTTGTCACATTCAGTTGTAATTGTGTTGAGAAGCTGGGGATTCAAGTCCTCTAAAAAATCCTTGATACCTGAACGCAGCAACCGTCAGAAAATTACATACATGAAACTTGTGTGACCTCACTTGAGCCAGCGAACAGTTTAACCGTAACCAAAGTCTTCGTTGCACTGCTTCGAACAGCGGCATTAGAATTCTGCAATGCGCCTTTGAGAAATTCGATCAGGCTACGAAGGGACAACCCGGCGATGCCAAATTCAGTCAGCGCTGTACTGATCCAGGTGACAGCGTCGGCGAGGACCTTCGGTGCTTTCTGCTTCGTCAATGGATCATAGGCTGAGCAGCCGGGAATGTTCAGCCTTGCTGTTAAGTGGCACAAGGAGGTACATACCTTGGGAAAGTACAAATTGAAGGGAAGTTTTTTCAGCAAAAGCAATAAGAGCATCACCAGAAGGTTTTTTCAATTTCATATCTCCAAGCTTTTCGGTGAGATGTGCAATACAAAGTGCCGCACTAGATCGTCCAAAAGATGGACATCTTTCGGATAGAAGGACGAAGATACCGTAGAGCTTTGCGGATACCTAAAGGGTGGTTGAAGTAAAAATTAATGAAGGGGATTGAACGAAACAGACTTGAAAATTCTTCTCAGACCAACCCTTCTTCGCCAGAGCGCGCACTACCACTTCTGCATCCAACGTTTCGATTTCTGTCTGTATCCAATTTGCCATCTCCTCTAATGCAGCTAATCTCGTTTTCCAGTTTGCATCACCAAAATCAGCGAGGATAGAAGCCGGAATAAGTTCAGTCGCAATGTTCTCTGCATCTTCCGGCGTGTGTTTGTATTTAAAAGTGTCCAACGAACCGGCCACAGAAGGAGCCGATTTTCCTGCTTTTGTCGAAGAAGGGGCGGCAGCCGGCGGAGGTTTCTTTGCAGCTGCCGCAGGTGTATTAGATGGCGCAGTGGGCTTCTTGGGCTGCGAATCGTTATATAGGATAAAATGTTTGATAAATTAGGAACTTACTGCCGAGGGTTTCGCGGCAGGTTTTGCAGCTTTCTTCGCAGGTAGTGGAACATCTTCTCCAGGCGTTGAAGAGGTGGCAGCAGGAGGACCTTTTTTGACCGCTGTCGACGACCCGCTGGGAGCATTTGTCCGCGGCGGAGGAGCACCCCCGACTTTACATTTCACGACAGCCTTATCAAAAGCTTCTTTTACTTTGGCCTTCCTCATATCCGCAAGATTTTCCATTATAGCGTTGAGCGGACGCTCCCCAACCATCTTCATAAGATAACCAAAACATGTCGCTGATTCAGTGCGAGCTCCCTCGTATCCGTCTTCAAGCAGTACCGCCAAAGTTTCGGAAAGAGGTTTAACCTGAGCGGGTTGAATTGCTGATGTAGCAGAGGCGAGGCATCGCCCCAACAATTTTAATGTCCCTTCCTTGACTTGAGGATTTTTGTTCTTAAGTCCATTATCAATATCTGGAATCAGCTCTTGGAGGGTGATCTAACAAGTAAAATTGGTAAGAGCACAATGAAATACCGTAAAATCTCCTTACAGTGGAAAATACAGCATCTAAAGCTGCGCCAATTGCGTCTGTCACGTTGGCCTTTCTTTCTTTCAGTCGTTCTATCATGAGAGGTATGACTGCTTCGTGGTGTTTGGCGAACGCCGACCTCAGACCCTTTGCCAACTCCTCCAGACAAGTGGCCGCCACAATTACACAATTAATGTTCGCGTCTTTCGCGACACACGAAGCCAGGGATTTGATGAGCTCCCCGAGCTCGCTCGCATCCTTGATCCGAGGCGTTGACGTCAAAAGCGTGGCTAAATCATCCAACGCTTCCTTCCGTTCCTTCCACTTCGATGATTTAAGGGCACCCTGAAGAGACGAGGAAAGTTTTGGAACAATATCCACGGGTTCCGCGAACGCACGAGGATCAAGTTCTTCAGGTTCTAGCAGATTGTTAATCTGGCTGATGAGAGTGTGTTGATCAGTATGCTTACCCGCTGCTGCCGCCGACATTTCATCAACATCACCACCTGCTTCCACCGCCGATTCCAGTTCCCTCGCCTGTGCTCGCGTATAACGCTCGGCTTTCAAGGTTCCCTTCCCCTTCCCATCTTTCTCTAGTGCTTCAAAAGCCTCTTTCAACTCCTTGACTTGAACAGGCTTGAGGTCCGCCAGCCAGGGTTCAATTCCGGGACCAATGTATTGATACATCGTATGAGCCAGAGCAGTCCCTTCAGCACGGACAGTTTTGTCGCTGTGAGAAAATATCTTGGGTAGAGCTTTGAGGATTGGTGGCGGGGGGACTGCTTGTGTTCCAAAATTTCTGAAGAGTGGTGGATGAGAGGAGACTTGAACGACGGAAGCGTAAGACATTTACCGGACAATCTCCTTTAAAGCTGTGATACATCCTGCCACAGCTTTAGGTTGTTTTGCATTCAAGCCAGGAAGAAGATCTCCCTAAAGTGGGGTGAGAATGAATATAACTTTCAAAATCCCAGCACACCTAAGCAACGTACCACGACTCCCGACCCTCCGTTTTCGACTTCCACATACTGCAACGCCAACTCAATAGCCTGGCTTCTTGTTCCTCCTCGAGTAGAACCCAGGCATTTCTCCACCAAGGCGGGCATCACACCATCCCGAGTTTTGGCTGCAGTCTCTCCGGCGTTCTTGATCAGTGCCACAAGACACTCCACACCCTTTTCCTGTGCTACCGCATTTGAATCAGTGGCGAATTTCTTGATCAGCTCGATATTGTTGATGTAAGGTTTGAAAGCGGGATCGGTATCAGAAGCGGTTGTCTGGAACGTTTTGATGAGAGATTCATATGCACTGACACGAGCTTTCCAGTTTTTATGCGCAAGTCTCTCGGAAATGGGTAGAGAAGTGAAGTCTTCCTCTTGGGGTGGAGGCCCATCCATGTGCGGAAGTTGTAAGAGAGAAGAGTAATCGAGTTTGCAAGTAAGTATTGAGTGAGTAAACGGTCAACACGAAATTAAACACTTCAATCTTGTCACGTGCACGTGGCATGCATTGCTCAAGTTCTGGAACTAAATAGATACCCTGATAAAGTACCTCCTCACCGATCTGCCAGTGCGGCACCAATCAAAGCAATTAGCTCAAAAATGTTTTTCAATTCCTCGTCGACCACCACTCCTTCCAACTCTCTCTCACGCAATTCTGTCGAGGCGTGCCGTTTTGCTGATTCATCCCGCTCAGCCTCCAGTTCCAGATTGGAGTAAACAACTGATAGCGTATACTGCACATCCTTCAGGGAGCGGTAGATTTCCAAAGCCTCAAGATCGGATTCCGCCATCAGTAGGTAAGGCAAAGCTTCACGAAGAGCGGATGCTTTTTGTGATGTCAGTGGAGTGGAGCTATGGAGTATTGCGAACATACCACTGGAACCCCCAGCCGAGATAATACATCGAGCGAGTGTGAACGCTGCGACGGCTCGCTGTTCAAGATCTTCCCCGCCGATGATCTAGGGAATTTCGTTAGGACCTTCCACTCCAGGATGGAGAAAAGAAGTGTACTACCTGAGGCATTATTTCCTCCAAGATACGCTTCGACCTTTTTGAAATGCCAAACTCAAGACCAATATCTGCCAGGAGAATGATTCCAGTCCTGTAATGGTTTAGGCGACAAAGAAACTCAGAATCCCACAAGCCCCGTAACAGGTGTTCAACTGCTGTTTGGGCTTGATCGGTTTGCTATTGACATTGAAATTTGAACATCAATTCATCCAAAATGCACACTCACTCGTATCTGCAGAACAGAATGCAGGGACTCCCGTATCGGCGACATCTCCGCTGATTGCGTATTGAAGAGATATTCCTTCTCGTTGTACGACCCAAGAGGTCGTCTGGGCAGAAGAAATTCACGGTATAAACGAGTTTGTCCTCTAAAAGAATGACGATCAGAAATGCCAACACCCATACGTTTGTGGACACGGCAAACCGACGGGTTGCTCGAAGGGCGAGAATGTGCCAAAGTTGGTGAGCCCAAGACCCGTAATCATGGAGGGTTAGCCCACGCCAGACATCGGGATCCAAGAGCATCGACAAGCTTCCTTGGTAATTTCCTTGTCGCGCTTTCTGGTGAAGAATGTTGGTTTAGTTTGCCAAGACCCAAAATAAAGGGCAACCTTATAAGATCTGTTAAGGAGAACTGTGATTCTGTTGGAATCCTCGCTCCCGGAATCTGTGAAAGCAATCACAATATTTTCTTCCACGGTTGCGAGTTTTTCGCATCCTGATTGACGTGAACACACATAGCGAAAGACAACTCGATATGCGCACCTGCTTCTCTCCATACCACTGACTGCACTGCGTGCTGCGCCCATTGCTGGTCTTCAACAAATAACGCAAGCTGTACGTCCAACCAATGGTCATAGAGACCCAAGGCTTGAAAGATCTTGGCAAAAGCTACAGTCAAGGGTTGATTCTAAATTTAGAGGTTAGATAAGCCTTAGGGATGAAAAATGTGGTGACATTTTGTTCATCGAGAAGCTTTTTAATGTCATACAAGATTTCAAGAGGGTGGAGATCAGGTTGAACCTCATTCAGAAAAGATCTTTCTCCAGGTTTTGTTGGAGGCAGTCGATGTAGCATGCTGTAAAAAGAGACATCAGAAAAACGCACATCCACTTGTCTCCACATCACTGGCCTTATGCAATGTTGGAGTGTTAGCCGGTCGTTGCTTGTTCGTGCTACTGTGATTGCTTCTGATAATAGCTGGGGTTGCGTCAACATACGCAACGGTCACGTAACAACCAACAGGTTCCTTTACTTTGCGGGCTGCAACATATTCTCCGCGAGTATAATGCATTTGGACTAGATTCAGAAGTGCATGTTGTCGCACTCCACTGATGAAAAGGGCTTTCAGCTTACGCATTGGCCCAACGTAGAAACTCACGAGTCATTGTTTTCATGAAAATGTTGTTCAAAGAATCGCCGCAAGTTTTCGGCAGCTAAATTCTCATCACCAACGGCTTTCCCCTTCTCCCATCTATATAAAAATACACCATTAGCTAAATGGAAAACGGTGCGTCGAAAACTTACGCTTCGTAAGCATCAGGCTTTGCCCACGTCTTCTTGTCAGTCTGTGTTTTATGAATGAGAAGATCTGCTTGCCATCAAGACCTGAAAAAAGCTTCAAATAACAAAGAATGGAATTACCACTGTTGAGCTGGTCCTTCTGGACAGCTTCGTATCCTGCTTGGGAGTCTCCAGCGCACCATGCTTGATAATCGAGGCGAAGTTTGGTGAGGCCAGAAAATGACAATTTGGCATAGCTGACATAACAGCGTCGACAGAAGTACCCGAAAAGTGATCGTCGCATCTAACAAAACTGATATAAGGCCTGGAGAATACCGTGCAAGCAGCACTTGCTCACGAATCGTGGATGTTCCTAATATTCTGTCTTCAATGCGAGATTGCACATGTAGATCGTGCAACAATCACCTCTGTGCTCTTTTCCATGAAAAGAGAAGGAACATCTGACGAACATTTACATGAGCAAAGTTACAACGGTCAAGAGGGAAACATACTAACTTTCAAGAAAATTGCTCATTTTCTCAGCTGATGATATGTCAGAGTGCTGTTGAATTTAGTTGATGGTGCGTTGCATTTGCACAGGAAACCCACAACGGTTCTGATTCCTTGCATGAACTCTCGGCAATCGTCGGAGTCAGCCCTGGGAGCTGAGGCAATCTCTTTGATTAAATCTTGGTGTGGCTTCGGATGTGCAACCTTCAATAGTGCGTCAGAATAGAACGGATGGGTTTGACGAAAAGCATATGTGCCTCGGCGATTTCATTGAGAAGGACTCGATGAAGGTGCAGGGCAAAGGGTGCTGGGAGTTTCTTGATTTCGAGATCCTTGTATGCTAGCATGATGATGCTGAGCAGCACAATATGATGTGGGCGCAGAACATGATCTGTTGGCGGAGGCGCATCGTCCATACTGGTGTTTAGCGAGAGAGTCGAATGAACGCCGATGTCATAAATCTTGTCCCGATTTGGATGAGCTCGATCACAGTTCTAACTTCTCGGCAGTCATGAAGGCCAAAGGAAAAAGGTCTGCCCCTCCTCCCTCTCAGGTATTTTCCTTCCTTTACGCTCAACGGAAAAATATAAAATTCTATTGAGCAGCCCTCCAAAAAACGCAAGGTCACCACCAGTCTCCAACCTCTCTCTAAAAAAAGGCAATCCGACGTGCCGCGAAAAGAAAAGTTTGCGGATCGAGGAATCATTCCAATACCTGTTCATGAAAACGAAGAAGATGCGGAACTCTCTGACGGGGACGTAGACGTCCTCAATGAATATGGCAATGCTGTTTCATTTCTTGACAAACTGGACCATAAGGGCATCTTGAGGTAAGTACTGGGGCTCATATTTACAATCTGAATCTTTCTGACATACGCATCAGGAGCAAGAAGGAAACGCAACGACTCCATGAAGCGGAGAAACCAATTCGTCGGAAAGTCGTTGAAGATGACCTTCCTCCGCTTGACACAGACGACGACGCAGAGTCGTGGAGCTCAGGAATGGATGAATTGAGCGACGTATCAGAGGAAGTGCTTGATTCTGACGCGGAGATGCCATACGAGTCCGCTCCCCGAAAACCGAACTCGGCTTGGGAGCGAGAAGAACAGACTCAGATCAAGCGACTTCCTATCAAACTTGCAGACGGGAAAATAAAGGAAACTGGTTCGAAACCAGTCAAACTTAAAGCCCGAGAACTAGTGGAGGAGGAGGAAAGTAGCGAGGATGAACAGGATGAAGCCCCAAAAATAACTCGAGTAGAGGATGTCTCCACAGGAGCACGTTTTGGTCGCGCATCAGTTGCAGACGTCCTCAATACCAAATCACGGAAAGCGAAGGTAGAACTAGCGAAAGATCAAATTGCGGGAATTTGTCAAGAAATCCTGGCTGATCTTGAGAACAGCGTATGTGCCGTCCTTGTCACCAAACATCTGAGGCAATAACATTATGCTTTATTAGCTCGGACTTCTTCGACGCCTCCACTCCTTCTCCTTGAAGGAAATATCGACACCAGGACTTACTGAGCCAATCCCAAACGACTTAATCATTAGGAAACTGGCAGTCTTGTCGCAGCTGGCTATTTTCAAGGACATCATTCCTGGCTATCGTATACGCGCTCTCACAGACAAGGAGAAGGCGGAAAAAGTAAGTCAAATGGTATCACAAACGCGCGAATGGGAGCAAGGTCTTGTTGGGGTCTACCAGTCTTACCTTCGAGCTTTGGAAGTTGAGCTCAAAGGTATGTCTTCTTCAACATACGAAACATATCCAATGTTCACGGTAAATACAGCTCAAAGTGAACTCTCAGAAATCGCTCTCGAATGCATGTGCACGTTGCTGACAGAGGTCACCCACTTCAATTTCAGAATCAATCTTATGACTTGTGTCGTTACCCGCTTGAGTCGAAAGTCTTGGGACAAGGTTTGTATAATATTATCTTGATGCCGTCGAGTATCTCTGACTTTGTTTTAGTCCTCAGACCGCTGTCTCGACACTCTTGACCAAATCTTCAAAGCAGACCTCACAGGCGAGGCTTCTCTCGAGATAGTACGACTTCTGAACAGGATGGTCAAAGAACGACGATTCAAAATACATCCACGAGTCCTCTCTTGCTTGCATCAACTGCGACTGAGGACAGAGCTGGGAGTTAGAGCATCGGACTCCGCCGCTGACAAGGCCAAAGATAAACCTCAATCAGGGACCAAAAAGCCAGAGAAACCACATCTTAGTAAAAAGGCCAAAAAGGAGAGAAAGGAGAAAAAAGAAATTGACAAGGAACTCCGTGAAGCGGAGGCAGAGGTCGATAAAGCAGAGCGAGCATCTAGGGTGAGTTTTTTTCCGGAGTGAGCATCCTCCACATTGTCATCAACTACAATACAGCAAACAGAGACGTTGAAACTATTGTTTGCGTTGTATTTCAGAATACTCAAAAATCCTCGCCCATCACCTCTTCTCCCCGCTGCATTATCTGGGATATCGAAATTCGCGCACTTGGTCAACATCAACTTTTTCAAAGACCTACTCAAAGTCTTGAAAGATTTGATAGCCCTCGAATCCGACCAATTTGAAGACTCGGACAATGAAGCGACACAACCAACATCTGGGGGTCTTGATGGTGTTCATCACCGGCTCCTATGTATCGTGGCAGCTTTCGAGCTCCTCTCAGGCCAAGGTAAGATCTTCCTCCCCCCTGCGTATCGTTTGTTTGTTGAAGCGAGATGTTTAACAGGCGAAGCTCTGAACATCGACCTCAGTGATTTCATTTCGCATCTCTACGCCTTGATTCTTTCTTTGAGCCTCGTACCCAACATCGACAGCAAAGTCGACGTATCCCAATCCACAGAAGAATTGCTGTTCCGGGCGTTGAATATCATTTTTTCCCCACGGACATCTGGCGCCGCAGCGCCTTCATGGCGCTCAGCTGCCTTTGCCAAGCGTCTGCTCACTGCTGCTGTACACTGGCCGCCGTCCACCGCACTGCGTGCGATCGAGTTCGTAGCTGGCTTGGTTGCCAAAGACTCCAAGCTCGCAGCACTGCTCTCCACCGAAGACCGTATCTTCAATGGTGTGTATCACCCAGAAATCGACGATCCACAGCTTTGCAATGCGTTCGGGTCATCTTTTTGGGAGTTGCATGCTTTGCACGAAAATTACTGGGATACACGAGTAAGGGAGGAGGCGGGAAAATTGTTATGTGTTACATTATAGAGTTCGTTCTTCCAGATACGTATCTACACATTATACCATACAGATCAAAAATACAGATGTTGTGGGGACTGGGCTAGGAGAGGTATGGGGTATGCTCGTACATCGAAGAAGGTATGGGACGAAGGAGATGCCTATGAATTAGCAATAAACATAATAGTAGGCAGGGGCATCTGTCAGAAAGTTGGGGATACAGCAGCAGGCTACCTCAAGGGCGTCAAGGCGAACGAAAGAGATGTTGAATCTCCGCGTCGAGCGGAGGGTGTATTGGTAGGCACCGCCAAATAAGGGGCGCTCGTTTGAAGAAAGGGCGCTTTATCTGCCAATCTACACTTCTGGAAGCCAATCAATTCTGCAGATGGCATTGGGCCTCCTGACCTCCTGTCAAGGTCGTAGATGACATGTAGGAGGATCTCGTCATCGACTGTTACCTCCTGAGTCATCGTGAGAGGAGTATCTGAAAACGGGGTAAAGTAAGCTTCAAGCAAACTGAAGAGTAAAACGGCACGAACTGGGATCCAACCAACGACATCGAGTCAACGATGACTCGGGCAGCACGGCATTGACGGTACCAACAGCGATATGGGAAACATCCAAGAAGCCAGTTTCCTCCGAGATGCAGGAACTTCCAGCAAAGACCTTAGTTGTGCATCTTCCCGAAACAGACCACACGTTCGCGAGACAGATGCTACCGGCAAAGCCGTGGAGGGTGGAAGGACTGCGAAGGTCGTTCATTGTCGGTACCAGCAATTTCACCCTGAGTGTAAATCTTGGTGCTCCAGGATCGCCTGAGAGTGCCATCAAGGAGTCAACGTTGACAGAGAATGGTGTCATGCCGTCAGCTGTCAAAAAGAAAGAGGTTACTCTATTCCTTGAGGAAAGTCGTGGTTGCTGCGCTATAGAAAGGCGATTTGATGTCGACCTTGAGCTATTGAGAGAGGATGGCATTGTGAGGTGTGCAGTAGAATGGACCGCCGAGTCTCCGGAACTCTGCGAGTACAAGCTAGCAGCATTGTAGTGTGGTGAGTGATCCGGGTATAGTGAATTAGGGAATGCTCCAAAGGGAGATATAGAGGGGACAGGTGATGTTGGGGAAGTAGATAAAGATGGGTAAAGTGGGGTTGGGCTACATTGGGATTTGAGGGGTGATATTTCGGTTGGAGCCAAGTGTGGGTGGTGCTTTGGCGTGAGAGGGAAATCAGATTGAGAGTCAGGTGGTGAATAGTTGGGCGAAACAGAGTGCGAAGACGAATCATCATTGTCGTCGTCAAAGGGTATAAGGGATGTTTCATCCCATTGATCTTCGAGCTTCACGGGACCAGATGACGCCGAGTCTGCAGGGGTTTCGTCCGCTCCAGCGACGAGATAATATTCTGTAAGGAATCGGATGAAGGACGGGCGACGGCAATGAGGTGGATATACAAACCAGGCTCGCCCTTCCACATATTCCTCAAAACTTGGATATGACTCGCAACTTGCTTTTTTGAGCGGGTTATCTCTTTACTTTGAAGATATTCTACAAGGAACTGATTGCGCCATCGACTACGGCCACGAGACTGCGAGTAGGTCGCGTAAGGAGAGTTCCAGTATTCCTTGAGGCCTGGGGGGAAATGAAAAGATGAAGGGGGAAAGGATGAGATGGCTGTGTACCTTGCACAAATATCTTTTCGATTGATTCTGGCCATACCTCTGTTCCACTGCCATCCTTTAAGAGTTTTCTGTGCTTGCGCTGGGGAGTGAGGGAGTCGTGAGCTGAGTCGGGGTTCTTCATGAGGGGAAGAGGCGTGTAGTGAAGATGGGAAGGGGAGGGAAGAAGATAGAAATCATTGGAGGAACGTTATATACGGAGAACAGCACTCTTTCTAGGGTGGGCGGTGACATGGAGCAGGGATATAGAGTTAAGATCCGATAAGATCCGAATTGGGAAGGTGGGCACCGTCGAATTGGAGGTGGCTTATTATGTGGTCCCTGAGATCGGAGAAAAAGGTCGGCGCTGGTCGGTCTGCGTCGGTCTTTGAAGTTGCCATTCGCGGCGGCGTGACGGAGATCGCGTTTGACCGGCCCAGTAACTTGGCTCAGGCCCGATTCCTTGTCTCAATAAGGAAGTTTGTACCCATGCAAGTCCGGAACGACGTGAAGCAAGAAACTGATAGCTGGTAATATCAACTATGTCTACTACACTCACTCAGAAATGGTTGCGACAAAACCTACATTCCTACTCACAAAAGGACAGGGTCTATTCAGATATCGACGCTGCTTTGGCTCGCTTTCAAACCCTGCGTCCAAAATCAGACATTTACAGTACGAGCACTGTACTAATTCACATCTAATCAATATTATTGATCACTTTATCTAGCCTTTGACGATGGTCGCACACAGTTGCTGCTCTGTATCCATGGCTTACTCCCCATATCATTTCGTCAGGCATCCTACAACATCCCCATCAGTGTATGGCTACCTCGTCAATACCCTCAACAACCTCCAATTCCCTATGTCGTCCCCACCACCGACATGCTCGTCAAGTCAGGCCCATATGTCGATGTCAGTGGTAAATGCAATCCAGAGTATATTCAGCATTGGGAGCGGAAATACGAGGTTTACCCATTCCGTTCCTTATCCCCCTTAGTCTCTTGACACCATATCTAGGGTTGTAGTTTGTCAGCTTTGTTCGAAGCGTTCCAAGACCAGTTCTCGCGCGAACCCCCCGTTTATTCAAAGCCGAAGCAACAACCTCTCACAGCCTACTCTTCCCACAACGGCAACAGCTATGCGGTAAGGACGCCGCCGCCACTACCAAGACCCGCCCCATCAACATCATCAACATCATCATCAACCCCACCACCAATACCTACACGGCCTGCGGATCTCCACTCCAATTCCTTGGAACTCCAGACAGTATGTTGTACCGTGGTCAATTTTGACATTTTTGCTCAATTCTGAGCAGTCCACAGCACGCCCACTCTCCCCGCCTCCACTACCTCCACTTCCACCAGTCCTTCCGTATAACGCAACCCCTCGTGCCCCATATTCAAATCATTCTACGCTCAATCAACAATCATGGTATGTTCCCCCTGCTCGGCCTCCACCCAGCTTCCTACCGAATCAAACGCCCACCACGCAACATCAACCCAACGAGAGCAGACTATCTCAATCTCCACCTCCACCTCCTCCGCCGCCGCTTCTACCTCTACATTTCGCCCCTCCAATGCGGTTGCCCGAGTCTAATTCAACACCGACGCCAGCTCGAAATCCACAGCTGCCCATCGCGGACCTCCTCGACGGAGACGCTGACGTTCCGCGAGAAGGAAATTCAATACAATCCCCGGTGCCTCCACGGCCATTGAACCCGGAGCTTCTCAACTTACACACCCAAGTACACGCAAAATTGACTTCGGAGCTTGATTCACTCACTCAGGCGCTTGCCCTGGACGCGGAACGGCTGCGCGCTCACCAGAGTGACCTTCTTTCTGGAGAGCCCGTCATCCATGACGAGATGGCCCGTCTAGAAGCAGTTCGCGATGTCTGTCGAAATGTAGCGTTTAGGACGAATGGCGCTGTTCAACAGGTAGAAGCTAATATTTCAGAGCTCCGCCGGAAAGGTGATCCCGAGGTTGATGAACTTATTTGTTCGACGAATATCGTTCACAATCAGTATGTTGAAATCATGTCCTGCGATAAGTTGAATAATTGCTTTCCAGACTTATTAACCTCATCGCCGACGATCATTCGATTGAAGACACCGTCTATCATTTACATCGGGCTTTAAATACCGGTCGAATTGATTTGGAACGGTTTTTACGGGTAGGTGATCCTCCGTTGTTGATGATTGTGATAGTTTTCAGACCCTTGTCGATCTATAGACGACCAGAGTGCTGGCGGAGGAACAATTTATGAAAAGGGCTTTGATAGAGAAGATATTAACGGGGATTTCCACACTATCAACTCCTATTGCACCTTGGACGTAGTAGTAGGAACCATGTCAGGAGTCATTGACGTTACATTTCGGTACATATCGGTTGTGTTGTCCTTCAAGCTCCCTTATCTTCCAGTTTTCTGTCAAAGATACAGCTGACAGCGGGTCTCCTTTTGCTCGTCATGAGTTACACTCAAATTACGGCATCGTTGACCTGAGATGTAATATTCCGGAGCAGTCTCAATCAGGAACAACAGCTTATGATCATGGGTCCGTCGACATGTCATTCAAAGCAGAAGGTCACAGAACATAAGCAAAAAAATATTAATCGGTTACATATCGTTCGTCCTTTATTTCCATTTCCTTCCTTGGTGACCTCGGGCCTCTTCCTGCGCTTCCCACCCACCTCCAAACCCTCAACTCATCTCCACCCTCGATCTCCTCCAGGTTCGCCCTGACATTTGCATTCCCCTCCACAACGCGCTCTACCTCGTTCCACAGTCGCCGCCGTGTGGAAATCGAGTGCTCCTCTTGCAGGATCAGATCCCGAAGTTGTATTGAAGACAAATACGGCTGTGGCGCGACAATAGGATCGGTATGATGGGCTAGCTCTTGATTGCGCAGTGTGTCAAGTGCGATCTGCACCAAGTCAGAAACACGTCTCCTTTCCACCACCTTCTGCGCGCTTCGCACTCGGGCAACAATAAGAATAAGGATCATGATAAAAGTACCTGGAAAAACGTTTAGACGGCCTCAACAAAAAGAATAAGCAATGTACCGAGAACAGTCGCACGCCAGACTTCCCAAAATTCCCTTGATCTCACCTTCATGAGACAAACCCATGACAGGTCGGGGGTCTTGTGTGCCAGATATCTGTGACTGCTACAGGAGGAATTTAGTTTAACAAGGAGTAGAGCTTATCCGTCCGACACTCACTCTTTGTCTTCCCCGATGACAACTCCGCCCCACTGAATGAGTTGCTGAACGGCCTCATTAAAAGTATCCGCAAAAGTCGGCAAAAGATGAGGCTTCAGAATGGATTTAGCAATCGGAGTTAGTTAAACGAGAAAACATGCCTTGGTCTTGGCCTTTATCAGTTCTTTGAGTTCCCCAATTTCGATTCCCCACTTCTTGGCGTCGCCTCCATCTTCCTCCTTCACGATGTCAACGGCTGTTTTACCATCAAAACAAACACGTCGCCCCCTCTCCTGTCCAAGAACGACTTCTATAGCTTTTCCAAGAGCTCCAATGTGCCGTTTTCTTCTAGGGTCTTCCACACATTTGGGTGGAAAAGCAACGCTGCCAAATCCAGGGAGTCCGTCCAGAGAGTATGAAATCACTTTCCAGATTACGTCCGAAGGCGACAAGGACGATGAAAATGACGCGTTGGAAGGTTGGTGTGGCGCCGGGAGATTGAAAAATAATGCGTGAGCCCGCAACAAATGGCCTTTGTCGCAGGTAACACTGTGTCGATCACAGATAGCATGTTCAGGGCATGACGTACAGGTTTCAGGATGGGGAAGCGGGACAAGAGGAGGTAACGGGCATGGCACCAGGCTGGTTGCTTCGCCATTTTCGTCATGGCCTGGTGGATGTAGATATGTCCCGTTTTCTCTGTTACAAAGTTCGGCAGCTAAACGATTAGCTTTCAACTCTTCAACGAAACTGTTCGTGTTGCTTCCTGCGTCACAATAGCCCAGCTCAGCGGACTCCATCTTGTACCCGAGTGTAGCGTACATGATGACAAGTGACGAGAGAAGAATGAGTAGCCGTGAAAATATCTGAAGTGCGCCTGGTCCATTGGCCAACTGAGGAGAGTTTGAGGCGCCTCCTTCGGCGATACGTTGTGAGATAGCTAAGACCTCGTCTGCAACGGACTGATCGTTTGAAACCGGTAGAGCTTCAATACCATTATCCTGCTGCTCGGTTGGTAGCTCACTAGTCACATCATCACCGTTATCTTCCACCAGGTCTTCCGCCTTGACAGCCTTATTGACAGAGGTGAAGGAAGGTACCTCCAGCTCTTGTGATGCGATGGAAGGCAGAACGGGCTTGAAGGACGTCAAGGGTGGCGAAAATGGAGAGCTAGGAGTGTTGTCTTGTGAACGAATGGGTCGAGACGGGGATGGAGAATCAAGGAGCTGTGGAGGCGCTGACATGGATTTACGTCCTCTCCGTGGAAGGGCAGATTTTCGGGGTCGAGCTGGCGATGGTCGAATAGGAGATGAAGACTCCGCCCCAGATTGAAATATATTATTATCTTCCCACCCACTATCATCCGCCTTGCTTATGCATTAGCCGCCGACAAAAAGAAGAATAACATATACTTACATTAGAGACGCGTCTAGCTTGAGTTCCGGCAGAGTCAGTCTGGAAATCAACGGTTCATGACAACTATCAGTGAAGGGGAAGGATTTTCGTACCGCTTTTTTACTTCGTCCAACTTTTTTGGCTGGTAATTCGTCCTCGGGTTCACTTTCTTCGAAAAGCGGTGGTTGGGTGACTGCTAGTGGGCGAGTGGAGCCGCCTAATATCGGCTGGGCTGAAGAGGGTCGGCGCTTTGGCTGTCGAAACAACAGAAAATGAGATGATAGACAATGATAACTAGGAGACGGATAAATGTACAGGATCTGGAGGTTGTTGCGGGGCGTCGACCGGTGCTTGGGAAAACCTTCGCGAGGATCTCCGGGCGGGTAGAGTCTTTGGAGACGTCAGACAACAGAATGAAGACATGCGAATCTCAAATACCTTTCTGGTGGCACCTAAAGGTTGGCCTGTAACACCGTCCAATATGCCATCGTCGCTTGCAATGCTATTTTCTTTCTTGAGACGTTCCTTCTTAAATTTGCTAGCTCGTGTCTTTATTTCTTCATTGAATAGTTGTACTAGCTTCGGCTTTGAGTAGGGTGTAGGATATCTAATGTTATGATAACCCAAGACGCCAAGTAGTTGGGATACGGTGAGTGTTGTCGGTTCAAAATCCGGCTCAAGATATTCGCCCAAGCCTATGACCTGCGCAGAGGTCAAACGAGACATTGAAACGATGTTCAAAAATCGAAGACAAAATGGATCGCCACCAGCAGAGAAGAAACAAACAGTGGCTGTGCAGCACGTTGAAACCACACCATGCTGAGTCACGTTGATAACAACAATCTAAGCGATCTACTGATACGTTGGTCGAGATAATCCTCCTGTCCCAAACCATCGTCCCTTAACCTACGCAACGTAAGCCAAATACAAGAGCGCGCTGCACAAATCACTTACCATAAAATTCCAATAGGCGGACGGGAAAAGATCCTTTTTAAGATGATAAAAGAATCTGTTGGCGTTTTTCGTCAGTCTGCCTTGAACTTTCCTCACTAAAAGCTATTACCTGTTGCTTTTGCTCTGGTCAAAAATGTTGCTGAATGTTTCTTTGGGCTCCAAGCCATATCGGAACTCCGCCAGCATCAGTTCACCATACCCCGTCAGCAGCTGTCACATATTAGCGCTTAGCCACATTGAGAGTGTATTGACCGACATACTGGACAACTAGTGTACCCATCGTACTGTGCTTGGCTAACTTTTCCTGTATCAACAAGAGACAATAGATTTTCAGTCAATACTGGAGCCTGGGCCGTTATAGCTGCAGCGGTTTTTGATGTTGGGAGCGATGAGCAATCTCCCAATGCAAAGATATTGCTGAAGTCGGGGTTGACGTGCTGCATAGTTGCCTGATTAACAGTAACCCATCCAGCACTATCCGCGATGGGTGAGCCTTTGAAAACATCCAAAGGCCCCATAGGAGGGGTAACATGCAACAGTGTGTAGTCGACATCGATGTTTGTTCCGTCCGGCTTTTTGAAAGTAGCTTTGTGGTTTGCTGGATCGACCGATACAAGGTTGTGTTCGAAGAACCCATCAACCTTGCGTTCAATTCTTAGGGCGTTGAGGGCGTCAGAATACTTTTTGACGCTGAACATAGTGGGCATGCCGGTGTAAAATTTCACATCAATGTTATCGGCACGGCCTGTCTTCCTGTATCTGTCCCAAGCCATCCACATAATTTTCTGGGGAGCTGTTTTGATAGTTGTGGCAGACGTCCCCAGATGAAATCAAGCTACTCACCTCCTGCACATTTGATAATTCCTGCAGGTTGAGTAAAAATGGCGTTCCCCGAACGCAAGCCCTCTACATCGTCCCAAACTTTGTCACAGGTCGCGTAAGAATAGATTGAGGACACGCCAGAAGTAGGATCAGCCAGTGCGCTGGTAAGTCCCTTAATGCCATTCCAGTTGATTTGTAGCCCAGCGGCCACGACCAGGGTATCATAACTAAGCTGGCGCCCAGATGTGGTGGTCACCGAAGACGTGGTAGGAGAAAACGATTGAACATTTTCAGGAATAAGGGTAAGGTGTTTGGGAATGAGAGAATCTAGTGGACGGCGAAAATCAGTCTTGGGACGAAGTCCAGCACCGACAAGAGTCCTTTGGTGAAACATTAATCTTTTTCAACATGAAGATATACTTGAAATACCCACCATCCAGGCTTCGCAAGAGGGGAAGTTCCAATGTCAATTTTGCGCTGAAGTAAGTTCGGACGCACGTACGCACTTGATAGTAATGGTATTCCGCTGCATCAAGGATGGTAATATCCCCGTCTTTTAATTGCTTGCCTGCAGCGGTGAAACGATTATAGAGCTGGTTTGCAATGGAGAGACCGGCGCTTCCTGTGGGAGAGAGAAGTATTTTTTTGGATGCAAAGCATGGGGAAACACCTACCGCCACCTATGACTAGAATTTTGGATCGACCATTTGCACTACTTTCTACAGCAGTTGCATAGGATCTGAAGTGGGAGGACAGTCTGGCCTTTCCAGCCCGCGTAAGTAAGATCATCAGAGTTGATCAGATATAAAAAACCAGTTGCAATCAAATTTGGTTGATATGTTTCTCTAGTTGTCATGTCTCTTCGACGTCTGATAGCCTCTTCCCAACGTCTCTCCTATGTCGTCTGATCCCCACTGCTTCCCAAACCTTCCCGCAAATCCTTGAAGGCGATCCCCCAACGTTTGTGCGAGATGCCTTCTAACTCGGAAGAACCACTGGCACCTTCGGGTCCTTCTCAAGTTAATAGTACCCCCAATTTGGATGGTTTGAGGCAGAATATTGGCACCTTCTTCACCTCATGCGTTGGTGGCAGTCATTCATCTCGCGATGAACAATTCGTGCGGCGAGGGTGAATTGGGCAGAGTACGCATACCCTACCTGTCTAGTCTCTTCCCAAGATCGCGGGGAATCTCCTCATGAAGTTACTCCCATCGGGAGTAGGGTTTTTGGAGTAGCAAATTCATTGACAGTGAGCCTTAGGAAAGCATGGGCGGTATGTCAGGATGCTGATTTTCACGCCTCGCCGTACTGACAGTGGCTCAGCGACGCCCCCAAGTCGCGATTCACGTCTCACCCGAGCTATGGAAGCATGCCATTGTAAACGTCCTTGATGCCGCTGATTTTCCAGATTGGCTCTTTACCGAACAGGAGCGATGTATAGGAGGGATTCCTTTTCGCTTGGCCGAAGTCCATAGCAACGATTGCAATACCCCTGTCGCTTCCCTTCACCAATCTTTTAGAACTGTCATGATCCTTATTATCCTTGGGATTCAATCGCGAACTCTATCCCACTCCAAGTTAGTTCGTACAAAGTAACTCAGGAGCTCGAGTTACCGTAGCAACATTGCTTTGGCTGATCTAGCCGTCACCATCAACCAGCTTTCGAACGTTGATTACTTACTTGTGGACTTGCTTTGCTTATGGATAGATCTTTTCTCTCAAATACGGGGCGCTTAATCTGGGCTTCATTACCACAGTCGTCATTCCAACTTCGGTTTGACATTCCAGGAAATGTTACTTATGTTTGGTGCAGTCGCAACCAAGAAACATCAAATCCCACCAAGATCATCATCGGTGGTCATGCAATCTCTCTTCCTGATTCTCGTTTCCATGGTGGTTGGATCTCCACGTGGATTCGGAATGTGATAATAAATACTGGGAGATGCCAACGTCGCCAATCATTCCTTTGGTTGATCCTTTCCTTTCGTTCTTTCTCTCTGTCTCAGTCGAGTGGATCTTCGACTTCTGTAACTTTCGTTCGTTCGAGGCAAGTGATGTAGCAAAGTACTCATGCTTTTTACTGACTTTGTCTCCCAGATCACCCTCTTTGATAGAGATTTTTCAAAGTAGCATCCTCCGGGGAGGTTTTTAATTTCAATCCAACCACAGTTCACCTCAACAAATTTACCCTCACTCTTTCATCATGGTTTTTATCGCTCCATTCATCGCTGCTGCCCTTTCCTTTGGCTTCGCATCTGCACTTCCTCGACCGGACAGCTCTATTAATGAGCCCGCTGTCTCCGCACCAAACGGTATCCCAATAACGGACACCTCGGGAGTCGCCTCGTATGTGATTTTTTCTTTTTGAGTTCGTAATTGAAAGTTGTACATCTGTCGAGTAGTAAGACAGCAATTTCAACCCAGGCGAGCTCTACTGCTGGCATGTACCAAAAAAACTCTGGTTCCAGCGATAACTCCGGAAGCCAATATGGATCTGGCAGTTCCTGGATGTCTTCCTCTACTAAGAAGGACACCGCGACCTCGGCAACACCTGTTGCATCCTCGACACCTTCTTATGGCTCAGGAACATCTAACTGGGGTAACTCTGGCTACAACGATTGTGTCCAACGTAAGTCAATATGAGCTTTCTTCTCGTCAAACACGATGATTAAATTCTATCTCATACTGCAGAATGTGTCGCGTCACATGGTGCTGTACCAGCCCCGTATCAGGCCACAGCAACTTCAAACTCTGGTGGAAGTTCCGGAACTGGTGCCACCCATACAGTGATCGTTGCTCCGACTCAGGGTGTGCTGAGGTATATTCCGTTTGCTGTTAATGCTTCTGTTGGGGATACTGTCAAATTCATGTGGGGAGCTAATAACCACACCGTCACTAAATCATCGTCCCTTCTGCCTTGCAACCGCTCCGCAGACGCCCTCTTTACATCTGGCAGTCACGACAAGGACTTTGTCTGTAAGCTTATCTGCCTTGTGCCATGACTACATATGATTATGTGTCGTCCAGTCACTCAAATTGTTAACGACACCAACCCAACGTTCTTCTACTGTGCTACCCCCAATCATTGTCAGAAGGGCATGTTCGGGATCATGTCAGTGAAAAATTGCTTCTTGCATGTCTTCGGTCGCTTGATTGGGCAATCTGTTTAGTAATCCACCCAGCGCTCTTGGGTCTGCTACATCTGTCTCCGGAATGATGCAATCCCTCAGTGCCAACGTATGTCACTTTCCCAATTTTGATATATTTGTTTAACTGTAAATGTAGAGTCCCAATGTTGCGGCATTTGTTGCCGATTCCTCTAAGCAAACTGCGAACAACGTTGCAGCGTCCAAGTGGGGCGGAAATATTGACATGGCAGCCCTCCCCGAATGGTCACACCAATATGTTGCAGAGAATGTTCTGTATACTCGAAACTTCTTGGCGGCCAACGCTGAGGTTTTGAAAGAAAGTGGTGCCGTCGACCTCAGCGCTGCAGGGACAACTCCTTTAATGATCCCTCAAGATCTTAGCGCCGCGCTAATAAACGCGGCTCCATCCCCGGCTACTGCTGCACCCCCTACAAATACTGAAGCTGCTGCGCAAACGGCATCGACGTCAGCGACAACTGGCGTGGCTTCCAGCGGCGGAGTTTCGATTTCTCCCAGATTCACCATCGGTGTCTCCGTCGTACTCGCGATGGTTTTCCTGTTGTGATGTTAGTAATTCAAAGGGCACATTAGTTGGAACTTGTGGAACGGACACACACAAGACTTACCGTAAATACCTACCTTTGACTGCTGTTTTTCGCATTCCTTTTATTATATAGCACTCTTCGTTTTGTATCTCATTCGTTGAATTGAAGCAATTATCAAGAAGATCGAACGGACTATGGCTTGATGCCCACTTATTATTGATGCCTGTATTCAGGAATGACATCTTACATCTTACAGACGAAAAATGTCATCAATCTCATCACGCTTCCTTCCTTTCTTTTTCTTTCGAATCATCGACTCTGAGCTACGCGAGGGCTTACTTGGAGTTGTGGAGGGTAACTGTGGTGCACAAAAAGGTATATCATCTGCAATTTTGTCAATGGGAAACGGCACATTTTTCATGATGGAAAATGCATACCTGACGTGGTCGCGACGTTAGGACCGATGCCTGAGTGAGACTGAAGCAATCCGGATTCCACTGGATCTTCGAGCGTCTTTGGATCGACAATATCCACGTTATCGTTAACGTGCATTTCCAGCAAATTTTCACTATGTCGTGTCTAAAATTTTGAGTGTTACTTCGAGTGGCATTCTATATAGAATGATTCCCACCGTAATCGTACCAAGAACCTGTTGTGACAATTCCAGCATTTTTGTGAGGGCATTGACCAGCTCTAAAGCCAGATTGCTGAACCTAGCGGCGAGAGCTGAAAGAACCAGGAGAAGTTGAAGAAAAGCTCCACCTCGCAATGAAATTGTGAAAGATCTAGACGGAAACCAATTAGGGTTTGTAAGCTTGGACGTTGTGTAGGATACATGCTCGTAGGCTTTTATACACTGTTCATGCATCTACCACAACGTCAACGCAAAAAAGACAAGATACCATGTGTGAACAAACCTTTTCAACCAACTTGGAGCAGGTAACAATATCACTCATGAAAATCTGCGTGACCTTGACATCAGGAAAGCAAGACCAGGGGCCACTAAATGAAGGCTGAGCACATTTTCAGGAATTATGGTTGAAATAAGCATACTTCCGCGGCACATCGCTACCAAAAAATGAGGCTCGAAATATATTGAGTTTTTGTTCAGGATTGATACGCCTCAATCGACCACATATTCTCCTAAGTTCCACGACCCGCCTCCAAAAGAGGGCCCCACGGTGTTGGTTCTTTCCTTTGTAGTAAACTCGATCCAAGATTTGGGAATCGGTTGACCAAGCCGCAAGAGCGACCTGAAGGCTACGAGAGGACTTCTTTAGCCCCTTGAGCACGGAGTCAATGGCTGTATGCCCTGATTTATCTAGAAGAGCTCTTGGATGGCTGGAAGGCGCGATTGTGCTCATGCGACCGCAACTTGACGATTCAGTAGTCGGAGAAGACCATTGTCAGTGTTTGCCTGACTCGGCAGATACAAAGAAGGATTATGTGACGCGGTGGTTGATGATCTCGTTGTGTTTACTAAGTCATAGGAGATGATTTAGCAACACTAGAACTCATCAAGCGCTTCATCGTCCTGGATTATTTCATCCCTAGTTTCTTTTCTTTCGATTAAACCTCCTTTCAAATGGCGCAGCCTGGCCAGGATGCCAAATTCTTCCAGCGCGGAAAGATCGAGGTTCGGCAAGGGGATTATCATTCACTGTCATTGGAGCTAAACTAAGCGACAGGAGTTTCGTACAGAATTGCAAGCGGCTGAAACGAAGGACAAAAAGTATGTGAAACGAAAGACAGTCTTGAAAAAAATTGTGGCGAACATTACGATGGGCAACGACAGTTCGTAACATTCGTTTTATGCCCACGATGAGCCTTACATACCGCACCACCTTAAGTGTCACCACTATTTACGGATGTCGTCCAATGCCTGGGTACTCCACTTCTGGAGATCAAGAAGAGTGCGTCTTTGTCTCCGGGAATTGCATTGAGCTTGATCGCGGAATACAGTGGTTTACCTTTTTCTTGTGAGTTATGGCAGGTTGAAGCCAGATCAAATACATCTCGTTATTCCCAACTTTCTACAGGTATTATCTCTCTTCTGCACTCTTTGTTGGCTGACATTTTCTCATTACAGGATTGCGGTGATCGTAACCCTCTTATTCGAGCACTCGCCATCCGAACGATGTCATACATCCCTATTCCTGTTGTCACCGACGCGCTGTCAGAGAATTTACGACACTGCTTAAAGGACCGTGATGCTTATGTTCGGAAAACAGCTGCTATATGTGTAGCCAAACTCTATACTGCAGACCCTCGAAGAGCTGAGAAAGGAGGGTTCGTTGAAATGCTCCGCGATTTAATGTTGGATAGCAACGCAACGGTTGTGGCGAACGCGGTGGCTGCGTTGTCGGAGATTGGCGACCGACAGGATGGCGTTATCTTCCGGCTCAATTTGACGACGGCGAATAAGCTCTTGGCAGCGCTCGGAGAAAGCTCGGAGTAAGTTGTTTTCCAACGAACGAATCTTGAACTCTGAAACTTTGAGCAGGTGGGGACAGATTTACATATTGGATTCTTTATTGCGATATGTGCCCGAGAGGCACGAGGACGCTGAAACAATGGCAGAGCGCATTATCGTGCAACTTCAACATGCCAATTCCGCTGTAGTTCTCACCACCATTAAAGTCCTTCTATATATAATGAATTACATGGAAAACCGCCGCCTCATCGACTACTGTTGCAAGAAAATGGGACCTCCATTAGGTTCGCAAAGGAAATTATTCAGCCATTGCTTTGCTGACCATCATACTTCAGTCACTTTGCTGTCTTCTGGGCCAGAAGTTCAGTATGTGGCTCTTCGAAACATTTTGCTTATCATTCAGCGGAGGCCAGCGGTCCTCAAGAACGACGTCAAGGTCTTCTTTTGCAAATACAATGACCCCATCTACGTTAAATTGGCAAAACTTGAGATTATGTACCGCCTAGCACGCGCGGAAAATGCGACGGAAGTTTTGGCGGAACTACAGGAGTACTTGCCTTTTCCATCTTTTTTTGTTTGCTACGAAATTAAATTGGTTTCTCTGAAGGTACGCTTCCGAAGTCGATGTTGATTTCGTTCGTAAAGCAGTTCGATCTATTGGGCGTTTGGCTATCAAAGTTGAAGCAGCTGCCGACCGCTGCATCCAAGCTCTTCTTGATCTCATCGAAACCAAAGTGACTTACGTGGTACAGGAAGCCGTCATTGTTACCAAGGATATCTTCCGTAGATACCCAGGCAAGTACGAAGGAATTATTCCGACCCTGTGCGAGAATCTGGACGCGTTGGACGAACCAGAGTCGAAAGCAGCCATGGTGTGGATTCTGGGGCAATTTGGAAACAGAATTGACAACGCCGATGAACTCTTGGATGACCTTCTTTACACTTTCTTGGACGAAAGTGTCGAGGTTAGTATGGCTTGGCATTGCCATCGCACGCTGATCCTAATTCAAAATCGCCAAGGTTCAACTTGCACTGCTTACGGCCGCTGTCAAGCTTTTTATCTACAAGTCGAAGTCAGATAAAACGAAAGAGTTGGTTCATAAGGTATTGAAATGGGCCACGGAAGACGTCGACAACCCTGATTTACGAGACAGAGGATTCATGTACTGGCGTATGTTGGCGATTAACCCAACTGTCGCGGGGGAAATTGTTCTGGCTGAAAAGCCGGCTATAACTACCGATTCAGACAGGATGGATAGAGGCGCTTTAGATCAGCTCCTCCTCCACACTGGGACGTTGGGAAGCATCTATCACAAGAATCCTGAGGTTGAATTTCCCCCAGCATTTTTTTTACAAAATTCTGACGCTACTTCAGACTTTCATTCGAAATTCAACAGGAAAAGCCCTAGTTGACAGTCCAGCGTTGAACGCCCACTCTCGTGCTGTTCTGGTCTCCTTGCCTCGCGTTCAACTTCCACACACCGTTGTCAGCGTCCCAGGCCCCGGCCCCTCGGAACCCAAGGTCCAAGCACCAAGCCCTTTACCTGAATTGAAACCTGTGCCTCCAACGCTAGATTCGACCCCCACTGGCTCACCATCTCCAGTCGCCCCCATCAGCAGAGAAGCTGGTGACAACTCGTCGGACCAGGACGACGACGTTGATCCACCCGCGGCTGGAGCACAGGATCCTTACTCAAACTTAGAAGGGGCTTTTGGTAATTATTTGGCAGATGAACCACGGCCGATGAAGGGTGGAAGACATAATGATGATGATCTCTTGTTCTAGACGTGCTACGATTTATATTTATTACATCTGATTGTCGTTTTGTTTGGAAAATGGGTACACTACGATATTCTTCTCGGACGCAAGGAATTGTAGTGCTGGATGGTAAGCCAAGTTAGCATGCTGTGTTACCGATTAATAAGACGAGTCACTAACTTCACCAAGACCATACATCCGGCGATGATAACTGATTCTAGCAACACCCTGGGTAGCAGCACCAGTCGGATTATGCATAACAATTGAAGGGGTACCAGCCTGAACGATATGGATAGGGATATTGTAGGCTCTGCTTAACGCAAGAACCTCCGGCTCTCCTCCCCACACTGCGGTGTCACGAACAGCTGTACAGTATTGCACCAATTGCTGCGGTGTCATTAATCCGCTGTCCAGCGCACCCTGACCATCCTCTCCCCCCACAGATGGAAGGAAGGGGATAAAATCATCGGGATGAGAGTAAATGAAGTCAGCCGCAGTAGTTCGAAGGGTAGAATACGTAGCATGCGAGGGGGGAAGCATGCCGAGTAGCACGAGTTGATCCGCGACCGCAGAATAGAGACAATGGCCATCCGGATCGATCTACATGGGTATGATAAGTATATTGATGTCTAGCCAGAGGCGCGAACGCACCTCAAAGATTTGAAGATTCAACTCGTCACAAATTTTAGCAATCGCTACTGCTTCATCTCGTGCCTCTTCAAGTATCCTTGCCTGCTGTTCGGGGTCATCTGGAGGCTGTGCCTGAGCCAGTGCAGCTGCCTTCCTCGCCTGTAGCGATGTAGCGTAGAGCGACTGTTGAGGTGGCAGCACTTACCTGCCGAGCCTTGAACCGAGCCTTGGCGTCTTGTTTGTTATTTCCTTCCACCGGGTTGACTTGAGCATCGCATTGTATTTCGTTTATTACTGTTGCAGATCCAGCTTGGACCGTCGGGTTTCTTGAATCGAGTTGAGCAAAAAGGTCATTCATTAGGTTGTCGTCGTCATTGGCCAAAACTTGCGGTGGAGTCTCCGTTGTTTTAAAAGGAGACAGGGATTTTTTGAGCTTGCTCCTCTTCGAACCAGCCATCGCTGAAAGGGAAAAGGAGGAAAAATGAAAATCATTGCATTGCTTTCGAGAGAAATGGGATGGAAGCGTTATCTAATCAACGGCACCGCCACACATATCACGATTGCAGCTGTCGTCCTTCATTCACATCTGTATCCAGATAGATCTCTAATTCTCCAAATTATCTTGCGCTCAGCATCGTCGTCTTTGTCAGGCAGTGCGAGAAACAAGAACATGGGGTCTTCAGTCGATCTCCTTCCTCTTGAGAGTAATCTCACCCACCTGGCGGCAACCATTCGTGACGCCGAATCAAAACTGGCATGGCAGGATGTTGAGACTATTTCCCAGACACTAGCAAATAATCTGCGAGCGAGAGATGGACTTGGTGAGTTACAGCCCCCTCGCAGCTTATTTATCCTGATACAACAAACAGTCGATCATCATACCATCCTTGGGAAAACTCAGCTTCCAGGCACTTTGACCTCACTTCTGTCTCTCGCGCTACATGGATCCCATACTCCAACGGAACCCTATGTTAACGTCACATTTGAGTTGCTTCGCGTAGGTGCAAATCTTTGCATGGACCATGGTGACTGGTTCCCTGACCTTGATTCATTGGACATCATTGACGGATCCCGTTCAGACGAAAACAGAGGCTATCTTCTTGAGGCAGGCTTTCCACAAATTGTTTTGAATATTCTAGAGGGCTATGCAGACCTTATACCCTCCCCTCCTCCATTGACCCCTCTGACACTTTCAATTCCACATCTGAAGGTGATAAGGACGGCGATAGGTGTGCTTTTGAATGCGATTCTTGGCTACGGTACAGCTCAAAATAATCAAATTCAACATTATATCTAATTCGCTTTCGCAATAGATGCTGTCAAATTCCGCTTGCTATCTCTCGAAGCATCTTTGACTATTCTCAGATTATCCTCAGCAATTTACCCTCCGACACTCTGGGCGCGCTCCCCAGCCCAGTTTGGAAATATATCAAATGAGGACCTTGAGGAATCTTGGATATTGCGTAGCGGAATTTCCAACTGGGCCTGGAGGACAGTTTCAGAACTCAAGGACGTCAAAGACGAATGTGAGGTCTCCCATATTTCTTTCCTGTAATTACATTTAGATCAAGTGTTTAGCGCTCCAGGCTTTTACTCCCGACGTCCTTCCCTGGATTATACCGTCGCTATCAATGTTTGTTCCGCCCAACCCTCCAAACGAAAACACAGCATTCGCACACAACGCCTCCCTTCTATCTACTTTGCTACACACAGACTTTGAGGTCCTTGAAGAAAGTTGCACGCTGATAGAGTCTCTCTCCCTTGACGTCGAAGACATCCGGCTGGCCCTTGCTCGCGGATTTTGTTTTCCGGCCGAGCACCTCGGAGTTCCCTGCTTTTCTACAATGTTGGAGTTCATTGAGTATGGCGACTATCCACCATTGTGGAAAACCACCTTCACTGAACCGGAGAGGAAACGTAAGGAAAAGGCATTCGATATTTGCAAGGCTGGACTCATCAAGTCGGTCGTCGAGGTCGCAGGCGAAGAAAGAAATGGAGATGTTTTGTGGGACGAGTCTGAGGAGAAGCCTGGTGGAGAGTTTGTCTGTAAAATGGTGAGGTGGATCAAGGAGTATGTCGAAGACATAGACAGGTCTGCGAAAAACCCTGCTTCCGACTCTCCTGGCAGTCACCGAGACGATATGGTCATCTGCGCAAGTCTTGCTCTGGGAAATCTGGCTCGGCGAGGTATGACTGTGATCGGATTATTTTCACCTTCCACTGACTTAAATCAATTTGTGACTCAGAGAAATTTTCCACGGCACTCCTGTCACCACCGCATTCGCTTGCTCCCGTCCTTGCATCTGCTTATTTCTTCTCTCCTGCAGCGGACGTGAAGCTGAAACATGGCATACTTGGCCTTCTCAAACATCTCGCACAATCGTCCACTCTGTCACCTACTATTCACACGTCGCTAGGAGATGCAGGCATTATCCGCCGCATCACCGAGAGCGACATATGGAGCGAGAAAGCCAATGCAATGGCGGATATTGTTCAATTGAACGCTATCGGCGTCGTCAAGCACATGTGCAATGCCAGCGGTACCTGTCGTTTCTTTCACCTACATGACGTTTCTAATATACGAGTTTCAAGTGGAGCATTCATTTACGCTCGTACTCCCTCCAACAGATCGACCGACATATTCTGTGTCTGGCCTCTCCCAGATTATCGCTCTTGTTTCACGCTCGGACTCAGTCCCGATTCAGAGTGAGGGAACCCGCGTGCTTGTCAACGTTGTGAAGTCTCTGTGGTCTAGTGAATGGAACAATGGCGCTGTATCTGAAGAGAAGAAGAGGAGAAGAGAAGCGGCTATCCGTGCCGTTCTGATCCCCGAGTATATCTCTGCACTCGCTGGTCTTATTGGACGTAGCGGAAGGTACCCCATCTTGGTAAACGAGGGGGTCGTTGCACTCACATTAATATGCACTCATGGACAAGGCGGTAAGCTGGACTCTTTACATAGTCATTCAACGATATCCTGAGATTCATTCTCCTGCAGGACCTCTGGTTCTCTCCGCCATCACTGCGCCACTCCTGCCTCACAATCCGTCAGTCGCGGAACCATCCTCTGCCACTAGCAGCGATGCCAGCTCTCCCCTCATTGCGACGCCCCCCACCCGAGCACATATACCTGCCCCTCGTCACGCCTTGGACATGCTCATATCTGTTCTACGTAACGTCGACAACCCCGTTAACTACCCGATCGAAGTGCGCATGAATACATGTTCTTTCTTCGTCCAACTTGCAAAACACACCTCTGGACCAGGGCTGGAAAGTGTAGAGGACTTTGTTCGTCCCATTCTAGAAAAGACTGTAGAGAGCGGAGAGGGGAAAGGGGAAAAGCTGGCACCTTACGCCAAGCGTGTGCTGGATTCGTGGGCCTGATGATTTTTTCCAATTTTTTTCGCTGCAAACTTTGCGACCGTGATCTGACTGTAGTACCAATTCTTCACTTCACTGTATTGCTCACTGGAGTTCAATGTCCTGCTTAATGTACAATCTCATTCAAATACACTTGTAATACAGAGGTTACTCATAAGAAAGGTCAAATATTAGAAGAATAATTGTAAAGCTGAGCCGAATTGTGATTCTGTTGGACAGTATGGGCATTTGACACTGCTACGTCTTTCACGTCAGAATTGCAGCAGCTGGCCATTTCTAACGAGGAGAAGGACTCACCCTCCAGCCTTATTTAGCTTTTGTAAACTATCTTTGGAGATGACGTGACCGCAAGTCATCATCATAGGCGGGTTATGTTCCGTTGATTGTTCTTTTGAAACTAAACACGCGAAAATTGAGTGATATCTGTTTTCTGGTAGGAGCGGAATTTCGATCTATCAACGACATGAAGGCTAGCTTTCTCAAACGCATATGTGTAGGACTTACTGGTAGCTCGTCCGACTGACTCCATTCACTCCTTCTTTCTCGCATCACTTTCTTTCCCTTCTCAATCCTAGCCAAGGCACCTCCCCCACCTATGTCCCCGACGACCCGGAGTGGCAGTTGACGACTCATGCCCAGGCTCGCACAATACTCCTTCGCAAACAAGGGCTCTAAATCAAAATGCAGAGATGGTTGTGCAAGGTCCCGATAGGTAGATTCTTGTAGTTTAGAGAGTGGCATGTAAGCAACACAGGCCATTAGACGTTGGAACTCAGATTCATGTTCGTTGTAGAAGGGTCTGAGGTTTGCGTTAGCATACACGATGGCCAGAAGGGGGTCCGGTGGGTGGGAAGAAAGCAGAAGGCGGATATATTGTGAGCGATGCAGATAAAACTCCAAAGGTGAAGAGCGCGAGCGTAGGAAGGAGCGATGCTTCTCAGTCCATCTGTCCCAAGAACATTCAGCTGGTCACGACGACGAAGGTATCATAAAACGAACAAAAGAGCTGGGCCTATATCCTGATTCCGCAAAGCCCTTAGTATTTGATGAAGTTCGATAAATTGAAATTTCAATGCGGGAGGTATTTCTACTCCGGATTCCTGAGCAATTGTCAATAATTGGGTCGACCTTTTGAGGATAACTAACTTGAATAAATATTTCGGCAGCATCGAATTGACCCGTCCGCAAGAGATGTAAAGCCACTGTGCGTTCTATTGCATGTTTGGAAGATTGAGAAGAGAAAGTGCCAGAGTAAGTCGGGAGCGATGTTGGGAATTTCTGAGAAAACGGGCTATCAAGAGACGCCTTGATAAAGCTTTGAAATTTGTCACCTTGTCTAAAGCCTTCCCGAAGCGAGATAGTGTAGAGTATACCTCCTTCTGTCGATCGTCGACCTCTTTCTTTCTCATCTCTACCACCTGGGCGAGCGGTTGCAGGGGCTCATATGTATCACCCGCCTGAATCGCCTCTTTGGCATCTTGAAGTGAACGAAGCAAAGCATCTAGGGAATCAAGGATTGAAGGAGCCTTTCCATTGGACAATTTCTCCAATTTAGTGAGCTCCTTCAGGGGACCCTCCATGGTCGTAGAAGATCACCGTGACTTGTATGTGACACATTCAAAAATGCCTCGATTCGTAGTCGGCGACGAGCTGGGCAATCTCAAAGTTCTTCGTGTGTCTAGCGAGAACAACGTTGCCTTGACTGCTATCTACCAGAAGAAATCTTCCAGTGTTGAGGCTCTTGCAGTCGGATCCCAATCCTCCAGCACGAAAACAGTGCGTTGTGTTACTTTGTCTCCGCGACCAGCCACTTCTTGAAGCGAAGAATATTGCAGGATTTTCAGATGGCTCAGCACTTGTATACTCTTTGAAAGACGACGATTCTTTTGATGTCCTTTCCGAATGGAAAGAATCCAGGTCAAAGGAAAGCAAATTTATAGGTCTCTCGCTCTCCCCGACGTCAGTTCGTTTATTACCTACTTTTTTCTAACAATCTGAACACTCCTCAACTTTAGGGCAGCGTTTACCTGTACCTCAAATGGCGCGTTAAGAATGACTCCAATATTTTCCGGTAACAGAGACGACTCGCAACCATCATCTTCCCAAAGAGCCTCTCTCCCAACTCGCCTCACCGACTGGCGTTTATCTCCGAATGGTGAAGCATTTGCATACGGTGGTGACGAAGTCGATCTATCTGTCTGGAACACGGAACTTGCATTTCAACACAAACCGGAAAATGATACTAGTGTTTCAACGAAAACTACAAAAAAGCGGAAACGAGGAGATGAGTTGTTTCCAGCCGAAACGTGGCGTGCAAAAAATGTCAGCTTCACTCGCAGATTGCGATCACTCTACTCACACGTTTCTAGGTCCCCAATGACTCCCTTGGTCTTCGTCAACCAATTCGGATTAGTTCTGTCACGTTCTTGTCATCTTCTCTCGCCTCCCAGCACCTCCTGACGGGGACGTTATCTGGTGATGTGAGACGGTACGATACCAGAGCTTCTCGTCGGCCGGTTGCTATTTGGGGTGGGATTGGCAAAATCGGGGGTGTGAAATTGGTGAAAGAGGGTCTAAATGAGAAGTAAGTATGCCATTCCCGTCTGTTGTCAGGATATTCTGATTTGCTTGATTCAGTGAAGTATTTGTGAGCGATCATGGATGCAATCTATTTTCGCTAGATCTACGGACTGGAGGTATCGTTTACGGGTACAAAGGTGTGTTTTGCCGTTTGTGATGTGTGATTTTGTTTTTGACAAGAACGTAGGTATATCTGGAGCCATTACTGCCATTGCCCCTTCGCCCAGCATCATGATGTCCACATCACTTGATAGATATGCAAGAGCTCACAGTGTCATTCCTCCTTTGAGCAGCAGGGATAGAAAGGGTGAAATCCTTCAAAAGTTATATTTGACAGGTGTTCCCACCGCTGCTGTTTGGGACCACACGTTCCCAGGAGGCGCTACGGCAGCGAACGAAGAGTCAGCTGAGGAAGAGGACGATGTTTGGGATAAAATGGTACATGTCGGAGATGACGACCCGTTAAACATTAAATAATGACAAGAAGTACACAAACAATGTGAAAATGCCTACTTAAATCATCTACTGGTTCCCGATTTCGCTTTTCCAGGTGTGCGCTTTCTCAAAACCATTCCTTCCAGTTTGATCTGTTGAAAATCAAATGTCACTGCGATGATAGCATAAGTTTGTAAGTGATCCACTGACAGTCAAGCAAGGTCTTCTGTATTTCCTCCCTCGTCGTCATGACAAAAGGACCGTATTGGAAGACTGTTTGATCCAAAGGCTCTCCGGCCACCTTACGCAGAAAAAGTCAGTTAATGCGGTAGCCAGTGGACACAATTCATAAGTGCATACCAAAACAAGTTCTGTCCCATCTTCCAGCGCAGTAACAGAAACTCCAATCTGGTCATTCTCAGCGGAGAGGACCAGCGTGTGGAAAGCCGCATGAGCATCAGTTACAGATCCAATGGCCAGTGATCCTTTCAAAACTGGTTGTAACAAACCAAGTAAGCCCAAGTGCGGCAACTGTCCGGCTGATTGAACTCACTGTACGCGAAGGAGGTCCATCCACCAGCTGAGAGGGAAGTCAGAATTTACCATTCGTGCGTGTCAGAGGTTGGCACCACTAACGAATTTCCTGGAAAAATTGTCCTTTGCTGCTAAACGTGGCGTGGAAGTACCAGCAACCACCCAACGGCCTGACAGGTGATTCCACCCCATGGCTCTTTCCACTAATGACTTTGATTCGCACAGGACCATCGACACCTTCTGGATAAGCGGTTGGAATCCTAAATACCGTGTTAAAATTCTGAACTCATAGAAGATCAAACTGTGTACTCTTCAGGTCCAAGCTCTTGGTAAGAGGGATCCTAGAGACAATTTTTGATTACCCTGGAGTTCAAGCTTACGTTCGTAAAAATGGCGTACCACCATCTTGAACTAAAGTATCGAGTCTTCTCTCAGTCGGGACACGAACACTGCCAGAGCACCACTCAACTTGTTTGGGAAGATCGACCCACAATTGAAGACCTCGGGGATCCGGATGACCAGGAGAATGGACAGGCATCTCCGCGTGAATGATACCCTTTCCAGCACACATCCACTGGACCCCTCCAGTGACTAAATAAGTGTTTAGCCAACCTCAAGCTATGAGGATGGCTCATCCAATAATGACCAATTTACCTATGGTTCCCTTGTGGCCTGCAGAATCCTCGTGTCTGCTCGATCTGATGGCCGTACTGGTCAATTTAATGGCCAAGGTTTACCGTGCGCCCTTACCCTTCAAGCATGTACGTGACGGTTGCTTGTCCGCGATGTGGGTGGTCAGGAAAGCCCTGGATGTTCGCAAGATTGGTGAGTGGTAGAATTATGAAAACATTTGCAGATGAGGTACTCACTGCGCCTTTTGCCACATGAAAGTGATCAAGCATGAGGAACGGCGTTAGATTCCTGAGGGCCATAGACCCAATACTCCGCCTGACTAAGGCTCCAGCACCCTACATGAAAGATCTATCCAGCGGTCGGGTATCAGAAGCGGTGGCCGACGTTACCTCTGGTGTCTCGACAGCTAGAACCTTTTTGACGACACTACGCGAGATTGCAGCTACCGCCATTGTTGCCTGGAGAGATAACGGGAACTTGGAAGACTGATATTCATTACATAAGAGTCGTAGTCCTATGACATCAGCTGCATTTCCTAACTGAAAGATCCTCGCGAATTCAAAAAAAAACACTAGAAGGTCATCTAAATCAAGTTTGCCCTACAAAGCATCCCAAATCTTCCCAAATCTTCCCTGGGGTCCCTTGGCTTTCTCGTACTCAAGATATTGTTCTTCCTCTTCATCAATGGCGCGGAGACCAGTCACAATGTCAACATCCTTTGGCAAAATAACTCGGGTTTTGAAAATAAGTTTGTATCCTAGCCAAAGGACGAAGAATATTGGCACCGCAATGTAGCTCCTATTGAGACAATCAGGGATCCCAATCCTCTTATATTTCAATGACCCAACTCACGTAATAAAATTGGCGACATTCCAAGGCAGGAATGTATCAAACCCTTTGAAGAGAGTGATAATCCCTGTTGAAATCAGAGCAAACCAACTTCCCCAAGGTTGAAAAGGGGCTTTGTAGGGAAGATCATCTCTTGACTTTCCCTGTGCTTTGAGTGCCCTCATAAAATGACTGAATAAAAGATGTAAGCTGGAACCGAACTAGGTAGATACAAATTACACACATATGGGAATATGCGATCGTCATCCATGTCAGGGCACCAAAAGTCGAAACTAGGTTAACGAACCATCCAAAAACTAAACAAAATGTCAGCGAATGACACCAAATGCGAATAGTCCTTACCTTTGGCACCCGATGTATGGACGTTGAGGAACACCAACGAACAGAATGCAGTGCACAGTAGCAAGGCGGGATAAGGTACGCCTAGGGAGTTGACCCTCTTGAAAATGGAAGGAGCTTTCCCTTCTATTGCCAAACCATACAGAGTGCGCGATCCGATGTATAGGTCGGAATTGGCAGCGCTCATGACGAAAATGAGAATCGCGCCGTTAATGACGTGATTCAATACCCTGATGCCAACCTGTGGATTGAGTGCTTCAGTCTAATGGTAGTATTTAAGAGCGCTGGGCCTACCAGCGTAGTCGCTACAACAAAAGGGCTAGCTGCTGCTCCAGTCTTTGACTTCGTCGCCACAAATAGCGAGTCATTTGTGCTCGGAACAATTAAGCCGATGACGAAAACACCCCCAACGTAGAAAACGAGGATGCGATAAAATGTTCTCCTGATGGCAATAGGAATATTACGGCGAGGATTCTCTGCCTAGAAATCGCTCAGTGATGGATCAGGACAATGAGGGCAACATATCCAACCTCTCCAACCGTAACCTAAGACATGTATAAATATGAGCTGCAGATAATAGCAAAGGACAGAGTCATTGACGTACTCCGATAAGTTCAGTTCCAATATAAGCAAAGAGAGCATTCGTGAGGGTGGCCCAGAAACCAAGGAAAATAGAAAGGGAGGAGTCGTGTACTTGATCTAAAAGGTATTTGCCCATAGGTCCGTTGGGTGCTTTCCAATATCGAAACCCTATCCGATCATGATGGGGATTTCCACCTACATTTCAAAAGCAGCTGAACGTTCGTCCTTTCCCAAACCATTACACTGAGACGCACCAAGATCAATGATGATACCCATCAAAAGCAACCCAATCAGAGCAACAACTTTGTGAAAAGAGATTAGAAGCAGTTCCAGCATAGAAAAATAGCCTGATCTTACTCTTTATGCTAGAAAACCAAAATTCCAACTCCCCAAAGACTCGGACGCCCAAGAGGTTGACAACAAAGACTGATTTGAAGTTAGACGGCGTGAATCAAAGAGAGAGAAGAAACCACACTGAACGCAATGAATATAACTGGGATTTTGATTAAGCAAGCTGGAAAGCCTATGAAAGACTACTCTTACCCATCCATATTGCGATATGTACAGATTGTGTCCAGTATTGCACAACCACGCCGGCTGCGTTGATATTGTTCGGCGTTACAATCAACTGGTCACATAGCTTTGATCAATCGAACTATGGCAGAGGAAGTAGCGCACATATTTCAGCAGGTAATTCCAGCCTAAGGCAAAACCAAGCGCCGGGTCAACGAATCGTGTCGCATATCCAGCAAAACCCTTCTTATGAGGTAAAAAGGCCGCCATTTCCCCCAGGGCTACCATGACAAGATAGCAAACGAAGCCGACGAAGGCATATCCGAGTAAGAGACCTTCCGAGAGTAATGAGAACCCAAAGATGATTGCGATGAAATGGGACTACCAAGTGGACCACCTCTTCGTAAAGCAGTCCCGGATCCGATGATGAGACCTGTACCAACTGCGCCTCCAAGCTTGAGTTTTGTGCATCAGCAAGGAGAGGTTTTTAACAGAATGATTAGACTCACTGCAATCATAGATATTTGACGCGCTTTCAAACCACGGTGCAGACTCTGTTCTCGAGGTGGCTCGTTGTAGCCCTCATTGTCGTCAAGAGTGGAGCTATGATGTTCTTCAGGTTGGACGTCGTGAACAGTTGCATTCTTCTCGCTCAAACCCATTAAAAGAAAGATGGGGAGACATATTTAGAAGAGTGCCCTGTACTTATGGGCGAAGTTTAAACGAAGCGAAGTAAAAGGGAGCTATGTCGGCGATACTAGGTGAGCGTGTGTCGCAAGAAGCACATTTGATCGACGTTTCCCCAAAAGCCAATGTAGATGGCTGGGTAGATGGCTGTGTCGGGGCTCGGGATGTAGATTGGATGTGTATCACTCTGATTCCGTAGTGGTCGCGTTGGTGGGCACTGATGCCCATGACCTCTGAGATCTGGGGTGTATGTAATTTGCTAAGTAGCGAGGCGCGTAGCGATAGCTTAGGTCGCTTACCTAAGTACTCTTGGCATGCCGTTGACCTTACATAAGCGCAGTCCAACCACCGCTGTGCGCTCGACTTAGACTCATCATTTATCCCCATGTACCATGCAATTATGTATCCTATATATCAGTACGGCTTGTCGCATCCGTTTACAGGAACTCGCTCCTTCGCAATACCGTCAGTGTCCTAGGTATATTATGATACTATTATAATAGCACTTGAATAGCACTACAGCTTGTGTTTGATTTCCTTCCTAGCTATCCTCGCAAATTGCTTAGCCGGGATTCCACTCGCAAATCGCTCGGCTTGTGCTAAACCCATGGCGGTGAGCCGAACCGATTATCGTTATTCATAGATCGTGCTCACCGTAACTTTCGCGAAGATTCACAGCGTCTGGATCATTCTTGTCATTTAGACCCGCCCGAATCAATTGCTTCATTACCAGGACTGCGGTTGGGTCAAGTCCGTGCAGTTCATCCAACAGAGTTTGACGGATCGCCGCATGAAAGGAATTTACAGGTTGTTCCGGAAAGATTTTGCTGTTCAACAATAATCAGTGGTTCTGCACTCTGACACGAACTCTTTACTGACTTGATAAATCCGCAATCCAACAACTCCTGGGCAGTCTTCCTCTTTCCCCAAATCAAAACCTCATTTGCACGGCCAAGTCCCACTACAGTGATCAATAGGATGAAGGTGAGAGAAAAAATTGGGCACCAGAGAAGCCAAATTACTTCGATTTATGAAACTAACGCTCGCGCCTCCCTCGGCGACGATCCCTGCAGATGTACGTGGTGTCAATGTCATCGACGAGCACAAAGTTGGACCCACCTAGATACGTGAACGGCGTCGAGAGCCATGCGTTTGGCAAAGCATAGATGAAGTCGAAATAGCCCAAGAATGCTGCACGTCGGTGGTTTCAGGCGAGGCAAGACGAAAATGACAGCCTTATCTTACCTGCAGTTATGCCTGAACAAAGTTGCTTTTTGTGAGATATATCCTCGTTTGCGACTCTTGGAAAGCCTACCCATGACAGGGCCATTCAAGGCAGCGACCAGAATTTTCCGATGCGAATAAAGCTAGAAATGAAGGCCGACAATATGGCGGAGAACGAGAGTAGGACATCATTCGTACCGCCTTCCCGCAGTCTGTTGTTGTACTAACAACATTACTCTTGAAGGAATTGCGAACATTGCCGATTGTCGACTGTGTGTCTGTGGGCGACCTGGCTTTTACGTCGGTGCCGCTGAATGTCTGTCAGGCAGACGCTTCGGGATGATTGTTAAAAAGACTAACGCGCAAAACCATCTCCCTGTGGCTAGACTGCAGTTCAACGAACTGAAAAGGTGGACGAACAAACTGTCAAGGCCATAGGACTAACCTTGCCAAACGGTAATAAGCACGTCCTCCCTTTTATCGATATCCCTGAGGGCGTTCGCAAAGGCATCGTAGTCTATGCGCCCGTCGATTAAATTATGAATGGTGCTGGCCAGATAACAGTGGTACGAAGCTACTTGCCTTCTTTTGTAACGGCATTGAGAGACTTCGGCCGGTTCAGTGTGATTGTAGCAATTCCATCGGCAATGTCAACTGTAATGGCACTCATGAATCTGCTGTAAATACACTTGGTGAATTGGGTATGGTCGTTGAAAACAAGATTTTGTTACCCCAGGAAATATAGTGTTGTTAGGCATTAACCCCTGTGCGGGTTACGGGACAGACAGACGCCGGAGCAGGAAAAGCAGTGTTATCTTGGATGTACCTGTTTAATTGGTTTAGTACAACCGCATTTGTAACGGCCACCACTGGCCTTATGGATCGGAGACCTCCAACTTCAACGGAGGAGCTGTTGCAGTCAGTCTATCTACTGTCAGACAAGGAGGTCGCGTGCCTGACTATCTGCCATTTAGGAAGGCATATGATTATTTCTTCCTCTCTCATACTTCATTCTCTCAGTTAAAGGATGCAGCTTTAAAAGGCCGTCTTCACAACAACCCTCTGAGTTCCAATGGAGTCGCTGGAAGAAGTATTGCTTGGAAGGTCTCTGCCCAGACCTGAATGAACTTTGGATTTGTGCCGCTGATCACCGTCTTCACAAAGTTATTCTTGGCCAAGCACGAGCCCTTGCAATCTTCCTCATCGCCTCGAGTTTCCAATCTTCTGGAATGGCTACGCGGATCAAGAATGCAATATACTACCTTGATGTTGGAAAAGACAAGGGTTCCTGACGGAAATTATGACCAAACTTCGAGAATATCTCAGGAAACGACGTCAACCGAGAACCTAAACTTGATCAACCCACTTAGCCTTTATGATGAGGTATGTTGACGCGTACTTACGTCGATCTCAAGAGGCGGTACAATACATGTTTCCAGAATCCTTGGAATGAATGGTTTGCCTCTGTTGAGCTCCGGAAAACAATTCTGCAAGACGTAGAGCGCACGTAAGTACGTCTATAATTTGGTATGCTACGTCCACTTCACATATCCAGTTTCCCCGATATTCCTTTTTTCCGTGATCCTCAAGTTCAAGAGAGTCTCACAAATGTCCTCTTTATCTATTCGGTGATGCACCCTGATACCGGATATCGACAAGGTGAGCTTTTTCTCGCATTTCGCTGTTGCAAAAGGTAACTTTTTATGTTCAGGAATGCATGAGCTCCTAGCGCCTTTATTTTATGCCATCAGCTTTGATTCAATCCCACAGGAGGGAGATACAGTCGCCGCTTCCGCCATTGTCCGAGAGCTTTGTTCCGAAAGCTGGATTGCTGCGGATGCGTGGACCTTGTTTGAAGCCGTAATGCAAGGTGTTTCTCGGTGGTATGAATGGCATGAACCACCAATGCATACAGAAAGCAGCCCCCGAACCAATTCGCAGGTTTCGGGTTCATACCACATCACAGGTGGCCAAAACGGCATGCAACCTTATATCGCCCCAATTGTACAGACTTGCAATTACATCCAATCTACTTTGCTCAAAGCCAGTGATCCAATGCTATGGAAGCATATACACGGCGCTGGTATTGAACCCCAAATATATGGCATGTAAGTGCTATAATGTTTATAATCGTCTCCCTAACAGCCACCGTAGCCGGTGGTTGAGGCTACTTTTTACACGCGAGTTCTCCATGCCGGATGCCATGATGCTATGGGATGGGCTTTTCGCCACTGATCCGACGATGGCACTATCTCAGTGGGTCTGCGTAGCCATGCTGATACGAATTCGGAATGAACGTAAGTCGTCCCTTCTTGTTTCGTGTAGAGTCTCACGGTGATTGCAGTGATTCCTGGGGATTATAGTGCCCAGTTAACAGCCTTGCTGCATTATCCCCCTCTTCCCGAAAGCAAGCTGGATGGGGCGCCCAATCACGCCTGCCTTCTGCTTCAGCAAGCGTTGTCTCTTCAAATGGCCCCGACTCCGTCCACAGGGGCATCCCTGATGATGGAAAATCGCACCTTGTTGAATATTCCTTTAGAACTGCCTACCTCCACGTTTCAGCAAAGCACTCGAAGGCAAGCAGACAAGTCGTACCCAAGCTCTTCTTCGAATGTTCGCTCTGGCGTGGAATCAGATCACGTTCCTTATCATACTCGACACACATCTTCCCCGTCATTGGGAATCCCTGAAATGATTGCGAGGGGTCTTATAGAGCGCGGGGAGAGTCTGGGGATCAACAAGACCTTGATGAGTGCTGTTTCCGAGATACGTGTAAGCCAACTTACAACAGTTTTGTCATTGTAAATTGCTTATCGCATCCATTTGCAGCGGAATATACCGGACTTGTCTACTTCGTTGAGCAGACCGCCGAATCAATCGGCTTCCTTCCCGTTAGAAGAAGACCGTCCTGCTGAACGTTCAACTTGGGATACACGGTCCCGTTTCGAGACGGAAAGGGGTTTTACCCAGTTACAAGCAAGGGATCGGAGACTCGGGGAGTCTCTGGGGTGGATTGTTGATGCGCTTTTACAGGATGAAAGCGAAGCCCGTGATGTAGAGCAGCTAAAAAGACAGAAACGCGAGGCCTTGGAGACCCTGTCTTACGTCCGAGACGTTCTAACAAACAATATCGTATCGCTGGATCCTGACATGCTGGTTGGAGAAGAGGAAGCACTGAAGAGGCGACAAAGACGAAAGCAGGACGAGGACTTGAGGTCACAGAGTTCCGAATCTGGCGCTGTCGTCTCCGTGCCCGTGCCCGTTCAGGTAATCGACTCTCAACCTAAAGCTCCAAACGATGGTCGCCTGAACACTCCATTCCGGCCTCTTTCCTTCACATCTAACACACAGGCGTCAACCATTCGTCGCCCTTCTCCCTTGGACCATACGCTGTCCAGCTTCAGTAATTCCCCCGTACATGTTTTCTCTTCAAGTCCGTTGCCACGGCGCCCATCCCCAACCTCCACAAGCCTCAGACGCGTTCATATAGCTGAAAGGAGCGCAGATCAAGCAAAAGTTTCACATTCAACTGACGGATATCAAGATCCTCTGGGAGCATTGCGAGGATGATATATGATACTTCGCAACTTTCATAGATCAAGACCCCTGTAACAGTAATTTACATAATAAACCAGCACAGTACAATGTGTGTAAAGTCTAATCAAAACAAAAGTCAAAAGATCAAAATTCAAAGCGAACAATCCAAATCGCTGCGATGAAAGCGTTGTTCTGGGAAATACCTAGCACGAACGGACCTCCCACCAAAATAACGTCCGTCAAGCTCCCTTACAGTTTTCCAAGCGCCAGCTGGTCCGGCAAAGAGGACAAAGATACGAACAGCATCGTCCGGATTTGGTGGGGGAGGATAAACAGGGTGTACGACGACACGTTCCACAGTTCCATTCTTTGAACATTCATCTCCTATAAAAATGTGTTATATATATGACACAATATTCAGGTGGACGAGATATACCAATTTCTTCGCGAAGATCTCCATCATCGACGTCCTCCATTCCCACCATGTTGGTGAGAACGACGACACGGCTGGGATCACCGAATCGCTCCCTGTCATCTCTGGTTTTCGCATCTTCGTTGTTGTTGATAATTTTGCCCATCTTGGAACCGACTTTGAGACCTTTCCCGCTAGATCCTCCGTGACCTTGAGCCTTAACCGGTTTACCCTTGACTCCCTTCACTTGTGAAACTTGTTCGACCGTCAAGGCATTGACAATCCCTGTGCCGTCGGCGCCGAGACCTTGTCCTTCTTTATGGCCCCATTTGGCCATCAGGCGTGCAGCGAACCCGTGAGGATCGGGTCTACATCATGATAAGATGAGTCAGCCCGGAAGGCAGCGAAGGAAACGTACTTTTTTTCTTCAATGGGGGCTGGTGGTTGGGAGCCACTTGCGGCCAAAGCACCCAACTTGGCAGCTATTGCGGCGGCAGCCTTGACTTTGTCTTCAAATATATTAGAGATCACTGTGGCAGGCGGTCCTGGTGGCGGAGGCGGCACCGAGGGTGGAGCAAAGGGATTATATGCCAGGGGTGGAGGTGAAGGCGGAGCTACTGGAGGAGGTTGAACAGGTGCCATGCCGGCCATTGCTAAACGTCGCAAATATGCTTCTTCGCCAGAATCGATATTAACTTTGACGGCGGTGGCTGACGGGCCAGGCACCGTATCGTCATTTGGGGGAGAAGGGGAAGCGAAAGGGGCAGTTGGAGGTGTCGACACGGGTGGGATGGCAGACATCGCCAAACGACGCTGGAAAGCCTCGTCCCCAGTAAGGTTGCGTTCTATCGGGGCGACAGGCAAAGGCTGGCCTATCGCAGAGGAGTGCGCCGCGCCAGCTCTTTCCTCATCGGCCCTGGACCAATGGTCGAATGATTCATGGAATCTGCCTGCAGGAAAAGGTTCGATAGGCGCAAACCAGTATCGAGGAATGTGAAAAGTACCTGCTTTACGAGGCCTGCTATCCTCTTCAGATCCAGTTTCTTCGCTGTCAGAATAACTAGCACTCCGCCTGGAACGCTTTCGCTCCTCCATCCGACGTTGTTCGGCAAGGCGCTCTCGTCGCTCAATACGGTCTTTTTGGCGCCAGACTCTGTATTCATTGTAATCATTTGGTCGAAGGGGATCATATTGTTCCATAGGGTCCCATAAAAGAATGGGAGGTGCATTTTTATTCTGAAAAATAAACGGTGTAAGGGACGGAGATATGACTAAGGGGTTTATTAAGACTTACCTTTTTCCCTTTACCCTTTCCTCCTTGCTTCTTTTTGTGTGTTGATTTGAACCCATTTACATCTTCATCCAAGACCATGGAAGGTGGTTTGACCTTCTTCCCCCATCCCTGCGTTGCTGGTTGTGGGGCATCCTGAGTGGGGTTCGCGGGTTCTATTAAAGCGGGGGGCGCAAAGACGATTGCGGTGGACGAAAATGCGGAGTTGAGAGGAGCCGACGCGAGAAGTGAAGCACCGGCAGGCAACCTAGGCGCTGCTGTTTTCGTTTTTTGTGCTTGGTTGCGGCGTACGGGTGCGAAAGCAAGGGCAGCGGACCATGCTTCGGAAACGATGCATAAGATCGATATTTTAATAAACGAGTTCTATGGCATATAAAACGTAGCAGATGAAGAGATACCAGGTGTGGATTTTCCGGAGATTGGGTCAGCTTGAGGCTTGGGGGTTTGTTCGGTTGTAACAGGTTGTTGGGTGAGAACATCTACAGTTTGAGGAAGTGGAACAGGGGTAGGAACAGCAGCAGCAGCGGTAGTGGTAGTAGGGGGAACAGAGGGTTGAAATACAGTTCCAGAGGAGAATTGGATTCCTCCGTACAATCCGCCAGCTCGACTAGACATGATGGTGGTTGGAAGATAACGTGTACTTTATTTATTTATTTGAATAGAATTATAATGTAATATTCCCTTCTAAATATTTCTCTCGCACCTCTTTGCTCACCACATGCACTGCAAATGTCCCAGCATCAATCATCGCCCAACCACTCCCCATTTGTTGTCGTGATTTCGGTGGGATCGGGAGAGGTGGAGTTGTCGTTAGAAGCTAGCAAATGCCTCAATAATTTGCATTCTTCAATGTTAGATCACTGCTCACCACTTTTCTGATCACTCGCACGACGGACTCAATCGCACCTCGGTTTTCTGTTCCCTCCTTCACCTGGGGACATGTTGGCATTTCAAATAGAATTTTTACACAACGTCCTCACCTGTGCTATGGCAGTCCAATCCCAGAGGCCCCCACTTGTGTCATAAGCAGATTCGCCTGCATAAGTTCCCCCGCGATTTCGCCGTCCATGTGGTAAACGGAAAGGTAATGGGGGCCCTGGAGGGGGGGCTGTAGCTCTACAGATAGCCAAAAAGTTGGTGTCGAGATGTGGCGATTGCGCTAGGTGTGAATGTAGTAATTTCAGGATTGGCGGCGTGTCTTCTGGAATTGAGGGTATCTCTTTATTGGCGAGATGGGGTAAACTTGCTCGACGGTCGAATGCTTGGGGTATTGGGTCGACGAACCATGGTTGCTGAGATACCCTACGCGTAGCGTGAAGAGCCCGAGCCCGACAAAAAGAGCTTTTGAACAGCGGTGAATTCCGTAGACTTGTTGATAGATGCTGCATGATTGAAAGCAAGAATGATGTTGCAGTTATATTTATTATATTTTTACGTCAAGTAAATTTCTAACCAACTTGACGTCGACAATGGGCGTCCGAGCTGGCATCGTCGTCTGCGTCACCAGCTTCTTGTTGGGTAAGTTCCAGAGTCTCAGAAATGGAAGGCTCACTTCAATGTGCATTACCAGGCGCCCTATTCACCCACTGGATAGCAGACTCCTTAACACTGTGGAAGTCGCCTGTGACCGACGAACATCTCTGGACCGCTGCCTCATACTACTCAATTTTGGCTAAAGGTCCTTCAGAGATCCTGTATTTCTTATCCGCTATCGTCATTCTAGGGGGAACCACCATTCTGTGGAGCCTGAACGATGGTGAAGCTGGAAACCTTATGTTCGATGGAGGGAGCATCTGTAAGTAAATTCTCTATGTCATTAACTTCCCCTTGCCCATTTATACACCCCAAGTTCTTTTTGGTACAGCCATTGCCATGTATCTGCACTCCGTTCTCCCCAGTACGTTCACCGTTCCCGCCCCCATCACCGTGTCGTTCTCATCGTGTGCAGGCCTATTCGCAAAATTCAGTTCGCTCCCAGCGCATCAGTTGAAGGATCCCTTCCCGCGCGCATTGAGGCACGCTACACTTGAGCTAGCCTCCAACAACCTCATCTGCAGTGTCGCCCTTACAGGTGTCCTCGCCCTTCAGGCTGGGCGGTTCTGGGCAGAAAGCGCTGACGATGGCGATGATGACTACGTGGTCGTCGAGTCTGAGGAACAAAAGGAAGCCCAATCGAGAGCCAAAACGCCAGAAGCCCCAGAAGAACAGTTGGTTCAAAGCTAAGCGAGATTTAACAGGCAGGTACACAAATGCCTTCTGGGACAATATTGATATCGGGGATTTGCTTTTTGTTATTACTTATTGGAGATTATCAGGGGATTATAATCTATCAGCCTACTTTCCATAAACCGAGAAAGAAAGAAGCTTGGTGCATTTAAAAATACTTTTTTGGTACGAGATTAGATGCAAGTAGGTAACTCTAACCACTTGGGTGGCAACGACATCTAATAATTAGGAATAGTTATGATACTGTATTTCGTCACTCTTGTACGATATCCTCCTTCCGTGGCTTCGAGTTTTTGATCTCGTGGCCCTGCCCAATGATTGACTGCGCTTCGTCGTCAAGAACAATTCCTAGGCCCTCCTCTTTGACAAGGCCAAGAACGTGCTCTAGCTCGACAAACCCATCCTGGTCAACATCTAATTTTTGAATAACCGCCTGGCCGACTTCATCATCTGGTTTGTGCTTGATGACAGCTAGAGCCTTCTCAAGATCTTGCACCGAAATGCGGCCCTGTGCGTCTGCTGAGATCATCTGCAGTGAGCTACCTACCCGGCTATCGTATTCCTGTAGTTGTGTGTCGACCTTGGTAAGCATAGAGCGAATACGTTTTGTCAGAGCTCCCGACGGTGATTTAGGATCCTGACAGTGTCGATGATGAGTGAAGTGATGCGCAAACGAAAGACAAGAAGCACTACCTCTTCAGCTTGCAGATTTTCTTCCATCAATCCCCGGAGCTCATCTCGTTCTTTGAGAACACTAGATTTAGCGGACAGAACAACCAAAGCATCAGCAAGTTCAGTAAGTTGCTCGGTTGTCATGCGAGCACTTTCGCCATCGACTTCAGGAAGAAGCTAAGACAGACTTCGTCAGTGATTCAAGAGTTATGACTGGATGAACAATTACCTCAGAGTCTGGCAAAAGCGACTGAGCAGTACGAGCTTCGAGTTCGTCAGCTTCTCTTTTGGCGCGACGAGCATCTTCTTCCTTCTGTTCCTGTTCTGCTTCATCATCGATAAGCTCTTGTTGTTGTTGTAGGACATCCAACTTCTGTTTGTAGCTGGCTTTCTCAGAATCAACTTCAAGCTCGGCTTCATTTAACTGCATCGAAACAGTTCACGGTGAGGGCATTCACAACCCAAGAGAAAAAAAGGACAGACCAGATTATCGGGCAAGCCACATAACACGTTTTCCAGACTAGAGATTACAGCAGTCTTCCCGTCTTCATCCTCCCCAGGCTTCCTGTCAAAGTTGAAGGCCCTGCCTAGCACAAGGAGAACACCAGACACCCTGTTGTGTAAATGAAGTTGAATCCAAGTTGTGAGTTCCTCGCGTAGCCGTGCCGGAGAAATACCAGTAGTGCGGATACCACGAGACTGACAAGCGGCCTGAAGTTCAGAAGTAGAGAGCTCATCAACGCCCTCTGCATCAATGAGCTGATCGTCACGACGGAGGTGCAAAAGACGGGCGCGGATAGCACCCCTCAAAAAGTTGTCAGTACCAAAGGCGTTTAACCCCATGTAGCGAGACATGGAAACCAGTTGAGGCCGGGAGAGATTGTCCAGAGTGAGGTCATCGTCAAAGAGCTTGGCGACGTTGATTATATCCGTAGCAGATGGTGATTCACCCGTTGAGCGCACCTGTGGGTGAGCGAAGATTCTGTAAAATTTGGAATGAAGAGACAATGGTTTCGACACATGCCTTGCGGAAAAACTCTTTGAACGCGTCCGTACCGACGATGTGTGCATTTGCTTTCAAACCGGATTCGCGGAGCGTCTCCTGAAGAAATTTAGCCATGTCCAGGCGTACACGAAGGAGTTTGCGTTGCTTTTCTTCCTAAAGAATGTAGTGAGATTGCCTGATTGGGTTGGGACCGGCGTAAGCTTACTGCCGAGTATTTGTCTTCAAATGTGGATGGGAGCATGTTGGGGAAAAGTTTGAGGGCAACTGGGAGGAGGAACTCCATAAAGGGGACTATGATAAAAACTGCAAAGGGCACAAGACGTAGTAGGTCTTGAGTTGTCCGTTTCAACTAATTTCGAGGTTAGTAAACCAGGAAACTTGTTGAAAAGAATATAACTTGCCTGTCTACGCTCTCGTCTTGTCAAAGTATCTCCGTGCAAAATTTTCCACTGGAGCCTTGAAGAAATTCTAACTTCGGAGACCAAAAGTTTGGACCCATGCCAGTAATGTGCAGCTTCATGCTTGACTTTTTTCCATACTCTCGTCGAGAGAGGTAGTTGTACAAGGTCTTTTGGAGCCGGTGGACTAGGTTTGATATCAGATGAAGTTTCCGGGTCTGCAGGGGGAAGCGACGCGGGGTCAGGCGAAGGTCTGGTAGATTGAAAACGGTGGACAGGCCGAGAAATGAGAGGTAGAGGGGCAGGACGCAGAGACCGACGAGAAAGGCGTGAAGAATGAGTGAATGAACGAGCAAAAATGGTGGGCGACGAGCGAGGTAGCCAAATCGACATGGCAAGAGTCTGCCGAAGTTCTGGCCAGAGTCGCAAGACCGAAAAGGACGTGCCGAGTCAGGTGATGAATACAAGTCCCGTGACTGCGTTAAACTCTAATGGCTTTCACCATCCCAGATCTCCAAGATCCAAAGTCCCAAGCATATAAAAAGGCGCGCCAGCAGTACTACAAGGCCACGAAAAACAGGCCTACAAACTGTGAAATCGATTGGTCTCCATTCAGGGCAGCGGAGAAACGCTACAAAGCACGCTTTCCTCTCCCAGATCTCTCATCCGTTCTTGATCTCGCACTTCTCGACAATGCCCGGCAACCAGAGATAGAACGAGGCGTATGGAAAGGTTCTCTTAATGCCGTTCACTACGCGCAATTGCCTTCCAAAACTACCGCCTCAACACCAGCATACTTTATTCCGAGCTTGCCAGGTGCGGTGGATTCAAGAGTCATCACTCATGTCCCCCAACATTATTTTGTCAGGTTTGGTGATCTTGCCGTCTTTCGTCTCTCCGGAAAAACAACGCCAACTTGCAAAGTGGTCTCTCATTAAGCATGCGCGACACCCTAACGAAACGAACCTCGATACTCATTACGAACTCCCAGTCGATGGACTCTGGAAGTCTTACCTCCTCGCTCGAGAGGACTCCAGCAAAGATATTTTAGTTCACCCAAAAGCGTTGTATTCACAAGATACAGAACTTCCAAAGCCAGGTCCGCGCCAACTGGTCGATAACACCCCAGCTTCCCTTGACAACTTTCAGACTCTATCCTTGACCCCAAAGCCCCCCCAGGCTCCGTCGCCTACAATTCGGGCAACTTTGGTTTCGTCCCTCTTATACAAACTACGATGGGCAAATATTGGATGGTACTATCACTGGGGCACAAAGCAATATGATTTCAGCAAAGGGAAGGGTGTAATTGATGAAGAATTGCGAGATGTGTGCAATAGTGCAGTGGCAGCTGTTGACTGGGACCAGGTGTTTGCGGGTACCGACGCTGAATGGGGCGAAGCTGGATCAGAATGGAAATCGTGGGACAAGACTTATGGTAAGTATCGGCGGTGATCTTTACAAGGACGCTTTCAAATTGATTTCACAGAACCTGATGCTGGAATTGTGAATTTCTACCAGACAAAGGTTGAACCGATCTTTTTTCTCTTGTATTCCATCTGAAGAAGGTTCTGCAGGACACCTTGATGGCCCATGTTGACCGGTCTGAAGTTTGCGCGACGTCACCACTAGTATCCATCTCGTGCGTTCGTTGTGTGGTCGACTATCCTTCCAGACACTCATGTTTCTTAAAGTCTGGGTAATGCAGCAATATTCCTGGTCGGAGGTCTTACCAGGGATAGCGAGCCTGTGCCTATACTTCTTCGCTCGGGCGATGTAATAATCATGTCGGGGCCAACATGCAGACGTGCGTACCATGGGGTTCCGAGAATTTTGGAGGAAACTCTGCCCCCGCATCTGAGGACTGCTTCTTTAGATGAGCAGGATCGCAGTGATTGGCAGGCATATGAAGATTATCTTTGTACGACGAGAGTTAACATCAATGTACGACAAGTATTTCCAAAGGGCTTCAAGCCCACAGTGTAAAGTAGATTTGTGGAGATTAGGTGTCATTTGGGTTGTTTGTGATCGCAGTCATTAGCGCAGTTAAACGAGACGCTGTTAATTATATAAGGAGGCTTGAGACTCACTTTCATGCCCAGATACGACCCGCGCCCACCGTCCTTGGATAGTGCCTTGTCTACAATATCTGTACGTCCCACAACCCTCGAAATCGTTGGGGCCACTTCACTGAATAATCAGCCACCAGTCTGAATCTATGGTTGAAATTAAACGCACGGATATCCCATCCTCCAGCTCCAGCTCCAAGCCTGAGGACGAGGACAAGTACCGTCTGGTATACAGCAAATCGAAAGTCTATGTCAATCCAACGGCATATGCTAGGGACAACATCCCAGGCTTTGTCGCCCTTGTGAAACGGGTAAACGCCAGAAACATATCTTGACTATACCTACATTTACCCATTCATCGAAGGAAGTAGCAAACCCCATATACCTGCTTGCCTGGATTCCGGAATCGTTGTTGAATGAGAGAGGCACGTCGGAGTGGGACAAGTTTGTGAAGATAGAGGAGAACTCGGCGTCTGAAGACGATGAAGGTGCGCGGCATACAACAGTCTGCTCTAATCTGCTGCTAATCTTTCACCGACCTCTTTTGTAGACGTTGTCCTCATTGATCTTCCGTTTCAACGACCTGAATCTTACGCTTTCTCGGTTCCTCTTACCTCGATATACTCCCTTATTGTCCACCCACCAACCCTCTCATCCTGGTGTCCGTCCAATTTCCCTCCATTATATCTCCTTTGACCGTTCACTTACCTCTACTGCAGATGGCTCAATCGGTATAAATTTAATAAATGGCGACACACTTCCAACGCTCCACTTTCATGACGATGAATCCAGCTCATTTACTTCACAAAGCCCTCGTTCTCCATCAAGTGGAGGTCGTAATGTGACACCATATCCTCCACCGCCTAGCGAAGGATCATCCCATGTCCCAAAACCAGTCAATACATGGGGAGGCGAAGATCTTCTTTCCCGTCTGCGGTTTTATGCGCACATTCTACGTTCCACCCTTCAACCGTCTTTGTTTCTGGTCGATCCATCTCGTGCCGACATTGAAGCACACAGCACACAGATATTCGCTGACGATGCCGTAGATGATATTCTTGCACAATCATCCTACGCAAACTCACATTCTCCCGTTCCTGCACACCGGCGACCAAGGCCACTGTCATCTCCCCCAATCCCCCCGAACCCTTACTCTCATCGGTCTTCCGTGTTGCACCGTTCGCTTGGATCCTCAACAGCAGCGGCTCAGCCACCGTCGCAGGCACGTATGGCGTTGCTGCAATCATTCTCGAATATTACTAGAGCAACACGCCATGCAGCGCAAAATATTCTATCCCACCCGCTAGCGAAACCGATAGTGCCTCATCTCCCCGATCCAGTGAGAAGTCTTGTGAACGCAAACGGTGAAACGCAATGGGGAAGCTGGGTTGAGAAGGGTGGGGTGGGCGAATTTGAGAGTGCTCGCGTGTATTTGGCTAGATGGGCGCGAATTGTGGCTGAAGAAGGTGAACGTGCACGGAGACAGGAGGCCCTTGCTCTTCCAGCGTTCTCTGCTACTGAATTCACGGAGGAAAGCTCTTCGTTGGGAATCTTTGAGTTGCTACATTCAACATCGAACCTTCCAACCCCAAAGTCTTCTCGGGATCCCTCTCATCCTATCGATGAGCAGACGTGGTCAAAATGGTTTGCTGCAGATGGGAGACCAGTGATAAGTATTGAGGAGATGAAAAGGGAAGTTTTCAGGAGGGGAATAAGTGCGAAAGGGACAACCCGTCAAAAAATATGGCCATACGTCCTCGGAGTCGTTGATTGGGATGTCACTGCCAAAGAGAGAGACGAACGTTGGGAAGAGAAACGGTTTGTGATTCGAATTCCACCTTCCATATTCCACACTCATATTTTCTCAGACAACGTTATCATGCCATTAAGAGTGAATGGTGTGGGGTCCCTGACGTCTTCGACAGGTCAGACATCCTAGAAGTAGGCCATCCGTTCCACTTTCGCGGACATCCCCTCATCTATTCACATAGGAACGACATCGAATTGACGTTGATTGTCGTCGCACAGATCGTAGCCAACCACTATTCGCAATGCCAGCGCAAATACTAATTGATGATTTGGATGACGAAAAGGAACTGAATAAACGCCATTCCGTGATATCTCCAAACCTAAGCGACATTGGAGCGCAATCACCCAGTAATGAACACATCGATTGCCTAGCTGGGATTCTGCTTACCTATAATTTTTACGAGAAGGACCTAGGTATGTCCGAATCTCCATCTGTGCTAGTCTTATGTGTTCATTTCTGCTATCCCCAGGTTATGTTCAGGGGATGTCAGATCTTTGTGCACCGTTATACGTGGTGATGGCATCGGACGAAGAGCTGACGTTCTGGTGCTTCGTCGAGTTCATGAACCGGATGGTCTGTCGATAAGTCTGAAATATCAGCTTGATGATCCAAATCTACCCTCTAGAAACAAAACTTTCTCCGAGATCAAAGCGGGATGAAGCAACAGCTGTCAACACTGCAACAACTGATAGAAATCATGGATCCTGAGCTTTTCAGACATTTAGGTGCCAGCGTTATAGCCAACTTCTCCGCTTCTTTCTGACGTCTCCCACAGAGAAAACCGATGCTCTTAACCTCTTTTTCTGCTTCCGGTATGATTTTGGTTATTACTGCCCAAATATTCTGTGCAAACTTATGTTCCAGTTGGGTTCTCATTGCATTCAAGCGAGAGTTCGCCTTCGGCGATGTCCTCCGACTTTGGGAGGTGCTGTGGACGGACTACTACAGCCGCGAATTTGTTTTATTCGTGGCACTGGCTGTACTAGAATCTCATCGTGACATGATCCTCCGATATCTGGTTGAGGTCCGTTTTTTTTTCCAACATTGCGCTTCTCAGACTGAAGATATCTCGGAACAGTTTGATGAAATTTTGAAGGTTTGACCTCTTTTTGACAACAGGTTTGAAATCAAATTGACAATTTACAGTATTGCAACGAACTCAGCATGACGATCGAACTTGATTCGACGCTGGCGCAAGCAGAAGTGCTGTTCCTCTCCTTTGCTCAAGTCATTGCCGACATCGATCGTCGAAAGTCGGAACAAGCTGCGTCTTCGGGAAACAATCTTCGGCGTCGAGCAACAACAGACTCAAACCAAAGTGCAAAGGATTCAAATCTGGAACTCCTGCAAATATCGGACAGACTCAGAGGTCTCCTCGACACTGGTCGTTGATGACTCGTTGACTCTTTACCCTCGTTGCATTTCAAATGGTTGTATTACTTTCACTCCGAACATATATAATCATACACGCACCTCGCCTTGCTCAAAACTATCTACCTCGGCCCATCTTGATTCAGCAGTTGCTCGCGGAACTTGTTTTGTAAACAAATAGTGTACAATATATTGCTAGTTCAAGAAGAAAAAACTGATTCTGCGTATGCTCGCGCCCTTTCAATTAATGGCTCCCCGCTGCTCTTTTCAAGCTTGCATCCCGAGATCGTTCGCTCGCCTCACGAATGGCCCAAGTGAATTCATACGTACGTACCGCGTCTGGGATGCAATGCTTAGCGCAGCGCTGGGTGAGAAGAAAGGGTTGGACTTGCCATCGTATGAACTTAGGATCTGGGCAGCTTCGGGTTCCTCTTCAATGTCCTCGATGATGTCGATGAGGTTGGAAATCTCAGAAAAGAACGGGTCGTCATCGTGGAATCTGATGGTTGTCTCATTGTCATCCCCTGGCTTTCGAACGTAGAGCACAGGCGAAACATATGGGTTAACCAGCCTGTGTCTCAGGTAAGTATCCATCAAATGTATGTTCCAGAGTGCATGAATCACTTCATAGAATAGCCATCTGCATAAACTTCGAGTTCACAGCTGTAGTCCGTTCCCTGCAATGCAACGACGTGCGTGAAACTACCGACAGCGCCGCTGTCATATTTCCTTGGTGTCGGAATGAGTAAGTTACCGACGACTCGTATTTGGCGGTATATTTACCATGTCGCTGCAGTGACTCGGGGTATACGGTTCTCTGAAGCAATGTTGCTTTCGTCTATAGACATCTTCGACAACCCGCCGGCATTTTCGTGCCACTCCAGGGAATGAGCTTGAACCGAAGAGATGTCGACTTCACCGCCAAAGTAACGCGAGAGATCGCAAAAATGAGTTCCTTGTTCAATGATGGGTCCGGCACTGATTACAATATGGTCAGCTGCGGCTGATTTAAAGCATAGGAACGGTTGAATCCTGCCTCTTTGACTTGTCCCACCAATCAGGTTTTGCAATTGCCTGGTATGCGCACGCATAGCGGGCGATGGTACTCATGACCGTCAAGTTGTTGTCTTGGATGATCTGTTTCATCATTTGAACTGCCTTGAGGTAGCGAAGCATATACCTTTACGAGAGGATCAATCTTTGTGAGAAACACAAGCCAAGTCGCGAATTGGATCCTTACCCAACGGAGCAGATAGTTTTGGTGTCGTTTATCATTTTTCCAATCTTATATGCGTCATCAATTTCACCCACAGGTCCTGTGGCGATGGGCTTTTCGATGAACATAGCAACTCCGGGAAAATGCTTGAGAATCTGGAGCTCGATGTCACGCCCAGGTGCCGACGAACCGCGAAACATGGGAGGACTTCCGACAATAATGGCGCGTGGGCGTTCACGTGAAGACATGGTACGGACAAAATCTTCAAGAGTCTTAAAGACACGAGTGTCCTGATACGCAGAAACCACGAAAGAGTCGCACTTCTTCTGAAGCACCGCTGTGGCACGCTCGATGGCCGGGTCGATTAGAGCGACTACTTTGAGGCGCCGACCAAGCTTACTGTTGATTGAAGTGAAGATAAGTTGGAAAGGCTGGGTTCGGACGTTGACCTACTGTTCAAGACGGAATGAGTGATTCCATGGTCCTTCTTCAGATCCTAGAATTGTGGTTAGACCTGGACTGGTGCGGGCTCAGATACGCGGACCGAACATGATGTTGCCTGCGCCAATGAAGACCACATTAAAGTCGTCCCCCCCAGCGACGTGAGTGGTTCTGTGGTCGAACAACTATGAGAAACAAGGGTCGCATATTTCGGATGAAAACACACTTGTCCATTGGGACGAGTCTAGATGGATCGATGGATGGGCGACGTGAGGATATTCCAGACCCTCGTCGGTCAGAAGCGCGACGTTCAGAAAGTGACATGATGCTGTGGCAATGGTATGAAGATGGATCAGAAAGAAAGGAAAAGGAGACGAACGGTGAGCAGTGTGGAATTATATGTGGAGTAGATCAATATAAACCAGGTGATCTTATCTAATCACGGTTAGACTTGTGGCCCACAGTCAACCGTTGAAGCTGAAGTTCACACCGTGCCAGATCACTGTGGTTCAAACGCGGCCTACAACATGAAAAACTAGCTTTCTTGTGATAGCTCCTCCGCCAATTTCTGCTCCGTGAGCTGTATCTTCCTACGCTCCGCTGCCTCGATCCTATCCGTCATAGCTTTCAGCTCAGCCTTGAGCTTCTCATTTTTCTCTGCCAGCTTTAGGACATTCGACGCGCGTTTCTGAACCTTTTCTTCTCTGGCGTTCGTTCATTCCATTTGTACCCTCAACAACAAAGGAGTTGGGGTAGGGAATACTCACTCGGCACTCGATGGGCCGATAATATCCGAGAAATCAAGCTTGAGGTCAGGATTAGGTATCTCCGGTAGCGTTGGGGAGACTGAATGATCCTCTACTATCGCTTCGTCAAGCTGGGACCTATGTGGTTGCAACATCAGATGGCCGCAAATTGTCAATTGAATACACAGACCCAGCTTGTTTGTCATGTGTTGGTATAAAGTTGGAGGTCATTGGGAGGGGTATTATGAGAAGGTTGAAATTTCCGTTGGTGATTTGCGTAAATGACATGTTCTCACGGTCAGACTCTAGTGAATTTCCTTCTGGAGCTCAGACTCCCTTCCCATCAATTGCCTCTTCGTCTCAACTTGTTTTCAGCGTTCTAGCACCACCGATTCACCTTTTTGCCGCCTCGTGAAACGTGAAAATGTTTTCTTATGTGACCCATCTGCCCTGAGGTTCTCCACTCCTGCGCGCCGACAGTGTCATCATAACAATTCATCTTTCTGCTTACCAACGGTCTTTTCGACCTCCATATTCTACAGGATTGACCGATTCAGCGTTACTCACTCAGAGTGAAAAACGTGCCTGTACTGGGTTAATTTCCAGCTGCTTACAACTTGAGGTTCTACTCAGGTTCTGTCTATAAACGGTGCCGTCATATTTTGGGCCCCAACCCGCTTCTTATTATACACAAATAACGGTCGCCATCAAAGCTCGTTTTCTCGTAATGGTTCGCTCTCGGCGCTCTCGGATGCGGCGGTGTTACAGAACCAACATAGATGCTATCCTCTCTTCCGCTGTCGTCGAGTCTTTCCTTTTGTTGTATCCGTCGCTTTGCGGTCGTAGAGCTAGAACGACGTCGTCGGTTCAGGCGACTGTATCCGCGCCTATGTCCGTTTCAAAGTCCGTATGTCCTCTTTCTTCTTTCTTTTTGGTGAACCCCCGACCCCCTCGCTCTGTAATTGCTCCTCATGGTAATATAGGCATTTTCACCACGCCGGATGGTGGTCATTGCTCAAATTTCATATTACTCAGTGTGGTGTGCACGTGCCGGTGACCTTGCTGACGTCGCAATTCATCGCACTGGCTTGGACTATGATACAGCAACCCCTTCCAGGAGCTACAACCCACTCCACGGCATATCTCAGCAATATAAACACAACCCTGCATCCAGATGTCAAGACTCTGGGTGCACTTATCGCAGCTCCTTGCCAAGACCGCAACGAACGCTCCCACTGCCTTTCAGCTTGTCTCTCGCACTGTCGCTGTGTTCTTTGGTGACGTCATTATTCCCACCACGACAAGACCCCAAAATGCAGACAAGTCCCAGTGTCTGAAGCGACTGAAGCAAATTTTGAGACCAACCTCAATGCATCGATGATTTACTCTGTACATGTGTTTTAAATAATACACAGATGGGTATCAACGCTTTGTGCTTTGTCGGTTTGTTTCCATCCACCTCCACAGGCAAGTCTAATTCCGCCTTATCAAACTTCTTTCCTTTGCTAGCACATGTTGAGGAAGTGCTTGATTGTAATTGGTCGACCCCTGCATTGGTTTGTAAGAGGTAGTTCTCTGGTAGCTAAACTTACTGTACATGGATGACGTTGCTGACATCTTAGGACGCAATTTACGCAAAACTGGATGCATGTCGGACGATTGGACTCGGACTTATCGGAGTTTCCATTACCATTGTGGTTTAGCTGGTAAGTATCAGTTGCAAAAGATTGTACGAACTAACATTGAACAGATCTTACATCTAACAAGTCGGAACCACATCATACATCCCGTCAACGGATGTCATGTTTAGACAATCCCCATCACGTATCTCAACCTATTGTTGATCTCACCTTCCACCTTCGGCAGCCCTGGTATGTAATTTGTATGTAACTCACCGCTATCTTCGGTACGAAACTGAAGGGCCCCAAATCTATTAACAAGACGAAATTTGTAGCGGTTCCGAATCCAGACTTCACGCAACCCACAAGCCTCAAGCGTGTATTTGAAGGAGGGAACCACTAGTGTCATTTATTTGCCTGCATCAAAGGTGTGTCGTCGTGCCAGCTTGCAGGCCATGATTCTGACGCCAGATCCGGCCTCCTTGTAGTTCTCGCAACCTCTTGTTCACCCGCGAAGACATGCCTGCACCGGCAATCGGCTCTCGCCTCTTTCATTTCTCCAATCAAGTAGACGACGAGGATAACGTTGAGACATATGATGAACGTGAGAACCGGCGCTTATCTCAACCAAACGCCTCGTATTCCAAGCTGTATGCGGCTCTTGCATTTTGATTCATGACGACTGACTATAACTTCTTATCTGGCCAGACCTGGAGCCTGTGTTGACTGTAAATCCGTCAAGGTTTTTTTCTTTTCATGGGAAGAAGTTCCATCGCATATCGTTAAACTGCTATTTAGGTTAGGTGTGAATACGTGCAAGGTGAACGTAAGTGCAAGCGTTGCCAAGCCAAACATCTTCCCTGTCAACCCCGCGAGCGCAAAAAGCGCAAAGCAGCCGAGTGAGGTCTTTGCTGGGTCACTCGTAATGAACGCCACTAATATTTTTTTCGAAGTACCCATGAAGAATTACAGAAAAGGGCGCTACAACAGGATCGTCAGATTGAGGAGCTATTGCTTCAGTATGATAAGCTGAAGAAAGAGCAGAAAATAAAGGAATGGATGTCAAGGCCATTGCCGACCCCCGCTAACGGTAAGTTTTTTTTATCAACCAGCCTGTATTTCGTTTGATGTCACTGCGTCCTCGGAATTGAAGGTAATCCCGGACAATGCATCAAACGGAAGGGGAGATATTCTGACGCCACGGCTGCCTATTACTCTGCTGGTCAGCGCTCCCTTCGATTTATTTCCTATTCAAGACTTACGATTCGAGTGGCAGGCCATGCACATCGACTCAATCCGCCAGAGATAGTCAAACACTGCTCGCTATACCCCGACGATATCACAGAGCTCTTTGCTATGTGAGTCATTCATCAGCGCTTCCACATCATTGGTAATAATTTACACTTATGGGAAGCTTCTTCGCGCGAATAAATGTGCGTGGTACAAATGCTTTTCGTACTTGTTCGATAATAACAACTTGACAGCCCTACTTTTCCATTCTCGATGAAGACTTGCACACGCCAAAACATCTAATCTGGAGCTCTCCGTTTCTCTTTACTGTTAGTAAGTGAAGTTTCAGAATTTGAAGTCTGGATTCCCTAATATATAAATATACATATAGTCTGTGCCGCCGCATCTCGGTATTATACTGCTCGTCCTGACGTCTATCTCCTGGCTATGGATATTGCGCGGGACACTGCTGGCAAAGCCCTGGTTGAGGGATATATTGGTGTTGATGTATGTCAGGCATATTTGATATTGGCCCTGTATCCTGTACCGAAGAAAAGATGGGAAGAGGATCGAAGTTGGTTGTTGATGGGCGTCGCCATTCGGTGAGGGCCCGATCTAGTTGAGTTATGACGTTCGCGACTAAAGTGAGCACAGGATGGCCATGGAGCTTGGATTAAATCAACCACCTCCCGATCCTTGCGATGGGCGCGAAGCTTTAAATAGGACAAGGACGTGGCTGAATTGTTATTGCGTCGACGGCTCTCATGCCATTCAATTTGGAAAGATGCCCATGCTTCCACTGGATGACTACCTTGCACGGACCTCACGAAACTGGTACAAATCGTCACCGATGAATACACCATTCGATGTCCACCTGTGCGCCTATGTTCAAATAATTCTCATCATGGCGCAGTGGAGACAGGCAAATTCTGCTTGCCTCAAACATCCAGGCTCAAAGGTTCGCACAGTTGACTCTTGTGACGAATAGAGAAAGAAACCCTATTGCAGGACTTCGACATCGTCAAGACGGCGCTCCAATCTCAAGAAAGACTCTCTCAAGAGATGGCACACTGGGATGCGGCATACGCAAAAGAGTTTTATTTTATGCGTAAGTCGTCGAACTTCATGAACTCTGAGGAGATCTCACATCAGGCTAGCACTCCCAATTTGTAACTACCGTGGAAACACAACACGAATGTTCGTCGAATCGCCCAGACGAGCTCGATAACAAATTGACCACTTATTAGGATAACCGCCTATTTGAAGCTTGTCGTTCTCTCCGTCGGCTTCCAACATTCTGCGAAACGAGGGCTGTCTCGGGGCTGCGAAGTTGTCATGAAATCTATCGCGGCAGCACGCAATGTGATTGATATCATTATTGAACATTTGGCGCCAACTGGATATTTACGTTATGCTATGGATGCTAATTTTCTATACGTGTCGTTCGCTGCGGCCTTTCTTATCAATGTGATTGCCTTTCCAAGATTTCGCTATACTCGTGCTCATTTTCCTTGATTTCAGCTTCTGCGACCAGAACTCTTACCCCTACTTGACGAGAATCAACAACAGCAGATAATAGTCCTTGTCAATCGTCTGATTGGCATTTTGCGTTCGGATGACGTTGCCTTAGACGGTCGACACACTCCCGCCCTTTACTCGCGGTTCCTTTCTTCATTGCTGGAGCGGCATCATGCTACTCCCAACAAATATGCGTCGCAGTATCTGAGTACTGATCCTGGATTTTTGACGTCATCCCATGACTACCGCGAGTTTACTCAGCCCAACGTCCACTGTTGGCCAGATGTTGGACAAGCACCCGGCAACTGGGCGTTGCCCGAAATGTCTATAGACCATATGGATTTCAGCTTGACACATTTCATTAGCGCAGTGTCCCAAGATCCCGGAAAAACATGCGATGTTCAGATTGTCGATTCGATGGAAATGTGGAGGACGTGGGATATAGAGTTTTGAGTGCTGGCATTATGTAGAACCATGTGTATTGTATTGTGTTGAATGGAGCAAGCTGAAAACATGGCCAAACAACGCGATCACGTTCTCTGCCTCGACTTCGCCTTGCCCACGATGGCTGTATTCCAACCAACCCGTGTATCTTCCCCGTCGAGGTCTCTGGCCAAACTTAAGACGGCGGAATCCTCTATGTCCACAAGTTCTATGGTTCCAGAGCTCAAAGATCTCTCTGCCGAAGATGTTGAACTTCTCGATGCCGTTATACAGCGTGCTGGTCCCTCTGCCACAACTTTCCTTACCGTCTTCAAGGCGTACAGTGAAATCTTGAACGAACGTGGTCTAGATCCTCATGAGGTTGTTTGCTACGGAAAACTTCTGAAGCTTGGAACGTTGAAAGGAAAGAACTGGGGAGACAAGTGGAAGATGATCAAGGACCAATACAACTCCGTGAGTTCAGTCCCCAAGACGGTCGCAAACCTCACGGACTTGAAGCACGATCGAACATCGACGCCTACCACCATGTCCAGCTTCAAACCACCTTTATACCCCCCGTCTAATGATTCGGAAACTCTCAACTCGCACGAGAATGACAGCGTTCAACTTAACGCAGACGTCGCGTTGATCGACGAGTCGAAGCATCCCCATGTGCGCAGAGCTTTCAGGTCAATTCCTCAATCACGACGTTCTCATTATTCAGAAGCGACGCTGAATGAAAATGGTTTACCCCATACTTTCATGCCCCGAAGGCCTGTGGTCCCTCTTGATTGCAATGCATCGGTTTCAGGAGTGTCCGACGTTTCGGAACCCGTCCCTCGTGTCATTCCTTCACAGATCCCACCCATCGGCTTCCACAAGCCACCCCCGTTGGAAAGGCTCGACACAGTCCGCGCTCAACGCAACATGCCACCTCAGATCACGGCTGACGTTGCACGTAAAGCCATCGCACAAGCACGGAAACGCAAGGGCAGCGTGGTAAACGAAGATGACGCATGGAGAAAAATCAAATTTCAACGCGACGAAGAGGACGCCGATACATTTCGACAGGATCGGCTGTTGGAGCGGTGTTGGGAAATATGGAAACAGGGATTTCAGTGGATCATTGTGCGAACTTATTCTATCTTTCTCTGTCAATGCTTAAGCTTCATACGCCAAATAGACAACCAATATTCAAATATCTGAAGCTCGCGACAACCTTCTTCTGCGTTTATCGCTTCAACGCTGGCAGAACATCGCCACTTCACATCGAGACCTCCACACTCGTATTGCTCGGCTTGCCGACGATCGTTACACAAGGACTGCATTTCATAAATGGCAAAAGAAGCTCAAAGAACGGCGCCAAGACAAGTGGCGGCATGAAATGCGAATGAAAATGAAGCACATCAAGGAAAGGGGAGATCTCGAGCTCAAAAAGGACGCATGGGCTAGATGGCGACAGCTACATCGATCACGTCTAGCATCGCAACAGTACTCGCACCATCTGCTATTTCGCTGCTACGCACGGTGGAAACAAAGGCTATGCAATCTCGATGCATTTGAGGCTACTGCAGATGCGGTTTCGAGGACGGCCGTACTGAATGACGCCAAAAAGTGCTTTGTTGCTTGGAAAAAGCTCGCCATTTTGCGGACTATTGAAAGGCATGTTGTAGAACAGGTCAATATGAGGATCACATGTGACATTGTGGATAATTGGAGAAGACGAATGTGAGTTAACATATTCAATTATTTTTCCCTGCTTGACGTTATGGCTATCCAGGCAAGATGATCGACGTGCGAAGGAATATCATACCGTTTGGATCATGAAACGCGCTCTGCTTTCCTGGAGATCATCTTTGACTCAGATAGGCGTGAGTCGAGGCTAATCTACTTGGGGATTTATTCTGATTGAGCAACTGCAGATTCTAGAGAGACGCGCCACGAAACACATTGCTCGTTCTAATGATCTTTTGTTGCGCGCCATACTTCGTGTATGGGGAGCTCGCGAACGAGGGAACTTACTCCTTCGTGTTAAGCTTACCCGGCTTTTGAAAGTAACATGGGGAGCTTGGCAAACGCAACTCAATCAGCGGAAAGAAAATCAAGGTGCGGGTCACCAATCTTTAAGTCATTTCCATTCGTATTCACCTCTCCGTAGACCGTGCCGTCGCATTTTCTCTACGCCCTAACTCACAACTTGCATCGACCTTCATACGACGTTGGATGCGTGTCTATGAAACACATAAACATGCGCAGAGCTTTGCTGTGCAATATGACGCCGCTCAAGTCCGGGATAAGACCGCTCTGTACTGGCGTGTTCTTCTCCGAAAGAAGCTTAAGATGGCCAAGACTGCTCGTCTCGCAGCACGGTATTTCGCCGTTCGACAGGCCTGGAAGGTCTGGAAGGAGCGGTTAGAGGAGTTGAAGCGACAACAGCAATTAAAACAAATCTTGATTGCGAAGAAGAAAGCGATCTTTGATGGTGCGTCCAGGATGATTATTTTGAAAAGCCTCCTGATTTGAAAGTCAGCTTGGTTAAATCGATATCGACGAGAGGCAAGTCAAAAGCGCTCTTACGCTGAGATGCAAGAGCGGATATCTAAAGTGAGTTCAATCACAAACGTTCACTCCTAGGCTCTAAGTGATCTGCAGCGTATCATACACAATGCCCTTACTTACTGGACTAACCGAGTCGTTGAAGTGAAGCTTCGGGCGTTAGAGGTCGCTCAAAAATATGACATCGTTGTCCAAACGTGGGTCGAACGGTCGGTCAATAACACCCATGTGGCAGGTACTCATTCCGACGTAGTGCTGCTTTTCAGAAGTGGAAGAAATTGTGTGTGCGTCATGCTGAGGAGCTCAGTTTGATGGAGAGTTATCTTTTCGTCAAGCGCGAAGGTTGGTTTTTTGCATTTCACATTCGAAGATGATACATTTTGTTTTAGATGTCACTCGACGCATGTTCCACCGCTGGTTCGCCGCAGCACGTTCCACGCGTCATCGGCGATTAACACTGCAACGAAAGGAAGACCAAATGAAGCTTGCGACTATTACCTTTGTTTGGGACAAATGGAGAGATCAATTTATCAGCGAAAAACTCCGGCCTATGGTGAGCTGAGTTTCTCGCGCCAGATCTTGTTTCTGACACTATTGCAGGAGTATGATGTTATCCTGCAAAATCAGAAGAATCTGATGTTTTTGTCCTTTGGGATATGGCTTGCCAAGACAAAAGTATGTGGTTGGCTTCTGCATTTCTGACAGCACCACATAATAACCGGCCACAATATAGTCCCTCCCTGCTATTCGATTTCACGCCAATCATACCAAGTTCAAATTCTTCAAAGTTTGGCGAGATTCCATGCCACGCGCTCTCCAAGCCAAAGCAGCGCGTGAGCGTGATCGTCAAAGTACACTTCGTATGTCTTGTTTATAAAAGAACTTGATCTGGTCACTGAGAACAAACACCTCAGGCCATTTCATATCGAAGTGGATTCAAACTTATCGATCCAAAATAGCTCTAAAAGCTGTAGCGTGCGTGGCCTATCTTTCTACGTGTGACCACTGTAATAACAAGCCGTGTATAGACGTGCACGATATCTCCGTCTCCCCACTGCTCGACCGACCTTAGATCCGTCAGGTTCAGCGCTCTCCACAAACCACAATCTGTTCCCACGTCGCTTTTTACGCCAACCTGATGATGATGATGAAAAAGACATTCCAACATCATATCCGGTAGGCCGCGCACCCGGCGGAAATCTTGGTCTCCTGCGACCACCTCGAAGTACGGGGTACAATTCTCTTCTACCTTCACACTTCGGAGCGCGTGCATCGAGTCCAACGCCGTCCAAAGCATCGTCAGCACGTCCGCAGAGTAGGGCAGATAGTCCAGCGCGATCGAAAGCATCGTTGGCACGTCCGCAAAGTAGGGCAGATAGTCCACCGCGATCGAAAGCAAGTTCTGTTGGCTCCGCTGAACCTGGAAGCCGCAAGCTTTGGTTAGAGCTTCAAGAAGTACAACGCAAGTCAAGATCCCCATTCCGGGAGACGAAGAAACCCCCATAAGTCCGTCCCAGCCCATGCCTCCTTGTCGGACCTTTATGATTATTTTATTTATGTATGCCAATCATGTACTACTTATGCACTGTAATTAGAATCAATGTCAGAAAACGGTTGAGCTGTGGAGTTGATTACATCTGCATGAGCTCTGATAAATAGTACTGCCAGCCTTGTAACAAAAAAAATGGTCCATCGAGCGATGGAGCGTTCTGCAGCAAACTAGGCCGCTTCCAAGAATAGGACAAAATTTTCAACGGGCCACGTCAACTGCACAATATAGCCTTGTATACTCTGGCCTTGAGAGACTCGTAGGAGTAAGCGAGGACGACGAACTTGTTTCGTAAAATTCACCATCTGTGATCTCACCTCGCTTACTAGGGTCAAATCAACTCATCGTTTCACTCACTCAATTCCTTCTTGCATGTTACCAATGTAAAGAGTGATAGAAAAAATGCGATTCTAGTCTGATACAAATGTGATGTCATTAATTTTTTGAGCATGTCCTCATAAGATGCGTTGATGAAAAATGATTGAAGCAGAGACACCAATTAGTCGACCTCCTCCACGCTAGGGCCTTCCTCACTGGCGCCAGGGAAGCCACCAGGAGCACCACCAGCACCTCCTGGGAAGCCGCCAGCGCCGGGGAAGCCACCATCACCTCCCGGTCCGCCTGCAGCACCGTACAGTTTCTGCATGATGGGGCTAAAAAAAAACATATTAGACACCAGAGCACGAAAGCGTGGTAAAAAAAAAAACATACTTGGCAATGGCCTCAAGCTCCTTCTGTTTCTCCTCGTACTCCTCCTTCGATCCTTCTTGTGAGGCGTCGAGCCAATGGATGGTATCGTTGACAGCAGACTCGAGCTTGGTCTTGTCAGCAGCTTCAAACTTGCCGGCGAGCTTCTCGTCTTGCAGCGAGTTACGGAGGTTGTAAGCGTATGACTCGAGAGCGTTCTTGGAGGTGATTCGAGCAGCGGCAGCTTCATCCTCAGCTACAAAAGAAAGTCAGCAATGAAGGCTATTGATCGGCAGAAAAACGTCGTACCCTTGTATTTCTCGGCTTCTTCGACCATGCGCTCAATCTCTTCCTTGGAGAGACGACCCTTGTCGTTGGTAATGGTGATGCGATTCGATTTACCAGTGGTCTTGTCCGACGCGGAGACGTTCAAAATACCATTGGCATCAATGTCGAAAGTGACCTCGACCTGGGGAACACCACGGGGTGCCGGGGGAATACCGGAGAGCTCGAACTTTCCGAGGAGGTTGTTATCCTTGGTACGGGCACGCTCACCCTCGTACACCTGGATAAGGACACCAGGCTGGTTGTCGGAGTAGGTCGAGAAGATCTCAGACTTCTTTGTGGGAACGGTGGTGTTGCGCTTGATGAGAGCAGTCATAACACCTCCGGCGGTCTCAATACCGAGGGACAGGGGGGCAACGTCGAGGAGGAGGAGATCTTGGGTCTTTTCAGAGGTATCGCCGGACAGGATGGCAGCTTGGACGGCGGCACCGTAGGCGACAGCCTCATCAGGGTTGATGCTCTTGTTGGGCTCCTTGCCGTTGAAGAAATCGGAAACGAGCTTGACGATGCGGGGAATACGGGTGGATCCACCGACCAAGACGATCTCGTGGACGTTGGCCTTGTCGATCTTGGAGTCCCGGAGAACTTTCTCAACGGGCTCAAGGGTTCCACGGAAGAGATCCTGACAAAGTTCCTCGAAACGAGCACGAGTCAAGGAGGTGTAGAAGTCGATGCCCTCAAACAGAGAATCAATTTCAATGGAGGTTTGTGTCGCGGACGAGAGAGTGCGCTTGGCACGCTCGCAAGCAGTGCGGAGACGGCGAACAGCACGAGGGTTGGAAGACAAATCTGGAAGAAAGCCGATCAGTTACTGTCTAAGTACAACTGACAGAAAGTTTACATACCCTTCTTGTTCTTGCGCTTGAACTCTTGAACGAAGTGGTTGACAAGGCGATTGTCAAAGTCCTCACCACCAAGATGGGTATCACCGGCGGTGGCCTTGACCTCGAAAATACCCTCCTCAATGGTCAGGAGAGAAACATCGAAGGTTCCTCCACCGAGATCGAAAATCAAAACGTTACGCTCGCCGATGACCTTCTTGTCGAGACCGTAGGCAATAGCGGCAGCAGTGGGCTCGTTGATGATACGGAGAACGTTCATGCCGGAAATGGTTCCAGCATCTTTGGTGGCCTGACGCTGAGAATCGTTGAAGTAGGCGGGAACGGTGACGACGGCATTGTTGATGGTGGTGCCGAGATAAGACTCGGCGGTCTCCTTCATCTTCAAGAGGACCATTGACGAGATTTCTTCGGGAGACTACGGAAGATAGTCAGACAATCGTTAAGTGGGGAAAAAGGATAATGCTTACGAATTCCTTCTCCTCTCCGCGATACTCGACTTTGATGTATGGCTTGCCACCCTTGCTGAAGACCTTGAAGGGGAAGTGCTTGAGATCGGACTGGACTTCGGCATCGTCGAACTTGCGACCAATCAAGCGCTTAGCGTCAAAAACACTAAAAGAAAATTTAGTATCTTTAGAGATAAGGAGTCAAGCGCTAAACTACGTACGTGTTGTGGGGGTTCATGGCAACTTGATTCTTTGCGGCATCACCGATAAGACGCTCATTGTCGGAAAACGAGACGTAAGAAGGAGTTGTGCGATTTCCCTGATCGTTGGCGATGATTTCGACACGATCGTTCTGCCACACACCAACGCAACTGCAGAGGGAAAGAAAAAAAGTCAAGAACGGATACGAGGAACGATTAGAAGCAAAACACTTACGAGTAGGTGGTGCCGAGATCGATACCAATAGCTTTTGAGGAGGAGGACATGATGAATTATGAAAGGGAATGTAGAAAATGTGAGGAAAAAATGAATTTGAACCCCATTCTTATATATGCTCCTCTTTGGAATCAGCCAGAATGTTTGCGAATACTCTGGAACCTTTGAGAGACCACGTGACGTTCGCGTCATTGTCCCGATCTAGCGTCATGTCCGAATGCAGCGAAGTCCTTTTATAAAAAGCTAGCAAATTCCATTGAAAAAAAAAAATGCTATGTAACGCCACCAGTAAGGAAAAAATAAGTACAAGGGCATCAATGGAGTTGCTGCGGTCCTCCGGATCCTTCGTCGAGGCTTCTATGTGCTTGTAGGTCGCGTAAAACAGTAGGGTCAACTGAGTGGACGATAAGCAAAAGAAAAAAAGACTGCTAATCAATGCGCGTTACCTGGTAGAACACTTTTACGGCGTGTGTGGAGACCCTGCTCAATGGAGGAGTGTTCGTGTTGTCCTACGATGGGAAGGGGCCTCTGACGGGAAAGGTTAGTGCGCGACTCGACCGTTGTTTTAGAAATACGTACATCGAGGCCAGGATCAGCCGTCGGTACTCTTTCAATGCCCTGCTCATCGAGGTCTCCCGGAACATCTTCCATAGATGCGGCATTGAGGTCAAATGATAAATCCATGATGTCGGCATCGTCGATGGCAGAGGGAGGTGGTGGTGGTGCACGTAGGGGTTCGACATAACCTGAAGGCATCTTTCCTCCCGGCGCGTTGCGAAGAGCTCTCTCGCGCAGCTGCTGCCACGCCGCATATTGAGTCACAGCATGTTCCTGCTCTCTGTTTGCGGACAGAAAACATTAGGGATGGATACCAAGGTTTAAAAACCAATACGAACGCAAGTTTTCGTTGTTTGTATTGTTGCATAGATTCATCGAAAAGATCAGGATTGATTTCCATGAATAATTTAAGGGCATTGTACACCATGCCGTGTATTGTGCTGATGAAACTGTCAAAACAAATATGGAGCCAATGGACGACCAACTCACCGATTCCAATGTAACTTGGAGTTGGTATATAAAGCCGGAAACACGATTGGGAGGATAACTGCGAGATTATCACTCATCAGGTTTACTACGTACTCATTATTCCAATACAGCAATGCTCGTTCGGCAACTTGGAAATGTTGACTGTTGATGCATCGAGCAAGTTGGTGGAACAAGGGTACTTGAATTTTCTGGAATTCGATGGGGCCGGTCACGTCTAGCACCTCTTCTACCTCATTGAGAAACATGACTTCCTTTGGCGAGTTGACCTTTGGCCAATACTTTAAAAGTCCCATCATTACCTCCTCCGCCAATGCAGGATCCTTCTCCAAAAATTGTACGACGCAATATGCCAGTTGTGGATGGTACAAGGATAAGCTTTTCACTTTGTGGAGTGGAATGAGAACGCGCGTCAAGAAAATCTTGTGCTCCTCTTTCAAGGGAAGTGCAAAACCGTTGATGATTGAACCCAAAATCTCCAGGAGTTCGGCGATGCCATTATGGCGTTCGGTCTCGTAGACAAAGTGGAAGAAAACATTGTTGATTGAACGTCGGATAAAGGCTCGTAGATTGAGGAATTTCCCATAAATTCGATGAAGAGTGGTCTTCAAAAAGTCGCGTTCCCGAGGATCTTCAGAGTCAAAGAGCTCGAGCAAATTCAGGACGAATGGTTGATCGATGTATCGCTTCGCCATGTTAGTATTAAAATCTGGACTTTCGACGAATCTAAGGAAGAATTCGTAAACGATTTGCAGGTGTGGCCATGCCAGCTCAAGAACGGGTTCGTCCTCTTCTGGGTCAAAGGCATCTCCAGTTGGGTTTACGGGGGGAGGTATAGAGCGAAAGAGGTTGGTGGCAAACTATATGTCTTCCCGTCAGAGGTGTAAGGTAGTGGTGGTGGGTATGAATTCACCATATTGACCACCTCTGGGTATATGTTTTCAGTTATGACACCTCGCTGGGTTGTAATGTACTCGAGCATCTCGTGTAGAGTCTGGGCCTTAATTTGTTTTCCTTTGAGTTCAGCACTGGCGTCATTGAAATCAAAGAGGACGCGACACTGGTGAAGTTTCTTGATAAATAAATGAGGTCGTTCGCTTGGAGGAGTTTCTGGAGTACGAGATAAGGAAAATGTAATTGAGAGGAGTGCAATAACAAACCCATGAAGGGAGGGAGGCGTTCTATATCGACCTTTTCTGTGACAACAAAGCGGCTGCTGCGTTGCTTCCTGGGCGGTTTGCCGACTATGGGTATTGTGTCTTTGGGACCGGCGCGAAGGCGGTTAAGGGTTGTTGCTCGTGGTGGGGTAGCATTTCCAAGGTCGAGACCGAGGGAATGTCTATCGGAAGCAGAACCAGGACGAAGTGCTGATTCGGAAGTAGAATCTGAAGAGACGACGACGATAGGAGGGGCGGGGGTATCTGCTGGTGATCTGCGATCGGGTGTAGATTGTGGAGGAGATGCGGGAGAGAGAGATTTAGTTGATGTCGCGTATGCGGTTGAGGGAGGTGCCGACTGGGGAACAGGCTTTGATGAGTTTGGAGGCGGGGGTGGGGGAGCAGAAGCAGCAGCGTATTTGGAGTCCTTCTTGCTAGATGCCGAGTCCTGTGAGCTTTTTCGCAGCTATACAACAAGTTATAAAGGCAATGGTGAATTTGAAAAATAAAGGGACTTGCAAGAGTCTTTTTCAGTCCCTTCATGATGATTGAATCGATGCAGACAGGTTCAACGAGATCACGGTACACATGTCACACTTGCACCACCAATCACGGTCAAGTCACGACAGTCACCCTATCAACACTTTGTCACGCTCACTTCCAATCTCCCTCCATTGTAATGGCCGCCATCTACGCCGTATACACTTCCCCAAGTCACCCGCCCATCCCAAATCACCTCCCAACCCTCATCGTCACTCCACACGGCCAGCCCTCTAATATTCTCTACTCCTATCTCCATACAAACTTTGTTAGTCTTCTTCTCAATCATCCATTATCTCTCTCACTGTCTTTTCAGAACTCGGAAAACTATCTTTTGACGCCATCTCCTCAAGGCGATCTCTGCGTTGCCAAGCTCTTTCCTCCAAGGCCCAGAGAACCAGGAAAGGCATCCGCTTCTGATCCAGGCCACTCTTCCTCGTCTTCTTCTCGCCTCGTTCGTTGCGAAGCTTCCCGTAACTTAAAGTGGTCCATCGCCAACACAGGCGTCATTTCCCCTATTTACAAGCTTTCTCTTCCATCACCGGACTCTCCGGATCTCCCTCTCTTCCAAATATCAAAGCCAAATCCCAATGCTGCCTTCTGGAGTATGTTCTACTTTGCCTACGCTGGCCACAACATCCCTCCCAAGCGTATTGAGTTTGGTAAGATCCAGAAAAATCCTCCAGGTCCCAATGGCGGTGGTACGAGGATTAGCATCACTGGAAAGACCCCGGAGGAGAAGGCCGTGTGGCAGACTCTTGGCGAGGGAAATGAGGACTGCGTAGAGTGGGTTGTTCTTTGCGCTGCTTTGAATCTTCTCGAGTACGTTTCATATTCCAACCTTCTTCTTCATTCAACACATTGATCATATTTTCTCCCCAAGTGACGAAATCATGAAAGCCGCCGAGAAAAATCCGCCACCACCATCCGCAGCAGCTCCAGCTGGTCGCCCAGCCCCCGTCTCACTTCGCGATCCAGGCCCAGCCAACGCTCCCATCCCACCTCAGCAGCGTCCTCCCCCATCCGGCGGCCCCGTTCCAGCAAATCGTCCGCCCGCTGGTTATCCACAGACAGGTCCCCCGCCTCCTCGCGGTTACCCGCCTGGTCAGGCTGGCCCACCAGGCGGATATGCCCCTCCCCCTCAAGGATACCCCCCCGGAGCTGGAGCTGGACCTGGACCTGGACCTGGAAGGCCAGGACCTCCTCCACAACAAGGTGCAGTTCGCATTGGTGCTAACGGCGCCGCTCCTCCTCCAGCCGGATATGGAGGGCGCCCGCCGCCAGGACAGATAATACCCCCTCAGCAGCAGCAGCAGCAAGGTCAACCGTCACACATTAGGAGATTTTAATGGCTCACGTTTCTCATCCCACTCTCGTTCTTGAAAATTTCCTTCTTTTTTCAGTCGGGTTTATTTCTTCTGTACCTCAAGAGTGTGCTTCGTGACCTCTTCTATTTATACAGGGAACTATGATATTTATTACCTGGCAAAGTGGTCAAATATGATTACTTTACTAGTTGTTCTTAGCTGTCATCCACTATCGTCCCGTTTCAGTCTGGCTCGATCTCAAATCTCTGTTGTTGTATGTATTAATATGCCTAGGGCATTCGTAGTACCGTTTTCTGTTTATTCTTGACCAAAGTACCCACTGTTGTTGCTGATTTATGGGTTCTTGATGAGTTTTTCCAGTGCATCCATCGAGAGTGCTGAATGAAGGTTTAACTTTCAATAACGCACGTGGAATATAACGAAAAAAAAGACGTACACTTGGGTCGCTCGAGGGGCAGAGCAAGAGCTGAAAGAAGGTCAGCCAATAATGAACTATCGCAATGTGGAAAAAAAAACATACCTCTTGCCCACACCAGTTGAGTGAGCGCACCCAACGCTGAGAAGATCCCGTTACAAATTGAACGGTTGATCAATATCTATGACTAACCTCTGGAAACCCCAAAGATAACCGTGTAATACTACATAAAATGGTTAGATTTGTTAGATAGCATCGAAAGTCAAACGTTACACACCTTGAACTCGGTCAAGCCATAATGATAGAGTACACATCCTTCATATTTTTCAGCATGAAGTAGCGGTTACATCGAGGTGAGACTCACCTGACGTCGCATCGACGTTGGGGTATGGATTTTTCGTCTTGCCATGCTCTTTCAGCACGTCAGGAGCGACCTCGAAAGTCTAGAACTAATATTGAGCATCATAAACCGTGAGTTAATGTAAACCAAACCTTGTTCACAAGCTTGATGATAGGGCTTTCTCTGAGCTCAGGACGTGACTGGCAGAATTCCTGGAGGGCTATGAAACGGGGGTCTGGGTTTCTGAGCACTCCGTGCCCATAACTAAACCGTTTGATGAGAAAACATCACAATTGAACAGAATGAAGCTCTACCCCGGAACAACCTGACCACTCTTCAGTGTTTTCCACAAATAATCCTTGATATTTTCATGAGTGATGTTATCTCCAATCTCCTTCTGCATGGCAAGCTGCCATCGGAGAACCTCCTGATTTGCGAGGCTATTATTTCAAGTCAGGATCTCCTCCAAAATTTGTTGCATATTAATGAGCGACCAACCCGTGAAGAGGACCAGCCAACGCAAAAAGCGCAGCGGAATACGACAGATATGGATCCGATAGCGTCGAGCCAACCAAATCTGCCAAGAAAAGATTAATTCACAGATGATGAGAAGGATAACGCTACTTACGCGCGGTGTGTGCGGAGGCATTGCCTCCTTCGTGATCACCGTGAAGGGCAATGTAGAGTCGTAGATATTCAGTTAGGCTGTGGTTATTACCGTAGCCCAGCAGATTCGCGTAATTGCCTTAATAAATGAGCGACTAACCACAACACGGAAAGGTTGACAACGATTACCGACGAGGTCCAAGTTCTTGTCAATTGGAGCAAGTTGAGCATCAGGTTTGTACACATTGCGATAGATCCGAGCGGCAAGGGCCGGAAGGCGCGCAATAAGATTAATGCAGTCTTCAAGCGTATGCGTCCAGTATTCCTGCTTCTTCATTCCCTTCTCATAAGCCGCTTGGAATGAACTGTCGTGGTTCAGTGCGGCGACACCCATACCCAGTTGTGTCATGGGGTGGAGAGTCTTGGGAAGCCTACAAAGCTTTCGTCAAAAGAGTAGGATAACTTTTGAAGTAACATACGAATCGATAAGCTTCTCAACAAAGACCGGGAGTTCGCCTTTTTCGGCGAGTTCCTGGGATAATTGACGCGTTTGTTCAGGTGTGGGCACTTGTCCGGTTAGCAGCAACCATAGCATGCTTTCAGGGATGATTTCAGTTCCCCCTGGAGCAGCAGGAAGGACTTTTTGACAGTCTGGAATTGAAAGCCCGTGGAAGCGGATACCCTAAGATTATGGTCAGTGGCGGGGCACGCCACCCGTTTCAGTTAAGCTCACCTCAAGAGGGTCCAAGACCGACGCCTCCCACAGCATGGCCTTCAAACCTCGCATACCACCTATAATGTTTTCCACCTAAAGATAGTATACAATGAGCAGATCATATATACGGAGGGCAACTATATACCTTGACATCACCCACGACGGTTTGTCCATGTTCCGCTTTCTATATTAAATTAGTCAATGTTGATGTGGCGAAGGACAGCACACTTACGAGTTTCTTGAGCTGTTCCTGCTTCGCAGGTATCACGTCCTGTAAGGTTTCGCGCAATGACTGTTCCGAATGGTGAGGGATTGGCACATCCATGAGTGGGTGAGCCTGACCTTTGTCGAAGCGTAGCGCGTGGCGTTGGACGCGCCACGGAAGGAGTGTTTTGCAAAACTGGCTCTTGAAAGCATTCTTATTCGGAGGAAGCTCGGGGTGAGGAACGTATAACGTCGGGATCCGCTCAAGGGAACTGGTTAGCCTAAAGCTTCCAAGTCAAACAAGGGCACACAGACGGTCATTTCGCCAGCACGAACACGTCCACTCTTTTTTCCCATCCTCTTCATCATGGCCTCTGTGTTTGTCCCAGTGGCCTACGTTATCATTGTCTTTGGTGGCCTCTTCATTTTCAGCTACTTTTATAGGAAACACACATCAAGTATGTCCAGCGCACTCTCTCATTTTACCGCTGATTTCGCTGACGAGATGAACACAATCTGTAGCCCGAGTTTACGAACCCTATTTTCCTTCACATCCAGAACGCAATGCATACGTCACACTCCTTCAAATGACGGACCCGCCCGCCTCGGACGCGCTATTAAAGTCAGCTCTGGTTCGACGTGCCATGGCCGATGTTCAGCGTGTGTTGCGTATTCGTGAAGACAAGCCTGCGCTACAAAATTTGCTTCAGAAAGGTTCAGTGGGAGATGATCTGTGGAATAGTCTACTTGCCGCTGAGAAGGAACTGGAAGCTGAGATAGTGGAAGTCGTTGCAGAGGCAAATTCTTTTGTGGAAGGTTGGGGGCAGGTAATCTTCCCAACGGCGAACGAGATGCTGGCAAATGAGAAGATGCGCGCTGTGTTTGAGCGTACCAACGAGGTCAAGGCTGAAATAGGCATGTCGAGTTGTTACTGCTTAATATGGGGGGCTCTGACCGATGATCCAGAGGACAAATTTGAGCTCAGATCGAAGAGTTCTGCGTCACAGGCGCTACCATCAGCTGCAACCACAAAGCCCGGTAATGCACTTTCGCCCCCGCAACAGGGCACAGAAAGTATAGTGTCGAGCGACGGGGAGGGTAGTTCCAAACCTGTAAGTCGTATGCTGCAAACTGTTTGACCAGTATCTAAGGGGTTTATGCAGGGTAAAAAGATAAAAAAGCGGAAGTAGGTAGATTTTGTATATATACCCTTGTTACATATATTTGCTACCTTTTCCTGGGATGTTCCTTCAGCGCGATATTGAATTGACCAGTACGAATGATAACAAAAGAAATTTGAATATGACGTGAGATGTATCGAGGGATGCCTAAACTAAACTACACTTTGGGTGATCAGCCTCGGATAACGATTGACGTCTGTCCTGCCCCAGATCTTGTCTTTCCGGATTTATCAACATGGTCTAGCCCAAGAACGTCTTCTGGAGCGAATTGGTGGTCGTATATAGTATCGTCTGCAACGAACTGTGAATCGCCTGGTTCAGTGGATGAAGGGATCGATCAGCTCACCATCCTCAATGTAAGACGGTTGTTTGAATGTTGAAACCTGGATGAGCGCAAAACGATACTTGACTATATCTTTGTCGGAAACGCCTATTCGGGCTTGCAAACGCTTCTTCGTGTCAACAAATTTCTCACCCTGGTCAAGTCAGATACTAGCCGTAATTGTAATGGAAAGGCGTACCCGTTTTACAACAAACTTGAATGGAACGCCGTGTGTCCGTGACAGCTCCTTGGAGAAATGGAAAACCCCAATCACTTTGTCGGAATCATCTGCTTCGAGCTCCTCTCGAGGAATTTCCTACGATTTTGGAGTCAGAAGTTGGCATCGTTCACAGCATTTGTGCGCTCGACCACTTACCTCTGCGTACAGTTCAACTGGATCTGGAATGTTACCGATCATCTCAGAACCCGTAAACTCCTTCTGAGTCTTCCCATCCTTAGAAATCTCGAAGACGCGTATTTTTCCCGTTCCACCAGGAGTTAGGGTTACCTTTTTAGCGAGGTTATCGGCTAAATCGTGCACCATGCTTGTCTTCGGTAGAAGAAAAGGGATCGTAATTTCTTCCTTGTTGTGAATGCCCGTCCAGGTGACCTTGAGGCTGCGCTTCGTCTCGAGCTCAACAATGCTGACATCCAATTTCTCGTATAGTATCACGGTGGTGGTCGGGTTGATATAACTCGGCTGCATGATCTCAGCTATGCTTTGGTTCAGCGACCTCTTCAAAACAGATTTGGGGGAGCCGTTCGTTGCATGCGTCGTCGTGAAACGAAGTTTGATTGGATCATGTCTCAAGTATTCTCCCGCCTTGACTGACATCTTCACACAAGGACCGTCAGACTTTAACAACAACGGGTAGTAGTCAACGTACTATGTCGTAGTTTTGTTTCTTGCTCAAAACTAGATTGAACTCTGGATGATCATGACTCGGTTCTTCGACTTTTGGTCTGAAAATGATCATCACCCGATTCTGAAGGAAGTCGTAGTACTGAACAGGGTTGGGATACATCCCTTGGCTTTCAATGTCATGGATCCTACTAAAATCAGCGATGACAGAAAAGAGAAAGAAAGAAAAAACCTACTCTTTCTCCGGAAGATCGACTTGGAAACAAATGACATCCCCGTCCTGAATCTCACTTTGTGCGAAAGACATTTTGGGTTTCATCAGTTCAATCATCCCAGGTTTGATTTCCTACCGCAATACGTTGGTATTGGTAGAGGTACAGGCAAAAACCGCGTACCTCATAAAGCTTGATGGGTGTTCCTGGCGTCCACCGCATTCTCTCGTTTATGACCGGGACCAGGTCACCCACTTTGCTCGTCCTTGGCATACATACCTTTCCAGCGCCCAACAAGGATTGTTTCGATGTGTCAAAGTGCTTCAAAAATATCATTATTGATTGAGCAGGAGGATCAGGCTAGGGAAAATGCGATAGGTGAGTCAATCATTCTGATGCTTTTATGACCCACCTTGGATGGATCTGGAATGATATCAAGGTAGAGCCGAAGATCATTCTGCCTCGCCGCCATGTTGTTCCGGATCACCTCAACCGCTACACAAAATCAGGACGGATTATCACCTCCAGCAAAGGCAGCTTACTAAGGGTTGGTTCGTTTTCTGGTATATGTGTGTCTGGTCTGACAGTCTTGTTCTGTCTGTTGACTAATACCCATAAACGAATCTGGGTTTCGAGGAAGTTGAAATGCTGGGCGACGCGGCTCTTGAACGTGCTGTATGGCTCTTGTTTCAAAACCCGGAAACTAGGTAACTCTGAAGGGGGCCAGTTTTTCTCGTCAAAGGATGCAAGATCAAAGCCCTCGTGCCGCGCAAAAGTATCATCCGTAATGACCTATGCAGAATGAGATAGAACATCGTGCATAAAAACAGCTCACGAGCCTTGGCTGTCAAGAAAAGATGTTGCTCTTCCCGCTCTCGCTTCTTCGCCTCGATTTGCATGCGTTCTTCATCCAATCGCCGCTCTAAACGGATGTCAATGTTCCAGGATAAGTACGATCCAGGGACGCGACACGTACTTAGGTGGGGTGGGGTATCTTCCTCAGTGAATGGCGCCAACACTTCATTGATGGCTGACTCGCGAATGTATACTAACATGTATGCGTTGGTAAAGCGCTTCATTGTTCGACCTTGAGTGCGTTGGATAGCGGGCAGAATGCCATTGAGAGCTTCGCCACCGTAGTTCTCCTCGAGAACTTCTTTATCCGTGACAGGAGTGACTCGATCATCGTCGAACTTGAGCCATCTTGTCTCGCGATCGGGTTTTATAAGAGCAAAGTAATGGCCCCCGTGCAAATCTCCAGAATGGACGAGCACACCATGGAGCTTGTAAACCCATGGTTGTGATCGATCCGCACTGACGTCCAAAAACTCGTCCAGATCAATCTCAAAGGGGAATTCATGACGATCATTGATCTTGACCATGGCGTCACGCTGAACGTCATATTCAAAACGTTTGAGCTGAAGATGGAGAACTGGAGGGAATGATTCGAAGATGATGCCTTTCTTCGCATCTTGGAGGCCCAAACCTTCAGCTTGATATTTGTTCTCTCCATCCAGCATCTCAACAGCAACGTAGTCCTTGAAGGACTCGTAGAGATTCTTCATGCCCTTGACGTTGAGCTGTATATCTTAAGGGCGAGTGAGGCGTTGATCTTGACTATTGTCAATGCACTTACCATTGAACTCTTCAATTCGAGATGACTCGTAATCAACACCGACACACTTGATATAGCTCTTCATTTTCCCGACAAACAACTTTGCAATGGCGCCTTCGGCTTGGGTACCCTAATTGCACTTCACTGAGATATCTGTTGATGATTGGATATAGATCATTACCTTCATTTTAGACTCCAATTTATCCTGTAGCACACGGTTGAACTCTTGCACATCGTGTTGCAAGAAGGAATCCAGAGATTTCCAACCGAAAGATTTTGTTAGCTCCGTTGTTCCTAAAGTGGAGGGATTTTAGGACCAAGGAGCCTCACAAATGGGGTTGGATGTACTTACCGACAGGCTGGTCAGACGTCTGTAAATGATAAAATGCCCGTTGCAATGCTAAAGCAACGCTCTCTGTGGGGTGATCGTCCTCAGTTGGAATTTGATAGACAGCCTGTTATAAAATCAGAAGGCAAAGTTAAGCGTACTAGATTGACACTTCATACCCTGCGGAAATAGCGTGTACAATAGAGCGATTGGAGAAGTGAGTTCATGTAGCATGTAGCGCCTTGATTTTTCAGACCAACGCAACCCGTTTCTTTCTTTGAATCATAGCTGTATAAGGAACCAGGTTAGGCAATGATAGCGTATCCAGTGTGTGTGCTCACTTTACAAAATTATGCCATAGCACGCCGGTGGGGTCTTCTAACACTCGGACAAAAACGGTTATATCAGCAGCTTCGTCCTCAATAGTTGGTCGTGGTTGGTTTTCGTGGGGATTGAATAATTTGCGCAACTCGCTAAAGCGAGTAAATCCCCAGTCGCACTCCTCCGCAATGAAACGATGGTGAGCGTCTTCATAGAGACAGTTAATCTTGGTAAAAGCACTTCAAACCCTGTACGTACGGCTGACAGTGAAAATAGTTGGATCATGAACATTCGAAATGACGAGGGCAAATTGAGCACATGCATGCCATCCTTCCGGCGCCTTCTTTGGCTCCGCATAGTCGAGGTATACAGAAACTGTGTCATTGGGCGGTGCATTGGAATTTCCGAAAGGAAATAAGAGAATCCGCCTTGTAGAACTGTAAGTGAGGGAACAATGAGCCTGAGTTTGTCCCCACCATTTGTGACCGCCACATTCGAATTCAGGACTAGTTAGCTTCTTGTCCAATTTCTTCCAATTCTTCAAGGGCCATGTAAAAGATTTTTGATCCTTCACTTCGTGGCCAAGGTCAGGCATGTGCTTTGCGGCAAACGCTTCTTCTGAAAGAGGCGCACAGCATTAAGTTAGGACGGAAGAAATGGAGTCATAGGCCAAGTTCACCATCCCGCACGGAGACCACCTCGTCTACCTCCATCGAAGGGCCGCCGTTCTGTTTCTCATCGAGGACATCCATGGTATCGTTCTGAATTGCAGATGAGTGCATTAATAACTCTGTGAGATATCTACGCGCGGTGTCGCACTCACCATGTCAAGCCCACGGGCAGTGGCGGGTGGAATTAGCCTAGAGGTGATATCGTAGAAGAGATCTAAAAGGTGGGATTTGTCGAAGAGCAATGGGCAGTGTTATAACTTGTGCGAAGATGCGAGCGCCTTACAAAGTGGGAGCTTCGTTCGTCCGGCTGATGCCGGCGGCACCCTCCGCCCTGACTTATAAATTGAATAAATTCAGAAAATTCTTTTCAATGTCACCAATCTAAATGCCATCTACGTTTTTCATGAATTTCTCCTCGTTCTCTGCTTTAACATCCACACGATCCTTAAATTGTCTCGGCAGGGGGACTTTCTTGTCCCCAACAGCCTCTCAGCTGTTTCACTGCCGTGTAGTGAGTCAAAATCGTGTAATATCATGCTTGGGAAACGTGTGTCGTGCTGAGCTCGTTTTGAGGTCAGCGCGTTTGGGTTTTACTCTGCCACGGGAACCTTGTCGTAGCCACGCAGCAGAACGGTGTACGTTTTAGAGCGCATTGTTCGGTTTTTGCAATTCTGGCAGACATCTCTTCATTATTTAATACATGTTGTTCAATGAAAATTTGAAGATGGCATCATCTCCGATAAATTTAGCGAGTGCAGGCTGTCCTCCAGCCTCGATGTCAAGGTATGTATGTGAGTGGAGTGTGGATTTTCCATAAGCGGCAAGGTCCAACCTCCGTTCAACCTCATGTCGCTCCAAGCGTTGTCTTATTTCCTAATTCTCTTGATACCCTCACGGCCACGTTCAGTGCGCCCATTTTCAGTATACCCATTGCCACCCAATTCTCTGCATGAAAAGTCTCCTTTCACGTTTACATGATAGCCAGCCTGGCCCCTCGAAACCTGCCTCAAAGGATCACTACAAGTTCTGGCAGAAGACTGACACCGAACGCGATCGTCAGAAATCAGCCACAGCTAATAACGAAGTCGCAGTTCCACCTGCCGTCGCCACCTCACGTAGGCATGGCGAGAAACGCAGTTCTAGTCGACCACCAGATACCCCAAATGGTTCACCAAACCATCGTGCCACATCCACCAACCCAGGAACACGACCCACAGGCTATACAACAGATAGCCAAACGTATACTCGCCATGCCGCAATGGCTTCGACAGTGCAACCATCTCACCCCGATGCGTATACCTCAACCCGTACAAGAGCTTCTCGACATCCAGAGAAAGTTGAAAGGAAAGAGTATACATTTCGACGTACTGCTCCTACCCAAGACCATCCTCCCAACGAAGTCCATCGTTCTCGAAACGATCATGCTCCAACCACAATGCCCTCCAAACAGCCCGAAGTATCGCTCCCGCCGCAGCAGTCCCACACATCAAAACCGCACTACCAAGAAATAGAAAGGGTGAAACCAATGGAAGCATTGGACAGAAGACATCCTCAAGAGGAGAGAGAGCGGGAGAGAGGACTTCATAGGGAAAATCACAGAGAAAGAGATAGAGAGAGGGAACGGGAGAGTGGGAGAGAACGAAGAAGGGACAGAGAAGAGGGGAAATTCAAAAGCAAAGACAAGGACAAGGATCAAGAAGGGGAGCCAGGTAGACAGAGGGAGGAACACACGAAACAGGTGGATCGCGAGAGAGAGAGGAGAGAGATGGAGCGAGAGAGGGAAAGAAAAGAAAAGAGAGAGCGTGAAAGAGAGAGGGAAAGAGAAAAGGAGGTAGAGAGGGAGGAGGAGAGAAGAAAGGAGAGGGAGCGGAAGAGAGAGGCAGACAGAGAGGAGCGTGAGAGGGAGAGGCAGCGCGAGAAGGAGAAGCAGCGCGAGAGGCGAGACAGAGAACGCGAACGAGAGAGGGAACGTGAAAGGGAGTTGAAGGAACAACGTGAAAGAGAGCTCAAGGAACGCGAACGAGAGAGGGAACGTGAAAGGGAGTTGAAGGAACAGCGTGAAAGAGAGCTCAAGGAACGCGAACGAGAGAGAGAAAGGGACAGACAGCTGAAGGAACGCGAACAAGCGCGGGAACGCGAAAGGGAACTCAAGGAACGCGAACGAGAGCAGGAGCGTGAAAGGGAGAAGGAGCGTGAAAGAGAGCTCAAGGAACGCGAACGACAGAGAGCGCTCAAGGAACGCGAACAAGAACGGGAACGCGAAAGAGAACTGAAGGAACGCGAACTAGAGAAGGAGCGTGAAAGAGAGAAGGAGCGTGAAAGAGAGCTCAAGGAACGCGAACGACAGAGAGCGCTCAAGGAACGCGAACAAGAACGGGAACGCGAAAGAGAACTGAAGGAACGCGAACTAGAGAAGGAGCGTGAAAGAGAGAAGGAGCGTGAAAGAGAGCTCAAGGAACGCGAACGACAGAGAGAACGGGAAAGACAGCTCAAGGAACGCGAACAAGAGCGTGAACGCGAAAGAGAGTTGAAGGAACGCGAGCAAGAGAGAGAACGGGAAAAACAGTTCAAGCAACGGGAACAAGAGCGGGAACGCGAAAGACAGCTCAAGGAACGTGAGCAAGAGCGGGAACGCGAAAGGGAGTTGAAGGAACGCGAAAGGGAGAAGGCACGCGAACAAGAGCGGGAACGCGAAAAACAGCTCAAGGAACGTGAGCAAGAGCGGGAACGCGAAAGGGAGCTGAAGGAACGCGAAAGAGAGAAGGAGCGTGAAAGAGAAAAGGAGCGTGAAAGAGAGCTCAAGGAACGCGAACGAGAGAGAGAACGGGAAAGACAGCTCAAGGAACGCGAACAAGATAGAGAACGGGAAAAACAGCTCAAGGAACGTGAGCAAGAGCGGGAACGCGAAAGGGAGAAGGAACGCGAAAGGGAGAAGGAACGCGAAAGGGAGAAGGAACGCGAAAGGGAGAAGGAACGCGAAAGGGAGGAGGAACGCGAAAGAGAGCTCAAGGAACGTGAGCGGGAGAAGGAACGCGAAAGGGAGATGGAGCGCGAGAAGGAGAAAGAGCGAGAACGCGCCAGAGACAGAGACAGACGGAGGGAAAGGGAGGCAGAGCATGAATTCAAGAAGGCTAAAGTCAGGGATCAACCCCGCGACAGAGATAGAGCGGCTGGGCGAGACACACAAAGGCCAAGTCAAAGGAATACCGGAGTATTCCTTGAAGATGAGAAGGCGGCCGAGCGGCCGAGCAAGGATGAACGAAGGGCAGAAAGGGCATACTACCATAAGGACAGAGAAGACAGAGGTCGCGAAAACAAACCGACTGTCCTCGAATCCGGAGTTGAACACGATTCCCCCAATGCTAGGATCTACCGTGAAAATGATCGACCAAAGGGTACTGGCAAGGAGGGAGTGAGGGAGGATGACTTAGAACGCAATCTGAGAAGACCACTCAATCGTCATCCCGCCGAAGCAGTTCGCGACGAGGGTGATAGCTCCGATAGTTCCATAAAACCGGCAATTCGACCCTCACTCCCTGGCCACAGGCGCCACCGGACGGAGGAACGAGTCGCCAAGGTACTTGACGATCTATTTTTCTCGCCTTTCGTTAATATCTAGTACATTTACAAGATTCAGGAAACACACGTCGACACACCACACCTTCCGTTGCAGCCAAACGTAATCGATATCCGCCCTACACGTGTTCATCTTCCTCCCAAGGAGTTAAAAATGCACGATCGCACGGTCTCATTGCCCTCTGGCGTTCCAGGCGGAAACGTCACCAGTGATACAGAAGGCGCCCTACTTCGTGAAGCTGTACGTCGTTTTCTTCTCCTCCTATAGCCATGTGCGACATACGATACCTTTTTCACAGAGACATGAGAGGCAAGCCCAGGATCGACAAAACAATGCCATTTTGACCGGTAACGATATAGTATCGAAACCTAACGAAGTAAGCTTCTTGTCAATGGTGGCTTCAAAGTTTCAAAACATATTTACTATTCATTATCCAGCTTCATTCTCGACGCCCACCATCTCGTTATGATGCTCCTATCGGCTACCTCGTATCACCTCCCCTCCAGGTTTCCTCCTCCAGCACACCACTTGTGAAGTCCAGACGCGAGTCGCACGTGGTGAGGGTCTTTGATTCGTTGGAACTTTGATCATAATTGTAACCTGTCATTATAGCCCCTAGGCGTCACTCATAACCCCAGCGTGACCGCAATTCGGGGGCAAGTGTCCGAAAATCTTGCTCCAGTCGAGAACCACAAGTCATCAATCCGTATGCAAGATCACACCCCTCCGGGACGACCAGAGTTTCTTCGCCCACCAAACTCTTTCGGGCTACCCTCAACCTTTGAACCCGAACAATACGGTTCAAACAAACAGACAGCAACGCACCACTCGGATTTGCCTTCCACGTTTAACACGAACGCTGCAAACCAAGCAGATGTTCTGTCTACACACCTCAAGACCGATATTTCTTTGCAGGTGTCCTCGAACCAATCACCTGCTAATCATTTCCGCCAGGCGTCACGAAATGTCACAGCCGTGGACAGTACACCTACAACCACTCCGATGTATTTGGAGGCGAAGAAGACCACTCAACAGGTAGACGGATCGTCGATACCCCCTGGTTCATACTTGTCGCAAATGCTCCCCCGGTCTACAACACCAAAGCCCGAAAGTGCTCTACAGAAAGTACCCCTGACTCAACCATCAGTCGATCTTTTCAGCCCACCCCCTGTTGTGAATTATGGCGTACCAGCTCACCCTGAGTCAAATGGCACCTTGGGCATAGCGCGCTCCACGACGCAGAAGGCTGAATCCTCTCCCCATAACGTACTCTTACCTTATGGGTCGAGCGAGCGTCCAAGTCAGTCGACAGAGGATTTGTACCGGAACCCTGTCATCACAGCGACTGCGACTTACATGGAATCAAGAAAGATGGCTGCTCAGCATCCAGAGCCACCCTCATTCCCATCTACGAGTATTACACCGAACTTTGCAGGTACTCGACCCACACCACCAAAGGTTGAAAGCTCTCCGCAATTGTCTACGCCTCAATTTCGCTATCCTGGCCAATTGCCATCAACTACGTTGCATAGCATATCTTCTGCCCCGCGAACATATCCAGAACCGAAGGCGATAAGTCAGCTTTCGGATCAACCTCTCACGTTGCCTGGAACAAATGTTGCATCCAACCAAGCATATGCTTGGGCCACGCCACCGAAGCCCGAACGTTCTCCCCTGGCTTCAATTCAGCCATCAACAGACTACCCCAACCAAGTGCCGCGGAATGACCCGGAAGCAATTGTTCCACAACTTCAGCTGAATTCAAGGAGGATGAACGCTCAGCAGTCAGATTCCCCTTCAGCGTTCTCAATTACCATTTCGGCGCCCAATCAGACTGTGGCTCGTGCCACGCCGCTGAAAGCAGAAAATTCTCTTCCAAAGGAATCCCCAGTTCTGCCAACACCTGAACATCATCGCCCACCGCAAAAAAATGTGGCCGTTGCGCCAACTGAAGCTCATATACTGCCAGAGTTCAACACCGACATAATAAGTCCTCGTCTGAATCAAGGACTCGAGTCTGAACAAAAGCTGGGGCGGTCTTTGCGAGAAACGCCAGGGTACATAGCCACGGACCGTCAGGTCAACCTTTCGTCCGAGCGCGTACGAGCTCTTGTGGGCAAGGAAGAGATCACGCGAGCTGATAGGGTTTTACCCATAAACTCATCGAACGACCCGGACTATCGTGTACTAGCCGAACCAAATGGTGAAGACATGATTCAGGTACGTTTATAATGACTCAAGCAACCTTATAATTGCTAAGCTGTTGCAGGCACGACACAACCATGCAAATAACCCCCCAAATGTTAACATGCTTGGTATTGAGGAAATACCCGGCAATAAGCTCTGGACCACTGTGAAAGAGGCGGAGGAGTCAAAGGAGTCAATGTCGTCACAAAATCGAACTTCTGATCAGAAAACTCGAGAACATGGTAACACGGTGTTCAACAGCGACACTCGGAATAAGACAGGTGTCTCCGTCTCACAGCCTCCAACCTATACAGTGCCTAATTCTGGATCAGCATACCCGACACCCGTTACTCCTCCTTCAATAGGACTGCCGGATGGGTCAATGACTATCGACAACGGCGTGAAGCTGCCCTCCCTAGCTGGGAGACAAGGAAAAAAGCCCTACCCGAATTACTCGCCAAACTCAATCGCTCGTGGTCGAAGTGCCAACCAGAGTGGCTCAGGGGCAGGAAAGCACAATCTGGATTCTGAAAGACAAGGTACGTCCTTCACCTACACTGCAGAGTCGTCAGAGTGTATAACAGTAACACAGAAGATCGTGCTTCCCAGCCCGCCCAGGGGAGTGGACTTCCATCACAAGTTGCATTCTCTGCTTCCAAGTCCTCGATCGTTGCCATGGAACCTGACATTCGAGGAGCAGAAGATAAAGTTCACGCAGCTCGTGTCCATCCTAATTTTGGGACTGCACCACCTCAATTGGCGCCTGGTTGGAGCCAGATGAGTATCGAAACGCAACCCCATGCTACCCCTTCCATGTCCAAAAGTTCCTCTACTTCTCCAAACCACCCAAGCGGGGAAGGCTTATCCCGTGCGCCACAGCCCACGCATCAGGGATCTTTTGAAGTTCCAAAGTCATTTACAACTCCCAAAATTGTTCCCATCATCTTGAATAACTCAAAGCCCCAAGACATTTTAGCCCTTAGCAGCAATATTGGTCAGAAAGACGCACATAATCAAGCCGCTGTTTTCAACTCAAATCTAAAATCCGTACAATCTTCAAAAGAATATTCAAAGCCAACGTCATTTCCATCCACAATCCCTCTCGATCCTCAAGGCGCGGGGATTGTGGCGCAAAGTTTGCAGCATGACAAGGCAAAGGATGCTGAAAACCAAGTTAAACCCTACTCAGCTGATCCTGCCTCCTCCAAATTGAACCACGATTCCAACCCGATGCCTTCACAACAAGTCGCTTCTTCCCTGCACCCATCAACCTCCCATCCGATCCAGCCACCACTCATCCACCATCCTAAATTAGCAGAAATCCTTTCATCCCCTCCTCCCATACACAGAAGCATGACGCCTGCAAGGGTGCACGACAATGCTCCCGGTAGCGCTGCCGCAGCTCCTTTTCCGGGTGTCATGGATATTTCGCGTTCATCTCCGTCTGCTCCTGTCCACGTACTTACGTCGAAGGCCCACGGCTCCCCTTCAGACCGAGTGCGCACCACCCCACTCGTTTCTCGCGATGCTGCCACACCCAAGCATTCCCCTTCGCGTAGGCAAACCCTCGATCCCTTGTTGAACGAGCAGACACTATCACAACCGATGCCTCATTCCACTCCCGGTCCGACGTCCAACTTGTCAGCTGCCACCACTTCCTTGGCCAGATTCGCGGCCCCTGTTGTCTCTCTTTCAAGCGACTCACGGCTGCCAGACGTGATGCCCACATCGCATGGCGCCCCAGGTTCACATCGCCTACAAACCCGAAACCTGCCATCTAGAGTAGCATCAAACGTAGTGGACACAACATCTTCCTATAATGATCAAAAATATACGCAGGCTCAAGCACCCATCGAAACAGCACCTAAGTTACGCCCTCCAGCTATTCACGAGATCCATTCGGTCACAAATTATCATAATCCTCCCGGAAGGAAACTAAGCGGAACAATGCAGGCCAATTCGAATGATCAGACTATCCATCGAAACCGGCCGAGCGGCGCTGGTGTACCACCACCAATATCGACGTCTTCTGTTTATCCACAACCAGACATAGCTGGTTCTCAAACTACCTTTCCGACATTCTCTAGCACAACAGCTCTTCGACATAAACAATCTGCATCTTTACCGTCTAATATGCCACCTCATTTATCTCAGTCACAAACCACCCATCGAGTACATCAAACACCCCAAATTTCAGGACGGAGTATATCAACGAATCCATATCGTTCACGAGAGCTTGCGGCGTCAGAGGAGACCATCCTCATGACCCCGTCATCACTCGCGCCGTCGATGCTTAAACCTACCGTTTCACGTTCCTCAATCACCCCTGCTACTATTTCCCAGCAAGACTCACGCAAACGGGGTAAAATGGTCGATATGTTTCTGCCAAAAAAACCTCAAGAACCCCAGCCAGTGTACGAGGTCTGGCACCCGCCTTCGTCAAGGGCTGCTGACCGCGTTAAGGCGCCTACTTCTGTTGAGAATCTGACGCAAACGAATCCAAGCACCAAAGTGGCAGCTTCGTTGTCATCATCCAGGGTGAACGTCCCTCCACCCATCTCCATTCCTACCGCCCCACAGCCAATTCAAAGACGCAAGAGTCCAAATTCCAAGGTCTTTACGCCGTTTCGTTACTTAACGTCAAAGCGAAATAGATCAATGTCGTTGTTGTCGCTGGAAGCCCAGGATGGCACAGCGGTGCGTGTTTCGATTTTCATCAATCCAAGCGATGCTGATTCACTTCTTCTAGCCCAGCACCGTCGTGGGTTCTCCTACGGCATCTATGCATAGTCAGGCACCTATACAGCCTCCACCTTTGCGAGACCCGATTAAGGCCACTCAAGAGTGGAGAAACCGTGAAGAAGCCGAGGTATTATCCCGGGCCAATTACAGACGGCAGCGACCGGGTGTGGTATTCGATGTAAAAGAGGAACCGTCGCAAGATAAGCAGCGCCCTAAACGCCGCACACGGACCCCCAGAGTTACTGGGGACGAACGTCGTCGATGAACACCCATCCCGACCATGACTAGACTATGACACTCCTATATTGCTGAACAACCATTGGTACCCCCACTGTATCAATAACCTAAATGTATATCTATCATACCTTATGTATTCCAAACGACTTAGAGAGGCTTATTATAATTGCATAACTGTAGACCGTTGAAAAAAATTATTTGTTTGCACAAAACAGCCACAATAGATAGAGAAACCCTTGAGGAACCCCGCCTTTATGTGGGGCGGCGCCTCAAGTTGGAGCAGCCTAATGTCGGAGATTTAATTCTTTCGTCACAACCAGCTGAGATTGGGACGGCATTGAATCGGCGTTCTAACCGGTGCTAACTGTTGAAAGTTGCCCATTTTTCTGTTTTTTAGCCCAAAATTGGCTACAATCGTGCAACAATCGCGTCACAAGCTCCGTTGCAACCAGTTGCCACCCTGGATGGGACCAAAATTGTGACTAAAAACTCTTTGGTTGGTTCTGTTTATAACGGCCATTTTGATAGGAACGTCCACAACAAGTTAGAACCGGTTGTGATGCCTAATTAGAAAACTCCGACACTCCTGCACCCTGTGACATTTTGTCACGGTAACTGTGTGACAAAGCGTGTCTGTGACAATCTCGACCTTTCTTTCAGTACCGCGTCATGTTCAAAGGCGGAGAAAAGAAATTTACTCTCAATGATTCTGGCTCACCTCACGTCGGACAGCACGGTTTTCTTAAATACCCCACTAGACTCAATTTGTGTGTGCTTTTCAAACTCCAGGCATCTGATCAGCATAACTGATGAAGGCTTGCTTTAGTTACGACGATGCACCTTTGTTCGACATTTCGATAGAGGAGTTTGAGACCGCTGCAATAGATCGCCTGCGTATTCTTGCGGAAATAGAGTCATCTGCAGCGCGCAATCGAACATGGGAAGAGCTCAAGACCGTCACTAACGCTCAATGCGTGAAATATCTGCCTTTGAACTCAAATACAGCAAAGAACAATGATATAGAGTCTGAGCGGAGAAAGGATCACCTGGGGCATTTTATACTGAGGCTTGCGTTTTGTCGTTCGTATGTGGTCCTAGTAACCCCGTCTCTGACCTCCTTCAATGATGAATTTTAAAGAGAAGACCTCCGGCGGCGTTTCATCAAGGCTGAGACTACATTGTTCAAAGTGCGCTATGAAGGGGATGTATTTTCCGAGCGCGAACAGTTTCTTAGCTCGCGAGATTTCAATTGGGTGCCGGTCCGTACAACTGAACTCAGACGCGTAACTTTAGTTCAACTTACTACGGTTCTTCAAGGTAACAAAAGCGGAGAAACAAGAACATTGGAACGAGCTTCTCTCTTCATACTATGGTTCGAAGATTGAAGCGGAAAGGAAGAAGGCTTTCGAATCAGAGAAATATTATAAGGTCTGGGAGTTGTCTGTTTTTCTTCTTTTTCTTTGCCGTGACGAAAGATGTCATATCAGGTCAAATGGACTCGAGTACCCGACCTGGTGGAGAAAAGAAGAGTGTTTCTTGCAGGAGGATGGGCATTCGTACCTGGTCGAGAGCAATCAAGCATCATATATCATGAATTTGAAGTCCATATCGAAAAGGCTCTCGAGGTACGTTCCATTTCATCAGAAATCTGAGTTTTAGAAGTTCGTTCAGCTTTTACAAGATGACAGCGAGGATGTTGCCCCGGCTTGACGAAGATACACGCCTTATGCCAATCCTCGACAATCTTTCGCAAGGGTTTTTAGCGGGTATCTCTTCAGAATGGTCCAATCCTGCTGGAGAGAACCCAGACGAGCTCAAAGCCGAGATGATCGATGATTTGTCCAAGAAGCATTTCCCAATGTGTATGAAGACGCTCCATGATAACCTGATGAGAGATAACCATCTCAAACACTTTGGACGTCTACAGTATGGTTTGTTCTTGAAAGTGCGCGATTATGCAAATGAAGCAGTGTAGAACACTGAATGAATTTTCTAGGTGCTTGGCCTTCCGATCGAAGAGGCGATCGTGTTTTGGCGAAAATCGTTCAGCAGAATGACCGATGACAAATTTAACAAGGAACACAAGTACAATATTCGACATTCATATGGGCTCGAGGGCAAACGTGCGAACTACCCCGCAAAGAGGTACGTATTTGTTTCTTATCTAAGAGTTTGAACTGAAAGCATCGTCAGCTGTTTACAAATTCTAACCCCTGGGCCTTCGGATCATGGGTGCCCTTACCGCCATTACTCAGCAGAAAACCTACAATCAGCCCTCCTTTCGACGTACTCGCAGAGCGGGCTGACCTCGGCAGACCTTCCTGAAATCATGGCCCAAGTGAAAGCAGGCCATTTTCACGTTGCATGTACACGAGTCTTTGAGATAACGCACTCGTTCCGTGGAGTCAAGAAAGGGGAGGGAATAGGAGGTGGAGAGAGTGTAACGCATCCAAACCAATATGCGGCCAGGAGCATGGAGTTGGATAAGCCTCAGGTTGAAGGAGATGCGATGGTAATTGAGGCTTAGAATGAATAAACAAGTTGTAAAAGAGATCTGCTCAGGTAATGTAATATCTTCTCATCTCTTTTAAATGCTTCAGGGAGGTGTGGGTGCCTCTCAACTGCTTCTCGATGTCAACTTTCCAACTTTTCTTCAATTCCTCCCTCGCGTAGCAGGTAGATAGAGCGTTACTAGATGTTTGAAGAATTTGCATATGGCCAAATTTCGTCATTCGTGAAATTCGTAAATTGTGGCATTGAAGCAGGAGTGTGGAAAACAATATTAGTGGCACGTGGTCAATTAGTATCATCTCCTTCCACGCGCCATGTCCGCGTCTCCACACGACGTTGAGCGTCTTTTTCTCCAAGCTGTACTGTCTAGAGGTGCACTTTCTGGGAATTTGGCTCAAACTCTATGGGAAAAGAGCGTGGAAATCGTCAATGGCAAGCTTTTCAAGTTTCATTGGCAACTTTTTTTTAACCCTTGTTCATAGCCTCTAGTGACGCGCCCAATATCCAGCATTCAAAGGAAAGGGCTGCTTGGGATGAGTTTGTTTCCAAGATTAACAAGTCTCTGGACAAACTTCAACTTGAGTTCCGTCATCTTCACGACGAGGATACTGGCAAGGAGATTTATGCTTTAGTACGGGGTATATCGTTATTCATTATTCATTACATTGACTTTGAGACCTACAGGTCAATCGAATGGGCGACGAGATTGCTCAAATGGCGACGGAGTACACCCCCGCAGAAATTGCGTTTTTCAAGGCTGTAGTCAGTGAAGTTCGTGACTCTTTAACAATATTTTCTGAACATCCGTTTCTCTTGATAGGTCGAACAAATTATGTTAGCACCCAGGGAATCTTTTTCGGTTTCATCTCTTGCAGCGCTCCGCGAATTGAGCGCCATCAAGCCCAAGTCGAACATGACCAAGACTCAGGCAGAGGTGGTCTTGAGCAGCTTTGTCGCAAAGGGTTGGCTTTTAAAGAGCAAGTTCGTGGTCCCTTGTCTTGTGCTGTTTTGTTCCATGATTTTGACCATCTTTCAGACGAGGCCGTTATTCTCTCTCGACTCGTTCTTTGCTCGAGTTGCTCCCTTACCTCAAATCAACATACCCAGAAGAGATTGTAGAATGTACAATTTGCATGGAGGTAATATTTCTGGGGTCATCCGTCATATACATTCTCATCTTTCGCAGATAATAACTCGCGGAGTGGCATGCTTCACGGCCAATTGCAAGACTCGGCTGCATTATCACTGCTTTGCTACATATCGGCGTAGGCAACATTCTTGCCCATCTTGCAGCAAAGAATGGCCAAGAGAAGCAAAGGAAAAACCGCTAGTTCCTGTTGGTGAGGATGCTGCAAAGGATGGCGATGACGGGAAACGCCGAGTACGATTGAGAAGCGCAGAGCCTTCTGACGATGAAGAGGATACTGTTGATGAGGATGAACAGCCGTCGCAATCACAAGCCCCCTCAGGGTCGAAAAACAAACGCCGTCCGAGTCGAAAGACTAAACCGCAACCTGATGAAAGCATGGACATTGATGAAGATGAGGCCGATGCAACCCCTCCTCAGAGAAACCGTCGGGGAGCAAAGCGTTAAGAATTGCTAGTGATGTGCCTCGTAATACCATTTAATGTTCCTCTGAATCGAATGACCATTGAGATATAATGCAATTATCGCGTGTTTGGAGGCACAGGTGGGGAAGTTTCAACTTGACCACTGACTTTACCCACCTCGACCTTCTCATCTACGAATCCAAACCGACCCTTACCCCAAACCTGGCGCTTCTTCCTGTCTCGTCTTCCTTCTCCAAACTCTTCATCCCATTTTCGTAGCTCCGCAAGACTGCCGAGGGATTCAGAAGACGATGGCGTGATTTCTTTCAGTGCCTTCGTGAAGTTACGCAAATGGAGAATACGGGGGTGGTACTGGGAGTTCGCAACGCTCAAATCGTCCTCCACAGTTGGGGTAGACTCAGTCGGACTTTCTGCGCTAAGGGATTCGTCGACCGATGCAGAAGAGGGGGCTGGTAGGTCTTGTGGAGTCGATGAAAGGGGCAACACATCAGGCTTTGAGGACGACGACCATGGAAGGTCTACATTCTCCTTGACGGAATCGAGTGCTGCCGAAACACAGAGGTCTGAAGGAAAGTTGGAATAAAAAAGTTCACTATTTCGTTTGGAACTCACGCTTAAGATCTGAACCGGAGAAGGATTCCGTCTTCTTGGCGAGCGATTGGACATCGATATCTCCCGCTAGAGATTCATCGCGAAGAAGGATTTTGAGAATTTCTAATGAAGAGGTTGTAAAAGATGTTTTGTCGACGTTCCACAAGAAAAGTTCGCACCTTCTCTTTCCTTTTCGCCAGGGAGATCGACTAATAATCGACGTGGCAAGCGGCGGAGTACTGCATCGTCCAAGTCAAAAGGTCGGTTCGTGGCGCCGATAACAATGACGCTGTCATCTCGAGAGGATTTAAGACCATCCATTTCCTGCATGAATTCGGTGATGACGCCTCTATGAGCGATGGCACCACCACTTTCACGAGCAGACATACGTGCGCCGAACAGAGCGTCGATCTCGTCCAGGAAAACGACACAAGGTGACAGACGACGGGCAAGAGAAAACACGGCCCTAACCAGTTTTTCGCCTTCACCCACGTACTGGTTAAACTACATCAGGACAGTCGTATGAAGAATAAGGAAATAATTCACCATATCCATAACATCAGAGGGAGAAATCGTGATCATCCGACAACCAGCCTCCTTTGCTAGAGCACGGACAACCAAAGTCTTACCTGTCCCCGGGGGGCCGAATAGAAGGCATCCTGTCATACCATGCTCCTTGAGAATGCCTTGCTCAAATGCTCGAGGGTGAAGGAGGGGCAGGGACACAATAGTGCGAACAGAGTCGATGGTATGAGATGGTAAATGCACCTGGCTGAATGATGTTGACATAGAAGCTACTTGATGAATCAGCGCAACAAAATCTGCAACGGGAGAAGGGACGAACCTGAATCAACAATACAAGGTAGCAGCCTCTGTTCATATGTGTCAAGTTCAGTGTCATTTTTAACCCGCTCCGTGACCGGGTCAGTCCCACTCTTCGTGTCGGCCTCATCCTCGGCTTCCTCTTGTATCGACTTGGTCAAAGAGGAGTCCTTGGTCCAAAGCTTGCGTTTATCCTGGACAGATCTATTGGCAATCCATGCCATATTCACAGCAGACCACGGAACGACCGTCGAATCTAGTGTCACTTTCTCTACCTTGAACCCAGCTGCGCGAGCTGACATGACATTTCCGACGGCGCGATCGGCGATTTTGCGGACATTCCTCCATACTTCTATTTTGCTTCCCCATCGGTCCCACATTCGCTCGGGCTCGTCTGCAGATGGCTCTTTGTTTGAAGGGAGATTGCCTAATACCAAAGCTGCGCTTGTGCTTTCAATTGAACCACCTACAGCACCAACTCCCATACGCATGCTCAACTCGTTTATCTCCCTTCGGCGCTGAATACGAGTCTCGCGCTCTTGTGAAGGCGACCGAGTGTTTGGAACCAGAACCGATTCCCGGAAGAAAGGCAGTATAGCTTCAGGTCCAGCACTACCACTGGCAACTGCAGTCCCCCCACTTAATAGCGACGGCGGAGGCATTCCATTGCCACCAATCACAATGACTTCGGGCCTGTGCGAGCCACCAACGTCACCCTCTGGAGTTGGGAATAACCTCGGAAACTCTTCATGCAAGATTAAATTCCCTTTCTCCCACTTTTTCAGCCGATTTCGAAGGCGCCCTTCTCTGGCCTTCTCCGCAGCTTCACCTTCACTCCAATCTGAATTATGATGTTTTGAAGGGGATGACACCTGAGAAGAGGTCGCGCCACGGCTCATGAGAAGACTCAGTAAGCCGCTGCTGGGTCCTGAACTGCTGCTATGAATTGGAGGGGTCAATGGGGGTGTCATCCCAAATATAATAGTCATGGGGTTGGGAACGGCAGAGGATGGCCTCGATATAGGGCCTCGACGTCGCTGCTGCACAGAAGAAAGAAGATGAGGGTACCAAACAGATGAAGAGGGTCCAAGCGTCGGGAAGTCACGAATGTAAACTATCCTAGGTCGATTGCGAGCTAAGGATGACGAGTCCTCGTCCGTATCTGGATTTGGAGACGGTGTGTTTATGACGGCGTCAAAGAAAACCTTGGCTTTGCTCGGAATTGCGTTTCGACGCGGGCTTGACGCCAGTAGAGCCCGACCTTGGCTGGACGAAGGTGCCAATAAAGTCAAAGTCATTTGCTGGGGCGGCGAAAACTCAAAATCCTCGTCCGAATCATTTTCATCTTCTGTCATGCTTGAATTACGATTAGACGGAGGAGAAGGTGATGTCGACGGAAAATGCAAGGGGTTTTTCGGTAGTTGCAGGCAATTTGCCGCTGTTGGAAGGATATAATAAGATGCATTAAGTTTAAAATAAAAACTCACCCCTTCCGAATTGCCCCCATTCACCAGCTGCAAGTTGAACTGAATCGAGGACTAAAACTTCAGCTCCAGTGTGGCGTGCCAATTCTCTGACAGTTGCGTCAATCACGTAATCCCCGCCCTCTATAGGGCAGAAAAGGCCAAGAGTTGGTTCAATAGATCCTCCCGCCGCAGTTGCATATGTTGCTCGGTGCTGATTTTGAGGGTGAAGCGTGATGAGAAGATTGTTCAAAGCTTCCTCAAAGACGTCGGCAGGAAGTGTGGCGGGATCGTCGCTACATGCCTCTCGCACGACATCAGGTAGCCATAGAATGTCAAGTCCCTCCGGGAGTTCAAGAGCTTCTGAGTCTTTGCTCAGCGATGAAGTAACTTTAGCCCGACGCGACTTAGGCTTGTCGATTTCCTCCGGCGATGTAATTTCTACGCTCTCGGTAGGCTCTTTAGAGTTATCGACAGATTCTGGTAATGAGCTAAAGGAGTCGTCTTGCGAAGGCGGTACGGTTGACGATACGAAGCGACTTGAAAAGACACTGAGGGGATCAAGTCGCGGTCGTTTGTTTCGTGGTAGGCGTGAATAATCTGTACAAGAAAAGAGGGCGCGGCGAGGGAGAATGGGTGCGGCAAGCAACAATTGGGACTTGCGAAGGAGCGTTTGCGACCGCATTCAAGAGAGCGTTGGCGTCAAGTTAATGTGCAAGCGTTTCTGAGAAAAATGGTTTGTCACGTGGCATGATGGAGTGAATTACAAGTAACGCCGAGGTAAAGTAGAGCAGAGAATATATACTTAAATAGCATCTAACTTTTCGCAGCATCCCCAGCTGCTTTACTTTGCCGTGCCATCTCCCTTTCCGCCAAGTCTACCCCGACTAAAATCTTGGAAGCTTTCCACAATTGTACCAGGTTGATGATATTTTTAGTCACGCAGATCGGCATGCTGCACAGCGCCATGAGCTGCGCATATGTAAACCCAGCAAACCATCCAGTTAAACCGATGGGCGTGGTCGACCATTTCATGAGGTACAACGAAACAAAGAATAGCTCATTGCCCGCGCAGATGAAAAACAGCGTTCGCTTCGCGTTGCCCAAGGATCATTAAGTACGTCGCGGAACCTATAAAGAAGGCTGATACTCACAGAGTCGTTATAGTATAGCCAGAGAATACGACTAACATCGCTTGTTACTAACTTATGACTTCTCGATCCAGTGACCAATGAACTAATGGACACGTCAAGGATGGAGACGGACAAGAGAACGAGGTAACGAACCTATACATGTGCATGTAGTGACTGCTAAAGTCTAGTGCAATGAGGAACTGGAAAAGAATCGCGTAGGCTGGATAAACAGAAGCCAGATAACACAACAAGCATGATGTAGTGCAGCTGTTCCTCGTACATTAGTGACAATCTGCACCAAGGCAATCGCAAACACGCACCGATCCGTCACCATGTCCAATACAGCTCCAAATTTCGACGTCTGTTGAAGAGCACGAGCAGCCTGCCCATCGACCGCGTCAAGCAAACAAGAAACAACGTATGCCCATGTGCAGTATTTGGGATGGTAGCTCATAAAGTGTAACGACAGTCCGGCAAGGAGAACACGAGCATACCCTAGAGAGTCCCGTCAGCTTTGTTGCCAACGCCTGGAGCGTGACGCAGACATACCAATGAGATTCGGCACAAATAAGAAGACGTTCTCTGAGTAAGTTTGAGCCGTAGCCAGGTCAACAGCTTGCTTCGCATCGACTAGTTCGATGGAAGCTCTTCGCCGCCGTGCCTTGGTCATAGGAGACGCAAGAAAGTAGAAAATCAAGGAATCCACGTCAAGGTCTCAAAAGATCTGTCCTTGCCGCTGACTAAGCGCAATCACATTGATGACGTACAAGTCAATATGTAAATTAGAAATATAATATAATAATGTACATAATTACTTTCTGGTACCAAAAACGATGCCCAACACAAGCGCAAGGACACATACTACGAAAAGAAAAATAAAGAAACATATCCAACGACCCTTACGATACGATCGTGCTGGTCAGGATATCAGAATCGTGACTTGCATCAAATGAACGAACTCACCATGAACAACTGCCTGACCCGTATGTTGAAGGCTGCGAAAAGGTAAGATGGATGGATCAAGATTCAACTGCAGACGTACGCTTTCTCCGTGTTAGCCTCTACGTCTCTAGCCGTATCCTCTACAGCTGTGATGACGGCCTCTTGCTGTTCAATGAGGGTTCCCATCTAAATTTCACAGGGAAGTTGGGAGTGGCATAACAGCTAAACATCAACTTACGTCATTAAAAAGTTGGGCTAATTCGGCTAGTGTTTGTTCCATCTTGCGGAGATCTTCCTGTCTTCCTTGAACTTCTCGGTAAGCAGCTCTTGACTCGCCATAGCGAGTTGAAGTTGTCAACTAAAAGCTGTGAGGTCATTATGACAACCATGACATCAGGAAATAAGCCTTACAGCCTGTGCAAATATTTGTTCACCCCCTCCCTCGAACGCAGCGGCGACTTCCTCGGGCGTTGCATCGGGTTTCACTTTGAAGATATTTGTTAGGCAAGAACAGAAGTAAAAATGTAGAGATGAAGCTGACCGATCTTGAGCTGCCGTTCAACTCTCTGTCGTGATTTGGCTCGATTCTCCTTCTCAATCAATTGATAATTCTGTATTGCCTCCATGAATTTTGATTGGAGTAGCGCTATCTACACCATCATCAATTTCAGTCTGAGAAAAGAAACACTGCACGATGCGTACTCGAGTCCTTCTCAATTCCGCATCCTGTTCTTGTGGCTGCTGAGCCAACCGCTGAATGCGCTCCCTCAGATCCTGACTCAAAGTGCGATTTTCTTCAGCCAGAGAATCCAGCTGTTCACTCTCTTCCGCGTTCGGTTCATTTAACATCTGAGAGCGTAATATCGATATCCTTGAAACATTCTCATTATAATGCCGTATGCCCTCTTGTATATTAGTGGCCTGTTCGTTGCAATAAGCAATGTGAGAGGATCGAAGAACTCGATATTCCTACCTCTGATAAAAATGGGGACGAGGACCCTCCTGCGTTTGCAGGACCGGTAGTAGCGAGATTTGACATCTCCATCGTTTGTGCGCGACGAGCCTGCATGTCTGTCAAATTGAGTCGTTCTGGTTGGAGAAATGAGGCTGACCCTTGCTGCAGCTAGGCGATCCCTCGACATTCTGAAGACGCGACGTGTGATACAAGTAGAGCTAGTGCCTCAGGAAACAGCAAAGCAGAACCATGAACATCATTCAAATTATACGAAACTCGCGTAAACTGCGGCCCAGCGTGAGAATGTCTAGCCCGATATGGACGGGAAAAATGCGCTCACAGCGAATAGCATTGTACAGCCAATTTGAGATCGACTCAAGATAAAGATCGAGGTATAATCTCTTTCCCGAAAGTACGTTGGAGGGTGGAGGCAGGTGGCAGGGGCGGTAATTGGGGACGGTTGCTATGACCTACAATCTAATCTCTCATATGATCAGACGGAGTCACCACATAAATCTAATACCGACAGCTCGGGTTGGTTTCGGGAATAAAACTTTCTTGTCGTCTCCCCTTGAACGCGAACTATGTGCGGAATATTGGCTGTTCATGGCCTAGAAAAACCTTCCACCGACAGAGCCCACTTCATCGCCCTGTCTAAAAGACTTCGCCACCGTGGCCCCGATTGGTCTGGCTGCTATGTGGGCAAGAACAGCATTCTAGTCCATGAGCGCCTTGCGATTGTCGGCGTTGGTGAGTTTTTAATTTTTACGAAGTTCATCACTTATTGCCAATCAGATACCGGTGCTCAGCCGTTAATTAGCGAAGACGGTAAAATTATACTTGCAGTGAATGGAGAGATCTACAACCACATCGCGCTCCGAGCGACCGTTGGTCCAGATGTAAAGTTCAAAACGAACTCCGATTGCGAGGTCATTATCCCACTGGTGAGCACTTTCTTCAGTCTCCTCCAAAAATGCCTCCTGAATCGCGTTAGTACCAACAACACGGTACGGAACTATGCGGACATCTGGATGGAATGTTCTCATTTGTCCTCCTCGATGAGTCTGTTTCACCGTCCCGCATTATTGCTGCGCGAGACCCTATCGGCATAACGACATTATACCAAGGCTGGAGCTCAAAGCGACCAGGCTCTGTTTACTTCGCGTCTGAATTGAAGGCGTTGGTTGATGAGTGCGATCGCATCATTTCCTTCCCTCCCGGTCACGTATACGACAGCAAATATGATTCCACAACACGTTACTACCAGCCGACCTGGTGGGACGGCGATGCCCAAGGCCCAGATTTCACCATTCCTACCACACCCGCCAACTTGACATCGATCCGCGAGGCCCTGGAAGAAGCAGTACGAAAAAGGCTTATGTCGGAGGTTCCATACGGTGTTTTGCTTAGTGGTGGCCTCGATAGTAGTTTGATTGCGGCCATAGCCGCGAGAGAAACGGAAAAGGTGGCACAGGCCCAATACGAGGTGCGGAGGAGAAAGCTTCAAGAATATTCTAATGGGCCACCGAGTCCGACGGCAGGACAATTCGCTGAGCAAGGTTGGTATTCGATGAATTTGGTGGTCTTCCCTTCGTTGATGCGCCTCTGAAGCAATGCTGGCTGCCTGGCCACATCTGCACTCGTTCTCCATCGGACTTGAGAACTCCCCTGATCTTCTAGCGGCCAGGAAGGCAGCGCATTTCCTTGGAACAGTGCATCACGAGTATGTTTTTACAGTTCAAGAGGGTATAGATGCCATTCCCGAAGTAATTTATCACCTCGAGACCTACGATGTCACCACCGTCCGAGCCAGCACACCCATGTATCTCCTGAGTCGAAAAATCAAGGCTATGGGTGTCAAAATGGTTTTGAGTGGAGAAGGAAGCGACGAGATTTTTGGAGGTAAGCACCGCAACTCTCCGTGATCAGGAACCAACGATGACGATTGTCGGAAAGGCTATCTTTACTTCCACGCTGCTCCCGATGAAAACTCGTTCCACCAAGAATGTGTGCGACGCGTCAAAAACTTGCACACTGCTGACTGCTTAAGAGCGAACAAGTAAATACACAAGTGTTCAAAGTACAGATGTGAGGCTGAAGCAGGTTTTTTTTAGATCCACAATGGCCTGGGGGCTGGAGGCACGCGTGCCTTTTCTCGATAAAGCTTTTCTTGAAGTCGCAATGAACATTGCTCCAAAAGGAAAAATGTTCCATAAAGGAGCTCAGCAGGAGGTGGACGAAGACGGATGCCCCAAGATGGAGAAGGTGGGATGTTCTTTCATTCCCCTCCTTATCTCGTGGACTAACGGCTGGCGCAGTATCTCCTTAGAAAAGCATTTGATCTTTCCCCCGACGGCAAGGTGAGCCTTTTAAAAAGTTCGTTGACCACTTGCCACAGCTTACCATCCGTTGTTGTTAGCCTTACCTACCACAATCAATTCTCTGGCGTCAAAAGGAACAATTTTCTGATGGCGTTGGCTATTCTTGGATCGACGGGTATGATACACATCTTACCAAAGTTTTTCAATGACATCACTCGTTTTATTAGGATCAAGAACTATGCAGCTGAAGTTGTTAGCGACGAAGCATTTGCAAAACGGGCGGAAAAATGGACAACGGATGTCCCCGATACTAAAGAAGCGTACTTCATTCGTGATATCTTCGACGGTAAGTTTCACCAACCTTCGGGGTAAACATGGGACCCACTTACTGTGCTTTCAGGATTATTCCCATCAGAAGCTGCGGCCAAGACAGCCGTTCGGTATGTTTATTAACTAAATATCTATGGTTGCGTTCATTAAACCTGGACTTCACAGCTGGATTCCTCGTGGCGACTGGGGATGTGCATCGGATCCCAGCGGCCGAAGTGTCAGCATACACAATGCGGCATACGAAACAGATTGATTAAGAGATCCGGGACAAAGAGTGATGATAGTACAATTTGAATCTATAGGGACTAAGGTATGCAGAAGTGAATAGACAGATAAAAGACCATTCATATGTATGCGAAACGAGCCTGTGAGCCAAAGTAAGCAATATTCCAGTTCTGCAGCACCCCTCAAGCCGAAAGGTGATAACGTTGGGAAGTGAGAATTTTGAGGGATATAATAAAGTGGGTTATATTGGTTATAGTGTAGTGGATATATGGTGCAAAATAGTAGCATTCGTTCAAGCCTTCAGAGATTGTTGTTAAAAGAGGGTTCATTAACAAGCATTTGACGGTATAGGCCTACCCCAGAATCTTCCGAAGGAGCAGGTGAAGAGACAGGAGCCTTGGCTGTTGCTGGGGGAGTAGTTGGAACGGTGGTTTTTGTCGCTGCGCTGGCCTGAGAAGTGTTGCGAGATCGTTTAGAAGAAGGCGGCAGTGGGGATCGTGTACTGGTATCCCAAGCCGGTCTCGTCACCGTAGCTCTTGCGTAGTTGGGGCCCTCTTCAGATAGTGGCTGTCGGCGTGACGTTGGGGTTACCTGTGTCCGCCTGCTGGAAGGACGTGCATGTGAAGATCCATCTGAAACAAGTCTGTTACCAAATTTGGCATTAGCTGAGGACTCTCTGCCATAGGCAGACGATCCTCCCCTTCTCGTAGTAGTCACGCCAAGAGGTCGACCTTTGATGATAGGCTTTTGTACTGTGACTTTATCAGCACCCCAGTAAGAAAAGCTCATTTTGCTCTTCTTATCAGAGTCGGATGAATCTCCATCGTCATCGTCATCGGCGGGGAGTGGAACGATCTTTGGCTGATTGGTGAGCGCTTGCGTTCGCGATCGAACAACACTGTACGGAGTTATTCAGTGTCGTAAGAGGGAATGAAGTTCAAAACGTACTCTTCCATCGAGACGATGCCTTCTCCAGGCTGCATGACGTCTCCTATGGCCCAAATCTCAATCTTGAACGGGCGGGGGTTTATTGTCAGCTTATTGCATAACGATGATCATTGAACTTTACCTTGATGAATTTATACAGGTTACGAGGTTTAGTGTAGGAAGTTCGACGACCTGTTGTCGCATACTTTGCTTTACCTTGCAACTCTGGCATTGAATTTGTACGAGAGTTCATCGCAGCCACCAATGGCAAGGACGTGGTTCCAGTTCGCTGGCATTGCAGCACGACATCATTGAAGACAACAAACCAAAGGTCTTTCTTTCCCCCTACTCCGTTGCTGCTGAGAACGTCGCTAAGACGCTTGAACGAAGACTTGCCCCGTACCCCTTTAGCATTGACAACCGGCGGAGGGGATACAGCCTTCGCTAGACCGTTCAAAGGGCTCAATCCAGGGGTGCACAGCCGTTCTTCTATAAGAACGCGTGACGGCTTTGGCAAAGCCAGCTGCTTGACTTTGTCTAAACCTTCAATACGCGCGAATACATCTCGCGTCTTGTCCCGTTCCTCCTTCTGAATCTTTTCGTCTTCAATGCTCCGAACAATGTTTTCGACTTCAGCAACCATCTGTAACGTGCTTTCATACTCGAAGGTACTGGGGTCGGTATGGAAGAGGAGATTCTGAAAGAGAAGGGGGTATTTGAGAAGCCTTTGAAAAGGTTTTGACAACGTGATAGCTAAGCCGGTTTCGCCCTTATCCGAAGCATCCTCCTCCAATTTCTGGAGGAATTTGCAAACTTTCAACCACTCGCCTGCGTCTTGTTTCTTGGGTTTCTTTGTCGAAACGTTAGATAAAGCGGCGTCCACTTGACCTAAAGCGCGCTCCAAATGGAGAACGTAGGTGGCGTAACCGTGAAAGATATCGGACTGCTCAATGGTGAGATTGGAAAACCCAATGAAACGAAGAGGAACATACATTTGATACAAAAACGTCTGCAAGTGATCGTACCAAGGGAAACTGATCATCGTAGCGTTTTTTCAACGCCTCTGAGAGTCTCTTATGGCCGTCAAACACGCCGCTATCGATAACCTCCAGGCAGATGCGTAAATCTTCAGGAAGCTGATGGGGGGCAATAGTGTTTCCAAGGACACCTTCCGCTGACGTCTGGCTTTTCTTGAACTTCCTCAACATGCTGGGCTTTGGTGAACCTTCCCCCTGGCCATGGCTAGACTTACGTTCTCGATCGCGCTCTACGATAGTTGATTGACGACCTAGAGAATGGGTCGATGAATTTGGTGGGTTGCCACGCACAGGAGGCGGTAGTGAATGGTGAGACCGGGAAGGGAACGGGACGGAGACGCCGCCCACCTGCCTCACTGCAGGGCGATTCGACATACTTCGATATGGTGATCGGGGATGATCATGTTTCGATGACCCTTGTCTTCTTGAGTCATACAATCTGCCAGCCTTATCCCCTGCTTCGTCATCCTCATCAGTCTCTAAGGATTCCGCATCAACAATTGGGATTTCCTTGGGACGTGAGGACGGATTTGAACTCATTCCGGGTGTTGGCGACATGAAACGGGCGGCAATGGGTGGTAAATCATCAGCTGATTCAAAGGGAGATTCCGCACGATAATAATCGTAATCCAAATTCGGGGTGGAAGCCATCGGGGAAGTGGGAACAGAATAAGGGTGTAATAAAGGGTCAATGAATGTGTCCTTCATTTTGACCAGTTCTTGGACGTATCTGAAGAATGTGAGCATAGTGGGAATGGAGGCTGGATGTTCACTAACCTCTCTTCACTTGAGATGATTTCAAACAAGACTTCTTGTCGGGTACGCTCACGCGACCCAAGGTTAGAAACGAGGTCCTCTTCCGTGACCTCACTCCACGATTGGGCTGCAAGGATACGGCTTCCGCTACTGGACATTTGGGAATATGGTGTGCCAGAACGCAGAGATTGAACGGATGTGCCTTCGTAGCCCTTCTGAAGATAGGGTGAGGCGGTTCGCGTCGAAGTGGCTTTCACGCTTGTCTTGGTAGCGGTAGCAACGTCGGCTTTTGAGGACGATGCAGCGGTTGATATAGAGCCACGAGGCTCCTTGCCGTAAGTCGCCTGAAAACGCGACACGGTTGTTTTGAGTACAGCTGGAGGCGTGCCATTGACAGGTGTATCGGACAACGTGCGATCAAGCGTAGTGGGTATTGGGGTTGGAGGAGGGGATATAAAAGCGACTTTCTTCTGCACATCGGTTGTAGTGGTAGTGATGGTAGTAGCGGTGGTTGCACTTCCATTTACATGTTTACGTGAAGTGCCGTTGGATACTGGTTCTGTATAGGGGAAAGCGGTAAGCTCTGGTAGGAGATCCGGTTGACGAGATGGCGAAGGAGATTCGTAGGCAGGGGTCGGAGTGATCGTTATTGGTTCGGAAGGGAGCGGCTGGTCGATGGAAGGTAAGGGACGTGTGGAAAGTTGGGAAGCAATTTGAGAAGGGACGATATCAGGAAGAGGTTTGAAAGATGCGAGAGATGCTGGAGTAGAGGACGGGCGCTGCTGCGGTGATTCCTCTTGAGGTGGCCATGAACGAAGAGGAGGGAATTTTTCCTTGGGTGCAGCCGTTTGCACAGCAGAGTCCTTGTCCTTGTCCTTGGTGCCCCCTCCAAGATGTAAACGATGAAAAAATGCCTTCATGGTATCGGCATAAGAAGAAAAGAAAGGGCTGGCGAGCACCTGCGAATACTGGAGAATCAGAACACCTGCGGAAACAATTTCACTCCAAGTTCAAAGGCGCGCACGACACGAGGCGAACAGCGCCTTGCGTTCCAAACAACCGTCAACATTCATCTTGGCATGCTCCCTTCCCATAATACAAAGCATCTGCCCCTTCTCCGCTTTCCCTTTGTTGACTCCACCTTTTATCTGGCACAACGAGACGACGGAATATGCAACGGAACGGCACTCTGGCTGTCCGGTCAATGCCTGGCTCTCTATTTCGCTGAATATCATGTCCCTACATATCCTCCTCGCCCGCGAGCCATCGAGTTGGGAAGCGGCGTTGGGTTGACCGCGTGGGTTCTCCGCCAGTTTAACGCTGTGTCTCTCCGTTCACAGCTATAAATAAACAACAGCCTTGCTTTGGCGTCGCTCGGATGGGATGTTCTTGCGACTGACATCGATCTTGTGATTTCATCTGTTCTCTCCAACAACATTCAAACAAACCTCGCACAGCTCCCCGAACGCTCCGGAAGAGTAGAGATTCACGAATTGGATTGGTTGGTATCTCCGGCGGAATGGAAATGGGATATTACCTCCGGATCCAATCCTCCTTATGACCTCATATACTCTGCCGATACAGTCTACAAATCTGAGCTCGTGGAACCACTACTACGTACAATCCACGCGCTAAGCACATTATCAAGATTTTCTTCCTCCCCACCGCGATCTCCACTCGTTCTGTTGTGCGTTGAACGTCGCGATCCTCCACTTCTCGACCGTCTACTAGATGATGCTAGAAACATTTGGAACTTTTCAGTGGAACGGATACCTAGGAAAAGGCTTTCAAAGGCTCTTAACAAGCATGGAGCTCAATGGGACAATGCGGATTGGGAGGGTATCGAATTATGGAAATTGAGGCTCAAGTAGTCACCATATTCTATCCCCATAGGCCTCGTCGCTAGCCGATGAGGTTCAACGCCCTATCAAAGCCATGTTTCGACTGGAGAAGATGGATCAGCAACAATTCTTGTGCAGATCATTTTTGAACTGACCAGATCCCGCCAAGTTTCTTCCTCGTCGTTTTCAGTTTGTAACTGATAAATCAGTAAAAATCCTTTCAAGCTGGTTGATCAAGTTGAGGGACACGAAAATCTTATGAGGTATCCTTCTCTCACGTCAGACTACCATCCTCAGCAATGTCCATAAATTCAGCGAGCTCATCCTTCGTTTCCTGTGAGAAGGGGGCGCCGTTGGTGTCTTTAGCCCAAGCATCCAAGCCCTCTGGAGAGAGAGTTGCGTTGGTTGGTGGCTGTAACAATGTTTTCTTATCCGATCGTGAGACGGATGGAGAGCAATATTTGGCAAAGATATGCTTCAGACACGTTTCTAACTGAAAAAAACGTTCTGTATCTGTATGTGCTGACGAGAAGCAGAAAAGACATAGACACATGCCTGAACTGTAATTTCTCCGTCGTCGTCGAGCAGTTGAACAGCATTGGCTGAAGACGGTTCTCCCGCCATGATTCAACTCGAATGCCTTTGCGAAAACTGGTTTGTACTTGTAGACTTTAGTTTGTGACTGATGTCCTCTGATGTCACGCAGGGGTTTATAGCTCCAACCTTTGACTGAGTAGCCAGCATGCTCTCTCCTCTTCATTTTCGACATCGTCTGACATTGCCTCTCATGCGCTTCGTCGCCACCATAAATCGACCAGGGCCACCACCACTACCCAAAGTTCAGCAACGTGAATTCGAAGAACTTCAGCGCAGGGCACAAGCACCACTCTCATCGCCTGTCGACACACTTCCAAACACCCACCCTGATGCTCCCACACCCATCAAACCAGAATTCGAGGGCGACATAAACCCCGTTACAGGGGAAAAAGGCGGGCCCAAGCGCGAGCCCGTCAAGCGTTGGGGAGAAGATCAAGGTGGAGATTGGAGTTTCAAGGGAAGAGTAACCGACTTTTAGCGAGAGGGCAGACTCGATAGAAGTGGTACCCAGAAAATAACATAATGAGCGCCGTTAGCGAAATCGTACGCTTGTTTCCCTGATGCCGATCGTCTTTTAATACCATGTAGTCACTGTAAGGTGCAGAAAATTGAGATTGTTTTATTACAACAAAGAATCTTTCAACCATCTCCTATCTATCTCCTGATACCGCGTGCAGGTGGCACAACTCCACGTCCGCGGCGAGCTGTAAATCAATTAGATCGTTATTTAGTATCGCCGTATGAATAACAGTCAAAAAACGCGTACCATTGGCTGATCACGAAGGGAAGGAATGAAGTCAGTGGAAATGAAGATGAAGATCACTACTGGCAACGCACCTCGCATAATCGTGGCGCGCCCACGGGCTGTCCCTATACCTCTCCCCCTCATGGCATTTGGTCCTACCCGTTTGAACCTGTGCACATCCATTTTTCATCACAGAATCAGTCACGAAGGGGGACATCATGGGCAGGGAAGGAAATGAAAAAGCAGGCCATCAATCAGCATACAACAAAAGAAAAGGACGGAGAGAGACTTCGTACATGGGCGCATTCTGCAACATATCAGGAACAATGAAGAACCGAACCATGCTTCCTCGAATATAAACTTGGTCAAGTTGAGATACACGTCCATCACGACCAGTAACGGTAATATCCTTCAAAGAGATGTTCAAGTTATCCTCCGCTATCCCCAAAAGAAAAAGCGTAAGCGCTTCGATTGAAAGAAAGCGATCCAAGTCACATACCTTCAGCAAGCTTGCCGCGATATAGTTGCCCCGTTTTCAGTTCCACAGTAATTATGTGTCCTAGCGATTCATGTAACAGTTTGACTGGCACTCCGAGGCCTGCGCTCATCGTGGATACTTAGATTTTGGTTTTTGGAGGAGGTGGACGATGGCTGAGATTGTAGTGTGGGAAAATATGGGTCTGGCGAGGTGAGTGCCGCAAACGCAGTTCCCTCTTGTTGACAATGTCAAACATAACCTAGTCACAAATCATTAAAACCTCCTTCTTTTCCGTATGGAGTCGCAGCGAACAGAACCACTTTCCATCGAATCATTGCTGAAGAAGCAGCGTGAAGAGAAAGAGGCAGCGGCAAAGGTGCGTGATAGTATTTGGCCTATCCCGTGCCATACTCATGTTTGAATTCAGCCCAAGTTTCTTTCTAAAGAAGAACGAGCGAAGCTTGCCATATCAAAGCGAGCTCAAGAAATACGAGAACAAAAGGAAAAGGACGAGTTGTCTAAACGGGACCGTGAAGTGTTGGAACGCGAGGCAAGCGAACTCTCTATTCGAGAGAGAATTCAACCAAGCAGGCATGGCGACCGCTATGGCAGACGAGATCGGGATAGAGATGGACACCGTGGGGGACGACAGCCCCCGCCACCCCATGCCCAAGACGACCGCCGTCCTCCCCGCGATGGATACCAGAATGTACCTACAGGTCCTCGCGCAGACCGCAGTAAAAACCCTACCAATGCCGGAACGCCCTCGTCTTCCATGCCCCCTCCTCCAGGACCCAGTTCATCAAATAATACTACGTCAGAGCCTACGAGTACCTATGTTCCTCCCATGACCGAGAACGATCTTACAGCCATCCGATCCCGCTACCTCGGCGTTGACAAAAAGAAGCGCAAGATTCGGAAGATGAATGACCGAAAGTTCGTTTTTGACTGGGACACTCAGGACGACACGTTCGCGGATGATTCGCCCGTTGCTGTTGGGAGCAATAGGCAAGGTGCACAGGTTATGTTTGGCAGGGGCCGCCTCGCGGGCATGGATGATGGTGGTGGAAGTGGTCCTCGCAAGATTTCTGGGAATGGACCTGTGGATACACACCTGGCAGATGCTATGGAACGGAGAAAGGCTGCCAAGGCTGGGTTCGATGACAGACATTGGACAGATAAGCCCCTCGATGAAATGAAGGAGCGTGATTGGCGTATATTTCGGGAAGATTTCAGCATTTCAGCAAGAGGTATGTGTTCTATTTGTCGCACGTGCGTAATGCTGATTTTCTGCACCGAGGTGGCTCTATCCCTCATCCGCTTCGTTCATGGACGGAGTCTGCTATTCCTCAACCTATCCTAGACTGCATCGAGCAAATCGGTTACAAGGATCCTTCGCCCATTCAACGGCAGGCAATCCCAATTGGCTTGCTAAACCGTGACATCATCGGTATAGCTGAAACGGGTTCGTTATTTCTCTTGTGGTAACAATTTGTGCTCATCCAGCCTACAGGTTCCGGAAAAACGGCTGCCTTTGTTATTCCCATGCTGTCCTTTATCTCGGGCTTGCCACCGTTTACGGACGATATTCGGCATCTTGGCCCATATGCTTTGATCATGGCACCCACTCGTGAGTTGGCTCAGCAGATCGAAAGCGAAGCACGCAAGTTCGCGTCACCCCTTGGCTTCAAGTGTGTGTCTATCGTCGGAGGGGTATGTCAAATTTAGTCATGTACTTTAGCCAAGACTCTGATGTTGGCTTTAGAGAGCTGTAGAAGAACAGCAATTCAACCTACGAGAGGGTGCAGAGATTATCATCGCAACCCCTGGTCGTCTCAAGGACGTCATCGAGAGACACGTTCTTGTCCTCTCCCAGTGTCGCTATGTCGTCATGGATGAAGCTGACCGAATGGTTCACCTTGGCTTTGAAGCGGATCTTACATTCATTCTAGATGCCCTTCCGTCAGAAACTATGCAAGGAGAGGACCTTGGAGAGCAAATGGATGTGGACGGAGAAACTATGATCAAGAAGGGCCGAACGCGTGTCACGACGTTGTTTTCGGCTACTATGCCTGCCGCAGTTGAACGCTTGGCTAGAAAGTATCTCAAAAAACCTGCAGTGATCACTATTGGCGAGGCCGGTCGGGCCGTGGATACAGTCGAGCAGCGCGTTGAATTCGTTAGTGGCGACGAGAAGAAGAAGTAAGTCGCTCGTTTGCTTTGGTCATTATGCTGCTGACGTATCTACAGACAGAAACTGCTCGAGATCCTCAACAGCGGACAGTATGCATCTCCAATTATTGTGTTTGTCAATCAGAAGAAGACTGCAGACATGGTTGCCAAGGATCTCTCGCGCGCTGGTGTATGTGGCGAATCGCCTTGGCTCTTTTTTATGTTTTGCCGTGTTAACATCTCAATTTAGTGGAACGCCGCCACGCTGCATTCGGGCAAAAACCAAGAACAGCGAGAGGCCTCGTTGCAATCGTTGCGCAATGGTGAATCGGATGTGCTTGTTGCTACTGACCTTGCAGGACGCGGTATCGACGTTCAAGATGTCAGCCTTGTCATCAACTTTCAAATGGCAAACACGATTGAAGCCTACGTGCATCGTATTGGTAAGTCCCTCGTGGATGAAAATGTAGATTGATGATTTTTATGGATACTTTTAGGACGCACGGGTCGTGCTGGAAAGCTTGGCACTGCCATCACGTTCCTCACGAACGACGATGACGAAGTCATGTGGGTTGATTGCTTCTACTTAAGTCTTTGGCTGGGTTAACGTCTATCTTTCGCTATCTCTCCGATCAGGTACGACCTCAAGCAAGGTACGTTCCTAGACCGGGGAAAGTAGGGTTGATGCTGAATATAGCGCTACAGAAATCTCCAAGAGCCCTGTATCGAAAGTGCCTGCGGAGCTGGCGAAGCACGAGGCGGCACAACACAAAGTATCGCGGGAGATGAAGAGGAAACGGGAAGCTGATGATCTTGGGTGATTCGTGGCGGAAATAGCGCCATTGAGACCATGTGATGTAGATTAGAATTTAAATCTAGTCCGAGCGGCAACGGACTGTCAGCCGGCGCGGCAAAACGCAGCCGAGGGATTGGAGCAGCCGCTGGCAAGTGGCTTAGTAGTGGCAGCCAAGTGGCAGGCGCAGACAACATCGGTCATCTTTGCTTATGCCCGTCGCTACTTGTAGTGATGAATTCCAAGAAAATCGGCCCTGCCTCCTCTCTCCCACATCTATCTTCCGCTCTCTCAGCTAGTCTTCCCGTCGCAATGCTATCCGCGGTGAGCATACTGAATAATTCATTCATTCAATGCTAATTATATGAACGTCTCAGACTGACCTGCCTGACCCCGTCCGCTCTTCCCGTTTCCCCTTCATCCGGAAGCCAAGCTTTAATATGGACGATCCAAAGCACGGTCCTCTCCATGATCTAAAGCGTTTTCTCAACCACCACATCCCTCATCATCACAACCATCCTCCTCACTCAAACCCACATACCCCTGTCACTCCCCGACATAGAGATTCCGTCAACGATACTCCTACCGATAGCCATAACCCGGTCTCTGCCATAAAACAGAGCAAGGACCGAACCACCCCATCCCCCTCTAGTTCAAAGCTCAGCTCAAACACAACAGACTCTTCGTCTGACAACAGCCACCACAACCACCACCATCATCATCACCAACAAAAACCCACAAAACATCCTTCTTCTTCTTCGGTCCGTCACCCCTCCTCTTCACCACACCCCATCGTTTCCTTGCAAGATGCCACCCATGCCCACCTCTCAAAAAAATATGGCAAGTGGGGCCGTGTACTTGGAAGCGGTGCTGGCGGCACCGTGAGGCTCATCAAGGCCAGCAGTAAAAGCGGAGGCACTGTCTATGCTGTCAAGGAGTTTCGTCCAAAGCGCGCTGGTGAGAGCGAGAAGGAGTATCAGAAAAAGGTTACTGCAGAGTTTTGCGTTGGCTCCACTCTGAAGCATCTCAACATCATCAACACTGTGGATATCGTTTCTGATAATGGCCACTATTATGAAGTGAGTTTCTTCTGTCCCCCCCCCCCTTTTGTTTTGGTGTATCTGACCCATTTCAAGGTCATGGAGTACGCCCCGTTCGATCTCTTTTCCGTTGTCATGTCAGGAAAAATGTGTCGTCCCGAAATCTACTGCGTATTTCGCCAAATATGTGATGGCGTCGAATACCTTCACGAGATGGGTTTGGCACATCGCGATCTCAAGCTCGACAACTGCGTTATGACCACGGAGAACGTCGTCAAGCTAATCGACTTTGGAACAGCGACCGTCTTCCATTATCCAGGCAAGGCTCACACTCCTGCTTCCGGCATCGTTGGGAGTGATCCCTACCTTGCCCCTGAAGTTTTGAACAAGGATTCATACGATCCCAGAAAAACCGATGTCTGGAGCTGCGCCATCATTTTCTTGTGCATGGTCCTCAGGCGATTCCCTTGGAAAATTCCTGACTCAAAAACCGACCCAAGCTTCAAAGCCTTCGTCGCTGCACACCCCGATTTGTCTGTCAAGCCGCCGCCCAAAGCTACTAAAGATCGGGATCAAAAGCAGGAAGGCTTTGATCTAGCCAACCAGGGTCGTAAGCTCCCTGCTCGTGGCCTCACTATGCCCCCACACGAAACTGGTCGGTTACCCCAGCAGGAAAGAGCTTTGAGTACGGGCGCGCTCGATCCTGTATCTTCCAGTAGCAACAGCACGTCGTCTGCAGCATCGATATTCACGCAAGCGACTGATCCCGAGTCAGAAGCTACTGCAATCACCGAACCGCCTTCGCGCTATGCAAGCAACAGCGCTGGCGTCAAGCTCGTCACCGTCGCAGATGATTCCGAAGAGGAGGATGTTCAGACGAAGACATTTAGAGATACATTGCGCGGTTCACCACACCCAACTTCTCGCAGCTCCGCGACGCTTCCCCTGCCCCAGAAGCTTAGACAGACGGAGAGTCCGGAAGAAATGGACGCCTCTGTTCTCATTTTTGCCAGACCAGGAACGTCGACAGAGTCTTTGCCCGTCAAGTCACTCACACCTTGTGATGAAGATGACCTTCTGACACCTCACCCCAAAGTGGCACCATCCACCCCTGTCACGGCCAAGCAGCGCAAGTCATCACCTCCATCATCATATCCCAGTGAGAGAGAATCTTTCCCTTCAACTGGTGACCGTCCAGTTGTCGTAGTTCAAGAGCCAGAAGAGGAAGAAATGCGGGCGGCTACCGTGGAATCTACGCCGTCTAAACAGCGTCCACGTTCTGACAGCGTCACTACATACCACGGAGGAGGCGCCGAGTCGATTTTCCGTCTCCTTCCTCGCGAAACACGGCCCGCATTACGTCGCATGCTTTTTGTCGAGCCATCTTCACGGTGTACGCTTACTGATTTGCTGAAAGGCAAAGGCAAAACAAGTGGATTACTTTGTGGGTGCCAGATCGACAAGACCAAGGCGACTGGTTTCGATTCCCCTCCAGGGGGACACTGCGTGGATCACGACGAGTGTGATCCCGATGAGGAGGATGACGGCGACGAGTGGTTAAAGTCGATCGTGACCTGTACGGGGTATGGAGTGCCGCAGCATACCCATATCAAAGTCGCCGTTGATGAGAAGCAAACGAAGCGCAAGTTCTTCTAGTTCCCACCCACCTTGCAGATGGCGTTCTTATTCGCCCAGCCATTCCTTTATGTTCCTTTTTTTCCTGTTTTTGATTATCTTTCAGCATTACATTCCCTTATATAAACGTTATATCTATCCCCTCCCCATAGAGTTCTGATCCTTTTGCACTTGTCACGTTATGCCTTTTCTTCCTACATTCTCGCGATTTTCGTTCGCAAAAGGATTCGGACAGCTCAAAGGCCTGTATATAACCTATCAAATACGGAGAAAATGTATTAACCCTATGAAATGAAATGAAAGTTAGTGATCTGGGAGAAGAACTTCAAAATATCGAGCATCATAGACTCGCACTTCAGGCAGCGACGAGTATGAAGGGCCACATATGTGTAAACATAGGCAATAAAAACTGCAGAATAGACCAAAACCAGTGTTCCCCCAACATATTTGCTCTCAATTTCTAAGTTTGGTGATGGAATTGTACATCCATCATATGCATAAAACAAACTTACAATAAAAAAAGGGATCAGATCCAAAAAATGAATGAATAAATATGATCTAAACTCATATTTAGAATATGCTGAACTTCCTGGGCCAAGATTTTAGCGTATTCTGAATATGAATTCAGATCATATTTAATTGTTCATTTTGTGGATCTGATCCTTTTTTTATTGTAGATTACAGCGTATCCCGCAGTTTTGAGAGCATATGTTTATACATATGTAGCCCTACATATTCGTCGCTGTCTCAAGTGTCTAGTACAATTCATTCAAAGGTGTAAATTATTACAACTCGTCTCGATGTGGATCAAACTTTTGCTGTTGTTTTTTCTCGTCCTTGCCTTTTCCCTTTGATGGCCTCGTCCCTTTGGCAGTGACAACTTCCGCCTGGACGTCGTACCCTGCCGCTCGAAGCGCTTCCACCAAACGATCAGCACCCTCAACCTGAAGATCCTCAGGGTCATCCAGCAGCTCAAAAATGATCTCATCTTTGCTCGTGCCCTTTTCTTGTGTCCCTTTGGATGCCATAAAAACTTCCAAGGTTTTCTGCAGTAAATCATTGTAAACGTCTTCTTTCGTTCTGCTCTGATCGGCGGCGCTGCTTCCCTTCTCCTTCTCCTTGGGAGGCGCAGCGGGAAGAACAGTCTTGCGGCGGGGTACCTTGAGAGGGTGGTCAGCCGTTGGAAGATCTACCGGTCCCTCGGGTTTGGTATCGACGACTTCGCGACACCGAATCTGAGCTTCCTCGCCGGCTTCGCGTGAAGACTTGAAGCCTGGTTCACCGCAAAGACGAGGTGTGTGGATGACCAAGACGTATGAGCATGTTTTAGCTTCCTTGACAAAGAGAATATGGTCGGTCATGACCATTGAGCAGTGAAACTGTCGAAAAAGAGTCTTAGCGGGCCAATTGAAATAAAGGACGCTTAGGATCAACCTGAACTTCAACTTCACGACTTTTGCCAGTCTTGTCACATGTGGTGCCATCGCCCCACCTTTGAACAAGGTATCGCGATCCAGCGGTACGGGCGAGTTCTAGGTTGGCCGCTTCGGCATTTTGCTCCGCAATAGATAAATCAGCTCCATTTTCTGTGGATTTCGGGGATCGGCCGAGTGTATATGACTCCCACTGGTGAACATGTTGAGAAGATGGTTAAGGATAATGAACTTGACGTCATTACCTCAGGATCTTCTTCAGGCTTGTAAGCGCCAGCTATCAAGAGATTGTGTTAGGTTTATCTTTGAGAGCAAAAGAAAACGAGGGTGACATATGAACGATATACAGTGGCCGGAAAATGGTGAGAAAGAAAAAGGAAGGTTCTTATATCCGACGGTATGGCAGGATGCCCCAAGAAGGAAAAGATAGCACGCTTACCCGGAATTCGGGAGTGTGGTGGTATCAATTCCTTGAACTGACGGATTTCTTGGTTGTGACAGTACGAATAAGTAAACCAGCCCTGACGGTGCTATGTGGAGGAGGATTAGGTTGGGACGGCATTCCGTAAGAAAAGGACACAAACGTAAAGGCACGTCCCAGAAAGTGGTTGTAGCAGGGACCAACTTCTTGCGGGCGTCACTACAATGTCTAGGTCATCCTCTTCAAGTGATAAAATATTGTCCAATGGGTGGGGTATCAGACAGAGATATGAGTCTCGAGGTCCCATCTTCATATGTTCAAGAGTATAATTGACGGTTTCCATGGGCGGAGTCTAGAGGCGAGAATGTAAATGGTGTTGGACTTCAGGGGGGGAAAGCATACCAACTAACCTCAGTCGGAAGTGTACTGTCTCCGCTGCCAATTTCTTTCCAGAGACCAGGCGTCGAAGAAGCGTCGTCCATGTAAGGCTGATCTAGAAACTCAAGTTCACCCCCGCGCAAACCTTCTTTGAGCCATCTCTCCGCTGTCTCGTTCAAGAGTGGGAGACCGTTGAGGAAGGCGACTCTAAACTTTGGAAAGGCATACGTGTCCTCGGGGAGAGAGTGGAGAAGACGAGCGGACGACGGGTAGAGGAAAAGAGCCAATGCAAACAACGATTGGAGGTGCATATCGGTGGCGGCGACGTGGTCGACAGCGAGCTCGATGATTGTTCGTTGTTGACAATAATAATAGATTTAAGGTCCGTCTCCCGAGATTGGCCAATCAGCGGGTTCGTTCTGGATCGAGATATGATCTACGATCACACAACAAACGGCGCGAAACGGCGATTGGCCGATTCCGGACCGATTGTAAGTTGAAGCGCACGGTCCCTCGACGACATCGCGCCTACAACCCGCTTAACACGCCCGTTGGCAGCCATGGGCTCAGGACGCTGATCGGCGGTTGGGAGCATTAAATCCTGTCAAATGGTGGATTTTTCCGAGCAGGGGACCTGAGGGACGTTGATCAGAATTCTTTCGAATTGTTTCCATGTGCTTTCGACAAGTATAACCAGGTATAACCTAACCTTGCCTTTTCCATCACAATCTTGAACAATTCGACGTGAGTCCTCGTCCCTAAATTCGGAGTAATTCAGCAACAAATTACGTGAGTGTAACCCCCAAAAATCAGGGGTAATTCCTACGAACAGGAAGATTGCTGAAAGATAATAATAAAAAGCGTTGCTTTTTGGCTATGAAATGGGAAACAAATAGATTTTCAATTTGTTCTATATACGGCATCGAAATTGTTCATTAAAGCCGACTTACCCAACTTTTACCCACTTCCTTTCTCCCTCTTCTCGAACCAGGTTCACACTTTCACCTTTCCCTCCCTCAGCATCCACTCGAGGATCGCGTCCCTTGTCTTCAAATGTCCACGTCGCCGCGTGATGCCCAAGACGAGGGTGCCGATAAACTTGACGAGTTGGAGGAACCTCAACCAACAGGAGACGCCGAGGCAGGTAAGCAATCGCTCTCCCGACATCTACATATCTCGTCCGGCGCGCATTTCTGGTGTCTCTTCCAGTGTTTAAACCGATGAATTTCGATGGAATAATTTCGCTGATTACCGGTATTTGATCCCGTTACTTCTTCGCAGGCACTTCAGCACCAACCCCCGCAAAGAGAGGCCGTGGTCGGCCAAAGGGTAGCAGGAATAAGAAATCATTAACGGGTGCAGCCGACGCATCGGCGCCGACGACCCCTAGGAAGCGCGGTCGTCCTCCCAAGGTCAGATCCATTGCTCTCTTCCAACACTTTCTCTCAACCACTTTCCCTATCTTTGCAGGAGAAGAAGGAGGAGGATGGAGACGAGCCAGTCGCGAAACGTCCGAGGGGACGACCTCCTAAGAACCCCAAACCTCCAACAAAGGACGGGGAGGCCAGCGGTGCTGGTGGTAGTGGTGATCCAGAGTCAAGTACAAAGAAGAAGCGTGGGCGACCACCCAAGAACGCTGCGGCCACCTAAGGATTTTTGTCGCACTCCATCACGATCCTCCCTATTTTTTTTACCAATGCCCACTATCTCATCTTGATACGCGCCGCTTGCTGGGCAATCGCAGGTAGCTCATGACCGACACGACCAACCGACTCTTTCTCGCTACACCTCTTTCTTTCTGCCGAGTTTTTTACAATATGGACTTTTTTTGGTTAGCAGTGTTGTTTCTCTCACGTCACTTGTTCGCTTATATTTATTATGTTGTACGTATGAGCATATTGTTTCAGTTAGAACAGGGTACTTGCGTTGGGCAAACGGTCTTGACCTCGTTCGATGGGTGAAACACCGCACACGGTCATAATATGCACACCTGGGATGAAATGGGATTATGAATCCCATTTCATCTCTTCCTTCAAAGCAGCTTCGTTCGCAAGTCAAAGAACCTTGTTCCGTATTTGATCATTCATTCTACTACTGGAGCCAAGGTCATGCGTGCTATGCGACTGATATATACTCCAATTAGGCCTAATAAGAACGCACCGACCCACCCTACCCCTGCTAAAATCCTTGCTTGTCTCGCAGCCTTTTTTTTCGCAGTTGCGTAGCTGATGTCGGGCCGAAATGTGACCATTGTATATAATGGAAGCCACCCTCCTGGTGGTTCAGAAGGATAGGGTAAAAGTGTCAAAGTAGGAATGAGCGAAGATAACGGGACAATCTGCGGTGAGGTAAGTGAATACAACAAATTGTCAAGATACTTCCGGAATAAGTAGGTCAATGTAGTGACTGAATGTCGCATCTCTAAGCTGGATTGAGGTGAGCCGAGAACTTTGTGATAAAAAAAGAGACCTCACTAGTTGTCCATCGCAAGATCGCAGATAGCAGTGAGGTCCTGGTGGCGGCTCTTGGTGTATCGCTCAAGCGCATTGGCCAAGCGTCCGTCCACGTATTTTTCTCGATCTGTTTGATCGAGGGGTCTTGTAGATTCCACTCCAAACTCCGCGAAGAACGTGGAGAGGACCCGTACGTCCTCTAGACCGCAGTTCAGGCCTTGCCCATAAAACGGAACCATAGAATGAGCCGCGTCTCCCAGGAGAATCACTCGGTCCTTATAGTGATACGGGTTGGACTAATAAAACAAGTTAGTAAACCTGCGAACAAGGCTTTTGAGATTTGATTGATTTTTTTTACCTTGGTGCAAATTAGAGGACTCCTGGGATTTTGTAAAAAGTCCTTCAAGAGGGTTTTTTCTCCAATGGCGCGGGTGGCGTCTGGGAAATTTAATTTAAACCAGGTGAGTATTTTATCGGAGCTATTGAGGCGATCAAGCTCGGCGGTAGGCGCAAATAAAGTGCAGGTAAATGACATGTCCTGTGTAAAGGGGGTTAATAAAACGAGGCGGAAAGAATACGACATATCACACTTTATTTGGAAGGGCAATGAGCATGAAGGAAGAACGAGGCCAAATATGGAGATGATTTGGATCCAACTGAAATGTCGGTTCGCCATCTTCGCCCCGACCTGGTGGCATTTTCAGCTCTACATACTCATCCCTAATGTACTCCTGTTGATAGTCCATTCTGAGAGGATAATAATGTCAGAGGAGTGATTGCGGGCTTGGACGGAGTATAATAATACCTTACCACCCTCATCATCTGCCTTCGGATTATGGAATAGCTTCCGTCTGCGCCAATACAAAAATCAAATTGTATCGAAAAGTCTTTGTGGGAAGAAGAATCTCGAATCGTCATGGATTTGTTGTCAAAGTCGGCGGATATGACCTTGTGGTTGAAAAATACACGAGCGTTGCTGCAACGCGAGACCTGTTCTAATAATTCTTCATTAAGGAGGGACCTATCGATCGAATTGATACACTGAGAAAACAAATGCGTGAGGAATGCAGTTGACATAAATGAACGGCACGGAACCCTGTGCTCACTTGGCCATCCCTATCATATAATTGGCTATCCAATTCCCCTGTTTGTTTGTGAATCATGCGGCCGTACATTGGAATGGCCGTCTGCAGAAACGCTCGTGCAGCAGCTGGGTCCACAGCGTCCATGGCCGCTATCCCGCGATGGGAAATGGCGAGGTTGATGGAACGCTGCTGTGCGGCGGCTTTCGAGGAGGGAAGACGTAAATCTGGAATATATTTAGAGAGGGTCAGGAAAACGAAGAACGGTGTGATGCTATCAGCAGCTGACCTGGACGGCCTTCAAAGAGATCGACGCGCCAACCGCGCTTAGCCAACGCCAAAGCAGCGAGGCAACCGACGGGGCCTGCCCCGACGACAACAGCGTAACACACAGTCGTTGTCATAAGAGAAAATATTTAACACTTCGCTGCATGATTTCGATGGTAAGCCGTTGGATTCCGAGCATTGCGACATCGCTCCGGATCGGGGTCCCTTTGAGATCGGCGTTGATCGGCATCGGCCTAATCTAATCTGGCGGCTCAATCTGTGATCTTATGTTTTCATTGCTCGGATCCAACTGCAGATACATAAATCATCCACACCAACTTCACACAATCTCCTTGTTTTGCGCCATTATGTCGCAGTACCCTCCAGAACTCAACGTCCCTTTGAGCAACCAGTTTATTATCCCGAAGAACAGCGACATCGGCGCGACCCTCCGCGAAGACAAAGGTTAGCCATCACTACGTCTCCCGCAACCTTGTTTTTTTCATGTCTCCTTCAAGAAAGTAGCTGCACCTATCTGTGCGGAAACTCTCTGGGGCTACTGTCGGAACGCTCGAAGGGTTTGGTCCTAGAAGAGCTCCGTATCTGGGGCTCACAGTACGTACACTTTTCATCTGGCATCGAAGGTGTCATCTCCGTCCCTGACACCACTACCTCCCCACCCCCTTTAGTGGCGTCGTTGGCCATTTCTCTCATCCTCTCGATCGGCCTTGGACCAAGTGCTGTGATGAGGTTCATCCGCTCCTCGCAGAGCTCGTCGGTGGGTGATATATGCGTCCTCCCGGCCAATGGGCGGAACTTACGATTACGCTCACAGGGGCAAATGAAAAAGAAGTTGTATGCATGGGCACGTTGACCAACAACTTGCATCTCATGATGGATTCCTTCTACAAACCCACTCCTGAACGTTACAAGGTCCTTTGTGAAGCCAAGGCATTTCCCTCGGATCAAGTACGTGCACCCGACTGACCTCGACTTTGCCTCTGGCTACAACCATTGTGATGCTGTTATAGTACGCCTTCACATCACAGGCCGCTGCGCATGGTCTCGATCCTGAGACTACCATCATTCAAGTATCACCGCGGGAGGGTGAATATACCCTTCGGGAAGAAGATATTCTCGAAATTCTCGATAAAGAAGGACCCACGATTGCCCTTGTCATTTTCAGTGGAATCCAGTACTATACCGGACAATGGTTCCCCATGAAATCTATCACAAAGAAGGCCAAAGAACAGGTATTTTTCATTTCCTTAGATCATGATCTGCGAACACAGACACCACGAGTTCCATAACCCTTATTCACGACGACCTCATGGCTGACCACAAACCTTTTTTCTTCTTGTAGGGCTGCGTGTGTGGCTGGGATCTTGCTCACGCTGTCGGAAATGTACCACTGGAGTTACATGACTGGGACGTTGATTTCGCTGTTTGGTGTACCTACAAATACCTTAATTCCGGTCCTGGAGGTATTGCCGGCTTATTTGTGCACGAAAACTGGCACAAGACGGAACGTCCCAAGTATTCTGATTTTATATTTACGAAACACTCCCATTGACAAATGCATTCAGGTTTGCAGGGTGGTGGGGACATGAATTAGCAACACGATTTGAAATGCCTTCCAAGTTTTCACCCATCCCCGGTGCACAGGGGTTCCAGCAGTCAAATCCGTGCGTTCTCGCGGTGGCGTCGCTTCTTGGATCGTTGCAAGTTGTCAAGGAGGCAGGGATGATGCCAGCATTGAGAGGACGTTCTCTTCAGCTCACAACTGCGTTGGAATCTTTCCTCGTAAAGTCAAAGTATTTTGTTCCTCTTGATAGAGTTTCAAACTCGACCGACTTTGCAAAACCTGGTTTCACGATCATCACACCCACTAAACATTCTGCCCGTGGCGCACAGTTGTCATTGCTCTTCCTTCCCACTGGATCGGGCGTCATGAGGAAAATATTTGATGCCTTGGTGAAGGAAGGAGTGATCGGCGATGAGAGAGAACCGGACGTAATCCGGCTTGCCCCCACACCACTGTACAACACATTGAAGGATTGCGAGCATGCGGCAGAATCCCTAGAACGAGCCTTTAGCACACTGTAGGCTGTAAATGGGAATTGTTGAAATGTGTATAACAAACATCTTAAATGCGCTCAAGGTCCATTGTGGTTTATTCCGCGACGATAACCAATCAACCATGTATAATTCCGAGAACATGGCTCACAAACTCTCCAATCACTGTGGGGTATTCATCTCCGCTAAAAATGCCGTCATGCTCTCCTTTCAGCGCGTCGGCGTTGAATGAGATGCATTCCTTATCTTCGCCATACAGGTTGTGGAGATGTCTGTACATCCCTTCGCTCTGGGACTCATCAACGAGAGTGTCTTCTTTCGAGTGCAATACAAGCCAAAATATCGCAGGTGATCTCAGTGGATACCTAGAAACGTCAAACTGGGCATAGGTCTCGTGTTTGCCAAAAGCATTCTCGATAAACCATTCACGGTATTTGGGGAAGCGAAGGAGGAGGCTGTCGATATTATAGATGCCTTCGGATACGGCAATTCCCTTAACCGAGGCGAGCAAAGATGGGGATGGGGTCAAGGTAGGAGATGTTGCTGATGAGTCCAGAAATATGGAAGCCAGCATGTGCGCGCTGCAACTGTGGCCCAGTAGGAACAGGGTTTGTGGGTCAAAGGCGCGACCAACAACATCTTTGGGCCCGGCCCACGTCATAAGGAATTCGAGGAATTCAAGAAGGTCTTCGGCATGCTTAGGATGACGAAAGTGGGATTCTGGCGTTGGTGTTGCGGGGGTAAGCCGATAATTCGGGACTGCGACTGGAAAGCCAAGAGACAATGCCAAGCGTTGCGCTAGAGCACTGTGATTGGTTTTGTCACCTCTGAAGGGACCAGGGTAGGTGAGAGATGACCGGAAGACGGATAGGCGGATAGATGCTTACGATCGCCATGCGCCGCCGTGGATGTAGCAGACAAGGGGTAGCTGAACGGTGGTCGTCTGCGGCAAGTACAAATCGAACTCGCGCAGGGCGTCGCGAGTAGACGAAGACGTGTAGGGTATGTCAGTAAAGACTTGGACGTGGAGCGACATTGACAGTTGAAGCAGGTCACATGCAATTGAATCAAATGACGCGCGTGGTTACGTCTGGTTACGTCACCATCGATACTGAGGCAAGTATAAAGGCCTGCACGTTGGCATTTTTATAATTTCAACCATCCGCCATGCCTTTTACCGCTTCCGACATCTGCAAGGTCAGTCACTGTCCTCTCCTCACTCCGTTGTTGTTACTCACCTCACGTTGTAGATCCTTATTGCCATATTCATCCCGCCCCTGGGCGTCTTTCTCGAACGGGGCTGCGGTGCCGATCTCGTCCGTATTTTTATCTCCCCTGTTCCTTCCAATGCTCACGAGTATTCGCTGCAGCTAATCAACATTCTGTTGACGATTTTGGGTTATATGTAAGGATTCAAGCTCTTCACTTCTGTTTTGTCGTCTAACATGTTTTTCGTATAGCCCAGGAATCATTCATGGTAAGCCAAACCCGCATCTTTTTGCATGCGCAGCTCATTTCTCCACTAGCTCTATACATCATTCTGAAATATTAGCACGCAATAATCCCTCTCTAGGTCATAGTGTCCTACGTCCTTACAGATACCATATAATGATACGACGCGCACGTTTATGATATTGATGTCATGTTCCTATTCAATTCAGAAATCATTCTTCACTGTCTTCGCTACCCTCGTCAGTTTCGCCGTCTTCTTCATCAGTGCTATCCGTTTCTTTGCTAACATCTCCACTTGACTTTGAATCATCGTCGTCACTTTCGCTCTCTTCCGTCGTTTCTGGGGTTTCTTCCACCTTGGCCGTGACAGGCTTAGGGGCGACTTTGGCAGGTTCATCCTCGCTTTCCTCTTCTTCACTATCCGACTCCTGCTCGTCAAATTGACGAATCATGTGTGCGCCGATCGTCAAGCATTTTTGCAAGTTTTCTGTCTCTGGTCCAGGTTTTCGCCCTTCACCTTGAGCGATGGGTAGTTTGTGCCACGCGCGAATATCATCCTCTTCAACAATATCTTCCTGATATAAAGCTGCTAGAATTTGTCCAAACAGAGGCATTCGCGTCGACGTTGCGCAGTGAGCCTGACACAACGATTAGTGACCGAATATGCCCCGAGTACATTCAAGATTTACCTGTAGAATGCAAACCGTCTCGATGGGGTCCACTCCACCAATCCTATTAATGAGGTCTCCCCACCTCCCAACGACGGCTGCAATTTCCCGTCGCTGAACGGCAGGGTCCCCATCAACAATAGGAATCTTCTCCACAATAGCGGCAACCACAGCCTCTTTCACCCGCGACAGCGGTACATTGCTCGCCATCCGCAGCGTCTTCAGCTCCACAGCCGCATTCTCCACCGAGTGGCCTTCTGAAAAAGCGCGCTCCAAGGACTGTTTAACCTCTAGGCGGAATTCACTATCGGCCATCAGCCCGGAACTTGGCATAATCGAAGGCATGTTGAGCGGCAAGGACAAGTCTGACCGCCCTGCTGATGATTCGAGGTCTGCATGCGAATCGGTGTCACCAAAGTCTGATTCGCTATCACTTTCGGAGGAAATTGACCCAGCATCTGAGATGTCCAGATCAGATGCGCTATCCCCTTGAGAGAGGTAGTCAATAACGTTGGTCAGGGGTCGAGAATGAAGTATCCAGACCTAGGCGCATGAACCGTTGGTTTTTAAAGTTTTCCGGGCCTTCTTCGTCTTCGTCGTCATGAGGTGGTCCTCTGGGCCAGACAATGGCGTTAAAGGCTTTTCCAAACGGTGCTTTGTCCACGGCATCTTGCGCTGCAAAACCTTTCAGCAGCTGACGTTTTCATGTCAGAACCAAAAAACATACATGCTTCCACTTCTTCAATATCGGAATCGTCTTCTTCTTCTTCTTCTTCATCATCACCATCTACCGGCAGGCCTCGCCTCGTTGAGAATCGTTCGTAAGGTTGGATAACGGAATCTGGGCCGACTATCACACCATCACCGATCAAACACCCTTTTGCGATGTGTGTATTATCCCTGATGTTGACGCCAGCGCCGATAATGCTGCGTTCGATGGTGCAATTCGCTCCAATGACCGTGTTTTCGAAGATGTACGAGTTGCTGACGGTGGAGCCTGCTCCAATGTTGCAGCTCTGGCCGATGACGGATGCTTCTATGGATGCGTTTTCTGACACTTGAGTGGATGGACCGATCAGGGTGTTGGTGCCGATTTTACACGTCCTTATCAAGGGTTAGCTAGACTATTGTCAAAATTGCCAGTAGACCCAACATACCGTGCGAGAATTACAGAGTCGTCCTTGGCTATATAGCGGTTTCCTCGAGTATGTTCGTAGATGTGTCCGCCGGGATGGTTGTCATCAGGCACGAGTGGGAACGTCCATCTCGACAAAATGTCCTTGCTTCAGGGTGGATTAGCTATGATTTTTCTAGCAACAAAAAGGAAGCACCTTATTGACTCGTAACTTCGAGTATCCTGAACACGCGCCGCGTAGCCGTCCTTCGCAACGTAGCAGTGTATACTCTTCATGAGCAAATCCGACGTCAAAATCCCATGCACAAAGTCCCTACGAATATCCAAATAATCAAAGTTGTCTTGGAACAGAGATGGGACCTGTCCTAAATTCAGCAGAGAAACACAAGAAAAGTAACGATGGGGCACGGTACCTCAACAGAGCACACATCGATAGAACAATCTATCAAGTCGTTCCGAATCTCAACTTCCGGATGGGTAGCCAATATCTCTCGTGGTATACGAACGACGTTAGTTCTTGGATACCCCGTCAACGCCTCATAATGGAGACACTCTGACGTCTCCCTATCCAACACGAAAACCGAAGACTCTCCACGAGCTCTGCAAAGTGCACCCGTTAAATGTTAGATCACGTAACGCAAAAAAATCAGCAGCGCACCTCGTCCGATGCCTCACCCCACTCTCTTTAACAACCATCGTCATAATCGCATCTTTATTCGTCTTCCTCCGCTCCTTATGCACCCTAACCACCTCATCAATCCGGATATTACTCACCAAATCACCCATGACCAGCACGAAATCGCTAGTGACAAGGCCACGGGTGTAGATATCGCGCATCGCGTCTCCAGGTGAGAACGTTTCTTTGGCCGTCATTATTGGGACGATCTTCATCCCCGAGCCGGGTTTGGACCATTTGGATTCTCTGTAAGAGGATGAGAGGGGGGAGAGGCAGGAGATGAAGGCTAGGTACTTGATGGCCTCTTTGACGAGCTGGGCATGCGATCGACATATCACGAATACCTCTTGTACACCAGCGAGTGCCAGACTCTCAAATGTCCAGTCCAAGAGGGGGGCATTACAGATTGGCAGTAGACACTGGAGATAACGCAATCAACAGAGAAAAAAGACCCAGATGAACGATGATCCTGACGCGTGGTTTTCTAGTTGTGAGGGGCCTGAATCGCTTGTTGAAGCTATCAGCTAGGATGACGGCCTGCAGAACCTCTTCGTCTTCGTTGATGAGCTTTTCTTTGCCTGCAGGGGCAGCTTTTGAAGACATGTTGGGAGGAACGACGATGTGATTCAATTTTTACTGACCAGATGTCGTGAGGAAGACGCAGATCCGATCCAAATGTTTCCAAAACAGAAAAAATGAGATGATTACAAGAGAAGCTAAAGACATGAGAGCACGATCCTGGAAAAGCAGCTACGGGTATTGGTGGGAGATAACGGATCGAGTATTAGGTGTAAGGGCGGCTGTGGCTAGGTCATAAAGATCATCGAGGTGAAAAAGAATCCAAGAGTATCATAAAAAGAAGAGGAGTGGAAATATATGAATCCACGAGTGGGGAGGGGGGTTTGTAACAATGGGCCAAGATGAATGAGATAAAATGATAAAAAAAGGGCTCGTTAAGGTCGTCGGAGAACTTCAAAAGGGTCATCCCAATCACAGGGAACCCCTTATGCCGCTGCAGCGACGACGGGAGCAGTTGTGGGGGCAACCTCTGCGACGGGCTCCTCAGCCTTTGTTTCGGCCTCAGCAGCGGGTGCTTCCTCCGTCGCGGGGTTCTCCAAAGGAGCGACGGGCTCGGGCTCGTCGATCTTGGGAGGGTGCTCATCGACCTTGGCAGGGGCGGCAACCTCGGTCTTGGCCCTGGCCTTGAACAAGTCACCGACACGTGCGGAGAGACGACGGCCAACCTTTGCGGCTTTGGCGGTCACCTTGGCCTCCTTCTTCTCCTCCTTCTGGAACTAGGGTCAACGGGACATAACGGGTGATGGGAACAAGGACACAAACCTTTTCTTCCTTGACTTCCTCAGTTGCGGCGGGGGCTTCGGTGGCAGCCTCAGCCTCAGCGGGAGCATCGGTCTCACTGTATGGTGTGAGACGGGGCTAGACTCGGACGTAACTCAGTATGACTCACGCTTCTTTGGGAGCTTCTGTAACAGCCTCCTCGGTCTTGGCGGGCTCTGCGACCTCCTCGGTAACGGGTGCCTCGGTAGCAGCAGCCTCATCCTTGGCAGGCTCCTCAGCAGCTGGGGTAGCCTTAATAATAATAAAAAGAAGTTCAACAAATGAAATTGAACACGAAGAGAAAAAACCAACCTCTTCCTTCTTCTTCTCCTTCTTAGGGCTCTTGGGACCCTTGGACTTTTTGTCACCCTTGAATGTGTTCAAGAGCTTGGACAGCAAGCCAGGGCTCTTAGGCCTGTCTTCCTTCTTTTGCTCATCAGCCTATGAGAAAGACAAAGTTTAGTGAGAATCAAAAAGAAAGGAAGGTCAACGAACAGGCTTGGCCTCTTCCTTGGCGGGCTCTTCTGTAGCAGCTGCCTCGGTGGCGGGGGCTTCCTCAACAACGGCGTCGGTGGCGGGTGCCTCTGTGGTAGTGGCAGGCACTTCCTCAACCTAGAGACAGAGCGGGATAAGGAAAGTGGTCTTCTGACCGAGACAGGGGAGGGACGTACGGGAGCAGTCTCCTCAGCTTTAGGGGCGTCGGTAGCAGCGTCGGCAACAGGGGCTTCGGCAGGCTTGACTTCCTCAACGGCGACGACGGGTGCAGCGGCGACTTCGGTAGCAGACATTATTGCAAGATGGGGCGTGAGCTACAAAGGGAAAGTTTCAACTCTTTTTTGTTCAAGACAAAGGGCAAAGGGTTGGGTGGGAAAGAGGAAAGAGGGCGGCGACGGAGGGGATAGTAGAAGATACTTACTTGAAAAGGGAATTAAAAGACAAGTTTAGAGATTGAATTTGCGTGCTACGCAGCCTATGAACCCAAAGGGAGGTCGGAGAGAAATTAGGAAGGAAGGGATAGAGACCAACACTTTTACGGTATCAAGTTCTATTTATTTGCTTCAACATGTTTGCTCTTTGTTTGGCTCAAAATAGGGTCGTTGCCATGTTGGCATATCGTTGGGAAGCAAGTGTTCGCATGGCGGGTTTTATTGCCAGCCAAGACGGTGAATACGAGAATAACTGGTAAGATACAAGGGGGAATACCAGGACGCGGAGCACAGCAGCAAGCAGCTATTGTGACGCACTCTCTCCATTGTTCACCAATGGAGCTCCTTGTCACTATAAATCCCATCATGCAGGGGGCCCACCATAATTATCATGTCCCTCATTCTCTCCCCCCTTCTCATCTTTATCGCCTTTCTCCTCCTTCTCCTCGTGACCCTCTCCGCACCATTCATCCATCCCATATACCTATTCCGTCTATCCGTACATGCCTCTAGCTCTCTCTTCAACGCCGGTGTAAACGCCTCTGCCCAATTCGGCGCTTTCGGCTATTGTTTATCGGCCATCCAGGTCGCGTAAGTTCCACACTCTCCATTTGCCCCTCCCCTACTCACATCTCCCTCTAGTGTAGCAGGCATAAACAAGAGCACCCACCCAACATGCTCGCATCCACACCTCGGATATACTTTTGACAAGACCGTCGCAACTGCACTGCAAGTCCCTATTTCCATTTTGGTCTCGTGCCCGCTAACCACCGTCTAGTCACACAACCTCGATCCAGAATCTAATCTCTCGAACAACTACAGCTGCCCTTGTGATCCATCCCATAGGTCCATCCTTTCATATCTTTTTGACACACACACATAACCTAACCCCATTACTCCAGCTGCTGGCCTCAGCTTTCTCGCTTTGCTAACATCCCTCTTCATGCTCCGTCGCGGCCAAAACGGCACCGCAAGACTTCCATCCCTCCTGACCCTTATCGTCGGATCCACAGCTGCAGTCCTAACCACCATCGTCTTTCTCATTGACGTGATCTTGGTAGCTGTCCTACGCCATCGCATACAAAAGGCTTCTGATGGCGATCTTACCTTGAATTGGGGAAACGCGGTATGTCGTCATTATCACCGTGATGGACGTTTTGCCTCAATTCGCTACAGGTCTGGATGATCCTTGGAGCGACTGTTGCCTTATGGTCAGCGATGCTTGGAGCCGTTTGCGGCGTATGTGGATGCGGTTCACGAAATAGGCATGTTACTTTCCTGTCTTTGCATTCCAAATGCTTATCGTCTTACTTGCAGGAAATACTAATGACTTTACGAATCTTCTGGACGGAATTTATGCCTAGACACGACTGACATACATACCCGTACTGTATATAATACCCTCCAATGAGTAACTGCTTTTCCCATTCTTTCAAGAATCAAAACATCACTATGTTTATTTTAATTTCGCATCAGGCACAAGGGCTTCCATGTGACAATCAAAAAAGTCCAAATCCGTGGTTCTTCCGAAAAATCAGAGGAACAACATAGAACATCAGGCTAGCCTCAGGTCTGCGTCATTCACGTCGATCACACCTTGATGCGCTCCCTTCTTCCTCATCAAGCTCATGCTTTCGCGCGTACGAGCCCAGGCCCTGCCTTGTTACGCGGTGGAACGCGTAGACCCTTGGCTTTCATCCGCCTTCGTTTCGCCTCTGCAAGAACAACAAAGTCAGAATACAGCCATCTTCCAACAACACAGACAACGAACCCTCAAGATACGGACGATCTTCCTCTGAATCAAACCCAGCAGACTCCTCCTTGTCTACACCCTCATCAGCAGGTTCTTTCATCTCCGCATCAACAGGTGCACTCTGCGCCTTTGTCCTCTTCTCCACCTTGAACTTGGAAACAAAGAATCCATCCATATTATGCACGTGCGGATAAAATCTCCTTGTGAGATTCAGACTCGGGTTGAACGTCTTGCCACGGTACTTTGTGAATCCCTCGCGCCCAAAGGAAAGCCCAGTGTCCACAAGCTTCACGTTGGGTCGTTTTCGGAGGGCGTAATCTACCACCGCCTCGTTCTCGTCCACCGTGACGGAGCAGGTCGAGTAGACAAGGTATCCGCCCGTTTTGGATTCGGGACTCACGCTGTCGATGGCGCAAAGGATGAGCTGCTTTTGAAGATGGGAGAGGAGGGTAAAGTCGCGATCGGACTATGAAACGTTGAGTTGAGGAGGCGATTCATACAGTTAAAAAGACACTTTACCTTGTTGAGCTTGACGCTCGAATCCTTGCTTATAACACCCGTCCCACTACATGGTGCGTCCAAAAGCACGCGGTCAAACCCACCCATCACCTTTGGGAATTCTCGGCCGTCGTACGAGCACACGACAACGTTCTTACATCCCAAACGATGCACGTTGGCAGTAAGACTCTTCGTCCTAGCCTTATTCGCGTCATTCGCGAATACCACACCCGTATTCTGTAACAAGGCAGCGATGTGCGTCGTTTTCCCACCAGGCGCAGACGCCATATCCAGCACGCGTTCATTGGGTTGAGGAGAAAGCGCGATGACGGGGAGTAAGGAGGAAGCAGCTTGGAGCATATAGTGACCTGCCAAGTACTCGGGGGTCGCACCGATAGGAACGCTACTTTCAAAGACTTGGAGTCCGACGTTGGTCCATTTCCCGATGGGTTCCAGGTTCACACCGCGGTTCACGAGTGCTTGAGCTAGATCACGTCTTCTTGTTCGTAAGGTGTTGGTTCGAATCGTTACAGGACGAGAGACTTCGTTTGCCTCGAAAAATTCGATAGCCTTGCACAAATTATGAGAATCAGGGTAGAATGAAGGAAAGTAAAAGTTACCTCGGCAACAGGGAAAAGTTGGAAAAATTTCTCGACCAGGAAATCGTTGTAACCGTAATAGCTAGCTATATCAGCCATAAGCTGGCCTGTATATTCTGACCGTGAACTGAAAAGGAGGATAAACGATTCAAACAACATCACAAGAACACAAAATAACTGACCGGCCTTTCTCAGCGCGTTTCGAAAACTTTTCAAGGACGCGTACGCACTCCCTCAGACGGCGTTGCACGACCTGTAAATCCGGACCTCCCCTAGCCTTTTCCTCCTCCCGCTCAGCAGCCGTAGGCAGATGAAAAGGTTCAGCATCCATATTACCCTCTTCATCCGCCTCCCCATCCATATCCACATCTTCGTCTTCTTCTTCGTCCTCTTGGGCTCCCCGCAGCTCTTCCGCGTCGAGCTCGGCCTCTGCGGCTGCACGGGCATCGAGGGCTTTTGATCGCGCTTCCATGTTGGCCATCGTCACGCGTTCCTCGTCGTCTGAAGCGTCGGAGTCATCACTGGAGGCGTCAGAGGCTGTTGGGATAATTTTGAGTGGGCGTTCGGCCTGTTTTGATTTTTTCCGTTTCCCAATGGGGGCTTTGGGTGAGTCTCCTTCTTCTTCGTCGGTATCGAAATCAAATTCCTGAAGCGGACCACGTAGAGGCTCGTCACTAGGAAAAAGCATGAGTTCGTGAAGCGCAAAGGGAATAAAAAGAAGTAGGTCGCACTCGACATTATCCAGGTCAAATTCGTCTAAATCAAGATGAACGTCTGGATCTTCCTCGTCATCGTCGTCGAACAGAGACCTAGCAGCCCGTTGAGCGATAAACCGAAATGAAGATAACAAGGACCACAAACTTGACATGCGTTTTCAAATCTACATCATCATCGACGTCTTCCCAGCCGTCCCCACTGTCCTGATCCTCAATTGAAACCTTCTTCTTTGAGCCCTTGGTCGCTTTCGAGGTCACCTTCGTCTTCGCCTTTGGGTTCCCTTGACCGTCCTTCACTTTCTTACTCGGCCGCTGACTTTGCTTCCCATCGACGTCATCCGAGTCTGCTTTTCGTTTTCCCAACTTCTTGGAAGACGGCGTCGGCTTAGCGTCCAATGGCTCAGGGGCACCCTGCTTGTTCTTCGCGCGACGACCCATTTTTTTTCTGGAAGGTAAAAGAGCTGAAAAAAATGTGGAATAATGGATTGTACATGTATTACAATGTTTTCTAACGCGATGTGTTGCAAACACTTTGCCCCCCTCAACCGACGCGAATACCCAACGCGAAGCCTACGATGAAGGATGCTCGTGGTTGGAAGTCGGCTGTTAGGAAGTCGATGAGTGTGTTCCAGATCGATGAGACTGTTGGAGGCTTTTTCGTTCCCGTCCCGTCTCGCCTGTAAAACATTTCACCAAATCTTGAAGAGACCCTTCCCCAATCTATGCGGACGACAGAGGTTGACGCCATGTACTTGCAGGTGGAATGAGATTTGTGATCTATTATTATTATTATTATCACGTACTTGGAGCAAGACGAATACACCGCCCAGGACAACCGCCAAGGCTTTCGCGCCCTTCTTCACAAAAACGCCGGCACACAGTCCAGCTACCGTTCCAAAGCCCAATTCGTATAACGAAAGCGACGACGCTGGAGGCGGAGGAAGGTCAGGTAGGTAAACCTGGGATTTAGGCAGTGCTTCTCCATCGCAATAAATTGTTGGCTTGGTCGTAAAAGAAAGGCCTACTCCAAGAGAGGTAGCTGCGGCGACCTTGACGAAATTTGAGGAAGACGCGTTTCTAGCTGGGAGTCCTAGCCGAGAGGCCTTTGGAGTAGAATGGAATGCTCTGAGCGCGTGGAATCTGAAAACTGATGGGCGACATTGACGAGTGAGGGTGAAAGACATGATGGTGGCAGTGACGTCACAGTTCAATCAACCTTCATGTCTTCAGAGCACCATCCTCTCCTTCCAACAAGTCACGCTGAACAACATCCCTCAAAGTATCACCACTACCGCGACAAAACAGCAGAATTACTCGAAAGCCCTCGTCTCCACAAACTCGTCATAGCCCTCGTGCGTACTCTAACACTTCCTGCGCCTACTCAACTTCTTGCCAAGCCAGATCGCTACAGATGCCGTATGCGTCCTGATCGACCTAGGCTATACAGTCCTTTCAACAGACTGCACACCCGTGGGTGGCGAAGCCCCAGAATGGCTCGAAGTATTAGCCCACATCTCACTCCTCATCACCACCCTTTTCTTGATCGAAATCCCACTCAACTTGTGGGCTTTTGGGCGGCAGCACATGAACCCCTTCGGACCCGTCCCCCACGCCGCTTTACACGCATTCGATACATTCGTTATTCTGACAACGTTCATCTTGGAGGTCGTGTTGCGCGGCAGTGAGAGGGAACTCGCGGGACTCCTCGTCATCTTGCGATTGTGGCGGCTCGTGAAACTAGTAGGAGGTTTGCAACAATCTTTTTCTTTTTTCGTTCAAAAGCTGATACCAGTTGGGGCAGGTGTCGCCATTGGCGCCGGTGAACTTGAAGAAGAGAACGCCCGAATTTTGGCTGGAACACGCAACGAACGTGATCATCTCAAGGCCGAACTTGAAGCCTCTCGTCAGGAAAACGAGAAACTTCGTAAACAGTTAGGTCTTCCCAACACAGGCGTTCAGGATATCCCAGATAGATAAATATACCAGACATTATTCCAATGATACAGTGCTCTACTATGCTACAATTATTTCAGAGTCCAATCAATTACTCTCTGTTCAAAATCATGAAAAGACGTAAGCTTCTACCGATGAGTATGTGGCACAGTGTGAACGTTGATTCCTCTAAGCGCATCGGCCCGAACCCACTCTGACAAACGGGGCAGTGGGATGGGCAAGTCATGGTCAATAACAGGGGGATAATCCGTCGTCATAAAGTGCGATCCATATTGAGAAGGAGTTTCAGAGCGCGATAGGACTCTTGATTCCCGGAACTTTTCAATGAAGCGAGAGCCAACCGTCCCCGTTTTGGATGCTTGCATCTTCGCGTATATAGGCGTCAAGGGCAAAGACTTTTCGCCCATCGATTGTGGAGACGTTTGGGTGGACAGCCCTCCATCTCGCTTGGCAAACGGAGCGTCGACGCCCCGTCTGACATTGGTTACGCGTGCCCAGGGCGCTGGGATATCGGTGTCGATCGACTGAGCCTTTAACTTGCGGCTGCTAGTAGATTCGATATCATCCAGGTATCGGGAATAAGGGTTTTCTTCCTCGTGCGGCTTTTCCTCCCAAATATCATTTGCACGCTTTTGGGGTTGTTGCTTCGATGAAGCTCTTGGAGAGTTGAACCAGCCAACCGTATACATCGTTTTGCTCCATAATTCGGGGTCATCACGGACATGCGCCATACTCGTGAAGAACAATGCCAGAAAGTAGCTGAAAGCTGTAATGTGAGTTTTAGCAAGCGGCTTCGTTCGTGAGTGATCGAACACGTACAAACGAGGCTCTTCAACCACGTCACCGGAAGTAAAAGCGAAACCGATACGCAGATCTCCCAATCACTTTTTCCGCGACAAAGCATCAGAGGTCCATTCGCTACAACGCTGATAGCAGCACCTATATAAAATCCTAAGTCAGCGCCACGTTCGTGTACGTCAAGTGAAAGGCACATACCAATCTCAAACACACTCAACAATGCCACCCAACCGCACTCGAAGGGGATGTATGACGTTTTAATTCGTGGGCGGAAGAGCTCCGCTAGGGCACTGATAACGCAATGTTCAGCCATGGATGGTAGAAACTCTGGTGCGAACACCATCTAGAACGTACAGAGCGACGCAAGCGAATAAAAGACAACTCTCAAAGACAATGAAGATAGAGGTGGCAGGGACTGTTCAGCAATTACATGTAAGTAAGCGCTTGAAACGTTTCGTGGATAATGCATAATGCATACCTGAAAGTCCAGCCACCGAACTGGCGCTAATATTCCACGCAGAAAAAATGAGCGTCAAAAGATTTAGGTTAATCAATAACGCTGAGAGAACAATATTGATTGAGAATGTATGCTCGAGAAAGGACACGCAGCATACCAAAAAACACTGATCGAATAAGAAGAAAAATATTCTGCATGGCGTGAATAGTCGTCGATATGGGTTCGAAAAGATATCTAGGTGTCGTGAATGGGGCACGGCCAGCGTCGATGCGTCAGGCTGGAGTTAGGTGACGCTGAAGAGAGAAGAACGAGGACTCTGAGAAACCTTCGCCACCAGTGACGGGGATAGAGAGCACGTCGTTGCACCGCGCGGACTTTTATTCATTCGAAGTGGATTCATATATCGCAGAAGCAATGGGGCTAGAGAACAATGCTTTGAAAGAGTCACAATGGCAGAACAATGGCGCCCACTGTCAAAACAACCGGGCGCCTCCGGTCCGTTCATACCAAGCCAAGGATCGTCGAACAACCTCACGGACTCTGTAAGAAACGTACAAATACAATAAGTACATAATGTTACATGTTCACAGCATAAATCATGTATGAACTCTCGTATTATATGCACTAATGTTTGAGAGATCAAGTGGTGGGGGTCGGTCGGTGGAGTTTGCCCGTCTACGAGGTCCTGTAGGTCGGGTACGAGGAAGTGAATTTGACGCAAGGACCTCTCGAGGAGGACTTTGTTGTGGGGGCCGTTCTCGTTGAGTAGATCTCTGTTGTTGATGAGACCTCTCTGCTCGAGGAGGACTGTGTTGTTGAGGTGGCTCTTGCCTATGTTGATGAGGAGGCTTTTCTGCTCGAGGCGGCCTCTGTTTAGACTTTGTCGGTCGCGACGTTGCATCTAGCCGTGGCCAATCGCCAAGAGGGGGCGGTGATGCCGGCAGAGGTCGAATGCCAGCTGCACCAAAAGGTTGTGCGTGCTGAGGTGGTTGAGATTGGAGAGCGCTTTGCACGTAATCGGGGTAAAATAGATTTGATATCATATTTTGTGGTGTACGCCCTGGAACCACCGCAGAGGGTATAGGAGGCATAGGTTTATCAACTTGAGTTGAAGTCGGTGGTGGCTTATAATGCTCGATCTCGTACTCCAGTCCGAGGCCAGAACGATATGAAAATACCGCCGGCGGTTCCCCACCAGTGGGCGGGCGGCGTGGTTTAGGTGCTATTATGACTGGAGCTGTGCGTTGGAATCTAGGCAAAGTTGGGGAAGCCGGCGCACTGGACAAAGCCCGCCGGCCATACAGCCACTGGAATTTACGTGCGCTGCAGTGCCATATTGTAGGGTCTTGCTTGAACTTCACCATGGCAGCACCAAAGAGGAGTGCAAAATAACAAAGCACTGCGAGTACCACGGAGGTCAGAACAAACCGAATAGATGTCTTGGCAAATGATACAAACATAAAATAGCGGAAAGCCAAGTGAAAGCCTGCAACACTTGCGTAGACGTACATGACGAACTTGACGTGAAAATTCCTACGAGTGTGGGATAAGCAAAAGCCGCCCATGGTCATCAAATCACACGCACTTAGACGTTGACAGAGCTGAGTGTGCGTTACTGCGGTCAACGCGATTGCACCAGCTTCAAGAAGCAAAAGCATAAGTAAGAGGTTCAAGGGTCAGAACACTGCAGAACCTACCAAGTTCCATAGCCCCGAACAGAGCGGTCCATGTACATTCAAACCATATCCGACCCAATACGACATTCTTCTCAAAAAGTTCGAAAAAGAGCCTATAACACTCCATGAGTATGGGTGCAAGCAAACGACTTTCAAAGGTGACGGACACTGGTAGTATCAAGGCCAACCCAGAAGACCCCAAAAAGATCAAATAGGCGTCGATTTGCGTCGAAGAGACTGCGATAAGTAAGTGTCAGGATGCCCGTGCGAGTCTCTCTTGAGAAGTAACGTACGCTTCCAATTGATGGCTTGGACGATGCTCATGTTCCAGACAGCGACGCTTGCGATGGTGGCATTACAGATGACAAAAAAGCCTTGTAGATAATGGTCGGTTAGCACACGCCGTTGCCATGAGCTGGACGCCCAGCAACGACGACTCACCGAACACAGTATATCGAAATGCTTTGAAAGCTGCCAGCATACTTTTTCATAGAGTCCTGAACAAGGGAGCGTGAGGGGTTCCGGTCGACGGCAAGATGACAGAAAAAAGGTGGAGCAAAACAGTGGGCTTCTTGGCTAAGTTTAGGAACGCATCATTGATAGGTTTCAAACTCAGCACACAGAAGATGTTATAGATGTAACCCCATTAGCTCTCAAAGGGATATCCGAAGCAGCGCGGTATTATAGGGTATTATTACTTACATCGACATTATATCTGTATACATTGACAAGTAATCAAGGGGAGCCACCAGCTGCAGGATCTTTGGACCATGATATCCCTTGCGCTACTCACGGCAAAGTGGTGGCACTACATGCTTATGACAGATTTTGCCCATTTACAACGTGCTGAAACGCCCGCGCGCCCGACGTGAGACTGCCTGAAGGCTGGCATGCAAGCCACGATGTGTGGGGGTTGTATGTCAACCCGACTAAAATCCACTTCGATTGGAGGAGCCACAAAAGATTGTCCCGAGCCCAATGGAACGGAATATCTTGGTTCAGGGTTCGAGATCCGATAACGGGCTATTAGGTCCCTCAAGTTCTACCGATTAACGGACGCGGGGTGGCGGTGGTCTCGAAAACGTCGCCGCTTCTGCCGCCCACGGGCGAGTAGGGGTACTTCGGGATGCTAGTCCACCATGATCACTACTATGTGTCAGAACATTCCGCGTTAGGTCCGGGACATATGATTGCACCTCCTGCGATGAATCCTCTGAGAATCGCTGGACGAGTTTCACCAAGATGGGCGGGATAGGATGCGATTTTCTGACCAGTCGTTCTGCCAGCAACTTTTTCAATTTTCATCAAACACTTACAACAGTTTCCAAACACACCATATATGATGGTAGCAAAGCGGGCTACACCAATACGAACTCCCTCGACGACGTCATTGGACAGATCAGCAACAGACATGAGAAAATCGAGATCATGACTGGCAGCAGCTGCTTTGCCGTCGTCTCCCACAAACAAAAGGCGAGCTTGTTGGCAAGCAATAAATCTGCCAGGTATATCAAATGTGGGACATTTGAAAAATAGGAAGAAAAAACGTACGTCATCCGCCTGCGATACATGGCAGATTTAGCCAGTTTCCGGAGGTTGACCTCAAGAGCAGCACTAACATCTGCTTGTGGGGAAAACAACGACAACACTTGGGGAAGCTGGAGCACGTCAGCGGAAAAACAATTGAAACAAAAGTTGTGCACTCACCATCGAAATGGCTGTTTCCCTGACGGCAGCTACATCATCCTCAAGCGCCTTCAGAAGAAGACCCGAAATGCTTGAAGAAATAGCTTCTCCCAACATATGAGCAAAGGTTAATAGCCGTTTCGTAATGGCATCCCGCTCTCTCCATCCCTTGAATACACCTTCCTCCCAAACCGTCAGAAGCCCTTGCAAAAGCGACATACCCGCCGCCTCTCCGACCACACCGATTAAAACATCAGATGATTCAACAATCTTCGTCCGAACCTCCTCCTCCTCGCACCGAATCGCGTCCCACCAAACGGATATCAAATCCCTCTGCGCAAACTTCTGGCCTATTATTTCAGCCATCTTTCCTAAACTCGCGGCAAGTGTACGCCGGACTTTGGAAGATCGATTGCTAGCGACGTCAGCATACGCGTCCCTCAGTTCGTCCCATCTTGATGCCCCTAGTGTAAGAGCGACAGCCGGAAAATTAAAAGCGCACGTCAGAGGTCGACCGGGATCCCGATAAAAAGACTCGAGAGGGTCAATTTCGGCCGGTGGTGTTTGTTGTTGTCCATCACGTACGCGTTTGTCTTCCCCTCGTCCGAGGAAAAGATGTAGGAGTTGTTTCGGGGGGCCGGTCCGATCATTTTGAAAGGTGTGCACAACCTCACCGAGAACCTCCAGCGCTCCCGACCGCACTATCTCGTTCTCGTCAGAAGAAAGCGAGACGATAGTTTCCAAAGCGAGGGACCGTCGGTGATCTGGAGAGAGTCGGGAGAGGATGGCAGGTAGGGCGAAGACGGATGAATAGCGGACATGCAAGTTCACGTCCGATTGAAGGGAGTGGAATAACGGTAACTGTTTTGGAGTTGAAACATGCAAGCGTAAAACGCTGACGAATCACTCACAAGTGACATCGTTACGACTTCCTCCGGTACGACCTTCGCTAATGCCCCCATAACATAGGATGCTTCGCATCTTACGTAGGAAAATGGATCTCGGCCAACGCGTTCGACTTCTTTCACGAACGCAAGTTTGGTCTCATCGCTGAGCGAACCTTGCAGGGCTCTATATCAGCATCACCTTGTTCGCAATAAATTTACAGCAATGACTGACCACTTGCAGTGACGGCAGCCATCAAACTCATGCTTGATAGGCGCCCCACAGCAGCTTGTTGCTCGTCCTCCCCACCTTCACTGTAAGTTTTGTGATCATATTCGTAACCACCGTGAGGAAAATGGCCGACGCGGTGAGCAGCGACCTCTACGGTTAAACCCTGTGGAGGGAGAGGCAGGTGGCCAGCTGTTGGTATTGACGGATGAAGTACAGCTTGCGGAGAATGGCCAAAATAAGATGACGTAGGAGAATCAGCCCCACTATGCTGCGGAAGAACAGCCGGAAAATACGGATTCAGCTCGTTGGCCTCGATGTGTATCGTTTGTCGAGTTTGCTCCCCAGGAGAAAGGTATGGACTCTGGTGTATATCATCCGTCTCCAAGAGGTCGACATCAAGTCTTCCCATCCCAATAACAACCTGCTGAAGAATTTCTTGCCGAAACATCAACCTCTCATCTCTTCTAAATAAACCAACCAAAGGCTGGATGTCGTCATCAGGGTCAAAATCTGCCCCACCTTGGTCATCAGCATCGGATAGGTCCTCGTATATACCCATCTCTATATCATCGATTTTTTGCATACGCAACAAGAGTTTGACGACAGCCGTACGGGAATGTTTGCTGACATCGCCGCTGGGACTGAGAAGGAGGGTACCGAGAATGGGAGTAAATGCTTGGACGGATATGGTGACTGTAGTAGACGATGAAGCATACGCTTCGTCTAACGAAAGGTCGTCTGGAATAACTTGACAATTCTAAAAATGGCAACTCAGGGCGGGTTGTATGTTGGAAAATAACTTATAGACACACTGTGAAAAACCACCAAATGATGGGAACAAGCTCTGCGGTGAAAGCTTCCCTCACTTTCTCGTCTACAAAAAAAATGATTGGCGAAAAAAAAACAAAGAAATACAGAAGAAACATGCCTTCATCCATAGCCAAACCACTGAGAAGGGGTAAAACGTATTCGACTGCCTCTTGAGGGGTAATTTGATGAAGATAATCGGGAAGAGCATGAGCGATGAAGATTCGATGAAAGCTGGCTTTGCTCCTGGAGTAGAGATAAATTTTTTCCAATGGGCTGAGGCCCTCATCATCTAGAACTAAATCCATAGCAACGTCAATTGCGACGGGAAAGGCGTCGTCAGTTTGTGAATCCCGCGTGGGGGTTTCTTTGGATTTGGGTGAGATCTGTGGAACGGATATTGGGATGGAAGGAGGGTTTGAGTCTAACACGGGCAAGATGTTAGCAAAGGGAGAAGTGGGTGGAGTAAAAAAAGGAGCGGAAGGCGAAGGAGGGGATTCGGATGGAGTGGAAGGTGCGGTGTGAAACTGAAGACATGGCGTGTCTGGGGTTGAGTTGTTATTGTCTAGCGAGAAAGAGAGAAAGACAGGAGGAGGAGGAATTTGTATGTGGTTTGGTGGGGATTGACGAAATTGGTCTGTTTTCTGCATGGTAGTACTGACCGCGATGGAACGACATGGATGTAACAACAGACAGCAACACACTTCGGAGGTTGCAACGGGACAACTACGGCCTGACCGACAACGGCGGGATCTCACAAGATGATGTGCTTTATTTTTACATGACGTCATTATAATCTAGACCAAAATGACGTATCTCTAATGACGTCTACCGAACGACTTTGTCCAAGTTCTCCGCAAAGTATCTAATGTTGTGGCTGTTTAACCCAGCCATCGAAATCCGTCCGTTCGCAGTAAGATAAATATGGGCCTGCTCAACAAGCCCCTTGCTCTGTTCTGGGTTGATCCCCGTAAAACTGCGCACAATCAGCAAACAATTCAATTCATCATCATATCTACTCACCTGAACATCCCAATCTGGTTAACGATATGATCCCAGTTACCAGGAGTTTTCAATTCCTGAGTTAGCAACCTGTGCAACTCGTGTCGCATCGCAATAATTCGCTCCGCCATCGTTCGAATGTCTCTCTTCCATTCCTCAAACAACCCAGCGTCGTTGAGAATAAGAGACACCTGTAAATTCTTTGAATAAAAATGTTCCTTCCGTTGCTGTAAACGTACCAGTCTGGCACCATGCGATGGAGGGTTGCTAATCTCACTTCGCTGCAACACCGACAGCTGACTCTTCACACGCGTCGCAGTCTCCGAGTTCGCGCTAACAACGTGAAGCGCACCCACACGTTCACCGTACAACCCCGCATTCTTCGCAAAGCTCTGGACAACATCATCAAAACGCGTATTCTCCGTTCCTCCATCTCACTCACCTGGCACACAAGAAGCGGCACCCCAAGCTCAACAAAGTACCTCACCGCCCAGGCGTCCTTGTCCAAATCACCACTCGCGAAGCCTTGATAAGCGCAGTCGAAGAACGCATAGTGTTTCTTCTCCAAAATGACCTGCGCGATCACCTTCCACTGTTCCTCCGTGGGGTCTACGCCCGTAGGGTTGTGCGCGCACGCATGAAGCAAGAACGCGGAACGCTCAGGCGCAGCCCGGAGCGAACCAATGAATCCTTCAAAATCCAATCCAATGGTCTTCGGATCATAGTATGGGTATTCTACAGGCTCGATCCCGACATTTTTAAAGATCGCGTGGTGGTTGGCTAATGTCGTCGTAAGCCGTCAGTTTACCTGTTTACGAAAAGGAAATCCTCACCCCAGGTCGGATTACTCAAATAAATCCTCGGTGCCCCATTCCATGTGTAAAACCTCGACAAAAACAAGGCTCCCAAATGATTGGCACCCGTTCCAGAGATAGTCTGGACACTAACGGTCCTTCCTTCTGTAAGTGCGATCGAACTAGGACCGAGGATCAACTTTGCCGCGGCAGCTGTATATTCCGGAAGCCCAGTGATCGGGAGATATTCATGATCGAGCGTCTCGTCATTCAAAAGAATCCGAGTAACCTATTCGCGACTTTCAGTTCTCGGGATGTTCTCAAGGACGAACAATATTAATCTCCCAACCTTTTTGACGACGGGTAAAACCCAAGGTTTATTATCGTCATCACGGTAAGCACCCACACCGAGATTCACTTTCTTCTCAAAAGGGTCCGCTTTGTACGCGGCGGTGAGTTTGAAGATACTGTGTTTGATATCGGGTGAGATTCTTGCTTCTTGCTTCTAACGGAAGGCCGACCTACCTATCCGGGGGCGCGAGCGGGACTTCCTGCCACAATTCTATCGGAAGAAACGGGATGGTCAGTTCCGTCCGTGTAGCAATGAACAACTCCGTAGCGCACCGGCTGGCATGGCTGGAGCAGAGAGGTGACTTGCGAGTTGTTTTATTCTAGCGGCCATTGTCAGTCAGAAAAGATCCTTGAACTTGAGGAGAAAAATAGGTGTGTGCAGATGGTAGCTGGGGTAATGAATAAGGACCGGCTGCAAGTACTGACGGGTTGTGGGGCAATATCAAATGTCAAAGCGACTCACGCCTCGATCTACACGTGATATCAGATCGGTGAAGCTCAGCAACGGCGACGACGACGACTAGCTGGTTGACTGACAATTTTTGTCAACGACGAATGAGGATCAATGTAAGAGTGAGTTTTTGGCCATGTCGGTCGAACGTCGGGTTTATATACATCTTGAAAACGTGATCATCGGACCGACTCAAGGAACGTTGTGATTTGGAAGAGATCGTGTTTCAAAGAAAAAGCAAAAGAAAAAATTATAATAGGACAAGTGTACAATACTAGTATGGAATATATGGGTGAACTGGGGTGTCCATGCGATGCGAGGGCATTAATAGATAGTGGTGCTGCACATGGGTCCAAAGCGCCATTCATGCGCAGAGAATAGATGGCGAGCGGCTCAAAGAGCGACGACGGAGGAAGGTGTGGGGATGATGAACCATGAAAGGCCTGGGGGGTCTACGCAGCGGCAATCTTGGACGCCACCGTCCGCTCGCTCTCCAGTTTGTTCTTATTCCGATCAAACGCTTGTTGCCGGCAATCTTCAAGGTTGGAGCAATCATGGTGCTCCGGCAGACGGTGCTATAAGAGGTGAAAGGGGGCGTTGAGAAGATGGTCACGCGAGGGTCAAGAGAAAAACGCACCGAGCCGCAGAACTGATTCCTGCAGTGGGGGCATTGGCCGACGATGCGCAGGGCAGCGGAACTGCACTGGGCATCGGTGTTGATCTGGAACTGGCAGCGCTTCTTAGCAGCCATGATGGTGATAGGACGGGTGGGATAAGTGTGATGGAGAGGGCGATGAACGGGGGAGAAGACGACAAAGAGGACGACGGCGAACGGACTAGCAGCGGGCAAGGGCGTGGGGTTTGCGATAAAAGGCTCTGTGAAGGTGGTAACCAGCTTATATATATGTCAGAGGCACAAGGACACCCCTGAGAAGACGCGTAAGCCCCAGACCATCACAGCCACTCGGAACACTAAAGTCCCGTGCCGACGTAAAAAAATATCCATTCCGAACCGGAAGATAGGTAGGGTATCATAAAAACTATGGACATTGCTCAACAAGCAAAATTAGAATAAGAATGGCTATAAGGTCCTTTCTCTCATGGGGGAATAAGAACTCGTTCAAATCGGGTCGTTGTATCAGGCATGCTGTTACCAGGGTCATCAGTCGAAGTTTCAAAAGCTCAAAAAAAAAAACGTACAGAAGAGGCAGCGGGAGCAGCAGTGGTTGTTTTGTTCGTATTGAGGTTTTTAGTCACCTCGATGGCGACGACTATCGCAATGATGATCAGAATAACGAGAATGATGAAGAAACAGATCCAGCGCTTCTTGCGTGCCGCACGTGCTGAATCGACGGCTTTTGAAGTGTATTGCAACCTATTCAAGTTACGGTCAGAAATATCAGCTTTGTCGAGTGGCAGGCACGAACCCAATCTCAGTGTCTTTTTCTACTCCTGCTGCCTGAGTTTCAATGGCATTTATTGTCTCGTCCTGCTGTTCAACGAGAACGCTCATCTAATGGAGACATCAGCAAAGTTCAAAAATAGAACTCAAATTGGGACGAACATCGTTAAATAGCTGTGCAAGCTCTCCGAGCGTTTTTTCAATTCGTTTGATATCCTCATGCCTTTCCTGAACTTCACGGTAAGCGGCGCGGGATTCCGTGAAACGGGAATTCAACAACTGGAAGTAAGGATAGTTATGAGTTTTTCTTGTTAACGGGAATAGTTTGCACTCACAGCTTGACTGAAGATTTGGCCACCTTGCTCGTCGTTGACGACAGCACGGACTTCCTCTGGGGTCGCATCAGGTTTAACTGTAATGAAAAGTGAGTAACGAAAGCGTCTTGGTTAGGAAAGCAGCCGACCAATCTTAAATTGCCTCTCCATTCTTTGCTTGTACTTCGTGCGGTATTGTTGCTCCACAGATTGGTAATTCTGGATAGCCTCCACGAATTTTGACTTCACCAAGGCTGTCTGTTCCGCGTTTCTCTTTACCGTCCAAAGCTGGATATCAAAACGAATGACATACCTGTTGCTTTCTGATTTGTCCATCCCGACCCGGACCTCCCTGGGCCTCTAGCGCCTTTATCCGGCGTTTGAGCGTTGCACTGAGGGCGCTGGTATCCTCGACAAGCTCGTCCAACTGAGCGGCATTACGTTGCGCAGCGGCATCGTCCATGTTGTTCAGGGAGCGCGAATGGAGATCGCTAATTCGCGTGACATTGTCATTGAAAGTTCGCAGACTGTCTTGAAGCGAGGATATCTGCAAGACCAGTAAGCAGCAGTGACAGGGTCGGATGTTGCCGTAACGCGTACTTCATTATAGAATGCTGGCATGCCTTCTGTAGGCGTCGACGACCCCAAATGTGTCCTGCTGTCCCTCACGTCCGACATCTCATACGAGCTATTGTCCTGCTGCGCATATGGGTTTGGTCTGCGGTTCTGGTATCCGCCTCCTGACGCCTGCGTCGGGTACGAATCCCTAAACCAAAATTCGCTTCAAAGTCAAAGAAAAGGGGCTCATATAGCGTACGTAGAGGTATTTCCGCCTTGTTGCTGAGCCTAGAAAACGTGAATACCGCAAACATTGTGTCAAAGTCCATGTTAGCTTACCCGCATAGCGGCCAACCTGTCTCTCGCCATTGGTATGTGTGTATATCAAAGACAAAGAAAATAGTGAAAAAAATAAGTGTGCAGATAGATATCGGTGTGATAGAAGCGCTGACGGTGGAGGGGAGGTCGATCGAGGCGACGTTGAAATGTGAGGCTGTGACCTGGCTGTGACCGTGCAACAAAACCAACAAGGACAAATAATATGGTTCGACCAGTGTTTTTGCTTGGTTTTTGCAGTGTATACTTATCATGCAATGCTAGAGTACATTTTTCCCTGCTAATCCTAGTATGTCAGTAATTGCCATTGATTTCATTTTCAGTCGTCCAATGCAGCGCGAAGAACCGAAATTTGCCTCTCTACCATTTTTCGACTTGTGCCTCCAATTGATTCCCTTCTTTCCACGCTTGCCTCAAAGTCGAAAACGTCGTGCACATCTTCTGTAAATTTGTCGCTCAACGTCTTGTAATCCGCCAAAGTCAGGCCATCGAGTTGGCATCCTCGCGCCTCAGCAAGGGCAACAGCTCGTCCCGAAATGTGATGAGTTTCGCGGAAAGGAGTCTGATAAAGGAAATTAATCTTAACGTCGAAGACGCGGACGAAACCTACCCCTTTGCGAACGAGGTAGTCGGCCAGATCCGTAGCCAGCACGTCCATGGTCAAAGCTTGACGCATTTTTTCAGCGTGGACCTAATTTTTCGTCTCAGACGGGGCAAGGTCAAAAAATGAATACCTACATCTAACGTAGCAACTACGCCCTCTGCAATTTTAAATGACGCAGATACATTGTCAACGGCATCGAAAAGTGGTTCTTTGTCTTCTTGGAGATCCTTGTTGTAAGTGGATGGCAGGCCCTTCAGAGTCATCAAAAAGCCAGCCATCTGCAAAAATATAGTCAGAGCGGCCTTCGATCCTTCTATGAGCGAAACCCACGTTTCCAAAGACTCGGCCAGACTTCCCTCGAAGCAGTTCCAGGGAGTCGGGATTTTTCTTTTGCGGCATGATGCTCGAACCCGTACTGAAATTTTACTTAGATCATTTGGCACTAAAAGGCGTAAACGAACTGACCTATAGGCGTCACTCAGACTAACAAAGCCGAATTCAGCGGTTGAGTAAATCACCAAATCCTCTGCCATTCGACTGATGTGTGTCATTGCCAAACTTGCCCACATGAGGAACTCGACGATAAAATCCCTATCCCCGACACCCCACATACTGTTCTCAGCAATAGATTGGAAGCCCAGCTCTTTAGCGAGGAATTCCCGGTCGACAACGAAAGGGTTGCCAGCAAGGGCACCACATCCCAGTGGTAAAACCGAAATACGAGGGATAAGTTGGCGAAGGCGATCAAGATCGGACTTGAACGAAAATGCATGCGAAAGAAGAAGGTGTGACCAACGTATTGGTTGGCCACGCTGAAAGTGTAGTTTATTGATGAGTAAATCGCGGGGAAAGAGGAGGAGGAAGTTACCTGCAAGTGAGTGTATCCAGGCAAAAGATAATCTTTTTCTTTGTCTGCGCGCTCTACTATGACACGGATAAGGCCTTTTAAGCTCTGTTCCACGTCTTTAACTTCGTCCAAAAGCCATAACCGCATGTCAGTTGCGACCTGGTCATTTCTCGATCGTCCTGTATGGAGCTTGCCTCCCAGAGGCCCGATCAACTCACTCAAGCGGCGTTCGTTCGCAGTATGTATATCTTCGTCGTCTTCCTGGGCTTTGAACTTTGAAGAATGTTCAGCAAAGCGCATCGAAAATAATAAAGAATTGCAGGGACCTGGCCGCCCTCCCATTCCTTCCCAACAATTTTTAGTCCTTCAACAATTCTCCGCTCTTCGTCTTCGGTGAGAATTCCAACTAGAGTAAGTGACTTCGCGTAGGCAATAGAGCCTCTAATATCCGCAGCATGCATCCTCTGATCATATCGCAATGACTGATTGAACGCATGCATTCTGTAGAAAGAACATTTGGTATGGCACTCTAAAGTCGGGATTGAAAACGTACAAAGGATCTGTTTTTCCAGTGAATCTTCCCCCCCATAACTTCTGTTTAGTTGGTTGTTCAGCCATGGTAGAAAAATGTTAGAGTAGTAGGGATAAGGGTCAGATCGCAGACCGAGAAGAGCGGGGTGGCGACAAACTCCGACGTCACCAAGTCAGAAAGGTTCTCTGCAGCCTGCAGGGAACGGTCAACTGGCTCTTTCTTACACTGCTAAATTCTTGCATCCATGTCCCGTTCACAAAGTGCCGCAATGTGCTCGATTGCTCTGAATGCGTACGCTGCTCACCTGCTCAGTCACGATTCCACCACCACAACTAACGTTGAACACAGGTTATGCGCAGGAGGCATATTCACGTTCCCCTTGCTATCGCCAGCCATAGCGACGCATGTAAAACTAAGTCAGCCCGAGCTGACAACCATTGCATTGGCGTTTGTCCATGACTCCACACGTTTCTATTCCCAACTCACCATAAGTTGGTAGGGGTATGATGAGCCAATACACCGTGGCCGCGATGGTTGGGAAAGTGGTTGATACCCATGGTCCTTCCGTCTGCTCCCTTATTGCTGCTTTCTTGTTTGCCTTTGGATTTGGCGCGTTTTCCTACGAAATTTACACCACACCACCCGATATTGTCATTCCTTCATCAGCATCATTTCACCGCCTAACCTTCTTCTTTTTCCTGGCCGGCTTGGGAACAGTCTTTTCGTGAGTCTTCTGAAAACCCTTCTTTATTTGTTCTCAGGACTTCTCAGCTACTTCTCCTCTCTTTTTGCCGCCTCAAAAGCGTTCCCTCGACATCTAGGACTAGCGTCTGGTGTTAGCATGGCTCTTTTCGGGCTGTCTCCTTTATTCCTCTCCGTTGTTGCTTCAAAATACTTCACAGATCCCCAGACCAAGACCCTGGATGTTTCTCAGTTCATGCTTTTCTTGGCCATATTGACCACCACCGTATATCTCCTTGGAGTGGTTAACCTCAGAAATATCATCCCTGACTCTGATAGTGTTCCAGAACGGCTATCATCAAGTGATGTTGAAGAGGATATTAGAGAGACCACTGCTCTTTTGCCCAAACCTACCCCTACTTCAGACCCGACCGTTGCTGACCTATTACGCAGTCAAGATTTTTGGCTGCTCATGGTATTTTGCATATTAACGCTTGGGGCTGTGAGTGGTTTTACTGCCATGAATTTGACTAATCTGGATTAATTCCTACCTACTAGTCTGAGATGATCATATGCAACATTGGCACGATTGTGCTTTCACTACCAGGCTCGGACGGTCCTCTACCTGAAAGTATCAACGTCGAGGCGTCAACTAACCATCAGGTCCGACTACTCTCTTTGGCCAACACGATATCCCGCATCATCATTGGGCCTCTTGCTGACTATGTGTCACCTATCACCTCAAGCCTGACAATTGACGATCAAACGACCCCGAGAAAGCACCGAATAAATCGGATCGCATTCCTTACTGGTGCGGCCGTGGTGCTCGCCGCAACATTCTTTTGGATGGTGACTCAGGTCACTTCGCGAGAAGCCATCTGGACCCTCAGGTATGTTCAGGATTCTATCGCAACTTGATGTTAATTTTAGCCGTTAAAAGTGTGGGTACAGGTCTTGGCTACAGCACCATTTTTACTGTCATGTAAGTGAAATCATAAGTGATGGGAGCAGAAAATAACATTTCACCAGGCCAAGTATCATATCCTCCATGTGGGGGATCAAAAATGTCGGAAGGAATTTCGGCCTTCTGATGTATGCGCCATTCACTGGAAATCCGATTTTCTCCTACATGTACGCGTTTGTATCGGACGCCCACTCGCATGGGTACGGCATATGCGAAGGCCGAGATTGTTGGCAACTGACTTTCTGGGTAAGCTTCGGAGCCTTGACTGTGTCATGTTTGACCAGTTTTGTGCTCTGGAATCGCTGGAAAGGCAGCTTATAGATAGGAAACGTTTGTATCTATTGCGAGATCTGATTGCATTACTCGTCATGTCTGATTTGCTTAGTGACAGTGGGGTGGAAGCTGTTGATCAGCCTAAAGGACATTATAGCTACCAGCGCTGCAACAACATAGATAACAATGCGAATCTCCAATGGGTTTTCCGTAAGGAACGGGTAGGGAACTGTCGGCACCACAAGTGTCAAATAGGCCATAATGGCAACAGGAAGATGCAAAACCACTCACAGTTCCCGTTGTTATTTTTAGCGCAATGCTCAACCCACAAACCATACCATACCGCGAAGACAGTTGCAGCAAAGGGTACACGATATTTTAGTTCCCTCTCCTCGTATTTGATGTCGAAGATCAAAAAATCCACCAGCAAAGCCAACGCAGGCGACGCATGTAAAGCCAGGTCAATGGATAGTGGGAGGCGAAGGCGGTCGGATTGTACAATGAGACTCGGGAGGAGTAGTATCAGGGTCCAGTAGACTAATGAGATAACCGCAGCAAGCTATTATAAATAGAATGGTAAGAAGTTTATCGCAAGGGCGTTGAATGTAGACGCACAGGCATGGCTATTATAAAGAGGTGTCTTTTCAAAGAACGAAGGGCTTTCAAGAGGTCTGGTCGGCATTTATGTTGGGCAGATAATAAAATGGGGCTTACCACTTGAATACGGGAATATTGCAACAGTCAAACCAGTCAGCATGGTCAACCACGCCAGTAGTAGTCTAAAACGTTCATTAATTAAAGAAGCCGGATTTGGATGGTAGAATTGTCGCGACCTACCCTTGAATCGTGAGGTATTGGAAATGACCACCATATTGACTACGAATCCAAACCTCGACATCGCCCAAGGAACCGAGACTCCTGAATCCATGCGTCATGATCCCCACAGCGGTCGCATTGAGAAAGGCTCTAGAGAGTGTCCTGGACATCGATTATTCGCGCTAGCCAGAGCGCAGGGTGCGATCGTAAGTGATCAAGATGTATTTGGGTGTGTTGTGCGACGGCGTATTATGTGCTGATCCGCAACCACGACAAGCTCAATGCATGAGACGCATTCGCCCAATTCCCGATACCCATCCCCAATTTTCTGTCCTCGATCTCCCTGGGTATCGCGAATATAGAGTGGAAAATTGGCACTTGGCAAGAGATGGCAGTGGTCGAATAATACGAGGAACATCCTATTTCCTATGGTGGTCGATCCTCTCACTCTGTATATCAATTGCATGGTTAAAGGTAACCAATTTCCCTGGCTTGGTCTGCCAAAAACTTTCCTCACCAATCATTCAGACCACCGCTTGGCTTTTGGCAACTTCCTTACTGGCTATCACCTTGGTTGGCATCAATAGCTTGCCAATACTCTATGGTGAGTGCGCTTCGGTGCGCTTCTTGTCTTCGGCCCTTTAATCGCTACTTTCATAGAATCTGTTGTTGTTATACCTTCGCAAGGTATCCAGTTTGAAACCCATCAAGGATTGACATCACGGCCATTAATTTCCTCCCGGCGCTTTATCCCATTCGCTTCTTTAAAGGATGTTGTTATTAACGAGGCCCTGCATCGCTGGAATGTGCGGTTTTATTTGGTTGCCATTCGGCAAGTTGGGGTCCACGGCCATCGTTTGGAAGTAGCTTATGAGGTAAGTTCGTTTCTCCTCTTTTGATATTTGGGTTGACGGTCCTAGAATCTGTTGCCTCATCACCCCATCCTTCGACAAGTTTATCATGGTATTCAAGAACTTTCACCGTACGTTGCGAGATAGAAGCCAGATATTTTATGCTACATAATGCTGGGAATAAATTAAACAGCGATTATTTATCTTAGCGAAGACATGTCCGGTCCATCCTCACTTTCATATGCACTTAAAAGTTCGTCATAGCCTTCATCGTCCCCTTCCTCTGCTGCGCTGTCCCGACTACTTCCCGGTGGATCCCGGTTCTCCACAGAGACTTTCCGCACCCGATGTCCAGCAGATACTTTTCGAGTTCTACTGTCTTGTCTGTCGGAGGACACATTCCTCTTTTCAGGGCTACCAGATGATACCTTCCTCGATCTTCGAGGAGAGCGTCCCAAGTTGAACGGTGCTGCATCTTCCTCGAGCTCGAATTTCGAAGCTCTTGGTGTAGCAACAGCGTCAATCTCATCTCCAGGCCATGGAACTGAAAGGTTTGCGGCGGAAGGACTAGGTGTTTTCTGCTCAATGGAAGTTCGTGATTTAGCGGGATTGTCTTGTATCTGAAGATTTGTAGGTCGCGCGGGATGACGCTTCGAACGTACTCGTGCGGTCCGCGTTGGTAATCGTACGGCGGGAGAGTCGGAGGTATCGTCTGTGGTGATCGACGGGTCTGTTTTTTTTCGTGAGAGCTTCCTCACAGGCGAAGGTGGTTCGTGGGGTGTACTATCCGAAGCTTCTGAGCTCGCGCCATTCGCTTGATCCATTGCACTACGCGTCTTGATCTCATAAACCGATGGAGCGGAAGCTGGTGGTGAGACCCATGAATCAGCAATTGCTGGACTGTGAACGTTCCTTGCGAGCCCAGAGAGGCGTGAAGAATCTGGCGATGGAGCAGATGAGTTCCGGGAGGACGACCGCGAGTGAAGCACACGGAAGTTCGGCGCCATAGGCGAAATCGATCTACGGTTCAATGGGACCACCCGACTGCCGCTGCCGTCCGAATCCCAGTCAAACTTGGCTGAGTTCAAAGGGCGGCCCAGTGCGTCGGACGGAGACAGAGATGAAATCGACGACTGGGAGTCTCTGTGAACGTGGCGTTGTTTCAATCTCATGACGTCTGCCCACTCCTCTGTGTCTGGGGTAGACATGACACCACTGATAGGGAAAGGAGGGCTGTCTTTTTTACCAGCTGTTATAAGTGTTGCAGAATTTAACAGAAGAGGTCGAGGCCCGGATTTCGACGCTGTCTGAGGTGGAGAGCGTGTCAATAACAGGCTCCGGGTTTTGTCGAGGATTCCAGAATTTTGCGCAGCTCCCTCAGAATTGGTAGGTGAGAACAACGCTGAACCGACCTGGGGAGGTTTGAAGGGGTCATCTGAACGGAAGTTAAGTGAGCGAGTTGGGGGGGAGTATATGCCAATTCGTTCCACGGGAAGAGAACCTCGTCTGTCGTCTGAGTGGGGTCGGATGATAGGGCTGGCGGATTCACTATGAGCTGTGTGGTGTTCACGAAGGTCACTCGTGCGTGACTGGTCTGCACCACGTCCCCAGGTACCCATCAAAGCCCTGGCGCGCCAATTGGAGCTAACCTTGGCAAGCGTCGCGGCTGCGTTGGACTCCTTCAACTTTTCCGCGTAACCCCATATACTTGAAGCTGCCTGCGTAGGGGTAGAAGCTTGAAATTGATCGGCGCCGTTAGTGCGAAGTTGTTCGGTTTGTCGGGGTATTGACGCGGGCGGGGCGGGGGGCGGGTTGCTGGGTAGGGGCGATTCAACAGGTCGATTTGTGATGCCTTTCCACATTGTACTTGCAAATTGTGTATAGGTCGAATTTTCCTGCGTTTCTGTTTCATTACCATCAACATGCTCGTCTTCACTCGAATCCTCGTCTTCGCTAGGTGAATCCTCTGGCGAAGAAGCTTGATTGGTGAAGCCTTTCCACATGGTAACCTTCAGCCGAGCCCCCAAACTAAGTGATTCGTGTTTTGCGGCATTTGCCTCCTGTGCTCTCTTCTGGGCCAAATCAACTGCGGTCTGCAGTATTCGTTCGATTCCGCCAAATGCCTCAATAGGGTACTTTTGAAGCGTCCTCAATCCTTCTAAGAAAGGGTCACTCATAGAAGGGGAGGGGTGAACGTCGCTACTTTCGTCTGCCCATAAACTGGCTGCTTTTGGGCCAACGTTGCTTATTCTGCAGATGCAGTAAGCTTGGTACTAGAGATAGCAATCAAACTAGGGGTACACACCGTAAGAGTGCAGCCCTGGAATGGATTAGCATTGCCATGCAGATATCCAGCAGAAAGTCAGATTTCGGGTTCATATCTCGCGCTCTCTGCTGCCAAGAGAGAAGGGCATCCCAAGCTACAAGGGCCGACGGAAGAGGTAACGTATGGGTAAGCAGAGGGGTAATCCATCGGCTGTCCAAATGGAATACATCAGTAGTGGGAGATAAGCATAAGGAGACCTTGCTCACAATGAATAATGAGGTAAAGCAGGATCCAGGCCCTTCGCTTGCTAATGGATTTTAGACTCGACTTGAGAAGGATATCAAACACGGACCTACCAAATCTTCGAAAAGCTCTGCATCAGCGTACAAGAGTCTTTCACTGAACCTTCTCATCCACTTGGTTCCTCCTTCTTCTTCGAGCTCCGAAAACTCCGCCACTATGGCCTCGAAGACCCAGAAAGTGTCTGCCTCGACGTGGCTCAACTCCTCAGGCTCAATTTCCTGGTTAAGGGCAGAGTAGACAGGGATTAACAATGATGGAATATGAGAGGAACGATTTGCCGGGTTAATGGATGTATGAAGGTACAGCAGCCGAAGAAGTGCCGAACAATGTAATGGGTGTGCGTCCCCAAAGGAGTAGGCCTTTGAGGGCAACAAGGTCATGGGGTTGTTCAATCCAGTCAAAGCAGAGTCAAAACTTGTGAGAGAAATTTCGGGCGTGGCGTCAGCACTAGGTTCTTCGAGCCTAATTTCAGGTGCAACTGCTTGAGAACCATTTTCTTGCAGCAGTTTGAGTCTAGCGTCCAGGGCGCGTGCACAAGAAACCTTGTCTTCCCCCTCGTATATCGTGCTGAGTGGACATTGAGGATAAATTTCTGGTCCGTCTTCGAGGGAAGCAAATATATTTCGAGGAACACCGGAGAGTTGTTTTTGAACACTAAGCAATATTTCATCTGAAGACGAAAGCGGAGAGGTTGGAGACGCAGCGGCTTCGTATGGTTTTAATAGTCGTCGCGCGAGATCCTTCGGACCCCCGCCGGTTATCTTCTGTTGTTCACGAAATAAAAATGACCCACGTAGTAACATTGGCGCTGTTTTGAAGCTTCGCTCTTCCATGTGGCTGTCGTCTCCGGAAGATATCCAAGAAATAGTCTAGAAAATGCCATTGACAACGATTAACAGTCTGTAAGATAAGATGCCTTGGGACTCACTTCCAAATTCGAGGACGTAGCCACGAAGGCTCATCGGGAATGCCTGAACACAGATACAAAACAATAGCACAACTGAAGATATTGTCACTGACCATGCAGGCAAAGCTTCCGCAAACGAGGTAAATCGACGACGGGCATAACCTCAGGGTCAAGCATCTCAGAAAGGGAGTCCACACTGGTAAAGAGTCAGTTCCAAGATTTTGAACTCTGCACAAGTTACAAACATTTCCTCGCGCAGTGGTTCAGGCGTCCATTTCACTCCATAGTTCTGAGCAACACTCTTCAGATACTGATTGAGTAGACTGGCTGAGGGGAGAGTCGCAGAAGTAGCGCGAACGATTCGCGAGGAGACGTGATTGTCTCGATTCCCAGTTGCAGAACGCGCGAAGTCTGGGCCGAAATGCTGGATAAGTATACTGCGAACCATATCAAGATCTGCCTTAAGTGTGAGCAATAAGACCTCGTAACACAGTGATCATGAGAGACCTTTCGAACGGACGTAAGGCGCCGCATATATAATACTGGAAGCAGCTTCTACGATGGTGGGACTTGGGGCGAGGCTGCTGAGGGGTCATAAGGCCTGTTGAATGTACACCGAGGGTTTCCTCGCGCACCTATGTTCCAACTCGCTAAAGTGTTCCAAAATGACTCCAATTTCCATCTCAAGCGTCTCCAACAAGTCTCCCAAGATATCATCTTGAATAATTTTCTGTGCCTTCGCTCGAGCTAATGCGACGTCGCCTTGCTGGAGTAACGTAGCAATGTCTTTGCGAGATACGTTCCCTTGAGAATCCAACTTGGCCTGCAGCTGCCCTAGCCTTTGACTGGCCAGCCTGAGTTGAGTCTATAATGAAGCACACATATGTCAGGAATTTGAGTGGCCGATATTGCACATGACAAACGAACCTTCACGGACGCAGGTTCCCATTTCGAGACCGCCATTAATTTTCAAGGTTTAGCAAGGCGACCTATGAGTCAAATGAGGGAAACCAGAGAGTACTTTTTGGTGTGTCACCGGAGTCGCAATACCGTATGTAGGCTACAGTTTGGTGTCCACATGGGCTGTGCCTGTAGGAACCAACAGAGTTGGCCTTGTTTGGCAAATTCATAACAGACTCTTGTTCACCTCAAGTGTTAAAATTACAACTTCCGGAGTATTTAATACATATGTGACTGATGATAAGACATTCTCAGAGGCACTGGTTTTGACAATCTGCTACTCGTTGGAGTCGGTGGTACTGGTTGTTGTTCAGGTACAGAATACGTTCTCTGTTGAGAGTTACGATAGGTAGGTTTGAAAGAGTTGCGTGAATGTTGTTGAATGTAAAGAACGGCCTCTGGTGGGAATGTCATTGTCGCTGGACTTGGCAAAAGGGTTGCTCTTCGATCCCAGTTCACGGCCGCAGGCGTGATTGGAGACAGTGGCGATGCTCTTCGATCCCAGTTCATGGCCGCAGGCGTCATCGGAGAGAGCGGCGATGCTCTTCGATCCCAGCTCACCGTCGCAGGCGTATTGGGAGAAAGTGGTGAAAAATATTGATCCTTTGCTTCCTTCTGAACCCGATTTTTTTCCGCCTCTTCTGCTTCTTGAACGGTGCGTAGGAGCGAGCGGCGGTGAACAACGAAAGCGAGGCCGCCTGAATAGATCAATACTTTTGTATAGATATTAGCAAAAGTGTTCGGCACATTGAGGGATACTTACCTAAAGCTGGCACGAACCAACTGGTGACCATAACGGATAAAGTGACCAATCGGCACGAGACTTCCTGTTCAGGACCTGGAATATTACAGTAAGAGGATTTTCATCTGCCTGGAAGACTGATGGTTACTGACTTTCTGCTATATACCTAAAGTCTGGACTCCAGTATGCAAAAGCACCAGCAGTGCCTATGGCTTGGTAAGGCGTCAAGTTTTCTGAGCATAGTATGTCGCGTACCTATGTGCATCACCAAAAGAAGCGCGCATCGAGCGGCGTCAAGCCAGACTCTAAATTTTCGCAATAGTCTGGACAATTAAACATGAGTGTCGGCGTGAGTATTTGAAGAATGCGCTCGTGACCCACAGAATAAGCAGCATTATTGCAGTGACTGTGTTCGTTAACAACATGACCGAAAGGAAAGATCCTGTCGGTAACAAGCCCTTGAGTTACGCCCCCTTGAAAGAAGAGCAGGAGCGCTCACGTTCAGGATGGTCCAGATTATCCCATAGTAGAAATACACAGACTGAGAGCAAGGTGATCCACACAAAGCTCAGCAAGATGATACAACCTGAGTGGCATTGAATCTTCAACAACAACAGGATGTGTGATTGAAGCGACTCACCGAACGCAATTGCTCTAGCGCGTTCGAACGTTATTGAACTTTTCATAACAGCAATGAAAGGGGTGGCCAATGGAAAAAAAATTGAGAATAGAAGGAAGGGAATCGTGAATGAGGGTGAAGAACGCGTCTACCAGAGAACGACGTTCAAAAGGCCGTGAGAGTCCAAGAGGAATAGGATCCAACTTCCATCACCCGTTCACAATGAGGGAACAAAGAGTTGTTTGGTGAGCGCTAGTGTAGCCAAATAGCCATGTTGCTTGTAGTTGTCTCTGACAGAGGATGCTGAATCAGCAATTCAATTGGCCAATATTTAAGGAAGAACGCGTGTAATTCGGCACTTTCTGCCTCAGTTGTACAATCCTCCTCGTTGAACATGTCAGGAATTTGCAGACCTCGTCTAGCAGAAGAGCGCAAACAGTGGAGAAAAGATCACCCGTTCGTAAGTTGAGATTCAGTGTATAAAAGCTCATGAACCACGAGGTTCTCTTTGTCGTTTGCCCCCATAATTAAGAGCTCATGACGTTGAAACGCCCCGATTCAAAAGGATTGGACCCTTGGTTCTGAAAGACGACTTACGCCTACCCTTCAATCATTTCTTGTTACAGTACTTACATGGATGACTGTCTAGGGATTTTATGCAAAACCAGCCAAAGCTGCTGATGGGTCAATGAATTTGATGGAGTGGGAGGTTGGGATCCCAGGAAAACCTAACGTGAGTTTTTCCTTTCTCCTGTCGGTTCAAGGCGCGTGCCCTACGTGTTGTGCACTTGCAACGTGCTGTCGCGCGTCTTAATTGATACGTTGTCACGCTGATTATGCCGTACTGATCTCTTCTCTCATAGACTCCATGGGACGGCGGCCTTTTTAAACTGGTGATGAGCTTCCCCGAGGGTGAGGTTATGGTCGCTTTCGTCCTGATTTTTCATACTGATTCTCTTCAGATTATCCATCAAAGCCACCGAAATGTGCGCCTTCCGATTAACTTCGAGTTTCACACAGGCAGGTGACTTCAATTGCAGGCAAGTTCACCCCTCCCCTCTTCCACCCTAACGTGTATCCTTCGGGCACTGTTTGCCTCTCCATTCTTGATGAGGAGAAATCATGGAAGCCCGCCATTACTATCAAACAGGTTTGCCCTATCAATTCTCTTTCACATGAAGATGGGTTGTCATTCAACATCTCTAGATTCTGCTAGGTATTCAAGATCTCCTTGATGATCCAAACGTCAACGATCCTGCGCAGAGCGATGCGTATACGATGTTCAAGTGAGTTGCTGGTGATATTCGAAGGAGAAGATGTCTCATACATCACTTAGAAACGACAAACAGGCTTACGAGTGAGTTACTGTCAAATGACCTTAGCCGTTTTGACGCGTCCTTAACGTGTCGTTGGTGCAGGAGACGCATTAAACAACAGGCACGAGATAATATACCAAAGTGAAGTTATGTTCGATATCCTGTACAATCTAAATGATTTGCAATGAGCTTTGTGTATTTTACATTTGATACGTATATGGTAAAATAGGTATGGCGAAGTCGCCACCACTCTTCCACTTTTACTCCGCTACTGTCATGGAAAAGCAGTTCACCCAATTTTAAATAATCCCTCATGTCGTCCGCACCTTCCGTGCTCAACATCCACACCCCAACCTCTTCCTTTGCCGTCATACATTCTTGTGAGCTACGTCGACAAGTACTTACAACATGAGACTTAACCCGTTTAAGTGACCCAGGATTCCCTGCTCGCCCTATACGATCAACTCAGTCGCAAACAGCACACCGATTACTACGGTGACCGCGTAGGCCCCGGATGGCTTAAATATGAATACAATGATGCCATTTGGAATTTGGACGATGGTAAGTTCAACTCACTGTTGAGCAACTCGCAGTTCTCCTAAGGGTTGTCAACCTAGAATCGGACTATGCTATCTTTGCATGGCGACAACAAGCAGCGCACTTCTCGCAGCAGGAGCATCCCGAACAAGTCGCTTCGACATCGCACACTATAGAAAGTGTACCAAAGGAGCGTCGCACGCCCACGCTACACCTCCACAACCACGCACAACCGCTTCCACGACCCACAGCATACCGCAACCCCTCGTATTACCTCTTTCAGCCAAACCACGCAGCCCCGTATGCTCGCAGTACCCGTTCACCGGTTCCGTCGCGTGGATCGAAACGAAGCAAGAAGAGCAAGAACGTCTACACTGACGATGGGGAGGAAGAAGACGACGGAATCCCGAAACACAAAAAGGAGTTTGAACGATTTCATTCCGAGAATGGCGTGAGGACGGTGCTAGGAAGTATTGGGCCTGTTCAGAATGGTACGCTTTATTTCCAATGGTTCTATATAACCTTAGGCCAACGGGAGATGGCATTTAGTTCGGATGCTGCTGAAAGCGGGGTATCGACACGTTTACATTTCGCGCAAGTTTGCAATCAAGCACGGGTTCATCCCTGCAGACGCTGCTCTAGGCAATTATGGATACGGAGGCCTGGTTAACATCGGGTCTTGGCCAATAACACTTACACCTTCTGCCTCTAATCCAGGATCCAGCCACCTGCGGCCGGGGCCGGACAATGTATCACACTCCTCGCAGTTCTCCTCGCCTCGTATACCAGGACGTTCTCTGCCTCCTACGATAGTGAATGGCGGACTCCAGAGCAGTAACCCTGGTAAAAAAGGGAAAACGAAGCCAAAGGAGCGCCCTTCGGGTCCTCAACCTGTGACAATAGAGGTGTACCTCTCTGAAGAGCCACATTTTGACGTCGTTCTCGGTCGGTCGTTCTTCGAGAAGCGACAAATCAAAACTACTTCCCTTGATCCAACTGATGTTGTGTGTCTTGACACTGGCGAGAAGATTGAGTGCGAACTTGTGATTTTGAAGGATGGTCGAGGGGAAATTGTCACGGTCACCTGAAAACAGCACAATTGGCACCATGTTTATATTTGCCTCAGGTCGGGATATGGAAGATGGACCATAACTCATGATTACGCGTCATGTCATAATGGATTAGTGTGTTAATCTTAGCTCTATTGAAAGAAGGATGTATTCAATATGCTATGTAGAGTGTTGTGGATGATAACCAACGTGGAGGTGTACAATCCTCTGGATGCCAATCCTGCATGCTTATGACAGCTTCAAGCGAGAAGCTCGTGTTGCCTGTAGAAAAGATTAATCGATGAGGCATGTAGTGTTACAAAAGTGTGCAAACCTTTCGGCGCTTCTTGAGTCTGGAGGGAAATAAAAGGATATATATCAGAACAACTGTTTGTGGCAGACCGAGGAGCACTTACTTGTGCTTCTTCATCTTTTTTCGCCTCTTCCTCTTGGTGCTATCCATCATAACATCCTCCCACTCCTTATCAAACTGCTGCTGCAAATTTATTCGATCAGCGTCCAATGCAACATCCAGCCCCAAATGTTTCAACGTGCTTTCCCAAGCGACAGTACTGCCCGCTCGGTTCATGGTTAATGCCCGTGTAAGCTGACGGGCAGCCTCCGCGTCGGCGTCTACAGATGAATCGAGCGCGGAGTCAGATGGGAGTGCTTGCTGATGATGTTCTGCAGACTCTGATTCCGGCCGATGGAGTCCGAAGATAGAACCATTGGGAGGCGCCGAATGGAAGATGGAGGGTGGGTTGGATAGAAGAAGGAGAGGTCGGTGAAGAGAGAAAAATTGGTGTAACTTGAAATCCTTGGAATTGATTACCGGATGAGGGTTACTTTGCTGGAAGAGGTCCGCAAAAGACATGGGGTTGTTGTTGGATGCAGCGTCACTCTGCTCCTGAGCCGACGGCGCTGACTCCTCCGCAATGTTCCTCATCGGGTTGTTCTCGTTCCCGCCATTCGAGGAACCTTGGACGGTGTCCGACTGTGATTCGGCCAACGACTGAGCCCGTTTGCCGTCATTCTTCGTGCCGACAACAGCCGTCTTTGGCGGCTTTGCTGAATTAAAGTAGCGGCCACCGCCTGGCTTTGACGAAAAGAAAGAAGAGTACGCCCTGCGGGAAACAGAGAAATTGGGTAGGAGGCGGCCTATAAGAGGCATGGCTGTCGACCACGTCGACCTCGCTGCTGATCAGGAGGTTAGATAAGGATGCTGAGGAATTATTTGAAAGGCGAGTCCGAAGCGGTGAGCCAAGAGTTGGCAACTTGTGACGACAAAAACAACTCCAGTCACACATCCAAATAGGTCAATTCTAGAATACCAGTACATTATTTACTTATTGCTCTTGCCACTCAAAAGAGCCCATTATTGCAGTCTTTCCAACAACGGAACCTTGGTTGGGAGCGAGAATCGTCATCTTTCTTTGTTGCATGCCGAGATTTGTCCTGTACAACCATGAGCATCGTGACACTTGCCAGTAGCATTAGCTTACACAATGAGGAAACCAGATACGGTAAGATCCAATATCTCCTCGTCATATCTCTCGTTCTCATCAGGATTTTGAGGTGCCAAGAGGGCAAGGACAGCGTTCAGCAACCCAGAGCCTGGCTGACTGGGATCGACAGGAACAGGCTGCATCTCGGACACAACACGAGTTGCACCGATGGGTAAAGCAGACGACGGAGCCATCGTTTCTAGGTATATGATGTCAGCGCGAAGATCATCCACGTAATTTAGATACTCTACCAGCGCCAATCCGGAATATCGAGAGGTCCTCAAACTTGATGACACTTGAGGAAGGTGATAGAACAAGATCGGTTAATGACTCTCCGCCCAAGGTAGCATTAGATATCCCTGGAGGTGCTTGTATAACCTGACCATACATGTATGTGTGTAATTGGTAATTGTGTACACGTTCCCGATAACTATGGTCCAGCTCTACAACCTGTCGCGGGGTCAAGTAACTCTTAAACAAAGTCTAGGGGAGTTGACTTACACCACCTGATTTTGGAATTTTCACGACAGTCACATATGAGCTGTATGCCCGCTGCATTTCCACATTTAACTTTTCATGACCAACAACGAGGATGACATTGACTGTGTAGCAGAAAATATCAGATGGAAGGATAATGCATAACTCGTGCAACCAACTTCTGAATGCATCCATGCAAGCCTTGATAAGTTTCTGACGGTGGTCATTGGACGTTGAGCTTGAAGCGAATGACGACGGAGTGTCGACAATAACGCCCGATGACCTCCCTAATCAACACAGTAAGCTAGAAGAAGAAAAATGTGAACCATTTTATGAACATACCTTCTTGATCAAGCTCAAACCGATCATTAACATTTTCTCCCAGATTTCGTATTAATCTGTCCATTAACAGGGGATTTCTTTTCGTGTCTGGGTGACCGTACCAATATACAACGGGAAGTAGTGCATTGGATGACATGGCCATGGGCGCCGAAGTCGCAGCTGAGCCAAGAGGGTTGGCCGGCGAATACGTTGGGATGGGACCGTGAACTGGGGCAATAGAAAGAGCGCCCGGAGCTGACCAAGCACCCTTCAAGAGAGTCCGTTAAAACGAATAGATGGCAGCGAAAGAAAAACACACCTCGCTTGGGTCAACGTTTACGAGAAGAGGTGACCAGTTTTGGCCAGCGCGAACAGCGTAGTTTGTAAGAATCTTGCACACTGTTGTCTTTCCTGAATTTTCTGGTCCTAGAACAAGCACTCTTGGAGGCTCAGGTGCCGTTGGAGGTTCGTCTCCTGGGGGAAGAGGAGAACCATGGAATTTTGCGAGAGCACGGACGCGCATTTGTTCAAATGCTATGTGAAGATTAGCATATGCTGCCATTGGCGTTTCTTCCGATACATATTCCGTTGAGGGGTGTCCTGTAACGTGATTAGGCGGAAGATAAGAATGCACTGTTCCTTGAATGAAGGGGAAATAAACTCATTTCAATAGTACAACCTTGCCAAGTGAAGACAGCCGCCTTGCATTCCGATCCAAACAGATAGTGTTTGCCTTCCGCTAACTCTGCTCCAAAAACTTCTGCGTTTCCTTGAATAAGCTGAGGGGTGGGTCAGCCACCTCCAGCGGTCCCTCGTTCCGTTGCAAGATACCTTGATCGCCAGCGACGTTCCAGGATCCAGCTCGAACCTGTACTCCGTTTCCGGTTCCAGCGTCCACTGCTTTATTTCATTTGAACCTGTTTCTGACATTAATCAGATGGAAAGCTGCCTGCAAACTTTTGTGGCCCGCGCGAAGGATTTCTTAAGCTCTGAAAACCAATGAAAAAGACGAGATTGTTGTTTGACGCAATGTCAGGGCCAACCACATCGGCGAGTTGACAAATCTGGACGACACAGCCACCTTAAAGTGCCGCGGCCCGAACGCATCTTCCGCGATTCCCAAAAACCTCCACCCCACTTCAGTCGTCTCAAACTCGTAGAACTATTATCCATCATTCGACATCATCGGATTAGGCGTAATATTCATTGCATTGCTACGATGAAAATAGCTCTGTTTGCCCCAAACTGCAAACTGAAAGATAGCAAAGCTGCTTCCATTCAGCTTCCATCACAACACTTCGGATTGACCCCCATTTGCTGGCAAACCGAACACGTAACAGACGCTCTTTGATGGCTTTTAACTATGGACACTGAGAAGTTCGGCGAAACTTCTCATTCTTTTTCCTCCCACTATGGCCCTGACCAGCGAACACACAGAAAAGGGGACACCCAGTTCAATACAGGTTGTGGATGTCAACGATGCCGACACCGCTGCTCAAATCATCCCAGAATCAGAGGAGCCATTGGATCCAGTGGTTGCCGCTCAGCTGAGGCCTGTCGTTTTAATATCTCACTTTTGTGTAATAAGCTGAAATCCGTTGTAGGCGAAAAATCGATTGGCATATTATGCCTCTGATGTGCTGTATGTATCTGACCTAATGAAAGAACTCTATCATGAATATTTTTTTCCGACAGTGATGTATCTGTAAGTGGGCTGCGAGGCTAGTAGCCAAAGCGTTGACACCTTACATTCCTGGTAGTATGACTTTTGCGGACAAAACTACACTTGGACAGTCCGCAGTCTTGGGAATTATGTGGACCACCTTTCATCTACATCTTTGGCGCCTATCGTCTGATATTTCCACCCTAGACCCGGTGCACATCTCAATCAGAACGAGTTCAACTGGTTGGGAACTATCTTCTACCTTGGTTATCTGGGTTTTCAAGTTCGGTTTGCCACAGGTTTTCTGCTAAACAGAATCTAACCAACCACACCTTCCAGTATCCGCAAAATCTGGCACTCCAGCGATTCCCCGTCGGGAAATGGATTAGGTGGGCATATACCGATGAACGTATAAAATATGCTAATAAATATTATAGCCTTAACATCTTTGTATGGGCCGTGGCGCTGTTAGCACATGCGGCATGCAAATCTTTTGGGGCTCTTTTCGCCGTCCGCTTTATTCTCGGCATATGTGAAGGTTAGCTTTTAGCATACTTTAGGTATAAAAAAAAGGTCTAACCTCGTGACAATAGGTGCGATTACACCCGGCTTCATGATCGTCACCTCGATGTTCTACACCCGTGACGAGCAAACAAAAAGAGTCGGTTACTGGTGTGAGTTATTGATCCAATGTTCCCAAACAAGCTAGGTTCTAACATTGTATAGTCTTGATGAATGGATTTGCCATCATCTTCCTGGGTTTTGTGGGTTTTGGCGTCCTCCACACAAAAGTATGATCCCCATGGTCCTGTCAATCAATTCTAATCAAGTTAGACCCACAACTTCATGGCATGGCAATGGTGTGTCTGTCAACTGCATCGTTTTTACCCACCAGAAGCTCAGAAAGTGTTACCGTAGGTTGATGATCGTCACTGGCGCCATCACGTTGCTCACTTCCGTCGTTTTCTGGTAAGCCTTAATTTGCAGCAAATTTATAGACCGATGCCAAGAGCGGTTTTTATAGGTTCTTGTTCCCAGATTCTCCAACCACCACTTGGTTCTTGACTCCGGAGGAACGTACTCTTGCTGTACAGCGAATCAAGGTAAACCAGTCCGGTGTTGAAAACAAGCACTGGAAACGCGAGCAGTGAGTGTGATATATGAGAAAGTCCGCGATTCTGGGCTAACGTTCTTGTTTGGTGTGAAGATTCGTGGAGACACTTCGCGATCCCAAGGTTTGGGTCATGGCGCTTTTCGCCGCTGTCGGGTAAACTAGTATCATATCCTCGTCTTAATTTGGAGCTGACATGTCCTTGCAGAAATATTGTCAATTCTGTACGCGATCACCCAACTTTCCCTGATCTCTCCACTAAACAGCCTCCGTAGCTAACCAACCAGAGACAGCTGATCGTCAACCAATTTGGGTTTACCCCAATTCAAACCACATTGCTTGGATGCGTTGATGGTGTCGTAGAAAGTAGGGCAAAGTGTTCTTGGTCCTTTGCTACGTCGCTGACGGCCATAATCATAGTTTTCACAATCTGGCTCGGAGTTACGCTAGCTTCAACTCGCCTTTTCGGTCGGGCATATGCTGGAGCGTTGATGTTCATTCCCGCGCTTCTTGGTGCAATTTTGGTGAATACATTGCCATCACACAACAAAGTTGGTTTATTATTTTCATACTGGATAACGAGTGAGGGCTTCTTTATTTCGTCACCATCTACTTCTCTGACGTTTTCCTCAAGTCTTCGCTTTCTCACCATTTGCCATTTTCCTTGGATGGGTTGGATCCATCGTTTCTGGACACACCAAACGTTTGTTTCGTTTTCACGGTTCCTCAATCTACGATTGATCCAACTTGCCCTCACAGGGACAACAACGAACGCCATTGTTTTGTGCGCGTATGCCATCGGCAATGCCGCAGGGCCGTTTATGTGGAAACGGCGTTATCAACCGCGGTATGCTGTTTCTCATTCAAAAATAAAACTCACCCTTAAACTTTGGCGCAAAGAAATCACACTCCGTGGGCTATTATCGCTGTCTGCCTCTTCGTGTCCGCGATGTTACTCTTAATACTTCGATTCATGTTGAGATCTGAGAATAAACGGCGGGAGGCGGAAGAAAGAGATGATGCCTACGACAACATGTACATCTCTCAACAACTACCTGATGGAACAAAGACGAAAAAGCATCTTGATCGGGTATGTTTCATTAATTGGGCATAACAAGCGACACTTATAAACATGATATAACAGGCCTTCCTTGATCTCACTGACCTCCGCAATCGTGATTTCCGTTATATTTTGTGATAACATTTCTGGATGCCGCGGGATCTTGACACATGTATGACGTTTGTTTATAGGGGTTAGAGATGCCCTGATGGAAAGTTAGATCTTGACAGCGTAAGGAGGCCTTTTCATAGCAGCGTCTAGGGGAATATATGTGGCACCTTCACTGGTGAAAAGTCAGTATTCGATGCTAAGATCGGGATAGCGCCATACCAATGATCATGTCTTGAAGTCATGGGCGACGTGCTCGACAAAAAATCACAAGTACTACATCTCTCAGGACCTTCGCGACACCTTGACATATTCTTGGCTTCCTGGACCTTGGCCTTTTGCACGTCGTCGTCGCCTAAAAGAGACCAACCTTTCCTTGACGTTTCCTCCCAGTGCTTCTCTATTTCGTGTAGAATCTGCCGTGCAATCAGATTGGAAAATGACTGATATAAGCCCAAGCAGCGCTTACAGCGATTCTCCACTTCATTACTAGTCGTTTTCCGCTGGCAGTTTGAGTACGACATTGGAGACATTCAACCCTTTGATCTTTGTCATCCATCTGGGATGCGGTGACGGTGTCAGGATCTTCTCCACAAGCAACGATGACGCCTCGGGCGCACTTCCACGCCTCCTCGTCAAATGTAACCTGCTCTTTATCATGATTCCAAGGCATGCCAACCCACGAAGGTACCAAAGCGAGCAGTTTCTCATCCTCAGTTTCATCCTCAGAATCCTCATCTCCGTTGCTGCGTGAGTGAGTTTTCATGAGACAGTTATGAACAAGGACCCTAGGATACGATATCGGCTCCGTGCACCAGTGGCAGCGGAAGAAAATCGCTGCAAGCTTGAGCTGGGAAGTATCGAGCTTACGCTTCCCAGAGCGTTTAGTGGAGGGTAGGAGTCCTGCCAGAAACTCATTTGCAGAATCTTGCCAAGAAACCACTAGAGGTTGAATTTGATTTTCCAATTTTGAAAGCTCAGTCAGTCTGCTTTCTTTCGTCGCCTCAGTGTTGAATACCGCGCTGCGGAAGGGCTCCATCAAGGCCAGGTCGACAGCTCTAGGTACCACTGCGGGCTTAGGTTGCTTCTTCGTATATTTATCAACCAATTCTCTCAAAATGGCTAAGTGCTTTGACACAACCGCAGAACGGTCTTCGTGTAGGCGCTGTTCCCTCATAGCCTCCAGAATGTATATGAGGTCTGTACGCAAATTCTCCCAGACTGCTTCGGTGAGATTGGGCGACAGGAGTGTGAGAGAGTGCGCACCTCGTTCAGTTAGCGGCTTTGATGCATTCACGCCCGGGAGGTCACGTATTTGCCGCCAGTATAAACGGTCAACCTCTATCCCATAACCTAAGAATATTGAGCGAAAAAGAATGCCGGCAATTGACAGGTTACTTACCGAGTTCTCGAAGCTTTTGAACGATTCTATGAAAGGAATCAAATATATAGCGGAGAAGGTTTGATAACCAGCGGTTTGACTTACGCTTCCCTTCGGTCAGTGCGAACCTTGTGTAGGTCATCTTGATGTTCTCTTTTCAGTTGAGATTCCCACCGCACATACGCATTAAGATGCTGTGGAGGGAATTAAGTTTCAAGTTACAACCAGTGCTCGATCTATACCTGGCGTCGCGCCGCCTTGAGCCTCGTTCGATCGACAATAAATGCTGATGCGGCAGTATCACTCAGGGAACGAAGCGTTTGAAGGTTGTGATCGTAATCTTGCTTCAAAAATACGGTTGAATGACCTATGACAATCAGCACAAGGACGAACGGAAGAAGCCTAGTGGAAGAACATACGACCGGCGATCCTTACCATCCACCCATTGGTAATCAGTTCAGCACTTCGCACCACGTTGTCACCGTCCAATGTCCCGGACTGATATCTGACGTGGGTATCAATTTATGTTGAAAATTCAATGGCAGAGTACCACGGACTTTGACGAGATGCAGCTGGAACACGTCCGAATTCGGTTGCACCAATCAACCAGTGACCCGTAGATGGAACTACAAAACTGAGTGGCGTCACTCAAAGGGGGTCAAACAGAATAGATTTCACAGACTTGACAGTGACGGCCATAAAGAAGATTGGCATATTGCGGGAGATTGAGATCAGAAGGACAACTGGGCGGTGCTGGTGTTGCATTTGTAAATGCCTGAAAGTAATGACTGTGTAGTCGACTCTACACAATATTTGTCCGTAGTAGGCGCACCGATTTCCAAACTGAAGCTGCACCGGATCGTTGCATCAAGATGGCACGAAGAGCCTTTGTCGCTCGGGCAAGGTGCAACAAATCCATGGGTTGAAGGTAGCTGAATATCTCGAGCAAGATATCGAGAGGCATTTCTGTCATCAACTTGAGATGACCACGGCGGCCTCTAACCTTGCTGAGAGCAGACCGTTCGTTGTCGGTCTGAGGTACCAATGTATTCGAAAGCTTTTGTGTCTTCCGAGGTTTCGATTGTGGGATTGTTGGAGGGCGAGTAGACACCTTTGGAGCTTCGGTCTGTGTGTCAACCTTAGCTTTCAATCGAGCAGAAGTGCGCTGAGAAGCAGCATTGTTAGTGTGTTGACGACGAGCCATACTTAGTGGCCGGTAGGTAGAGAACAGTGGCCGCCCCTGAGTCACGTCACATCCCGACGCCCGCCAAAGGCATCCGTGTCACAATGACTCAAAAGCGCACAACCACAAAAAAAGTCATAAAAATACAACACCCTACACTACAAGAACATATTGATTTTAACAGGTCTCCTCACAGCTGCCGAATTACCTTCCGCGAATCGGTAGCTCACTCGGTATTTTTTCTCGACGTTTTTGCGAACTGCAGCCTTAGCAGAGCTGGCCGAAGGTACAGTAATCAGTCGTCCAAAAAAATCAGTGGGGGGCTAGTGAATAGATGTTAGCTTTGAATAGTAGGATAGTATTACCCCTACTTTATCTGCCACATCCGTGGTATCTTTCTTCGCTCGTTTACTTGGATGTTCAGAATTTTCTAGGTCTAGCTCTCCGGATCTAATGAGCGGAAGATGAGTTGACGACCAATATATGCAGCAGTGGCGATTACTTTGTGGAATTCCCAAAGAAATCGTGTTTCCCTCGTTTGCCTTTCTCAACAATATTCGCGTCGCGTTCGATCAATTTGGCATCAATCTGTAGAGTCCGTCAGTACAACTTGCTGAATTTCCCAGTAATAAAAATTCATGACCTCTCCCGCTACAAGGTGGCGCACCGCATATCGCGAGACGGAGATATCAGTTGCTCGTTTACCGTCGTAGGTGACAAAGACGTCGATAGGCCTGGAGGTACTTATCACTACAATAGAGGATAAGGCCGAAAAAGAGAGAACATACGGATCAAGCCGATATGATAGTACACCATCCTCAGCTCTTTCTTGAACAAAGCGTAGTTCTAAGGAAGCCATGATGTGGACAAGCCTCTTCATCAAGGCGCGTTCTTCTGGCCGAATAATTTGACTGTTGACCTACACCACGTTAGTGACAGAAATCAGTTAAAACGTTCAACAGACGAACAGGTCGCAGAGGTGGCGATATTATTCGATTGATGAGTGGAGCAAATTCCATGTGAAGAATCGGGGTGCTAACGAGGTGCCTGTAATGCCCACCATGACGAACGGCTGTTCGTAAAAATCCGGAGAAGGACTTGTAAATTTCCTCATTGGTTCGTGTCAGTTGCGTGTGCTGCGGATAGGCTTTGTAAACCCGCCTTTAACGAAAAGCAGAGATAATGAGATCATACCTCCCAATCAGCCTGATTACGTTCTATGCGTTCGCCTCCTCGCTCCTGGAAGAGGGGATAGAAGGGAACAAGGGTGTATGATAGATACTGATGGAGGGAAAAATCGCCATCCGAATACATAGCTGAAGAGAAGTGGTCGAAGGTCGTCAGCCATTCCGTGGCTCGTTCGTGCCTTGCCAAATTAGCATCGTGGCGTCGGAGGAGTGCGTAATGTCCAAAGCATCCTGTCAAACAAACAAAAAAGTCTAGGCCCACCAAATGGCATCAAGATGTTACTTGTTGCTTACCAGCAGCGATACCGCTTTCCCGCCCACTCGCTCCGATTTCGTGACTAAGTCTACCGACGTATCTCGATTCTTCATCATCAGTAAGGGCAAGCTCTTTGACGCGTTTCTTCGAGAGGGGGTTGAAGATGCTGTTCAGAACCGATACTACTGAGCTATCGGCTGCTCCCATGCCAGATGTTGCTCTTCGAATTACAGACTCGGTAACTTCTTCGTTCCGCGATTTGACGAACTGTGAAATGAGGACTATTGGAACGATGTTTCAATGGTATTTCCTGCATACCTGAAGAGTATTGAGACAGCTCCGTAGATCGCATTTCGCAAGGCCTACGAGGGTACTCAGTGCTCTTGAGTCGGCTTTAAGACCTTCAATTTCGCAGATCTCTCGCAGACGTTTCGCTGTGTGGACATCTGAGGGACGTGTAAATCTTATCTGAAGGGCGTGAGGTCGAAGCTTTGCAAGGGATGAAGCATTAACATCGTTGCAGATGCAGATAATAGGTCGAAGAATTGGCCGCTTGACGTCGTGATCGCGTTTCTGGCCAGAACGTTCTGTAGCGAATAGTCAGCCGATGCGCTCTAACGTTGAACAATGACAAACGTTTCTTTCTCCACTTGTCTTGTGTAAGTTGTACGAGTTTGTGGATAAAGGTATTCGACTACGGGTAGAATGAATAAATGCAGCGTAAAATATGTTCACGGTTTGACGCACGCTCTCCCCCGCCCCTGTGGCGCCATCGATCTCGTCAATAATCAGAAGCACTGGTTTCGCGCTGCCTACTGCTGACCCGGCTTCGAGCGCAGGTCGTATTCGATCATCCACGATTTGACCCGAACGGGCATCACTAAGGTGAAAACATCAGCAGTGGCAATAACATATCCTTGGGTTATGGGCGAACCTAGCATTGATTTCCATCACCTCATAACCCGCCTGGTTCGCCACTACATGTGCTAAAGTTGTCTTTCCTAGTCCTGGGGGTCCGGACAGCAAAAGGAACTTTGTGGGAAATTAGAAAGACTCTGTATAGATCAAGATTATGCTGACCTTCTCTTGAGGTCGATGATATTCATCCTCCTTATCGAAGTTTTCGTTGCCGTCTCTTGGGCGTTTCCTTCCGCGCTTCCTACCAAAAACACACCAGTCCCATTGTTTAAGCCACGCCATTGTGTCACGGGCAACACGCTCATTCCCCATCAATTCAGTAAATTTATGTGGGCGATAACGGTCAACCCAGAGAATGTCTTCTGAAGCAGAAGATTCATTAGAACTTTGTGGTACATTATTCTGATCTCTAAGAGAACAAATTATTCCAGATTTGAGCAGAGCGTCAGCCTGCTCACTGTTTTTGTAATTTCGCGACTGCTTGGGATGATAAAGCATCCATGAGCCGATGAATGGGAACATCCAGCAAATTGTTCATCCTTTGGTTAGTGGACGTTGTTGACTGTTCAAAAGATAAGGGATGTCAAGGTAGAGCAAGTCACAACTCACGGTAGAACCCCTCGATAAAACCTTAGTCCTTCGCCGCAGATATATTGTTTTGCCATCGAAAGTGGTTGCCCGCACAGACAAATGCGTGGCGTTTTTGGGACGCGTATGGGTGGGGTCAGAGTTAGACAAAAGGTGTGAAGGAACACCGAAAGCCTCAGCGACTGGGAGTGGATCAGCATCTGGAGACCTGGCTGCATATCCAGCAAGAATAGGTGTTGAAAGATGAGCGCTTTTAGTACCATCGAGGAGGCCTGACGGCGCGAATGAGGGTAGGGATGATTTGCCTACAAAATAATCAAGGCTTTGGTTAGATGTTCGCGTCTATGCAAATGCACCGAACGTAGAATAGATCAAAAAGTGGGATTCACCTAAAAGCCCGGATAGTGTGAATGAACTTGAGGAAGCAGCTACGGAAGGTTCATCTTCAGAACGGACCCCCGCCGTGCCGCTCTCACTCGAACTGAGTAAAAAGTTCGATAACAGTCCATTGCTTTCAAAAGAAAAGGCTGTATCGGAGGCCGTACAATTAGGTTCTGGGTAACCATGAAAACGCGAACTTACCTGGAGCTTCTTGCTGCTTCTCTCCTGCAGCATGAAAGCCTGTCTGTGGAGTTAAGGACGCCCCCAATATCGCCTCAGACTTAGATAGTGCGTCATTTGAGCTGCTTGCACTCAATAGCGTAGTTGAACCCAGGAGCCCGTTGGCTACGAAGGTGGTCATTGACGGTGTCTAGAGAGGCGGTCGTTGAGCAGCGGCGTGACATCGCGTCGGTTACACTGAGTCACGCGTCGTAGTAACGCATCTTACATCAATGAGCAGCAGTACTCTCATCCACTACGGTATGACTAACAATCTAGGCGGCCAGCAAGGTATTCATCCTCGTAAACACCAATATCCCAACTTAATAAAGTCTGATTCTTCAGAAAACAGTGCTAAAATTACACCTGATGCTGTCCAAAAGCTCACAGAAAAACTGAAAGATCTTGTCGGAGAGGATGCTGTCGAAGAATTCAATCGCAATCGCCACGCACAGGGTGAGGTATGTCCGCGCTCTGAAGTAAGGGGAGTCTTTTGCCGAAATAGTCACCGCAGCTTGTAAACGAAGAGGGACTTCCTATCGTCGACATTTCCGAACCCATAACTTCTGTTGAAGTTCAGGGCTTAGGAAATTCCCTTGTATCTGAAGAAGATCCTCTCGTCCCACTCGTGGCCCTTCCCACGCAGGCTCGTCAAAGGCTACGTCAACAGCGGGAACGAATTCTCGATTTATTGGAGGAAGAGGAAAGGCAAGAGCAGCTTCGGAAAGAACAGAAAGAACGCCAAGAACACGAGGAAATTGTAAGGAAGCGGAAGGCAGAAGCAGAAAATGGGAAGGCACGGCTCATAAAGGCCAAGGAGCTGCAGAAAAAAATGGGCAGAGCTTTGTTGCGGAATATGGCACCTTCCAAAGAACAAGAAAATCAGAAGGGAGTAGCCAGGGTTCAAGGTGAGGAAGATGCTCAAACGAGGAACCCATCGTCGCCGAAGAAAAAGACGGTCAATTTTGCGGACTCGCATGATGATTCGTCTCCAACCACATCTTCCGTCGACGCCAGTCGGGGGGACGTTACTGCTGCCAGACTTCGCTCAGCTAATCGTCCGACATTGATGTCACAAGCAGAATCCGACAAGCACACTCCAATGAAGAGGTCCGTCGTGGAACGTCTTCCCGTTGGCCCGCGAACTCTCCCTAAGCCTGCCATTAAAGTTGAAGAACGTGACTCCGACGACGAGTCTGAGGGTGACGCATCTGATAATGGAGATGGCGCACAGAGTGACCAGGAATCCATACTCGAAGAAGATGACTTTGATTTCGATTTCGCACAGCATCAACGTGAAATTGCACTAGAATATCACAGAAAAAGAACTACTATTGGCGAAGAAACTGCCGCCGCGATGAGGAATCACTCTCATGAATCCGGCGAGAGACACGATAAGGTTTGTCATAGAAATTTTTCACCTCTCATTTTCTGAATATTTCTCCCTGCAGTTGGGTGAGCCTGACATGCTAGTTCCGGACCTTGCCAAACCTGCGATTTCCCAGTTTAGGGCAAACCGAATAGCGTCAGCATACAATGCATCGACTTCTTCTTCCACATCGCTGGGTGCTTCTGTCCTACCCGCATCCAGCACTCGCACCCTGCAACAGGCATTCCGCGCAGGAAAACTGGATTCTGACGGGAGACTTATAGGAGGAGAGGCAGATAGCGCAAGTGAAGATGAAGAGCCTGGTCTACAGGAAGTGCTGGAACTCTTAAAGAAAGGCGAGGTATATAATATCGGACCTGACGGGAAGTACTTGCACACCATACCCCCAAGTTCTGGTCAGCCGAATCCCGCTGGGGCTCCTCCCGTGACACCTCTTCCAGCAGAAGCAGCGGAACTGAAAATTCCCCCTTCACTAAGTGGCAAACCAAAGACTTCTCGATTTAAGGTGTCTCGACAAGCGGCGGGAAGGCCATCCATGCCATTATCCACAGCTAGCTTTTCCAGCAATGAGGCACTTTCACCTTCTGTCACCCCTGTGTCTTATGACACGAGATCTTCACCAAAAGTGGCAACTCCTACCTCCACACCTACTGTTATTGAACGCCTACCTCCTTCAACTGAATCCCAACCAGGACCACAGGCCATCAAACCATCACCGTCAGCCATTCTCCAGGGACCTGTATCTCCCTTCTCAATGATCGTCGAATCACCGTCCTTTCCTACACCCAGAGAAAGGCCTTCAAGACCTCCGACCGTCGTCGCATCCCCTTCGCCCCCTGGTTCAGCCAGACGCCCAGATCGTCCGCCCACAATTGTTGGAGAGCGGGTACCGACAACTGAGGGAGCGGAAAAGAAGATTTCTAGGTTCAAAGCAGAAAGAATGTAACAAGTGTCCACCCCACTTTTCGCGTGTATTACAGCGCCGATCTACCTCGTATATAATGAAGATTACCCTCAATCCCTATGGACATGATATGACGTGACATTGAGAACGAAACCAGGGTATTCCTACTCCTCGTCACTTTCAAACTCAATAGCCTGATACTTTCTGGCCTTCTTGTTTGGATTTGCCAATGAGGCACCTTTGGGCTGACGTGCAGCAGGAGCAGTTTCTTCTACACTTTTAGATCTCATTGCACAAATTAATTTGTAGTCTTACTTTCGGGAGGTGAGACCATACGCTTCAGGTTCTTCTGTTTGTCGAGTTGGGCTTTTAGAGACTTAATTTCTTCTTGCGCATCCTCGTTTGCGGCTTGCAATTTAGATGGTTTGGCAGAAGCGACACTCTCCTTGGCCTTATGGCTGGTTTTGGCTGGCGTTTCCTTGGACGTCGAAGGACCGGCAGCTGAGGAAACCTTTGCTTTTACCTTGGTGTCGACTATAGAAGTTGAGAAGGCACGTTTGAAGGAATTGAAGGATAGGCAGGCAGGAGGTTGCAAAAACTTGCCTGTTAACAACGATGAGGGTGCTAATGGTGGGTATGCCACACTGGGGGCGTGTAACTTGCATTTCCTGGACTGAGCTTGCAAAGCAATCTTTCAAGGGAATACATATGCTTTGAAGTGCAATAGACAAGAGGGCTCTCACTTCGAGGAAAACGTTTGTTGCATGCGAAGCTGCATCGGCTTGAGTCATCTCAACAAGGGGCACATGCATCGGCGTCTTCGACGTAGGTCCAAGTGTTAGCTATGAAATACATAGAATTTGAGTTGATTTCTCGGAGATCTAACCAGTGCGATGGAGGTTCACCTTAATTTCTGCACCTTCATCAGAACTCCAATTTCCGACGACAAGTTCGCCTTCAGCAAACGCCTCCGCGAGCTTTTCAGCAAAACTCTCTATCAGATGATCTGATGCTTTCGATCCCTGCTCGACCGCTTTAGTTTTTGGCACTTCAGCTGCCTCGAAGAGTGGACATACGATGACTTTGACTACATCGGCTGCAGTCCAGCTTCCATGCCACCACCGACCTTCTGGCCCACAGAGTCCGAGATGAATATTCCATTTATCGTCAGAGACGGTCGAAAGTACTACAAATCGGTTAACACTTTGGTATATCACCTGAATTAGCTCATCCAGACAACCGAAGTTTGAGAGGGGATCTGAGGACATCACTTCGTCACACGCTAGGTGCGTGTTACTGGAGCCTTTACATGGACTGGCAAATTCCCAAATGAACAGTTAATGCATTGAGATTGGTTGAATGATTTTATGCTAAGATACATTGCGGATATGACTATGGAACGGGATGATATCGAATGGGGGAAAGTAAATAAATATTGTTGTCGTTGTCAAAATCGGAGAAAAACAACGAAGAGAGCAGAAAGGAGGGAAATCCACGAGTTGACGACCCAACAAGCTGTTGTTCAGAATTGAAAAATGGTTCTTTTGACCGAAACGTCCAGTGAAAGAATAATTAAGAGTGATGTTAAAGGCTGAAGCGCGAGCTATCATTAGTGTGTGGACACCAATTCTTGAAGTGCTTCTACCACTTCCGACATTGTGGGCCGGTCGGCATGTTCTTGTGCCCACATGCGCTCTATGAGATCAACTATCTCTGGACACCACTGTTTTCGAAGGCCAGTCAATGGCGGACTGAACAAGGCGAGTTTTCAATACCAACTTGTCGAACGAGGAGATGAAAGTGACTCACCGCTGCCGTTTTGTTCCGACTACTTCATAAATGGCATGCTCATTCATTCCCTGTATGAAAATTTTACGATGAAGAACCCAACGAAGAAGCAAGACACAGACCTCCCAGGGGAATTTCTTGTTCGGAAGATGCCACTGAAGCATCTCCCAGAACACCATTGCGCAAGAGAATACATCCACTTTATGGTTATATTTCGGGTGCGCATGCCAGAGTTCTGGCGCTTGCCAGTTGACAGTACCGACCAAGCTGCGAACCATGGATCGTGTTGACTGCTTCACCTTGGCAAGCCCAAAGTCTGCAATCTTCGCAATCCCCTTGGCCGTGATGAGGATATTAGAAGACTTGCAATCCCTATGAATGATAGATGGCTTTCGCTTGTGAAGGTATTCCAACCCTTGGGCGATATCCAGCATCATCATTAGCTGAAACAGGTTAAGGGGTTATCAGAAAAGTTTGAGTAAAGAAGTTACACACCACTTTGTGAAGGCTTGGAGGGCCCACATTTCGGACGTAATCGAATAGGTCACCATTTGAGCAGAGTTCGCTAACAATCATGACTGGGGTCTCTTTCGTGTTCTCCGGTATACTAACCCCAAGCTATGGCAAAAATCATCAAAGACGAATCGAGGGCGAGGGAACACAACATACAAATCTCACGATATTTGGATGGTCGAACCCTCCAAGAAGTTTGAGCTCTTTGATATCCACTGAACGAAACGTCATCAATATAACGAGCCAACATCAAGGTAAAGCCGCTCACTCGAACTCAACTGTCCTCTGAATTCGGAAATAGCGATTCTTCGACCCTTGAATTTGCCGATAAAGACGTCCTTAAAGCCTCCACTTCCGATCTTCTCAAGCTTCTGCAGCTTTTCGGGAGGTATCTCCCTATCTTCTAAACCCAAGCTTTCAAGATCAAGCTCAAGCTCGTCCTCCTTCTCTTTGCTAGGAATGGGCGTCTCGTCAGGTTGTATTTGCTCAGAACAGGGCAATACTGGAGTGGTCCTGGCGCTGGACTGTTGTCTTCCCTTCGTTCGACGGCGCTTCCTGCTAGTAGATGGCGGCCGAACTGTTCCTGTGGAGGAGGGTGAAGAGAAATCATTGGCGTGCCGATCACGCCACTGAAGAAGGGCCTCTGCAAGCTGGGGTTTGGTTCCCACCGGGTCAAGGTCTCGGGTCTCGCAGAGGCGGACTAGATCGTCTCTGCGAAGGCGTACCAGCGTCCTAGCTGTGGCGACGGTCAAATCAACTATTGATGCAGATTTGTCAAGGCAATGTTAGGACTATGCGTATAAATTTAACGTACCATCTTCTTCCATAGTCTCATCGGTATCACCATCGGCGTCGACATCGACATCCTCCGCCTCAACATCCCCATCCTCTTCTACTTCATCCTCAGCATCTTCCTCATCGTCACCATCCTCCTCAACATCATTACCATCCTCTTCTGCCTCCTCATCCCCTACATCCTCCTCCTCGGCCTCCATTTCCACATCCTCTTCCCCAACGATCTTTCCACTTCGCAACTTCCTAGGCTCAACAGAGCTGACTGGTTCGTCCTCTTCCTCAACCTCCTCGTCCTCATACTGAACCTCATCCTCAATCTCCTCCTCTGGCTCCCCCTCCCCTTCATCATCGCCCTCGTCAGCGGCGTCATTGTCACTCCGCGTCGATGTTGGTTGTGTCCGCCTTGGCCTTAGCCGCCGTCTGAGCGGAGTGCGTCGTCCGATGGAATGGGGTGGTGTTATGGAAGCAGACGATACAAGCTCGTCCACTTCCTCTTCTTCCTCTAGGTCTTGATCCTCCCCTACTTCCTCGTCCTCCTCTTCTTCCACGAGCTGATCCTCTTCATCTTCATCCAAATGTTCTTCCTCAATCTCTGACTCCCTTGGACTTCCGATTTTCCCTTTCGCTTTGCGACTAGGAGTTATCCGTAGGTTCTTCCCGTTAACCTCCCCATTCAAAGGAGGCACTTCTGGTCGGTTAGAAACACCCTTCTTCGCGCGTCGCCCTTTGGCGACAGGGGTTACGTCCTGACCATGTTGCTCGCCATCCTTCTCCTTTGTCTTCTCTATATCCCGATCCTTGCTACGTAATCGTCGAGGGCTGACCTGATTCTGCCATGTGCTCAAAGATTGCTCAAGTTCCTCAAGCTCGGTGAGATCGCTTTCATCACCAAGCGTCAAAAAGTGTTCCCTTTCCTTCTCCCTCTCTTTGATGGAGCGCTTTGGAGGAGTTGTAGGAAGAACGTCTACCTCATTGCTGAATTCAACTTGCTTCGCCTTGCCTTTTCCTTTCCCTTTGCTCGTACTCGGAGACGTAGGAGCTGTATATTGAGCGTTGGCAACAGAGGTTGAGGTAGATACTTTGCGCGATCGCAAACGGGTGGCAGGTGGAGATTGTACTGTGGTTGATGGAGCGGTGGAAGTTGTGGGAGAAGACCTGTTGGATGTTCTCCGTCTGAAACGAAAAGTTAAATAGCTGATGTCGTGCACATGAAAAAAACAACAAACCGCGAACTGCTGCCACCTGAATCACCACTCAATCGTGTCGAGGACTTACGCTGTAAGCCAACCGGGTTTGACCCTTCCACAGGTCCCAATAAGTGTCCCATAGATAAACTACGGCCCTTGAGTGGACGTCCGATTGTTTTGCCCCAGTCATGCGTTACACGTCTCCGCAGTGTCCCAGGTCCTGACTGCGTCAACTGAGAGCCAACATCGGTTTCCTCGTCACCTGCAACATTACCATCGTCGCTTGAGTAATCTGACGATGCACCGTCTCCCTTACCTGGCGGAGAAGAGGGGGGAAGCGATGCTACGTCGTCTCGGGCAGCGACAATTGCGTCTGTGATCTCAGACTTGGTAAGTAATTCAGGATCATCTGGCAAGCCAGCGACATTGTACAAGCGAATAAGATCGGGTTTGCGAAGACGATTAAGTCGGTTGAGTGGGGCAGAGTGGAGGAGGCAATCATCCGCTGAAATTTCATCAGTAAGTAAGGAGAATAACGCAAAAAATGTTACTGACTCGAACCGTCCTCCTCCTCCTCTTCCTGTTCTGCATCCTCCTCCTGTTCTTCTTCTTGATCACCCGGTTCTGAGTCATCAGAACGTTGTTCGGAAGGGGAGTCAACTTCCATCTCGCCGAGATCCGACCCACTCTCTTCGCTGGTTGAAGAGTAATGTTTCGTGGTGCCAGAAGCGGACCGAAGGCGCTTCAGCCGGCCAGAACGCGTGCCATAAGTGCGCGCGTTTTCATTAGTGTTCGCGACGCGTTTTCGCTTGGCGCCTACTTGAACAATATGACTTGACTCGCGCATGTTTTTCTCTTGATCCTTTTGGGCGAAAATTCGTGAGGGCAAGCGGCGAAGGTTGGGATGAAGAGCAGCCAGGACGGGCCGTTGAGCAACTGGAGAGGATATTGACGGGATTGCCTCGTGGGAAACTAAACGGGATGTGGCGCGCCTAAGGTAATATTTCTTGCGGGAAGATGATGGTGAGCTGGTCGACGACGAAGATACTCTATGGTGTGGTGAGCGCCTCGAATGAGCCATAACCCACAGACAGAGGTCAATCTGCTGTGTCGGGATTTCTCGCGCCAATTAAAGCGCAAGGCCGGGGCGCAGCTCTATGGACGCAATAAAATGATAGTTCAACAGACGTCGTACAAGTCGTGTTGTCGTCGTTGCCGTCGACTCGGTGGTCGCAGATTGCCTGCTGGCGGTCGTCGAGTGATGAATTCCACCGTGGTTGCTGTCGATGTTGGACTTCTCCTTTGTTTGCACATCCAAACACAGGCAAAAGATGGCAGAGGTCATGTGATTAGACCGGTTCTATCGGACACACCTCCGTGCCATTGTGCTTATGTACCACACTGTACCACATTTAAAGTGCCTGCGATGAGCCACAGTTCAACTTTCTCAACTTTCGACCACCATCGAAGGCACCCGTAAAACGCGTAAACCCATTGGACTAACCAGTTTCCGCGTTCGGAAGCCCATTCAAACAGCCACCGCACCTCGCGATCATTGAACAAACGACATGCCCAACTGGGTAACCACAAACCCCCCACCATTTTGAGACAGTATCCCTATACTTATAACGCCCTCTGCTACTTTTTGCGCACCAAACGCCCATCATGCTGCTCAAATTCACTACCCCAGATATGCTCAACACTTTGCTCATCGACGCCACCACAGGTCGATGCGCCTACGAAATCGTCACTGCTACCGTGCCACCCTCCGAATTAGTTGAGCCAGACACCCCTCTCGACTCAAGCTCTGCGTCGGGGTCGTCGTCATCTTTTGCTTCGGGTTCCTCAAAGCAGAAGCCATCTCCCACCGCTGCTCGGCTTGTGCAGAGGCGCACGACGATAAAAGATTTTTCAGGAACTATTCTGGTCGACATTAAATGGAATGGTCGACGCCCCGATATTTCTATCGGAAAGGAACACATTGGTGGTCTACCAGAACTTTTTGGTTCCTCCACGATCCGTTTTATGTTGGTATCTTGTATTCAATGATGGTATCCTCATGCTAATCTCTTGTCCAGGCCAAAAATTCTTGCTGTTCCAACTCGTTTTGATACAGAGTTTATTTGGACATCGACAGCGGACTCACTGACGGTATGTCATATTTTCCATGTCTCCGTTTTGATTCCTGAAACTGAAATTTCCCAACAGCTGTTCGACTATGATTCCGAAACAACGACAGGAACTTTTCATCATAATTGTATCCGAATTCCTACACGCGCTAAACTGTCCAAGATGAAAACGTCCTCATCCTCCAAAGTGAACCTCTCTTCGCCCTCTTGCCCAAAGCTATCCCTTCGTTCCTCGAGAGCCAAACTCTCCTCACCTTCCAAACTGACATTGGCGTCTCCGCCATCATCTCCTATTGATGAACCTTGCGATCCACCATCGATAACATCGTCGTCATCGTCATCTCCGCAGACCTCATCAAGATCCACATTTATCTCAACACACCTTCCTGGGGTTGGTTCTAACTATCTTGAATTTACTCCACATCCTCTAGCTCCCGACGTTGAGATTATTCGTGAGTTTTCCTGCCTTCTCTTGCGACACAAGCTGATGGTCAACATGCAGTTTCCTTTTTAATGATGGAGATACTTCGTCGCGGTCGCTTCTGCCTTACGCCGTACACCTTTGACCGCCCAAGGATGTGGCAATTGAAAGAGGCTCGGGATCTCTTCATGAGACGCCTCCGACGGAATACAGTTTAGCATTGAATATCGAATTCCTTTCCATTCATCACCTCTTTGAGGATTATTTTTATCATCATTTGTTCTCAACAGGGTTGATTTTTTGTCCCCTGCCACTCTCCTTTTTTCATTAGCAAGCATTACCTTCACATGTGTATTTACATAGGAAATTAAGGAATAAATCAGCGTTCTCATCCAATTCTCATCGCTAGAGTATGTGACGGTTGTGACCGTGATTGCAACTTTTCTTCCATTGAAAATAGACCTTGGATCCACCTTGCAGCCATGGTCGTAACACACGTTTCCTCATCCCAGCCAAATGCACCGATCTCAGCCCCTCGAAAGAATCGAAGAAAGATTTCAAGAAAGAACGCACGGACAGCCGATCACTCACAAAATGACATCCAAGATTCTATGGACGAAAACGATACGGGCCCATCTATCCTCCAACCCACAGCTGCTGCTTCTTCATCCAAACCACCAATCGCAGATGACGATGAGTTAATGATAGATGCAGATCCTTCCTTTCTCGCCCCGAGCACCTCTGCCCCGACGTTCCCTCCCTTATCCGCCAACGCCGAAAAAACAACGCTGAAATCCGAAACGAGACGTATACCCATACCACCACATCGAATGACTCCGTTGAAGAAGGACTGGGTCAACATTTTTGGTCCGCTTACGGAAATTTTGGGATTGCAAGTGCGAATGAACGTTCAACGGAGATGTGTCGAAGCCAGAGTACGCATCATTGTTAATCAATCTAAAAACGTTCCCATTGATCGTTTTTTCTCTCCCAGACTTCGAAGCATACGAAAGACATCGGGGCTCTTCAAAAGGGTGCTGATTTCGTCAAAGCGTATGCGTTGGGCTTTGATGTCAATGTATCATCCTTCCAATCTATTACCACAACAATTTTCATCTGATAAATGTATCAATCAGGACGCCATCGCGCTTCTTCGCTTGGATGATTTATACCTAGATTCATTTGAGATCAAGGATGTGAAAACTCTGCACGGCGACCATCTCTCACGAGCTATCGGTATGGTGAATTACTCACCCTTCCGCTAGATATTTACCCCTTCTCCCCTCTCCAGGTCGCATAGCTGGGCAAGATGGTAAAACAAAGTTCACAATAGAGAACACCAGTCGGACGCGTATTGTTCTGGCCGATACGTGAGTCTTTGTTGTTTACCCGAGGAACGTTTTAACCCTGTAGATCTGTTAGAAAAATTCACATCATGGGATCTTTCCAAAACATTAAGGTCGCTCGCGACGCTATTGTTTCCTTGATTCTTGGGTCACCCCCTGGAAAGGTATACGCTGGCTTAAGGACGGTTAGCAGCAGGATGAAGCAGAGGGCAATCTAGGATTATTTGATGTATCAGGATGCGCGTCGAAAGAATTTCAGGCTCATATATCAACTTGGCCAGAACGAACATGAACATGCTCACTCGCAGGCGAAGTTTTGACAAGACATCTGATCAGTTGCTACCCTTCCAGTCCGGTAGCAAGGATAGAATTACAATAAATATTCATATACAGGTACAGCAACGTTTTCCTAGTTCGTATTCCATGAGTTGTGCAGCCCTACCGTATCAGAACCATTGACGGGTGTATTTGCACCCGTACTATTTCCCCTCGATGAGCCATTCACGTCTTTGTTATCCAGTGCATTCAGATCTAGATTCAGAGCTTTTCCACGAATGTTATCTGCTCGCAGGGACTCCAGATGTTGCAGATACGCCTCATCTACTCCGCCAGTTACATATTCCCCACTGAAGACGGAGCAGTCAAAGCTGCCAATCGCAGGATTGAGTTGTCGGACCGACTCAATCAGATCAGGAAGTGTCTGAAAGATGACGAGGTCTGCTCCGATCGCTTCCGCTATGTGTTCTTCGTCGCGACCATGCGCTACCAATTCCTTCCGTGAGGGCATGTCGATACCATAGACGTTTGGATACCTGGCCCAGCATCAGAAATCGGGGAAAGTAGACACAGAAAAAGTGAAGTACCGAATTGGTGGTGCGCAACTTGCAACAATAACCTTCTTTGCACCAACATCCTTGGCCATTTGGACGATTTCCTTTGAGGTTGTACCACGCACGATGGAGTCTACGTTCAGGAAAGGGTCAGCAACGACAATCCTGCCTTACTTCATAAACATACCGTCGACAATGAGAACATTCTTATTTGCAAACTCCAAAGCCATCGCGTTTAACTTGCGTCGCACATTCTTCTTCCTGCGAAAATCAGGATCAATTGGCAAGAATGATATCTGTTTGGTGGGGCGCACCTCATCTGCTGTCCAGGCATAATAAAGGTTCGTCCAACATAACGATTTTTTACGAATCCCTCTCGGTAAGGTAGATTCAGCCTCTGTGCCAAGTTGAGCGCAGCGACTCTGGATGTATCGGGCACCTAGTGAGTTAGATAAGGCAAGTCCATGGACCCAAGAAAAGGCATCATACGGGGATGACGACGTCTATTGTGATATTCACTTCCTCCAACACTTTCTTCACGTTGTCGGCAAGTGCGTCTCCCATCGCCATCCGACTCCGGTATACGCTGATACCATCCAAAACGGAGTCGGGTCGAGCGAAGTAAACGTACTCAAAAATGTCCGGAGCGAAGGTGGCAGGAGCCGCTATTTGTCGGCGAGATACACCGTTTCGCGTGATGATGATGGCCTCGCCTGAAATTCGGCTTACTCAAAGAGATGAGGGCATCGAGGACGGCACATACCCGGATTAACATCGTTCCACTCGGTAAATCCTCCAGCATCCGCAACCACACTTTCACTTGCGACAATGTAATCTTTTCCGCTCGCCGTAGCTCTGACACCCCATCCGACGGGTCGGATACCGTTGGGGTCGCGGAATGCGATTATCCCAAAACCAGCAAGCATGGCTACGCATGCATATGCACCTTTAACTTGCGACATCATCCCACCAATAGATGTGAATATATCCTCCTCGTTGATACGGAATTTTCCAGTTTGTTGCAGATTATAGGCGAAGATATTTAAGAGTAGTTCAGAGTCAGAGGCCGTGTTGATATGTCGATGAGCGATTTGATCCATGAATTCCATTAAGGATGAGGTGTTAATAAGGTTTCCATTCTACGGACATCCAAAGTTAGTACAATGAAATGGGATACGAGGGGGAATACCTACGTGAGCGAATACGATTCCGTACGGAGAGTTGACATAGAAAGGCTGCGCTTCAGCGTTGTTGAAACTTCCCGCAGTGGGATATCGGACTAGAAACAAATGTAAAATAAGATAAATGGCCCTTCTACCCAAAACAGCACTCACTTACCATGACCGACACCCATTCCACCAATTAATCTTGAAATTGAGTTGGCGTCGAAAATGTCCCGAATCATTCCATTTGCCTTGCATTGGTAGAATCTGCCTCCTGGACCGCAGGTGATGATTCCGCAAGCGTCCTGGCCTCTATGCTGGAGGAGGGATAGGCCTTCGCATATTTCGGGTGCAGCGTCCGCGTTGGAATCATTCAAAAGTAATCCAAGAATACCACACACTAAGGCAACCACTGAGAATCGTGGGATATTCAATCGTAGAATACTCACTAATGTTTAATTAGATCCCTGAGCACGGTGATGGAGAGAGAGCGAACGTGAAAAGGATCTGCCCAGTTCGTAATGGAGAGCACATCGGAAATTTTTAGAATCGATCATCCGGAACAAGTAGTGATTAGATTACCGGTATCCCTAATCGGGACAAATCACACCACGTGCGTGAGTGACAACCCTGTTTGTGACGTTTTGTCGGGAAACGTTTGCTCAAGCCTCATGATCAAGACGAAACAAGTAAGTACGCGGTTGAACGCGGTCTATTCTTCAAAACTACAGATTATGTTTGTTTTAGTACTGGGGTCATAACGGTCTTGACACCGATTCTACAATCCAAGAGAGCGATGTAATAGCGTGGGGAATGTGGTGCGTGATGATGAGGGTGGTGAGCGAGAGACGATAATGGTATCAAGAGATGCAGTGCGTGAAATGAATGGGTAGAAGGATGAACTTCCGATACTAGCCGAAACATGATGATGGGATATCAGATAGACCAAGACCAAGAAAAGAGAGAGCAGCAACAGCTTAGAGCTTGAGCTGCTTGGGCTTCTCCCAGGTGTAGTCGGGGTTACCGAAGTGGCCGTACGACGCCGTCTTAAGGTATTGAGGCTTCTGGAGGTCAAGTTCACGGACTAACAAGAAGAATGAGCAACGAAGGCTGAAGTGGCTTGGTCAATCCCTTACCAATGACACCTGGTCGAAGATCCCAGTTGTTGCGAATGACTTTCACTAGCTCCTCATCAGACCTCTTGCCCGTGCCGTAGGTGTCGACGTAGATCGACAATGGCTCAGCAACACCAATGGCATATGAAAGTTGGACAAGGATACGGCGCGCAAGGCCGGCAGAGACCAACGATTTCGCTAGAGAAAAAGATGAGATCGTTATCGCCACACAAAACTGAAGAATGTACCAATCCAACGGGCAGTGTAGGCGGCCGAGCGATCGACCTTGGAGAAGTCCTTGCCAGAGAAGGCTCCTCCTCCGTGAGCACCCCATCCACCGTAGGTATCGACGATGATCTTGCGACCAGTCAATCCAGCGTCACCCTGAGGACCACCAATGACGAATCGGCCAGAGGGTTGAATCTATAATAAACCATAAGACGGTGGTAGTGACTTCACATCGATGACACTTACATGGTAGATGGTTCGGTCGTCCAAGAGGTTGGCAGGAATGACTTGCTTGATGATCTTCTCAAGTATCTCCTTGCGGAGGTCCTCGGTGGAGATCTCCTCAGCGTGCTGGGTGGAAATGACAACAGTATCGACGCGCAGGGGGATGGTGGCTCCGCCATCCTTCTTGTACTCAATAGTGACCTGGGTCTTCGAGTCGGGACGGAGCCATGACAGAGCACCGCTGCGACGGGCAGCGGCCATTGCCGCGTTGAGCTTGTGTGCAAGCACGATGGTGAGAGGCATGAGCTCTGGGGTCTCGTCCGTAGCATAGCCGAACATGATACCCTGATCACCGGCACCGTGATCCTCGAGGTTTCCATGGTCCAGGCCCTGAGCAATATCAGGGGACTGTTGTTCAATGGCGACGAGGATGTTGCAAGTCTTGTAGTCGAAGCCCTTTGAGGAATCGTCGTAACCGATCTGTTTGATGGTGTCACGAATGACCTTCTGGTAATCGAGTCTGGCTTTGGTCGTGATCTCGCCAAAGACCATGATCATGCCAGTTTTAGACGCCGTTTCGCAAGCGACCTTGGAAGAGGGGTCTTCCGCAAGGCAGGCATCGAGCTGAAGACGATGCAAGGCATCAGCTGTTTACATTTGCTAATTTGAAATTTGATCAAGACATACGATAGCATCGGAAACCTGGTCACAGATTTTATCTGACCTTGTTATCAACGTTGCATCGTTAACAAGATATTGACGCCATACCAGGATGACCTTCACCAACCGACTCCGAGGTGAACAGGAAGTGACCAGGCTCGAGAGCAGCGCGAACTGGAGTACCAGAGGGGGCCATAATGATCAGTGGAGAGATGAAATAGTTGGGGGGGGATGGGGAAGTAGAGCAAAGTTCGTTTTGCCGCAACCTTCCAAATTTTATTTGAATGGCATCTATGTGCTTAGTCAGCGATCGTTAAGTATCACGCCATCTCGCGAGCGTTGCCAAAGATCGAACGAGGATTTTATTGACAAGTCGGCGTGGAACGTTAAGCACTGCCTCACGAAGGCGTCTAGCAAGCGCTTGAAATTGGGGTGACACTCACAAAATGTTAGGAACTGCACTAAGCTCATTCGGTATCTATTATGAAAGCAAGGTTGCCAAGTGTGTTGTTACATGTACTTACATACACTAGAGTCCAACTTGTTACAAAATCTAGAAATTGAACATGGATATAGGTGAAGGGTTATAGGAACCCCACGCCAAGCGGGTCGGTGTTACCTGATGGGGCCGGTGGTTGTACGTTTTTTATATTTGACACGGCGGGTTTATGAACAGGTGTTGCAATGGCAGGATCGAGTGGAAGCGGGGATATTGGTTCAACGTCGGCTCGCACAGTCTCTTGTTGAGCATCGGATGTCAGTGCTCGACCCCAAGGGTTCCCGTCCAACTCGGAAGCGGGGGGGAGAGACAAAGAGTTCGTAGTAGCCCAGGGGTTCCCAAGTGTAAGAGACGCAAGGGAGTTTGGCCCCTGCGTCAGCGGAGATACTGACGTCTCCTCTCCCCATGCAGACAACGTATCACGTCCCTTTAATTCGGAACTCCCTTCTGAAGGCTCTTCGCCACCATTATTTCTCAGATCTTTCGCGACACTGGTGTAAGCGTCCTGAACAACAGAAAATGCAGCAGTCGCATTTGACGAGAGCTTTCCCCACACCGATTTTACTCCGCCACCGGATAATAAAAAATCAGGCGGCTTCGTGCGGGCCCATATGGGTGCTGATTGTGAAGAGGCGGATGTGGATGACGAAATGCGAGGCCGTACTAGTGCCTTGTGGGTGTTCGACGACGGTATGTCCCTGCTTGGGCTAGTGGACACACCAGAAAGCGAAACATCTTGAGAGTCACTGCCTAAATTTGGGGATGTATTTCTCGGACTCGGACGCTGTACATTCAGTGACTGTGAAAGATTCAAAGGAGTCGCCGACGAGCTGGATGGCGAAGAGGATAAAGGGATTGTGGGAGTTTGTGACCGTGAAATGGCTGGTTCATCATCTGTGCTTTCTGATCCCAAAGCATCAGGCGCTCGAGGAATGGCTAGAGCGGCCCTCCCATTCATCTCCTCGTCTGTACGACCATAGAGCTCATGCCAAAACCGAACATCTTTAGGGTTCACAAACAAAACGCCCATATCCGCGCCTGGACCCCTAGCCATGGGATCATCTAAAGATGGATCGTATGCCGGATTCTTGTTCTCCGCCATCTCCGTGGGTGAATTAAAGTAGTCCCATACACTTATGGTGCGCTCGCAAGGGGGCGGTCCCCCATCGCCAACCCGTCGTTCACGTTCGCAGTTGTATAAAAAAGTGCCGAATTGACATGAATAGAGGTGGTAGTAAAGCTGGTGGAGGAATCGCTCGTTGAACTCAAAACGGTTGGGGAATTGGCGTTGGACTTGGCGAACGGATTCGAGGAATTGATGGAAGACGGGACTCGTCTCTTTGATATGGGTTTGTGAGGCAAATCGATTTTGAACGGAGGCTAAGAATGCTTGAGCAGCGTCTGCCCCTGCTCCCGAACTTACACCCTCCGTAGGGGACAGAAAGAACTTCTCTGAGGACAGGTGCCCACATCGATCGAGGAATTTGTGACCGAATGACAGCCAGTCCTTCTCGATGAGAATTTCAAAGCCCCGGATAGTGCGATAGAAAGGATCGAGACACAGTTGTGCAAGAGCAGAGAGTTGAGATGTTCGGTCCCATCCGTCAGAGCAGTGAACCAGAACGTGTGATGAATTCACATGCACGTTTCTCGTGATAAGCAGAGTGCCTTCTAGTATTGCAGCTATATGACGCAGCCAGCCAGAACGACGCAGAGCTTGCCGATCTAGAACTGCGAGTGTCGGCAGTTGTTCAGGGAGGTCATTGTTGATGGTAGCAAGTAGAGAATCGGCGTCACGCAGCGCTTCAACGACTTTTGCAAGGGATTCTCGCATTGTGTGTATATGATCAATTCCAAGATAAACTTTCTTGCTATCCTTGTAATGGTCCATATTTTCTGTTCCTGCGCCCTTTGCGCTGTTAGCCACTGCATTAACGGTTGGTCTGGCGTCAATGATTAGATTGGTCGATGTTGCGCCATAAACGGGGGTGTTAGATGCGCGAGATTCGGGCGACCAGTGGGATTGAAAAACAGCCTCAATCAGTTTTTCGTCCTGAACAGATCTATTCTGGGTAATTCCAACCATGGGTTGGCTTGAACGCGTGATAGTTCCCTTTGAAAATAATGTTTCAGCAAGCACACACGAGGGAAGAAATTGACATACATAATTTGCCCAATGTAAATAACTCAGAACAGGTATTCGACATTTGCTTCTGTATTTCGATGCATATTGAAGTGTCGTATCGCTGATCCTAGTTGGAATGACTAATCGCGCTGGATACGTTGCAGAGAACTAGAGTTACTAGTAGTCATTGACAGGTTAATCCTTCAGTTTAGGGAATAAACGCACGGAATAATCCTTATTAATGTCAGTAAACCTCCAAGCTTTTGTACGGGTTCCCACCCCCATACGTCCAAACTCATCCCGGGGGGAGTATAGTGACCAGCCATCACTAGCAGAAAACGGGGGGCTGGGAGAGTAGAAGAAAGCGTAGAGCTGAGTGACAGAGGCTGGGGATCTCGTTCAACGCTTGATCAAGAGAGTCATACTATGCTCACTCGAGACCGTCAGCTCTTTCACGCTTTCGAAAACATCGCTAGCATCTGAATCCTTCGTGAACGTAAACGAGAACGTCTCAAAGGTACGCGTGTTGAAGTTGATTGGGGATTGGCCTTGCAATGTTTGTGGTAGACGAGTGACCAATGAGATCAAAGGGTATGGCACCTAGGTCTCGAAATAAGTCAATCCGTCGAGAAAGAACATGTGCATACCCAGATCTCCTTCTCTTTTCCGTCGTCGTATCGGAAAATGATATGGTGTGCAGTTAGATGGATTGTGCCAATCGACGTTGTGCCTGTCTTGGTGAAAGCTACCCGCTCCACCTGAGCAGAATGTTCAGAGTTGGGCGCGCAAGCTGAGGCTGGTAAAATATACCTTGGTTACGCGGATCGCGTCCATGGTGGTGATTCGGGATTCAGCAGATGGAATGTGCTTGGCTTCTGACGAGGAAGAGGTCAATCACTGATGTAGTGTCACTAACTTAGTCGTATCCTTTCAACTTTGTCACTGTTTTATTACAGGTCAACAGAAGTAAAATATCGAGTCTTTCCAATATGTACTGCATTTATTACACACAATCCTCAAGGAAGAGCTCAACTAACTCTACAACGTCAAGCCAACGAGAAGACCAACGGCAGCAAAGACGTTCGCGAAGCTGCCACCCATCCGAGGCGCACCATTTCCCTGCGCTGTGCTGCTCGCGACAGCAGCTGAGCCCGTGAGGGTAGGTGGGTCAACTGCGCCACTCGGAAAGCCTGTGCCAAACACCTCACCGGGAGTGCCGGAGGGTACTGTGCCAGAGGGTGCTACTTGAGAGGGTGCCACGGAGGGTGCTGTTCGAGAGGGTGTTGCTTCAGATGGTCCTTCAGAGGGTGCTCTAGAGGGTGACGCTCCGGCTGCTCCAGAGGGTGTTCCAGAGGGTGGTGAACGGGAGGGTGGTGATCCAGAGGGTGGTGACCCGGGGGGTGGTGAGCCAGGGGGTGGTGACCCGGGGGGTGGTGACCCGGGAGGTGGTGAGCCAGGGGGTGGTGAGCCAGGGGGAGGCGAGCCAGGTGGGGGGCCAGGGGGTGGCGAGCCAGGGGGTGGGCCAGGGGGAGGTGAGCCAGGGGGAGGTGAGCCAGGGGGCGGCGAGCCAGGGGGCGTCGAACCAGAAGGTGGTGCTCGGCGTGCTGCTCGTGCTCCCGTAGCCGAAGCTTTCGCAGCCGCCTGGAAGAAAATAAGTTTTTTATAGTTGAAAGACCTGTATATTGGACGTACCAGGAATGCACCAAAGGTCTTGTCGGCTGTTGGGTTGACAGCAAACACCATGCCCGCATGACAGTGGCTATCAGACACAGTCAGAAGATCATAACTATGATGGGGGTGACGGTCAACTCACTTCACCGGAGTATCTTGAGCGCAGTAGAACCACAGGGGGGTTCTGTCATCTTCCAATGTGAAGCTCCAGGAAGGGAACTGGATGGCGTTCGCAAGAACAGCCTGAAACCCAGAGCTTAAGCCCAGTTTGGGTGTCGTCATGACTGAACAAGGATCGGCGAACGTCGATTGCGTTACCGTCTAACGAGATCGGTGTCAAAGTTCTATTCACAGCAATAAAATCATCAGACACACGTGGTTCTTACTCTGGCTAATAAAAGGTGGTAGATGTCAGCTTAGCTCGGGTAGGATACCATTGAATTTCTTACAACACGAAGGCAATAGTATCGCCTGCTGCGGCCGTGACACTTGGGGGGTCAAACGCGAGCTACAATGTAATGGAAGGAGCTCCAGACCAAAGCTTCAACAACGCACATACCATATTATTGGCACCAACTTTGACCTGGAAAATTGCCGCAGAAGCAGCGGGAATAAGAGCAGGAAGTGCAAAGGAGAGACGCATGTCGGTTGTGCGCGCGGTATAGAGGGTATTAAAAGGGAAGGAAAGATATTGGAGCCTGTTCCAGAGGGTGCATTATATAAATCAGCTCAATACCCTTCAATCGACTCACGCACATCGCCAGCAAACAAAAAAAAGACAGACCATGTAGTATCAACTGAAGTGGCGAAACAAAAACACTCGGCAGGGGTCGTTATGTATGGCACTAAATATGGCCACGATAGTCGCGTAACTGAAGAGGGTTCAGCATAATTTAAAATCAAATGATGAATCAGAAGGAATACCTGATCTGGTTGGGTGCTAAGGACGATATATGTACTAGTCCTGAGTGGGATATTCGGTAAATGAACACCCCAACAGAAGCCAACAGACAATTTGAAAATTCAACAATAGATGTGAGGTTTGCGGATAAGGAATGAGATTCATCCAACGATTCAGTGCAAGAAATTTGTCGAAAATTTGGGAAGCTTGTGATGTGCCGACACGTGACAGGACACCTCCGTTCTTAGCATGCGTGCCTAGTCCCAACTTGATGCCTTTTCAGTAAAGAGGTTGGGCCCTGTATCAATACAAGTCGAGGAATTGGTGGCCAAATAACAGGAGTCCTTCTCGAGAACTCCAAAGCCATGGGTGGTAAAATGGAAAGAATCGATTCAGAGAGCTATGTGCGGTCAATCCTTCAACTAAGGAAAGATGCGCATAGAGAATGATCCTTGTCGACGATGTTAACAAACCGGGAGGCTCTGGTGTGAGTTTCCGTCCCCTATATGTACGTCCAAACTCGTCTCGTAGAGTGTGACCAGCCATCACTGGTACGAAGTGGGGGGCTGGGCCGAGAGTGGAAGAAAGCACAGAGCTGTGACAGAAGCTGGGGATCTGGTTCAACACTTGATCATGAGAGTCATACTACACTCACTCGAGACCGTCACTTTCACGCTTTCGAAAACACCGCTAGCGTCTGAGTTCTTCGTAAACGAGATCTCAAAGGTGGTGACTGTGTGTTGAGGTTGATTAGGGTTACCAGCGCGTAAGGCTTGTCTATGATATCTCTTGTTTACTTGTTACAAGACGACTCAGGGCTGTAGGCGACGGAACGGTAAAATGGCATTTTTTTTTCGCCAATGCTACATTTATTCCATACAATCCTCCTTAAGAAATGGATACCCCAATTAAATATACAACGTCAGACCAGCCAGAAGACCAACGATAGCCAGGATATTCGGGAAGCTGCCACCCATTCGAGGCGCACCATTTCCCTGCGCTGTGCTACTCGTGGCAGCAGCTGAGCCCGTATGGGTAGGTGCGTTGAGTGCGCCACTCGAAAGACCTGTGGGCGCCTCAGCCCCAACAGAGGGTAATGCTGCCCCGGAAACTCCAGAGGGTGCTGCTTCAGAGAGAGAAGCGCTTGAAAGAGGACCGCTATCAGGTTGTGCTCCAGAGAAAGGAGCGCCAGAGGGAGGAGCGCCAGAGGGAGGAGTGTCGGAGGGAGGAGCGCCGGAGGGAGGAGTGTCGGAGGGTGCAGCTGAAGCGGGTGCAGCACCAGAGGGAGGAGCACCAGCGGGAGGAGCGCCAGAGGGAGGAGCGCCGGATGGTGCAGCTCCAGCGGGTGCAGCTGAAGAGGGTGCACCACCAGAGGGCGCATTTGTGGTGGGCGCAACTCCGGAGGGTGCAGCTGAAGCGGGTGCAGCACCAGAGGGAGGAACGCCAGAGGGTACAGCCCCGGACGGTGGTGCTCCAGAAGATGGTGCTCCAGAAGGTGGTGCTCCGGAGGGTGGTGCTCCGGAGGGTGGTGCTCCGGAGGGTGGTGGGCCAGAGGGTGGTGGGCCAGGGGGTGGTGAGCCAGGGGGAGGTGGGCCAGAGGGTGGTGGGCCAGAGGGTGGTGCTGCTCGGGGTGCTCCTGTGGCCGTAGTTTTCGCAGCCGCCTGACAAATAAAATAAGCTTGCCTATTTAGAGCAATGAATCGTCAAACATACGTGGTTCTTATGCATTTGGCTGGTAGAAAATAGCTGATGTCAGCTTGGCCAGCGCAGAATACTATTGGATTCCTTACAAAACGAAGGCAAGAGTATCACCTGTCGCTGCCATGACTTTTGAAGGATCGAGCGCGAGCTGAGATGTTTGTTAATTTCAGAAACCAAGCTTTAACATCGCACATACCATATTATTGGGACCGACTTTGACCTGAACGGCTGCCGCGGAGGCAGCAACCGGAATTATAGCAGCAAGGGCAAACGAGAGACGCATGGTGGTAGGTGCAAAGAGCGAATTAAGGATTTGAAGTCTGGTCAAGCCTCCAGTAGAAGGATAGCAACAATATTAGGACATGTTCAGGAGGGCGAATTATATAACTTCATAGCTTCAGTTGGCTCACGCAGCTCACCGGCAAACAAAAAAGACATAGTCGCTTGAGGGTACACTCGACAGGGTACTTCATGTATAGCACCAAATCTAGGCACTGTGCGGCGATGCCCGCAGGAAGTGTATATTACAGTGTGATTCCTATCAGGACGCGATGTTCGTGTAACTGGAGAGGGTTCAGGATGAATCAAATACGGTGAGGACTGAAGGAATACCTGATACTGGTGCTGAGAAGTATATCCTGTAGACATACTCATTGACGGACAGCTTGAAAGCTCAACGAATGTGAGGGTTTGGTAGGGTGTACTACTTGAGGATTGGCAAGCTCAGTTCAACTTCTGACTCTTGAGGAGAGGGAAATATTGTCGCGCACGCAACAACCAAAGTGTTCGGTAGTTTCCGTTTCTAGTCCAATGGGTGCTCCCACGCATCGGCAGTGTCCTGCCCAGGAACTGGGGTGATTGAAGTTGGATTGAAGGGTAATTACTTGGTAGTGACTACAATCTAAATGCAATTCGCGCAATTACTTGAATCAATGCGGACTTTGGGGCTTTTGAGAGTCAATGAATTACCAATCTTCCCTGAAGGTTTTCCAGGTCGCGTAAATTGACGTCTTTTTAATTTCTTATTCCGAGAAAAGTGCAGAGGTGGGGTATGAGGATGTGATATGTGAGGGGAGAGAATCACTGGGCGGCGCAACATTTTCCATCGATGGCAATTATTTACATTCGTCTCATGTCGCTTTTTATTATCAGGCAAAGAAACGGTAGATAATGTCATTTTTTCGCCCAGTGCTACATTATGCTGTACAATCCCCTTCAATGGATACCCCAAGTAGCTCTACCACATCAGGCCGGCGAGAAGACCAACGACAGCAAGGGCAGTCGCAACGCTACTCTCTCTCCCGGGCACGCCGTTTCCAGGACCGCCATCGTGAGGTCCACCGGGGGGTGGCCCAGGTGGTGAGCCCGAGGGGTGTGCGTGAGGACCCCCAGAGGGTTGTGCAAGGTCTGCCTCTGTAGCTAAAGCTTTCGCGGCGGCCTGAAAATTGAGCTTGAGATAGTTATCAGGAGCCTTGCCAGTTGGACGTACCAGGAATGCTGCAGCGGTCTTGTCTGCCGTTGGGTTGACGGCAAACACCATACCCATATGGCAGTGGCTACCAGACACCGTCAGAAACAAATCATTACAATGGGGACGACGGTTGATTCACTTCACCGGAGTATCATGAGCACAATAGAACCACAAGGGGGTGGAATCTTCCAACGTGAAGCTCCACGAAGGGAACTGGGTAGCATTCGGGGGGACAGCTTGAAACCCAGAGCTGATGCCCAGTTTTGGTGTCGTCATGCGTGTGCAAGGGTCGGCGAACGTCGATTGCGTTACCGTCTGACGAGACGGGTATAAAAAACGTTATTCAGAGCAACGAATTATTGAGCATACGTGGTTTTTATTCTGGCTGGTGGAAAATGGATGTCAGCTTGGCCTAAATGTAATACCATTGAATTCCTTACAAAGTGAAGGAAACAGTATCGCCTGTCGCGGCCGTGACACTCGGAGGGTCAAACGTGAGCTAAAATGCATACCATGAGCTCCAAACCAAAGCTTCAACAACGTACATACCGAATTATTAGCACCAACATTGACCTGGAAGGTTGCCGCAAAAGCAGCGGCCGGAATAAGGGCAGCAAGTGCAAACGAAGGACGCATGGTGTTAGATGTAATGAGCGAAGTACGGTGTTCGACGTCTAGTCAAACCTGGACTAAAAGGAAAGGGAAGATTTTAATTTGGAGCCTGTTCATAGGTGAGTTCTATAAATCAGGTATCCCTCAATTAACTCACGCAGCCCCGCTGGCGAACAGAGAAAGAACAGACTAGTACGCATATGAAGTGGCCAAAGGAAAACAGGGGTTACACGGGTAGGCCCGGCAGGGTACTTCATGTATAGCACCAAATCTAGCCGCGATGCACTGATGTGCGCAGGAGGCGGGTAATTCCAATGTCCATAACGACGACGTTCGCGGCGCGCGTAACTGAAGAGACTCGGAATTCAGCGTTCATCAAATAGCTTGCCAAGACGGTAAAGGTGTATCCTGAATACCTGTGATGTTGGGTACTAAGTACTATAATAGTACTAATTTTGAGTAGGAAATAATCTCACCTCGACAGACAGGTATCTCAAATTGAGATCGGCTGCTTCAAGGAGCTTCAACTTGGCTTCTTCAAGGTGCAGATTTGACACGTGACAAGACACCTCTCAATAGGACCCTGGTATATGCTATAGAATGTCCGATCCTTATGCGGACGGAAATGGGACCTAAAATCGTCTCACCTTCGATCCTTATGCGTACGGAAAGCCCGAATTTTGGCCAGAGGTTTGATCCATTTTGCGTCTGTAAATGGCCAGTCCGTACGGAGGTCCGATCCAATTTTCGTACGTTTGTAGCTGTCGGCTTGAGTTGGGTTTGAGCTCAAAAAATTTCACAACCCCTCCCATATCTTCTATTTTCCCCAAGCCCTCTGAGTGATGCACCGCATCATCGTTCTCAACGATGATAATCCATTTGGGAATAGCGCGACTCAGCATCAGCCATTAATTACCACAGCGCTCCTTTCATCCCATTGCAATCTATTGCAATCAACGATGTCGGGATTTTGGAATATATTGGAAGGTCAGTTGCTCAACTCATTTTGTTTGCTAAATGAATTTTTGAGGGTCATGCTTTCAGCAGGCAGTTTATTGTCGTCATTCATCCTGGCCCGGAACACAAACTTTCAGAGGACTTTGTAACTAGATCTTACTTGGCAATTCCGTGGCTCATGCAGCACTGCAATATGGAAACATTGCGAGGTTAGAAAGGATACTCTGACCTGATTACGACCGATTTTTTACTTTATTTCTGTTTTATGCGGACATTTTGACCTAAATTCCATCTCTCATCCTCTATGTGCACGGATCTCGAGCATTTACATGTCCGATAGGTATTGCGGACGGAAATGGTCCAAAATGATAAGTAGGATCCGAATTGCGGACGGAAACGCCGAAAAATCGTCCGTACGTAAGTGCCAAAATTTGGCCGTTTTGGATCGGACATTTGACAGCATATACCAGGGTCCTCTCTCAATGCCATCCACGACACTCCGTTCGTTATGCCGCACATTTGTATCGGGTTCCCACCCCGTTCGAGCTTCGAAATTCAGCCTGCGTACGTTCCGTTCGACGCCCCATCGGACTCTCGTCTACGCCAACGCCGACGCGAAGGTACGTACTCGCGCCAAAATCTACACTCGGAAAGTGTGGTTGATCGTAATCAAGCTCTTGTGACATTGTGCAGATATTCGAGCAAGTAACAACCCCGAAAGACCGTATAGCTGTAGTTGACTTTTATGCTGAGCAAGTTTCAATCTTTCTATGTTAAAAAAACTCGGATTGACGGTGCCTCTATTTAGTTGGTGTGGCCCATGTCGTCAACTCGGGCCTACTATCGAGAGGTTGACCTCGGAGCCTAACAAGTCTGGGTTGGGACTGCCATTTGACTTGGTCAAAGTCGACACTGAAAGCGAACATGGTTTAGCTTTGGGTCAAAAATATCAAGTTCGTCCTTCCTCTTTTCCTCTTAACAACTTCGAATGACACCGCTGGTTTAGGTCACTGCCTTACCTACAGTCATTGCTTTCCGGGACGGGAAACCTATTGACAAGTTCGTTGGAGCCCTTCGCGAGCCTGATGTCAAGGCCTTCTTGGAAAAACTTTGACCAGCCCACATCGAGAGGGAGTTTTTAATATATACGAAGATCTCCTGCTAGAAGGACATCCTTTTTGCCGGGTTGATATAATGCATGGGAAACATAAGAGAGTACAGCTTGGTTAGATTCCAAACGCTTCTCTGTTTTCATAGAAAAGAATATGAAAAGATAAGAGAAAAAGAAGAGAACTGAAATAGGGATAACGAAGTTTGAAGAAAGAAAAGGCTCCAATAGGAATAACAAGAGAAACCAGTAATAACAAGAGAAATGACGAGTGAAGTGATGATGATGGTACAGCATGCCAATGAAAGACCGTGGAATAGCGAGAGGAAGGCGCCTCTTGATGGGCGTTTACATCTGGGCTCGAGATGCGACAAGTGGGTTGTCGGAGAGAGTGGAGGTAGGCGAGAGGAAAAGAGGGAGAGAGCATCACTGAACGGTGCAACATTTTCCAGCCGTTTTCTGACCATATGGATCCTCGGCGCGCCCAACTGGCCCCCACACTGACGGAACCTGGATAGACATGAATCAGGCCATAAGTCACCTCCTGTAAATGGCCAGTTGGAATAACGCACCAGATGATCTTTCGTTGTCTTGCAGTATCGTATCAGACTGTATGAGCAGTGTTGAGTACCCCTCGTCGGCATGTGAATGGGCGGTGCTGCCTACCTAGCGCTGGCTTCGCTAACGCGTACTCTCGGCCTAGCCAGATCCTCCCTTAGCCGTTGATTGTGCTCTATTAAACGTCGGAGCTTCAGCTCGGACATTGATTGGCGACCACCTCCACGAGAGCTCATGATGACAAAAAGTGGGATTGAAGGGGTTCAGAGATGTTCCTCCTTGGAGATATTTTCAAAAGGGGAAGGTTGGAGAGTACGAGAATTTGCTTCCGTTAAGAGGGAGTATTGGTCGTCTAAAGGCGGTTGCAGGTTGTGGACAACGCCCTGAGTGGAAAGCTGGTGAGCGCGGAGATTTTTGCGGGAGTTATGGTAAGGGACTGAGGCTGTTTAGGCCATGTGAACAATGTGGGCGGCCATTCCCGATAAAGACATCCATCAGAAATGGAATCCAAGGATGGGCAGAACGGTGATTGGTAAGGATATCAGTACAAGGATTTCTACGTCTATCAACCCAACACTAAGTATGGAAAAGGTATAAGCTATTAGTGTCCACCGGACGAATGAACAGTTCACGAGATAGATGAGCAAAATCGAAATCCAACAGCCGGGAATACGTTAATAAAATAATTCAAAAGCATGCCTCCTGGGTTGGCGAAGGTTAACGGGAGTATCACTTGAGTAAAAAGAGCGTGTGTGAGGTAATCGAGGTATCGTATGAGGTCTGGAGTCGACAGCTTGACGGAACGGAAGTGTCAGCGAAATTAGACATAATGTCCGTCCAGTCAACCACATCTCCAATGGTCGAATCCGTGTAAGAAGGCGTCCCGGAAGTGATCACATTATCACGCAATTGCAGCCTTGCGCTGGTGGCGCGTATGGGTCCTCGTTCTTTCCAACAGGACCCCACACCGACGGTACCTAAAGGGAATTCTCAGCATCAACAGGGGTCATCTGCATCACTTCAACTGGGTGTGCCATGAGTTGCAACGTACAAGGTGATCTTTTGTTGTCTTGCAGTATCGAATGAGACTGAAATGAGAAAATACAATGAGATAAACTGGTAGCCTAAGACGGAAAGAGATACTCACCTTGTACTGGCCTCACTGACGCGAACCCGAGGCCTTGCTAGATCTTCCCGCAAGCGCTGATTATGTTCTGTCAGCCTGCGAAGCTTCAGCTCCGACATGGATTGCTGTCATGCAAATTAGCAGAGCATCGAACGAGAATGAACAGAAAGCCGACTTTGTGGGGGCGGGCGTTCATGATGATGATGAGTGGGGAATAAAGGAAAGAAGATGAACGCCTGCCACTGTGTCGACCGCGAGAGAATGAGAGACAACCAGGGAAAGCACAGTGAACAGGTCAACAACGAAGTCGACAAAGAAAAGAACGGAGCAATCAGGTTGAGCGAGTACAACACTCACAGTGATGGGCCAGTCATCAGCGGAGTTTCAACACCAGTTCAATCATCCCATCATGCCCCTCACCCGATCCACCCCTCAATTACAATCAAAACCTCGCGTCGCGCCCTGGTCTTCAAGACCAGGTTAGCTCAATTGAGCTGCCCATTCAACGCGTGCTCACCTTTTTTCTAAGCTTTCAAGCCCGAAAAACGATCAACACCGCGTCATTCAGCTCACTTTGCAAGCAGCCCGCTCAAAAGGCGACGGAGCCCCTTCGGAAGATTAAGGTCGTCTCATAAATCAAACCTTTACGATGATTCCGCTAGGAATGAAACCACTTTGATCAACGAACACCACCAAGACGCAGACGACCCCGAATCGGTAGAGCAAGAAGCCTTTGATTCTGACGACAGTTTCTTCATATGGAATGAAGAGAAGACACTTTTTTCTGACCTGATGGGTGACAAGTGGGCTAGAGTCGTTCAGTTTATGGCCTTGGTTCAACATCTTTTCCAGTGAAAGGGAACCGGACGACGAAGAGCTTGCTGCCCTTGCTGAATCTCTACAAGTACCATTCCAGGAAGAAGGCAAGATTTTGAAGAAAGAAATTGCAGACACCTTTGTTCCTGCTGTCAACCACGTCAAAGAGCTCTACAAGGTTCTCGAAGAGCGTGTCGATACTACTTTCGGTCAAGGTATCGTTCTGTTCAACAGAGCTTGCAAGCAAATCGAGGACGACGCCATTCGCGAACAACGCCAACTCGAAGACGCGTATCGAGGGAACCAAGTTTGTCTATATATGCTCTTTTTTTACAGGAACAATCTGAGCTAATGTCGACGCATAGAAACGTGTAGAAGATCTGTTCAACCAATTGGAACAAGAATACGCTTATCGCGACCAACTCTGGGTCAACATCGAAAAGGTCATCGATGAAATTGGTAGCTTCGTGACTGCCTTTCTGTGTTTTTGAAACTCAGTACCCTTCACTCTTTCTCCAGTGGATCCTGTACTAGAGAACCTCAAAGATACACCGGCAAGAGTGGAGCGCACCATCGCTAAACTGGAGAAGAATGCCAAAACCCTGGAAAAAGGAGCGGCTGATCCATCCGTCGCGGAAAAGGCACTGAAGAATTTCCTGAACAGCTTGACGTGAAGCTATCCTCTCCGTTCTGCGCCTTGATCGTTGCTACTGCCACTGCCTGCTGACACTTCTACGCCTGATTAAGTCTCCCATCGCTGTTCGTTTTACTTACTGTGCTCATGCACTACTTGCCTGGGTGCTGTTCTTCGTGTGCTCGTGCTTAACTTACAAACGGATTCTGTGTGCTTTTCGTGGCTCTGTCTCTCTGCTATGCTGGTCTCACCTTTCCATTTATCTGTATCAGAGTGTTACACTGCCTCGTCTAATGTTATTCATTTTGCCTGACCTCCTATGTTTAGGCGAATATTGCGCATGACGCTTCAATGTCTCCTAATAAAAATCCAAAACATTACACCAAGATTCATATCCTGGGATTCCATGGCTGTACCTTACCTATGGACTCGTTCACTTCCAATAATACAAGGTGTGCAGCTGGTGTGTACACAGTGCTACTTACAAAAAGCATGTGACGATGTCACCATGTGTTATGTTTATCCTTTCGGGTCATGTATTCGATTTTTACAAACCTCACATCGAAGAATCATTCCAGTTTCGAGCTAGGCGGCTTATATCTTTTACTGAGGACACTAGAAAAGTGGTCCTGACGCTGACGTCAAGAAGTGCGTACGTATTACTCCGAGTCATGATCGGCTATTCTGCCACGGCAGTGCAATTTCCTTTTTCGATCTTTATCGTTACCGCCTATATCTACTGAAGAAAGACTCGGTTATGTTCAATTTCAGCCCCACCTCCTCGCTAAACCTCAATGTTCGTCCCCTTTATCAGTGAACCTTCACCGAAGCGAAGTTCCCTATTCCGTCGAAAAGGTGGAGGTGGTGGTGGTAAAGGTGGTGGTAGCAGTGGTGGTGCAAAGGGGGGCTCTGGCAAGGGAAGCAGTAGCTCAGGCAGTTCGAGCAGCTCAAAGGGCACCGGGAAGTCGAGTTCTATCAGTAGCGGTGGATCTTCCAAGAGCGCGACTTCGTACGGATCCGGAGGTGGGAAGGTAGCCACCATCCCAGCCGGCCAGCCCTTTGCAGGTCGTGTTTCTGGTGGTGGGACGAGGAACCAGGTCTATGGAAGCAGGTGAGCCCCTCCGATTTTGGTGTGATGGTGCATATGGCTCACCATCGACCCCCTCTCTTTTCCTCCCAGCATCTACGGGAGTGGATACCCCGGCATTGCCGGTCGAGGTGTTGCTGGACGCGGATTCCCATTTCTATTTTGGCCTTTGGCGTGGGGTGGTATCGCTGGCGCAGGTGCTGGTTCTTACCTTCATACTTCAGAGGTATTTGATATCCCATTATGAAGTGATGTAACTAAAATTCGATGCAGTATGGGTCACCGAGTAACACGAGTCGACCAGGAGGCGTGATGATGACCGCGGCCTTCCAATCTAAGTCGCAAAACACCACCTTCCGTGTCGTAGCCGATAACACGACTGTGGTATCCCTCATTAGCAGCATAGCGGCGAATTGTTCTTCCAACCTAGGGAACACAACCGCAATCACACCCACGACATATAACGATTCCTCTACTGGTCCTCCACAACCAGAACAAGCGATTCAATATTATCGCGCGAGCAGCGTCGCACTCACCTTGGATGACTATAACAACACTGGCGCACTCGGACCGGATGGGACGCCCAATACGCCTTTACCCAGTAATATCGACACGAACTTCTTAAACTGTTTGAACGACACGATAGGGGCAGCTGTACCGCTAGTTGACGGCGCAATGGGTCTGGTAGCGGACGCTCCGTCGAACGTGGGCATCGTCGCCCTAGTGTGGATCGTCTGGTTTGCCACCGGCTTCTTCTACTAGCCAATTGCGTGCCAAGTTATCCTTATTTCACGACGCATGATTCAGTCAACGTTTTTGTTACTCGTCTTCCCGGATTCACCAAGCGACCACGTTCACTTTTCGATTAACCCGTGGCTGGCGTGCTCCTCGTTCCTCTCTAGTATGAGATTCCTATATCCGTATTGATTCAGCCATGAATAGTGATTACATAAACGATGACCCTTTGAATGTCCTATTGTATACTATACCATCTCTCAGTCACCGTGAACCTGAACATGAACATTTGTGCAACCTCTTACGTGTGTTTTTGGTGGGTTTTGTGTGGATCCGAGAGTTATCCTCTTAAGTACTCATAAGTATCGCTGACAACTCTGAAAATCCTAGGTAGAGTCGAAAAGGATATTTGCCAAACTAGTACAGTTATGGAATTTCACCCAGTTTGTTATGGACCCAGTCAATGAACAATGAACTTATGTACATAAGTGGATTTGATTTGTAACTGCCCGGAAATCATTGACATATGTAGGTGGCGATTTTTTATTTCTCAAATTTCAACTGGGCTAGTAGCATTCTCTCTCTCACTCGTCATTCAAACGCATATTATCGTACACCAAATCGACAGCAAGAACCTTTACTGAGTCCAAACACCGACCCATCGTCAAACGCGCAACAGCAGTTGCTCCTTTTCAGAAAGTATTTCGTAGTTCACTCGCCCACCTCGCATAGTAGGCTGTAATGGTTACCTAAAGCTAGTGTATTGGATATATCCTGAAAAAATAACAGATGAACCACCCACTGTGGCCGAATAAAAAGTTCATCTACATCAACCCCTACAACGTACTGAGAAACCCGACGACTCCAAATATCTCCATCAGATTTCCATATCTGTGTTCGAAAAGTGGGTACATCCTCCAATGGGACGATAAAGACGAGCTTCCACTTGGGCTGATTCCTAACACGTGTGCCTTTCTTCCATAACTTAGACACAAAGGACGGATTGATAGGGTGATTTTCACTAATTGTGAACTGGAAGAAAACAACGGAGGTGGCCACCCCGTTGTCATCCACCTCAAGGCAAAACGAGTCGATCCCAAGAGTTGTCGGGGACAGCGGTTGGTAGTAAAGATTGACATTGAGATTGTTGAAACTGGTCGGCAGATCCTTGAAAAAGTGAATCCTTTCAGCGTGCTGTAACTTTACCGAGACAGGTTTCTCATCCATCGAAAGCGGCTGAATAATAAGTGGTGACTTGAGAGAGCTGAATAGATATAAATGTCCCCGACCCTCGAATATGACTCCAGCAGCTGATCGAGTAAAAGGATTCAGCATGAACGTTCTAAATGTATCCTTCATGCCGTTCGCAAATTCACGGTTCTTCGAGATGACAAGCAAGTTGAGGATGTATGGAGTGGCGATTTGGCCATCGTATTCCGCGCGATCTAGAAGGCCGGCGTCATCCACTTTGGGATCGATTGTGATGAGTGCGTGACTCGTTTCTTCAGTGATGAGTCGATTGGTATATCTCGATCCGGATCGCCGATACCCGCAGGCTTCTTTTTGAAACCGCGGTAGACGGAGTTGCATCCTCCGTTGAAGAAGCGTCGTCGATTCCAAGTCGATTCGTAAACTACCGCAAAATAATAATGAAAATAGCAAGTGATTTAATACATGCAAGATCTATAATATCCGTAGAACAAGTTGAAAACACGGATTATTAGTGTTTCGAACTCTGCCGCAGTATTATTACGTAAGTCACGCACGCACTTTCCGTGTGTTTTCAAACATTGTCATTGCTTTCTATCGATGCGTCCTACCAATTCAACCGACGCTCCTCCATCTTAAGTGAACGGGAACACGGGAAGATGCAAAGGTGGAGGTCCGAGGCTCCCAGACATTCAAGAACATGTAAGTCATTCAAATTCTTAGAGGGAGGTGAACGCTTATCAATCGTTCAAGAAGGGCTGCTATATTCTTTGGGACGCCCCCATCCAAGTTTTCAGTTGAATTAAGGTGGTTAACATGTGAAGGTTCTGCTACGACCATGGCCATCAATGGCAGGTTGTGTTTGCGACAAACTCCAGTGGCCGCGCTAAATCTTCCCATCTCGTAGACGTTCACGCTTGGTTCACGCATTTGAGGCGGTGCGAATAAGGACGGGCGACGTGGTGGGCCAGTAAATCTTGGTGGGGATGAAACTCGAACACGACGGTTGCACGACGGAAACCTCTGGAACAGCTGTATTTTGTACGTTCACGCGTTTGAATACATCACAAGCACGAAGCGTTTCTTTGAACAGTACGGCGACCTCGCTTACAAGCACTCCGACGATGCCTGAAGGCTCGAGCTCGCCACCCCAGTGCTTTCACCCTCTCTCCTCTCCTCCCCAGCTCCTCTCCAATCTCCCTTCCCTTCTCCTCATTTCCTTTCTTCCCCCCTCCTTCCCTTCTCTGTCTTCCTTATTTATTTTTGCTCTTACTTCATTTGCATATTCATTCACATTACCCCATCCCTCCACGCCATACTTTACTGCCATCTATTCTACCCTATGTCAATGACAGAATACCATCATAATAGGTAGCTAATATCCTTGCAGCTGAGGGTTTTGTTGTCGAGCCATCGCGCCTTGTCGTGTGATATCCACTCAGCTCTTACTCTGAACTAGCGGAGGCTTTGGAAATGGATTCGACACCCCACGGCTAAGTATATGAAGCAGCTTTAGGATCCTACTCCATCCAGTGTCAGTCAGCGGAGGGAAAGTTCGTTCAACATACCTTTTCTGGATACTTAGCCACCACTTCCATTCCCCACAAACCAAGTGGACACCAATCTTCTTTTAACACACTTAACAATGCTCTCTCCAAGAAAATGATAAGATATTTTCATTATAGTGCGTTACGCGTCGTCGATAGATAATTCTAGAGGTGTATGACATTAAGTAACGCGTGAAGAGAGAGATATAGAGAGGAATATACACACTCGATATTATCCTAGATCCCGCAAGACGTCCCATCAAATCACTATGACTTCGTGGGGGTTGACAGAGAGGTGAAAATATTTGCGCCGGCACGACATCATATTCGATCGTGATACAACGTTGAGGGACGCGTGAAGCGCAGTGTTTGGTTTGTACGCTGGAAAACAAACAAATGTTGCTCGAAAATTGCCCATATAATAATTAATGTACTCTTAGTTCCAATAACTTGAATAAGTCCTTAGCTAGGTGCTATTTTAAGTGCTACTTCTTCGACTTCTACAGAGGAGGCTGCAACTCCGGCTACCACGGTTTCAAAAAGAAGGCAGAAAGTATCGGCGATCTGGATCGAGATATACCAATCGACCTATAACTCTCGTTTCTTCTCTGAAATCGCGCGAAGCCGGAAAGAGGGAACTAAAATTAGTGCAGTTACTAATAGCAAAGCCAATTTCACTCTCCACCCGCTTTGGAGACCTGGTCAAAAGATTTCTTGCTGTCCCCCCGTATTTTCTAAACGCTTCAAACAATTCTTTTAACGACCTGTTGTTAGTAGCAGTTTTCCTTGTCAAATAGTCAATATTGATGTCAAGAGAATAGCTGAAAACATTACCGAGCAAAGTAGATTTCTTCCCACGACCATGTCCTCATCACCCAATGTTCAGCCCCTCGGTGCTTCGACCACTCCCGATATCGTCCCGATTTCGGTGATGACGACGCTAAAATTCTCCAGTGAAGGAATCGTTCTGGTGTTGATTGCTCTTCGTTAAGATCAAACAACACAAGTGTATTGTCGACTTGATCAGTGAACAGTGGATCTTCTGACATTCTGAATGAATTCGATGGGATCCAGTGAACGCCCGAATCTAAAAATATATAACGGATATCGCCGGTCTTCGCAAATATGGTGGGTAGACCAGCGAGGAGTCGCCTCAAAAGACAATACGTGAGGTAAATGGTCTTTCCTATGGAGGGACCTATCACACTACGGGATGGAATGGTAGAAGATACACGAACCTATGCCGAGCTGCCCTAAAAGGAGGACATGTTCAGAATGTGATCCCAAAAAATCGTCGAGTTGGATATAATCGTCTCGGACTAGAACGATAGGAATCAGAACATCCAACTTTACATCCTTTGCCGTCCAGCCCAAAAGGGAAGTAAGATCGACAATCGTAATTTGATCCTCCTCAGGTGGATCTGGAACAGTTTCCTCGGCCTGCCTAGGAGTGATAAATGGATCTGGAACATGCTCTTTGACGATATGAGAGATCTCAGTCCAAGCTTGCTTCCCCTTCTTCCAGAGCGCGTCATAGAGCAGGAACATAAGTTGATGTTCACGCTTTACTTCTCCTGCATGAAGAAGCCGAGGCTTGCCAGAGCCATCGCTGGGGACAGAAAGTTTCGAGTCGTTTGAACTGAACGGTGTGATTGTTGAGCGTAATCCTACGCTCACTTAGTTATGAGCTGACCTAGGAATCACCAGATATAATATCATACCAGTATTTTTCGATAGATCAAAATCAATTCGAGTTCGCTTTCGCGGAGGCGAGTCTGCTTCATCTATTTGATGACAACAAACCGGATCGTAGGGGGAAGTGTATATCAGTTGACATATCGACCATGGCACAATAAAACGCACCGGCTGAGAAGGCAATGAGTAGAGACAGTTGGATTGAAGCAGGGATACTTACCAACTGGTTCTAGAAGTTCCGCTGAATTGCCGGTTGGATATCATCAAATAACCTCAGATAATGAAACTCGCCTGGTGCTTGGGCCAAGATGTGAATGGTGTTTGGGGGCAAATCCCCACTCCATAGCTCTGAAAGTCGGTGGTCACCCGCGATGCGGGAAATACGACGATCGGTACCATCTAGTCGAATATCTTCGATGATGTCTTGTTCCATTGGAATGGCGCACTTCCAGAGGAGAAGAGTTGGTGCAAAGACATTGTTGAGATGAGGCGCCGCCTTGGTTTTGATCACTTGCTTGAGCTCACTGACGAAGTAGTTGTCCTCGATTCTAACAATGAAAGAAAGCAATTCTGGATTGTCGTTGAGGACAAGACAACGCAGCTCTAGTGATGCGACGGACATTGCGGTAGGTGATCAAGAAGTCATCCAGTTACTCAGTATTACATACTTAGCCCATTTATCACAGTATAAATATCAGATTCCAAAAAGGAGCAACATCACATGACTGGCCAATTCTTATTGAAGCTTTCATTCAACGACCCCAAACTAACTGCGTTGCGCAAACGTTATCTGACGCTTTCCGGTGTTGCAAAATGGTGAAGGGAGTGCACAAGATAAATCATAAATCTAAATTCGCTCTTCAAAGTTCAGTGAGACTTGGCGGGGGATGTCACCAGGCATGACTAAGCAACGGATAGAGTCGGGCCGATATACTGAATACGAGACTGACCCGCCACCATATCTCCCCAAGTTAACCAAAAATCCGACAGCTTTTGCCCGGTTCTCGTTCCCTTAATTATACGCGCCAGACTGATTCAGAGCGGCGCACGACCTTGACATGACTATGGGTCTGCAGTTCATCGGCACCTTCGCTTCAGAAAAGCTGGGGCTCACAAAATTACCGCCGTATCTCCTCACCTTTTACTGGTCCTTGGTTGGCTTTCTCTTCGTTCACCAAGTCCTCGCGCCTTGGGCTAGCAACCGATGGTTCGTCAGGGCTTATGGCGGCAAGGGCAAAATGGCGAAAAATAATTGGTTTCACACACATTTCTCGACGTGCTGTTGAACGAAACTTCTGACCTGCTGGTGGGCAGGTCTATACACGTCGTCTCGCAAGTGCATACTGTCATCATCCTGCCGCTTTCTCTGTGGTGCATTTTGATCGAGAGTCCAGAACGGACGTCAGATCGCGCGTTTGGATGGGAGAAAAATATTGGTTATGTCCATGCTATTGCTTGCGGGTGAGTTTGTTTTTTACTCTGGCTTCCAAGCATACAAGAGCTCATGGTGATATTGTTATGTTAGTTACTTCCTCTGGGATACCCTTGATGCCATTATCAACTTTACTGACCTCGGCTTCGTGATACACGGTCTTGTTTGTTTCTTGATATACATCACGTCATTTGTGAGCTTTTTTGTTGTCCTTGATATGCTGTAATTGACACAACATCGCCTAGAAACCTTTTGTTGCTTACTATGGTACACGATTTCTCGTATGGGAAGCAAGCACCTTTTTCCTAAACATTCATTGGTAATATCAAGCGATCCTTGTCTTCGGACATACGACTAATTTAAATCAGGTTCCTGGATAAAACTGGGCAGACTGGTAGCCGTGCTCAGCTTGTGAACGGTCTTTTTCTTCTCTCGACATTTTTTTGTGTTAGACTCATCTATGGAGGGGCTGTTGTATGTTTGCTTCTTTCCATCTTGACCCGCCAGCTGACTCGGCGTATAGTCGTATCAATTTTTTTATACGCTTCTCGATGTTGGCGATAATATTCCACTTGCGTACCGCTTGGTGTACGGCGTTGGGAATTTTGTTTTGCAAGGACTAAACTGGTTCTGGTGTGTCTTGCGTTGCCTCAAACATTGGCTTTGAACTGATTGTTTGCAGGTTTACAAAGATGATTTTTGCGATTCGAAAACGATTTACCAGTACGGATGAACGAACAAAACTCATCGGCCAGAACGGGAACGATGTAGAGAACGGCGCGTAAATAGATGACCTGAAATGACCACACATTCTCCTTCTAGTTCTACTAACATATTATCTAATGTAGTCGTTGTGTCGAATCTAGCACAGAACCATTGCTTTCTACTTACAAAACATAGACGGTTTGAAGTAATATATGCCAGAGATAAACCTCTTTTTGCGATCGTAACGGAAATGAACCTGCATTGGCATAATGGTGTCGAAGTAGGTCATCAGAATTATTTTTGTGGTATCCAAACACTATTGCGTAAATCCAGACCGCACTAGACAGCGCACTCGCCACTCCCAGGCAACGAGATTGACACGACGCGTCACCTCGATGCGTATGGTTTCGTGTGAGTGGAGGAGGCAGTGGAGGTAGGCAAATGCTAGGGCGTCGAGTGGTGTGGGATCACTGAGGAGTTTGAATATTAAATTTTCATCAGGGGATTACGGTACGAAACTCTGACCTTGAACCAAGAAACCATTTGTCCGTCCCTAAACGTTCGGATAGGGAAACGATGGCGTCGCGGTATTGTGAAAGGATGTTGGCCCTTGGAGGACGCGTCCCAAAGGGCGGCAGAAATGAGGAAAGACCGGTAAGAGGGGGCGGGGGAGGGGAAAGGATGGCAGGGAGGATGTCGTTCGATGAAATCGCGTTCGGAGTGAGTAGGAGCAACCGAAGGGGCGATGGTGTCGGCTGGAATAAGATCTGCGAGAATTTATGGTAAAATGCATGAAAGATAGACAGGCACATACAAGTGCTGCATGAACTACACCCTCAAGGAGAGCAACCCACGCTCTGCTTTCATCTCGTGCAGCTTCGTCTTTGTATCCCTCCAAAGAGTCTGCATTGAAATTTACACCAAGCTTCGTGTCGACCCAAGTAGGGATGAGGTGGGTGGGGAGTAGCTGTCCGTTCTCTGAACATTCAGAGATGTTCAAGGCCTCGTTCTTTTCGAGACTCTCAGAGGTTGGTACATGGAGGGTGGGTAGACGACGTTCGATACCACCTTCAGCTTTGACGTCGCTCCGAATCTTGATATTTTTGAGACCGCGAAGGGCAAGATAGGCCTGCCATTTAAGGCATTCAACATCTTCGCTGAGCAGGTTTGCTTCTGAGGGTGTTGATGAATCGCGTGGTGGGTGTATCCACAAAGTAGGAAGCGAGACCGCAAGTTTGTTGAGAGGGGGGATTGAGGAATATGTATGGAGAGGGAAGAGGGAAAAGAAAGAAGCCAGGAGGGGAGGCAGTTTGAACATGGACGCCATTTCCACGTAGTGTTTGGTCACAGCTCATGTTCCTACCATGTCCGACACTTCAACCTCTCCATCAAGAGTAGGCACCCCCGTCAGCGTCGTCGGCGACGAAATCCACACCGCTCGCCCATATAGATTCACGTGGGATCCTTCAACGCGTAAGCCAGGTCCGGAGAGTGTGTCGGGCACCACTGAAGGCCGTGGTGACTATTTCCACACCCACATACCGCCCTTGGGTTTCCTGAATATTTCTACGACGACTCTTGCCGTTGGAGCCCTGCCAGAGGAATGGAGTAGTACGCGACATGGTTTCCATGGTTCGTGTCTTCCACCTCAGCATGGTTCAGAAACTGACCACAATGAAACGTATAGCCATTTCTACCGTCCTTAATAATCCACATAAACGTCAGGCGCCTCCCAAGGCTCACTCACATCTGCCTACTGTACCGCCTGCAGATTTGCCTCGTGTCCGCCGGAAGGACTTTGATTCGTACCTACGCGCCATTGGCCCAGAATGGGAACGGTTTGAGAAAAATTCGCAACTGGGTAGAGAAGGACAAGCTCAGATCCAATCCAACCACTCGGCTACACTTCTCAGTGACGATTTTCTATCAACCCCTCGTCGGTCATCCATTTTGATTCCAGTACAAGCACGGAATATACCTCCGCTAGAATCTGTGCCGTCCGTCTTCTTTCAGTCAAACTTCAATCTCAGTGACCCAGCCACATTTAACACCGTAACGGAGCAAGACTCGTCACCACAAAAAGAAGACTCTTACGCCGACCCCTTCACTGTAGCTCGTTCCGGTCCTTTACTCGAAGGATTCTCTCATTACGCCGATACAGTCGAACAACACCTCGTACGCGAGATATCCATTCGCTCTACCTCATTCTTTGCTGCCCTCACGAATCTTCAAGATCTCCAGTCTGAATCTGAACAATGCCTTGATCGTATCGGAAAGCTTCGTACTCTGCTCAAGGATGTGGACAACAATGCCGCAAAGCGTGGACTGGAAATGGTGCGCACCGAGTGTAAGATGAGCAATCTGTGGAAAGTGTCGGATGGAGTGCGGATGGTTGGCAGTGTTGTGGAAATGACGGGTGTCGCTAGGGGATTGGTCAATGCTGGACAATGGGGTGAAGCCCTGGGCGTCATCGAGGAAGTAGACAGGCTTTGGGAAAGCTCAAATTCAGCGCCGGAACCACCTTCCAAGGGGAAACCTGAATTGATAAATGGGAATGGGCATCTTAACGAGAAATTATCTCCGTTACCGCCCACACCCGAGGACGATGAAGAAGGCTCAGAGGGACAGGATGCGGAAACGGTTCAGCGACAGGTCCCGGAACTAGAAAATACTCCAGCGAAGAGGCCCATACCGCCTATACCTTTGTCATCTCTTCGAGCATTCTCAGCCCTTCCATCACACCTCCGCGCACTGACCATGGAGATTGCGGCATCTTTGTCGAATGAACTCGTTGCGATCCTACGAAATGACCTCGAAAGCCGGATCAGTGGAAACAGGGGCCTGGAGGCTGACCAAGGGCTACGGGATCGCTTGAAGCCGCTTTTGTTGAATTTGACGAGAACCAAAGGCCTCAAAGAAGGTATGCTATCATGGAGAGAAACTGTTCTGAGTGAAGTGAGTGGCTTAATCAAGGAGGTAATCTAATTTCTTTTCTTTATGTCCGATTGTTGAAGAAGTTGTAGCGATTACCAGGGTTTGACTCGGTCGGAGAGGATGGTGGTTCTTCCTCAAGCGAGGGGCAGTAAGTTGTGTTCTTCTTAACTCTGCGGTTTCAGCTATTCAAGGAAGTGTAGAGCAGGCCTAGCCAATCACCTCCGGAGTATGTCTCAACCGCAATTTATGGCCCTCCTCCAAACTATCTATAGAAGTCTCTTGAACGGCGTCGAGGGCCTCCAAGGGCAGGGAACAATCATTCTGGAACTCTCGGAGGCGATCAAGTGCGTCCCTATCGCTCTTGTCTACGCTCAGACTTGCTGAGTTTTTTTCTGCAGGTCACACTCTCAAAAAAGTTTTGTTATCCCCTCATTAGAGGAAGATGTTGCGGACATTATTTCATCGTTTGCTGAGCTGTCGAATACACAAGCAGCCAAGGTCATCACCTACCGTGCAGAACAACACGCAGCACTAGACCTTCCAGACTTCCTCACTTTCTTTAACGATTCTTGGGCTTTCGTCGTAAAATGTGAAGTAATCTGCCGGCGGATGATCGTTGGCCTTCGGGGCACCGTCGTTGGCCAAGTAAGCCTCTACATTTCAAGTTCCCAACGTGACAGAGTGACATACCTCAACCTCAGGCCAAGCTGTTTCTTCAAGCCTTTCACCAAATACGGATATCTCGGTCAGCGAAACTTGTTGAAGACGAATTGTGGAACCCTACAGAGGTCACCTCGGAGTTGCAACACATGGCAAACGTTCTCATCGACTCAGCCGTGCGGGATTCTCCTGAGCTCATCATTAAATCGGAGGAAACTATTTTCAGTCCTTTATCATCTCCCAATTCCGAAGCCACGCCAACCACCGGGGTCTCAGGATTTGCAAAATCTTTTTCTGCTGCTCTCTCCCGTGTATCGAGTAATGGCGGTAGTCCGGCGTCGAAGCATCTTCGCATCGAAGAAAGGTCGTACTACGTTGTTTCTGCTACTGCGGATGTGCTGGTCCTACTCCTGGATTATCTGAGAGTCATTGTGAACCTCTCGATGTTGACAACGGACGCCATGAGTCGGGTGATCGAGTTCTTAAAATCTTTCAACTCAAGGACGTGTCAGGTTGTGCTGGGTGCTGGCGCAATGCGGTCTGCGGGGTTGAAAAATATTACGGCTAAACATCTTGGTGCGTCCAAATGCTTGCTGCATCTATTGATCTTACCCAGATTCAATTAGCTCTGGCGTCACAATCGCTATCTGTGGTTTTCGAACTCATTCCTTACGTCCGAGAAACATTTCGAAGACACCTGAGTCAAAAACAAGCCGTCATGCTTGTGGAGTTCGATAAGCTCAAACGGGTATGCTGTATCGAGACAATGATATGGCTTGTGTCTCACCAGTTTATAGGACTACCAAGAGCATCAGAACGAAATACATGCTAAACTAATTGCCATTATGGGTGACAGATTGAATGCCCATATCAAAACCCTGCAAGTGAGTCAGGAAGAGTACAACTCATTTCGCTACATATTTCGCCCCATCGACCCTGCTGATCTCCTCTCCTGTTCTCAGGGTATAGACTGGAAAACTGTAAGCGCGGAAGGCGCAGTCAATGGTTACATGGAGCTTCTGGTAAAGGAGACTGTGACCCTGCACAAGGTCCTCTCCAGATATTTGGCCCCTCCTATTGTTGAGGTAAGAAAAGCCTAGGATTGACGTTTTTACTTCCCATTTGCCCTTACATGTCGCCATTATAGTACGTCATGACGCAGGTCTTCGCAGCAATCAATCACCGCTTGTCGGAAGAGTATGGCAAGATTGAGCTTCCGAATCAACAGGCGAAGACACGGTGCGTTATGCTCCGATCGCGACCACTCAAATTCTGGCACGAAGCTGATCTCTGGCAAATTCAGGTTGCTTGCGGATGCCAAATACTTGCATTCGAAACTTGCTGTGCTCAAGAATGTGGGCGCTCCAACAGGAATGCTAGAAACCGTTGTATCAGAGAAAACCGTTCCTCGTCCAAACGTTCCAGCACCCGTACGAAGCAACACCATGAGCGCAAATCAACGGCTCAAGGGCCTGTTGTCCGGAAGGTCATCTACGGTTGACAAGGCACTCCCCAACCCTACCCAAACCCCTGACCCTCCCCCAGAGAAGCCGAGATCGTTAGGGCCGCTCTTATCCGCTCATAGTGTCTACGGCGGCACTGAACATTCCATGAGTGGCAGTAACCTCTCTCTCGTAATGTCACCTCCTATTGAAGAAGTAGCTGAACCTGTCAAGGCAGAGGTACAGCTTACTTCGGAAGATTCAGCATCGCAGCAACGGCAGATGGCAGATGTAGCCAGTGATGGGGCTAAAGCCAGTTCACCAGCTGCAACGCCTCCGCCCATTCAGGAAGATCAAATACCACATCAAGCGGAGTGATCACTTGCGTTCCGTGTACATGTTGTGCTACGCATCCCCGGGATTTACCACTCTTGGATCTGTCGAACAGGAACGCCTCCGGCTGAGCGCTACGGCAGACTGGCAGGGACTTCCCTGTTCCTATCGAATCCCCACGACTTCAGCTCGGTTTCGAGCCCGTGGTACTTCAGTTTGGATGCAGATGTCTTCACCCCCTTAGAGCTGTTGTTTTATTGATTGTGTTTCCTTAGAAATTATATCAGGGTTCATTGGGGCGGAATTGTATATTTTTTGTTGATCTTTGGCGCCAGCGCGCGGCGTGTTGTACGACCCAACGTCTCGGAAACCTCCGCCGCAGGAATGCAACCAAAATTTTGGGGTGATACAAGACTTGGGACTACAAGATTCGGGTTGCTCGTATCCATAAATACAAGAACCATGTGGTCTTATCTATCCTTGTGGGTCCCTATTATCTTGAAGTCACAATGGTTGCTAGGACGTGATAGAACGCAAAATATGACTCGTCGTGACTTCCTGCCGTAAAAGGTGCAAGCATTCACCGTGATTCAAGTCACCGCTTATTGACGCTGCTAACTAAATTTGAGCAGATCTGTAGAATGCATCATTGCATCTACTTGGGTCTGATGACTTTTTGTGAACCGTTCAGATCTTATTCTTCTCGGATTTGCCCATGCCCGCAGACAGCTGCAGACACCGGTCGAGCCTTCTGCTAGTCTTGGAAACTTTCCATACGAGTCTGGACAAAGATTGATGTAAACCATCATCACGTCACATTGTACATTGATACACCATTTCTTGACAAAAATACGCAACAAAGCGAGTTATTTGGCGGACTGACGTTAAACCTCTTGAGCGGTCCGCTGAAACGTGACGAGCTCATCCGCAACCTGCTCAACTAGATCCCTCTTTACCAGCCCTCCCCGCCAATCTTTAACCCTTTCAGACCAGAAGACCGCCTGTCCCACCTCCGAATCTTCGCCCGCAGCATACCAGCAGCCGGCCAAACCGGCGTACACGGCTCCGACAGTGTCGGCGTCGCTTCCCAGGTTCACCGCCATGATGGCGCCTTCTTCGAATGTCTTTGTCGCGAAAAAGCAATAAAGCGCAGCAATCAGTGTGTGCACTACGTATCCGGTCGATGGAAGTTTTTGAACCGTGGGCAGGGCATACGAAAAGCCTTCCGCGATATGCTCTGGCTTGATCTTAACACCTTCCTGCGTGCTCTTGATGAGTCGAAGAAGCGGGTGGTGTTCTTGGTAATACGCTTCGAGGTCTTCTTTGTTATCTGGCTTCGGAGGAGCGTTCTCGGGGAAAGTGAGGGCGGAACGGAATTTGTCGCTTTCATATGGAAATGATGAGATATACTCAATCAGGTCTAATTTCGTGTACTCGACTGCTTCAGTCGTGGCTCGCATTATCTTTGCGATTGCGCCCGTCCACATCTCGCACGCCTCCAGGCATACCGAAGTTGGATGCGTGGTCTCGCTGCTTCGGCGCGCGTATGTGCGCGCTGCCTGCTCATCGCGATAATACGCAAGTCCCACGGGGAGGATGCGCATCAAGCTCCCATTCCCTGCATTATATTCACCAGAAAGTTTAAGGCGGATCTGTGCCAACGCTTTCTCTGGCTCAGCGGGGTACTCTGCGTATATGGATAACGCCTGCGCAATTGTGTTGCCTACGTCGAAGCAATGCCCGGTCGCGGATAACACACCTTCCCCGCGCCATTTCATATAAGCCTCCAGCTGGTCGGCTTCATCAAAGCCGCCTTGGCCACGTGCGACATCCCCCTGACCTTTGGGAGTGCATGTCGCAATGGATCGGCCGAGACATAGAGTCATCGATGTATCATCGGTCCACACGCCAGGAGGGAGACCAAAATTCCGGTTTGGCGTCATTTTTGTGACAAGTGGGAAGGTAAAGCGCGTATGGAACTCAGGAGGACCCCCTAACGCATCAACGAGAGCCGTAGCGAGGATAGAAAGCCGAATTTTAGTTCCAGCGTCAGCATAACTGGCGTTCTGCAAACGAAGGGCAGTAATGGGGGACACCGTAGAACTCGCCATGCTCAGTGGTTGCGCTACTTAGGGTACAGATTTCAGTGTCTGCAAGGAGAGTGACGTTGTCGTGAGTAAGGACTTGAAGGGCGATGCTCCTCCGTTTCAAAGACCTTCTTATACTTCCCATTGTCGAGCAAGCCGGTGCCCATGTGACAGGTACTGAGGCAGGTACAATGCCTGTCAATCGAATACTATGTTTAGCTGTGTTCTTTGTTATCTGACCACAAGTGTCTGGATATACATACTATTGAACATGGTATGTTTTCACTTTGGAAGGATTCGAGTCAGGAAGTGTGCATATCATAAAGCGTCGTGACTAAGGCATGATGCATGAACGTTGGTGGCGGGATATCTTTGATCATGCTATGACGGAGACGTAGCACATACGCTAAATCTGCGCTATACACTCGGGGACTAGGCCGACGATTCACGAATGATGACGATGACATTTTCGTGTTGTCTCGCAGCTGTGATGTGACAGAGGTCAACGTGCAAAGCACCCAATTTTGCGAATACGAGCATCATGCGTGACGTATATTGTATTGGCACTGAGAGAATGACTGGTAAGGTTCTCACTGGGCGACTGGGCTCAATAAGTACGAAAAAATTACAGGGGCTAAAAAGAAGGTCAAAGAACGAATTTTTTGGATCATGTGTGAGCGACTTGAAAGTGGGCGAACTCATGATGGCGAAACGTGGCGAACCAACACGCAACACGTTTGAGTCGCTGAGGAGAAGAGTGACGGCAGGAACACGAGTCATCTGATGTTTGCCCAGAGAGGTGGGCCGGATACTCGCGGGCTCTGTAGATTGGAAGTATAGAACGGCAAACGTGTGATGGAAGAAGTCGACATATAATCTGAGCGGAAGACAAAGTCAAAAATTAAATAGAAAAAAAGAAGATTCAGAAGGGACGTTGGATCTGTGCTGCCATCTTTGTTGCGTCTTCGTTGTAATTGCATTGTCCGCTAATGAGCACGCCAGGAGTACCCAAGAGCATCGCCAAGAAAGGCCATCGTGGAGTTTCAAAGATGATTGCCGAAGATGTGACGTGATCACGTGTGATAGCAAATCGAGTCAAGTGCCCGATTCAGTCACAAGATCCACGTCACAGATTCAGCTCCTGTCACTCAATTCAAAAATTCTTCTGAATTATGTCGCGACCTCCCCTTGTACACCCTCCCTATATAAGCTCACATTGCGTATTTATACCCCATCGCCATCCCCCATCACAACCCTCTTTCGAACACAACGCCCAGCAAACAACCTATCACTTCATCTACCTCAATGTTCGAGGAAGTCTGTCTACTCTGTGGGAAGCACCTCCAGGAGGACGGGTAGGCTTTGTCCTTCTCTCTCGCCGTTTTCGCCATACTAACTCTTTGTGTTTTTCAGTCGGGCTTATTGTAGCGATAATTGCGAGAACAGTGATCTCGCCTCGCCCTCCGTTTCTTCCTCTAGCAGTGCCCTTTCATCTCCTCAGCTCGGATTTGCTGCGGGTGGCGACGTCCCTGCACTTATCCCTTCCGCCTTGGGTTCTGCTCTGAAGAAGTATCAAGGTCGCGACTTCTACGACATATCATCTTCTTCAGCCTCTTCCACATCCTGGTCCGTCGTCACAGATGACGACGAAGTTGACGCTGCTCTTGGCTTAAGGGGGGAGTACAGTTACCATAGCAGTACGGATTCTTTTCATGAAGGCAGCTCCAAGTCGGCCAATTTTGTTTACCACTCAGGCCTATCCTACACTCGTCGCCCTTCTGGGACCAACAATCGCTCGACTGTTCCCCATCTTCATCGACGTTTGTTCTCCGACGGTTCCTCTTCCGTCCATACGCAAAGCCCTCGAAGCCCACACCTTCATTCTTCCCACTCCTCAGATGATGAGGAAAGTTTCTCCGACTCTGGTATCTCTTCCCAATGCTTAGACCAAGATGAGAATGACATACCTTCGGAGAAGGGCTGGATCGATGCGAAGCTCAGCGCAAATCCAGCACGTAGTCACAATCGTTCCAGCTTGCCAGCCTATTTTTCTCTGCTGCAGATGGTGTCACCATCAACAAAGCAGGTCAAGCTATCACCCATCTCCTCTTCTTCAGGGAACACGATTGCGCGACCTTCCCCCCCAACCCCAAAAGCTACTTTAGGCTCGGTTCTTCCCATGCGCTCCGCGGGGTCGGCTCCCATGCCCTCCATTTTGGCAACACCACGCGGTCGTCGTCGAAGCCCTGAAAAGTCCAAGAGTAGCCGTCGCTCTGGTCGCTCATCTCAGTCTCCGTCTCGTTCGCGAGCTCGGCGCGCGGTAGGGAGGAATGCCGAGGAACGTGCAGTGGATTGGGCTGCTGCGTTACCCCGGGGTCGCGAAGCGGCTCGCCGCAACAGTTCCCCTCCGGCCAAGATGCTTCTGCTAGAAGACTCTGTGAGAGCCCTCGTTGCGATGAGGGATGCCGACATTTTGGAGAGGTCAAAATCCAGGAACAGGACACAGCCGAAAATTAGGGGCAGGGCAAGGGTAGAAGAACTCGACAAAGTGGGTTCTTTTGCTGATGCCCCCGGATATGGCAGCGGACGCAGCGGCCTTGTCAGCCGAGAGAGGGCTCTTGCATCTCACTCGATGCGAGTGCCGCTATAGAACTGCTTCAAAAATTTCATCATCATCACGACGACCCCCAAAACGACCACCTCCATAGGGAGGCATTTCCATCACGTTACTCAATTCCAAAACTTTAGAATCTATTGTCCAAGTTCTCCGCATCGGCTCGTCGCATATCTCTCCTCAATATCTCTCACCCAACCTGCTTTCTCGTTGTTCGCGCTTTGTAATGTCAAACTGTTCCTCAACACGTCCATGTTTGACACAACCTCGCATTTGCCCATACCACTTGGAGCCTTGCCACCCACGTCCTGGAACATATTTTATGAAATAGCATCCCCCCTCCATTCAACATTGGCATTACAGTGTTATATATTTTTTCCACGACATCCAATACTCGCATATTTACCGCACGCATCGCCTACATCCATACATTGTTCTCATTTCGTTTTCATCACCACCATTTTAGGAAAATTCACTAGCTATCATACACGATCATTCGCACCCCCACTGTAACCACACTCGGGTTGATCAAAACCCTGCAATACAAAATACCGATCGACCTTGAAAAACTTGAGCTTAGGGTGTGGAGGGCACAAACTGGGCACAAACCACGTTTAAGTAGATGATTTCTTGTAGCGTAGAGAAATTGAACGTTGTTGCTAAATGGGGGACGCGCGCCGTATCAGACCTGGGCAATGTTGACAAGGCTTGACACAAGGACTGACCCTAAGAGTGACCTGAACCTGCTGTCTGCTAAATAATTGTCCCCTTCAATAGCCCACCATTCCACAAACACCCCAACGTCGTCGGCGAGCCTCTCGTCGCCTTTTGTTCTCATCGTGTTAACGACTTTGACCAAATTTTTGTTGAACTGGCAAGGACCTTTCATCACTCTGCCCCTGCACTTATCGTCCTCTGCCACCATTGATTCCCCTACCGACTCAAACCCTGTGCGGGACTTGCTTCCCTCAACTGTTCCATTACTTCCTCTGGATCCAATCACCTCTAGTAACCCTCGTCCATCACAGACATCCATAACCTCGAGAACGTCCCTGCCTCCCCCTCTCGTCCCAGCCACCCGCTCAAGGTCTGAGCTCGAGCAAGGCAACAGCAGCAGCAGCGTCGGTGCCCTCTCTTCCTTTCATACCGGTACAGTACCCTTCCAGTCGTCCGCTTGAACTTGTAGCTAATTGGTAGTCGACGCGGCAGACGCCGAGCACACCAGGGCTCGCAAGCGACAAAGGATTGATAGCACGAGTCCTCCCACATCCACCCACCGCCCTAGCATCGATCAGGAAGGCCCATCTAAAACCACTATGAGGCTTTCGGAATCAGATCACGACTCTATCCTGTCGAGTTCACCGGACGTGACTGCCCAAGCAGGCCCCTCTTCGGCCTCGGGGTTTGATTTGCCTAGCAATGGCACCACCAATGGCAATGGGCATGCGCCTATGACCAACGGTAACACACCAGCGATCATGGGGAATGGCGTACAGAACCATAACAGGTCTATCGCCAGGGTTAATTTACCGGGTACGACGCTTTATGAAGACTCTTATGTGGATCGAGAAGAGTTCGTGCGTTTGGTTATTCAAAGTCTGCGGGATGTGGGCTATGTGTGCGTTGGGCTAGATGCATCTCAATCACTACCAGCTAAATATCTTCTTAGTGAATCGGCCGCAACGCTCGAGGCTGAGTCAGGATATATTATGGAGGAGCCAGAAGTGGCCCAATTCCGACAATATATTTTTGACGGCTCATGGGCGAAAGCAGAAGCGGCTTTGCTACGTTTGGGGGTCTCGGACCCGGATGGACTGATGGTAATTAAGTCCCTCTTTCAAGTCATTGATATAGCCTCACCGTCTATGTCAATCAGGATGCCCAATTTCTCATTCGCCAACAGAAATATCTAGAGCTTCTTGAGGCCAAGAAGACGACTGCTGCACTCCACGTTCTACGCAACGAACTTACACCGCTGGGTGTGGACCCTGACCAACTACATACATTATCAAGGTTTGCGTTATCTCTCATCTCTTTTACAGAAAAAATGACGCCTGCTCAGCTTGATAATGTGCTCGGAACCTGAAGATTTGAGAAGGCGAGTGGGCTGGGATGGCGCGTCAGGCACATCACGCCGTCAGCTGCTCCAGAGTCTTCACAGTAGGCAACATAGTCGCGACACAAAAACCATTTTTAAACAGTCTACAGGTTACATTCCTTCATCACTAATGATTCCACAACGACGCTTTTCCACCCTCCTTCACCAAGCACGAGCTTATCAACGGTATCGTTGTGTATATCACAATTCACCCTCGGACGCCACCGCTTTCTCGTTGTATTCTGACCACCAGTGTAATAAATCTGACTTTCCGAGAGTCACAACTATTATCCTTCAAGTGCATACCGATGAGGTGTGGAATATGGAATGGAGCCACGATGGCCTTTACCTGGCGAGTGCCAGCAAAGACAAGAGTGCTATCATTTGGCGGACAGGGGTACGCATCACCTATTTGTCGATTTTTATCAGCAAGTGAACTGACACTTACTCGAAGTCTTCTGCTGCTCACGAGGCTGGCCCGCACCAGGAGTGGACCCCACACCTTGTTTTGCGTGATCATCCCTACCCAGTGACCTGCTTAGCCTGGTCGAAGGACGACTCTGTGCTTCTCACAAGTGCTGACAACTATATCAAACTGTGGAACACAAAGGTGATCGTTACGAGTGGCTTTGTTCAATTAATCTCACGTCAGACCCCCCAAGACTGGCGCATGCATAAACACGCTTGATGAACATACTGATACGGTGACAGCGCTTTCGTGGCTGCCAGACGGATCGGGATTCATATCAGGAGGTCTCGATCGTAAGATAATACACTGGGTATGGGGAACGACATTTTCATCCCCCTCACTTTCTTGTACATGTTTTGACGTTGCGGACACTGATCGCTTACACATTTGTTTAGGAGGTGGACGGTAAACTGCGTGATGCATGGGGCGCAACGGCAATACGGATAACTGACCTGGCGGTGACACCCGATTTTACACGTTTGGTGGCTGTCGGAATGGAGATCCAACCTGGCCCGCCCTCGACCGTCGAAGCTCCTCAATCAAGGGGAGCTCCGGCCGGTGACGCATCCGCCCCATCTGGCGGTAATCCTCCGTTACCCGTAGGATCGAAGGGTGCACACCGGATGATCGTTTTCGATTTGCCGACGAAGCAAACGGAACTGTATGTATTGTTATTTACGCGTCTTCGTTATCTGAAATCAAACTCATTACAACCCTTGTCTGAAAAGGTCAATCCGCTTAGAAGGCGAACTCACGAGTGTCAAGATTTCCCAAAATTCACAATATGCTCTCATCAACCACTCACCAGATGTGAAGTACTTTGAATTTGTGACGTAACATTCATCTAATCCCCGCCTATCTCTCTTTCTTATAGGAGATTCATCTCTGGGATCTGAACGCGGGAAGAGTGGCACGCAAGTACACTGGGCAACGACAGGGGCGTCATGTTATCCGGAGTTGCTTCGGCGGTATTGACGGAAACTTCGTGGTTAGCGGAAGTGAAGGCACGTTGATTTAATCACGGTTTCATCTCCACGGAAATTTTCATTAATGTCACAAACAGATGGAAACGTATATGTATGGCACCGCGATACCGGCGCTCTACTGGAAGTTCTTTCAGGCCACGGCGAAGGAAGTGTTAACTCTGTTGCTTGGAATCCTCGTAACGAACGGATGTTCGCGTCGTGCTCGGACGACAACACAATCCGGATATGGGAGGCACCTCCGCCGGAAATGTCGATCGACTCCATTTTGCACAATCCGAGCCGCACGCCTCCTTTCCCTGGTAAAGGGAAAGGCAAGACGCAGCAGCGCTGGGATGAAGATGACGTCGATTCTGTTTCAGGTTCTAACGCCACGCGGATATGAGCCCACTTTTTTTTTTCCAAAGGTTGAATCGACGACGAAAGGCCGTCTGGTCTCCTCCTTGCATACACATACATTATCGCTTGAACGCTCCAACACACGCATCATCGCATCTTATCCAACACCTCGTCATCACGGCTGTATTTGCATAGTTACAACATAACAATCCACGTAGACCTCTTCGTTAACGCAGACAGACTGATAGAAAGCTGTGGTTTTTTGGCCCCCCCTGTCAAGGATGTGGAAGGTAGCTGAACTTTGTTGCTTTACATAAATCATCCAAACTATTAATCCGAAACAAAGAATGAAAGTCATAAGCCTTGCCTGTTCCTTCCTGTTGCGCCTCGTGTCGTCTTATACCCCCTGGCCCTTACACTCGAACGCTTCTATAAGTCGAACCACTCGACAAACTTGATTACGGAATAAATATAAACGTTACAGTAAGTCTAGGGAGACAACACGAGGCAAGTGGAGCGTTCCTTTCGTTACCTGATGAGATAGAGATACCATGTGACAGCGAATCCCTACACCGGGCGTTGTGAGTAAGCCCGATGTTTCTGTTTCGGCACAAAAAGCGACGCCATGGGATCTTTCTTGACGGAAGCAGGGGATTTGAACGGTCGAGGTTCAGGTCGAAACGACGTCGGACAACTTGAAGCGAGTGGTTGTTCAGACTTCGAGGTTGAATGTAAGAATGGTTGCGGTTGTGTAGAGTTTGAGGTTGAATGTGAGAGTGGTTGCGTTGCAGATGAATTTGATGTTGAATGTGAAAGTGGTCGCTTTGCAAATGATGGTATAGGATTTGACGTTGAGAGGTTCACGTTATGTGGATCTGGCACTACAAGGTTTCGTAAGTGCGTCGCTGGCGTGGTTGAGGTTGACGCGGATAAAGCAGGGGCGGGGCGAATGACGGTGTGCACAATCACCCTGGCAGCTTGCTTTGGCGGGGATAAGATGGGCTGGCTGCACGGCTGTTTCGGCAATGTAGAGTATGTTTTGCCAACATGCATCGGGGGGATAACGCGAGCATTGTACATAGCTTTCTGAATCTTGGACGCTTCCGTCCGAGTCTTCTGGAATAACGATTTGGGTTGTGTCGGTGTTGACCCTAATTACAATAGACTCAATCAGAACACGGGAATACGGGGGCAGAAAAAATATGACATACAACCAATGCGTGGGCGTTTAGGGGAAGGCACACGGTCTGTGAACTTGACTTCCCTCTCCTTCTTGCGTTCGTCTGCCTCGAGACGCTGGGATCGAAGTTTAGAGCCAACTTCTTCGAGCCGCTTAGCTTCTGCAGCTTGTAACAACTATGAACTGACATTAAAACAAAACACGATATATTAGAGGAAAGCCCTACGAAATATCGATTCCTCCATGAGTCCGGTTCCTGGGGGTCATCGTTAAGAGAATATCGTTCCGTTGCCGTCAATCGATATTTCTCGAAACACAAATATTTCCATATCTCTGTTTAGTTGTGTAAAGTCAGGAAAGAGTATGGATGTAGCTGGTGTAACCTCACCTGGCGTATCCTTTTGAAGGTGCTGGTGGGGAAGTCCTTAGCCTCATAAGGAACACTGAAGCCAGCAACGTCAACTGACCGGCGAAGCCTGCTCGAGCCGAAGGAGGTGGTCTGTGCTGCACTTTTCTAGGATCGGTTTCACCAAATTGTAACTCAAGTCGTCTCCCAAAGACAAAACACCTGTGCAAGTGAGATGAGAATTATGGGGTCACCGCAAGAGAGAGATCATACAATCGACGTGGGTTGCCGCAACTGTCGGGAGTCGGTTAGCTTCAATCCAGCACAGATAATAAAAGGGGACTAACCTCGTTGACATAGCTGCACCAGAGTTGGAATGCGTCGATGGGGGGTATCTATGTCGAGATTCATGGGAGAAAGTGGCGACGCCGAGTGGGCTGTGTGTGTAGTGCTTGTGTGTGGCACTGGCGCCGCGATCCTTATTAAGATTCGGTTATACGTATAATCACACCCGATACTCCAGTTCTGCTCTGGCTACCTTTAGTCAACTCTTGCAGCACTCGATATGACAATTGCTTTGCTTGGAAACAATGACTCGGAGAGTGGCGCTGGTGCACCGCAAGATGCACGTGCTTTGGGTGATGGATTTATTTATGGACTCAAAATGGACTAACGGACTCAGTGCTTTATAGCTAGCCAACATTGTTAGCTGAGTGTTCAGCCTAATCCTGTTTTCTTTGAGGATATGCAAGGTATCGGAGGAGAATGAGAAGTTGTACAAAGCTAAGAGGGGAGTGACGCTCCACGTATCGTGGGTAGTCAAATCCCCCCATTCAATATATTGTTTTGCCTGCGCCTGAATCCAATGACAAAACTTTTGGGATCCGACCAATAGGCGTAGTGAAAAGTCCATTGCCACTTGACTATCGCAGGGCTCCCGTTACGAGTAGGGTCTTGCGTCGCCGTGTGAACTTCGAGAAGAGTTGGGGCTTTGTGGTGCCGTACCACAGATTCGTTGACATTATATCTGAAACAACGGCGCATTGGGATAAATTTTAGTCTTCTTCGTCAGACAATGCTTCGGACGCAATTTGACGCTCTTGTGCATTCATTGAACCGACCAAATCATCGGATTCTCCTTTCTGAGCAGCCAGACGTTGACCTTTCGATAGATTGTTCACGAGTAAGTTTATAAGGGGAGGAAAACTTACGAATCAATGTGTGTATCGCCTCCTGAGTCTTCCTCTCCAGTTTACTCAACTTCTTCTCGAGCTCACGTTTGAGATCCCAATTCGGCCGTTTTGGGGCAATGTTAAAAACGTCCTAGTCCAAAAATTATATTGGGGAGTAAGTTGGGACAAAGACCACACACAAGTTCTTGGGCTCTCCGTCGCTCATCGTCAATGATGATTTGTTCTGCTAGACCAGCCACATCTTTTTCGACCGTATCTTGCATAACGACATCATCCGTATGATCATGTTTTCGTATTGTCCGCGACTCTGGGTCGAAGTTTCGGCTTTTGATCAATGGTTCGGACGTTCTGTAATAGCCTCGTTCAATGCAAAACGAAAAATGACGAATCTCAATTTGTACTTACTCTTCGTCATCAACTGCTTCTCCAGTTTTTCTCTTCTTCAATGCTTGCAAACGAGCTTTTCGCGCTTCAGAGGCTTCCGCAAGAGACATGAGGGATTTGAACTTCGAGAGCTTTGATGACTAATACGGCTGCCATTTTTTGGCACGTTCAACATCCCACCATCGTCATCCCTCGCTGGTTCTTGGCTAGTTCACATTTTTGGGTCAACAGGACGACCATTGAGATATGCAATGCTTATGGCATCGTGATTTACACAGGACTCTTAGGCAACCTCTATTGAAATGGCCAATACGATGCTTTAGTTCATCGTCGCGCTGGGACGCGTCAAAACGGATACAAATGGAAGAGTTTCCTTGCGATGTGATACGGTACGAGGCCTATGTGTATGGCGTCTGTGAATTTCGCTTACCTTTCTTCTTACCTTCAAGGAATTTTTCAATCATTGCCCATATTGGTAGCGTTGTGACCATTTCCATAACTCGCCAGCCACTTACAGCTCTCTCTAAAGACCACGGAAAATCCACGTTAGCGGACAGGTGTGTTGAACATAATCTCCCGCTCATATCTATTCTTACACAAAATCTAGGTTGCTCGAAGTTTGTCAACTATACTTTCTGGGAAACCTTTGCTGAACCACTGGCGTTTCCCCAGCTGACTGGAACCATTCAAAAGAAGCAGGCGGGGAAGAACGAACAAGTTCTGGACAAGTTGAAAGTTGAACGGGAGCGTGGAATTACAGGCAAGTCCAAGTTCTTTCCTGAATGCTGCTGTGGGTAACATCGGTTGTAGTGAAAGCCCAAACTGCAAGGTAAGTTTGGAGGAAACGATGAAATAAAATGACCTGATAAGTCATAGCATGATAGACAAATTCAAAGGGAAGGACTACCTACTGAATTTGATTGATACCCCAGTCCGTCAGCTTGGAACTACACTCTTCTAGGATGATTTAATCAACTCGTCTTTGACAGGGACACGTCGATTTTGCGTGGGAGGTATCACGTTCGTTGGCTGCTTGTCAAGGTGCCCTTCTTCTAGTATGTACTTCGTCGAGGCCATTTCTTCGGCAGGCGCTCAGCGCACTTCACAGGTTGATGCCAGTCAAGGCGTTCAGGCTCAGTCTATATCGGTTTTTCACAATGCTAAAGAGCGAGGGCTCAAGATTATCCCTATCTTAAACAAGGTTACCTCTCTTCGTTGTTGGACTTTTGTGCCAGCCGCTCATACTCAAGTGGTAGATTGATCTTCCCGCTGCGCAACCTGAGCGAATAGCAGCCCAAATGCAAGCCACCTTTGGAATCGATCCTTCAGACATTCTTCACATATCTGCCAAAACTGGTCAAGGAACTCAAGAAGTGCTCGAGGCAATCATAAGCCGCATACCTCCCCCAAGTGGTCGGATACATGCTCCGCTAAAAGCGTTTCTATTTGACTCCTTGTAATATTTTCGTTCTTTGCTCCAACAATGACTCACTTTCTCCTTAGTTATGACAGGTATCGTGGGGTTATATCTCTGATTAACGTGCAGGAAGGGGTCCTTCGGAAAGGTAAGAATAATTATCCCCGTCAATTTTGCTCATTGAATTCCGTTTTAGGCGATAAGATATCTTCGTGTCATACTCGGAAAAAATATGAAATAACAGAGTTAGGCATTCTGCATCCAGAAGAAGTTCCAACGCAAAGCCTAAATCCAGGACAGGTTGGTTATATCGCATGTAACATGAAGCAGTCGTCAGAAGGTAATGTTTGGGACTTGCGCAAGCGCTCGGCTCACACTTCTTGCGTAGCTCATATTGGCGATACTCTGCATCGTGCGGGTGAACCTGTGGAGCCTATGGAGGGATTCCAGGAAACCAAGGCTATGGTAAACCGACTACATCGTTACTCCCTACTTTGGTTAATTGCCAGCTAGGTTTTTGCCGGCGTTTTCCCCGTTGATAACAGTGATTTTCCTAAACTGGAAGAATCGATTAACAGAGTTTGAGGCACTCAACTTGTTTTATGAATACGAGGATCTAATCGTTCTTTATCAGCTCACATTGACGGATCGCAGTGTCACGATTCAGCGGGAGTCCTCCTCTGCTTTGGGTCAAGGTTGCCGTCTTGGATTTTTGGGAACCCTACATATGGATGTCTTTCGTCAAAGACTTGAAGACGAGTACGATGCCAACATCATCATAACGGCTCCCACTGTACCTTATAAAGGTTGGTTTCTCTATTTTATTCTGCAGTAACTTTTTATACAACGGCACAGTCGTCTACCATGACAGGGAGGTTATCATAAGCAACCCGACGGAGTTCCCAGAAGTTACTGATGCCACCGCACGTGTCAAGGAAATTCAAGAGCCAGTTGTCAAGGCATCTATTATCGTTCCTGAAGGTACTTGAGGACTTCACCGATCCATGCTCTTGGATCTTACCAACTTCCCAGAATACTTCGGGGATTTGATGGAGCTTTGCTATTCACACCGAGCAGAAGATCTGGACCATCGCTATCTAGACTCTGGAGCCGTTTCCTCGCGAATAATGTTAAATTGCATTCTGCCCTTGAGCGAGATCGTGACGGACTTCTTTGATCAGCTCAAAAGTCGTAGCTCGGGATTCGCGAGCTTTGAGTAAGCGGTTCGTGTCCCCCAACGATCATACACTGACTCAAGCACTTCTCAAGCTACGAGGACGCGGGATATCGGAAGAGCGACTTGGCGAAGGTATTTTTCTCGTTTGACTTTTCATAAGGTTGTGCTGATATTCCTTCCAGATGTCGTTCCTGCTGAACGGAAAACCTGTGGATGCTCTGGCACTCATTATCCATCGTTCAGCCCAGGAAGCTGTTGGAAGGCAATGGGTAAAGAAACTTCGTATGTCATTCGTCCCTTCCTCTCCCACTGCTATTGAAATCGTTGGTCTAGATAAAGTCATACCCAGACAGCTATACGAAGTTCCTATACAAGCTGCAATTGGTAAAAAGGTCATCGCCCGCGAGACCTTGAAGGCTATGCGAGCCGACGTTACAGCCGGATTGTATGGTGGTAAGCGAGAAAAGCTCGCCATGTCGGATCTCGTTGACCCTTTGAACAGGACATTATGAACGCAAAATGAAGCACTTGGAAAACCAGAAAGAAGGCAAACGCAAAATGAAAAAGATGGGAACCATTGATCTCCCTCAAGAAGCATTCTTTGACATTTTGAGTAACAAAAGTTGATCATGAAACCGTTTTTACTTGGTCGTCCTCCCGCCGGCTGGAGTGCATTCCAAGCTCGGGATACAGTTGGGCCTACGAAGGTTTCGACACTTATATTATTCCTCCTCAAACCCATTGGTGGCAAGTATAACCGCGGGGCTCATCCCTCTCTGAACCGCCGTCACGTGGGCGCCACTTAGTGTCGCTAGGTTCAACTTCTAACGCGCCCAGTATGTTCTGGCGCAAAATATAATATAGGTATACATCACAACTCGTTGTCTTCATCATCGTATGTCTCCTTCAGTAGTCTATTACCCAATGAGCAATGACAACGTGAGCAACGGAGAACAGACTTGCCGGTAAATTGATGATGGAGGGTGATCACCACTTGAAGAGTTTTATGAACACTGAGACAGCAGAAATTGAACACAACTCACTCATTTGTTATAAAAGCATCAATCAAATCTGGCTGAACGTAGTCATAATAAGGGTTGACAACATCAACCTTATCGACTAAATCCGCTTCTTCGAAACCCAAAACGTCGCTCGGATTGCCGAAGTCATGGGACCCATATTCATGGTATAGATTCCAGAGTGGGGTTAATTTGAACTGGCCTGCGCAAACCACAACGGGTGTACTATGTGCTCTTGCAGCGGTCGCCGCTACAAGGGAGCCTGTGATAGCAAACATGCCACCATTTGCCAGGATAACATGTGCACCCAAAATGACTTTGTTCACCCGAGACATCAGACCATAAATGGAGGAGTCTGGAACAAGAAAAGTCGAGATCCCAGCCAGCGACAATGCCTTTGCCATTTCTCTTCCCGAATATCTGTGTAATCAAGCCGGTGAGCGTGTTATTATCAATTTAGTGGATGCGACGAACGAAGGTGCTGTTTCCACTACGATCACTGTGTAATTCCTGCCGTGCGCCGCTGTTTTCAGGAAAGTTTCAACAGTCCTTGACATTCCTAGGGTCAGAATAATTTCACTAGTTTAAAAGTAAGAGACAGTCGGAAAGAGGCCGCCGAATAGAAAATTCTCACTCTGGATGTATGTGATCCTTTGCATTTTTTGCCACATTGTCGTAAACCGTCTCCAGCTCATCGAGAACATCTTGGATAGCCTCCATGAGTACTGGCTTAAGCCCCCGTGCAAAAGAATCAGGATCATCAGGATCGTTCTCCTTTAGAGTCCCCCTGTTTTCAGTTTTGGGCACAGTGGCCTGCCTTCTTGGCTGCCCTTGTAGAACAAACTTGGATATTGAGAATGAGGTCTGCGTCGTCGTAGATGTGCCTCGAGTGGCGGTCTGGTATTCTTCGCGTATGTGGTGTAAGACTTTTCTGACGGTGTTACCCACGGAGTGCTCTTGAATGATCGGTTAGAAAAAGGTTTGTATGGAAATTGAGCAGGATATGAACCTTTAGGTTGGGCCTCTACCAATCTTCGTCCAACACTCCTGATGATCTCTACCAACTGGTCGATATTTGAAAAGCGAGCTTTCGAAATAACTTGACGGAGGACTAGCAGGGTTTCGAGGGCCGTAGCACGCGAGCCAACAATCTGCCTAGTTATCTGGCCGATAAATAACAAGATTGCCGGTCGCTGAGCAAGGCATAACTGACCGCCGTCGCAACTTCGACGCTAGGATCTCGACTGAACGATGTTGAGGCGCGATGCGTACTTCAGCCATGTTGCAAGGTATGTTCAACCAGATAATTGAACTGAGTCATAAGTTTCTTACAACCCGATAAGGAATCAGTTGACGGATCAGGCCTTCAAAATTTCAAAGCTTCAGGTCGTAGTCAATCTTATCTTATCTGGTGGATCGACACCCGTCAAGTACGGTAATATTACAAGGGTAGATGTTTGTGCACAGAAGTAATTACAACTTATAATTAGATTACTCGGAGGTTCGAGTCTAGTGGAGCGGGTCACGAACGGGTATCTACATGACTGGAATTCTCGCACTACGATACTAAACAGCGTGTGGAGAAACGTGCCAGTCAAGAATGTCAGCCCACTTAGGGAGAAGCTCAGAAATTTGTTCGACGTCCTTGTCTCCACGGCCAGAGAGGCACTGAAATGAAGGTCAAATATTTTACAAAGGTGCAGATCAACGTGACTTACGACCACGAGATCCTGATCTTTTGGTAGGGATTTGGCAAGACGCACGGCTTCCCATATGGCGTGTGACGACTCCAGAGCTATCAATCCGCCATTCAAATCATATCATCAAATGACGAAAGAAAAAAATAATTACCAGGGATGATGCCCTCGCGCTGTGTCAGCATTCTAAAGCCTCTAAGGGCTTCCTCGTCGGTGGCAACAACATATTCCGCCCTTCCTGAGTCCTTCAGCCAAGCATGTTCAGGTCCTACGCCAGGGTAATCGAGGCCAGCGCTAATTGAATGTGTCTCAATAATTTGTCCTTCCTTGGACTGCAGGATATATGTCCTAACGCCGTGCAGCACACCTGGCTGTCCCATTGACAACGTTGCGCTGTGTCGGTCCCCGTCAATACCTGCGTAGAGATGTAAAAAAAAACTGATGCGAAAGCGTCAATTTGTTGCCAATCACCTTCTCCTCCAGCCTCAACACCAACGAGGCGAACGTTTTTATCTTTAATAAAATCGTAGAACGTGCCAATAGCGTTACTTCCTCCACCAACGCAAGCGACAACGACGTCAGGAAGTTTACCGCGTGCCTTCTGCATTTGGTCTTTAATTTCTTCACCGATGACCTTCTGAAAGTCCCGAACGATGGTGGGGAAGGGATGGGGACCGATGGCTGAGCCGACAAGATAATGAGTCGTCGAAAGGTTGGTAACCCAATCGCGCATTGCCTCGTTGACGGCGTCCTTCAGCGTACACGAACCAGAATGCACGGGAATGACCTAAAATGGCGGGGTCAGCGTGCCAGTTTCTTTGACCATAAGTTCTTTGACCATAAGTCTCACCTTTCCACCTAACATCTCAATTCTGAAAACATTCAAGGCTTGTCGCCGGACATCTTCTGCACCCATGTAGATGACACACTCCAGCCCAAATTTGGCGCAAACCGTTGCAGTTGCAACGCCATGCTGACCCGCACCAGTCTCTGCGATAATGCGCGTTTTTCCTATCCGCCGCGCCAACAGGATCTTTACCACAAGGTATCAAAAACAGAAGAGTGATTAGTTTAAGAAGGTCACACATACCTGTCCTATAGCATTGTTGATTTTGTGAGATCCCGTGTGGTTCCTGTGCAAGGGTTATATTGTCGCCGGATCAGGAAAAAAACAAAACGGACAGGTCTTCTCTCTTCAACCAGATATTTGCCCCTCCCGCATCCTTAGTTAGGTTTTCTGCCAGGTAAAACTGCGATGGTCGGTTCATGTAGTTGAAATGGCTTCGAAACTCTTTCCAAAATTCTGGATCTGTTATTGCCGCCTTGTGAGCATCCTCAAGTTCCGCAAGACAATCAACCAAGGCCTCTGGAACATATTGTCCACCGTATGAACCAAATCTTGCCGGTAAAACAACAGGGTCGGACGTTACATTACTTGCTGGTATCCCATCCCTAAGCTCCTGCGAAGGAAGTTGGGCTGCAAGCGCTGATCGAATTCGCGTAGGTTGTCCTATCTGGCTGATCTCACGGCAGTATGCTTCGACGTGTCGCGAGATATCTTCTTTTGGGGCGTCCTTGATGACAGAAACGAGGCGACTTCCGATGACAACTCCGTCCGCTCCTGCGTCAGAAACAACGTTAAAGTGATCACGAGTAGCAACACCGAATCCCACCGCTAATGGGATGGAAGTATATGACCGAATCCGTGCAAGGATATCGGGGAGGGCATTGTTCATCGCAATCTTTTCTGAAGACCCCGTCGTACCCATCTGCGCAAGAAGTCCATTTTTGAATCGGGGCGAAAATACGAGACAGTACCTTGGAAACCACATAGATGAATGTATCCGCGATGGATGCGAGGAATTTTATCCGGTGTAAAGTGGTGGACGGCGCAATGAGAGGGACATATGAAAGTCTTGGGTTGTGGTTAATCCATATGCTACAGAGACTCAAAGGGGATATCTACCTATATTTTCTGCACTTTTCGCGGAATGAGATGGCTTCCTCCGGTGGTAAATCGACCATAATAAATCCATTCGCGCCAGCTTCAGCAGCGTCCTGTATAGCTTTGTCTTCTCCATACGCCAGCAAAGGGTTGTAGTAACCTGTCGCAGAGCCCTCAGTAAACCGAACTTTGGCATCAGCCTCGCGTACCCATTAGAAGAACAGGCGCAGTGAGGCCTTGGTTTCGCGCTTCTCTGAGTTGACCAAGTACCGTGACATAGTCAATGCCATTTTTGAGTGCGATCTAAGTGCGATCATTCAATGCTACGCAAATCGCAACAGATACAACAAACTGTGCTCGTCTCCTGTATCACAGGGCCATCGGCGATGGGATCAGAGAATGGTATCCCGAGTTCGATTATATCTGCGCCGCCAGCCTGCATAGCGCGCAGAATGGGCACTGTATCATCCTTCCGTGGATAACCTGCAGTGACGAAGGTGACCAATGCTGGTACGCCCTAAAATGTTATCAGATAACCATCGGGGTCGAAAGAAGCCGGCACACCTCTGCTTTTTTCGTTTCGAAGACTCTCCTAAGGGATTCCATGGGTAGTGGGTGCTAGTGGGTGATACAAAATCTATGTAAAGAAATATTTACCCGATCGCTTGCACGTGAGTCTAAAGACGTACGGCGGCACGCCGCATGACTTGCGCATGATCCGCTAGGGTCTGATGGGGACGCGTCGAAATTTATAAGTAACTACTCGCCACAAACTCGCCAAGGAAGTACTCGCCGGTATTTCTCCGACTTATTTAGTCCAAGATTGCAACTCAACTCACTACTTACGCTCCTGGTCTACCGCTATGGAACTTTCTGATGAATCGAGGGTTCTCATTATTTACACAGGTAAGGCCTTGTCCCGCCGAAAAATGTACTTAATCATAAAGACCTCATCTGTTAGGTGGAACCATTGGGATGCTTGTTGGGCAGCAAGGTTATGTTCCGGAACCGCACTTCCTCACGGAAACGTTGAGAAGCCAAACTCGCTTTCATGACCCACTTCAAGATTCTTTATTTTCGAATTCAGGTTCTGTGCAAGGTTTTCGGGATTGGAGCAAGGGCACCAGTAGCCGATCGGAAAGTCCACGTAGAGGTGGCGATTCTACACCAGCAACGCCCTCCCTGCTCCCCACGCTACTCGTCCGGTCGTCCCATCCTATTGGTCAATCGTCTACACTTTCTTCGGATCAGGTTCACAGGAAACAGCCAACTTGTGTTCAGGTATCTGAGAATATCTATGAGGCTCATCTCCCCAGCTTGGTCACGCCTCGCAGCGCTGTTCCAGGAAGTAGTGCGCGAAAATCCATCCGTTACGCCATCCTTGAGGTGAATATTTTTTAAAAGAGCGAAGCTGGGGAATTCAACTGTTGAAGTGACAGTGGACTCCTCTTTTGGATAGCAGCAATATGGCGATCGAAGGTATGTTAGCCTCTTTCAAAAAGACAAATGGATGAGTTATCCGATCTTTTCGAATAGACTGGATTCGCATAGCGACAGAAATTGAGCTCAATTACGCATTCGACGCGTTCGTCGTCCTACATGGAACAGATACGATGTCGTACACCTCAAGCGCTCTAAGTTTTTTGCTAGAAGACCTAGGAAAAACCGTTGTATGTAGGCTTGAAGACCACAAAACTCGTCTGGTGAACTAACTTTGAAGGAAGATACTCACGGGCGCGCAAATACCTTTATCTCAGTTACGCAATGACGCTGTGGATAATTTGATAGGTGCACTCAGCATTGCAGGCCACTATATCATTCCAGGTAGGGGTCCCAGAAAGAAGGTCGAAGACTTTGTTGATGATTATCTATCTTATAGAATGCTGTCTTTATTTCAACCATACGCTCTATCGTGGAAACCGAGTCTCGAAGATGTCGTCTTATGATCTCAGTGCTTTTGATAGCCCAAATTTTCCCCCACTTGTAAAAGGTGAAGTGAAAGTATCTACCACCCCGTGGAATCAACTTTGACCAACTTCTCGCAGTCGGTATTGATATTGTTGTGAATTGGAATGATGTTATTCGCCAAACGAGTGTCAGAAAATTTCGGGCTCATAAAGGTGGGCTACCCCTTCTCATTGCTCCCTCGCTCATCTGACTTTTGTGCCTGGAAGAAATGAACCCTAATGTTGGTGTGTAACTGCCGCCTGGTAATTAAACGCTCCGTTCACAATTCACACCGCAGCGACATTACGGCTATTTCCCGGGATTAGTGGTGCAATGATCAGAGCCTTCTTTACGCCACCTATTCGTGGAGTTGTGCTCGAGACCTTTGGAGCTGGCAATGCGCCTCAGCGAGCGGATGTCATGGAAGCACTGAAGGAGGCCTGTGACGACGGCATTGTTGTTGTGGCCATCTCGCAGTGTACCAAGGGATTGGTGTTGGATGTGTATGAGACGGGAAGAACCCTGACGCAGGCAGGCGTTGTACCTGGGATTGATATGACGCCAGAGGTTAGGCCCCACATAATCAAATTACAAGCTTGACTAAAGCAACATTTAGTGCGCACTTACGAAGTTGAGCTACCTCCTATCCAAGCCAGAACTCACGGTCAAGGAAATTCGTGACCTGATGGGTGTTCCCCTACGAGGTGAACTCACTCGCGCTACGGGAACCGCGCCAAGTCAGTTGACCATCGAACAAAATCTCGACAACATTCAGCAAGTTCTATCGCAGTTCGTCCGCCTCTCCCGGCCGCCTTCTCTCGTCCCCCAGATCGCTGTCACCTCAGACGTCATTGACCCTGTCGCACAAAAGGCAGCAGCTCCCTGGTCATGGACGGCCGCTGAAGCAGCGACGACTGAGTCTGTTTTGTTTCCCTTCTTGGTGCATCTTGCGGCTGCCAGGGATGATTTGGAAAGCTTGTCATTCTGTCTTGGGGCGGCGCCCATCGTCGATAACATTTCAAATTCGACCGACGAGATACCCAAGTCTGGCTTGATTCCTGGGGGGATTGTGAATTGCTTAGATAGCGGTTCTGGGCGAGCACCTCTGCACGTTGCTGCCTTGAACGGTCACGCTAGATCAGTCAATGCATTGCTTCGCAGTGGAGCGCTTGTGCACCAGAGAGATACACTGGGCCATACGGCCTTGTACTATGTGCGCATCTGCCTCTCTCCTCAACATATCTTTATGTGCTGACAGCTATTCATTAGGCTGCTCGACAGGCTCATGAAGCTGTGGTGGACATGTTATTGCAAGCCGGAGCAGCCTTAGGTGGATCCGATCAGCGTTTCGCCATCCTTGCTTTCGAGGATGCGAAGCTCGCCAACGACAGTGTCCATTCGGATTTGGTCTAAATGTGGACTAGATGTGACAAATCCCGAAAAAGGTCGGGAGGTTTGAACATGATACATAAGCCTAGAGAAGAAAAGACAAAGATTAAATTCAAGATCCAAGATGTATCTACCCTCGCTCTTCTTCGCCCGAGTCTTCCGATCCATTTTTAAAAGTATCACCCATAGTGTCGTACAAAGTCCGTAGGAATAAAGAAAGCTGATCTCGCTCGAAAGTGAAAGCACCATTTAAGAATCCCAATTTTTGCACAAATTCTGGCGACTCCTTGTCCAGCTGTAATGGAAGGTAATGGACAGTGCTGACCAACTGTTTCTTCGACGTGACTGGCTCGGATTCACCGCTCATTAGGTCGTCGCAGAAGCGTAAAGTAAAGTTTAAACCTGAACGTCTGAGTTAAAGCACACTGACATGGAGAGAAGGGGGGACGTACTTTTGCTTTCATTCGGGGGTCCATGTAGATCCGAATAGGTGTAAATACAGGTGAAAATCCATTCATCCAAGTCGAGATATTTCCCCGCTTGCATTTTGATGGCAGGAACAAGGAGGTTGGTCAGGTCTTCATAGACTTTAATGACCTCGGTGTGTTTGGGGTCGTCTGATCCTAACAACCCTCCATTTCGACCACGAGATGCAGATGGCGGGGCTCGTGCAACCTTATTGGCGATCGACCTCCCCCGCTCAATCTCTTGATGCAGTTCGAGTTTCAGATATTGCTCTGTAGAGACCATGTTGACCCTTTCTTTCGCCGCATAAGAGAGTTTGACAAACCTGACTCGCGCAGTCTGACAATCTCGTCATCTCTTTCCTTCAAAAGTTTATTGGTGTTTTCTACTTCTGCTTTCCAGGACTTCACTTGTTGCTGAAGATTGTGTGTTTCCTTGTCCGCCTCCTCTCGCGTGAGGATATTGAAAAGTGAGCCTTCGCTTGTCAAAAGTAATGGTTCTTTCCGAGTTATTTGAGCATTGAGCTCTTTAATAAGAGATTCAAGCGCTATTCGCCAACAAGGTCAGCAAATAGTCGTGATAAAGTCAGAGCGAAAAATGTACCTTGGACTTGCGCCTGATGATGCGTTTGTTGTTGTTTCAGAAGTTCCTCTGGCTCCGTGTTCCGCACTTGGAATAGCTCCTCCAATTGATTTTTAAGATCCTCGATATGAGCTTCTGCCTAACACGTCAAAAAATGTTCATCAATAGCAAAAACCTGAAAGACTGGCCACGTACCCGGCGCAATTGCTCTGCCAATCCCTGAGTGTTATGTCCCTTGTGTCCAGAAGCGGTGTTAATCGCTCTAGCAACATCTTCGGCTGCGTTATCGACATCCATTTCATCATCTACTAAGTCGTCAATATTCGAAACCTGACTTGGTTTGACATTCTTCTTCGCAGGTTTGGGAGGCACATCCTTCATTTTCCCTTTACCCTTCGCGGTTGATTTTCCATTTACGGTAACCGATGCTGCGCGAGCGGTAGCAGTTTTTCGGTTCGAGCGAGGAGGCTGAGATGGCGGTGGATCAATTTGGACAACCTCGTCCTCGTCTTCATCTCCGTCAACAGCATCCTCTAGATCTCGCGGCGCCTCAATCAATTGTACATCGGAGTCCTCCGCCGATGGCGCCTTGGAGGTCTTTTTGTGTGCCGCAGTTGAAGCTGGACGGGATGAAGGACCTGCTTCGGCGCGGCTGGTTGGTTTGCGACTCGCTTTGCGTTTCGCAGGCACCTTTGGGGCGGTGGTTCCAGGACCTCCTGTACAGTGTCAACTTTAAATTGAGTCGGATGTCAGTAGGTAAGGATTGCTATTAGAACTCACCGAAATCCTCACCAGAGTCGTCGGACATGACGAAGTGACACTGTTGTGACAATTGCGACGCGTGAACACGTGAGTATGCTGTTTAGGAAGTTACGTAAGTTAGATGTCACTGTGATCATTGGCCCTCATTCAAGGCCTCCTTAGGACCGCTCAATTCCATTTATACATCACCTACTAGCGCCTGCCTCATGTTGTTTGACAGGCTATACTTAACCTCTTGGGCGGTTGACCCTCCCTCTTCCGTCCACTAAATGTCTCCTCGGTTCATCAAACGACATCGCGACGACGACGAGGTGCCTATATGTTTTTGTACTAATTCAAGCTCTGCCCCTCACAACATCCACTTTCTAGTTAAGCCATGATGCGGATAAGCAAGGGACACCCTCCACCTCGGAATACGTTGTTGATGGAGGGAAACAAATGATCCAAGTCTTGCAGGTAGCTGCTGGCCTAATACCAGCACCCTATATCAAGGATGCTATTGGGGTCGCTCTTGCCGTGATCGGTGCATGCGAAGTAAGCGCACCATTGATTTTTAAGAGTATTCGCGCCCTCATTCGACAATAGGAAATTATTTTTGTAGAACAGCAAGTCGGCGAGCTGAAGAATCGTGTTTGCTGCCTCATGATTGCCATCGTCAACACACTACATCCGGATAGCAGCGATATTGAACAAGTCAAAAGGGCATCGGAAGACATCAGAAGCGAAATTGGGCAACTTGAATCGTTAGTAAACATTCTGAGTTTCCACTCTCTACAGATTGAGGATTAATATTTTCGACAGTGATCTCAAGGAAATCGTGAAGGACCTGAATAGTATCAAGAGTCAAAATCCTTGGCTTTTGTTTTTCTTCAAAGAGTTGAATAAGTCGAAGGTGGATGCCTGTGCTCGGCGTCTTACGACGGCATTGGAGCGATTTAATGTCTGTGTCACTTACTCTGTGTTAGCCTTGTCGGTGACTCTATCTCGTGCATAGGTATCACACGATGTGCGCACTTCACAATCTCTCCAAAACACTCAAAAGCGATTGGACGATATATATGGGCTCGCCAAGCAGGTCGCGCAAAATGTCGAAAACCTCGGCGTAATGGTGGTGAACAGGTTTGACCAACTGACGGCCCTTATCGGCGGCAAAAAAGTCCACGACGGCTCTGTTGTCTTGGTTCGACAAACGATGCCTCCAAAGCCCCGCATCCTATATGGGCGTGATGATTTTGTGAAAGATGTTGGTCGTCTTCTAGCCAACGACGAGACGTCACGAGTGTGCATTCTGGGGCCCGGCGGTATGGGAAAAACTTGCGTCGCACTTGCTGCTATGGAAGATAGCTCCATAATCCAGAAATTTCCAAAGTCAAATCGGTTCTGGGTGCCTTGCGTGGAAGCAACATCGGCGGACTCCCTCATCCATATTCTGTATTCCTCCCTTCGTATTACAAGGGATACCAAAGTTCCCATGGACGACATTCTAAGTGAATTATCCGCAACGGACGATCCTCGCCTCATACTTTTCGACAATTTCGAAACTTCTAGCCACATACCAGATGTCATCCGGATACTGGTACAACTTGCAGCTCTGCCCCACGTTGCCATCCTTATCACCATGAGGGGGACAGCTCCAACCCACGAGGTTAAATGGGAAATTAAGGATCTCCCACCTGTCGATATAGATGCCTGCTGTTCAATCTTCACAACCATTTGCCCCAGTGTAAAAGGCGATCCAAACCTCGAAGGTCTCATCAAAGCACTTTACTGCATGCCCTTTGCGGTAACTCTCATGGCATCCCTTGGCAATGAATTACAGCTCACCGCAGGGGATCTGCTGCAAGAATGGCACCGTGTCGGAACAGGGATGATTTCACATTCCTTATTTCGTGAGGGCAGCATGGACAAGAGTATCAGTTTATCTGTTGACAGCAGGTTGGTCGCACAGAATCCTGATGCCTTGACCCTACTTGCCGTACTCTCCCTGTTGCCGGCAGGGACGACCAACAAGAACCTAGATTGGTGGGTGCCCACTCTAAAATCGAAACTTGGGGCACTCGCAACTCTCAGGAAGGCAGCCCTGATCATCGACCTCAAACCGGATCCCAAGGAAGAGTCAGTCTTCTTTGTTCTGCCCGTGGTTCAATCCTACATGAAACATGGCAAGCGCATCCCGCAGGATGTGCAAAACACCGTTCGATCTGCTTTCTATAAATTCATCGCGAAACACAGCTCTGTTCCTGGGCAGGCTTCATTTCACGACGACGCTGCTGCTCTGGCCAGCGAGGAGACCAACATCCAGGCTATCCTGCTTGAAGCAACCGCTGCGGCTGCTGAAGGGCAGACCTCGAGTTACACCGAAGACGAAACGAGTAAACCACAAGTGCAAACAAGTATAGATGCGCTTGATGCCCTAGTAGCATTCAGCTGGTATCTGCAGTTCACGCAAACCGTCACAGAGTTTGCCGAGCACACCATCAAAGTTGCTCGTGCTGCAAGACAGAATCGACACATCGCAGAAGCTCTTTTCTGTCTAGGATGCTTGAATGAGAAAAAAAGTCGTTACGAATTAGCAAGTTTTTATCTGGATGCAGCTCGCAAAGAATTTCGAGCTTTGTCTACACCTGCTGGCTATCTTCGTGCAGGCGAATGCGGCGTCATATCGGTCGATGTTGATATGTTCCTGAGTGCGACTAGCACAGTGATCCTCAAGGACGCAAGAGAGGCGGAAGCGGATTTCAAGATGAGCGGTGACACATCTGGGGTCACCCGTGGTAAAGTGGCGATGGGCCACGCCCATTTCCACATATCGGAGCATGAGAAATCGTTGAAATGTCTTTTTGAGGCAAAGAAAAAACTAGAGAAAGATAGGCGTTCAACCTCAGAGCTCGCCCGTTGCATTCATCTTATCGCCCGAAACTATCAATACGTAGACCGATACTCCGATTCAGTGGAAATGGCGAGGGAGGGGGAGAAGGTGGCAGAGGCGGCTGGTGATGAAGAACAATTATGCCGAATTCGTACCACCATGGCTCGTTCCCTCTGCCATTGTGATAAAGATGACGAGGCCCTGGAAGTCATCGAACGGACATTGCCGTTTGCTCAACGACAAGGGCCGCACCGAGTTGCGCTTTTGCTGGATCGCTTCGCTGCCATCTGCGAACGAAAGAAAGATTATCCTGCGGCGATCAAAGCCTTCGAAGAAGCAGCAAATAATTTTGCCATTGTCAATACCTCTCATACAATGAGTCGCCGAAGGTTTTGCTTGGGGAAGGTTGACCGTCTGAAGCAGCTGGAAGCAGCTTCTCGTGTAGAGGAGACGGTTCCTCCTCAACCGTCTGAGTAAAGTAAGTGCCAGTTATGCACGAGTTGTCAATGTCATGATCAGACGTTTGGTCTGATTGCTTTTTTGTGTGTCAATATGTTCTCGGAATTTAGGTACACTCCTCGCAGATTATTCTGTACACTCTACTTACAATTCATCTGATTCTTCGTATCTGTCGATTTTCTCCCTCTCACTCTCGAAGAAAGACACGTCTGCTAATCGTCGCCACTAAGTAACGTCGTGAACTCAGGGTTAGTAGAGATATTACGATCACGCAGACTCACTTCGTTTTGTGGGATACCTTCCAGAATATAAAGAGAAGCGGCAGTGCACCAATCATGAAGTACGAGAATAGGAACGTTGGCACGTTCCAGCGGCCCGGAAGAAATACGGTATAACCTCCGACAACGGCCATGGTGAAGGTACCAACTAGAGCATAGTAACTGATCGTAATCTTAGCCAGAGTAGAGACTGATGACGAAAGTTGATAAACGCGGAGAAAGGCTGCCAGAAACTTCGATGGGGCAATGACTCTCGAGGAATACCCTGAGCCTTCAACGCCTTACACAAACTGGGTGAGCAGGGAAAATAGAGCGTTACACCAATCTCACCTTGTGAAACTGGAGGTAGGTAAAAGATATGATTGCATAGTTGAGGAGTTGTGACGCAGTCACGAGGTTAACAAACCTAAGCCATAGTCGTCAAATGTCTCATCCCCAGCGCCAGAAACAGGCCAAACACCACTGCAGTACGACGGCCGCGTTGTTGGAAACCTGGAGGAAAGCTAGTTGTCGCCACTGAGTTTTTTAAAAAAGCAACAAGTTCTGGCAGCTTGAGCTACCTAAGAGAGCGATAGCCAGGGTTATCGCGACGCAATAAACAGGTACACCATTTGACGTGCAACGAGTTAGAAAACGGGGCATTTTGCCTTCCAAAGCCAACCCGAAAAGCGTTCGACTCGAACAAAAGACGTAACTGTTTCCTGCGGAGAATACAGCTGTCAAGACCAGTGCGTTCACAAGATGCGGCAAGATGGGTATGTGAAGCACTGAAGATGCCGCATAGCGATAACGTAAGGCGACGAGCCTACGCCAGGGTGCGCGTTGGAGATAGCAGACAGTAAGTCTGGGTCATTGTATGGGACCACGAGCCCGATACAAAGATAGCCAAGTACGAAGAAGGTTGTCAACCGGTAAAACACGCTACGAAAAGCATCCAGCATAACTTTACGCGGTTTCTCAGCTTCACCTGCGGCCATTGCGACGTAATCAGGGCCTGGATGTCAAGTGGCAGGATCAGCTTTGCAAAGACGAAAATAAGAGGAAGTAAGATAGATACCTGCAATGGTAAAGGATGCTTGAATAAGACACACCAGAAATCCTAAAAAATGCCCAAGCGATCCTGTCTTGATGTACTCTGCGAAAGACGGTGCGCCTGGCACTTTCGCCGCTGAAAAGTTTGGATTAGACTTCTGCCGTTGTTTCCGTGATGCTTCTGAAGCTCACGGTTCCACGAGCGAAAACCATAAGCATCGTGCAGCGGATTTCCACCAACCATCGTAATGAAAGTAAAAGTTTTCAGGCCAACGAGGAGGATAACCTTTCCGATGGCCAACCAAAACTCGGATTCTATCAAATGGTCACCAGAGGCCGTCATAAATGCGGCTGAACCCACCTCCATAATAACGAACAGCGAAGATGTTCAGAGCCCTGTTAGAATGTGGGCTTAGAGTGCCTTCAGCGTGGTAGTGACGAGCCTTACGCATAACATATGATCACAATACAAATAATTGCCGCCGTCGGGATCTTGTCGGTCCAAAAATTCAGCACCACATCAAACGCTACAATTTCAAACGGTACGAGAGCCGCTTGAAAGACAAAAAAATTGACGCCAGCACAAAATCCGAGGGCGGGGTCTACGAAGTGATCTGCAAAGCGTACCTATGGCACAGTAGGTCAGAGAAACTACCCAAAGTTGGCTTGGATATAAGTTTGGTGGACGGACAAAGGGAGACGATATGGGTATCCAAATCACCATCTCGGCTGTAAATAATATAAATATGCGTTCAAGAACGGTGAGAAATATGTGCCCCACATATGCAGTTGTTGATCGCAAAAATGAACGTGCACCAGATGGAAAAGGCCAAAAGAGACTTCCTAGGTTATGAGCGGGAGTTAGACGGCCGCAGAACTTGCAAAAGTGCAAATTTCTGAACGGACCAGGCCCTCCTTTGGTTAAACCGCTGCCGATCTGCACAAAAAGTGCTGTACCGATTGTGCCTGTTATAGGATATCATCTGTAAGGAAGAGACGATACTTCATTGAGATGCTTTTCAGGCTAAGTACCCCCAATCCCAATAAGCTGAACATGCCGACTCTGAGAGGAGTTTCCTCAGCCACATATCGCACAGTTGCAAAGAAATCCGAACCTTCAATTTTCGATGCGTTTGGTCGTGTGCCAGAGTTGATGTAGCTTTCTTATCGATGCCACCTTTTACGTATACTCGGGCTTTACTTGGGGGCGCTTTGAGGTAGAATCCATCGTATTTTGGTCAGTGTGTCGTTAACAACCAGTGTCTTGATATTCCAGTCACCAGTGGTGCTGGCCAGTCGGCGGAAGAAGAGAAGAATGGGATCCCCAAAAAATTACATAAATCGTTGATTCATAGGAGCTCATCTACATTAATAATAATTATGAGTCCCATTAATATTCCTCCGTGACACGTGACGTTTTACAACTGAGTACGATCAGGAGACAGACCTGAGTAAAAAGCGTTCCGTGGCAGGATGACTGCTCATATATGCTCGTAAACCGGCCTGGGTGTTTGGAGAAAAAGTTGAAGTGGAGAGGGTTATGTCAAGATCTGCAAGATTCCAAACCGGGGAAACAGCACTGCCGTGTACTTCACCAAATCAGCCAGAGATATATACTTGATCCCAAAGAACACTTACTCATGCGACTACAACTTTGTTGGATCTCACCTGCCGAATCAATGTAAGAAGTGACCCAGGGGTTCTCGGTTAAGATGTTGTGCCAGACAATTCTGGGAATGAGAGGAATTGGTGTATCGACACCATTGATTTTTGTGGACTCCATTTGTAGAGCAGAGAGGACGAGAGCATCTAGACACAGATGTAAGTAGAGGTTCCAGGTGTGTAAAAGGAGAAGATGGAAAAATCTCACAAGACTCTGCGTAGGGTTTTTTGTTGAGGGTGTATGCAAATTCTACAGATGCGTTGTAATCGTCATGGCTGCCAAAACCTGACCCCATCTTGAGGAAATCTAAAGATATGGGTTCTCGCGGGGAGAGAGTAATTTGAAGGTTGATCTTTTCGTTGGCATAGCACAATCCGGCAAGAAATTCCTTAATAAATAAGCGGCTCGTGTAATCAATGACCGTGCGCAACAGAGCTGCATTTGATACATCGTTTATGACTGCTCCTTGGTGGTCTCGGACAAGTGTGGACTTGTCAGGGTCAACCTATACTCAGAGGTGAGGGGCACGAATAAAATGAGACACACATCCAAGTCAGAGTCTACCCGCTGATACTTCTGCCCTTCCCCAGGGGCTTGGTGGGCTTCGTATTTGCGGCACAAAACAGTGGTCTCCTGAAAGCAAGTTGTAGTCAACGGCGTGTCAATTACGAGTACCCACCGTGTAGCTCATGGTTTTGCCACAATGAAAGTAGAACGAAAGAGTCTGGATATGTGACCGATCTGTGACGAGGCTGAATGATCTCATGAATCTTGCCAAGCGCCGGTGAGGTGGCCGCGCGCCGGAGAAAGGCCAAGAACCAAGACGCGCCTTCGCGGCCTGCCACAACGACGACGACACAGGAAGACTGGTTGGTGGACGTGCATTTACCCCCGTCAAACCTCTGAATCTTCCTGCGGTGGTCGCAAACTACTTGTTTTTCATATGTGTCTTAACATTCATAGATAGGCTGGCCCATTTAGTTGTGCGTTCTGTGGGAAGGCAATCACAACCTCTTACTAATACTACACAATACAGGTCTTAGCTTCTTGCAGAATGGAGGAACCTCCTCATCCTTGGATCGTACCCTTGGTCGCAGATCCCTATTCACCAGAAACTGTTACATCGCGTCTAAAAGATTTGCTCGATGGGAAAGAAGTAGGCGATGTACCAGGACTACCCAAAGGCGACAGTCGGAAAATCGCACTCTACAACGTTGTCCGTCAGCTTGACTTGTCATTGAAGCCTGAAGCAATTGATGCTGTCTGGCACGCCGTGTTCAGCATGGCAAATAAGCTTTGGTGGTGCAGAGATGACATAGCAGATGCAACTTATTGGTGGACGGAGGATTACCTACCAGAAGCGGCAAACGATGCAATACAAGAAGAAGACCCCGACGACGATTACGGTTTAGTAGATGGGTATGATAAACGTTGGATCGCAACGGCTCTTGGGGCTGCACGCCTCTTCTCGCTCGAATATGGCTACTCTCCCTGGGCGTGGAACTCATTCATTGACGGGCTCGAGTTGGAGCCGGGAAGCGTGATTTCTGACAGCATGCGCATTGGATCCTGTGCTCAGCTGCTTGGAGCTGGGCAAAGGTTGAAGTTGCGCATCCACGGTGGAGGAAGCAGATTTGAGGGGCCCGGTCCCGGGGGGAGATACTTGAAACGCCAGCCGCCCAAAACAGAGCAGGAAAAGAAACAGGGGGAAGAGTTTTGGCAAAAGGTGTTGAAGGCGTTGGAAGATCAGCAACAGAACGCCGGAGAAAAAGCAGCAGCGATTTTGCAGAAGACTTTGGAGCATCTGAAGGCAGACGCGCCAGACATGACCAGCATCGAAGTCGCCAACATTATTTGGCCAAAATCGACGTCGACGTGAACTTGAGTGGACCTTGGTAAATCCGTGTACTTGCATCTAGCTGCCAATTGGGGTACATGAATAGACGAGGAAAGTGAATCAAGTATTGTTGTTGTCCAGCACGGCCTAGCAAAAAAGCTGGCCCCTAGTTCTCCGACGGGGTGTATGGAACAACGACAGGCAGGACTCCTGATGACGAAGTAATGAGAGAATATCGTGAAATGAGCGTCAAATGCCACTCACCTCCTTCACTCAATTTAAATCCGTCCATAGCTCCTGGTTGTCCCAACACTTCCATGATCACAGCACTCCATTCGTGGTGGGCAGTGATATTAACAACTAGCAAACGAATATATGATCAAGTACTGAAAGGGAATTCGAAACTATGGAATCATGATTTTACGGCAGCGTTTTCCTGTGCAAAAATGCGGTCCAAAACATTCCTTGCCCTTGCCCTGAAGCGAGGGAAAGTCTCCTCGAGATTGGGGTTCCATAGTTCATCCGCTTCCGTGAAGCTGTCCTCTATCTGGTAATTGGAGAACATTTCGGAAATCCAGCCCTTGGGGTGTCGATTTTCAGAATTATCTGTGTACATCCCGCTCACGACAATTCTGGATAAGGATAAAGTTAGTTTTGATTTTGAACCAGGCAAATATCTATGCACACCTCGACGACCAATGTGATCATGTTTGGAGTAGGCGGGTCGTCGACCGATAATTCTCTGCTGAATGTGATGGTATTCGTAGTCAGAGCCCTTCTCGTCGGGCTACGAAGTGAAAGTTGGGGTAGACCGATTTCTGGATCCTCAGAGCGCGCGCTATCCCATACGTCCCGGACCAACGCAGCTTGGATGCACCCTTTTTGGCTCGACGCCGCGTCCTAAAATGATAAATATATAATTGCGCCACGTTGGAATTTATATTGAAAGTAATTTGAATACTTACGAATCCGTCATAGTAATTTACCGGGACGGGGCCGTTTTTGTCGCCTGTCCCCTGACGGTATTTTTCCGTCAGTGCCTTCTTGAGGTCATCTGTCGGTGGCCCCATCAATCGACGTCAAAGAATTGAAATGTGAACTCGAAAACCCACGCTCATTGTGGCCATGCCGACCAAAGAAGATCAACTTGTAGAAAGTTGCTCCTTGAGCGTTCGCGTTGAGGTCGTCTATGCCCTCCCATAATTGATCCCATGTGAAGTCGGTTGACAGACCGAATCGAGGGAGAAGCTACGGACACAGGGTCAGATACGATCGTAAACGTAGAATTGATAGTTGTATTTGGCTTACTTTCCCATCCGGATCACCCGTGAAATAAGTGCTTGTCGCGGAGGAAAGCTGCAGGAGTTTCACAAACTGAAGTGTTCAAATGTAAACGTTGCATACTGTGTATGGGCTACACTCCTCAAAGTCCCAAAGAACACTTATGTCTAGCACCTTGGGTTCTGGAACAACCTTCACCTGAGTGGAATATGAGGAAAGCGAGAAGGAGACCCAACTTGATAAGAAATAAAAAATACCTGGATACCATCGCCTGCGCACTGAAAGACATCGGTATCTGAGTCTGTGGTTATAATCCTTTCCGACGGAATGGGCAATTATTCAACCAATCTGAACACTGTGCACTCACTCGTAGTAAACTGTACTTTGATAAATGACTGGAGAAATGTTGAAACGCTGAGCTGTATCGGACTGAGACTACCCTTTCAACCTTGTTTTTAAGGTGGACAGTAGCCTTTTTTGTAACGGCGAAAAAGTCCTGATCCGCAGCCTGTATTGTGTAATTCTTATCACTATCATAGTAAGTGACGATCCACTAGATGTGAAACGATGAGCGTCGTTTAGTGAATCGAAGAACAGAAAGTCAAACCTTGTACAGCTTATCCTTCTCAGTCTTGACTGGATCACCGGAACCGTCGGGGTCCACGGTCATAATGAGCCTTTCGTCTTTCTTCGGGTCTTCTACACTGTGGATCACATAGGTTCCGGAAGGAAGAGAATTGGCAGAGCTCATCGTATCAGTGTGCTCGAAAGTTGGGCGCGGTGGAGCAGGATCTTCCAAAGTTCGTGGGCAGCACACCAAATTTTAAGTCACCATGCGCGTTAATCGATATCAATAGACAAATCGTGTACGACCTGCTGACCAAAGCTTCAGCAAAGTCGTGCTACGATGAAGATCTCGCGGCCAATTGAGATCCTTAGAACCTACAGCAGGGTTTTGGGAGAAGAGGTGCTATTCACGCTATCAGAGAATCTGAGTGTCTATCAGCGAGTGGACCCTTTATAACTACATTCTTACCTTAGATCGAAGAACCTGCCTCCGCAGCGTTTGAATTCCAACACGTTCGGAACGTGTGTCCCAAATAATTCAACTACCAGTGCTGGTGCCAATGATCCTGGGCACATGAGTGACGGTTCGAATTGTTATCTGATCATCATACCAAGTGTAGGCAGAACGTGTTATCTGGAACAACTTAAATCGCCGGAGCACTCGTAGCACGGAATTCAGATTCCTATATTGACTGGAGAAGAAAAAACCCAAGTTATCGAAGGAGGTTTATCTGTTCCACGGATAAGCTACTTGTTATACTCCTTCAACGACTCCAAGCCAGTTGCGGGTATAGACGGACATGATGTTGTGTACAGCTCCTCAACGCGAGCGTGAACACTGAGTACTGAAAGCCTTGAACAAACAAGCCATAGACAAACAAGGGCCGAAAAAAAGGTTTCGAGTCTTTCCTTTCCCTCACCTGGGCTTGCCAGCTGGTGCCGCCCTACGATGTGTGCCTCGTCTGACGCTTTGGTTTAGACGAGTGCCAGCGAGCACGCTATCGCTGCGACCCAACCCTGCGCCTCAAATCTACTGCCGCGTTCGCGTCCCGCCGTTCCCTCAGCTTCGCCATAGCCTAGCCCACCACAAGTTACAACCAAGCGAAGTGCTCACGCGGTCCAAGCTACTTGCTTTTGCGGCCGCCATAGTGTTTTCGTCCAACAACACCGTAAGTTTTGTTCGACACCAATTGGAGCGGCCCTCAAGTTAAACGCCAATGATTGCTTCCAGCAAAAAGAACGCGCTCTCTCTTTTGCCACGCGGCGCTTTTACTGGAAAGCAAGGCACGACGGTGGTCGTCACCACCTTTTGCAGATGGGGCAGTTCACACTAGCGCAAACCTACCAAAGCACTCGGGCCAATTTCCAACCCAATTCCCATGCCAATCCTCCTTTGCACCACCCTCGCGCAAGTTCGTCTCATTCGCGCACCCCATCACGTTCTTCTTCCGAGGTGGCAACTAAACGCTGCCAAAGTCACAATCCACGAAGAGGTCCTGGTTTCATTCCAGCCCAGGCTTTCTGGAGAAATGCCGAGCTGCTTCAGCATCATGCCAAGCGCCCCATGAGGGTGCTCTCCAGAATTATCTTCTCTGCCAGCGGTAGTTGCCTCTTCTCTCCCATCCGGCGCGATCGGGATGACGTTCGACTCCCCAGTGCCTCTCCTGCTCCTCTGCCTTCAGCTTCTTTTGGTCACTACTGCCATCCCATCCCCAATCGTCTGCGAATGGGCGTTTCCTCTTGCAGCTCCCTCCGCGATGCCGTCACGCTGCCCTTTACAAGGTTCCCACCTCCCACGCAACCTCTCGGGCGCCCACCCTTCTTTCGTATTAAGCGTTCCAGAACATCCTTCGACATGGCTGGTTTCACCTTCACCCCTCTTTGCGAGATTTGAAGTTTACACTCCTGGGCTCGGATAGTGGGTGTCAATCGCACAATTGCTCGGAACCCGCCCGCAGTGGAGACTTGAATCGAGAAGCTGCATTTTTGGTTCGATATCTGATCTTTGGATCGTTCGTTTCTGTGGATTTTCCATGTGTGGTTGCTGTAGATGGCGCAAATTCTTTCTTTTCGGCTTCGTGGTGGAGGGTGCGCTCAGAGTCCTTGGGATTTTTAGGAAGAAAAAACGGGTTAGGGACAGATTTGTTGTCTGTTACAATCCGAAAGGTCTGGTCAGCTTTTTATGCTGTAACTCTTGTGCTGCGACTGCTGGTCGTTTGAGCTGGGGCAGCCATGGCATCTGGGTTGCATGAAGTGGGTCGCAACATTTTACAGTGTGAGTTTTGGTAGAAAGTTGGCTGGTCGTTGGAATCCTCGGTTTCATAGTGCAAATTTCATAACGACTACTATTTGATATACATGTTTCTACTTCTTCCCATACTTACGCTGATTTCAAGAAAAGATATCTCGATCCTGCCACAAAGATCTATACAGATAATTGTAGCGACTGTACAAAAGCATTTGAAATTTAGGCTGTAGTGGTTTCTGCGAGCAAGCTAGTCGTTTCTAAGGACGTTACTACTGGTGCGGTTTCAGCAGGGTTTGCAATTACGGAGAGATCGCACATCTTGGAGTCCGGGGAGCGGCAAAGAGCTTCAACAAAAGTGATGTATGTGTCGAGGAGATTTCTTGCCTTCTCTTCAGAGAATATATGGTTGTTAAACCGAAGAATGATACGACCAGTCTTGCCGTAAATATCGAGAAGAAGTTCCTGGTCTTTGGCCATGGTTTTCGACAAGGAACGGGTGCCTTTTACTTCCATCTCCTTTAATGCGAGATCCGAGATAGCATCCACGTTCATCTCGTCATAGGTGAACGAATGTTTGAATAAGCTTGGGCGTCGCGAAGAGTCTGTAACCTCGGAGTTTATATCCTCATAAACTATATCGCCATTTTCAAGACTCTTGGATAGATCTGCCCTGAAACCGGCGAAATACTCCTCGAATGTCTGATTGGGATCAACGGTTGTCTTGATTGGTAGGAATGTAGTAAGTGGCCCAACCACGTTAGCTAGTTGTGCTGTGTTGCGCTGTGTGAACGTGGTACCCACGACCATCGTTTCTTGGGACGAATAATGGAACAAAAGGGAGTTGTAAACGGCGAAGAATCCTTCGGATGGTGTGGCCCCAACCTCCTTCACGAGACTATGGCACAAGGCCAGCGTAGAAGCATCCAAAGTCGCCTCAATTTCGGTGAGGTCTGATAATGGTTCTTCGGACGGTGTCGAGGACAAGAGGTACGTTGGTTGAACATCTTTGAGGGTTTCGGTCCAGAATTCGCGCTGTTTCTTTTGCAGCTCGGCACGATGGTCGGAGGTGTGGAGAAGCCAATCACTAAAATCGGAGAAATGCATGTCTTGAGGATCGAGGCTGTCAAGACCATTGTGATACAATGCGATCACTTCGCGGTATATTAAGCCAAGTGAAGCTTGATCCATTATGCTATAACCCTGTCAGACGGGAGAAAAATATGTGAAAGGAGCGACATACACATCATGGGAGATGAAACTGAAGCTCCATGCATTGTTGCCAAGACTGAAGATAGTGGCTCGAAAGAGGGGTAGCTGTTCGAGCTTTAGACTGAATTCTTTGCACATAGTCAATGACATCTCGTATGCCTTTCGTTCCGGATTGCCCTCAGCCTCGAGATCGACTACGTTAACCTCGAAGTCCAGGAAAGGATACACGCACTGCCCAAGCTTTCCTTGGACTAAGTAAAAGGCCGTGCGGAGGGCACCATGGCGCTGAATGACTTCAGCGAATGCTTCCCGCATGCGACTGATATCTATACCAGCAGGAGAGCTGATCGTCATGATTAGTCCACGAGTCTCGCCTTGCCCTTCTCGATGCAAAGACATGTGTTCAGCCCCACCAGCACTTCCGTTTGGCTCTTGAGTTTGGACCTACGTTTGACCACCTCAGAATTAACGTTCAAAAGAGAGGAAATAATACACACGTAAGAATGCCAAATGAGTGATTGCAGATGTGACGCATTCGCTGTAACGACTTCACCATATGCGATTCGTTTCACTAGATTCATTTCGGGAGCCGATATATATTTAGCGCCATCTTCATCGTCTTCCAAGGCGAGGTTTCCAGCTTTCGAGCTAGAGGCAACCAATTCATTGAGGATTCCAATATTCATAGATCCGAGGAGTTCCAGCTGGCCAACTTTAATACCGAAATGACCCTCCAGCTCCTTGCTGTATCGGATGGCTTAAAGAGAAATTGTAAGTAAGAAACACAGCTTCTTTAAAAATCATTAACAAACCCCCAAGAGAATCCAATCCATAATCTTTCAAAGTAACGTCATCGGCAATTTTATCGATACCCAACCCCAAAAGTTCGCAAAGTAAGCTAGCTGGGGTTTCAATGGTGCCACGCTCGTTATCCGTCTGTTTAACCAAAAACCGTGTCGGGAGTAAGTGGTTGTATAGGAGAGGTTCGCAGGCCGAGAACACCATAGGGACATGCTTCATAGCGATCGCTGGGACATAATGCGAAATTTGCCGAATGATGGAATCGGCGATGAATTCGCATGCCTGTGCGGTAGTGATCCCAATCTTCATGGCTGTTTTTGAGCTGGAGCGGCCCTTTGTAGACTGGAGTAAACGCTTGAACATTCCAGAATCAGAAACTGGAGGGAGGGAAATTGAGACCGTGTTTGGCAAAGATTCAGCAATGCGATCCAGATAACTAAGTAAAAGAGAGGTTACTGAGTATTTCAAAGAAAAGAACAGTTGCATATCACTTACAGTTGGGATGCGCAATAAGCTGATTGTCCTGCATTGCCGAAAACAGAGCCAATGGTTGAGAAGAGAAGGAGGAAGTCTAGCGCGGCGGGGTTGACAAGGCGCAGAAGAGTGTTCAGAGCAAACACCTTGGAGAAGTAAACATGGTCAAATGACTCCTGCTTCATGCCAGTAAATAATCCATCACGAGAGACAACCGTCATTAGAAAAATTCCGCCAATTGGAGCCGTCTTATGGGCATGGACTATGAGCTGTGACATTGCCTCAAGATCGCGCGCATCTGCAGCAATAATTTCCAATGATACGTCCATTGATTGCAGGTGACGAATGTACACCTTGTCCATCTTACCCAACGCATCTGGACCACGCCTACTGGTCAAAACGATATGACGAGCACCACGAGTCGCCATCCAGACCGAGATCCGAACCCCTAGTTCGCTTGAGCCGCCAATGAGAAGATAGTTTTTCCTTGGGTCGAATAATTGGCCAGATTTAATGCCAATCTGCCTAGGGACATCAGGCGCAACAACCAAAACTTCGGGCTTTGTTGCGCAAGGGGCTGTTGATCCGGATAGCTGTGAAACAGACGTAGATTGGGACTGAAGTTTGAAAGGAGCAGAGATATGGGCATTCATTAGGTTTGCTAGACTCGATGCTATTTTGGAAGGGTAGCGCTCCACAAGCTTGGGGACGTCAATCACTCGTGTAATTGGAGCACCCGAAGGGATGCTAACTTGATCGACAGAGTTCGAGTTGTTATGGATGTATTGACCTGTTGCTGTCAGAAGGTTAAATATGGTCGAACTTATCGAGCTGCCCAGGAGATTGAACACAATGTCGAAACCGGGCAATTTATTCTCTGATAGCCATGTTTGGACGGCGGATGTTTTGTCATCTAGGGTCAGTGAAGTCCCGACAGCATGTTCATCCACATTGAGTTCATCGCAGAGTCGCTTCCCGTCAGCCGGTGTTGCTACGGTACAGAAGAATCTAGCACCAAAGCGTTGACAAAGTTGCACAGCACCGGATCCAACCTCTAAAAATAGAGTGAGCCACAGAACTGCGAGAATGATGAGCAACAAACTTACGTGTACTTGCGTCGTGCAGAAAAATTATAGTGGAACTCGATATAGGAACATATTCTGCAAGTGCCAACCATGGGATCAAAGCGATGATAGGCAGAGCGACAGCATCACTGTCGGACACGTCACTAGGAAGCGTTGTAATCGAGCTCTGATCTAAGACAGCAATATCCGTGATGGGATGCTTGGCGATTCCGACAACCTTTCAGCGGGGGGAATACAATCAGGTGCGTGAAGATGGTGTTGAAGGCTTGACGTACTTTACTCAAGGTGGAAATATCCTTCACGTCGGCTCCCATATGAGAAACTTTCCCAACAAAAGCTACAGATGGCTTTCCCGCTGAGACGCTATCAATACCGAAAAAATCAATTGATACTTGCACATCCGTGGATTTGATATTTGGGGGAAAATATGCAGAGATTTGACCCTTTTCCAAGGGAGCCTCGATCGTGACACCAGGGGCGGGCCTAGGCTGAGTGTCTGTTGGGTGATAAACGAGTCTGCGGACAAAAACATCGCCAGTGCGAGTGTATTTCAAATGTTGTTCAAGAAGCGAAGAGGTCAGACGCAAAGATCGCACAATCTCCTCTCTAGCCTCCAAGGTCAAAGACTCGTCTTCGAATAACATAGAGCGAACAGTGAAATTGGGTGATTCAGCGATGATGCAAGCTGCTATACCCAACCCGCCAATGCCTATGGCGTTATCGGTTCCCAGAATCCAGATTTCTGCGTTTTCAGACAGCTGATTGACGATTTCGACTAACTCTTCTTCGGTGCCACGTGTAAAATGATGTAAGACAACTTCAGGGACCAAATCCTCTTCCGGTGGGATGCAAGGTAAACCGGAGCGAATTAGAGTGAGAGTCTCGCCAGTATCCAGTTTCGCAACTGAAATGTCTATTTCGGGAACATGCTGAAAAGCTGGAAGAATCAGGCCTTGTTCGCCCTCAGGCTTCTCTGCGTTAACCGAAGTTGAATCTAAATTATGCAAGAGCTAGATCAGAAAACATTTTATGGATTGAAAAAGTTAGCTTACTATACAGCAAAAGGAGAACTCCGAAGGGAGCCAAATATTTAAGAAGCTTATCGACATCTGAAGCCGAAATGGAGTCGTCGATCACTTGGAAAAGGATATCGAAGCTTGATATTCATCAGTGATGTAATAAAAACGAGTATTGCATGAGTTACCTTTCGAAAACCATAACATATTCAGCGGAATTGGGATCCAACTCAGCTTGTCTAGCACGGGCAATGGCTCGCGCTGTTGCCTCTGCTTCTTCGGGGGATAAAGCAGAATTGGTCTGCGCAGGTTTGGCGCGGGACATGGCCCGTGCCTTCGCATCTGCGTCTTCAGGAGATATAGCAGAATCAGTGTCCAGAACAAAAGGTCTAGCACGAGGATATGACATGGCTCGCGCCTTTTCATCTGCGTCTTCGGGGGACACTCCGGCCAGGAAGTAATCTACAAGAATCTGATTGGAAGGTAAAGAAACGAGAGATTCAGCGATGGCCGTTGCAGCCAATGAAGATGTATCCAAGTCAAGAACGCGAACAACATGCCGGCCAGCAGCCCGAGCTTTGGCGACGAGCGCGTCAAAGACTTGACAAATATAAGATGGCGTGGAAAGAGCTTCAGCTGAAGGGAGAGTGAAGCCTGTAGAGGGAAACACCTTTGGTTGCCAAATCGTCGTAAAGCACTCGTCCATGGTGGATTGTTCCTGCGGGGCGATCGCACATTCCATTCCATCGATGGTGAGGAGAACCAGCGACTTTGAATTAGTAACGACGAGATTAGATCGGCAAGGACCATTGGGGGACCAAGTACTGATAGTAAGGTAGGTCCAGATGGTGCCTTGGAGGTGAAAGTCAAGATCATTGTTGTCGCCCTTGTCCCATCGAGTGATCTCGTCAATTTTCACTGGTAAGAGTGTTTCAGTGAAGTCGAATGATTTGTTTTCCATATCAATGAACGCCGCCAAAGTCGAGTGCATGATGCTGTCTAGGAAGCTTGGATGAATGATATAACCGTTGTCGTGGAGGTTGATGTCGTCTTCTGAGACTTCAATCTTAATCAGGTACGCTGATCCACCCCAGCTATCATCGTCAGGTAGTTCGTGAATCTCTTTAATATAACTAGTGAAATTATCCTGATATCCATATATCGATGGGATGGCTTGGTAAAATTCTTCCCCTGTTATGGAGCAGCGGGAGAGGGCAAGCTTGGAATCAATGTCGAAATGTTTGGGTTCATTTGGATTGAAATTGGGATTGTTGGTCAAGTATGCGCCAGTAGCATAGACCGTGTCGAGCTTGATATATCCGTTGTCATAAGTATTCGATGTCGCGACACGGAACTCCCATTCATCGCCATCAGTGAGGAGGCCAACATGAGCTGGGTCAGTCCCGCGCGCACCCATAATTAGCGGGCGAAGAATTTTCGTATCCTTCAAAACCATGGCGCCATTCTCAAGAATGCTCTCGATATACCTGACATAAATCAAATCAGTGATAAAATCAGAGTTAATGCGAATGAACCTACCCAGAGGCGGGGAAGATTGGCCGATCGAATATGACGTGGCCCGTGAGATCTGGATGAGTTTCACAGTTGAAGCGGAACATAGTGCTAGCAAGAGGCCTGCGTTTTTCCCGGAGACGCATTGAACGATCGGATGCTGACTCTGACCAACATTTCGACCGATTATAAGGATACTCTGGTAAATTGCATTGAACGAAATCTTGCTGTCCGTCTGGAGTCGCACAGAGCTTAGCAAGATCGACCGCTTTGAAACCGGCGCTGAAAAGACCACCAATACCCTCGAGAAGTTGGTGATACTCCCCAGTGTTTTTCGCAGGTGTCTTCGGATTAGGTCGTCGAACAAGATTGAAGGCCTTGCCACCACAATGGTTGATATAAGCCTGGAGGACAGGATGGGGTGAAATCTCGAGGAATACGACATTATCAGGTCCCCTTTCCTTTACGATATCGTCAACAGCCTTGCCGAACAACACTGGTCGACTTATGTTGTCCCAACAATAGTCTTCATCCATGTCACGCTCCAGCCAGCCAGGATCGACAGTGGACATTGTACGAATGATGGGTGTGCCTGTGCCATCGGCAAATGCAAGCTTCGCCATCGTCCTAAAATCTTTCTCGCACAAGTCCATTAAAGGTGTGTGAAAAGCACAAGTCACCTTCAACTTGGCTACGAAGATTTTTCTACCCTGGGCAATTAAAACAAGCTTGTCGATGAGTTTACTGTCACCAGCAATAGTGACATCCTTAGGAGAATTGATGGCAGCAATCCAAAGACCTTCGTCGGCATTTGCATCTGCTAAAATTTGTTTTATCATGTATTTCGCTCTATGGTAGCAAGCGCCGAGGGCTGCCATGCTGCCGTTGCCGCTCACTTGAGCCATAGCGGTCGCGCGCGCAGCAGCAATTCCTACGGCAGTCTTTTTAGTATAGTGGCCTGATGCATAGCCCATGGCAATTTCTCCGATGCTAAAAGTAAGGGATTATTATGTAGTCTCCAAGGTAGGAATGCGTACTCACCTATGGCCGATGGCGTAGGTGTATTCGATTCCAAGGCTCTTGATGAGGTCAACTAAAGCAACCTGCATGAATACAATTGAATAGACGACTTCTTCGATAGGCCAGACTTGGTTTTCGGGGACTTTTGCTTGCTCATTAGGAATGAAAAGACCAGTCCGCTCAAGAAACGATTTCTGCCCGTAGGTCCCAACTAAAATTTCATCGCAGTGCTTCACGGCAGACAGAAAGACGGGAAATGCTGCAGAAAGATCTCGTCCCATGGCCACATGCTGAGGCCCCTGACCAGAGAAAACGAGGCAGAGGATGGGGTTTACATCCGAGTTAACAATAACAGGCTGAGAGAAGTTAAGGTCGGATGATAGGGTAGCGCCCACTGCGAAGGAACGAGCAGGGCACGAACGAGCTTTGCGGGTAAGATCATATGACAGTGAACGAAGGACTTTGTCGTCTGTGACGTCTTGGTAAGATTTCGTGAGAGCATCCTTCCAGGGGAGAACAGTTGGCCCAGCGAGGGCGGCGACCACGAAGAGGTACAATGACCTGGAGATGGACTGGTTGGACTGGATGTGGTTGGGCTCGACGGACTGGTTGGGCTCGATGTGGTTGGGCTCGATGGATCGGTCGGACTCGGTGGTCTGGTTGAGCTCATTGATATTAGCCGTTTCTAGGGTTTCAAGAACAACGTGCGCGTTCGATCCTCCAATTCCGGAAGATGACACGGAAGCAATCCATTTTCCATCAGCAGCTGCCTGTTTCGGTGTAATTTGCTCCAACTGAAAAAGGTGGTTCAGACAAAAGAGTCAAAAAGAATAAGGCGAGTACAACACACCTCGGTTTGAACTTTCATTAACCACTTATTGAAGTCAATTTTCGGGTTGGGGTTGTTGAAGCGGATGTTCGGGATTATTTCTTTGTGCTTCAGCATGAGCGAAACTTTGATCAGGCTCGCCAAAAAACTACATCCTTCAGTATGGCCAATGTTGGACTTTACACTGCCTATTCTGTAAGATCGTGTTAAGCCGGAAATTTTGCTCTTGAGAAAAACCAATTCTGACCTCAAAACTCTGTCCGGCTTGCGATCTTCAGAAAAGACCTGCCCCACAATGTTCGCCTCGATAGGATCACCAACAGGGGTACCTGTAGCATGTAACTCGACAAAAAATGCTTCGCTTGGTTTCCTATTCGCATGGTGGTATGCTTGTCTGATCGTTTCTGCCTGCATATCAGCCTTGGGCATCGTCAAACTGACTCCCTTTCCGTTGGAGTTGATCGCGCTGCCCGTAATCACGGAATAAACAGTGTCACCATCTTTAAGCGCTTTGTCAAGACGTTTGATCATGATCGCTGCAAATCCTTCAGCCCTTGAAATTAAAAGGAGACTTAGATATGATTAGCCTGAGATCCTGAACGGGAATATGTACCTGGCATATCCGTCTGCAGCTGCATCAAAAGATTTCGAGGAGCCTGTAGGAGACAAAATTCCCGTCTTTGAAAACATTACGTTGTGTACTGGCTGGGCAATTACATTCCCGCCTACAAAAAAAAAAGATAAAAAACAAGTTAGTGTTCTATTATTTGAACAACATTTAATCGCTGCACCGATGATTAGGGCCTGATCAATATCTCCGAGTTTAATAGCGGACATAGCCATGTGCATAGCCGTCGCAGAAGACGAGCAGGCTAATCAAATGAACTAATATGAGATCAAGTAGTAGGTCAACTTTCAAATTTTCTTACCAGTATCCACTATCAAGGAGGGCCCACGCAAGTCGAAAGTGAATGACACTCGATTGGATCGAAGGGAAACGCATTTCCCGAGTCCTTGATAACTGCTGACTTCATAGCGATCTCCGTTTCCCAATTCAGAGGCAGATATCAAAAGCTGGCCTATGTAGACACCAGTATTCGAACCTCTGTAGTCGATTCCAGAGTCTAAGAGAGCCTATTGGAAGGTCAGTGGACTTGAAGACAACCATCGGAATTGCAAGTACAAACCAGATGAGCGACTTCAAGAATAAGACGCGAAGAGGGATCAAGCTGCTGTGCTTCCTTCATGGATATTCCGAACTCTCGTGTGTCGAAATGATCGATAGAGTTGATAAATCCGCACATGGAGGTGTTATACTTTCCTGGTTCATCTGGGCGGCCTACATAATCACGGTTAAACCCAAAGACAATGCGAGCAGTGAACATGGCGTACTACTACCCCATTCACTATGATCCCACCTATCTGGAGGGGGTTCAGACATCCCGTCACCCTACGGTCAGGTTGAATGAGTATTTATGCAGAGTAGTCCTGGAAGCTTACTTTGTTGCGAAGGAATTCATAATACAATTCTTTGGTATCAGAACCATTTGGGAGTCTGCAGCCTATACCGACGACGGCGACAGGAAATTGGGCAGACATGGATTTGCAAAAAGTTCCTGGAGCACTGGCAGATGCTCAGGAATATGAGGGAAAACAGAGCTATCGGCTCTCCAATCTTATACCGCCGCCAATAACTCTCTCTCTCTCTCTTCAACATTGCGCATGCTATGCTATTATTAGTCTTTCAGCAAGTGATCATAGTATACATACAAAATGTACCGTGATGCCGTCGATAGGAACATTCTTCAGGTTTGCCTTTATTGGTGTGTAATAACGGACGATGGTAATCCGAAGCCGGTTCATGCGAGCCTGAGTATCTTTAGCAATGGAAGACTTGTGGAAGACCGATGTCGGACTTGGTAACATTCCTATCGTGCGCGTGAACAGCGGTGATGGTCGTGTGAACTTCATTTCAAGTTTGCTAAGATCACGTGGAATCCCTATAAATAGCTTTAGGACTCGCACTTTGCTCGCACTTGCTGAAAATGTTCTTTCAAAATCTCGCTGAATCTCACCAACGACGGGCATTTCTGTTTTTCAGGTTCTTTGCCAGTGACTGGATGGTTTCTCGACAACGATTACGCTGTGCCGCATGTAATCATTCCAACCGTCTGCTCGTGTCTTCCAGGAATTCTCTGTCAAGCATCCCTGTCTTCCATCACATATTCCTACCAGTTGGATGCTCATGTGTTTCAGGTTTGCTTCTCGATAACAATAAAATCATTCCAATTGTCCGCTCTCAGCCAATGAGAAAGCTGCTTTCAAGTCTTCTGGTCTTCCAGGCTGCCATGTCAATTCAAATCGTGTCTTCAGACTTCCAGGCTACCTGTTGGCAGTGATCTTGTCTTCCAGGCTGCCTGTCAGTGATCTTTTCGATAGGAATTAGCTGACATGCAAGTTGTCTGCCCTCGGCCGATGAAAACGCCGTAGTAGCCTTCATCAAACGACTTTTTTTTTAGAAACAAATATATTTTTGCTCTACTGGTATAAATACCGCGTGCCATCCAACTGTGAGACCCATACACAATGAGCTCCCAACTTGTCAGCATTGTTCCAGCCGCTCCTCTTACTGATGATGTCTTCCCTTTCAACCAGGATGCCTTCATCAAGATTCGCGAATATCAACAGAAGTTCGTATCTTGTCACTGCTTAAAATTTCATCTCACGGACTCTGATAATTTTGCAGAGATTTAGCATTTTTGGACACTCCGGTGATTATTGCTTACCATTGCTTGAAACTAACGTCCTGAACCATTCGCAGCCCGTAAGGGCATTGATCGGGGTTGGCGATATAGTCGGCGGCGCGGTAATACATTTTGCTTGTTATTTGCGATTCTTATTCACGGTGTTTATAGTCTACGGCTGTAGTTGGAGGAGTAAGCTCAGCAGTAAGTGCCATACCGCGACTGTATTTGGTAGGTGCTGACTGTTATCTTAGGCTACTGGCGTCGCGTCATCTTTGTTCGGAGGGGTAATACATATATCATATTCTAACTTATGGGCGCTGAATACACCTACAATCTCCACAGCTTGGCACTGTCACTGGTGGGCTTCCGGGTGGGGGATTGCTTCGCTCGGTAATGCCTCGTTATTTGTACCAATCAACAGGTACTGACTCCCACCCAAGGTCGGACAGGGCACATTGGGAGCAATTAGCACGGTAAGTGTAACATACTATGATTGTTTTCGGCGGCTGAGTGTTGATGCCATCTACAGGCCGACGTAGTAGCCCAACAACTCGTTGACCCGGTAAGAGCTCTCAACTGTCCTAGTTCTGGATTGCAATAATTGATGCACTGAAATGTTTTCAGACTAAAGTAGCGCGTCAGCATTATCATTACTCGTCCGAAGTCAAGAAGGCTTTGCCCCCTGCGATAGATGCGGTCGACGAAGTTATCCATGATTTTTCATCTGGTGCTGGGGTACGATCTTTCTAATTCTCAAAAATTATTTTCATAACATCAGTCTATTAGCACGCGGTTCAACAACTTTATGATAACATCGCAACCCAGGGTGTAGCGATCACAGCCAGATTGATCAATAGCTTGGCAGACGTTGACGTCAAATTGGCGGCGTTGTACGCAGTTTTGACCCAGGGTAACATCCAGGAGCACATCGCAGTTGGCCAAGATAAATACAAGGGTGTAGATCCGAGCAAGTTTGGCAACCAAAAGGTTAGTCTATAGTGTTTACTTTGATATCGAATTCTAACACGGTGATGGCGAGTCTAGAATTACTTGCAAGAGCTCAACCAGTATCTCCCTCCTGTTCTCAAGACTATCCAAGATGTCAAAGGTAAAATTATTTTCATCAAACTCACGCACGGAATCCATTATTGAATTTCTGAATATATAGTTTCGTTTGCAACTATATCCAAGAACCTTCATACCGCTCAGGACAAGATCAACGCCGGTGTGATTGATCCTAACCAAATCTTTGCACAGAGCCCCGATGAAGTTGTTGCTGCTTGGAAGGCTTTCGAAGTCAAGAGGAAAACCATGACCTATCTCCCCTACAAATATTAGGTCTCTGGTCCTTTTTGCTTGAATCGTGTACCACTCTGCAAATTGTTGATACGAAATAACTAGGCTTCGATATGAATGAATTTGGACTTTTTGATGTTTGTTTTTACCAATATGCGTACCTGAGTCAGTCGCTCAGACCTTGAACGTTTGAACCCGTGCACTGCCTGTATAAGCCTGATGCCCTTATAATCAATGAGTCGAGAGCCGTTGCTTGTATTTGATGCAGCAACGTCCAGACATCTACCTGACCGTCTTCAATCTGCCCACTCTCTTCCATCACCCACCGACACGATCGCCTGACCCGTTGCTTGTATTTGATATAGCAACGTCTCAAGACATCTCTTCAAGACCTTGTTAACGTTTGTCTTGAATACAGCGAGTGTCCTTCAAGTTCAAGCTTCAAGTTGCCGCCTCCTTCCATCTACCCGACCCAAACCTGACCGTCTTTCCGCCCATCTGGTGGGTTCAGTTTCCCTGCCCCTACGGCCCAGCTTGAAACGGAGATGGCTGTCGAATTGCAGTTCCCACATTGCCCACGCTCATCAGGCATGCACGTCGTTTCTACAAAAGTTCAGACATTGATCAAATCAAGCGCTTGCTAGTCTCGTGCCCATCCGTTGTGAAGAGTGAGCGGCCCGCCGGACCGTCGGAGTGTGAAAACACTCCACAACGTCTGGTGCATTTGGTAGGGCAAACCTACGGTCGAGTCACAGCGTGACAAAATGTAACAACTTCGCATAGTAGGGAGTGATATTGACACGGCCTACAGGCATAAAAGATGTTATAAAATATATTTCTTATATATGGAATAGTAAGTACATTGTAAGGTATATACCTGGTAGCTCGGAGGGAAGGGACATGTGGGGTCTAAGGCAAGTTGCTTGAGATGTCCATTGTCCAGAGGGACAACAATCTAGGGCCTTGCACGCATGCCATCTGCTCTTCGCGATCAGCCATGAAGACAATGAAAGCTCGGTATTTTGGTTGAAGGATATGAGGAAAGCGTACACAGGCAACCCGGCGATCCCTCACGCCGGGAAATCTCGTTTAATACTGCTCATGAAAGGCGCAGAAGCGCCCCCTCGTGAACCCAGGATATTGTTCTTATTCAACACTAAAGAAGATATTCCGAAACAGTATGCAATGGGATTCGACGCCGACATTGGCGGAAACTCAACAGTGCATCTCAACTTGAACGATTACCCATAACACAACAGCAACATTGGAAAGGCTGCGACTGGTGTGTTTTCAGAAGAGGTTAGACGTGAAGCTTTGAAGGCCAGGATGAAGAATAAGATAATTAGAGATTGGTATGGTATGCTGAGTTTCGCAACACAGTGATGTATTCCTCTTGCAGCTGTGCTCGACTTTACGCATGTGTGTGGGCAGTAAAAACGTTGAGCTCAAGCTGGTAGAGAGAACTGGTCAAGGATTTGTTAGTTGTCCATTTTTCGAGAGATTATAGGTGTAACGTACCTTTCAACTGACCGTTCATGCAAACAATCCAGCACAGTAATGGTTGCATAGGGCAAGAAGGCAACTTTCCTCTCTTCAAACCTTCGTGACCTAGGAAAGCTCCATATGCTGATGTTGATCTGTTGTAGTCTATAGCTGTAGACTGTAGTCGATCAGCAGAAGAAGAGACCAAACTTCGAAGGCAGTCAGATTGACTGACACCAGCCAAAGTGTTACAGTTTGTCACGCTGTGACTCGACTGGTGGTTTTGCCTACCAAATGCACCAGACGTTGTAGGGAGTATTCTGTCGTGTATTTTGAATCTCTGACGGTCCGGCGGACCGCACTCCCTACAACAGATGGGAACGAGACTAGTGCTTGCGCACAAACATTAATGACATCATTCAAACCAATTATGTGTGCATAGGTAAGTAGTGTCCCACTATTATGTGATCAAGTCCACGGATAAAAAATCGAGTGTCGAAGAGAGGAATAGAACGAAAAGAAGGAAGGGCAAGATTGATAATTGATACCGATATAATAAAAAAAGAGGAAAAGGGGAAGAGATAGAGACTGGAGAGCCAGCAAGAGGGAGAAAAGGCCAACTGGAGCAGCACCTGCCCCAGCGCTACCCAACGCACCACCACCTGTAAGATTAATGAACCATGTGACGCGCTTCATCGCCCTTGAGCTCTGTACCCACTGTTCTTCTCCCTCGTCATCGCTACCTGATTTACCGCTATGTGCATGCCGTTCACACAACATCTGACCATCCACCTTCCAATACTCACTCAGTGTTTCCGTGCATTCCGGGTATCCAGGGTATTCGCATGTCATATGCTCAGGGTGATATCTGTCGCCAGTGTGTGAGACGGCACAAGGACCTTCAATAGGCTGCCCACACCGTGCCGCAGCACAGAGTGAGTCATTGGCTTCGTGATAGTGATAGGCACACAAAGGCTTCCCATCGTAGACGTAGAACGTCTTATCAGGGAAGGGTTTCTGTGAGAAGAGGGAGTTGTAGCTGCCAGCAGAGATTAAGGGCAAAGGTGTACGCACATGGCAGGTGTGGCAATTAAAGCACTCTTTATGGTACTTGCCCTTCAGTTGACCGTCGGAAGACGATACCGCCTGTTTCTCGATTGGTTTGCTACAGCGACGGCACTAATAGAACGAGAGGGAGTCGGTCCACGCTCTCCGCCATAAGGTCAAACGCACCTTGGGTAAATACATGTTCTTCCAGCACCTTTTGCACAGAATACCTCACCCTTGGCATCTAGTGACGAGTTTCTCTCAGTTGGCGCACCTGCCATCTTTGACCGAGTGGGCAATTTGGGAGGGCGAGTCTCTGGCGAAGACACTCCCTGGACAGTGTTGCTACGGTATGCCCTGGAACTGCCAGAATATCCGCGCAATAAGCAGCGAAAGGCCTTGTCTTCCAATTGCGCGTGCGTTCTGTTGTTGTGCGATTGATCATGAGTTTTTGACAAGTATTCCTTGGAAGGGGTCGATTTTGTTGGGTATATGCGTGAGAATGGAGGCGTATCGCTGCTGCGCGATGTCTGCTGGTGCCTTGAAGAGAAGAAAAAAAGGTGTTAGCCGCCATGTTTGCGACGCTAACAAGAAACTTGCCAGCTTTTCCTTGCGAATGCACGCAGTGCCGCCATTTGCAGGGGGAGCCGCGGTGGGAGCTGTGGTGGGATATGTGCTCAAATGTGCCCTAGGAAAGGTGCTGGAGTTTGTGGCAGGAGGAGTTGCCGGCATGCGAGGCGAAGGTGCCATTCTCTGGTCGACGTAGTCAGCAGCTTGAGCAACCTGAAATCTGAGCTCCCGAAGGAACTGGGATAGCTCAAGACCCGGGGTTTCGATGTAACTGTTGATCCTGTTGTAGAGGGCAGAGATGGTTGACAAGCGATTGAGCAGGAGCTCGTCTTCTGGCATGGTGGAAGGAAGCCAAAGGGCCCTCCATCACATGACGCGAAGAGAGAGTGTGTGTGGATGGGAATGCAAGGGGTGCTCCATCGCATGACGTGAGGAGAGGGGGAGGGGAGTAAACAAGCTGGGGCAAATGCGGGAGCGCCTTCTGCGCATGCCGTTGAAACGATTTGCTAGTGCAATCTGTGGTTGTTCACCAAAGACAAGGGAGCGTTGGAGAGTGGCGGCTAGCAAGGAGATCAGAGCAGGTCTACGTGCGCAAAACAAACACTCCGTACCGATAAAGTGGGCGCCGACCAGCCCAATCTGATTGTCGGGTGCCATTGTTTTCTATGCGCGTGTGAAGCGCGTGGTTGAACTGAAAAATAGCAACCCTCAAGCTGCTGGAAGGCAAAAGCAGGTGGGGGACCACACCCTCGAGGTCACACGGTAATACCAGAGTAACACAAGCGGCACGCGGCATGTCTATCCACTCAACAGCCTGAGTTGGAAACCACTGGTTCTGTTGAGGAAGAACAAAAGCAAAAATTTGAAAAAAGGCAGTTTTTCACTGCTAGTGAAAGTCATGTGACATGAGCACGCTCACATTGCTCAACAGTTAGCGTTCAAGTCTAACACGAGCAAACAGTGAGCCCCTTTTTACAAGTCCTGGAGTTTATGTAAGGAATTCATTCTTATACAGACCCGTTTTTTTGTCACACTATTCTTTGAGAGCTATAGACAAACAGTACCAAACAGGTGTCAACTTTAAACATGTCCACTTTTCAGTTCAAAATTGATGCTTGTTTGGCTGCATGGTCTTTTACGGAACGATTTGGGTGAACTGCTGGTGAGATAGGCATGGAAAATGGTGGTATCTTTAAATAAACATGTATTTTGAACAAAGTCCTATAAAATACAGGAGGGACCAGCAGGTGAGCAATCAGGCCTCAGGCATGAGGTGGTGCCTGATATGCAGCAGCCCACTGTATGCTGCGCCGCAGTGGTGTGCCAATATGGCAACTGAAGATGGCAACCAATACAATGAGATGGTAGTCAACAAAGGGGAGGGTGGTCAAGTCAGCATCAAGGGGGTCTTAGGATTCCAAAGTCTGACCGGGGGTTGGGTAGGTAGGTCAGCCGCAGGCCCAGAAAAAAAATTCTTGGAACCCTCTACAAAATGATCTCAAAACAGGCCTGAAAGGCCATACCTTGCAGGTTTGCAGTGCCAATACACTCCAGAACATGCAGATCAGTCCAAATTTAAAGATATTCAAGCTTTATATAATATTTCTTTAATCTTATCTGGTACTTCAGCATTCACGGTTGAGTGCGACACGGAGACCGAGGGAGTGGGAGGTGAAAATGGGGAGATGCTGCCAGTGGTGGCAGACATGGAAAGTATCATCACTGACGATGTGGGGTTGGGGAATGACAGTGTGAGTATCATCTAAACTTAGCTGAACAGGCACTCACACAATGTTTAGCACACTGTTCCTGGGCCGCCGTTGGCAACAATTTCAAGTGCCTGCAATGTCAGCGATGCCATAACAGCTGCAAACAGTGACTTAGAGGTGGAAGAGAGGCCTTTCAATGAAACCAGGCATTCTAAATGGAAGCATGTTCCAAGGCAGATGCCGCCAGGGCCCAGATGCCTTGAATGGATGTCTGTGCAGGATAGTGGTGGACTCCCAATCAGATGGGGTTCTTGAGTGTAAGAAGCTTGGCTGTGAGACACAATGGGTAAAGCTATCTTCCATATGAAAAAGGTTTTATATCACTCACCTATATTTAAGTATCACCTAGGTTGTGTTTCGTTGGAAATTGTTCCATGAAACTGGGTTTGCAAGGCCTGTGAGGCATCTGGGACAAGTAGAGGGCAAGTAGAGGGACAAAGTGATCATGATGATGATGTCACATTACCATATATGGGTATGTGCCTGATTACATAGGTAGGTAGGTCAAGCTCCAAGGGCTTTAAAAAAAATATCGACCCCGGGTATTTTTTTTAAATCCTAAGACCCCCTTGGTCAGCATAGTCGGATTCTCAGTGCACCACCCCCTGCTCCCCTTCTTGTGTTGCCCTCACTACATACTGTGGGAGTTAGATTGCATTGAGCAGAGAAAAGCAGATGCAAATACCTGAAGAAGGGGAATAGCTATGGTGATGATGACATGTTTACCAGGCTGTGTAGGAGCCTGTCCATTTGGTTGAGGTGCATAACAGAGTTGGAGTAAATGTGTAGTAGAAACTCACATCCAACCTGACCAGGATTACAGTCACTCATCATACACATGTAACCTAGTATAGGACTCACTAAATCGAAAGAAGACGTGTTCGGGTTGATGTTGCCTCCGATAAGTTGATGCCTGCAAGACAAGGACAAACCATAACATGAGCACCTTGCAGAGGAAGTACATTGACAGAAGGTGTAGTGCAAGACGTGTCAATGTGTTGGTAAAGTTTAGGGGTAAGATGGCATTGTAGATTTGATGGAGAAAGGGTAAGCTCTGGAGTGCAGCAAACTGTGGAGAATGTCTGCCTCGATGATTGAGAGCTGGTGACCCTGGCATGGCACACATGAGACGGTATGATGATATTTTGCATACAATGTAACAAGACCGCCTGGGGCCTTCTCTTAGCATGTAAAGATCATGAAGGAATATATAGCATACCATTAGAAAGAGTCCCATCGTATAGCCAGAACTGAAGAAGCCCCATGGACCAGGATACTGTTGAAGTAGACGTCTCGTGACCTGCTCTGTTTACACGTATGCTCTTATCTATCACACTCTTCATTTACTCCCGCTATTTACCAGTCTTTACGTCAAGCCACAGTATATATACTAAACCTTATTTTCAGCCCACCTCAGTCGTTCTTCACTTCACGGTGACTGACGTCTGAGGTGAGTTTCTCGACTATACATTATCATCACCTAGATTACTGACTACTTGTAGTTCTATTTCCTTCTACAGGTAGTTTTAGTGTTTGAAAGTCCGGTCCGGTCCGGTTATTGAGCCCTCAAGGGCTCTAACCGAGACCGAGACCGGTTACCTTGTGCCACAAAACCCAAAATAACCGAACCGGACTGCTACTAACCGATATAATCGGTTAGTAACAGTTAGCGGTCGGTTACATGACCGGTCCTAACCGGTTATTTCTCTGTACTAACATAATTACAAACCTATATTATATTTCTAATACAAGCATTATGCTGCATGCACCAGCGAGGCGTGTGTAGGTGAAACACCGCCTCGCACGATTTTCATAAACAACCTCGCAGGTCGAGTACACCTGACCTGTGAGCGTTTCTCATGGATCGCCATTGTTGTATCAATGTCACATTATCACACATGTGACGACAGGAAAATAGTCACTTAAATTTCAATTCACCGTAAATATGTCAATTCTCCACTAAAAATATGATTTTTGGATCGTTAGAAAGCGTTTAAACAGGGGAATATTTGTGTGTAACGTTAGGACACAAAGACCGGTTATAACCGGTCCTAACCGGTTTTTGTTTGGTCTTGAATATTTTGGGATGACACCTAACCACTAACCGGACCGTGGTTACGGTTAGGATCGGTTAGGTAATTTTTGCGGTCCTGATCGGTTACGGTTCGGTCCAGTCTCGGTTATTTTCCGGTTAACTAACCTAACTTCCAAACACTAGGTAGTTTACCCAATCCAGTCGTTCTTCACTTCATGGTGACTGACGTCTGAGTTCTATTTCCTTCTACAGGTTATGGGCCCTGATGCGCTTACCTAGGAAACCAGATTTCAGTCAAATCTACTTTGGGCTGTGACTCGCCCCCTACATTCCCGAAGACTACAGCATGCCATATTTCCTGCTGCAGCTCGAAGCTGGCTAGGATTTTTCCACCTACACACGCACACCCACTTGACATTCTGGCCTCACATTCACCTTGCATTCGCCATACTTTACTTTTGGTAACGCCCCGCCTTACTTGACTTCTAGGCACCACATACATTCAACCACCACATACACACTTGGCCATACATTACATTCGGCTTTCCATTACATCCACACGCACAAGACACTGAGAAGAAATCCACCATACGTTTACTTTGGCCCTATACACCACTCACCACCCACGTTACTTGGCACCAACATGCTTTACTTCAGCGATGCAACCTGACCTGTACCCAACTCTCAATCCTATCTGACCGAACCATCACCCCATTGCGGGAGCAACACCACAGTCTGCAACGTGTCAATACTCTACGGCAAACGCACTCCTACACACTCCTACACACATACGGCTGGTACAACACATTTTATGCCTGCCGCCCATGCAAATCTCCCTACGTCATTACCTACTCGTCTCGCACATCCAACACTATTCCATACCCACCGGTCCCCTCCCTATGAGAATGGGGTATACCATGTAACGCCACATGCCACCATGTCGGCTGTAACAGGACTTTGATTCAATGACCAGGATTCAGAACCATGACCAACACATACTACGTACCAAGGGATTCGTCATGTCAATGTGTGCTAAACACATATGTTGGATCACCTCCTCTCCAGCTGTTCGAGTCGACGATTGTGGAATCATCACTGAGGCATGCATCAGCCGAGATGCCTCAGGCAGGATTGTTGTATCACCAATCCCTTACCTTGCTCTTACACAACAGCCATATCCCCCACTCACTTCACTCCATCTGAAACCCCTCGTGTATTGTTAAACCCTCTTGCCGTCCTCGCTGATTGTCCAGCCCTATCGCCATGGCCGACATCACAGTTCCTACCCCCATCGTAACCGACGCCATTATTCTTGTCACTCCTGCTGCCCCCATCGTAGTCGCCATTGTTCCCAAAAGCTCAAAGGAGCCCGAGTACACCACCTTCACCCACCACTGCCTCGAGCATCCTTACCACCATCATCACAAGCACTGATGGTGTTGTGGTGCCTCACAGACACGCGCCTGCGAAAGGAAAAGGCCCCTCGCTATGGCCTGCCAGCTGGCTATGAGCACTCCACCACCAATTTCAATATCTGGGCAGAGGACAAAGAATCAGTTTGTGTGCTATGACGAATTATCGAAGACGTACGATTGCATCGCTGACCCCATCTACATCTCCGACTTCAACATTGCCCCAGAAATTGTTGGTTGGGCATCAAAAATCATGCCCGTCAAGTGCAAAGATGTGCTGACCACCGAGCCATCCCATTAGGAAATTATATCACATCCCACAAGCTTTCCAAGCCCGCAGACATTGAAACCAAGTTTCGCGAAGGGGACATTTCCTATTTGGAACATATCTGAGTCTAGATACGAGGGAGCGGGCGGATATCACTGATGAAGATTCAAGCGTGATCAGCTCGTTTTCACTACCTTCACAGATGAAACTCATTGCTCACCCTTGCATGTCACCAACTCCCGCCATAACTACCTTCACCCTCACAAGGCATAACAGAACACATTACCTGCCAGCGACTGTCTCCAAATTTCCGCAGGTCAGTGACCCAAACGATATGAATTGCCGCCCGACACAAGTGTAGTCGATGAGGGGGAGATACCTGCACCCACATTAGCGACGCCCCCCTTGCACGCACGGTATTTGTACTCACTAATTGCACATGTGCCTTCACCCACTGTGCTGTTGTCGCCCACACTCGCTTCACCTACACATTCCCTCAAAATTCACCAACAAATGTCTTTTATTCACACACCTCTTCCCCAATCTCGCCAGCTTACATCACATTTACACCTTTGCAACCACGGAGGATGAGTTACGTGTGGTCTTCGTTTCATGCAAGACACGCCGACGGTTGGGGGAGTGGAGAGATGTGTCATCTGTTCAAAGTAAATGCCCACGGTTGATGTAATGGTCTCGGCGTTGCCTAGGATCAAGCATCTCGATGTTCACGCACACCATGTGCGGTGCTGCCAAACCCACCTCATCACATACCTACTTCATCCACTATTGCTATCTTTGGAGGAATGTCTCAACTCATGATCTGCACATCGGACTTCTTTTGGAACAACGTCAGTTATATCTAACAGTACAGAGTTCACGCCGCCGTCATGACCAAACTCGATGGAGACTATACATCCATCTACGCGGATACGCCTCCACCTACACCCTAAGATACAGGTATTCTCCTACACCCATACATGCCACCGTCAGATATAACACTGTTCACGGCGCATACTATCGCACATCCGGAACACGATATTCGGGGGAGCTGAAGAATTCTTTGAATCTGGGAAGTTCACTAGCTCTCTCCCAATCCAGTGGAATCCAATCAAATGGAACGCTGAGCTGCAACCTGACTCTCCTGCTTTATACCAATGACTCAGAACTCTCGCACACCTTCCACCTTGTTGCACTCATTCCACCTCCCACCATACGCCTTCCACCACTTTCTGTTGTACGTCTTCCACCTCCTGCCGTACGCTCCCTTCGTGAACATTCCACCTCCCGATGTCACATGATCATACACCCTATCATCAGAAACCCATGTAACATCTCAATTCCATCACTAATGTTTCGAGGATCTATGTCTTCAATGCCAATCTTGCTCAATTATCATCGCCGACCTCACTCCATGATCAACATGAAGCCCGTGCAGCACCAATGGAGGGGTTCAGGCAATGTAACGTCAACAAACCACGCACACACACAGTCTATTTTTGGAAACGGACAGACGCAATGTATCGAAGCACCTCGCATGTTGTTCCCAATGCGGGTCTTATCGACAGGCTCGTAACCTCACATCCTCGACATTTAAAAGCACTCTCAATCACCGAAGCTACACCCCTCAAAGTCCCTTGTCATCTGGGGGAGTGTTGAGGTAGACGTCTCAAGGGTATTCCTCGTTACTACACGCAAAGTTCAAGGCATGCTCGAAACTGACGATCCACGAAGTCGACTCCCTCACATCTACAACCATTCTGCACCTATTCCCCTTATTAACCATCATTCAGAACATTCCCTATTATTATGACACACAATCTTCAATCGGCCCTCACGGTCATCGCTGATCACCTATCACGAACAAACCCCTTTCGTCATCCACCCGACTTGTCCTCAACATCTGAAAGCACTCTCGACCACTCAAGACGGTTACACCCCTGAAGGTCCCTCGTCGTCTGGGGGAGTGTTGAAGTAGACGTCTCGTGACCTGCTCTGTTTACACGTATGCTCTTATTTATCACACTCTTCATTTACTCCCGCTATTTACCAGTCTTTACGTCAAGCCACAGTATATATACTAAACCTTATTTTCAGCCCACCTCAGTCGTTCTTCACTTCACGGTGACTGACGTCTGAGGTGAGTTTCTCGACTATACATTATCATCACCTAGATTACTGACTACTTGTAGTTCTATTTCCTTCTACAGGTAGTTTACCCAATCCAGTCATTCTTCACTTCATGGTGACTGACGTCTGAGTTCTATTTCCTTCTACAGATACACCATCACATTGGAGTGTAGCAATTCCAAAAGAAGGGAAGAAACCTGTTTGAATGTGAGGAGAGGTAATATGTTGATGATTGGAACGACTAACCATATTGTCCATCTCATAGGCAAGTAGGTGTCAGTGGAAGTCAGATCTCACCGACAAGGCATTGGCCACAGCAGTAGCACCTCAGAATGATCTAATGCAAAAGTAGAATCAGTCGTTATCATCTTCCACCAACGAGGGAGCGGCAAAAAGTCACATTCAAAATCCTCTCCACATCCAATCTGAATACCCTGAATACGCCTCAAAAGTCCTTACCCCGTCCAAAGCCTCACTTTCACAGGTTCCCTCTCCTCCCCCCAGCTACATCCCCTGCAGCTGCACTTGTCAACTAGTCCTCACTGGTCGCCCTGCCCCGACTAAACCCTGTGCATGTTGAATAAACACCATTCCTGCCTCTGTGGCGACTCCCGAGCGCACAGGCTGCAATGTTCAGTTCTAGTGTGGCGAGGAGGGAAGTTTCAGTGAGGATGCCTGATCATGATGGTTATGGGGTATTTGAAGTGGTGGTGATCTTGGGAGTAGGGGGATAGTGCGAATAGGAAGAGACCGATTGGGAGGATGGCTTTGGGAGGATGACTTCTTGGGCGCCCTTGCTGTGGTTGTATGGGTTGGTTCAGAGAGCGAGGAGGGGAGGAATGACAAAGTATGCAATGGTTCGACACACAACATGGGATGGGCAGGTAATAAAGTGAGGCATCCTGCGACCAGTTTAATATAGGTGTCATTGATGCAACAGCTCTGCAAGATGAAAGTGTTGAGTTGTAAATGACGACAACATCTACGGGCTGCGGATAGGGAACTCACCTGAAACCGGTACTTCACACCATCCTCATATGATTTATCGATTTTCTTCAATGTCCCGTGGGGTGTGAGCATGGGGTGGTCGATAGCACGCCGATAGCATATACGCTGGCGATGCAGAGTCGTGTTCAGGGAGCTGGGCGAATTCCTGATCGCTTGTTGCCTGGGTCCACCAAGAGTGTGGGTGCATCGAGGGCATAGGTGGGTGTGTTGTACGGTAGCTAGGTGACCCATTGTGTATCATTTTCATTGTCGTTGATTGGCGTCATGTCGTGTCATTGCTGGGTTGTGTTGTCCGCCGTGACTGGGAGGGGTGAGTGGTGTGCATACAACAACGAATGACGACTGATTCGTCGTTTGGTTGCCATGTCACTGTCAGCGACGTGGCACCTGAATTCAGTGTTAATATATCGTATGGGGGGATGGGATGTGGCCAACTCACCTGGGCTGGCACATGTGCTGGGTGACAATGTCGTGCTTCAGCACTGTCAGGCAACGCCGCATCGTTGTCATCACAGTGCATGGACCTCTCAGCACTTGTTCCCTTGCTGACATAGCGTCACCATGTCATCCTTGTCATGCTGTCATGTTGTGTTGTCAACAACGAATGAGGTGGTGGCGGCCAGTGGGGACAATGGTGGTGGGAGGGAGGTCCAAGGTGCTGGCGAGGTGTTGTAGAAGACGATGGCAGTTTAAAACACGACTTGCGATGCAATGGCGTATGTGAGTGGGTGGAGTGAGAGTTCACCTCGTCGCTGCGTGCGATTGGTATGTTTTCAGTTTCTGGAACGATGAGGGTAGGGCCACAGCTTATCGTGGGCGATAAGGCAGGGAACTCGCTGGGAGCATTGAAAATGTTAGATATAATCCTGGGTGTCTACTCCGCGGTAAGGGTCGGTCGACCATTCAGTGTGGGTGCTTGCTTCCATTGCTTAGATTTGCTTGACACGGAGAATAGGGAAGGCAAGCGACATTGACTAGAGGGCTTGTCACTTGACCACCAACTCTTGTCGATATTTGAGTGGAACGAACTCTTCAAAAAGGATCAGTGTCGGGTGGTGTTAGTAGTACGAGTACTACTACTACTAGAGTTACCAAACAAGTGTCAATTTTGAACTGAAAAGTGGACATCCACTTTTCAGTTTAAAATTTGTAAATGTTTGTCTGTAAGCACTGTTCACCAATTTGTGAAACACAGCAGACTGACAATCGAAACGGATTGGATACAATATGGGACATAGGTGCTGAGGGGTATCTTTCTCATGCCAGTGCATCTGACAAGCGCACACACACAGGTTGGGGAAGCAGAAGGACGACTAATAAATCGACAAAAATGTGTACGTGAAGATTGAACATTCAAATCAAACACGTGAACATCACTGGAAGGGCACTGGAGTGCAGGCAATGAGTGGATACGACACAGAGAGGCAGGCTCTGGCATTTTGAAGCTGGGATATGGGTCATGAAGAATGGGAGAAAGTGAGTACCTACGCTGCATTGGGTATCTTGCACGACACTGACAACTTTCCAAGTACTTCAGCACTGCATGTGCCAGTTTTTCGGATGGATATATGTCACTCCAGGGCTCAAAACAGCAACGGCGATGTTTATGGGCTGTGGAGGCGTGAATGGAGCAGAACACGCTAAACGACAAAGTTTGAAGGTACAGCAGTGTGCCAATACCTTTTTAGAGCCAAAGTGCCAATGACAATATATCTGGTCAACAGAACAACCTCTATGATCCTTGGCACAATCAGGAACACGTTCGATGTGCACAGACTGAGAAGTCAGTACTTTTTGCATGCTGTAACAATATCTGACCCACTTTGTATTGCAACAAAATTCCATGTGGTGCTTTGCACCGTCCCTCTCCTCCACTTGACGAACATTCTCAATGATTGACTACGAGGCTCGAAGTGGCGATCATGTAGTCCGCTGGCCGTGTGTCCAAAACCTCGCAAGGAAAGGGTGTCCTTGTGCTAAAGCAAGAGGTAAGTACATACACACCTTCAACACTGGATTACAAGCATTTACTAACCTTCTTCAAACAGCTCCATGGATAGGCGAGGTGCTGAGGACACTGTTGACGACGTTGAGTTATGGCGCATAGATGCAAGGCTCAACACATTCACGATGGCACTTTAGCTCAGAGCTGGGCGGTCTGCTCGCCACTACCTCAGAAAAACTGGGCGCAAATCCTCGAAAAACTGGGTGTGAGTGCATAATTCCAATGATTACAGCATGAACATGTACTCACCTTGTTTAGCATGGTCCATTTGCCACCAAGCGAGGCTGAAAAAAACGAGCGTGAGTAGCACCTTCGAACACCAGAAAGACAAGCATGTACTAACCCTCACAATAAGCTTTACAAATGCTTGAGGTGCTAAAAAAATGAGCATGAGTAGCACCTTCAAACACCAGTTGCTGAAGAGGTAAGTCAACGAAAGGAACCAAAGTTTGTTTGACACTTACTGATGAATGGGACATCTAGGGATGTTACACGACATCGGGCATACATCCCTTGCATCTGTTTACAAACCCCTGGGGGTTTATTGAGAGAGTGGTGGTCCGCTCGTCACAGGGCCAACAGCCTATGGGAAAACAATGGTCAATACCTGTGTATTCTCGCGGGATAAGTGAATACTGACCTCTAACCTCGAACAGACTTGATTATAAAGTCATGCTCGTCGAGAGCAGCATTTAAAAATAGTCACATTCAACAAGGACACCAGTGACAAAGAAGCCCACAATAGCGAGGAGTGCGAGAGGAAGCAGAGGAGAGGGAAGAGAAGTGGAGGAAGGGGATGGGGATTTGACATTCAGTCACCCGGCTTTTATATATTTTTGAAGGGGCTGTATGGGTGTATCTAGAATAGCACGTACCTGTCAGGGAATGGGATGATCAGCTGAATATTCAGAACACTAGGATAGGCAGCTATCTTCACCTGAATGAATTTCAGTGAGGTAGAGAATGTGTGAGGAATTGGGGCTGATATGATCTGTATTACAAGCAGGCATATATATATAACCAGGACTCGTATTCCCATGCGAAGCAATGGCCCGCAGCCTGCAAGTTGACTTTACTTTCATTGTGGCAAAACCATGAGCTACATGGTGGGTACTCATAATTGACACGCCGTTGACTACAACTCACTTTCAGGAGACCACAGTCTTTTGCTGGAAGTGCGAAGCCTGCCAAGACCCCGGGGAAGGGCAAAAATATTAGCAGGTAGATGACTCAGATGTGCGTCTCATTCTGGGTCTTCATCATTTGTGCCCCTCACCTCTGAGTATAGGTTGACCCTGACAAGTCTACACTTGTCTGAGACCACCAAGGAGCAGCCATAAATGATGTATCAATTGCTGCCCTGTTGCACACAGTTATCGACTATACAAGCTGCTTACTTGTCAAGGAATTTCTTGCCACATTGTGCTACACCAACAAACAGATCAACCTTCAAATTGTTCTCTCCCTGCAAGAACCCATATCTTTAGATTTCCTCAAGACAGGGTCAGGTTTTGGCAGCCCTGATGATTATAAAGCCTCTATAAAATTTGCTTACATTCTAAACAGGAAACCTACAGAGTCTTGTGAGATTTTTCCATCTTATCCTTTTACTCACCTGGAACCTCTACTTACATCTGTGTCTAGATGCTCTCATCCTCTCCACTTAGTGTTTGAAAGTCCGGTCCGGTCCGGTTTTTTGGTGCTCAGTGCCTTAGACTGTAACCGTAACTGGTCCTCCCAATTCAAAAAACTTCAAAAAACCAGACCGAACCACAAGAGACTGGTCTTTTGCGGTCTTTTGCAGTTACAAGACTGGTTTTGACTGGTTCTGGTCTTAACCAGTTTGCAACTGGTCTAAACCAGTCTTTGTAGGGGTCAGGTGGCCAAGAAACAACAATATACTAAATATTTTAATGTACAAGGGAGGGGGTCACTGTACACGACTTGGTAACAATGCACACAGGTAACTACGGATGTCTTCACATCCAACTTGACCATTCGTTGACACACCAGGTCCTCGTCAACATACACCATCTGTCCATGTACCGTCATCGTTCTTCTGTTATGTCGCCGTCAACATACGCCATCTGTGTCGTTCATCCATGTATCGTCGTTCCTGTTGTCCATCTGTGTGTAAACGTCATCGTTCATGGGTTACTGGTTGACATGTTATCGACGGCAACATGACCCCTGCTTCTCATGTCAAAAAAGGAGAGGGGGAAGGGGGTAACAGTTGCTCACCTGGATCGATGTCAACCGATGTGGTCATCTCTGGCTGCTACCTGCCATTTGTGGGTGTTGTCGTCATGCCAAATCGTCGTTGAAATGGTGTGGACTCAATGATTCAGTTGGTGATGTGGCGTGGCCACGTCGTCGTCACTGTTAGCATGTGCAGGCATCGTCGTTGGGTGGTGTTGTCATGCCAAGTCGTCATTGAAATGACGTGGGCTCATTGATTCAGTTGGTGACGTGGGGTGGCCACATCGTCATCACCGTTAGCATGTGCAGAGATGGTTGGGGTGGTCGAACAGGGAGGGGGTGGTTGTGGTTGCAGCCACGTCGCTGTAACAACATGCCCTGATCTTTGTGTGAATAAAGGTGAGAGGGAGAGCAGTCACATTGCTCACCTCCAGTAATGTAGATAGTGACGACGTGAGTCGTCGTTGTCACTATCTGGACAACATGGGACATCCGTTGACATGCCATGTTGTCGCCGTCCATCGTCGTCGTTCATCCGTTGGGTGGTGACGTGGCCTTGCCAAGTTGTCATCATTTTCTGCGTAGTTGGTGGAAAGGGGGTTCAGGGATCTGAATGCCAGACCAGGGGTTGGATAGGTAGGTCAGCCATAGGCCGAAAAAAAGATTTTTGGAACCCTCTATGAGATAGTCCTAAATTGGTTTTCCAAGGTGATTTACAGTATTTCTGCATGTAAAATATCATTGTATAGTACATTATCTTGACTGGATATTATATTTCATTATATCTGGCCCAATTTCTGGCTTCAAAATTGTTTTTCACAGTCTAATCTTCATCAAATTTTTGTCTAATGTTTTAATCAATCACAATTTACTGACAAAACAGTTAGTGACCAGTTCTTGACACCGATGGGTATGCTGTGTGACCTGATTTCAAAACTCGAATCATCTTCATGCTTTCGACACATCAGACACTCTAAACAGATGCCTGTGTGGTGTGGTATTGCACTCAGAATGCAATGGCTTGGTAAAATGTAAAAGGGTTGGATGTGAGACTCAATGGGTGAGTATCAGTCTTGCAAAAGTTAATCACTACACTCACTTATTTTTTAGTGCCACCTACAATGTGTTGCATGGGAGATAGCCCCACGAAATTGGGTATGCGAAGCCTTAGAGGATCAGAGGGATCATGATGATGATGTCATATTGCCATATATAGGCATGTGCCTGATTACATAGGTTGGTAGGTCAAGCACACAGGGCTTTACAAAAAAATTCGACCCCGGCTACTTTTTTTAAATTCTTGAACCCCCTTGGTTGGCGGCAGTTGAAGGATGATTGCGAGAGGTGGTGGTTGGTGGTGGCAATGGTGACGGATTGGAGGTGGTCGCAGGGATGGTGGTGTGGTGGTGGTTGAGAAGAAAATACTTTGTTTGTTGATGAACATTACTATTTGGTTCTCATCAAAAACATATGAGGTTCAATCTATTCTAAGTTTGGCCCTCAAGACTCGAGCACGAAAGACTGGTCTTTGACCAGTTAATTTGGTTTTTGCTCAGTCTTGAATTATTGAAAGTCGTAGAGGACCGTAGACCAAACCACAGTTACGGTCTTTGTCGGTCCTATTAATTTCCAGTCTTGATCGGTCACGGTCCGGTCTGGTCACAGTCTTTTTCCAGTCCTGTGACTGGACTTCCAAACACTATCTCCACTCTACAAATGGACTCCATGAAAATTGATGGCATCGATACACCGATTCCACTCATTCCCAAAATCGTGTGGCTCAACATCCTAAACAAGAACTCCTGGGTCTCATCCTATATTGATTTGGTGGGTGGCATTCAGCAATATTGTAGTAATATCAGTAAGTGTTCTTTGGGATCAAGTATATATCTCTGGCTGATTTGGTGAAGCCTGAGTACACAGCAATGCTGTTTCCCCAGTTTGGACTCTTGCAGATTTCAACATAACCCTCTCCACTTCAACTTTTTCTCCAAACACCCAGGCTGGTTTACAAGCTTTTATGGAAGATCATCCTGCCATGGAACACTTTTAAATCAGGTCTGTCTCTTTAAACACACTTTCTAGATCATACTCAGTTGTAGAGTGCAGAATGTAAAACATCACAGAGCAATGGGACTCTAATAGTGCATAATTAATGTTGCAAGTGTGAATCAAGTGCTTTTTATTATTATCAGCACCATGTGCTTCGTGCTTTCTCCGGAATCTGTCTTCTCAGTGTCCTCAACCCAGTTGCTGCTTTGAGGCCCAATTTTCCCAACTCTCATCATGATGATTCTGTCACAGGTCATGTGCACTAAAGCTGGCCAAGAATTTGACATCTCTGGTTGGTAGGCTCGTGACCAGCCTGCATATGATAACTTCGATCAAGAGGCTGCGAGCGGAAGATCCTGAGAAAGCGACTCCCTTTGTCTTGTCCAATCAAAGTCCCAAAGGAGTTGAATCCAGGGTCCAATATATCGGCCAGGTAAGACCAAATCAAGCCAGCTTCACTTCGATATCACTCGCTGCAAAACCTGGTTGATTGCTCATTGCTGCTCGCATTCCTACCCACCATAGCATACCACTGTGAGTCAAAACAAGTAGGATTAGTAACTTGCTGCACTTTGTAGTAGCTGTGCTATAGTCAAAACATGTAGGATTCCGGGTAACCACAGCATTGAGAAGAATCCTTATAAATACCATGCAAGACAGCATTCCCTGCTGCAGACACCCAAAATGAAAAGTTTATCAAATATATCAACACCATGAGCCACCGAGAAACAAAGATTTATACCGCTTTACCCAAAACTCCCACTGAGACGGTGCAATTCCAGATGTTGTCAGGTGCTTCCGCCAACTACACTATCTTCCAAGAAATCAGAACCACTGGCAGCACATTGCTTGTACAATGCAATCTTTGCAACAGATACCTCCCGCTTACAAAACATAAATCTACAATTCACTATCAAAGACACCAGGAGTGTGATTTGCAGGGATGTTCAAGATCAAAACAATGCTGCTCATCTCAACATTGCTACTCCCATTCAATCACAACCCAGAACAACATTCATCAACTCTTTCCAAGAACTGAGATTCAGTAGAAGTTACTTGCCACTTACCAATTCAGCTTCCCCTTCTGCTACACCAATGCAAACCTCATTTTCATTTGATTATCCATCCCACAATGCACCTGCGCAGTGTGCTGATCAATATTATGACCTTCCACCATCATCTCCACCTCCTTTGAGTCCTACATCCAACTGAGGGAGCAAGCATCAAGGCTTATAAAATAGTGTTTCTACACAGTTTCTATTAGTTACACTGTGTATTTAGTGTTACCGTGAATACTACAAGTCAACTACAAGTCTATCGCATTGTGTGTGCTGATTTAGTCTCCCATATAAGACCCTGGATTCAACTCCTTTGGGACTTTGATGGGACAAGACAAAGGGAGTCACTTTCTCAGGATCTTCCGCTCACAGCCCCTTGACTTCGATATACAGGGTGGTCCATCTGAGTTTAAATCCCTGTACTGCGCAGCTCCCACGCCTGTTTCCATAAAAGGTTCAATGATTTTTGACCTCCCCTTAACAATCTGGTCTGGCCCGCGCCAAATCTTCCTGGTCTATGATTTCCCTGTGTCCAACCCAAAATTGTCTTTCAGCTATGCACCCCAGAAGCACAGCTGATATATTTATATTAATCCTTGTGTTTTCTCTAACATTGAATGTACATATTTTATGGCAAGAAAACAAGAACCTCCCAAAAATATAGGCTACTATCTACTCAAACGAGGAGGGAAAAGAAAGAACAGATAGCTAAGTGACAAAATGGATGAAGTACAGAAATCCGAGAAGTTGTCTGGTTTGAATGCAACCACTCCAGATTTTACAGATGTGCCATTCGTGGGGAAATGTGTTGATTTCATGCAACAGAGACCGTGAATACAGTGGAAACGCGGTGCACATCATGCGACACATGCTTATTGTTTAGGGGAGGTCAGAAATCATCGAACCTTTTATGGAAACAGGCATGGGAGCCGCGCGGTACATGGATTTAAACTCAGATTTACCAGTCTGTATATCAAAGGTACTTCTCATACAGAACAGTCACTGGTCTATCTGGTTGGGGTCAAAGCTCTGCAGAGCCCATGAGAAATCAGACCGCTGCCATTGGACAGAGAGGTCTCGCATGGAGCACTTATCAGGAGGATGAATGTATATGTTGAGCAAAGTGGTCAGAGGATCCATCTATGGTACATCAAGCATCCCAACCACCACACAAGCAGAGGCGGAAAAAAGGTGTATACATTCACGACAGGATGGAGCATCATGTGGCTGGGTAGGTACAGCTCAAGTACAGCTCTTCCTCATGCGGCAGGGGAGGCGTGTCCTTGTTGGGGTTGGGGCACTGTAGATGGCTGCCTGGCAAAACCGATGTTGGAGTGAGAGGGACCTCAATGACAGCAGGCCCAATTGTGTACTGCAACTCGGTGGGGGTGAGGTCGCCCAACCTGTCTGACAACGGATCAGGGACTTCAGGCCCAATGTACACTGACACCGCCGGTGGGCTGGTGAACAGCTCCGAGTACAATGCTGCATCAGTTTCTCCATATTTTACTGAACCTTTCTTTCCCAGTGGAAGTCACACTTTCTGACTGGATTGACTCTGGCACCCAGGCTCATCCAGTTCAGTGGCCATCAGCATTTCCGTCTCCACTTGGTACTTTCTATACTCAGTGGAAAGGCTGTGCAGATAGACAAGATTCGTTCTGACGATAAGGATCCCAGTTTGCAAGGTTTTAAAAGACAGAAACTTTGTGCACCAGAGCCAACACTTTTGCAGACTTTGGAATCAGCCTTATGTCTCCTAGTGTTTGGAAGTCCGGTCTCATGACTGGAAAAAGACCGTAATCAGACCAGACCAAGACCGCAAAAAACCGGACCTGCGGTTACGGTCTTTTATTTTTGAGAACTAAAGACCGCAAAAAAACCGGTCTAAATGGACCGGTCTTTTGTAGCCCCTTAAATACCCTTCAAAACGCACCCAAGCACGTATTAATTGGTTCAGAATTGACAAAGATATAAATAAAAATGTAAAATTTCGTTAAAAATAGTAGATGTACACGACCTTTTTTATAGAAACACCAATTCTCAACGGAACTTAACGTTCTTGGGCTCTTTTTAAAGCTACGAAACACGTTAACAAATTTACCGATTCATAATTTTAAAATATTGGCCAGAAAACCGGTCTTAAACCGGTTAAAACCGAAGAAGACCAAGACTGGTCTATAGACCGCAAAAAGACCGCAGACTGCGGTTTTTTGCGGTCCGGTTCAGTCTTTTGACTTTTGGGAAAAATGCGGACCGGTTACGGTTACGGTTAAGGCCCAGAGGCATCAAAAAACCGGACCAGACCGGACTTTTAAACACTAATGTCTCCTAGAAAAAGTCACCAATGGCACAGTCATCAAAATATCAATCACCATTTCCCTGCCCCTCTGGCCCAGCTCGAGATGGAGATGGCTGTCGAATTGCAGTTCCCGCATTACCCACACTCACACTTCAGGCAGCGACAGATATGAAGGGCCACATAGGTGTAAACATAGGCACTAAAAACTGGAGAATAGACCAAAACCAGTGTTCCCCTCACATATTTGCTCTCATTTTCTAAGTTTGGTGATGGAATTTTATATCCAACATATGCATAAAACAAACTCACAATAAAAAAAAGGATCAGATCCAAAAAATGATTGAATAAATATGATCTAAATTCATATTTAGAATTTGCTGAACTTCCTGGGCCAAGATTTTAGCATATTCTAAATTTGAACTCAAATTATATTTATTTGTTCATTTTTTGGATCTGATCCCTTTTTTTATTGTAAGTTTGTTTTATGCATATGATGGATGTACATTTCTATCACCAAACTTAGAAATTGAGAGTAAATATACCAGGACAAAAGAGGTTTCAGCATATTCCACAGTTTTGAGAGCATATATTTATACATATCACCTTAAACAAGGGATGATCAGGCAGTTAAGCGAAGTCTTTGACAGATTCTAGGACAAATTAATCATTTTTGCACCTGTTATGTAATTAAAGCAGACCTATGGGAATTTTTTTATTTTGACATTGTGTTTGCCTATTGTGTGAAGGTGATGTCCAAATGTAAAAAAATCGAGTTTAAACAATGTGTTTACTCAAGTCCAATAGAAGCCGATAGTGTTTAAAGGTTCAGTCCATAGGACCGCAAAAAACCGGTGGACCGAACTGAACCGGACCATGGTCCAGTCTTTTTTTCGGTTGCAGTTGCCCCAATTTGGGGTTGGTCCGGTTGCCGGTTGCCTCATTTCGAAAATATATTAAAACTGTTCAAAGACCGGTTTTGATCGGTTGCAACCGGTTAAACGGTCACATGCGTTACATACCCTTGTAACCACGTTTATTACCTTTTATTGTGTTTTTGTTTCATCAAAAACGGTTAAGAATTGAGAAAGATATAACCAAATCCATATTTTACCCAAGTCTCTATGAGATGTAATTCGGTTTCAGTCATAGCTATGTCAAATCTTCATTAAATCTCTTCAAAATTGGTAGAATGACAGGTATTTACATGCTTTACTATTTCATATAACCCGTTTATTTTTCAGAGTAATAATAGTCAAGATACAAATGGTTTATATTGGTATAATAAATTATACGCAAAAAAACCGGTCTGGATCGGTCTGAACTGGCTCCATAGACCGAAAAAGACCGGTCCTAGGTGGTTCAGTTCGGTTCCCTCAATATCTGGGTCGGTCCTAGACCGGTTGCGGTCCACGGTTGCGCGTTTTGGGGGCAAAAAACCGGACTGAACTGAACTTGCGAACACTAGAAGCCGACCAAAGGCTAGCTGCACGCGCACAACAACAGTCATGTGTCCGCTGACACACGACCCAGAGCCGCTGCTCGCTTTTATCTTTCATCTCACGTGTTCCACGCTTGGATGCGCACTATGAGGTCCTAATTTATTTTTAGATCTTACCCCTCATGGTTGAGGAGTGAGCTTGAGACGCCCCTTTCCGATAGGCTCTCGTCTCAACATCTCACTCCTCAACCAGGTAAGATCCCCAAGTTTTTATCTAGACTCTTGTCTCGATTTCTTACTCCATTATTCAGTGTTAACATATGAATTTTTCGTCACTAATAATACTACGTATTCATTGTTCCTCAATCTGTCTCATGAGTGAAGGACATGCAAACCTCTTTGCGACCGCAATGCCAGAAAATGGATTGTCCAGCACTATGGGATCGAATCCAGTTGGATGAAGCAACGAAGATCAGACCAACCCTACTGGACAGGATGGACCTGGAACTGGAGACCGAGCCAAATCTGTTACGCAGGATGAGAACCTCTACGATGACACAGGAGAAATCCAAGTCCCAGCTCGAAATAATGGGAGCCATGACGACCTCGAGAAGCCTCAACTCAAGGAAGAATCAATCAGATATATGGACGATACGGTCGATAAATTCAGGCGAGGAGAAATTACAAAACTCAAAGCCTTATCGAGCATTATCGGGACGCTTAACTTCGACCCATCCAAAACTAACAGAGCGAAAGATGCCGCCATCGAAGTCTACGCTAAAACCCTTGATGAACACACAGCCCTCGCTTCTTCAGCGATTAAGCAAGGAAGGCATGCCACGATTGGACTCAACCGCAAATCTGCTCAACCTGAGGAACATGAACTTGAGACCGTTGGCACTAACTGAGCGATTGACGAACTCATCTCTCAAATTAGCAAAGACAGCAACAGGTCGAAAAGGGGGAACTCGCCTTCAGGATCAGACGATGACGACGATGGAGACAAACCCTCGAACAAGAAGCGAAGAATTTTCGAATCCAAGATGCCTTGGTATAATCGAGAGGAAGAAGCCAGGCAAAGTGGAAACAGAGATTGTGAAGAGTCTCGACGAACTCTCCAACTCTTCGCCCGTGATTACAAAGTCGTCAGGCAGTGGATCCAAAATTCCAGGACCGCGCTGCTCAGTTTCCCCACTTCAGAATGGGACAACATCATCAAGGGACAAGCTGTCAACCTTGATGCAGTGTTCTCCTCACTGCACCACATTTCCACTCCTAAGGAGAACATTGGATGCATGGGATCAACTGAAATTTCCCTTGGCCGATCAGATCCAGCAAAGAAAGTCCAAACGAGTGGCGAGTGGACCAGTGCCTGGAATGCCACCGTCAAAGCGATTAAATTCGCTTTCCCTCACAGGGAACAAGAACTCAGGGGTTACGGGGAGTATATCGAAGGGCATTTCTCTGCTAGAATCACCTCTGCTCACAGGAAGATCATTCTTTACGACATCGCCATCCGAAACGAAGTCAGGGGCGCCCAAAATGCCCTTCTCACTGACACCCATCGCTTCATCAGATTCTACTCCGCCATTCTCATGCCAGACGGAGTCGAATCAGACCATGTCAGATTCGGAACCAAACGATCTTCGGGGAAAGCCACAAAATCTGAGATCTGTAATCGCTTCAACTCATCCAATGGATGCAGGAACTCTGCGGACGACTGCAGATTCCGTCACGTCTGCAAGAAATGCAAACAGCCAACCCACGGGGAGAGAAATTGCGATATCAAGGAGGGAACTAGTGCGTGAATTGCACCCGAAATACCTCAGGTACAACATTTGGGACGGCGCTAATATCTTCTCTCGTTCTTCTGCTGACTGGACAGAGACCGCCTCACCTTTACCTGAAATCCCCGTTTCTGAATTAAGCAATCCCATCGCAACTAGAACAATCAATCAAAATCCGCACTTATTTGATATCATCACCCCCATTTTCGTTGACCGTTTCGAGGAACTACTCGAAAACCACCCAAACAAACCCTTTGTCAACTCCGTGTGCAAGGGTCTCTGAGAAGGTTTCTGGCCTTGGGCCGATACCCGCTTTGGAGAATATCCTGACACACTTGACGCCTCACTGCCTGAGCCGGATAACGTTGAAGAAGCGCATTTCCTGAGAAATCAACGAGACCACGAACTCTTCAAGGGTCGTTTCTCCGAATCATTCGGAGACAAACTACTACCCGGCATGTATTGCATGCCCGTCTTCGCTGTCCCCAAACCTCACTCGACTGACTTGAGGATGGTCACTGATCAAAGTGCAGGGAAATTCTCGCTCAACAGCATGATTCCGCGCGAACGAATCATGGGTTACCCGCTAGACAACTTACAACATCTGGGGCAATTCCTCATTTCCCTGAATGACTGTTTTCCTGACTCACCTCGTGTGCTGTTCAAATCGGACGTTGCTGAGGCTTATAGGCTGCTCCCAGTTCACCCTTACTGGCAAATCAAGCAAGTCAATCGCATCGCTGGGTCTTTACACGTCGACAGGAACACAGCCTTTGGTGGGCGCGGTTCAGGATGTAATTGGATCGCTTTCATGTCGCTTGTCTCATGGATTGCGAAGAAGAAACGGGGAATTGAACTCCTGGGTACATACTCGGATGATTCTTTTGGCCCAGAACTCGCACGAAACGTTGCCTACTATCCCCCGTACCGCAAGCACATGCCTACCAACCAAGGCAAATTGCTCCAACTCTGGGACGAGATCAATCTACCCCACAAAGAAAGCAAGCAAATCTTTGGATCACCGCTCACCGTCATCGGCATTGAAGTCGACACCAACACGCTCTCCATGACGATGCCGCCCGACACGCTACAAGAATTGATAATCGCCATCCACGAATTCACCTCTTCGAAACACAAGTTCACTTTACGCAAATGGCAAAGGCTAGCAGGATGGATCAACTGGAGCTTTAATGTTTTTCCCTTGCTCAGACCCGCGCTCAACCACTTTTATGCAAAGATAGGTGGCAAATCCGCTCCAAATCAATTCATCAGGATCAACAACGCTGTCCGCGCCGACCTCACCTGGGCCGCCAATCATTTGGAGCGTGATAGCGGTGTCCAACTCATTCAACAAATCTATTGGGACAAACATGCTGCGGACTTCACGATTTCTTGTGATGCCTGCTTAGAAGGCATGGGTTTTTGGATACCTGATGACCGCGTCGGTTTCTACTCCCCTACCCCCAGCAGAACTAGCGAAGAGCACATCTTTTTCTTTGAGGCACTATGTGTTCTATCCGCCATACATCACCTCACTGATGTCCTCCGTGTTTCCCCCACAATGAAACTCCTCATCTACACCGACAACGACAACACTGTTGCCATCTTCAACACCTTGAGATGCCTCCCTCACTACAACTCCATCCTCATTGATGCCGTTGACACTTGCATTACCCACGACATACAGCTCAGAGTCCTCCACATTGCTGGAGAACTCAACTCCGTCGCTGATGCCATCTCCAGAAACAAATTCGACGTCGCACGCCAGTACGTCCCGGATCTCACCATCTCACCATTTCTACCCCCTCAATTGCCGCTGGGGGCAACGAAAAAATGATCCCCACCACCGTGCGGGCCAGGCAACCCCACAGGGAGCCCTGGTCACGGGAGAGGCTGCTTAGAGAACGAGCCATCGCCCTTGGTCAAGCAATTGACAACTCTACATGGAAAAACTACGGTTCTGCCCTGAACTCCTACCTCAACTTTATCAAACTACATGATTTCCCTCTTGATCCGACCCCTGATACTCTTAGCCTCTTCACAGTCTACATGTGCCACCACATCAAACCCGGCTCTGTGGCTACTTACCTCTCTGGCATCTGCCAACAACTCGAACCCTATTTCCCGAATGTATGCACCGCCTGCAACTCTGCTCTTGTACATCGTACATTGCAGGGCTGCAGACGTTTACGCGGTTCTCCAACTTCTCGCAAACGTGCCCTCACTCTCGATGACCTTGCAAAAGTCGTCAACGCGCTTGGCAACTCATCTGACTACGATGACATGCTTTTCCTTGCACAATTTCTCACCGGCTTCTTCGCCCTCTTCCGACTGGGTGAAATGACTTATCCCGATGACCCTCAACTTCGTGACCCCAGAAAGGTCACCAAGAGAACTTCTGTACGTTTCTCCGATGTCTCCTTTCAGTTCTTTCTGCCTGGCCATAAGGCCGACAGATTCTTCGAAGGAAACACCATCATCGTTCGGAAGAATGCACGCATCTTCGACCCTCACAATCGCTTTCTCGCATACCTACACGCCTGCGACCACAAGTTCCCCTACAGCTCGCCTCTGTGGTTGACCAGCAACAGTGTTGTGCCCACCCACACCTTCTTCATCAGACGCCTCTGGCGCTTTTTCGATTCCGACACTGCTGGCCAATCTCTCAGAGCCGGAGGAGCAACTTCCCTTGCTGAAAATGGCGTGCCACCCGCGATTATCGCCTGATCTCCTGGCTTTGGCTATTTTTTCTCGTCACAGTCACCCTTCGCCTCTGCATCACGCACAGCCTAGGCGCTATTGGTTGTTGTTACTATTTTTTAAATGTGTTGTAAGGTACATCCACAGGACAAAAGGCTGTTAAGAATTAAAATTTGTAAATGGAACGGATTTCAGGAACAATTCAGTTTGTCTCTTCGGCATGAGGCAAAACTTTAATTTTAACAAAAGCTTCGCCTAGGGAACAGAGTTGTGGACAAATTTAAACAATAATCATATTACAGCCGATTTCAAATCTATGCGGAATTCCAAATTTTTTTTTGGCTGTTTGTACCTATTAGCTTCAGCTGAGGGCTGGGACCCCGAATCAAGTATTCCATCTTCATCGTTCTCGTTTACACCCATTCAGTCGCGTCTACCAAGTTTCTCATCATGGTAGATACACCTGATAGTGGTACCGAACCTACTGAAATCGAACTTTCCGTTGTCGCTCGCCTCACATTCTACAAAGCTGGCAACAACGGCAAAGGCAAGAAACAAACTAAGGATATCAAGGCGAAAACTTTCAACCACAACTTCTCCGAGTCAAAAGACAACTATCTCGAACTTCTAACAGCGATCCTAGAGAAGCACCATGTCGATAAGAAGTACAAAGTCACTGCCCGCAATGTCTACCCTTGCAAGATACAAGTCCATCCGGCCAAGTACGTTTACTCTATCCTTACAATATCAGTTCCTAATCTACTTTACAATATCTAGGCAGGGCGACGCTCCTGATGTGGTCAACTACGAGGAATACCAAGACCTAGTCAAGAATACGATCCTTTCTGCACCGGTGGGGAAACCGGTTGTCATATTTGTTGAAATGCCGAGCATCGAGAAGTCGGCTAAACGAGTGGTGAGTAGAAGATGTGTTACGGCATCTATGGTGGCAACACACTCATAGTTTTTTTGACAGAAAGCAGGTGATAATGAAGGGGGATCGAGTTCTGACGACGAGGGCGCGGCCTGTGACGGAGATGACGATGTATTGCTGAGTTTCGTCAAACCTCGTCCTTGGAATTGCTAACACGATTATCACAGGACAACCCGGGGCTTTCAAAAGAAGAATATGATCTGGCAAAAGAACGCGCAAAGCTCAAGAAGAAATATCAAAACGACCACGATGGCGGCTATACCTATATCGACGCGACCGGCGTCTCGATTCCACTCACCCCATTCATGATGAAAGAGTGGGCTCGTGCTCTTGTTGGTTGATATCCTTTTTTATTCACGCTACGCTAATCAACGGTCGTCTCAGGTTGATAAGGACAAGAGTGTTGACATCGACAATCCGCCACACACTCAAACCTTCGATCCAGCAAATAGAAAGTCCTCCTTGCTCACTCGAAAACGCTCCGAAAGCTCCGGGTCTACTGGTACTGAGCATGTCAGGTCGTGGAACTTCTTCGGCAATGGTATTCATGAAGGCAGCACGCATGATGTCATTTCTCTCGAGGGCGCGGATTGAGACACATTTTCGAGAGAAGTCGAGCCTTCGTAGTGTGCGAACCAAAGTTGGGATGGAGGGGCGACAGCCGCGATGTAGGTAGAGTTCCTCTTGAATCTCGTCGAGATAGATGCAGTGGCGGCGTTCGATCAGGGACACAACAAACTTTACGTCTTCTCTGTTGAGAATCCGGCGACGACCCCCCATGCGAGCATGAGGATTATAGGGAACTCCATAGGTTGAGGAGTACGAGAGCGTTTTGTATGCGAGAGACTTTTTGATGCCTAGAAGTCCACAGATTTCTTTGATGGTAAAGTTCTGCTCGTAATAGAGGACCGGAATACGAGCTTTGAGATCTCGGGATACAGTTCTAGGGGGCATCCTGGACTCTGGTCGAAAGAACTGAACTCAAACGGAACTTAGAGGCATGTTAGGAATTGCGGATGTGAAAACATTATGTCATTTGGTTCTGGGGTCCTGGGCTCAATTTTTTTTTTGGGGATTCCGCATAGATATGAAATCGGCTGTAATTGTTTTTATTGTGTCAGCCCCTTGAACAATTGGCAAATATACTGTCAAAATAAAAATTGTCCCATTTATCTGACCTAATTACATACAAGGTGCAAAAATGATAAATTTGTCAGGGAATCTGTCCAACGCTTCGCTTCACTGCCTGATTGTCCCTTGTTTGAAGTGTATGTAGCCCTACATATTCGTCGCTGTCTCAAGTGTCATCAGGCATGCACGTCGTTTCTGTAAAAGTTCAGATATTGATCAAATCAAGCGCTTGCGCACAAACGTTGATAATGTCATTCAAATCGATTATGTGTGCATAGGTAAGTAGTGTCCCATTATTATAAGATCAAATCCACGGATAAAAAACCGAGCGTCGAAGAAAGGAATGGAACGAAAAGAAGGAAGGGCAAGATGGATAATTTATACCGATATAAAAAAAAGTCGAAAAGGGGACGAGATAGAGGCTGGAGAGCCAGCAAGAGGGAGAAAAAAATGGATGATCAATAAGAGGGTCCCCGTCACATTAACTCACTGCCTCCAACTGGAGCAGCACCTGCCCCAGCGCTACCCAACGTGCCACCACCCGTAAGATCAATGAATCGTGTGACGCGCTTCATCGCCCTCGAGCTCTGTACCCACTGTTCTTCTCCCTCATCATCGCTACCCGATTTACCGCTATGCGCATGCCGTTCACACAACATCCGGCCATCCACCTCCCAATACTCACTCAGTGTTTCCGTACATTCCGGGTATCCAGGGTATTCGCATGTCATATGTTCAGGGTGATATCTGTCGCCAGTGTGTGAGACGGCACAAGGACCTTCAATAGGCTGCCCACACCGTGCCGCAGCACAGAGTGAGTCATTGGCTTCGTGATAGTGATAGGCACACAAAGGCTTCCCGTCGTAGACGTAGAACGTTTTATCAGGGAAGGGTTTCTGTGAGAAGAGGAGGTTGTAGCTGTCAGCAAAGATTAAGGGCAAAGGTGTACGCACATGGCAAGTGTGACAATTAAAGCACTCTTTATGGTACTTGCCCTTCAGTTGACCGTCGGAAGACGATACAGCCTGTTTCTCGATTGGTTTGTTACAGCGACGGCACTAATAAAACGAGAGGAAGTCGGTTCACGCTCTCCACCGTGAGGTCAGACGCACCTTGGGTAAATACATGTTCTTCCAGCACCTTTCGCACAGAATACCTCCCCCATCAACTTGTACCCATCTTCCATCTTCAATAGTTGTATGACATCTGACACAGACTCTCGTTTTTCTGACCCTGTCTTTCTTGACGCGATTGGCATCTAGTGACGAGTTTCTCTCAGTTGGCGCACCTGCCGTCTTTGACCGAGTGGGCAATTTGGGAGGGCGAGTCTCTGGCGAAGACACTCCCTGGACAGTGTTGCTACGGTATGCCCTGGAACTGCCGGAAGCCACGCTGCGAGTGTCATCCACCTCAGACGGATGAGAATCAAGTTCTCGCATACTACTCCCGTTGCTAGAGCCTTCGAATGACCTCTGTTTCCCATTTAACTTGCTTTTCGTCAAGCCGCTTGCGTAACCGTCATTTCCGTCATTCGCACGCTCCAATAACGCCTCCATTGCCAGCTTTTCCAAGCCACTAGATTCCACTGGGGCGGCATTGGTCGCTCTCGAATAGGCGCTCTTGCTCCCGCTACTGCTGCCACTGATACTCCTCCCTACGCGCCCACCCATTCCTGTGACTCCAGGACCTCCCAACTTTGCATACTCGCTTGGAGGCGTCCGAGAAAGGCCCAAGGCCTGCGCAATAGCAGCAGAATTGGTCCGTGTCCTCCCAGCAATCTCTCCAATGCTGGACGTGGAAGAGTACGAGGAGGCAGAATTATCCCTCTCGTGTCGATCATTCTTTGAGTTTCCAATGCGAATTCCTGTTCGGTCATCGCTCCGATCACTGCGATCACTGCGCTCAGGTATAGCGGCAAACCGGGCATTGCGTCCACCACCCGAGCCAGATCGAAGAATGGAAGAAGTAAGAGGGGGAAGTGGTGGCGGTGGAGACTTCTTCCTGCTATTCTTCCTGCTAGGGAGACTGTCATTGTCATCCTCATAGTCGGTTGAATCTGCATATGCAAGACCATATTCTGAGCCCGAACTTGGGGACATTGGCACCTTATCTTGGCGATTTCGCTTGGAAGATGATGTACTGGATGACATGGACCGAGTTGGGAGTTTTGGGCTATTAGACGCTGCAGACATAGACCTGTCACGTGTTGTGACCATACTAGTTGTAGGTGTAGGGGTGCGTTCAGGAGCGGCGCTAGCCCCTGGTACAATATTCTTGAGCTTCTCAAAGAAAGGAAGGCGGGCAGCGAAGGAAGAGGCCATCGGAGAGCTAGGAGGGGGGGTATCAGCGATGGATGTAATGGTAGGTGCTGCTATTGGGGGAGATGGTGTCTTGGTTGGCATTTGCAGCTGAGAAAACTCGTTTTGAGCAAGTGGAGACTGAGGGCCCGGAGAATGAGAAGAGTAACCAGAACCCGGTGATAACGGAGGTGTCTCTGCCGCTGTAACGCCGACGCCAACCGTCAGTTAATTTCTTTAAATTAGATGCCGGCAAACTTACAGCGCGGTACCGCGTCGTCCAAAAATCTAGGGGGATTGAATTGACCACCATGCTGGTGCGGTGGTCCTGTCGGCCTAGTTTGCACGGCAAACATAGCGGCTCGAGCTGCAGCGGCGAAGCCCCTTCTGCCAACACCTGCCATACCCGCTTCACCGCCCGTCTTTGTATCAATATCTCTTTCCTCAATTAAAGGATACGACCCTGGAGGAGGGCCGGCAGAGACCTGGAGTGGGCTTTGGATTCGCCCAGGTAAAGATGAAGCGTATGGTCGAGGTTGCATTCCAGGAATCCCTACAGGGGGTCCTTGGGGGCTATTTGGGTTAAATGGAATGCCAGCACGGCCAGGAGGGAAGCCATTAGTAGGGGGTGGACCGTTCGGCCCAGGAACATTTCTATTGAAAGCTGGACCGTTTGGCGCGGGGGAACCATTTCGACTAGGAGGACCGTTAAAACTTGGACGAGAGCCGTGGCCATTGGGCGGCCCGTTAGGGGCAGATGGAGTTCCTATACGAGGAGGGAAATTATTGTTCGACGCTGGGAGGCCAACTTTGGCTGATGGAGGGGGATCTCTGCCAATTGGGGGCGGTCCGTTCAAGGCAGATGGAGTTCCTATACGAGGAGGAAGATTGTTATTTGACGCTGGGAGACCAACGTTGGCCGATGGAGGAGGATCTCTGCCAACTGGGAACGGGGGACGGGCTGTGGTCGGGGTGGAATGAATGGAGGATACTGAGCCGCGAGGGTCGGCCGTTTGAAGAGGGCGGCTACGAAGTGGCGAAGCTGGGGATGCAAACGGATCTCGGGGACGCGCTGATAAGGGTGAAGTCGTCTCGTTTCTGTCAGGGGCCGATCGGGCTAAAGGACTGGATCTTGGCTGAAAGGATGAGGTAGACGTGTTGATCTTGAGCCTTTCATTTGCGGTGTTTCCCGTGCGCGGTGGTGAGCCCTGGGATCGCGGCGGCGGGGAGGCCAAGGGAGAGCTCGACGGAGCGGGAGCTGTCGGTGACGATGAGAGGGGTGCAACGCGACCCTGCAGGCGTTGCGGTAGAAGGGCCGCCACGGTGACCGAAGAACTCGAGGGCTTGGGCAGAGTTGGAACAGGCGGCGGGGTAGAGCAGGTGTGATCTCCCAACTCGTCCAGAGGGACAGGTTGGTTGCAACTTGAGCATTTGACGGTGGGTAACAGCTGAGATATACGACCTGGTTTATTTTCAGGAGTAGTCTGGAGCATTGTGGCCATGCTGGCGCTCGGTTGAAGGATAGTGGGTGCACTTGATACGACCAGCGCGTAGTAGAGTTGGAAGTCGAGGACAAGGGGGGGTCTCGGAGATCTTTGCGGTTATCCCGTTGCAAATATTGGCCTGCGATATGCCGGGAATCAAGGCTATCGGGAGTAAGGTGTTTAGCATAACATGGGAGAAGGAAGAAAGTGTTCATACATACCTTTTCCACGCAAACAATATCAGCAAGGTGCCCACTTGTCTTCCCAAAATCACACAACTATTCCCCCAGCAACCGAAGCGCGGGACACGTATGGCACACGAGGTACAACATACATTCAAATTGATTCAATTCGGAAAGACGCGTCTCGTGATGAATGCAAGAAGATCTGATCCCAGCAGACTCAAGCAATTTCTCATTCTTAGTACGCGGCGGCCATGTCCTACCTATTACTCAAAATTTAACCTTTCCTTACGGCATTACTACATATGCCTTATGTGGTTCTTCCTATACTTGGCGTAGCAAGAGACAGCATTCTACAAAGGTGTCAGCTCGGCATCGCAAGGCGTTTGCGCCTGCCATCACCACCAGCCCTCGAAGCGATGCCCTGGCGACAATCCAAACTTGATATGTACAAACGCTTTTCATTCTGCGCGATATCCCCGAATGTCAGGGAGCCCTCTTAAAGCCTAAAGGCCTAAAGAGCTGTCTTGTCCTCTTGACAAAATGGGCGTCTTCCGGTAAAAGCAATTAATTACGTGATTCCGGATCGTACATGCACGCCCTCTGGAACGACGATGCTATGAAGGACCAGAATGATCTCCGATCTTGAGCTGGATAATGACTCCATGTTCTATTCAGTTGAGCAACTTGCGATGGGGCTCTTGTCGCGTTGAAGATCGCCAATATCAATGTACATGTACAACGGGGGTATCTTTTATCGTTCAACTGGCGATGCTCACTAACCGCCCAGCCACAGCAAACGCTTGACCCCATATTCCATTTTCGCATACACACTTGTCGTGCGCTGTGCTTCAGAGAGACTGTTTCGTAAAATCAACTTAGTTTCGGTCAGACATCCAAGGTTGTGTAAGATACTCGCCTGACAACATCCTCGTTGGTCACAAAGTTGCTATGAGTACTGCCAGCGTCTTCACAGCCCCGGTAGATACTGTCCACAATCAAGTCTACCGCCTCTCGACAGCTCGAGGCACCGTTCAACTCGTCTGACGCATCTGCGTACAAGCCACTTGCAGTACTGGATGCACGCCGGATGCGGGTGGGATCTATCGGCAGGACCTTGAACGCGGCAAAGGCCGTCTGTTCCGCATTGCCAACGCTGAACGTGTTTGATACAATGCTCGAAAGAGGCTGGTTGACATTTCTTTTCGTGTTGTTTCGAGATGGTAGGCTGAATGTCGTAGGCTTGCCTTGTCTTCTCATTGAAGATGGAGAATTTGAGAGTCTCAAGCCCAGATTGTTCTTTAAGGAATAGCTAGTGGTTCGTGATTCTTGGTTCATAACCGACCATGTCACGATAAACCCTGCATTCTGTTCCGGATCTCGGCTGGCTTCCTCTAGCGGCGACAAGATATAGGCGCCTATGCCATATGATAAGGTGCTGCATCTGAAACAACGTTTGCAACGGACCTCTGGTTATCGAAACGATGTCCCCAAGGGGAACGCGCGTGTAGAGTTTCACCTTCTCGAGGGTATAATCGTAACTCTGAAATGCAATTAGACGGATTGCTTTATTACAACTTCAAAAAGAACTCACAACAATATATAAAGCCTTTACTGACTGTGGTGAGGCTAGCATTCAGCATTCTCAAGTAACCATGTTGTGAAAAAATACACACAAGCAATAGGACTTTTTCCTCAAACTTTAAGCAGATCCTAGTATTGAGTTCCTCAGGCGCGAACAGTGTCCAGCCGGATAGCAAGCGTTCTCCTTCAGGAAGAGCCCTCGAGACAGAAGTTGCGATTGCCTCCGCTCGTATCTTAGACAAGCGTATAAGGGCGCAAGGGTCCGTGGACTGGAGTTTAAGGAGAAACTCAGAAAAGACTGTTGTAGTGCGGTACCCCAGCATAAAGTCGATGACGGCTTGGGAAAACCAATCACTAAAGGTTGACGTATACATTCTATGAATCAAACGCTTTCGGTAACGGTCCTGACAGCTTTGAGAGTGACATTTGAACTGACCTTGCCAGTGAGTTCACTCCATCATTAAGTAATCCGCCCAAGTCGCGTTTTCCCGTTCTAGCAAAAGACTGAGGATGGAGGTGAAAGTCTATTGAGTCACTGTATACCTTGTGAAGTCACCCTGGTAAGAGACTGATATTAGTTTTTGACAGGAACATGTGAGATCATACGAACCTTCAAGGCAGAGGTACCAGCGCTAAGCATTGAAGTGAGAAGACGTATCCAGACTAGGAACAGGAAGTAACCATACTAGGCACGACTGATAGCATCTCCGTTATTTGCCCAGACTTCATTATGCGATCAGGCTGCTGTCACTTGGTGGAAGAATGAAACCCACCATCATTGAAGATAAGATCAGCACCATTACCCCCATTGACAGAAGGCTTGAAAAGTGCAAGAGCGCTAAGTTGCTTGCTGAGGACATATCGTGCAAAAGCCGACTTGGTCGTCCTCTACATGAGCGTATGTCAGGACCCAATGGAAAAATAAGACTGACCTGCACAACGTTCGTCCTATCGAGGCAATCAATGCAATTGACTCGAAAAACACCTTTCTGTTGAGAGAAAACGACGTTGTCCGATATCCACAAGTAACTAGAAATTGTCGGTGGTCAACGTGTAAAATTTACCTTATAAAGAAGATACGCACCCTTGTGAGTCGAAAACTCTCTCCATAGAGTCAATCAGTTTTGAAATGTTTTCATATCTAGGATTAGAATCAAACTGAGTTGAACATTGTTGCCGTGAGGGAGATTGGACCTACTTCATCCCTTTTGTCTCCTGATGGAAGTCGTACTCTACATACCTACACAAAGAAGTGAGTGCTTGTCCATTGAAAGAAGTTTGTGACTTTGCTGAGCATCCTTTGAATCCAGCTTTTTCGCATATTCGCAGTATCCTCGCGTTATCGCTCCTTCCTTGCCGTGTTGTTCGGCAAGGTTAACAATCGTCTTGCCGTCCAACATGAATCAGTACGGGGGAAATAAAAGGAGTTGTTTTACTAACATGATGTCCATACACTGGCACGGTCCGTTGAAAATGTTTTCCGATAGCGTCAAGATTCTGTGCTTGAGTTCTGTCAGGTGCGAGCAACGGTGAGGGCTTCAAGCCATATCCAGTCTGAGTCCAATAGAGCGGTACTGGAAATGGTCAATCAGTCTTCGTGAGCCCAGTTGAAGGAGACGGACAAACTAGAGCCCCTGATTTGAACGTAAGCAAAGATATTGTTTTTCCCTTCACGCTGAAGTGACTGCTTTCAGATGAATTCACCAAAGATGACCCTTGATAGCACACCTCCACTCTCATAATGGTTTCTGTCTCGACAAAATTTGCAACATGAGCATCGTCATCGATTCCACGACGTTGATACCTTAGTCCAGCTCGATATCTAGAACGCCTGGACACAATGATATAATCAACGCCTATATCAGGGTCATCGGCGATTGTATCGTCCGACGGGACGTTAAATTTGGCCATTTGGAAGTAACCTTGCATTATAGGAAGGACGTAGCAATGCAGCTGAGATATGGATCGGTGAGCAACAATACTGAGCTTTTTATTCCTTGGGGACATACGCCAGCGTCTAAAAACGGTTTCGTCAACCATTCGTTCCACCAGTACTGTTTATCGACGCGTCGCCAAAGAGGAAGGGTGGGGTTAGGTTCCGCGAGGGGGGACACATCGTCACCGTCTTTTGGAACATCGGACGTCACAGCTTCTGGGGAAGGAAGGGCTCCTAGCCCTTCAAGCAGTGAATGCTTCTTCCGAGATTTCATGGCTTGTTCCTGCTTGTGCTGCAAAGAACGTGTGATATCTTCCCAATTGATCAGTCGTGCAGATTAGCATATATGAAAAAAGAGTACCAAAATTGTATGCAAAATACATCCCCCCCTTTGTAAATTGCCGAATGCATTCCTTAACAACCTTGGTTTCCAATTCAAAATGTCGCTCTTCGGTTGTCGCCGGCGCTGGCGCTGTCGACGCTAAGATGTTTCCCAACACCCCTGCAGGTTCGTCTGCGTTTTCCTCCATCATTTTGTCGAGGGTTTCTTGCTCTTGCAAGAGGGAAGTGGGTTCTGAAAATGGAGGTGATTCTGTGTTTAGATGTATGGAATTTGGGCGTTTCGAGAGTCTACTCCAAAACGAAAGTCGATCGGCAAGAGTCTTGAACACGGGAGACTTTGCTATTGAGCGGTCCGAAGAAGAAGAGGAATCGGAGCGAGAAGATTGTGCCGAAGATGGGCGGCCAAGGTGTGCAGCTGAAATTGCATCATTGTCAAGCCTCGAGGGTATAGGAGATAAAATTTTCAGGTCTGTCTTGGCTGCGAACTGGACGTGTGGCACAGTTGGTATACGTATAGATGACGCGACATCATGGTTATCCAACTTCGAGGTGGAGGTTGGCGCGTCTAACGCCTGTGATTTCGGGGGCAACGATGGCCGGGCTATGCCTGCATTACGCGATGCTAGGGTATTCAGTTCCACCTTAGCGCGTTCGTAGACAAGGGGTATCGCTGTAACGCCTTTGACACCATAGACTGTATGAGTTGGCTCAAGGACTACGACCAAGTGTTAGCAACACCATCAGACATTTGGACGATTGAATACAGACCATTCCCGAGCTCTGATCGAGAGGAAATGACCAAGAGATATGAACCTAGTAGCCATAAGCCAAGAAAACTCTAAACAGACCGAAAACAAAGCAACGTACAAGAAAAGAGTTCAAGGACACCGACGATACCATAGACTACAACACTTCCGCTCCAGTCAATCTGCTCGTCGGGTTCATTGATCTCTACGACCTTGACAATCTTCTCCCAATGGATGCGCACGTACGAATTTGATCTATAGCCGGGTACCTGGGGTCTTGAAAGAAGGCCATCCGTCGTGGCAAGTAAAGCGATGTGGTCGTGTGGACATGGGTGGGGAACGGCGGGGACAATATATTTCGGCGGTAAGCCCACTGATTGTACAGGGTTGGGTAGTTGATTGCTGCCTACTGGTGTGTCGTCTTTCGCAAGGGGTTTGGATGCCTTTGCGAAGAATCGTTTCATGTTGACCCAGCAACGAAATGGAAGGCGTTAGGCGGAAAGAGTGACATCAGGTGGGCTGGCTTGGGACTTGCTTATAAGACCAGACACCAACAACAGCATACAAGTCGACGCCCCAAATACCGTGTTTCTGTAACGTTCAACGCTGGCGGCAAGAGTGTGGATATTTACGAGACCTCTGGAGTTGCGGAGAGAGATGTTCTTCATATGAAGGAGAAGACATGCTTATGCCATTGTCAATGGTCCGGACCGTCCGGCTGACAGTCCCAACAGTTCCATCGTCGCTTCAAAAACGTTCAGGCTCCAGGACCCATCGAATAGCCTAGATACAATCACCGTGGCACATCACTCATTTCGACGCATACTGTGATAAACCAGACGGAGATAACCAAATTATTTGTCAAACTCTGACTAGCAAAAAGATAAATGTTGAGTGCAAACGCGATGACAGTGGCATGATCGAAGCAAAGGAAGGCCATCCTCCTCTCTCGCAGAAACTCATTGTCGCGCCAGGAGAGGAGCTCTAAGATGGTTGGAGTTTACGACGTGAGTGTCTGGTTGTCCCGTTACATAGCAATGTTCTGAACAATCTTCAAGATTTCAAGTTGGACAACGAATCTATTGTCGTTGAGAAACCGCGCTGGTATGTTGCCGCTGGGGCAATGCTCTCTCGAGGACCTTTTTACTCAGGCCGCAGACGAAATTCCTTGCTGCGGCCTGCCCATCGCATACGACTTTCAACGAGGACGTCGATTGAACCTCACAATCATTGACGCGGCTCGTTTCTATTATCTTGGGGTTGGGCCTCCTGTTGAGATACCGAAAAACTTTTGGGTGAACAATGAAAGGCTCTTCATTCAGCCAATTGAGTTGGCCTTCCTGGCCTCGACATTCTTTAAACCGCAGGTCACACAACCGTACTCGACATGTACTGTCCTTCATGCAACTACGAGCTAACCACTACACGTTGGGAATCTTGCAATCACAAAAGGTGCTTTGTGCTACCGCTACGTGAACGACTTCAGATTGATTCTCGCTTAGGGCCATAATGACCGCTTCATTACTTTGATCTGGACCATGCCAAAATGGCAACCCAAACTCTCACTCACTCAATGTTAATTTTGAGCTTTCCATCGTATTAGCTACTCCCCGATCTAGGCTGGACGCGTTTCAAGGTCAAAGATATAGTTTCTGGTTTGCGGACAGCCGAAAGTTCTTTCCATTGACTGGAACACAAAATCTGTCTCTTCCAATGTGAAACTACTGGGAATCATTGTGATTACAAGCATTACCCAAACTACAATCCAGGCTGCAGTTGCTTCACCCCTTGTTATTCTGATTCCGTGACTCCTTCCGGCTCATCCTTTCCTGCACAAAATCTCCTCCCAGGCTTGGAGAATTGTGTCTCACACACAGAGATGACTTGGGCCTTCTCTTTTACTCCTGGGCAACGTCTTTTATCTATTGTATGATTATTTGTGGTCATACCTAGTTTGTGAAGGCCGGCTTTTGCACTGAAGTTCTCACGAATAACATCCAGCTATGCAATCTATTCGCTTTCGCCAACCAGTATTCACTTGAAGTCTTAGCCTCGTGTCTCTTTGATGGACGAGTCCCAAGTTTCTCTGTTTCTGCGCTTGGATTATGAGAATAACTCCCAAGTCATATTCTAATCCCCTGTTAATATACAATGACGACCCTGCAGCAAATCATTCCCCAAATCTTCATTCCACATCTTCCGCCTAAGAGGCCGATTCGTTCCCAACCGCGTACTGCTGGCTACGCCCCAACGGCTGCTCCTCCCCAACACCACGTTCCGTACTGGATTCGTTATGACCCAACACTTGCAGACTCGATGATGCAAAAGCTTCAGGCATACCTACCAACAGCACCTGGCGGTAACTTTCCCCCAAGTCCTCGACTCCAAAACTATCTCAATTGCCTGCCTGAGGATCTGCTTCGTGCCGGTTTGGGCCATTTGAGTACCGAGGAAACCACGGTCGAATTCTGGGACTATTGTCTCTTTGATCGGATCCGATATGCGGTTATGGAAATAGATCAGAATGATGCTCTACCTGCTGAAGAGGCGATAAGGACGTTATATGATCACACTCCAGACGCCTTGATATTGCCCCTTCCAAACACCCCGCCTGCTCTCCATTATGAAGCGAAAAGTTGGCATGTTTTCGATAAGTTTGCCCCAGATATTCTCACGCTAGCTCAACACGACGAGGATGGGCAGACAGGGACATATTTGGACATGGGCATAAACGAGGAGGATGCACGATCCATCATCTTCAAGGTTAGCTGAACTATATTGTTTCTGAATTGTTAACACGCCGCTACTGCTAACATAGCTGGGCATCTCCATGATCTGTGCAGGTAATCCGGTATCCTGTTTTGGTGGCCACAAATTCATGCTATTTTCATTGTTCCGTAATGAAAACACGCTTGGGGAAGCTCGTTATGGTCTGGCTTGCTCAGAAATCATTGACTGCACCGATAATGCAAGGCTGATAATACCACTTGTTACCTATTGCCGTCGTGTGAATTTTACCGACGAGGACGACGAGAATCTATGCCACTGACTCGCAAAGTTCATTCCAGAAAAAGATGCTAGTGGTCGCAAAGGAGTGAACCATCCGTTCTGCGTGGGTGAGACGCCAGACCAAAGATTCATGGCAAGAACCGCACAAGAAAAACGCTCGCATCTCTAAAGTTGCCGCTGTCGAAATTCCAGACCCACGTTTACTTCAGCCTCAAAATCGACGGATTAACAAGGGCAAAGTTCAGCTCATGTTGAATTGGAGGAGGAGGAATTAGAGGAAGACGGACCAGAAACGGGCTGGATTCAGAGACGGGTGGTCCGCAGCAGGAGGAGATAGAGATAGCGGGAGAAGAACGGGAGACGGAGAGGCCAGAAGAACTTATTCAAGGGGGTGCAACGAGAACGTCGCGTCGCAAGCGAAACCAGGGAACGAACCGGTCTCCAAGGCGAGTTTAAAGAGGAGGAGTCGTTCAAACGTTGTCCGCTCATGAAGCAAACGATGATCTTGCGATGATCGAAGGGGAACGAAAAAAGCGCACCAGATTTTGAACAAGAGGCGGAGAGCGAAGAACATTTCCTAACAAGTAAGTACGATTTTAGTACGCGTTTGTTATGTCCTCAGCGCATTGCAGCTCCATATTCAGCGCAGTCGGTGATATGTTCAACGATCCTAGCTCTCGAACCACAAGAACACGCGGCCCAATCCTCAAATAGCACTCTCCCGACCAATTCCGCACTCCTCCCTACGCAAGCAACTTGAGTCGTTGACTCCCCAATACTCGAACCAAACCTAGCAGGAGACGCCGGACAACGGAGGCCGTTCTCCGTCGTTCACCTCTGGCGTGGTTCAGGACTCAATAACAAGAATTGACGTGCCTCGATAAGCTCAGAGCACATCGTTCGGCCGGTGCATTGATGTTCGCTTCCGTGCGAGAAATCAATGGGATGAGGAGATCCATTTTGCAAAACAATGTTCTCCGCTCGCAAATCTCCATGTACAACTCCACGTTCGTGAATCAGGCAGAGCTCTTCTAGTAGCTGATGACTACTACGAAATTAAAAAAGACTGAAATTTGAGCAAGAAGCCGCACACCGTTGATCCATGCTTAGGTCTGAAACATCCTGTACCGTGGAACCCGAATACTCCATGATAAGTACTTTGAGGTACTCAGAGCTGAAAAATCCAAAAACTTTAGGAATGCAGCGTCCTTGCAGGTCCAAGAGAACCCTGTAGATATCAGCTTCTCGTTGCAACATCTCCCCCCCGCTCTTCCAAGGTGCAACTTTGAGAGCATATACTTCGTTGTCGGTGGTGCCGACAAAAACCTGTCCTGCCACCCCATGCCCAATACACTCGGAGAGTAAGATTTCAACAGCAGGTGATGCATTAGACGCAAAATCTTCAGCATCTTGCCTTATTGGTTCACGGCATAATGAAAACGACCTCGACTGGGCACCATCAGCAGCAGAGGTATGGATGTTGATTTTGTTCTTGAAAACAGAAACAACATTAGTAGCTACTTGTCAAAACTCGACAGCACGCACTGGTAATGCTTTCATGGATTTCGTATATTTACCTTGTGTCACTGGTTTCTCATCTTGGGTAATTTGTGTAGGGATAGGAGGAAGGGGAAAGGATGGCGAGAATAGTTGGGCAGGGCCATTGGGGTTTCCAAGGAGACAGTAGATGACAAGTGGGATTAACGGCCTGGTAATATCAGTGCAATCGATGACACCCGAGCACGCCAGACCATAATAAACCTCCCCAAGTGCGCTTTCGTTACGAAACAATGAGAATAGCATGAACTGATGACCACCAAACAGGATACCATAAGGCATCGGATTGTCTCTGTTGATCATCGAGATACCAATCTAAATCACCAATAATTGGGTGTTAGCGGTTTAAAGATGAGACAGTTTCAGCCAACCTTGAAGATGACGGATCGTGCATCCTCCTCATTGATCCTCAGCTCCAAATGCGTCCCCACCTGCCCGCCCTCAACATGTTGGGCTAGTTCGAGAATTTGTGGGGCCAATGCATTGAAGACAGACCAACCCTTAGCTTCATAATGAAAACGGGGTGAAGTGCCCGAGGTAGGGGAGATCAAAGCGTCCGGGCTTTCGCTGTAGAGGGTCCAACTTTTTAATAACCCAACGGCAAGAGTGTCATTTTGATCCACATCTCTAACCGCATATCGGATGCGTGGCCAAAGACATCTGGCCCATAACTCATTTGTAGTTTCTTCAGTACTCAGTGCTCCTGAAAAAGTGGTGAGTAGATCCTCGGGCAAGTAGTCAAGGTATTGTTGGAGCCGGAGACTTGGAGGCAAGTTACCGCCGGGTGCTGTTGTCAGATAGACCCGAAGTCTTTCCATCATCAAGTCTGCAAGGTTTGGGTCGTGGATAATCCAATATGGCACATGCCGTCGAGGTGGCGTAGTAAATGGAGCGTAGGGAGCAGACGGGGGAGTAAAAGGGGATGGCCTCAGATCTGGAACATGTGGAATTAAGACTTGAGGGATAATATCCTGCAATCTACCCATCGCGAGCAAGGTTTATATAAATGTTGGCTGGCGGCGTCGACTGTGTGTCGGAGATTTTGCGTGCGAAAGGGAGGGGGAGAACAGAGTGTATTTGATCAGAAGTAGTAGACGTGGAAGTCAGAAAAACCTAAAGGGAGTGGAAAGTGAGCTTGAGCGCACAAAGATAGCAAAACTGGCAGGATCAGAACACGGCAATTCCGCCTGAGGATTTGTAGTCAAAGAAGTGTATAAAGGTTGGGATCACTGTGTAATGGTTCAGCAGAGGGATCAAAGATATAGAGTAACGTCTTATTGCGACACTCATTAGAAATCAGATGATGCAAGGCTAGTATACATGTTGATTTTTCCTCGGGCACCATCGCAAGTTGAAGATCAAAGAACCCACTCAATGAGACCTTCGCCATTGAGCCAGACAACAACATCTATCGTACGACGAACAAAAGATGATAGCCTAAATAAAAATGTCCCAATGTCCATATCGCAAGCATTCTAGTTTACATCACGTAAAACGAGGGGGTAGATTTTGTGGCTCTGATTGCATCTGCATGCGTGGCTGCTGGAACGATGGATCGCCCTGACCTGAATTACTGCTAAGTCTTGAAAAGAAAGTATCCCATTGACCTTAGTTAGATCAAGGTATCAATATCAGAACGTCCACCAACATGAATCATGTTCTTACCCCAGTCGAACATTTGGCCAGGTATCCCTGCTAAAAATTCGGTATCTGCCAAAGCAAAGTCAGCCAGATTATTGCCTCCTTGAGCGGCGTCCAATACGTTCATCAGCTGTACACTTCCCGCATCGGCCTGGAGGTTCATGGCCGGGTTTACGTTTGCAAAACTTTCGCGTCTTTCTCCTCCAGAAGCCAATGACGTGAAATTGACCATTGGTGCCGAAGTTGAGCCAGACGCCATTACTTGCTGTGGCTCAGATGTATCTTCTACCGGCGATCGGATAGCCGAGACGGGAGTCGACATTGTAACATGGCCACGCGACATAGACGAGGAATGACCAGAGCGAGAGAAGGTTTGGCGCAACCGATCACCAGGAAGCGGAGGAGCAAATTGCGAAGAAGAGAAAAAGGCGCGATCACGGTCATTATTGTGAAATGCAACGATAGGAGCAGAAATCGCTGGGGCCTGCGACTCCGCCTCACCTTCAGAGCTACCTTCCTCCGAGGGCGCACTGATGATCGTTCCCTCTGGGACATCTTTAATTTCTTCCCTTATTCGCGTTTTTCCGTGAGCAATAAAAACTCCTCCCCCCGGTCGGGTCGGATCCTTGCGATAATCCAACATCACAGGCTGCTTGACTGTCACACCTCCAGTTGGATTGAGGGCGGGAGCCTCCAATGGGAGTGGTGGGCCTTGCGTAGCTTCATAAAGAAGCGCAATGATTTCCGCTGTCTATTGGTGTTTTTTGAAAGAGCAAAATCAGTAAGATATTGAAGGAGACGTGCTCGGAACTCTAGAAAGGGACCAGCCTTGCGTCTCGCTGACATATGGTCAGGTGATAATGCTCCCTCCCATCTCCTCACGCAGTCACGCAACTTCCGCAATTTAGCTTGAGCATCCTCGTCTTTCCGGCGGATACACGTATGATACTATCATGAAAATTATCTCATTTGATACTCATGATATTAGTTGTTCTGACGACACACCTGCACCAAAGCACACGATGTTGCCGCGTAGGCAACTGGCAACCAAACGTCGTACATACGCTCGTGAGCGTCAAGCCAATCAATGCAATCGGCAGTTAGCGCCACAAGTTCGCTCCATTGCTCCACAGTCAAACCGAACTTTAGATGTGAAGGACAGGAGTAACTGATCCTCATGAATACACGCCAGAACATCATGCCAACACACGCAAAGAGGAAGTGAAGAAGACCTGGAAAAAGATATATCACAATTTCTCTTGAAAAGTGTAAGAAGATTGACATCCTTACCTGCATTTTGGGAGCTCTCCGCTCCCCGGAATTTGAGATGGTCTGGCAGGCCTTCTTTCCAGCGTTTCATATCTGCGAGAAGTTCGTGTAGCATTTCATCAGTCGTGAACGTGAGGCCAGATGGACTTTGATCGGTATGAGATTTTCTCTTTGAAAACGTTGTGTAAACGTGGTTAGCCCCTCACCTATATATCATTTTCTGCACACGGCCAAGGATAATGCTTAGGCGAACAAGCTCATCCAGGTAGAGATCATTTAGATCACCAGAAGATGGCAGACGGGCGTCGCAATCCTGCACATCAATCATGTACGGATGGCCGTATGCTATGCTCGTCCTAAGAGCGGTAAGGCACCCTGCATTGAACAAGCATAGAAAAATCACCATCGATCGCAGATGAGGCAAGCTCCCCATAATCTCCTCCTGTGTTCAATGTTCTGCGTCAACGACTCGGCGCGATGTAAACCCAAATCTTGTGCCTACGATGATATTTCAGCGGTGAAAGGAAGGGGGGACTAATTGGTTTACCATTCGTATCGCCGTTCCGAGGCGGATCCACAAGGCAGACAAGGCCGTTGGAACAAACTGTGAATGACAATCGCCTGTCATGCACAGAATCAGCAACGCTTGCACATTGACAATCGACGCTGTGGAGAGAACGTCATCCGCCTTGATTATGCTGTTTACAGCGAATCTTATTGAGTCGAAAACTTTTTGCGGCACCTCACGGCGCGCCGCGGCAACGAGACACATTGAATAGAGCAATATCGGAGCCGGATTCGAAGTTTGTAAAAATTCGGCTTTTGTAATGATGGGAAGTATTGGCGCGACATCCGAGAAATAAACGTTGACGAGCTTTTCGATTACATCTCGTTCTATATGAAGATCTGCAGACTTGGGATGGGTCAAAGGTTGTTCGTCGACGGGTTTTTGTACTTGAATTAAACCGTCGCCTGATTTGCTGACCTTGTAAGTGAGGTGGTATCGTTGGTCGTAAGTTTCGTAAACCCGGGAAGATATGGTGGCTGAAGAGTGGAGGAGGTGGGCGGGTGAAGTAGGCCCTAACCTGTTGTATAAAAAAAAGACGAAGACTGCATTATGCGACATACCATAAACACCAACGTCGCGTTTTGCTTGTGGCTCAACATGAGCAGAGAAGGATCTCGAAGATTCGGCTTTATCTTTCTCAGGTACCTCTTCTTCAGTTTTTTTCTTTTTGAATCGCGTTTCTGTGATGGGCAAGAAAAAGGTACACTCGAAAGAATATTGTTTGCAGTGCTGACAAACGGGTGGGTCCTATTGAAAAAAAAATAACTGAGTACACAAACGACAAGCTAGTGGTAGGCTCACCGTTTCTGTCAGAATATCACATCTAATTTTTCTACTGCGGCACGAGTCGCAGGCACGCTGCTAGAAACGTCCAGCTTAGATTGAGAGTACAGATAAAATGAAAGTGCAGTCTTACAGTCTTGGTCCGCTTCTTGAGATCGCTGAGAGCTTGAGCTTGGGTCTGTTGATGTGCGGACTGACCACGTCCAACGTCGCTGCCAGAGGGTCCCTCTTCGTCAGAGGCTCCTTTGCCGCTACGGCTACTTTCTGCAAAGGATTTCCGCTTCCGTTTACCCCCTGCATTATTGGCTACAGGCGAAGGTGCAGGATAAGAAATTTCTGGTGGGGCGCTGGGCCGTGGAGCGGTTGAATACATTACCATGGGCTGGTACTGGGGGTATGGAGAATAAGGGGCATAAGGAGATGGATGCATAGGGTACGCGTATTGATGACCATGAGACGGAGGACCCGTATTAATTTGTTGCGGCGCTTGAGGCGGAAATTGAGGATGCTGAGAATAAGGCGGACCGTTGATCGGGTAAGGGGGGTTCATGATGTAAGGGTAAGGCTGAAAGATGGCCCCGGGAGGAGGAGGGGACGCGTACACAGTGGCTGTAGAATGGCATTATTATTATTTTGTGTTTTACTGTGATTGGAGACTTTGCGATATTTATGAATACTTCTCACTCACATTGGGTGGGTGGAGGCGAGTCTTCTGCCAGCTCTGCTTCTTCTTCCTGCTGCCTAGCCTGGGCCTTGGATTGCTTCTCCTTAGGATCGGCTCGCTTCCTCTGCCGTGGTTTCTTGGTGGCAAGCGTCGGGGCTTGGGTCGGCAGGGGCGGCTGGTGCGGCAACGGCTGAGAGGGATCGACAGGAGGGCCTTCGCCGGGAGGAGTAGTCATCTTCCTCCTGGAGTTCTCCGGCATTATAAGACTTTTTCCTCTGAATGCTGGTTGGCTGCCGATTTGTCACTTCGCTCCCCTTTCCGAAACCGTAAGCCTGCTTAGTAAAGCCAATCACTTGTTCCGTTGCAATCGAGTCAAGTTCACTGAGCCCTGCAGATGATAACAATCTGCGTCTTGAGAGTAAAAGGAACCTGCCTTGATAGTTTGTGCAGCGGATGGTCGTTCTAGTGAGTGAGGAACCTGCAAGAGCTGGGCATTGATGCCAGTTACTGCCGTTTAGAATATTCCATCTCCGCTCTAACCCTAATTTCTTACTCCGTGATCAAATACTTGATCTCAGATGTATGTACCCTGAAACAGAAATAACTATCGATCTACAATCTTTTCTCCACTTGCCGCAAACCCTCTGCAGTTACGACTTCTAACGATGAGCATTGTGTAAAGTCAATGCTTTCAAGTTCTCGGACATTTTTGCCAAATCCTTCCCCATGTTTGTTGGATTTAGGTGGCCCTGCAAGTTGCGTCACAGGAACCGACAATCACAGCCATCCGGCGGCAAATTGGGTAAACCGAACCCTGAATCAGAACTAAAATGATTCCGAAACCTCATGACGGGCTGCGGTGCACCTGTGAACCCCACCTATTTGGTCCTATTAGACAGGAACAAGATATGCTTGTTCCTGTCTAGTTCGATCAAAGATGGCTTTTGTAACGCTCTGGGCAATAACTACCAGTAGTGCGTAGGGACTTTATAATAAATTCTTACCTGTGCTCACCGGCAACCATGAATACCAGTCACCGGTGTTTGGCACTTGGCGGCATTGCGCTCCTGCCCATAAAGGGTTCGATGCCATCACGAAGAACCCTTACTCACCGTTGTTGATGGCAACGCGTCGAGCTCGTCGTGCGCAATGCCGACAACGTGTATCCCCCCCAATAATCATCTGTTCCCCTCGCTTTCTTTTGCATTACATAGGTATTATTAGGTAGATAGTAATGCATATGTTTTACTTAGTCCTCCTGGCTACGGGGGCCGTCACCACTCATATCAAGTACACTAAAGCAGGCACCAAGAACCTCAATCTCCTCATCCTCACCAGCCTGCTCCTCATCCAGCTCCTCTTCTAAATCCACTTCATGACTGGGGGTGGTACCTGTAGGGGGAAGGGCCGGGGTCTGAGGCTCCCCTGTTGCATCTGGCTCCTCTGATGTGGTAGAAGCCTCTGCAACATGAGTGCCAAATCCAATGGGACCAGTATAACCATCCAGGAGATAGATCTTCTCCAAGATCTTCAGGTGGTGAGCATTGAAACGGCCCCGTTCCATCCGATGAAGTTTGAGCTGAAGAGCGAGGGCAGGACGAGAGAGCAAGAGCTCGGCTTCTTTTCCTCGAAGGAGAATGTCTTCGTCATGAATATAGGTTGCAAGGCGGGGAACTTCGATGTTCAGCCGCGCAATCTCTTCCTGCGCACGTTCGAGTTTGAACGCCCGGTCAATTGCAAGGCGAGCGGCGGGTGTCGCCCAAGGTTTCCTTCGAATATCTTGACGGGCATCACGGAGGAGATCGAAGTCCGAGAGGAAGGCGTACTCAACGACCTGATCCCAGTTGAGTACCTGTCGAGGTGGCACTAGAGCCAACGCCGCTGTATTGTACCTGTCGAGGGCGGTGCGAATGGCGACAGATCGGGCCTTGAGCGCGTTGGCAATGTGTTTACGAAGGCTATAGCCTATCATGTTGCCGTCAGCTGCAGTCATTTCCGAGAAGACAACATCTTACCTGTCTGGGACCGGTTCATCTTTGTGAGTTCAAACATGCGTGCGACCACGAGCCCTTCCAGGACATCGATGCAACGTTGGTATGTCCGCATCATAACCTTCTCTCCTGCTGCCTGCCACTCAAACGAACCCCGCTCCCATCGCCGTGCAATGTTGAGCTTCTTCTCTAGTACCTGGACGGCGGTGAGATCGCGCTTTTGGGTTTCGAGCGCATGGCGGCGGGCTGTTTCATTGGAGGCAGTCATGTCGTGTTCGCCGACATTCGCCTCCGTAAGGTTGGACCAGGCCAAGACAGCCGCTGCAAGTGTACGTCTGTAGATCATAAGTAACAATACAGATCAATAAAGTTTAGACTTACTCGCTGGCGTTGAAATTGAGGAGTAACTTGTAATACTCCATCTCCAGTGTCTCCTCCAGGGGTTCCTTCGAGAGCCCCCTCAGGTATTCCTCCTCCTCTTTCAACCACTCTTTCACCATGACCATGTCCCGTGCACCCACTTTCACCAGTGCGCTGTCAACTGCCGATCTCGTGTCCAGTATCTCGAGTGCTTGTTTATAGTTGTTGAGAAGGAAGGTGCCTAGTGGACAATGATCAGTAATGTCACAGTATGAGGGGCGGCACACGTACTGAGGTTTTGGTAAGTCTCAAAGGTGTCCTTGTGTTTCGTGTACTCCACAATGGCTTGACGGCGGTGGAAGATGCTTGAATATCGGGTCGAGCTTGCGAGGGCGTTTGACAGCGAGAAGAAGCGCTCGCAACCCTCTAAATCCTCCAATCCGAGTCCCTCGACATACGTGCTA